ATCACTGTTTTAGAGAGTTTCTCGTGGCGTACACCTCGCGGGCAGGTTTAACTTGAATGGCTCGTTGGTGGCTGCTTGAAGAGTGGATATGAGATTGTTGATGTACCGCGACGTGTGTTCTTGTCGTTGCTGCATCTGTGTCTGCTTTCATGTATCCTACAGGGTACTTTCTTTTAAAATGCTTGCAGGAGGCTACAATGCTCTTGTTCAGAGAGACAATGTTTTGATTTGTCATGGTACACTTCTTGCCCAAGGGCAGCGTGCAATCTTTGTTCATGGAAAATGCTAGTCGCGTCAACGTCTAGTCCCTGGAATCACTCCTATCAGACCACCCATCAATGTCCGCCAACTCCATATTAATTCCCAACATGACGTCTAGGTACTGCTGGGTTTCTTTGTCGTTGTTCAAGGCTCAGAGCAACACATGCGTACCACTGGTCGTGCTGTGGATAGCTCTTGTTCTAGTCTGATCCGCGCGGAAGACAACATCCACTGATGATTACGAAGTTAGTCATTCCTTGATCACCCTTCATGACAAATGGGTCGCCTAAGGACAGTGTGCCCTCGAGGACCTTGCTGCTCGCGCTGAAGGTGCTCGGCCATCACTCAGCGAACGTCGTTAAGGTGATCTCGGCCCGTCTTGTTCAAGGCGAGCAAACTACCGACCATGTTGTCGGGCATATCTAGTATGACACACCCAAGCTATGCGGTTCCTATCAAAAAGTCGAATTGAATAGGTATCTAATTCAATTGGAATCGCTAAATTATGATCATGCCACATTGTAATTCTGGAAAGTGGTTGGTAGAAGCAGTCCGAATAGACTAGCGTGTTTGACGGCTCATTTCAACGCATTGGACGTGGCAGTCAAGCCGCGATAATGATTGAATCGAAGATGTAGGGTAGTAGGTTTGAGGATGAGCGGTCCTTGGCTGTATGTGTCAGTCCGAGCCGGATCAACGACCGAGAACTCCCAGGCAGCTTACAACAAGCCAGCGAGACGGCTAGCGAGCAACACAGACAAGGTCAACCGGGCTGAACGATGACACGGTATATGTGCTTGACATCCATGATGCGTTAGGCGGTGAGATGGATGATTCCAGCGACGTGATTCACGTAGCGAAGAAACAGGATGGCGTTGTGACGTATGACCAGGTCGGAGCACAGCCTATATCGACTTTGTCGATTGCACTTTTGAATATGAGGTAGGCAAGAGGTCGTTAATGATTGGAATATAGAGATCGAGACGTTGAAAGATGCTGCAGGTCTACAAACACGACAAGAGAGACTATAGATACACGTGGATTGAATTGCATAAGGTTGATCAAATTGGTTCTTTCGAAAGTTATTAGGTACAGGCACCAAATCCTTTATAAAGGAAGAGGTCAAGATAAAGCAAAGAAAGAAAAAAACAATCCGCAGATGAGTTCCGAATGGATGATACCATCCTCTCAGTCATGTTCGCCTGTGCTACAGCCGGACACATGACTACGCTCCTTATCCTTTCTATTAATCATCCCAGGCACTAGTCGTCAATGAACGCAAGCTGCTGACTTATGCATTATCAGTCTTATTGGCAGTAGTCCAGAGCGGCTGACTATAGAGTGCCTCGTAGAGGGCGCACTGCTCAGCTGCACAGGCTTTGGCGCAGCTGTAAAGCTTCTGCCTGTCTTTAGTCTAATACGTCTTATAATAGGTATTTGTCGCCTCCTTATTAAAGTGCATAATCTTAGCATAGCTGTAGACTGCCTAACATTAGTAGCAGTTCTTAGAGTTCTTAAGCTCCTAAGTTAGGGCATGCCCCTTGCAGTAAGTTCGCCCTAGAAATTCAGGCTTGCGGTAGAAGTCTTGCACCAAGTCTCCCCTTATTGTGGCCAAGTTGTTCTTGAAGAGCTCGCTAGACAGATCAACACGCGCGTTAGGACCTGCGTTCGCACAGTACTGCTGTGTGTACCTCGCTACTTTCTAGGTCTTACGGCTAAGGTCAAGAGCCGCGAATCTTCCTGCGCTACAGCTGTACAATTTAATGTACTCCTCTCTAAGTTGATAGTTCTGAGTGTCCTCTATAAAGATGTGCACATACAGCAGCTATTTTCCTAAAGCTAGTTGTGTGGACCCCTAAATCCAGCTAGGGTGGGCGCAGATAAAATACATCTTGGGTGTAAGATTATTGTTGAAGGCTAACAGGTCTACTACAATTGTTGACAGGGGAGTTTAAACAAAGTTCAACTTTAGGCTCTTAGGAGCATTACCTATATTAATGTTAGACGGTTAGGCAGGGTGTGTCTATGCTAAGAACGACATACACAGTAGTTTAAACTTGGTCTTATTAGGCTTACTAACACGCTCTTAAAGGGCGAGGATCAGCAAGATCTCCCTTGCTAGTCTCGTCGGAAACGTATTAGCCTTGTCTGGGACTTCGTGGCCACGGCGCTTCATGGTGGCGCAAAGCGTGTTGATAGACTCTGTCAGCGTTTTTATGGACTCCTTAGCTTCGTCCACCAAGTCGCGAATCAAGGCAACTCGCGGCGGGTTCTTTTTCTTGACTGGTAGAAGCACAGGGAATACTCCATCCTTCTTGCGGCCCCTGATTTGGAATGGAAGGTGAAGCAGATCGCGGCCCAGCGGCTTGACAACCAATGGCTTCTTCGACTTCTTACGCGGTGCGGCCACCTCTTCCGACTCTACAGGCGGTAAGGCCACCTCTACAGGCGGTAAGACCACCTTTGCAGGCGGTAAGGCCACCTTCTCACACCAGTCCAGCGCAGGCTTCAGAATTTCTTTGTGCTGTAGAACCACTGAGTACAACATTTGACGGTGGAGATCTGTAGTCATCGTTAGGCATATTGCAGACAAGCAGTAAGGTCGGTTATGTGTCCAGTCTACTTACCGTTACCCTCTTTCTTATACTTCTTGCAGACCTCGGTAGAAGAAAGGTCAGGATGTAGGAAATGCGTAATGGTGTCATGGAGTTGCAAATTCACTTGAACAATCGCGACCAAATCTCGGCCGACTAACTCCACAACCTGTCGCTCGTCGAGATGGTTGATAGCTTGTGGTTCAGGCCATTTGTCGACGGGCCTCCACGCCGCGAACCGGAAAGGAGCGTTCGTGGGATGATCGTTTGGTCCAGACGAGGAGCCGGTGGCTGAGGTGGCCATTGCTGAACACAGTGATGCTGCACTTGCTAGTAAGACTTGCCACAAACGTGTGGTTGAGAGTGCGCAGTGCTAGAAAATTTGACTGCGACACCTTATAACAACTGTTTGTGCACGGGCAAAACGTTTCTCCGTTGTCCCAAACTGGTAGTCCAATGCTTTCACTGCGAGTTGCTCTTTCACTGCCCAACTGTGAACCGCTCGGATGACTGCCCCACGTGGCGTATACAACACCTATACCCCGAAATTCAGGAGATGTAGAGGAGCAGACGGCACACACTCCTTTTCTCCACAACTAGAAGTATTAAGAAACGTGCAGTACTCTCCTGGCTTGCGTTGGGGTGGATAAATACCATGATCGATTGCTACAAACAAACTGGTCTATCTGACCCGGAACATCCGTGACCCCTTCTTGTGTTGGGAAAACTTGAAGTATCTATCGAGTTTGACATTCGTTGGAAACCTTATAGTTTCTGTGTTCCATACCAAGTTTGAACTCACGTCCAACATGATATACCGACGTTTCATGAATAGTCTTCTGTGACGAGTAAACAGTACTATATCCATAGATTAGAATATCATGTCCTCCTAGAAACACTTGAGAAAATCTCCACTCACGGTACCTTACTTACATCGTAAATCTAGCTCGTCGAATCATATCACGTTCCAAAGTTTTGAAGATCGGAAATCGGTAAAGTTACGTCATAAGGGTGATTGATATATTTTCACTGGATCACAAGATCAAAATCACTGCTTGCGGCTCCGTTTCCGATGACTCAGTTTGTTTAGGGCCCTGATTTACCGCACAAAGTAATTCAATGAGCTATATAAGTTGTGCTTACCCCGCTCAGCTGTCTGCACACACTCTGACAAACAACGACTCTCTAACAAACAACCACTGCATCACCCATCATGTCCACCATGACTGCCGACGACTTTCGGCGTATCCGTGACGTCGCTACAGGCGATATCCACAGGACGCAGGAAATTCTCGAGACTGAACTGTCCGTTGATGAGGATATGGAGGCTTACACTGCATGGGTGGTTGACATGTGGCGTAAGGAACGTGAGGAGAGACAAGCGCAGATGAAGGTTATCGACGCGGACACTTATCGCAATGCGATTGCAAGCACTATCTACATCAACATTGATCAGGTCGCTCAGTAAGTCTTCACACCAAAAACTACACTTTGCTTGAGTTATCTTCTTCTTGGCCTTGATACAGTGTAACTGACTCGACATGTGCGATGACAGGCTAAACTCTGCCATGAACTTGGGTTACTATCCTCAGATTCCTGTCGGCCACCTCAACGGCATCGCTTTCCGCCTTGTCCCTAACACCACGCTCCTAGAACCTACCAAGGAGACCAACTACAAGGACACTCGTCACGTGTATCCTTCCATGTTTCTAGGAATCAACAAGACCGTTCATCCGTCGCAGCAGTCATCGTCACCGAAACGAGGAAAGCGCAGCCGCAGGAACAACCAGACCGACGAATCTACTCAAAGTGGCGACTCTGACAGCAAGAACGACGACACAGGTTTCGTGTTTTACCAGCTAGGTGCCCTCCAATACACCCGCGGCTTGAAAGACCCCACCACAACCGACATCGAGAAGATCAAAGCCGCGGAGTGGTATGACACGCACTACGTCCTCGTGGTTGTCATCGGCGCATCTGGTAAGGCGGAGGACGTGTACATTCTGTACAACATGCGGCCCGAGGACGAAGACGGAAATCGCCGCCCTGTTGACCCCTCATCCTGGGGATTCCTGCCGGGCGACTATTCGAGAGTGAAGCGAGCGGGGGCCAGAATCGCGAGGAACTTTCTTCATCTCGGCCCTGCCTTCAAGTGGGACTTGGTGAATCCCAAGGACTTCACTACCGAAGAAGAGCATCGGGCTACTCACATCGATGACGAATATGAGCTGGTGACCTGCGTTCGACTCGACTACCCCCAGAGGATCATCAGGCAGCATGTGGTACCACCGAAGCTGGAGAATGACGATGAGAAGGAGCAAGAGCACTATCACGAGCAAGGCTATGTGCGAGACTACTTGTCGAGCTATGGGTACAGCGATGCATTCGAGCATGGGGGCAGGTCTGATGACGAGTATTCCAGCGTCTAGATAGTCGGTGGGCAGGGCAAAATGTTTGTCATTGGGCATCATCTGACTCTACCAACAGAAAACGAGGAAAGACGCTCGAGAAATTTACCATCAACGGAACACAGAAGCGATGCTTCATTTCAGAAGCAGCATGAAGTCACGGCGATAATCTGGATAGTAGTAGCTTTACTTTGATCTCGACCCTGGTTTTTAACCATTGTAGATCATTTCATTCCAGTAGTCATTAATCGATAATCACATTTCCTGAACATACATTTCCACACTGTATATGCTGAGCTAGACCGTGTGAAGTAGACAAGTTTTAGAGTGTGGGATGGGTGCGGTAGATATTCGTGATAGTATTGACTTGTGATTGGAAGCGAAAATGGCACAAAGCGGAGGTTTAGAGTTACATTGCTGCACACCCCCGTCGCGTAGGCGATGACTGTGCCATCTACTTATAGAATTTTGTTTTGATGATGCAATGCATCCAAGGACACGACAAGAATCCGTAGAGTAGTGGTTTTGAGCGCCAAAGTCTCTGCAGAGGGGGTAGGGGGCATCTTTGTATTTAGGTTGTTTCCCTCCAGTAGTATCCTTGACGGAAGATGGGCGCATTCGTGGTTGGATGTTGGACGATGTACCCTCCCACGCCCGTACCTGATCACAGCTCTACTACGACACACAATTTTCCAAAGAACTGTCACGAGAGTTCCACATCAACTGGTACTTAGGATGGCTCGAAATTTGGTGGCTTAAGAAAGTCAAATAACTACGCAAGCACCACACTCTCCGACGGCACGATTCGCCCAGATCTTCATGGAAACAAACCGAACTTCATCATCACAGCTATCAAAAGCAGACGCGGTTCCGCACGCGACAAGACAGTACCACATGGGCTCGTCCACTCTGATCGAAAATGTTCCACATACGGCGACTTGTTTCCAGCAATAGAGTTCCTATGCTCGGAGACTGTACGCATGTAGCAGATGTCTGTCAAAAGTGCTTTTTGAAATGAATTCATGCTCAGCTCGATAGTATAGCATGGGACAAGATTACCTGTCCAACTTCGGAGTGTACAATACAGCTCACATACAACGACGTGAAACAAAATATCATTATGGAGATCCTCACTCGATAAGCTCAAATGATTCATTACGTCTCTTTATACTAATATTTTGATTCAGCTTCGACAGAATCATGCTAAAAATTGGACTGCCCAAGAATCACACCTTTCGTTACTGCCTTGACACAAAGTGTCGGAGTGGCCAATTGCATGACTGTGAGCACGTGGGCGATATCTTAACCTGTGATGCATGCTGACTGCGCGTGTGTACGTTCCACAACGTTTAGTTCCACGACGGCGAGATGTGCGAGCAGTATGATGAGCGAAAGAAGAACAAAATCGATCGGCAACAGGAAGAAGAAGCCAGTAAAATGCTCGTCGCCGACACATCAACTCATTGCCCGGGCCCGGAATGTGAGTACAAGACCACTAAGAACGGCGGCTGCGGTCACATCACATGTAGACGATCTCCGTTCGCCGCATTTGTCAATGTTACTAACAATTTCAATAGGCAGTGGCTGTAATTTTGAGTTCTGCTACACCTACTCTGCCTCATACTGAGGATAGGAAGGTGTTCTCGATGTCGGAAATCACATGCATGCGTCCGACTGTGTACATTATCTGTCACCTCCGCAGTGTCATTTTTGGGTCAACCAGAACAACTCTGACCTACGATACTATCGATCTTGGAATGGAAACGACAGTCTAGACATTCTCTGCAGAGCCGCCATGAGGTCTATCATCGCAATGCTTTTCCAGTTACAGCGCTTACGCATGTTTTTTCTCATCTCGCAGCTTTCTACCAGACGGAGATGTTGTTCCTTGATTCTCCCTTCGTCGACCTGCTTTAAATATCGAACCTTAAGGTTTGGTCGTCGCGTCTGAACTTAGTACTCAAACTCTGCTTCCGACAATATGGCGCTGGAGAATACGAAAACTGAAATGATGGTTACAACATCTCCATAGCCGGACCTGTATTTTTCCATGGGTGAGTTCTGCTGTGAACCTTTTGCTGAGGGTCTTCTGCTCCAGATTGGTTCACGAATTAAAGATATCCGTCACCCGTGATCTACCATCTCATGCGCCAACATTTCTCTTCTACATTGCACCCCAAAGTGGCGGTGGATCTCAGGCTCCGAAGCAAAGTGAGAGAAATGGCAGTTTGAGCAACAGGCTTGTAGTGATTGTGCCTTACACATACCCTCACTTCCAAATCTAGCGTCCCCTCCCGAAACATATCTTTCCAATAAACAGTAGTCAGACTGCAACCTCTCACGAGTCGCCAATCTCGCTATCAAACATCAACCTCCGGACTGACTCCTTTATTTCTTCGACTCTATCACTATCAACACTTCAACTACCCTGTCCGAAGCTTCTAGGCCTGCAGTCATGGACTTCGATCCACTAAGTAGCCCCTTCACTGATCTCAACAGATGGTTAGATTCAAAGTCGGACACAGAAGAAGCTGCAAAATGTACGAAGTGCAAGAAGACGCTCAAGCGCGGCGAAGACTCACAGAGGAGAACTGGCCGATTCTGGAAGAACTGCAAGATATGCCGGGACAAAGTGACGGCGACGAGGCGCAGAACAAGGATACTACATGCCGATGATCCACAGGGTGTTAACAAGAAACGCAAAATCTCGAAAACAAATGCAAATACCGATCAGGCAGAGCAAGAGCCAGATACTAGCGAACGGGAGTGTTCAGTATGCGCTGAATTGCATCCGACGCGAGACTTTCCTAGCCTCTCGGCTTGTACACATGAACCAGAAGTGTGTCAAGACTGCTTTCTAGAATGGTTGGAGCTACAGATCGACAGCACAACTTGGGAGAGTATTCAGTGTCCATCGAGCGATTGTAGCAACCAGATCACTCACGAAGATGTCTTGAAGTATACACCAGAGAACGTGTTCGCCCGGTTAGACTTCCGCATGACCAAGGAATCACCATATGCTGACATTGCGCCAGATTTGATGAGCTCTCCATGCGAAGTGTCCTCAGCAACGACCCCAACTTTCGTTACTGCATCGCCGAAGGGTGTACGTCCGGACAAATCCACGATACTGGTGCCGAAGGGTACATCTTTCGTTGCGGCGCGTGTGGTTTCCGTATCTGCACTGTCCATGACATGCCCTTCCACTCTGACGAAACTTGCACGCAATACGACGCGCGAATGGCGAAGGAAGAAGAAGAACGACGTGCCAAACAACAGCAACTGGAGAAAGAGGAAGAAGCCCGCCGTCTACAAGAAGAAGCAAGCGTCGCGGAAGTCGGCCGATGCGCAGTGGTGTGTCCAGGATGCAAAGCTCCGATTCAGAAAACTGCAGGTTGCGATCATATGACGTGTAAACATCCATCCAGTTCAACTCATCACAGTCCACAAGCTGACTCAGAATAGGTCGTCGACTGGGATGTAATTTCCAATTTTGCTATGTGTGTCGCGCCCCGTACACGGGCGACAGTGGCATCAACGCGGTTGGCAACGGAGCTCATGCTTCGGACTGCAGACATCATCCGGCGCGCCTTCCGGTCTATCAACCTACATCATTAAGAGATCTGATGATTCTAAGGCAAGGGTTTTGAGATACTCAGGACAAGCAAGTAGATGAACGATTGTGTGTGGTATTCTTCTACTGATGGATGGAACAATACTCATCTTGGTTTTGGTATGATTGCGGATTACACATTGGTTTGGTGTGTCTCATGCTTTGCGTCTGTAGTTCTTTCTACTTGGTTTCAATGGTAGGATCGATGACTACACATCGAAAGATGTTTCTTGTATTTGTACGGCATCAGGATTCTGGCAAACACGAAGAAAAACACGTGTTTTGACTTTGCTAAGGTGCCCGAAGTCTCTATCAATCATACCATCCCATCGATATCTTGCTTCCACTTTCTACGTCTCGCCTTTGCCTTATTCATGCCTGGTATCCGTCATCTGGGATTCTTTCTAATCCCCCGAAACTTCAATGTTGGGCTACACCAGATCAATCCGTGTTTATCTGCGAATCCAAGATCTGACCTTCTGAAACCATAATGAATAACAAAACATACCTAGTTCGTCACCATCAGACTTGTCGAAGAATGTCCGGTAAAATTCAAGCAGATTTCCAAAATGACCGTACATATCTTATTTTCCAACACAACCATTTGAATGTATAAAGAAAAGATTTGAAAACAAAAAGCAAGCCTTCGACCTCAGAACACCAACCGTCCATCAAACAACTCCATCAGAGTAAACAGCTGCAGCAAAAAGCAAAAAGATGTGACTTGTCTGAGGCTTGAACTCAGGACCTTCAGTGTACTAACAGCAATGTTAGACTGACGTGATAACCAACTACACCAACGAGCCGTTTTTTCGATATTGAAAAACCCCGTTTTTCAAAATATATTCTTCTCAGTAAAATTTTCAGCTCAGGGTGCATATACTGGATTATGGCATATTTGCTTAGATCTGGGCATCTTGTGGCCTGAGATAAAATTCTAGAGGATGCGGGGTCGAAGATATATCGCAATACGAGGAGATGGCCGTGCGCGGAACCCCTCATCACTGAGTTTTCAAGAACGCACTGCTGCCATTGACCACTGTCAGATCAGATGCCACTTGATTTATCATGTAGCACGTTAGAGACTATTAAGTCTTTTGTCTGTATTGGGTAACACGGCTATCTACCGACTTCTACGTTGAAGTGCCAAGAACGCTATGGCAGACGCTCGTCATATTTCTCATTTCGATATATCAACACCTCTATTCTCGGTTGGCGTGGGATATCGGCTATGTTCTGCATGGTTAAAGATGGAGTTCGATTAGGAAGCAAGGCTGCTGGTAAGTCTCTTCTAATGCACTTATGCTCGCCCGCGACGATCTCGTATTGTATCACTTTCTTTTCTCGTACTTCGCGTCCCTGAGCAACATATCGGCGAATGCCGATGGGTTTCATATTCATCGGCCTGTGTTATGTTGTGCTCGACTACATTCCGTTTCCAAAAAGACTAGATGGAAAGGACATTGATAGTAGTGAGTTCATCAGAAGCGAGTCAACGTTATGTGGGTTTGATTTTTGGAAATTCTAATAAGTTAGATTCCTAGAAATACAAGACGTAACCGGAACTTCATCGAATCTCCGCATCACCGACTACGAAATGGGAAACATGGCAGAGTCCCATGACTTGCCCCCCGCAATCAACCTCGAGTCCAACGTATCCGTTCCGACACCAACATACATAACCTTGGAGTACGCCGCCGCGCCCCAAAAGCTGAATGCGGTGCCTCCAGGCACGAACAGCACATCGCCGATAACCAATGAGAAAGTTCCCTTAAACCCATCCACACTAACGTTCACCAACCCATCGACGATTTCCAACGCCGTGTGGTTCGGCAGCGTGTACGTCGTCGGGCGACTGGTCTGGCCGAGCTGCGATAGAGTGATCGTTCCCTGGGTGAAGTTGCCATCAGATTGTTTGCTGGTGACGAACGGTTCCACGATCATGTAGGTGGATGAGTTGCCAGCAAGGTACTTCGGTCCGTAACCCTTCGCGACCATGAACGGTGTTTGGGCATCCTCAGCGAGGGTGTTCGCGCCGTTGTGCCATACCGCAGGCGTGCTGTTACCCAGCTCAACGACACCGTCGACAAAGTTGGTCGGGGGCGTGAAGTCGGACGTCGAGTGGACATCATAACTGATCAAGATATCTGCAACGTCGCCGCTCAAGGCTGGTGTTGTAGCATTGGCCATGGTGCTGTCAAACGGAGCGGAAAACGCGGATGTGTAGTTCTCCTGGCTGGCCCAGTAGAAGAACTTCTCAAATCCGCCTGGCTGTATCACGCCGGTAAGTTCCACGAAGGGGTCCAGCATCTGGAATGTATGCGTCGTGTTGTGTGGTACCGCGCCATAGTCGCCTGCGGTAAGTATGCGAGCGGAGGTTTTGTCATCCTTGGAAGCCCAGAGAGCAGCGCGACCGCGTAGGCAATAGAAGTTTTCGTAGTGAGTCAGATGCGCCTAGTGAATTGATTAGCACCTTTCATATACATCAGAGTACATTGAAATGACTTACATGTGGGTTGACACCTAGGTTGACGCTCTGCGCTGCGGCAGTGCTGATGATGCTGAATGCGCCGCCGGATGATTCACCCGTGACGGGGAAGCGATACACTTGTGGACCGAGTTGCAGGCCATCGATCGAGTAGGCACGCACAATGTAAGGGCGCACATGCGTTGGGACTGTAGTGACAATGAGGTCGGTAGTATTTCCATGTTTGGAAACGAAAGGATTAGAAGGGCGGCATGCAGCCAACCCCAGAAGCGTAGAGATAGCAAGCACAAGCATAGCTATTGTTTATGAGAACGAGAATAGAAGCCAGGCGCCTATGGATGAAACGAAAGAAGTGGTCTGGTATTGTATTACATGGTGCTCAGCACAGCCTTCATATATAATCGCGACAACATTGCGTACTCCATCTTTTCGCGCAAATCTCATCTCGAAGCATGTGGAGTGTGTTCGATTGTTTGAAATTTTGGACAACCATCGTACAACGTCTCAGTTCTATCCTCAGTATTAGCCAAAGCGTGACTGATTGCGATACTCTAGGTCGTGGCCTGTTTCAGCGTCTTCAGCGTCTTCTGATAGGTCATGACAGGAAACGCCGCCAAAGTTTGGACGGAGCACGTCCATTTCCAGCAGGTGTACCTGGCCGCGGTATCATTTCGGTGATCTGCATGAGGCCGATGTTGTACAAACGATGTTTAGTGGGGCAAGATCTGGCAGGTAGGTATATGCGTACAACGCGCTTGTACTATCATGACGTGGTTCTTGCTCGTGGACCGACGACCAGAAGTTTCACCTGTGATGAGAGTTGAACGTAGCATCTTGCTTGGCCTGTATACGCAGATTGTAATATCGGTCTCCTATTCCTATCGTCAAAATCTGCGAGACATCATCTGGAGCGCCGTTTTTAATCTAGTCGTTACTCCAGGAATCTTCGATTGCGTACCTGATGCTAGTTGATGATGCCTAGCGTACTAGAACGGCGACACCCGTTTTGCAGCGTCGCGGCACTTGTTAGCGCAAGCCACGCGTTCAGCCTCAACAAGATGGATATTAGTACTTCCGCAGGCCCACTTCGTGTGCAATTATACTACACTCACGTTATCAGATCAAATCTCGCGGTGATCCTTTTGGTGGAGCTTTTCGAAGATATTGTCGCCCACTATCGACATCCGAGTTGTCCGACAAACACGTACTAAGATCAGCGAACGAAAAAATATATGCTGTTTCATCGTCATTTCGAGATACAAACCCTTGCGACGAATGGAGAGTAAGTCTTCATTGCTGCATGCAGTAGATGGGAGGTTTCTCTGGAAATCTGTACCGGGCGCCAGCATGATTTGAGCGGGTAGATGAGCCATCGGAAGAGCGGTTGCGTAGATCGCGCTTAAGTCAGAATCAACCGAGACTAGGGAAGGTAGCTTTTCAAGAGTATCGGTCTGAAGGTTTCCCAACTGAAGTGGCTTCCTCAGCAGCTTGAGCTTTTGCAGAAGCTCGGTTCGAGTGACACCATAAAACAGTCCTCACTCTCTGTAGTGTACCCGCGTCCGTGTACGTCTATGGCGCTTCAGCATCTTACACAGTTCGACTCCCGTTGTACCCTTCCCGCTTCCGCTGCATCGATGTACAATTGGGTTGGTCGCGTCATGCCGCATGAGAGATACGAGTCTGCTGCGTGCCAGGGTGAGAGGCGCGAATATAGGACGCCCTAGACACGCTGGTCGTCTACGACATTCCAAGCCAGACGTCCTCCGTGCCTTCCCTTGCGCACCATGTGTGGTATAGGTGGTTGTGTGCGAATTTCTATGGCAGCATAGTGGTTGTGCATACAGCGTGGCGCGACGCGCAGACTACTGCGACCGAGGCTTGTGGGATCGAAGAGATACTGAGGGTGCGAAGATGTTGTTAAGGAGGAGTTGAGGATATGTTCGGCAATGGAAGCGTTCGAAGGGGCGCGCTGTTGGCATCGCTAATGCTGCGTGTGCTCTCGTAGGGATCTGTTTCTGCCTGAGCAGCTACAAGATTTCTGCGTGTATCAGGTCGTTGTTAGTAGATCGAGGTGGTCCGAATGCGTGCATGACGCATGAACCCATCTGGTTGTCGAAGCATCGCGTGGGGCAGTGTACGATGTTGCGGCTGTCCCTCGGCTTTCTCGAGCCGATGACGTAATCACATGTACTCACCTTGTACCTTCCTATCTCCGCAACACCATCTTCTGTTATGGTTAAGTCGTGCTTTAATCTGTACAATCTTCGATATGCGTTCTCACGATGGGAAGAGAAGTCGACCGCATGAGTTGTTCATCATGCGGATGTGAACAACACGCCAAGAGATGGGAGAATACATGACTGACGACGATCGTCCGCTTCAACGCCCATGGACCAAAACCTGCTTCTTTTTCTTCAAACTCAACAGAACATCAACGGGAATCTTGAGTACCTCACACACTATATCCACAGGCGTGAGAGTCAACCACTCTGTCAGCGATACGTCGGCAACACGCTCTGACTTGTAGATCTCGATCCAAGTCAAATTCTGCGTCTCGGAAAGGTTCTCAGTGTAGTGATCTACTCAGAGTTAAATATGTACATGCGGTCTTACATGATGCGCAACGTACTAGAGTTGTCAGGGAAAACTACAGTGTCACAAGATGCACAGTCAAAGATGCGCGCGTTACCATTGCCAATGACAACGGTGGCTCGGTCTTCGCCTTCGTAGAAACACAATCTCTCTTTAGACTTGATGTCTGTTAGTTGCACTCTCCTCCACTCCTTGCAAAGTTCGACATTTCTTCAACCTGTTCTCAAAAGCTCTCTTGTCTGTGTTCCTTGCCCTGCCGCAGCTTTCTTTGCCTCCACTCAATCCTCTTATCTCGGGTGTGACAGAGCCTCTTAGTGAGAATGCTCCGCCTCTGTCTATTCTCCGGGTCCCACGCCGTCGCTCTCCAGCCCACCCTTCACCGGCAATCAAAACATCAAACTCAAGAACATTGGGTACTTCTGGACTGCCGATGGTGATAATGAACACAAAGGCTGTCTTTGCTACGTACTCGCTTATGGACGACACGTTCGGCACGCTGCTATGAGTTACCGATTCCCCTCCCAGTGGCAACTCGTCTCACCATCTCGGTCCTTCCCTTGATGACAAGGCCTTAGTTGGCGGCGGTCTTCTTTCCCTTTTGAAAACTCAGGTACGTGCGCCCTATTCACATGCCACTTCAGCATTCTCACAAGATCAAGGACACTGCTTACTACTTCGACACCCCCAATCCGTACTAGCCGAAGTTCAAGCAGAGCAACCGCGCTCTCCTCTCCTTCATCACCGATGAGATCCGTGTCAAGCCAGATGGCGGTTTCTTCATCACTTACCTGGGCTCTGCAGTGGGTACTTTGCCGGATCACCTTATAGAGGCCGACGCCGACTTCAATATCATTCACGAATGGCCTGAGGATATCGAAGGGACCCTGATCATTCTCGGCGAGCAGTGCAGCCCCCACAGCCCGTCCATCGACTTCGAGAAGAACATCATCCTCATCTCGGACTTCGACGTACCTGTGATAATCTTGAAGCCTGCTTCGGCCGCTGATATCCAGAAAGCCAACACACTTCGTCTCTGGGAACTTCCATCCCGCAAGATCACCTCCACCATCACCATTTCCGACGCTCAGGGTATTCAGGATGTCCATTTCATCCCCGGTAACTCTGAGTCTGCCGCCATTGCGACTGCAGTAGGCCCCAGTAAAGTCTAGATCATCTACCAGCTCCGTAAGGACAGCAGTGTCAAACAGGGTGTCGCGGAGCTTCTATACGACCTCGGCTCGCGTGCGCGCGAGAACATGGCCATGTACCCCGACCTCGCCGACGACGGCAACCACGTCGCAGCCCCCGATATTAGCGACCTCAACAACGTCAAGCGTTTTGACAACCCGGACAAGGACCAGGGTATCGTCAGTCCCTACTACATTAAGGTCAGCCCTGATAAGAAGAACCTCCTCGTCACCGACTACTCTATCCAGACGCATGATATTGGCATCGTTGATACGCCTGCGGATGTCAAGGCGCAGTGAATATATATCCTAGACAATAGGAGCCTGAGCTTCAACCACAGCGTCAACTTCCCAACCGAGTTTGCGAACAGAGGTGGTGCAAAACCGCACTCGGCTGTTGTTTTCCGTCTGACGGATCCAAATAAGCCTTACTACTACTAGAGAGTACTACGAGTTTGGGAGGTGTAAGATGGAGGGACTTGGAGCTCTGTTTGGGTACTGTGATACATGGCCATATACGCTGCTAGGCTTTTCTCTTTTTCCCTTCTCAGTTAGCCGGTGTTCAGTTCGTGGTTCCTGGCTGTTGGACACAATGTTCGATTTTTTGCTTTCTAATTTGTTGTAGTCGAGGATTGAGAGGGTTATGGACAATGCAATCACTCTTCATGACTCTTTGTCTCCATGCATTTGATATTGTCGGTATGCAAATTGGCCAGTCGCATTACTCCAATGTGGCATTGACCGCAGAGCGGATTTCTCACCAGCCGAGTCCTCAAATAGTACTTGGATGCTCTACAAGACGATCGTGAGTACAAAGAGACTGTCAAGTGTCTCAAGGTCCTGCACGGCCTGGAGGTAACGATTGACGTCTGCAACTCAAAGACCGCCTGGATTATCTCAATATCGCAATAGACAACCCTGGTGACAAAGTGATGGCAACAAAAAGGACACGGAAGGGCAATGAAGGATGAGAAAGATGAAGTTAGATAGAGATCAAACGGAAAGGTTGTCATTGGTTTTGATTGACTATGTCTGGTATTATCTTGATTGTTTCGAGGTGTGAGAGTGACCCCAAGTGCACGTAGATATATATCCACAGGACTGATTTAATCCATTAAAGAGCCACGGACCGTATGCTCGCTCGCAGTCAGTACAAAAGATAGGAGCTGCCCTTCATTCCAGTCCCAGTCTTCCATGCCAGTCCTCGCTACATGATTCAATTGTGGTCATTGAAAGGATAACAGCCAAGAGCACTCGGACGATAGCATGCTGGAGTCATCCAACAAGAAGACACATTGGCCGTAATATCGGTAGACCACAGACCATATGCATCAGCGAAATCCCGCTTGCAAGCACGATCGAAAAACTCCGCGATTGGCGCCGCGTAAGCTTGACAGTTGAGTCCATGATAGATGGTTTTCTTGTCGAATTCAACTGTCATCGCAATGTAGGGGATATTGACGCCCGTGTTGGTGGGAAAGGCAACAAGCACATAGGGTGAGATGTTGCAGAATGTTGACGTACGGGTTCCTGGTGCATCAAAATGGTAGCAATTGTCGTACTGCTCAGTCATGACGGCGTACATGCCTGCGGCCATCTCGAACTACCACCTCATCAGCTTTTGTGGTTGCAGAACATCATGATCTAGTCACACATACCATTGCGCGTTTGAGGTCAGCATGCTCAGGTTCGTCATCCATGTGCAAAGATTGGATAGAGACAAAGAGAGACCCATCAGTAGCAAGCTTATCCGTCTTAGGATCGCGGTATAGAATGTTGTTGATTCGGCATTTGGATCTTCCATTAAAGTTGAAGCCATTTCTGCATTCAGGCTGTGCGACCGGACAGAGTTGGTCGAGGCATTCGTAGATGTTGTCATACAGACGCTGCTTGTGCAGGGTGCCAACGTGCTGCTTAGAACCTTCCACAAAGAATTCGGCTTTGTATCCGTCATTCTGAGCGACATTGGCGTCACCACTGCTGGCAAAGGTGATATTAGTTGATGACGCGTATCTACCGTAGGCTGTGTTCAGATCGTATGCGTCGTTGATAGTGTCCGAATCATACGCTTCTCCAACGCTAACGTAGCCTTGATTGATATCGATAATAGCCTCGCCGTTCTCGCAGAAGAAACCTGGTGCCAGCTCTACAAAATGTTAATTGAAACCATGAACAAGCACAAAATTGGACATTGCCAACATACCGTTTTCAATACACTCGTCCAACTGACCCACCTCACCACCTTGCGGGAGTGCGATGGCGGCAGCAGTTAGCAAGGAGGCTACGAGAAGGTATAGCATGATCTTGACAGTCGAGGCGAGAGGTGTTGATACTTGAGTGAGAGTTGATGGTCCTCGCCTTGCACGCCTCTCTGCGCGGCGGCGCTCGCGGCCGACCTGATGGGTTGGCATTCTGATGAAAGATTTGTGTGTTTCTAGCACATGGGTTGGTTGAGGTTCAAGGGAGAGAGAGATGGTTGAGAAGATTGAATGGAGTGGATGATGAAGAAGTGAGAAGAGCAGGCTGAGCGACAAAGGTAAAGGCAGGAGCAATGCACCTTAAAAGTGGGGCTCGTTTTAGCGTGAAAGTGAAAGCGTAGACAACGCCGTGAAAAGGATCCATCGCACTGGCCAAAGTAGCGGGGTCTACGCGCCAGCGAAATCATCATTATGTTTTGGATTTTGGAAAGTATCTTGTGGCTCAAGTATTAATTCTTAAGGCCGATTATGCAACATTCAGTTTCGCCTGTATGTCAACGTTGAAGAAAAGGACTGACGAGCTTCACTTAATAGGAAGGAGATCAGATTGCTGGAGGCAGGGAATGGGAAAAGGACAGCGAGTTCGAAGAGGAAGATGAAGCGCTAAGAGGAGCGATTACAGGTCTAGATGCCATGCTTCAAATCACAAGTGAAACGAACAGGCGCTTGGGTTATGGAAGTTAACATGAGTATACCGGATTCCATATGAAACCTCATATCGGCATGCGATTTGCATGATATTTATGTATGTCTCAAACGCAGATGCTCATCGTCTATCAGGTGTGTTCCGTCTTGCCACTCGCCCTCGGTCGCTACCCTCAAGCAGGGCAAAGGCCCTGCGCAGTACTGGGAGGAACTGGAGGCCAGAACCATGGGTTAGACATCTCCTCCCTCTTTGGTTTGTAATTCTCCTTCCAGTCGTCCCAGCACTTTGGATAGCTGAAGCACTTGGTCTCCAAGTCCATTTTGCAGAATGTCTGAGGTTGAACTTCGTCGTCCGCCACACCCATACCGTCAGTGAAGTCTTTGCGCACCCATATGTTGAAAAAGTTGTCGACGTGCTCCTTGGTCGCCTCACAGTCGAAATTTTTGCGTGTCTTTCCGCCTTTGAACTTGACCTGAATGCTCATGTACGCACAAGTCGATCTTCCGGCAGCAGGTAAACGCACTAGAACATGTTCGGCGATGTTGCAGATTTTGTATGCCTTAGAGCCACTCCCGTCCTTGAAATAGCAATTCTCCGGCCGCTCTGACATGACTGCGAAAACACCTGCGGTCATCTCGTGCTAATAGTCGGTCAGAAAAAAATATACCAATAAGATGTCCTTGCACTTACCAAGGGTGCTCCAAGGTTCTTCGTGGGCTGGTGTCGACTGGCAAGAGCGTATACTTCCAGACGACCGTTGGACTTGTGTCTACCGTTGTCATCGACGTACATAATGTTTGGTATGATGCAGGGTCTGTCTTTTCCGCACCAGCGTTGTCCAAAAGACACGGGGCAGACTTTCTCGAGACATTCGTACATCTTGTCCCACATGCGTTGTCCATGTAAGTCACCGACGTTCTGCACTTTTCCGCCGATGGTGAACTCAGGTTTATGGACGAAATTCTTCGCATCGGAGTCGGCGTTGCTGGAGGCAACACTAGCCAGGTCGGCGAACCGGTGATTGTTCAGATCCTCATCAGCGGTGGGATCGTTCTCAATAACATAGACTGTTCTGCCGTTGTCCCAGTATGTGCCTGGTTCCAACACACCGTCGTGATGGCGGTCATATACCGGAAGATCTGTGCGAGGTCAATCATAGAATTTGTGATCTGTTGTAGACATGCGTACCCATCTTGTTGTCAAAATCCATGGGGAGAGCTCCAAACGCGTCGACGTCAGCAGTGACACCATCAATGTCCTCAAACTCCTCGAAGTCGGTAGTCTCGTCGGCTGCGATTGGACTTGCGAAGCTGATAGCCGTGAACAGAGCCACGAGGAGAAGAAAGATAAGCTTCATCTTTGGCGTTCGCATGGCGTAGATTGTTGGTAGTACCCTCAGCTTTGGCCGGGATAGCTCGAGCAGCGGGTTGAAGGATCGTTGAAGGTTGAGTATCCGATTTGCAGGTTGAGAGGAGTGATGATGGCTTATCAAATCAGTGGTGGGGTTTTATCACGGCCAGGGCTATCGAATAGGTGAAAGCGCAAGGAGTACGAACCTTGCGTCTCAGCCGTGAAAGTACCTCTTGACGCGCCCTAGGGAAGGAATGTAGTATCATCACACGTAGGAGGAACTATATGCTCTGTGTTCACATCACATTGCTTGTCTGAAGTGATGACCAGGTATGAATAGTATGTAGCTGCCTTGAGGCAGCTTAAGGCATCGAAATATACATTATACCAATGAAGTTCTCGAATCGCGCTCGGATTCAATGCTTCCCACTGACCAAGATAGACGGCAAAACGACAGAGTGATGAAAGAATATGAAGGAATTTGAAGACATCATAATTAGAAAATATGGAAAACAAGCTACGCGCTCTAGGTGAGAGAGCCTTGGTTATTTCTTACTGATGGTCTTCTCTTCAAGGTACACCTGTATCAAGAAACACTTTATACACAAAGGTAGATGAGCAATGTATACGGAACGTGACGAGCCGCAAATTGAGGCATTGTTTATGACATCATCTTGCTAGCATCAATGCAGCCTAGTGTAGCCCTCAAAATGGAGTTCTCGCATCTACTCATATTGAATGCCAACCCTCTCCACCCACTATTTCTCTCCCGACGGTTCGGCCCGCAATCGCAGCATGGCCGGACCAATGTTATCGTAGTCGTCTTGAGTCAAATATCACACCTTATGATGACATATACTAATCTCCTTGCAATTTTGTGTGCTACTGGACATGGCATCACTTAGTACTGATACTTGTACTCCACTTGATCATCCTCACCACCGACCTCTTCCCTCTTCCTCGCCAGCTTCTGGTTATGGCACCAAAGTATCCCAACGTATACCACGCAAAGCACTGCTCCGGCAATCGTAATGCCGAGACCTGTCCTGAAAGCTGTGGGATAGAACGGCGCCTCTTCCTTGATAAACACATTACCCGCGATGAAGTTCGCGCAATTTCCAACACCAAGAATGATTGCAGTGCCGACAGCGATACTAGGCCTTCCGCGGAGGTTGTTCGCCAACCACGTCGTCGTTGTGGTCATCTGGATAAACGTCCCCCCGCTCAAGCAGAACAAGCTGAAATAGCGTACAGCGGCAGTTACGTGATAGCCCTCGGAGTAGACAACGTTGATTATCCAACCCACTAATACGAGGGCAACACCACCTAGGATGAAGGGGTAACGCCAGCCAATGCGTCCTGATACGAAGGCCGCAACAACCTGGAACACAATGCCACATATCCAGATGGGGACAGACATTGCTTGCGCACGTGCAGCTTTCCAGCCAAGCTCTGTCAAAATAGTGGGAATGAAAGAGGCCATTGAAGCGGCAGTCATGTCACAGCAGAAGAAGATAAGTGTACTAAAGAATGTGAGTATTGGTTGAAAGATGGGCAACGGGAAGGAACTTACGGAAACCAGATTCTGTAATCGAAAACGGTCTTGATCCAGTTTACAGACCGAATGTCGAGCTTTTGATCGCCCTTGTCATGACGCAGACAATTCAGCAGGTGTGTCTTCTCCTCAGCAGTCAAGAAATTGGATTTCTCAGGAAAGTCGGGGATGAGGAGGTACACCAAGGGGCAGATGCTTATGGTCAAAATTCCCTCAAGCAGGAAAATCCACCTCCAGCCTTCTTTGCCCTGGATGCCATCCATGTTGCGGATGCCGTATGCGAGGATACCGCTGAAGCACGGGCCTAGTAGACCGAAGGTGAAGAATGCAGCGTATCTCAGTGACGCTTGTGCACCCGTGTAGTACTCAGCAACCAGTAACACAGAGCCTAGTAAAGTCAGCTGTCATGTTTGGAGCGGATTTCATGTTGACTCACCAGCAGGAAGTGTGGCCTCAAAGATGCCCATCAAAAAACGTAGTGCCAGGAGCCCACCATACGATGTTGTCAATCCTTGGCACGTGGACACTATACCTAACAAAAACATGTTACACCCTAGAAAAACATTCGGTCTTACCCGTGGCAGACTCATGATCAAATTACTTGGCACTTCAACCGCTACGAATGCGATGTAGAAAATCCAAATGGCGGTGTTGAATCCATTTGCCGGCATGTTCAAGCTCTTTTCCAGTCCTTCAATCCTGGCATTGGCAACTACAATTCAGTGTGAGAAACAACTATCTTCTGTCAAACTGGGAAGCGACTCACTGTTTGATCGGTCAAGAAACAGGATCGTGTACATGCAGCCCACTATCGGAAGCAACCGCACATCCAACTTCCTCAAATACTTTGGCCCCACCATCTCAACACTATCTGTATCTCCTTCACTATGATTGCTCGTCCGATCTTCCGCCCCCGGGATGAAATCCTTTTCGCTCTGCATCTTGATTCGTTCAACGATACCGGACACCAGAACTCCAGTGGATCTCAGCAGTCCCGCTTGTAACGTAAAAGTAAGATTTGAACAGTCGACTCTGACAACGCGACGACCTGTGAGAAGATGCGCACGAATTTGCAACGAGAAATGTCGCAGTCGGTTTTTTTTTCGAAGATGTACCTAAACGTATCGGCAAGGAGCGTCCCGATCTGTGCGAATAGGTAAGAAGCAATCTGATGTGTACGCATAAGTAAGGAGTGCTCAGATCTGTTCGCATCGGTAAGGAGTACCCTGTTCGAACGTCCTCACGTATGATCTGGTTTTCAACAAGCGAATCAGGACCGCAGGCTTCCAATCAGGCTTCTGTGATTATGTGCCTAGCCTAAGTCGTGCTGTGAAGGTCACAAGTTAACATGCTTATGCATATGTAACCTTCCTTATTGGTTCAGTCTAGTTATGAGAGCATGGTCCTATCTTCACTCATGTCATACGAAGCACAATATGCCAAGGAGGTGTTGGTGATCCCCGGATGAGAGCATGTCCGGACGACGCTGGTGCGTATACCGTGCGGAACCCAAAGATCGGATTCGGGCCTTTGTAGCATTGACAGTTCTCCAAAAGTACGTTTCGTGAGCATGTACGAACGGTCAGTAGATGCTGACGCCTTGTGGCGTTACCGTTACAAAAGCAAACCCAGGACTATTGCACAGTTCTAGGCCCGCCACAAACGTCAACTGCACCAAGACTTACCTATCGTGGCGCAGAGCAATACGGAATTTCATAACCGGTGGAAAGGTTCCTCTGATACGAACGGCGATCTCTGCACAAGTACAGAAACGATACCACATACTGATTTAGAAACGACGGAGCAATCTCCCTAGCTGAGAATAGCAGGTTTGCTGGTGAGTTCGCAGGACGTAGGTGGAGACGTACAATCCGCGGAACGCTTCGCCATCGACGGCGATCTTCCTCGACCACCGTCTGATGCACAAAGCGCTTGTTAGTTGCGCATAAAGTTATGATGGGACCTGGTATCACAATTTGGAAGGGAATGCATAGGGAGGAGAAACGATGACGACGGCTGGAGGCAGGAGACGGAGAACCAAACGTCTACAGCAATCGATCTACGCGTTGAATGTGTTGGGATGTGCCGAACTCCATGGATTTGGACGTTGACATGTCTGTCGACGTATGAGTCGTACGTTCGTGGGGAAGAGGCGGAAGATGAGTCAGCACAGGTTTTCGTGTGGACGCGTCGTGGGAACAGCGACTCATGTCCCTACATCACCGCCTACAGGGATATCAGGCCGCTTGTTGTGTTCTTCTCAGGAATTCGGTCTGCGGAGAATGCTGTGACCTTTGCTGAAAACTCCACGCCATGATGGAGAGTTTAAGCCCAGAGGTGTCACACCGCCGCCAACCGGTAACAATCAATCTACTCATTCTTGGATTATACAGGCACCCCGAAACGCGCGCAACCCTCAAGGTGTTCTAGAGGCGCTGCTAATTTCTCATACACTCAGTCAGCATCGCAGAAATCCTCTTCATCCCTACCGCATTACCGCAATCGAGCTTATAGTCGCGATGAACATCGGTCGCGTCAAGGACACAACGCGCATGGGGACCCTGGGGAGCACAATACACGTATACAAGAAGCGGTGCGGCATGTCCAGGGCTGTTGAGTTATGCGGTACTCGCCTTGTGGGAAGGCGCCGAAATTGTTGACGGTCTTGCTTTGCCAATCTGCGGTTGGATTTATGGGTGTCTTGCTCTGACAGTAACGTCGACGTACACGATAAAATGAGTTACATGAGTTCGTTGGGACATCCTTGGACTTCGGTCCGTTCAAACCTCTTGAACGTGCAATTAGCATGCGACAAATTCTCATCTCCTGAGGCCAATGTTTTGATAAGCCCGAGCACGGCGACAGGGTGAGGGATTACGACTCTCGTGAGATTGTACGAAATCTCTACGCGAGCTAGACTGCCGCTGTTCCGATCGTATCCTGGAAGAGCTTAAGGGCATCGGAATCGGTGGCTGCTCGGGTAAAGTCAACACGTCGCTGGAAGCTCTCCCGGTTGAGCTAAAGATCATTCCCTATATTGGGCAAGATACAAGCCGGACAGTGCGTGTGTCGTTACAACCGAAATGTCGTCGAGTCTCCTCCACGCACACAGCTCTCAACGATAGGGTGATCACGTCGATCACGTCAGGTCGGTTACGTCAGGTCTCTGCTCAAGACATTCCTTGGCCGCAGGGACATTTGACAGCTGATCGAGACAACTGGTCCTGGTCAGCTTAATCCTCACATGTACGGAAACGGGACATACACAGTAGATGTAGTGATGCAGAATGATTTGTACGAAAACCCATGGTAGATTTTCCCTAGTCGTGTTTTTCCAGAGTCCTCTCAGGGAAACTTAGTTTTCGACAGAGTTCGGGCCTTTTTCGCATCAGACAGTCCAGCGGTATCCCAGCAGTCGTCTTATGCGTGACGACAACCGTTAGAAATATCGTCCTTAGTGTAGTTATGAAATTATTCCATTCGAAGGCGTTAATTCTCTGTCAATTGGTGGACCGACCAGACATGAGGAAGAATACACTTTGGCCTTCCATAAACTTTCCAATCTCAGTGTCCATAGTGTCCATCGCTCACACCCGTCTGGTTATTCCATGTCCTTCGCCCATTTACATCCGAACACAGTCTTGTGCAAGTTCAGGTACCACGGATTTGTGCACATTGTTGTCCTCAAAGACATGATGATGTGTTGAACGCGCAGAAGTGTTGTCCCAACTCAAACACGCTGCATCCAGACGCATCTAGAATGATGAAATAACAAAACGTCGAAGTGGAACAAGTACGATTTGAGATTCGAAGGGACTGTGGTGATTTTAGAGTGTGCCGAGGGGAGAGATGGCTCATATCTGGGGTACGACTTCCTCTCGGCACTGAAGTATAACTGATCGCGCAAAAAGCCAACCTCTTTCAAATATTGCTCGCGTTGGGGATCCTACCTTTCTTGACCACTTTTACGCATTGTCACTGTATAGTCACCGCGATCTGAGAGAATTCTGAACATGCAATCGCATGGTAACTAGGATCAGAGATTCACCTGATGAGCAAGCCTTCCATTCATTCTTACGTCCATGATATGCATAGTGTCTTAACCTCCATCTGCTATTTCGTTCTTCATGTTTCCTCATTTTTTCATTCAGGTATAACCTTGACATAATGTCTTTCTTCAAACCCATTGTTCTCCCCGTTTCACTGTCCGAACAATCAGTGCACCACACAAGCGCAAGACATGCCCTTCTCACTTTCACCTTCGTCACCCTAGTTATGGTCTTCTGCACCACGTCGTGTCAGTGCGCACTACTTCTTGTTCCCACCCCTCCTCCCGTATCGCAACTCGCGATACATCATCCGTCCGCCTGCACAACGACCACAACCAAAGCGACACCTCGGGGACATTCCACACTCTTCGACCTTCTGGTATTGCTGGCCACGACAATTTCCACGTCAACTCATATACAGCCCTTAGATCTTGAACTATTTAGAACTTTCTTCAACGTCCTTACAACCAACCTTTTTGTCTACTCCAAACCCCAGCATGGCGCCACACAAGCAACACACAGATCTCCTCGCCTCCATTGCTCTCCAAGTGATTGAGAATCGGGAAACACGATCCCCCTATGGCGACAATCGCGCCGCCACCGAAGACAAAATGATGGTCGAGCATGCAAACCTGGCCAGAGAAAGCGGCTTGATCGACGAAGAAACGGCCACGCAACTATCGCAATCCTGGCACAGATCTGGCGAGCTACAGATGCAGTGGAAGCCCGAATATCTCAGGATCCATCCAGAATATGCAGCAGGAGAAAAGGATGTTGCGGTATCATTGGACACTGCAATGAAGAGGCAAAAGGAGAAGGACAGGAGGGACATCAAGTTCATTAAAGACTGGCGAGCGGGGAAGGTGGATGAAGACGGAAACAAGATTCAAAGGAACAGGGAAGGGATGGATGCTACGGAGGCGGCTGAGGGGACTTCACATGGAAGCGAAGCTGCTTCCGTAGGAGGGATCACAACACCTTCCACACGGCAAGCAAACAGCGATGGCAGGCCAGGTTCATCATCAAGTTTCGCATTGGCTTCATCAAGCCCTGTAACTGGACCTTCGAACAACGTCTCATCTGCGAAGATTTCTACATCACGCCCAGAAGTCAAACACCCAGCCAAACCCTCCCCTCAAACATATACCTTTGCATCGCCTCAGACCGGTGCGCAGCTCCCGCCCGCTAAATCGGCTCCTCTTCGAATTCGCAAGCCGAAATCCGATATCCCTCCACCACTACATCCCTTACCCAACCATCCTGACTACTCGTCCTTCGTCTACGGCGAAGTTGCCGCGCTGTGTCGCCAGCGTAATCTGCCAGGTGGCGGAGCGACGCACGAGCTGAGGAATAGATTGATTCAAGATGATATCAATGTAGCTCGGGGGTTACCGAGAGAGAAGAGAACCTACAAAGGGAACAAGAGGGCGTATAAGTACTCTGCGCCTGTACTTGGGGGGGTCGGGAGCCAAGACCCGAACGGTGATTCGGAGAGAGATGTGAGTGATAGGGGGGAAGGAAGTGAAGAGAGCGTAAGGAACGAGACGAACGATACAGCGGAGGTGAAGGGGCAAGATATTAGCCCGAAGAGGAAGAGCCTGAGTGAAGATGGCGCAGATGAGGAAGTTGACGCACCTCAGAACAACGTCAAGAAGAGGAAAGGGACGATATTGATGACCTTCAAGTAGATACACATTACTGTGATTGTTCTAAATAGCACTACTCAAATGATTATCGAAAAAAGCATTAGCAACGGGGTGTCAATCAACCAATAGTTCTTCTCTTCTCATCCGATTCCCATCTCCATTACTGCACTGCAATGGCAGCCACCAACGCATCCATCGCCGAACTCTGCGCAGCCGCGTTCGCGACCCCCCGAGAGCTCGTCCAATCAGCACCAAATGTCACGCCCATAGTCTCACTCCCAATGTTCATCCAAACACTTTCCGCATTCTTCTGAATCGTCTCGACAAATGTTTTATCCGGCGCAGCCTGCTGCAGCATCTGCAAATTGCGTATGAAGATACCTTTGAACTGCGTGCCATCGATGCCACAGTCCGGTTCACACGCATCGTGGATTACGCCATTAGAATCGGACAATTCGGTAATTGCGGCTTTGGCGATTGATGACGCGAGAGGGAGATATGTTTTGTTCGGGGCGGCGCTGTTGAGTTCTACCAGTGCGCCGAGGATAACGCCTTGATTGTATGACCAAATATTCTGTACATGTCAGCATTCCGTGTCACCGCTACTAAATGCGAAAGGTAGCTTACATGACCGTTGTTCTCACAACCTTCAGTAAGACCGTCATTGATGACACCGTCGTCGTTGAGCATGCCAGTGTCCAAGAACCAAGTCAACGTACGCTCTGCCCAGTCGATATAGAAATCCTTGTTTTCTGCGCGATTCGCCAAATGCGCAGCAGTAGAAAGGAAAAGTTCGTTGGCGATCGCGTTCATGTATTTGTTCCTCCAGCTCCAAAATATTCCTCCATTCCCGCAGCGTGTGGGCCAGGCCTTCGTAACAGCCATGAAGATTCCCTCGGCAAGTTGCAGGTACTCTATGTTCTGCGTGATGTCGTAGGCGTTGATCCAGGCGAGTGCCCACCAGAGGTCGTCATCGTAGAAGCCATCAAGCCAGTCCTCTGCGATGGGAGGCGAGGCAAGCGCGGTCTGCGTCCCGTCTTTCGCCGCAGTGGCGTAGATGGGGAGGGATTTGATATCGACATATTCTCCATCTTCAGTGTCCCATTTTTCAGGGTACATGGTGTGCAGTTCATGCGTCCTCAAGTCCAGGTCTTTACCATACCCCGTCTCAATTCTCGTTCCGTTACTCAATATCAATGTTCCGTTTTCGTAAGCAATCCCTCTTCCCACCAATGATTCCTTCTCAACGCCAGGTTGCGGGTTCCTGGCTGGTGCTTGAACGACTGTATTTGCGAAGATTCTGGTGGCGAGATCCCTCAATTGCGCATTGTTTGGGTCGACCTTCACAAAGTTTCCGATCATTGTCATAGCGCTTGCGCTATTCCACCATCCTGCTGTGTCCCAGAGGCCGGTGCCGGCGTTGTACCATATCTGTAGGGTGGAGAGGGCGTAGTTCGCGCGTCTCACTGGGTCGGTGACGGCAACAAAGGCACTCTCAGCGGATGTGTTTGGCAGGAGTGGTATACTAATGAGGAACAACTGCAGTAAAAACGATGGATACATGATGTAGTAATGATTATGGAATACTGGTGTGTATTAGAGATGCTATGCGATTGGAGGAATCACAGATACGCACGACGAGAACGAGTTATAAGAGCCTTTTGGAATGGGTTCATCGTATGAGATGTTGGTTGAATATCTATGTCGATCAGTTTTACTCGAGTCGTAGCCCAGGCATCGTAATCGCCCAGAGCTGTCCTTCATTTCGACGAAAGCACCCAAACACCAGAAATTCCGAAACATCCGCACAATGTAGGAATTGGCACCTGTATATAGAACCAGCAAGCATGGTTTTGCATAGGTGCTATCTTGAGAAGTACCTGGTTTGCGACATGGTGCGGTTTCAGGCTTGGCTCACCATCCACTAGAAGCGAGTCGCGACCGACATAAGATTGAGAGGGTGATGGGAGATCACAATTTGCGACAAATCGTCCAACAAAGAAAGTTATAATCTTAACTGCAGTACCTACATAATGCAACGTGGGTGACATGTGATGTCGAAGCTTGGGACTATAGTGAACGAAGCAAAGGTCGCAAGGGTTGTGATACAACTCTGGCATCGCTACGAGAGAAGCAATCACAGGTACTATGAAGATGATGATATATTTGCTGAGAATGAGATGGATCAAATGTAAAACGCCAGGTGACAGGCGTTATATGCTATTGAATCTCAATCGCGAACGCGCTGAACTCATCAACGTCAACCCTATACCCGCCAGTTTCGCCATTAAAGAAATAACTTCGCCGTGAGTGTATACTGATCCAGCAAGTTAATAAAATCCAAAGCAGGTGCATCTTTAGATATGCTTGCCAGATCGATTCGGGCTGGGCACGTTGAATTCATGATCAATGTTCATGTAGCATTTGAATCGATGAGATACGCAACACAAGCTTGACAGTCCTATACCTCGAAAGAGTCTCACCGACTCGAGCAAATGGCGTTGTCGCGACCCAAGTTACTAAATGATTACTTCGAAGGGTTCCAGTAGGTATGTTGTGCTATTGTCGATAGAATATTCCTCGGCCCTGTGATGGCAACTTCTCCTTTGTGGGTAGCGAACACATAACCTTGTTCCAAAACCCTTGATCTCAAGGCCGGTATGACCTTAGACTCATTGAACGGACTTTGTTCAAGCGATCAACAGCTCACTTCCAAACTCTTTGACTTCTTCCACCCAGATGTTGTCCGCCCCGGCTTCTGCCCTGTCTTTGCAGAGCCATATCGCTTCTAGAACCCTCTTGACGGTATGGATATACCCCCAGTACATCATACTGTACAAGTGATCGAGCGTATCCATAATCCACTCTCGTTGAATTGGGTCTTCTGACTCCGCGCCGGCCAGAAACAAGGGCCAACAGATAGACTTGTAGAGCACATCTCCTGGTTTGAGGTGCGATATGTGATATATGACGTCGTTGGAGAGGCCAGTCAGACTAACTAGCGCCGCGCCGCTCATAGGGTCAAGGAGAGGATTGGTGCAAGGAAGTACTCGCGCGAGATAGATACATACTGCTGAACGGTGTGCAGACGCTATGCATATGCGTTGCTGAACATCCTCCAGAGGCGACGCATGTTCAAAGTCACAAGACCATGCCACAGGGTCAAAGGCGAGAGTGCGCTGTAAGAGGATGCCCACTTGCTCTTGGACGCTATTGTTCGAGGGCGAGTGGCGCGTACTAGGTAACCCAAAAGATTCAATCATGATGCGAAGCAAAGGCCCGGGGCACGACAGGTAGTTGTTCGTCTCCGCATATCGAAGAATAGGCTCCATTTGAATGGCTTCTGGGATCAGATGTGGCGTCGTGGAAAAGGAGAACGTAGAGCCAAGGATGTAGAAGACCAGGAAGTCTGACAGGATAGTTAGACGCAGTCGACTCATTGAGTGCTGTAAATATGGTGGTTCGCCAAGTAGCATGATAAGTTTTTGAGCGCCCTCCATATGTACCTTCCACTTGTCCCGGCCAGATTCGACGAGGGCGTAGTTGACAAACATTAGAATCGTTATCAGTATCAGATCGATGTTTGACTCGTTCACGGTAGCGACGTTCTGCGCAAGTAGGGCGAGAGCTTGTTGTTTTGCCACGAGCGCATCTCTGTACGATGACTTCAACGGCCCACCAAAGCGACTCACAGCTTGATAATAGGCGACAAGGCAAGGGCTTTGTTCTGTCTGATAAGCTGACTGGCCAATGGGGTTGTGCGAGAGGTTGAAGATGTGGAAGGCGGAGTTCGCAATGATGATGTGGAGCAATAGCGGATACGCAGAAGTCGCAGGTATAAGATCGCGTATAGGGTTCTGGCCAGGCATGTCGTAGACGACCATCACTTCGCACAACTGCGTTGCGAAGTGGTATAGGTAATAGCGTGAGTGATGATCCAGGTCGTTCACTAGAGGATCGACTAACGGCCGTTGAACCGTCAACGCCGTCTCGTTGTCGGTCTGCATCGAAGCGGCATGCGACGATTCCCGAGAAACGTCCCGCATGCTACTCTCCGACTGATGTCGTTGTATGCCTTCCTCTTCTTCCCAGACCAACCGAGGCGTGGTCTGGGTCTTGGCTTCGTCCATCGTTCCGTCATGTCCGGACACGGCCTCTTCCTCGTATCGCTTCCCCATCATCTTCCCACGACTCGCAACCCCGCGATTCCACACGAACAGCTTCCCATAGCCTTGACAGTCAGAGCCTGATGTCAGGCACTTTTGACAAACAGGAAGGCTGCGGTCGCATCTCCATCTGCGGCGCCTACAGTTGTGACACGCTTTTGTGGGCAGGTTGAGCGCTGTCAAGCTCATTGGACAGGCGCCATGCGCGACGTGTCGAGGGTTGTCCTGAAGAGGTGTTGTACGTAAGCCTACAACGTGTGGGGAGGGCTTGAGGTGTGCGGGTGAGGGCTGACTTCGTCCAGTTCAGCTCTGTCACGAGAACCGTTCGGTACTGAGTCGCGCATCACGGCTGGCGCTATTGGCCAACACTGCAGTTCTAAAAGACTGACCATTCATCGGTCGTCATTTGCTGATAAATGGTTGCTTTGTCAGACTCTGAGGATTTGGCTTATTTGCACTAATGAAAGCCGAGGCCCAATCGAGAAGCCAAGACGCAATACTTGCATATCTAAGTGGAGGGCGTCACAACTTTTGTTCGGACGTCGTCACAGTCACGACTGTTACCAAGTTTGCTACTGATGGAGAGGTTTATAAGCGAAATGCTCCCCCTACGGGCTTTCGGTCGTCAGTAGGTCGTCACGAAGTCCGGCGGACATATAACGAGAAACATAACACCGTAAAGATGTAGCACACCTATTGTAACGAGTATTTCGACATCTTCGTATATATATCTTGTTTTACCCTAGAGAGCAAGCCATCAAATCACCATGGTCGAATCAAAGGTCGATGTCGAAGAAGGCTCATCACCTCAACCCCGGAATACGTACAGCCCATCCGACATCGAACGCCTGGGACGTGAGCGGCCAGAGGGTTTTAAGTCAATATGGACGGAATTGGGTTTCTGCTTCGCCCTCCTAGGTTCCATGTTCGTCACGGAATACTTCATCTCAGGCTTCAACGTCCTTCTCCCATCATTGGCCAACAGCCTCAATATTCCACCCCAGGCTGAGACATGGCCCGCAAGCGTGTTCTCTCTGGTGACTGGAGCCTTTCTCCTACCGTTCGGGCGTCTTGCGGATATGTTTGGAGGCTACATAGTCTTTAATGTTGGCTTGGCATGGTTCTTGGTCTGGTCGATTATTGCCGGATTCTCGCGAAACTACGTTATGCTCATCGTTTGTCGAGCACTCCAAGGCTTTGGGCCTGCAGCTTTCCTGCCGTCTGGTATCATGCTGCTGGGTAGCATCGTGAGTACTCCAACTTAAACACACGACGTCTACTTACATGTCGGCAGTATCGTCCAGGTCCTCGCAAAAACCTAGTATTCAGTCTCTATGGCGCATTTGCACCCGTAGGCTTCTTTACAGGGATTTTTTTTGCAGGTATCTCCGCCCAGTTCATCGTATGGAAGTGGTTCTTTTACATCGGGTCTATGATCCTCGCTATTGTGGTCGTCGCTTCCTTTCTATGTGTTCCAAACCGAAAACAAGATCAGACAGCTGGTCATATCAAGATGGACTGGTGGGGCACCGCGACCGTCATTCCAGGCCTCGTACTTATTGTCTATGCCATCACAGACGGTAGCCACGCACCGAACGGCTGGGCGACGCCATACATCCCAGTCACGTTTGCCATTGGGTGGCTGTTCCTCGGAGCGTTCGTTTACATCGAAGGCTGGGTTGCTGAACAACCGTTACTTCCCGGCGACATGTTCAAAGTCCCTGGAATGAAACCTCTAGCTCTAGCGCTGTTCTTCCAGTACGGGACGTTCGGCATTTTCATCTTCTACGCGAGCTTTTACATCGAAAACGTCGTCGGTGCGAGCCCATTGCTCACTGCCGCCTGGTTCGTACCTATGTGTGTTGGTGGCTTGATCCTTGTCACCGCGGGCGGGCTGGTCCTGCATCTTATCCCGGGCCGTATACTGCTTCTGCTTAGCGGTATCGCGTTCGTCATGTCCACGCTTCTCTTTGCAATTCTCCCTGTTCATTTCAGCTACTGGGCGTACATCTTCCCAGCCATGATTTGTGCCACGCTTGGCATCGATATTACGTACAACGTTAGCAATATTTTCATCACGACTACTATGCCCAAGGCAAGGCAAGGTCTCGCGGGCGCGTTCATGAACAGCCTGCTTTTCCTGGGCATTGCGGTATTTTTGGGTTTTGCGGATCTGGCGGTCAGCGAAACGGAGGGTCGGGGACAGAGGGAAAGTTACAAGGTTGCCTTCTGGATGGCGACGGCGCTCGCCGGAGCGGGGTTGATCGCCATGTTTCTAGGTGTCAAGATCGGGAAAGCGAAGAGCGATTTGACAATCGAAGAAAAGGAGGAGCTAGAGGTGGAGTTGAACAGGAGGGTAACAAACTCATAACGGATTTTCCTTTCAATGATCGATTCTATCTATCACGCTTCATCATCCCTTTCATCCGAGAACCTTGAACGTCCTCAACCCCGTCCCATTGAGGAAATCCAACTTTCCCACCTCCATTCCCTTCATCCTGAGGATATTGTACGCAGTCGTCAAATGAAACCTGTTTCCGTTAGCATCCTTGTCAGCGCACTTGCCGCACAGCAACTTACCAGAAGTTCGGATGTGCGTACTCCATTACATACTCTGACCCCCCATATGCCACCTCGAGCTTGACCTTTCTCAATTTCAATTCAACCTCCTCATCCTCCCTACCTTCGAGTGTCACCGCTTCTATGCTCTCAAGATAACTAATCACCTTTTCAATCCGCTCGAGCAGCCCTGAGAACCCTGTCTCCTCCTCTCGCAACTCTAACTTCTTATATCCCGGGTTGAGATGCGTGGGGATAATTGCCGCGTGATGAGTAAAGAGGCAGACCTGGGTCGTGAAGTCCAGCATATTCGGGTGCAAGCGTGCCGATAGATAGACCGTGGGGTCGATACCGGCGGTCTGGGTATGGTCGTGAGCTTTTGAAATGAAAGCTCGGGCGTTTTTGAGGCCGAAGAGCACAGGTTGCAGTGCAACGTCGTGGAAGGTTAAGGGAGGCATTGTGGTGGTTTAGTCGTAAGGTCTAGGAATTGGGGACAGTTATTGGGGACTTCTTAGCTGCGGTTCCCCGATATAAGGAGACCTTGGTTGGCTTACCAATAGTGTTTTTGCTGACAGCTTACCAACAGTGTCTTTGCTGACAGCTTACCAACCGTGTTTTTGACACCCCTCTGTTTGCTGACACCCTCCTTGGTCGTACGATTGCACACCTCCACTTATCTAGACATTGGCAAGAAGAACCTACGCACAACAACATAGCAACAAAGAAAAGACTTCAACTAGAAGTTTGATCACGATGTTGCAGTATGTACAAGGTGCAGATTTAGACAAGTCGTAATCACTCGGGGTTGCATGTGCAAAACCTAAAACCTGGTAATTGACATGTAGGGTAAACGACGGGCATCGACTGGAAATAAAAGCGAAGGAAGGTATTTGCAGGACTGTCTGTCAGCGAACGCATATGTATTGTGGAGATTGAAGTGGAGGCAGAGGTTGTACCCGCATCCGCCTAACAGTGTCAATTGGTCGGCACACCGTAAATATGCAAGTGAGAGAAGGCATGGCCTGGACGCAGACAAATCTAATATCCTCATTGATCTTGTCCGCAAGCCTCTCCGTGACTGCATAAAGAGGAGTCACGATCTAGCGTTAAACTAAAAGCCGGGAATAACGTGATGGCGGGATGAAACTAATACGATGTCAAATCCACAGAACAACTCATTCTGTGGAAAAACTAAACATGATCAAAACTTCAATAGCCTCTTCTAGGTCTACTGCTTTCTTCTTAGTTCAGACAGATGTAGCGGTGTGGTAGTGTTGTTTGGTTACATACCGATTATGCTGACACTGTTCAGCGTCCCACGAGTCAGATGGTAGAGCTTCGGATCGAGATGACCCGGCATTAGTGTGTAAGCAAGTGCTTCCTGCAGAATCGTCTAGTTTTTTGGTGGAACATTTCAAATGACGATTCTGATTTAGTGGCGTTTGAGAGTACCAGGGACGACCAAACTGTCGGGATATCGATTCCCAGTTTTAATCACCCTTCGGGTAGGTGCCATTGTAGTATAGACTCAAAGATGGCTGTGAAGTTGAGATTAGATGTGGAAGAAGATTTTTCCAAGTCCAAGTGGAGGCGGCGGCCTGAAGGGTGGATGCCCACATGGACATATACGTTGCTTGCATCAAGCAAGGCTGTGATGCATCGACCAATCGAACAGTTGTGTGTTGAGGAGACAGCGAAGAAATGCGAAATTGCAGTGAAGCGGTGCTAATCTGAGGCGCTTAGCTATTGAAAGATTTTCTTTGATCACAATGTCATCAACACATCTTCTAAATTGACAGGCGCTCGATCTCAATAACTTTGGAGGCTATGAAGTAATACCGTTGTAGAAGAAATACGATTAGGCAAAAATTTGATGTACTCATGGGTACATCGACTCGAGCGTTGGGTATATTTCGTACATATGACGACTCAGCGTTCTGTTTGGAACAGTCCGCGGAGGCCGGCACGTGCGATCGAGTCATAGAGATCGTCAATCTCCTGCGAGTAGAGATGAATGGTTGTTTTTCTCTGTACCGTGTCCTTGAGACTGATGAAGAATGGCTTTTCCTTTTTTGCAAAAATGATGTATCGTTGTTCGATTTGTCCATAGTCATCGCAGATATTGTTCGCTCTGACTACTTGAGGCCAGATTGATTCGAGTATTGCCTTCTGTCTCATCTCGTCATCCGTGTAGTACTCCGGCTTGAGCTGGATAATAGCTGCTGGCTTCTCTCTGCTCGTTCCCACCACCATACAGCGCTGTACATAGGGATGTAACGTAATTGTGCGCTCGTGAAGCATAGGGTTGAAGTTCCACCCATTTCTCAGAACTATGACATCGTCTTTGCGGCCCTCATATTTCCAGTGATGGGCTTTGGTGGGGTGTCGAGAGTAAAGATCCTGCATCGAATACTCTTGTAACTTTGGGAACACTTTGAAGATACCCTGGTATCCAATAAAGTGCGGGTTTTTGACGTAGACCAACTCAAACAGGTCGGCGACTGGACGCATCTCAATGCCATTACATGTAGGATTTATACAAACATATGGCCAGTCTTCTCGATCTGTAACATGCTGCACTATGGTGATGGTTTCCGCACTACCCATGACGGTATACAAATGTGTGTGTTGGTAGATGGTTTCACCCACATGGGACGGAATAGAACCTGACAGAACTTAGTATTCACATATTTGGCATATAGGGCTGACTGAGTACCCCCTACGTAAGCTAGCATTCTCAGCCGATTTAGCTTCACCAAGATATCTGGTCTTCTTGCAATATCCTCGAGCACGGATGGCAAACAGCATGCTGAGTCGATGTTTGCATAATCCAACATGTCGTTGAACGTGTCTACTGTAGTCTGTTGCTCTGGTGGTCCTAATACGATGGTTTTGCCACTGAAGCAAGTCATCATTATACTGGCTGCAAGTCCTGCGCCATTGAATATAGACCAAGCGCAATAGTTTCGTTTGATGATGTTTATATCCGCTGCCCACAGCGTCGGACGGTCCTCGAGGGGCGCGACTAGGTTATAGTTATCTGTTGTACTGATCGACCAGTTTGTCCAGACAGTTGGCTTGGGGATACCGGTGGACCCTGAGGTATGAACGATCAAACATGGATCATTCTTTGCATCTTCAAACGATTTGTTGTATGGGTATGGTATACGAGGCGTAGCAGTAAGGAGGAACTCTAATTCGGGTACGCAAATTGTCTTCATCGGACATTTTTCTAGAATGCCTGAGATGGGAAAACCAGCCGTATGCAAGAGAATTTTGCAATCAGTCTGCCTGATAAGCTCAGAATGGCCAATTATGCTGTTTCTTGGAGAGCTGAATAATACCTAAGAACCTTGTAAGATAAACGTAAAGGTTGATTTGGGTAATTTGGCAGTTCTCACTTTATGGCCAGTCTTTATTCTTGGTTAAGAAGTTTAGCAACGAAACCTAATAAGCGAGGGACGAGACATACAGTGCTAAGGGTACGATAAAATTCCGCAGATCTGGGTAGCCTAGGTACATCACTGTTGCAAACACTGAGCTCCTGCCGATTTCTTTCTCAATCAAGTGAGCCATCCTGTCAATCGCATTGGCGTACTACTATGGTGAGCATTCTGTTGAATTGTAAAACGAAATATGAGAAAAGTTTCTTACGGTTCGCCAATTAACGTCGCGGAAGCCATGTCGTAAGTCCTCAGAGTATGGAATTGAATAACAGACTTTATCAGGGTAAAGATCCGCATTTTCATCGATAACCGCACAAACAAGTCGTCTGCCGTAAGGTGTATCACTTGAAGCGTTCAATACGGTGCTCCAAAAGGCCATCGAAAAAAGCGATCAGGGTAGACAAAATCTCTCAAGTTATCGCCCCGGAAGGATCGAAGCGTGGCTTTTGAAGAATGATACAATGTGAAGATGCTTCCCGGCTCCTTCTCCGTGTCATTTCAGCCGTCAATCATGAAGTCTCCACTAGCTTGTTGCTATATGCATAGGCTGGGATCCGACAACCGTCGTTGCTGATCTCCAAGCTTGGTGCCCAGTGAATGACTCGTGTTCTTTAGGCGCTAGATCATACCGGCCTGTGCGCTGAGGCTCAGTACCCGGAACTAAGTCCCTACAGATATGAGTCTAACCCATTCTGCAAGAAATTATTGCGATGCTATCAGCCAGGCATCACATCGCGTGGGGTTCACCTAGCAAAAAGGTGGGACCACAGAGGAAGCATCAAGTCCGATACCAGCGACTTAAAGGTTCTTCCACCTTTTTGTTTTAGCTGTGGTCAGTAGTCGATGTTGTACAGGGAGATGATCGGATCACGGGTTAGCCGATCGGATAATGATTCTCGAGCTCGCTGACTGGGATATCTACCTCGACCTGCCTCTCAAGCTATGAACTAATCAGAAGACCAAACAAATTACTTTGTAACAAATCAGTGACGTGTAAATTATCATTCGTCGGATCAAAAAAAGGTATCCAGTCGCAGCGTCTTGGCCCGTAACTCCATCCGATCCAGGGTCAGCATCAAGTCATTAATAAGCAAGTTCAGCTAGATGTGCAGAACGTGCCTGGTATCTACTTTCAGATCTGTGGTGCTGATCATCCCTGCCGACCAATCATATTCAACACAAGACTCTCGTGTCAGCAGACTTATTGTACGTTAACTTGAATTGTCATGGAGCAGCACGGAGGCTATCACGTGGGTCTGTGTACGGTACGCGCGTCTGAAGCCTTAGATTCCGCTATCCGGTATCCAAAACTTACGTGCCAATGCTATTTGCACATTGCCATCCACAAGGTCGCCAAAACGGTTCGCGGATACCTAGTGTAATTTTGTTTAGCGGACGATCGATCTAGATCACCGACGTCGTCGTGAGCGACGTCGTTTGAGGCGGAAGCGTCATCACTAACGCGCAACCTGTTACCTGGTAGAAGTACAGCCCTAGGATCTGATGGAACCTTATTAAGTACACATCAGAGCATCTGCTACGATGCGGTACCTGCAGGACCATCGTAGACGTTGGTTCAGATACCGATACACTTGAGCACATCTGTTTGGTAAACAACCGACGCCACAACACACCTGCGATTAGTATCGGCTCCCTTCTGAAAAGCTTCCTAATGGCTGGATTTTAGTCCCGACCAATCTTCTAATGGCTATAGCCCTGCCAAGGGCAATTGCAATCGCGTTAACTCACCGATAGTTTAGACGCCCATTCCAACACGTGTAGGCTAGTTGCACTTTCTCGAGCATGAACCTTGCTCCGCAACGCCCAAGTCGCGGAGGTGCACCTCCGACCCTGCTGCAAGCATCCGAAGTAAGAATCAAGGTTGACGTAGTTATGGTTGAAGGGGCGGCACGGGCGCGCACATAGTAGTCGCCCATTATTGGAGCCCTCTCCGAAGCATACTGATTGATCCTCGCTGCACCTGATCAGTCTGCATCATCAGTATGACAGAATAGGAAAAGAAGCCACGTAGCCCTTGGTAATAGTCTAGCCATCCCACCATGTTACGAGTAGGTATCACATACAAAATCTCCATTGCTCCTATCACATACCGGGGAGACTTACCAGATCCTTAGGTTGTTGTGGTAGATCATGATCTGATATCTATCTGACGCCCAAGGCCCGCAATGGCGGATTAGCGGAGATTGCCGCGCACAATCCGCTGGCTCCACTACCGGTAGCTCGTTGATTGTGTCCTCTGCGTGGATCACTACTTGGTTCCAATCTCATGACCGGACTGGTTGCTAGCAGAGGTTTCAACGGCATGGAAATCAAGTTCCACGCGACTCAGGTTGTTCAGATTACACGCAATGTTTTATCCGGATGAATTAGGGGCTGCTATCCTTTCCAGCCTTTTATAACTATTGTGCAAAACAATTGTCTTTCCAGTATCTGGTATCCGAATTTGTTATTTGTTAGCACACAAGCATGGTGAAGACGAAGACACTCGGGTTTACTCTCAAGATGCGCTACGTCGCCACATCGTACCTTCATGTCGTACGCCCGTTCCTTACAGATGAGTGACTTTTCTCCTTTGATCTTGAAGTCTCTGTGTGTTTTTCTATTCGAGCCACATGCCTCTAGATCGGATGTCTTTGAGGTCGCAGATCAAAAACATCTTCATTGCAGAGATCCACGACAACAAGCCGCCTTACAGATAACCCAGGCTCTTCGTTCCTTCGCACGGGATCTGTTTGTGTTAAGTGCTACCGAAGGTTTCTGCAGATGCACATATCGAATTTCAATAACTCGAACAACGCCAGTGGTAGTGGAACTACTGTAGTTGAGAACAAGAACAAGGTTGCGAAGATCCATAAGGAAGCATACCCTCTCGTTTTCGAGGAAGATGATGCGGACAAGACAGTAAGAAAAAGGATCAGGAAGACTGGGGGACTTCATGTTTAGAGGAGTCCAGGCGAGCCAATCTCACTTACTCACGACAAGTGTTGTCTTGGTCACCTAGACTTCAATCTCTCGACGTTCCTTGTCTTTCACACCGCCAAATGAGTTCTTTATACGCTCAGCATACGCTTGGCAAAGTGGGCGAGATGATCCTCTCGAATTGTAGCTCGAACCAGAAACATGTTCTACGTTCAGAGAGGATACAAGCTCGTTATTGGAGTAGAGTTTGATGACAATGCCATATGCGGACACATTCTGGGAAGTCACAGTGGGGGGCCTGTCGTCTGACGCGAGGCATGCCACTGAATTGCCTTTCTTCTATATCCGTGGTAAGTATAAGCTATTTGCCACCGGTTACGCGAGGGTAAACGTACCCAATGGTAACACTCTTAGAGAACAGGGGCTTGAAGTGGCATATGATTTGTACTTACCACGGTAGGAACACTTGGGCTTTTCAATCGATATCAAACTTGTTATGTTCAACTCCATATCAACATGTCGACCAAGCTTAGCCCAGCTGACATGGGTACCAAGTCATAGGGGCACGAAGCCGCTAACAAAGATTGTCAGTCTGATGCTTGGCCTGAGAAGCAACGTGGCTTTGACAATTTAGTTTACCGATACTCTTGGGAAGCAATTTCCAGTCGTGGTGTCTGGCTGTAATAGCTTGTAGACCCTAGAATAGAGAGGTTTTGCGTCGCGACGTGTCGCATCCCAACCTCCTTAACGAACAACTCCACACACGTCATCGTATCGCAAAACACGCGATAGTCGCGTATCTCCGATCGGCGACGGCTCCGAAGATATAGCTCAATAACTGATTGGTTACGACGTGCGACCGAGAATTTTACGCTGTTAGATGTTAGGCTCATGGCAGAGTGGTTATACGGGATATCTGTCAATAACCAGTCAAAACCATGTCACTTTCCTTGGTTCTGGATCTCATGGCATGGATAGCCAAGTAGCTTGGTATAACAGAACGCGGTCTTCCTGCGTTCTTTGACGTCTAGGCTTCTAATGCATATGTTCAGCTGATCGATGGGTTCTAGTACAATACATGGCCTGATGCGCAGATTGATCGTACGATTACACTTTAGATATGGAGGGATGTTTGATCTGAAGTGCGGATCTTGCCGGCATGGCAAGCCTCCTCTCACTAACAAACTTTAGCCGTAATTCGCGAAAGAACGATCAAAAAATCATGTTTTAAGACAGACGTTCTATATAGACATGCTTTGCTAGGGATCGAGGTTCAAAAGCCCCTTCTTACGGCTCATACAACACTTCTTGTGTATTTCCCAAGACAGCAAGAAAGATGGGAGACATTAGGGCAGGCTTTGGACAAGTAACAGCTGGATGAAATGAAACACATAACATCCTCTCGACAGTGTTGATGAAGATCCCCGTCCCCACTCCATCCACATAATCGATCTTTACTTTTGATAAGTTCAGAGCGAAAATGTCAAAGGTTTTCAGCTCGTTTGCTCATGTCCCCAAACATGAACGTGAGCGACTAAGACTTTCTCCAACTAAACCATATAGCAAACTTGCCTAGGCGTCTTTCGCACAGAGTTCTCTACATGCATCGTAGTTTTCAGAAAAAGGCCGAGTAGGAGATCTCACAGGACATTGATCACGCATTGCACAGTTTGTAGAAGAAACAGAGAGGTGCCGATATGTAGTTCAACTCAAAACGCGACAGCATGAGGCGTATATAACTCAGATTAGAGATATTGAAACTGGCGGTGTCGACAGGCCTTTGAAGATGGAGCCGGAGAGCTGTTTCTAGGCTTTGAACGGCGAGCGAGCGCACCACCCATCCATACTTTGCCGAAAGGTTTTGATACCAACTCCATCGGGCCTTTCCCTTTCCATGTTGAAAGACACATAGCAAACTTTTGAACAGAGGCTGATACAGTTGCAGCCGCAACAAGACCCATGTTATAATTGCTCAGCCTTTTTCGAACCACCCCATCCCATTCTTCCCAGTGTGTTTTGTGCCAGAACCACAAGACTGTGTTGTTTGAGGAAACAGACGCGGAAACCATGAACGGTATCGTAGATCATTTCGAAACGCACCCCGTTTATGCATACTCACGGTATTTCGAAAAGAAGCCTGAGGAGATTTGCGCATAGGCCAGGAACAAACATGTAGAGAAACTACATCCCATTTCGTCACGCAACTCCATAGAACAGACGAGATGAGCTTTGGAAAACTGAAATCCTGAGCATGTGTGTTTGGGTTGCTACGATGGCTGAAGACAAGGGCAGACGGCGATGTAGTGATGTTGTGATGTTTGAGAAACGAGACATGGGCAACACCGGTTGCAGTTTGGGGAAAGCGGTAAAACGTCTCATTGTTGGTTTCTGTGTAGAAGGGAAGCGCGAGCGAGGGCAGACATGCGTTTGTGAAAGAGAGCTTTTGAATAGAAGACGCTGAGTGAGGAGCCTTTTCAGCGACAGACATCGCCCATGCCTGATGGCTTTTTGAGAAGATAAAGAAGTAAAATATCTTGTGAGACAGGTTACGCAGGACCTGAATTTATACTCGTTCTTGACTTATCGTGCACTACGATCAAAATGGCGTGTCCAACTCAACACCATCATTCCACGCATGTCACAAAAGCCAGAGTACGTGATGTACTGCAACCACCCTCTTCTATATTCTACCTCCACACATACAGCACGCTACAACCCCTTCTTCGCGCCCTCCACCCACTCAACAACCTTCTCCAGCAACCCAACATCAGCCTTAGCCTGCTCCAGCGCCTCCTCATCATCAACACCCAGATCGCCCCCTCCCTCATCCAGCTCCGCTTGAAAGCGCGTCGCAGCCTCCTTAAGCGGCCCAATATACAGCTTGAGATCCAGATCCTTGACACCCAGCACACCATGCAGGGGCTTCGCCTGCAAGAGCAGGTAGTAGAAGTTCAGCGCCGCGACATAGAAGCCGAGTTCCTGGCGGAACTGCATCCATGCCTCTGGGAGCTCGACACTCGAGGAGTAATGACGCGTGAGGTCGGGCCATAGATAGGGTGCTACGGTGGACAGCGCAACGGGGGTCGCGAAGACGGAGGTTTCGGCGTCGGCGTCGCTGGGATTTGGTTGGCCTTGTAGGGTGTGTGCGTTGGCTTCGAGGGTCTCGCCTTTTAGCCATGAAACTGCGCTCGCTTTTAGGTTCTCATATGGGCAGTATTCGAGCGTGTCGCGGATGAATGTTAGTCGAACGAGGTCGAGTGGGTGCGACCTCAGGGCTGTAGTTGTGAGGTAGTGCGCATGGCCGCGGAGACTGGGCGAAGGTGTATTCGCCGAGATGAGCGATATGGTCTGGAGGTATTTCGCGAACGCTTCGTCGTCTTTGGGCTCACCGACGTTGTTTTTCTCGAGGGCGATGAGACCAAGCGCAAGAATGGTGTCGAGGAGTGCTTCGGGTTCTAGACCGACAGTTTGCGGGCCGAGGGCACCGACGAAGTTGTTTAGTATTGTCGCGTGTTCGGGGAAAAGAGCGATGGATGACGATTCGTCTTCTTTAGCTGCTGCATAAAGCTCTTGCTTGACGTTCCAGGCCGAGAAGATGATTAGGGCACCTGTTCGCGATAGAGGAATATCCTCAGCTGAAGCGGGTGGCTCGTCTTCCGATCCGGGCAGGCCTCGCTTCTCAACTTCAACATTCATAACTGTCTGCATGAGTTCCTCCTTCTTCAGACCCAGGTCTTGTGTTAACGCAACGACTTGACCAAGGATCGAAGTTCTGGACATCAGGTCCTCGTCTTGTGCGAAGCGGTCCGCGTACTTTTGGTAGTTGGGCTTGTTCGGTATCCTCGATGGCTCGTACTTCTCCATCAGCCTGCTGGACCAGGAAAGACCTGGGACGTCATCGTCGGAGGTCAACGACAATACATAGTCCTCGAGAATGTGTGTGATGAATGACAGAAGTAGTCGGTTGACAAGGCTCGTCTCGTCGGTCGTTGGCGCTTCGCGCTGTGCCTCTGGATCTGGTTCGGAGAGGCCAGTACCGGTTCGGAGTATGTTCGCACTGCTACGTCTCGAGGGCAGATGAGGTCTCTTAGTACCCGAAACTGTCTTGACGAGCTTGATAGCGGATAGTGTGAGGTCTTCTATGTGGGTGTTTGCTCTGTTGTACGCGAAGAGCACAGCTTGCAGACTAGTCGACAAGAATCGGCTTGGGTATTTTGTCTTGACTCTTCCGTGTAGCGTAGCCAGTAGTTCCAGTAGAACCTCAAACTTCAAAACTGGCAGCGGTGGTGGTGTTGTCCCAGAAAGCCCAGGTGTTGAACTCGACTCTCCGACTTCCACCTCTTGTATTTGATGTTGCTGCCCATCTCCTTCTTCCCTATCCTTACTTTCGTCCTCCTCGTCAGTCTCTTGATGTTGCTCCTCAAACTCGAGCAGCCTCAGTGCTTCTGTAACTTTCAAGATGCATTCTCTGGGATTGCCTTTTGAGGCGATAGCCTTCAGACAGTCTTCTGAAGCCGGAAGGAACGGAAGCAGCAGGTGAATCAAATCCCAGCCAATGTCAGCTGTCAATTCACGGTCCTGGAGAACCTCGTGCAAAATTGGTAAGTTCTCCTCGGAGAGATTGTACTCGATGATGGTCAAGTACGTGATCGGGTCGGTCGCAGGTGGGAGTGCGGCCAACAGAGGGTTCTCTTCCTTCTGGGCCTGGTCTTGTGTCTCCGCCATAGTCGTAGTTGCTCAATGCGGTCTGTATCTCTTGGTGAAGTTGAACGTAAAGCCAGCTTTTAGCCCGCGCGATATTAGTCTTGCGAATGTATCTGTCTCAATGCAGAACAAGCTGTCGCGGGACCTCTCTGGTGCGATGCCACGGCGAGCCTGCACTAGCCCCTCCACAATCTAGTCCACGCGCTAGTCCCCCCGCTCTTGCCAAGACGATCGTAGCTGCCAAAGTTCATCACTGTGAAGCTCTGCCTATTACCACTCCCTGCAACCCTGCCCACCATGGACGAGAAAGAAGAGACCAACGAGCCCCTCGACCTGGTGCGCCTGTGCATCGACGAGATCGTCATCGTGAAATTGCGTGGCGACCGCGAATTGAAGGGGAGACTACACGTATGTTTACTCCACCCAAAACTGCGCCTGAGAATAAGACCAAAGCTGACGTAAGTACAGGCATACGACTCGCATTGCAATCTCGTGCTTGGTGACGTCGAAGAAACGATATACATCGCGGAGGAGGAGGAGGACGATCAGGAGCCGCGTGTGCGAACGGTCAAGAAGCAGAGTGAGATGCTGTTTGTGCGAGGTATGTGACGGGGGGAACGTCTTTGTCGATTTACAACGTGTACCGTGTAATGGCGCGAGTCCGTGTTGCATGGAGAAGCGCGACGCATCATATAGGGCAGAGAACATTTAGCTGACTCCTTCACAGGTGACTCGGTAGTCCTGATCGCGCCGCAAGAAGGAGCCACGCAATGAGCTTCTCCGCCACACAATTCCTGCAAAAGTAGTTCGCACGAAATCAAAGAAGACGAGCGCTTACGAACGGCACAATGGCCAACAAATACGGTCATGGTCACGATTGAGATACCCGAGCGGCGAGAGGGCGCACTGGACGTGGTCGAGAACAAAAGTAGCGTAGAGTGGGACGGTGCGACAACACATCAGGCGAAGAAAAGCTGATGCAATATTCAGAGCCTGGCACGAAGAGACGTTGATGAGGGTGGATTTGGAGGATATAGACACCGCGTCTTCAATGCAAAATAAAGCCGCTGCACTTCCACTCTGCCTGAGCATGATGATGTCGTCCATTGATTACAAGCGCATGCCACAGGCTAAATGATATTCTAGACTGCCAACCATCGCGAGAGGAACGTCAGAGAAGAGCCATCACGCAGGCAAGAGACAGGTTGATCAAAAGGATACAAGCATTAAGCGCTTTTCTTTGAACTACCAGTACGAACGTCGGGTATGAACACCATGAGCGCCATTGCAAAGTAAAGAGAAACCCCCGGCCATGACCGCAGCCATAGGCGTGCTTGATATGTGTCTATGGCGTCCCACCAAACGGTCCAATCCAAAAACCACCCAATAAAAGATGCCCAAAGCCAAAAAGGAAAAGAAGAGTATAAAAACCGAGCTTCTGCGCATCGCCAACGTTGCTTGGAGGATTAAGCTAATGTGGTGAAAAGTGTACTGTTCGTGACTTCGTGTCGTCGTGCCGAGCGACCAAAACTATGATGATCTGTCACGCTCCCCATGCTCGAAAAGAAGAAAATTGTAAGGAAAATTAGGCTGTTGTGAATTTGCGTTCCTTCTGTGAGTGACGACCTGCTACCATGGGTAGCGGAGATCGTGTCGAAGGGAGATGAGGCGCTAGCCCGGGAAACCGTAGACGCCATGTTCGAATGAAGAGTGAGCTGCTGCCTGCTGTGAATGTTGCGGAAGAGGTGCCTGCTGATCCAAGAAGCCGCCATAGCGCTTGGAGCTGTCGGAAAACAATAAACAAGAATGGAGAAGATTCCGATGGTGGCCATGATGACCATGACTGTGGTGGTGCTGAGTTGTAGCGAAGGTGCTGACTTGAACTACTGGGTGCTTGACTGTGTGGTGTGAATGGGCGATCTGACTAGAGTACGCTGTCGTCACATAGCCCCTGTGAACCTCGTCAGACAACTACCAAGTCAGAACCACGCGAAGAGAAGTAGGTAATTCACTTTCGCCTCCAGGTCTGACCAGCAAGACTGTCTCGAGACACGAAAGGAAGTGAGAAGCCCTTGGAGAGTTCTGTCTCGACAAAGACGGATGCACGCTTATAGCGCTTGTCGGTGTACTTCTCGTAGACGGCAGCGTGGTGCTTCTGTGGGTTGTCGCAGCACTCCAAGATCACAGATATAAGCTGTCGAATCTGGCTGAGAGTATATCCAGAGTAATGTACATGAGATTGTGACTATTCGTTGTTAGTTGGTACAAACGATAAGAATGATGCCGCAACATACCCAGTCACCCTTCTTCAGCATGAAGCGGGCCAAAGCATGGGCTCCAGCAGAGAGGAAGCTCGGGGCACAGCCAACGAAGCGCTCGTCCATGACAGTGATCTCGAGGAAGTACTTGGCTAGCGTTCTTGTCTCAAGATCGTAGTCATCTGCCTTGCTGATACGGCGCAAGAAGCTCATAGGCCCTGGCCAGCCAAGTTCAAACTGAAGCATGCTAAGCATGAATCGCTCAGCTTTGAGGACTTCGTCGGCGGTGTAAGCACCATCGACCATGTAGACGATCTCTTGCACGGAAGGGCAGTTGATCTCTTCGTACTTGGCAGCGACGAAGAGAGCAGTGGCACCGACAAGCTGTAATTTGCCGAGGGAGACGACCTTGCAGGAGAGGAATCGGTCGACGTAGTTGACAGCGAGGAAGAGCGTCTCTGGAAGCAGTGTGAATCGGTTGTGGACCTGAACGAGCCAGTCCATGAGAACTGATCGCATTGACCATTGAATTTCGGCTTGGTGGTCCATGTATGTGGCATTGGGCTTCATGCGCTCCTCAAGTGCATGCATATATTCAAAGATCTCATCACCGTACTCTGCAACCATGGAGGTATCCCACTGCTCATCCTCAACATCTTCAGGCGACTGGTTCGCCTCGACGTACAGTTTTGCAGCCTCGAGCTCGCGCTGTGTCTTTGCTGTGATCCTTGGGGCAAGGACGATTGTGACGCCACCCGTCGTGTTGTCGCCGCGCGATCGAAGAGACCTGGCAGTAGTGTAGCCGTCGGCATCGTAGTACTCTTCCTCGTCATCTTCATCCCAGTACTCCTCTTGGTCGAGGGCGTTCAGTCCATGCGACTTAGCAATCTCCTCGTTGCGCTCCTGCTCAATTACTCGTGCTTGCTCCTCGAGAGCATCTAGGTACTCGTGCTTCTCCTCGGCCTCGACGCGAGTCGCGGTATGCTTGGTGTCGAGGTCGACTGTGGATATCTTCTCTTCTTTTGAAGCAGGGTATGGCTGGGCATGAATGTCATTTGAGGGCACGGTCGATGTCTGTGCTGATGCACGTTCCAAGCTCTGAAATGAGGTCGCCCGGGATGGCAGCGGTTGACGCGTCGGGACGGGCGCGAGAGATGTCTCGAGGATAGGGTCGGAGTGAGATTCCTTAAATACGGCTGTGGACTTCTTCGTCGTGATCTTGCGGAGGTTGGTAGTTTGATTACCCATGTCGAGCGCGATTTGCTTGGATACTCCGGACGCGTCTGATTCTGTAGTATTGGACACGTTGACTTTGGTGGTGATGGTGGACAGAGGACGTTGGGCGGGTCTAAGTAGCGCACCAGGCTGTCCAGTTTCTTTGGCTGACACTACGGCAGGGTCCTTGAGGACGTTGAGGCCCTTCTTCTTGCCGGCACCCTGCGCGTCATCCTTCGCGATAGGTTGCCTTGTGGTATTGCTGACATCTGCGAACACGGTGCGCTTAGTCGCCGCCGCCTTGATGCCTCCGAGCTGCATCAGTGTTGAGAGCGCTGGTGTGGATTTGTTGGTGTGAAGAGTCTTTCCTGCAGGAAGCTGTGCAGGTGGCGCGTTCTCGTCGCGTACACGAAGACCTCGTGTAGGGCGCTGGGGCTATGGAAAAGATAGTCAGCAAGGATTGTTGTCTTGTTTACGTGAAGGTGATGAATTGCGATCGAGACCGGCAGAGCAATGCGATGGAGCTGCTATTGAGACGACAGGTGAAGGCACAGGCGGGCGCGGACAGATGACTTTACCTTTGCGTCCATGGTTACAGTCTATAGATTGACTGGAGTAAATCTCTGCTCGGTACGGACGCGTGATGATCAACGACCGTGGCGGAAGAGAATGGTGTCGAAAGGGGCAGCGCGGGTGTCGAAGTGCTACAAAACAGTTGTCGGTATAAACAAACTCTCCATCTAACTTGACGCGATGAGATACACGGGCTGAGATTGTCGGGCGGCACGAGGTGTTGTTGGGAAGTCGGACTGAATGCAAATTATATAGAGCCTGGGAGCTGTGAGCTACAGGTAAACAAACAGAGAAGGAGCTCTCTTCGCTTACGAAACTTGCAGGGATGGCAAGGATAGATGCCAAGACGGCTTGACACACCTAGCCTCCCTAGCAACTTGTGCCGTTTCTGGATGTGCACTTCGATAACGAACCATTTGGCCTTGTTCTGTCTCTCTGTCTGAAACCTTTATGGTAGCCCTTAGTCTTCCCCTTCACTGTGACACTTCCGCTTGCTCATGGCCCAAACGCGCACTTTTCGAGGACTGGTTGAAGCCAGAGCGGGCCCTGGCGCACGGTTGCGTGATTGTCGTTCTACCAGCATCTCGGCTGTGGTTCATTTCTCACCCTTGACGGTCTGGCGAATGTCATGGTCTGAACGGTTCTGTGAAGCACAACCTTATCAGTGCTGTACCCACGATACTATTGATCGCCAAAACACGCTGATCCTCTTGCAAACACCATACGAGGGTACGGGTACGTACTCACGCACGGGCAGCGTTCTGAGGTCGGCATGTTTAGCAGACACCTTTTTGGCAGACTGGCCGACATGCATATACATAGGGATGGAATATTGCCAGCATCCGCGTCTGAGGTGCTCTTCCACGTTTTTGTGCACTTTTCCCCGTCCACGAGAGGCGTGCATCGCCGCGCATACACTGTCTCCAGATGTGGCTTGCATGGCACTCGAACATGGCCTGGGTAACCGCGAATGAAGACAACGAGCCCATGCTAGAAGCAGACGTGTTGGGCGTATCATCTGGAAGACAGTCAGAGCACATGGGTTGTGCACGCACTGACTTCGTGTCGTCTTCGTAAGTCGCGCAGGTGGTCTGCTCGCTGCTGACTAACAGCGCGGATGATAGCCCGACTCACCGACAACGGTGACGTAAGCGCAGATCGCGTCGTCAACGAGAACGCCAAAACACTACTTCGAGATGCGCCACTCCACACAACGTATTTGAAGTCTCAACAAAGTGGCAGCATATTCTTTCCACTTGTATAAGAAGACTCCGGGACACGGAAACACATTTTCTGTACTGCGTGTCGAGTTGTGTCGTTTCGGTCCCAGACGCGCCGATGGAGCTGCCAAGACTCCAGCTTCACGCGCTAACGCACCAGAACACGTGCTGCTTTTTCCATTCCGAAACACCACATCAAAGAGTCACAATTGCCATAACAACCCTCAAAGAGCATTCGTCACACTCGTAGATGGCCTCCAAGACGGTCGCGATCAGTGCGCCGGTGCCCGGCTAGCAGGATTGCCCCAACTACAGTAGCCTACAGCCTACCATTTGACGCACTCCCACCGTGTTTCAAACAACCGCCCACAACTCTTCCCCTCCAGCGTCATCGTTCCAAGCCCACCATTAGTGGTGTCTGGAAATGGCGCAGTGGTTTGGAATAACTGGGTACCCCCGCTGCTTTGTTGTAGTCACATCGTTCGTCTCCCCGCGGGCGTTGGGCCGAGAGCTTCACCGACACGTTGTGTGGACCGACATCATCCGTGACGAGTTCACAACAAGCCCACTTTGCGAAAATCGGCTTGTCAAAACGTCCGCGACCGCTTTCCCGCACCGGAATGACTTGCGCAAAGCGCGGGAGAGCAACGATTGATCGATCGACCCCTCATCCGTTTTACGCAGGTCACCCATGCTACAAGTATACGTGCAGCGCTACGTGTGCTCGCTTTGCGCAACTTGTTCGCGCACATGCAGGGTCGAGAAGAGCAGTTGTACTAATTCTGAACAGACGGCGCGCACTACGGCGCATACATGTGGGTGTGGAAGTAGACATGTGTTCCGGATGTGGTGGATCGCAAAGTGCGACTTCGTGATCATCCGAGACAAGGTTTCCTGCAGGAGAGTTGACCTCGAACTTTGAAGCTAGTTGCGCCAGCTTCACACTCTGCCAAAAAGCAAAGAATATCTAGGCGACGTTATTTTCAGTCATAACAATAGACTCCCACGACGCGTGAACAAGTGTTTAGCATAGATTGTTGTATAATGACTTCCCGATTGACGCCGAGCACCACTTGCCAGCGAATCACCAGCGCTTCCCACAACCCGGGGGACGATGGGTTTCTGCGACTCGTAATTATATCTGTTCTGCGAGGCGACTCTGAATTCGAGCTCTTGAAGTGTGCCAGAACGTTCTGCCCTGCGTACTGGAGTGATCGTCTTGTCTGTGTTCCACATCCGGAATGCATGCATTTGGCCAACAAAGCGGCGTATCAGCTCGCTGGCTAGACTCAACGTACTGTGTGGCAACGAATATCGAGCACATTGCGCGTATCTGTCCATCCACGTCTTATTTAGCGAGCTGTCTTCCTATCTGGTGATATACGTTTGATAGTCACAACGTCGCTGGGCGCATAGCTGACACCCTGAGGCTCAGCACCAGATGGTGGATATGGCGTGCCAAAGACACAATTGACAGTAGAATATATCTGGAATATACTGCGCCATAGCTTGAGCAGTCTAATCAACGCGCATGTGCCTCATGTGGTGGTATCCATGTCGTTGACAACGCGGAGGCGCATTCCAATGCGCCCAGCTAGGGGGATGCGCTTTGATGTCTGGCATGATTTACCGCTATACCTACTGCTCAGAGTAACCTGACATGCAAGTGTGCCTACCATTTTGTAGCTTTGAATGCAGCAGGAGGTTGCGTTAAGCGGGTCCATGTCGCTGGCGTCGTCTTCGCTAATGATCAGACCTCCGACATCCCTCCTTCTCCTCTCCACCACGCACACAACGCACACCAACTGCCTTGTAAGTCTCCAGCCTGTTCATCAAGCATCTCGCGCCTCTGAACGCGCAACCCGACACTCTCATGGTCATAATCCTGCCCTGCGCACTCGGCCGCTGACCTGACGATGCAGCCAGCGGCGGTACACGGACTCAGATCGCAGCGCCCCATTAGAGCCCATCTGGCACGTTAGACACTACTTCTGGTATGTGTATCTCTCAGTATGCGTATGCGACCGGATCGGTATCCCCGGTTGTCTTTGATGACGGCTCTCGAGCGCCACGGTGCTGTCGCTGCTGGTTGTGGCAGCACAGCGGTGACCACCCCCCCAGGCCACCCGACCCCTTGGGATGCCCTCGGGTGACGATGGGAAGCATCAAGAACCTCACAAACCCCCATCAAGACACATCTGCTGACATTTCATCTCCCAGGCTTGATATTCTATTATCCTCCCTCCGACCGCCATTCCCTCCACCAGCCCTTTGCGACACCGGCAGGATCGGTGAACCGACCAGACCACACAAACTGAACCTCGTCGCGGAGGCTTAGCAACATACGGGCTGCACAAGGAAGACTGGATATGCAAGTTTCCACCCTGCCCTCAGCACCTCTATTCTCAGGCGCACGGCACTTCGCCCCGAGAGACGACGAGGTCACCAAGCTCCAGCAGCACAACCCCACAGCAGCTACTGCTAGATACGACATGCTTCCACAGGGAGCTGACACAAACATGATGGATGTCTACCCCAGCACCGAGACAGCCTCGGCGCACGAGTCCATGTCGCCATCAAAGGCCCCATGCAAACAAGTCAGCTTCGAGCTGCTTCTCCCTCAGTCCCCTCAGCACAGGGCTAGACTCCCAATGCGGGTGAACATCTTCCCCCACGATACGACAGACTCGATTATTACAACAGTCAAGAACTTCTATGGTCTGTACGAGCGCAGGGGCGTTATATTCGAAGATCGCCTGGGAAACATATTGATTGCAAGGTACGAGAACTTCGACCATGGCATGGTTGTGTACGTTCGCGTCTCGGCGGAAGACCTTGATGCAGATGAGTATTCGCCCGATCCTCACCAGGTGACGCTATCTCCTCGTCGCCCTCGTCTCCACCTTGAGGAGGCGTTTCAGATGCTGCCTCCCACCCTCGGCCACCAAGCCGGCACGAGGGCAGGTTCTCGCGGTGGGCGACATAGCCAGTCTCCACACCCTGGTCGAGGCAGGAGAAGCGCCTCGGTCAACACGAACGCTAGGCGTGGTCGACCTGCAGCAAAGAGTCGCGGTAACAGCTCTCACGGTAGCTTCGCCGACGCCAACGGCGATGGCTACAGTGACAGCGACGGCGAGGGATCTGTCAGCAGCTCGCGCCGCTCAAGGAAGGAGCCTCTCGCGAGTGCCGACATCAGTGTCGACAACATTGTCGAGGGAGGCCGCCGAAAGCGTGCCAAGTTTGACAGCTCGGTAAGTAATCGTCTTTGGGGAGCACTGTACAGCCGTCTAATGTCCTCGCCTTCTACAGGAGCTTCCTCTGTTCGTTCCTCCTCAAGTCCCTATGACGGCCTCCCTTTCGTCCGTCTCTCCTCAACGGCGTATCAGTGGCAACACTGCCGGTTCTCCCTACTCCCTTAGCAACCAACAGACCTTCTCGTACCAGCACCCACTTCCATCACCTCAAAGCTATGGCCAGGGTGATAGCTCATATCTACAAGGGTTCGTCACACCGTATTCTGCTTCAACTGGGCCAGTGCAAGGGTACAAGTCGCGCACACGAGGCTCGGGACAGTACGCCCACTACCGCTACTCTGGTAGTGGAGCCTTGCCAACCCCTGAGACCACTCTTGGGAGCATCAGTGTCATTTCTGATGAAGACGTGGCTCGTCAGCTTATGCGCTTAGGAGATGCGTCCAACTTTTCATCCCATGGACGCACCTCTACATCCACACTCGACGACGGATTGAGTGGTAATGCCGAGGCAGCCTCTTCCAGTGAAGAGAGTGATGATGGCAGCGAGGTCGAGAGTGAGCTCCCTCCCCTCCCATACAACATCGGACGATTGGCCGATGCCCCTCGCACCTATGATACTGGCGACAGCAGTGGCGAGGACTATGAGGACAACAGAGATGGCTCCTTCCAGAGTGACAGCGACGAGGTTATGCCAGATGGTCACAACGATCAGCGGGCTCAGTTGGGTGTGACGAAGGCTCGCTCCTCCGTCTCAACCAAGTCCAACAAGCCTAGCAAGCCTCGCACGCTCTCAAAGAGCAAAACCAAGGTCAATGGCGCCAGCAAGCCGCCCATGTCACCAACTTCGCTGCCGTCGCAATCACGCAAAGCTTCGAGCGCCTCTCTCAACTTCCAGCACCAGCTCGGTGTAGACGAAGAAGATCTATCCAGCAAGCCACGCTGCCAGAGATGCCGCAAGAGCAAGAAGGGCTGCGATCGTCAGCGGCCCTGCCAGCGCTGCAAGGACGCAGGCATCTGCGCAGATGGCTGCGTCAGCGAAGACGAGGGCAATGGCCGGAAGGGACGTTATGGACGTCACATGGGCGTCTCTGTGAAGAAGGTGTCGAGTGCCATGGCGCCGCCACCAATGCACGACTTCGCCATGGCTTTTGAGCAGTCTCACCCCAGCAGTCTCACTGCCAGCATCATGGATAAGAGCAAGAAGCGTAAGAGGTGACAATGGTAGAACTATCATCACATGGTATTGCTTGCGTTGTTTGCGCACCACTTTCGCTTGGGAGTTGGATGGACGCTTGTTTTTTATCCCTCCCATGTTATCTCATATGTCTTTTCTTGTCACAGGTTGGTATCATTTGTGCTTGCCACATCGTCGTTTGATCTTACTTGGCGTTTTTGGATACGGCTCCGTTCACGCTCTTTGCATCGCCGGAAAGTAAAGCACTTTTGCGGTCTTCTTTTTTTTCTTCTGATTTCATTTGTGTGCCGATTAGCTAGCGAGAGAAGGAACACTATGTATAAGAGAGTGGAGGTTCGAGACGAGTATAGTAGAATGGGAACTGCAAAGGAATCGCGATTGGGACTGGGGAGTGCAATGGATCTTTTTTAAGTGTTGAGGGGTTGGAGTTCTCATCTCATCTTTACATAGGGAGGGGCGTGGTGGGGTGGAGAAGGAGTAGCGACGCGTAGTTTACGATATCGACGGCCTTGATCGTTATTTTGTGTTGTTTTGCTGCTTTGTGTGTGTGACAGATGGCAGACTTGACATGACGTGCTTGACATGACAATTCACAGTAACAATTGGCAGTGACATGGTGAGATCGATCACAACACCAAGAGGGGCAGATTGCACCATGACCATACGAGCAGTTTGAGGTCGCTTTTGAAGGCAAGTCTTGACATGAATAGTATTATTCCGAGTCTCTCCAAATCCGAACTCCATCCGTTTATTCGGCAACACCAAGCACCAGAGGAATCCGTGCATTCGCCCCTTCATTGACAATTACCTCACTACGCCGCCGTGTGTGTGACTCGAGATCCGGGAATACGATGAAGTGGATCCAGAGGATTACAAGTTTTGCGTCGTGCCTGATCATTCCACAACCATCACTCCGTCCTACCTACACACCTGCACGCAATTATTACAACACCGATCAAAACCCAAGTACGGTAATGCGCGAACCGTTCACGAAATCCCAATGCGTACCGACGATGTCGGCTACGCATTGCTATTTCTGTACGCAGCCCAGACCACCCCCGCTACGACCACCGGCGCGGAAACTATAAAGTGGGGCTATATATATTCGTCCCTCGGCTTGGCTTGGCTGGGCTGGGGCTAGGGCGAGGTAACGGACGGGAGGGGAGGGGGAGGGCAGCCTAATCACCTGCCGTCTGGCGAATCAGTGCATGGCGCGATGATGGGATGAGGCTGTGTTGCCTTGGGACGGGAGGACGGACGCCTTGTTTTTGGTTTGAGGGGGGAGGTGGGCTTACTTTATGGACGGGTTGGGGGCGTTGCTTTGCTTTGCTTCTTCACGGACGGTAAGGGGGTTTGGTACGAGGTTTGGCTCGCTCGTTGCTCACTTTACTTGGCTTGTTCCTCGCTCACTCGCTCACTCACTCACTCACTCACTTCGTTCGCGTGGATGGGCAATGCGACACAGTGCTGAGACGGGGTAGTTGCACGAGCCTTTCACTACCTACCTCGTTACACTTGCGCCTACGCTTGCGCCTCGCGCCCCAACGACTCCAAAAGAAAGACAATCCACACGATCGGACACACACTATGGCCGACATCAAGTCGCGCATCGCCGCGCTGAACCTGGAAGAAGTGCACGCGCCTGCGCCCGGCGCAAAGCCAACATACACATACGAAGCCATTGCGGGGAAGAAGAAACCGCCGCCTCCTCCGCCGCCGGTGCAGCGCCACCAGACAGTCAACAACCCGCCGCTTCTGAGCGAGGCGACGACGGCGGCGCGTGGACGTGGAAACCAGCCCGGAGCGTCTGCGCCCAAGATGTCGCCTGCGCTGCCTCCCCGTCTGCCGTCGCGCGCTGCTGCCAATTCGCCGGCCCTGCCCCCGCGTGCGACTCCGACTCTGCCCCCGCGCCAGTCTTCGGATCGCAGCGTTGCGAGGCGCGAGTCGACTGAGTCGATATCCACGGTTGCGTCGGGCATGTCGTCGTTGTCGCTGGGGTCGGCTAGGACGAGCGCGAGTGGTGGGGGAGGTGTCGCGTATAGGGTTATGGCGCCGGCGTTCGATGCGTCCAAGTTGCCGCCGCTGCCGCCGAAGAAGGTGGAGAATCCGAAGCAGAGCAAGGCGACGATGGCGGCGATGAAGTCGGGGAGGGAGGGCGTCAAGGCGAGGGTGTTGGCGCCGGTGAGGATGGGTGAGTAGATGTTTGCGGACGTGTTGAGTATGGGAGATGGACTGACTGACATGCTGTAGATCCCCCCGCGAGACCAGCGTTGCCATCACGGCAGGACACGAAGCAATCGGCGGCAGTGCCCGAACGACCACCACTGCCAACGCGGGCTACTACCAACGCGCGAGCGAGCAAAGTGATTGCCCCACCGCCACGACGCTCTGCGCTGGAAATGGGCTTCAATAATAAACCAGCTGCCCCTCCTCCAGTTCCCCAGAGACGACCATCACCTACTCGTATCTCTGAGACTGTCGCTGGCTCACCTCCACCCATCCCGCTATCTTCTCGACCCAACTTGGACGCCATCATGGCTTCGAAGCCTAAGCCAGGAGTAGCTGGGGCATGTCTTAAGTGTCGAGACTTCTCTGGTCCAGATAACCATGCTGCGAAGTTTCCGCGCACCCAGCTCCCGTCGTCAGATGTAGGCTGGCTGGCACACCAACTCTGCTCGCCATTCTCCTCTGCGACCGACAAGGCCCGGGCAATCTTCACATGGCTCCACCACAACATCGACTACGACGTGCACTCCTTCTTCAACGGAACCGTCCAGCGCACCACCCCCGAAAAGACCATAACATCCGGCCTCGCCGTCTGCGAAGGATACGCCGGCCTCTTCGCCGCGCTAGCCCTCAAAGCCGGTCTAGAATGCATCGTGTGCTCCGGCGACAGCAAAGGCTTCGGGCACACACCACTGGAGCCCCACGACCCCGTCCCCCCCTTCAACTCCAACCACGCCTGGAACGCCGTCCGCATCGACAACAGCGAATGGAAGCTCATCGACTCCTGCTGGGGCGCAGGAAACATCGGTTGCCCCAAGAAAGGCGGCGGCTACAACCGCGCCTTCAACCCCTCCATGTTCACAATGGATAACAATGACTTCGGCTATGCGCACTATCCGTCCAACCAGGCACACCAGTTCCGCACAGACGGCCGCGCTATCAGCTACGAAGAGTTCAAGCGCGACGACCAGGGCGGCAGGGTCGTCGTGTTCGGCGCGTGCTCGACGGACCACGGCGTGGGGAGTCGCACTTTCTTACCCAGCGCGCTCAGGATCAGCACCCGCGACGGCCCGCCCGTCGTGCGCTTCCAATTCAGCTCCCTGTGCGCGCACTGGGACAATGCGCGGCACGGCAAGGGCGCGCCATATGTCATGCTTCTCAGTGTTTCTGGGCGCGATGGGCGGAATACGCAGTATCTGCCGTTTAACACCGATGGGCGGTCGTGGTGGCTGGATGTCGAGCGCAGGGAGCTGGGCGCGCCGGGGCAGAAGGTGGGGGTTAATTGCGTGACGGAGTTTTGTGGGAGGGATGCGAGGGGGTTGAGTTATGAGGCTTGGAGGGATAAGACGGCGTATAGTTGTTTGTTTGGGGGGTTGGCGGCTTGGGAACTGGTGTGATTGAGGGCGTGGAGTGGGTGTGTTATGGGGGTAATGGGAATGGGAATGGGAATGGGAATCGGGTTTATCGGTTTGAAGGATGGATGGAAGGTGGATATGGATATGGAATACCCAGGGTTTTATTTCATTTGGCGTTGATATCCTGCGAACTCATTGCAGAGCTTTACAGTTTTACTGTTCTCATTCGAACATGATAGTTACGAAAAGTATGCATTGGTTTTAAGACTCTTACTCCACGCACATGCAGTTTTGTAGAAACCAGGAACGACTAAACATTATATTGTAAACGTTCATCTCACACCGTCAGCAGATAAATCTACAGCCACACGCGCGCCACACACGCGCCACATCCAACGCCGACGCCTCTCCCGAACCACCGACATTTCCCTTGCCCGTCCAGAAACATATCCCGACCCACGCGCCGCGCCTTCTCACCTCCAACCCGAGGAGGAGGTCGCCAACGCCAACCTCGCCAACCCGCAAACAAACTCCCCAATACAAACCTCCCCAAAATACCAACACACCTCCCCAACACCACCCACACCGCGCCCTCGAGTGGGACGTCCCCCCATCCACGCAACCATGGCCTCAGCCTTTATCGGCATCAGCGTGGCCGTGACGCTGCAAAAGCCCGCAAACACAATCGTGCACGGTGTCGTGGCGGCGGTCAATCCACAGACTGCCACGCTGACGCTGCGCGATGTTGTGTTTCCTGCGAGTGGACATCGGCTGAATACGTATCTTGTTGAGGGGAGCGCGATTGCGGATATTGTTGTTGATGGGCGGGGTGCAACGGCGACGGGGACGGGGAATGTGGGTGGGAATGGACATGAGGTGAGGAGGTATCAGCAGTATGGGGAGAGTCAACAACAGCAGCCGCAGTTTGTGGATCCGGCGATTCTGAGCGTGGGGAGGAGGGCACCTGGGATGGGATATGAGGGTCAAGCGCCTCAGGAAGCTCCGGCGTCGCCTATAAAGCCTGTGTCTGCTGCGCCGCTCCCCAAACCTGTTGCTTTGCTCGCTGGCCATGCGAAGGCGCCTAATGTTAGGACGCCGAGCGCGGCTACGTTGGCTGGGCCTTTCTCGTCGCTGGATATTGCTGATGCGGAGGAGGCGGACAGCGAGACCAAGGCGGGTCCGCCGGCTGTGCGCAGGGTCAGCATCACCAAGACTCGCACGGGGAAGCCCATGGACGATCCGAGTCCGCAGAAGAATGATGATGGTGGGAAGAGGACAAGGCGCGGGGGCAAGGCACGCAAGAAGGAGCTGGCAGCGCAGGAGCGGAAGAACGGCGGGGATGGGCCCTTCAGCCCGGATGCTGCGAGGAAAGGGTATGTGGTGCAGGTGGTTTATTGTTCAGACGGAGGCTAACTACCACCAGCAAAGGCAACGGCTGGAGAAACACGCCCATGTTGCAGGACGCCGAGACACGCACACCGGGAGTCATTGGCGGCAGGATGGGCTTGGAAGCAGCACACGCCTCGAACCGCAAGAACCGGCGGCAGCGCGCGCTCGACGCCACCAACGGCTGGGCGACGGAGGATGCGACGGACGTCCAGGACATGCCCGAGTTCGACTTCCAGGCCAACCTGTCCAAGTTCGACAAGCGCACCGTCTTTAACCAGATCAGGAACGAGGACACGACGGCCGACGAGGACCGTCTGGTCAGCTTCAACCGCCTCGCACGGCCCGGCACACATGGCGGCAAGAACCTGCACCCGACGGAGAACGTGCTGGACAAGAAGCCCAAGAGCGCCACCAACACGACGTCGGAGGAGGACTCGGACTTTGGGAGCGGGCGCAACTCACGGCGCGCCATGTCGAGGGCGTCTGCAAAGAGGGCGCCCACACGCCAGGGCAGCACTGTCCAGGCCGACATGGACATGACGGGCTCGGGCTTCCTGCGCACAAACCGCTCCTACATCAGCCGCCCGTATGCCTCCTCGCACGCCACGGGGAGTCCCAAGCCAGGCCGCATCGTATCGCCCGTCGAGTCGCCTGCCGAGGCTGGCACGCGCGGCTGCTTGCGCCTGACGTCCAACAACCGCAGATGCCACGCCATCACCCCCGGCGGCATGCTCGCCGTCGAAGAGACAGCCCAGGTCGAGTTCGGCCTCTCGGAAGAGCTCATCGCAGAGAACAGCGGCCGTGGCATCGCCGAAGTAGCCCTAACCGCCATCAACCCGGGCGGCCGCCGCCTCGCACGCGACAACCCCAACGCCCGCCCCGTCATCGTCGTCCTCGCCGGCAACCACCGCAGCGGCGCCCGCGCCGTCGCCGCAGCCCGCCACCTACAAGCCCGCGGTCCCCGCGTCATGGTCGCACTCCTCGGCTTCGAGCGCACCGCCGACTGGGACCGCGACGTCCGCCGCCAAGTCGACCTCTTCCGCAAATTCGGCGGCTCGGTCCGCGCCTGGCCCGACACGGAAGACGCGCTCAAACGCCTCCAAGCACCCCCCGAACTCATCGTAGACGCCCTGCTCGGCCGCCACCGCGAATTCGACGCCCTCGCCGACGCAGACCGGCGCTCGGTCCTCGCTATCGTCGGCTGGGCGAATAAGTCCCGCGCTGCTGTTCTGGCTGTTGAGTCGCCCTCTGGTGTTGCGGGGTCGACGGGGGAGGTGGCTATTCTTGAGGGCGAGCCGCTCGAGGTTAGGGCGAAGTATATTGTTTGTCTTGGGGCGCCGCGGACGGGACTGCTTAGGGCGATGCAGAATGGCGCGGGCAGGGATCCACAGTGGCTTATTTGGGTCGTGGATGTGGGTGTTAATCGGCCGTGGCGGAATGCGGGGATTGCGGGGGGGAAGGGCGTGGCGTTTGGGGAGCACTGGGTTGTTCAGGCTGTTTTTTGTGAGGGGGAGGGGGAGGCGAAGGCGTAGAGATGGGATGGGGGGGTTTGTGTATTGCATTGCGTGGTGTTTTTTGGGTTTGGGGGTTCGGGGTTGGATGGATGGGGGTGAGGACTGGGACTACTCGGGCTGGGAATGGGAAGGGCAAAAGCTGATGGAGGGAGGCATTGGCGAGGATGGGTAGATGGCATGTCGATTCTCGGTGTGCATGTATGCACTGCATGACACTACAAATGTCCCCATTCCCCCGTTCCTCAAACAGCGAGCATATCGTTCCGCGCCGCATTCCGATCTCGGAACGCAACGCCCATCCAACCGCCCCACCAAATCTTCCCATCCCGTCCCCTCTCCACCACACCACACCACACCACACAACCCAACCCAAACAACCATGTCCCACCCAGGCACAGCACACATCTACGCCCCCTCCCTCCTAGCCTTCGAGCACACCCCCCACCCATCAGCCCAACCAACCAACACACTCCTCTTCATCGGCGGCCTAGGCGACGGCCTCCTCACAATCCCGTACCCGCGCCACATCGCCGCCGCCCTCCCACCCACATGGTCACTATGCGAAGTCCTCCTCTCATCCTCATACACCGGATGGGGCGTGGGCAGCCTAGCGCGCGACGCTATGGAACTGGGGGAGTGCGTTGCGTACTTCAAACAAAGAAGGGGAGGGGGGAAGGTGGTGATAATGGGGCATTCGACGGGGTGTCAGGATATCATGGAGTATCTTGTTGGTGAGGGGAAGGAGGGGAGGCCGCGGGTAGAAGGTGTGGTGATGCAGGGTGGTGTTAGTGATCGTGAGGCGTGGGGGGATTATGTTGCGCGGGAGGGGGGGAGGGGGGCGTTTGACAATGTGGTTGAGATGGCAAGGCGGATGGTAGGCGAGGGGAGGGGCGGGGATGTTATGCCTAGTAGGGAGAATGTTGTTATGCAAGAGTTGGGCGCGCCGATGAGTGCGCAGCGTACGCTTGCGCTGCTGGATAAAGGGGGCGCGGATGATTACTTTTCGTCGGATTTGGAGGATGGTGTGTTGGAGGGTACGTTTGGGAGGATTCCCGGGGAGACGGTGGTGTGCTTTTTGCTGGGCGGGGAGGATCCGTATGTACCAAGGAGTGTGGATAAGGAGGCGCTGATGGGGCGGTGGGCGGAGGTTGTTAGACGGGGTGGGGGGAGGGTGGATGGAGTGAATGGTGGGGTGGTGGAAGGGGCGCATCATAATCTTGATGGGGATCCGGAGGAGGTTGTGCAGGAGTTGGTTAGGAGGGTTTGTGGGTTTTTGGGGGGGTTGGGGGCGTGAGGGGGGGTTGTTATTTTGTATGACTGAGAGGAAGAGAGAGAGAGAAAGAAGAAGACGAGGGGACGAGGGAATGATGCCCGCTCCATGACGATAGCGAGGACGGGTATATGGTCACCGACTTCTATAAGATGGACACGACGGAACGCTATTAGGACGGGCAGCGGAGACTTGTAGCGCGCTGGACATCGACGACGCGGAGACGATAAGTGTCGTATCGTATCGTGACTCGAGAAATATCAGCACAGCAAGATCAATGGGTGCTCAACAAGCTCATACCCACCTCACTTCCAAGTACTATATATGAGGGTTAACGTAGGGCACGTGAATCCTATCCGGGGCGGGGGTATATATACCTTCCCCTCCTCTTTCTCATCCTCACATGTTTCCATACCCTCCTTCTCTGCGTCTATATTCATAACAAAAACTGCGTTATCAATGGCCTATGTCTGTTCCTCGAAAAATCTATTCGACATAGTCATGTCAGCGTGTACAACCCCCACTTCCATCTCACGGGCTGTGTATCCTTAACATTCTTCTCCTCTTCGTTCCTTCACACACAAAAAAGATGTCTTCTCCTATTACATGCCAAAAGCAACGTAAAACCCACGTATGTCACGTTAGGGTATAACTCCTCATTTTCATCTAAAAGAGTTTCTGGGTCTTGCATCTATTATCTTCTGTTGAATCTTTCTCTTGTTTGGAATTTGGAAAATTGCCAGGAAGGACTGAATGTTTCGAAACGCTCGCGACGCATTCTCATGGTAAAAAAACCAAGCTTGGCTGGTGATATGTGTGTCTCTTCTGCTCCTTGCGTTAAAAGTCAATGTTGGAGATGTATCGTTGGTCACAGTCTCAAAATGGAAAAGCACATGTGCATGGACTGAAGTCTAGATTTGAACCTGTTAATGTGTGGGGCTCCTCTCTGCCTCTGATTTGGTTCAAACCGTTCACAGGAATCGACATGTGGGAAGATCTGGGACGAGGGGTATATGTTACTTACTCCTCTTCCCAAAACATGGAAATAAGAGGCTTCATGCTTTGCTTCTCCTCCGCCTCTGCCTGAGTTCAAAAAGAATCACGGGAATTGACATGTGGAAAGATCTGGGACGTGGGGAGTATACCTTACTTACTCTTCTTCCTAAACAACAGAATCAAAGATTTCATGCTCTGCGTCTTCTCTGCTTCCTTCTGTATACAAAAACGAAATCGCTCGAGGCATGTCGGACTGTATACCTTGTCTGTTCTCCTTACCAAAACTCCCTTTTCCAGCTCGAATGGGCGGACGCGGAGGGGGGATGCAGACTAAGCTCAAAAATGAATTACCTGAAGCCATGTTGGACGATCTGAGATATGGGAGCTATACTACTTAATCATCTGTTCTTTTTAGCAAAAATCCTCTTGGGAGCGCTTATGGTCTGCATCTTTTCTGCCTCCATGTAGTTCCAAACTCCTGGAATTTGTCGCAAATGTTGGACGACTTGGGTCGTTGGAAGAGTATTCCTCACTCATTCCTCCTCTTTTGAAACCTTAATCCAGGCCATACATGCTCTGCGTCTTCTCTGCGTTCTCCCGAGTCTCAAAACGAAGATTACATCGCCATTATTGGACAGTCTAGGGACATAAAGCCTACTTTCGCTCGTTTGTTTCTCTTCCTTAAACGCCGGTTCAACGCCTCTAGAATTTGCCCCTCCTTCGCCTCTACTTGAGTTCAAAAGTCAATGTCTCTCAAGTCACATTGGAAGACCCAAGGGCTGTTACCTAGTCTATCCTCTTCACTAAAAGTCAGACTCAAATTGCCGATGGTCTGCTCTTCCTCTACTGCTACCTAAGTCTCAAATCACCAATCCAGCAAAGCTATGCGGAAAGATTTGAGTCATAGAAGTATTTACTTGTTCCCCTTTCTCGGAAAAGAAATTTACAGATCCCATGGTCTGTGCCTCCGCTTGAGTCCAAAAATGAACTCGTACACCTTATGCTTGAAGCTGTGCAACCTGGAAAGTATATCACTCACTCGCTTGTTCTTCTTTCTAAAAAAAAGAATCGCACCAATTCTATGATGTGCATTTCCTCTATCTCTTCCTGAGTTTAAAAGCCTAGAGCTCACGACTATATGTGGGAAGACTTGTCTGTGCTTCACCTCTACCCATAAAAAGGTTCTGCTTGAGACTTCCAATGGCGCTGCGTGTTCACAATGCGATAGTGATGCGGCGATTCGCATAAACTTCTTTCTGCTAAAATTGATTCGGAAGCCTCCAATGTTCCGCGTCTCCTCTCTGTCTCTTCCCAAGTTTAAAACAAAAGTCGACGACATTATGGACTGGACGCTAAAAGCCAAAATATAAGGTCAACATGGATTCATGGTGTGTGCATAAAACCTAGCCTCTTGTCGGGGTAAAAAAACTGTACCATTCAACGACATGATTCGTGCCCGGAGGCCTTTTTCCAGACTTCGGTGGTGAGACGATGTTTTATAGATGTGTCTGTACGTGACATGACAAGGGGAAGCGAATCATTCTACATCTCTCGGTATAAGGTTCGAGCTTTCTCCTCTCTCCGTCTTCTTTGTTCTCTACCATCTTGAGCAAGTCTTTGTTTATCCTCCAAAAGTTCCCACTGGTCAACATATGGAGTGAGACCGTCCTTCTGGTGGTGGATCTACCCATTTGTGTCTTTTTACTCCATCAAAAATGACGCTGTACAACCCAATAGGTGAGTTAGTGGGCCTTCTCAAAACTATTGAAACGTTGTCTACGAAGAGTCATGTTCCTGTCTATGAGGCGGAAGTGATTGAAAAGTCATCGATTTTACTGTATGCTGGCTAGCTCGCTATTACTACAAGGTCCATATCTTCTAAAACAACCAGAGCACCCCGTTATGGAGTGAGAGAATTGTTCTGGTGGTGAATTCTCCTCTTCTGTGTTTGTTTACTTCACAAAAAAAACACGAAGATTTTATGAGGAGAGTGAGGAGGGCTCTGGAATTTGAAAAAAAAAAACGCTGAAGGGGCAATGTCTGTGGCGGAAGGAGATCAAAAAGTGAAGGACTTGCATGACATGTTGGTGGGTTCGCTGTTACTATAGAATCGCTCATTTCTGACCTTTGCGCTGGTATGCTGTCGATTACAAGAATCTGGAAAATGCAACCATGATTTTCTCTCAAGTTGAGGCGCACATCTGTCCGCTGATGTGTACCCTGCGTACTAGCCTTCACACATACGACTAAAACCTGTAAGTGAGATGTATAAATACCTCTCCTCGCTTTGGGGACCTCACCTTTACATCCTCGTTTTCTCTGTTTATACAAAAAAAGACTGCCAAAACAACGTATAAGAGAGAAGGATTTTCCAAAATGTATTCCAAGCCGAAACATGTTTCTGCCCTTCCTTCTCTACGTCTTCATTCTATCTTTTTCCAAGCCCATGAGCAATAGGCATATATACTAGGAGCTTTTTGTTTGAAAATATACTGTTCAGATACCACATGAATTGGACGACGAGTCTGGGTTCACTCTCAAAGAACAATCCATGAAGATGTATGACACATCTGCGCTTATTAGTGGGATTGAAGAACGGCCCTTTCAAACTTATGCTCCAAAAAGACATCTTCAACCCATCATGTCTGTGTGTGGCGAATGGCCTTTCTTCATAACCCTTAAGAGCGAGTGTTGAACAGTGTCATTCAAAGCTAGTTCCAGCGAGTGTATGGTTCTTCTAAAGTTCGCATCTAGACGTATGTGTTCTGCAATCCCAATGACAGAAACACACTTGTGTATTGTAGTTTGAACTTAAAAGATCAGTGAAATCTCTCCCTCACTCCACTCATTGAGATGTTCATTTCGAAAACAGTTGGCCTACGAAATCATGGCTGGGAGACAAGATTAATCAAAACGTAAAGAACAAAGCTAAATGCTCGCGTCTAATCTCAGGCTATCTGTGCTGAAAATTTGAACATTCATCGTTTAAGATTCGTGGCATATCTGATTATGGGCCTTCGCCTCGAGGACCGAAAAACATCACTAAAATTCATGTCGGAGCGGGTATCGCAATCTCTCCTCCGATGCATTCTTCTTTTTTGCAACTGTGCCCAGTGATTGGTCCAAAAGTACATGGTCTCATACGACATGGCTTTCAGAAACCTACTACAGCTAGTGTCATGCTGTCTGGAAGTTCAAGCACTCACAAGTTCGTTTTCACGCTGGGTGTTGTTGAACTTTGCTGTGTGTCCTAGGGCGCCTTGACACTGTCAAGAATCCATGGATTGGGAAAAAGCGTTTTAGGAAGCCTGAAAGACTACGGCCTATGGTTCATGGTGCGCTCTGCGAAAGACTTTCTATATATATATGTGGCCGATTCGTATGTGAAATTATTGACACTGTACATTATATGGGATGGGTGTATTGAAAACATGTTTTAGGGAGATACCAACTATCTGTTAGTTGACTGTCAATCTTAGAAAACTCCATCCGTGTCACAGCACCATTCCCATGCCGAAAACGCTGATGCTTCCACCCAGACCCCCACGACACTCTTATTGCGCACCCCACTACCTTCTGCTCATGTTCGTTTGGATCTGCGTTCCAATCAACCACCCACTTCTTCATCGCCGGTATCGAGTCTGTACTCTGGTGCTTCCCGATTCGCCAGGTTAGGTGCCGCACTGCATACCGAAAGTCTTCGGGTTTGTTGTCATACCCTCCAGCATCGCCGTGGAAGATGACGGTAAAAACGTTGAAATACAAATACTTGAATTCAAGAATAGGGTCTTGTTTGCGGAACATCCTGGGCGTCTTGGGTCGTGAAATTGTAAGGTTGAACCAGCCGTGAAGGGTGTCGGGAGGTGTGTATACTATGTCTTCTCCTTCGAGACGGCATTTCTCGGTTATGTTGGTGATATGGCGAATCATGCCTCTGCTAATTTCCGACTCCAGCTCGTGTCTGATCAGTTTGCAGCTGTATACTAGGCCTATGATAGTTGACGGGCGAGCAAGGAGCGCTGGTTGGGGCATGCAGTAACTGTAGATGTGCAGGCGGAGCTCGGATGGGAGCTTGAGCAAGAGACTCGTGATGGGTTTTGTGGATTCGGACATCTTCTTGGAGTGGTTAGTGAACTTGGTTTCGCACGTCTTGTGTATTGAAGTTATAAAGGGAATGACTGGTGGTGGGATAGAAGGCCGGCGAAAGTGGAAGGCCTGGTGAGTCATTGGGTCGATCTCGGGATACGTACCAATACGTTGATCTCTTCCGTCCTTACCCCCAATAGTCCTCAATTCAATGAAACTATTCTCAAAAGTACTCAATTTTCAACTTATGCCTAGGAAAGTAGTAAAGAACTGCTGGCACGGTTTGTCGCCTCCAGCTCTCAACTATCGTCCTTAGTCCTTTGTCACTTCATCGCTCCAACGTCCTAACCACCATCGATTTCGCCATACTCATTCTTCATGTGTCATTATCCAAGAACCCGCAATCATACCGCTTATGTTTCCTCAAGAACGTTGGAAAAGACACCTCCGCGACATGTGTCAAACAAACTTTACCCAGTCTTCATGGCCATCGTACTTCACCAGAGAGCTACTAGGTGCTTACAGGTCTTTGAGAATATATAAATAAGGTGTCTTCTCTCTCCTCTTCACTCCGATGAAACTATCATATTGTCTTAACAAAACCACAAGCTACATGCTTACTTGTTTTTGAAATGCACAGATCCCTTCTTTATGTCGCGTCCTTTGCGCGTTGTCAAAACTTTATTTACTCTCATCACCTATTCACGGAAAAAATAACTCAATTGGGGCGAAAAGTTATCTTGGGTATTGACATGTGCTCTCGTTGGGCTTTGGAATCAAAACACATGCAGACAGGCTGCATGTCTGCGGCTTCTCCTCTGTCTCAACATCATGAGTAAATACGTTTGAGGCTGAAAACCCGAAGGTTCCCATATATGTCGAGACCTTGTAGTGACAGGTATCACATCCGTTATTGAAAGGATCGTTGTACCTCTCAATATCTATACGTTTACGATCTCATGACTATATAAATTTCCTGAACAGCCTCTATCCTCTCCTTATCTATACACATTCTATTAAATCTACCAAAAAATACTATCTCGCAGATCATATGTGTGGACCTCTCTATCCTCCCTAAAGAACTGTCAAAACCGGATCCAGTTCTAAACAATCAAGAACGTCTTCTTTTCACTCATGTTCTGACCAGACATTGTAATCTTACATCTACCCGGGCGAACATAGATACCATATCAAAACTTCGATTGAGAGTGAGAATTATCAGCTTACTGCTATATACAGCTCTTCCCTCCTCCTCCTCTACTTTTCCCCATCACCTACCCGCTATCTCTTCCCACCAAAAAACAAGTCGCAGTCTTACATGTGTCCAAACAAGAATGGAAGACAATGCATGTGGAGTCCACCCCTCCCAAAACCCACTACTACCCACAAGTCCAGAGTCTAGCATTCGATACCTCCAACGCCGTGAACGAAATACAGCCATCTATGTCATAATGTCCGTTGTCCGCTGCTCCTACCTCGTCACAAAACCATGTAACGAAAATGCAATTCGACAACTTGATGGCCGTCCTCCCTTCTTCCCCAAGATCCCTAAACACGCACCTATCTCCTGGGTTGTAAACATTTTCCACCTGCCCTTCTTTCTCCCCCAAACACCTCCTATTTTCCATCACACCAAAACCCCCTGATACACTTGGGATGTCTCCAAAAATAATCTACAAAAGGACTCATGGGGATCTTCTTCCTGCCTCTGGATATCTACTCCCTGTTTACTACGCATCTTCAAAACAGCGCAAGTAGCTTACGATGGTTTGTGCGGGTCGTCTCCCCAAGACAACGATATACGTTTCCATGAGGAGGAGCGTGTTGGGTTGCTTCAAACGTATCTCTTTTTCTTCGTTTGTTATGCAAACATGAAAGTGCATGGCGATGTAAAACATGTGTTGAAAATCCCGCTTCTAGATTTGATGGAAAGACGTTCTCCGGCTCTGGCCTTGAAAACGATGTAGTTCTGGCACATGTGTTGGAACGTAACGCACGAGAGTCTAAAAAAAGGTTTGAGTGCGGTTATTATGTCGACGCATACAAAAGTACTTCAAGCGGACACGTACCAAAACTTCAAATACGAAGATAGCATGGGCAGTGATTTTGCACCTATCATAAAATTGGCTGAACCAAGCCAGCCATGCCGATTCATACGACATATATCATATCACATGCACTCCATTTCTCAAATCTCAAAAACACCCCCCATACCAACTCTGATATCGACAAAGTCCGCCCTCCACCCCTTCCACCCATTCAACCCCCTCTTGATCTCCCGAACGCGCTCGATCCTCTTCTTCTGCTCCTCCTCCTGCGCCAACCGGAACGCATCCTCGTCGATCTCAAACTCATCGAGACTACCCAAACTAGCCAGACTCTCCTTTCTCGGCCGCGCCTTGCTCGCCGCATCACTCCGCCGATGCTGCGTCTGGCCCGTGAACGCCGAGATACCAGATTGAATGACATCCTGGAGCGAGGAGTGTGTTTTGGCGGGTTGGCGCGAGGGCGCTGTGCCGGAGAGGTCGACCTCGTCGAAGCCCGAGGTGGAGGAGTAGGGCTGTGAGTCGTCGATGGGGGGCTGCATGTCGCGGCGGCGGTCGCGCCATACGCCGCGTTGGAGCTCGAAGTTTTGCTCCTCCAGGTCGCGAACTTTGGCGAGGAGGCGGTCGCGCTCTTCGTCTTCGAGCTCTTGGACGCTGCTGTCTTCGATGGAGTCGAGGTTTGCTTTTCGGCGGCGCTGCTCGGCTTCGCGGAGGCGTGCGTTTTCGTTGCTGAGGCCTGCTATGCGGGTTCGTAGTTCGGCGGCTTCGCGCTCCGTCTTCTTGTGATCTTGTATGCGGGTCTGGTTTCGGGCGTCGTTGTCGCGGTGGAGCTGGGTTAGCGTTTCGATCTTCTTCTCTAGTAACTCGGCGCGTGATACTGAGTCTGACGCTTTGCGGTTCGCAGCGCCGAGTTCTGCCTCCAGTTGCGCAGTACATGATTGCGCAGAATCACGATCTGAGCCCTCCTTCGCTGCTTGTTCGCTCGCTTTGTCCAAGTTCGCCTTGAGGTCTGACAGTTCTGTCTTCGTCGAGCTGGCCTCCTGCTCGGCTTTCTGCAACGCAGACTCGAGGCTCGACACATTGGACTGAAGCTTATTGTTCTTGTTCGTCTGTTCCGAAAGCTGCTTATTGAGGTTCGAGATCTCCAACTCTAGCGACTCGATCGTAGCAGACTTCGAGGCAAGTTGCGCGTTCAGATCATCGGTGGAGGCAGACTGACCGGGCGAGGCCGTCGAAGTCTTCCGTGTAGCCTTTGCAGTTTGTGTTTGGAGCTGTGATAGCTGTCGCGTAAGCGCCTCGACCTGCGACTTCTACATGACGCGTTAGCATGCACTCCACCAAATCCCGCAGCCCAACCACCAAAAACATACCAGCTTATCAGCCTCCTTGCCCTTCTCAACCGCAAGCGCAACATCTCCCTTCCCCTCTCTAAGCTCCTCCAACTCCTCCTCGCCATGTCTCCACCTACTCTCATACTCCTCAACCTCCGCCGTCAACCGCAAGTTATCCTTCTCCAGGTCTTCGATCCTCTCCGCCTGCTCCCTGTATATCTCGCTCGACGCTCCCCCACCAGGCGTTATAGGCGGCGGCGACATGGTAGCCCCGGAACGATAAAACGACTCTGATCTCTGCCTCGACTCCACAGCCACAGACATCTTCCTCCCGTGCGCAGGCTTCGGCACCGCCAGATCGGACGGCTCATCGTCATCGAGCGGCGCTGGGCTCTCGACACCTTCATTCGCTTCGTCCTCCGGTTTGGGTGCGGATTTGTCTTCGGCGGGCGCGTCAGAGGGCGTGTCGGCCTTCTCCTCCTTCTTCTTCCCCGCGCCTGCTTTCTTCGCTTTCGCCTTCTTCAATTGCTCAAACTACCACGCCAACATATTAACATCTCGTGTTCCTTCTGACAAGCAGGGAGGTTTCGAGCTCAACTACCACGCAGAACATGGTGAAATCATACTCAATCGCGTATGAGACGTTGTAACTCCCTCCCCGCAAGCTAACGAGTGTCTGGGAAGAGGCTACATACCTTCTTCCTCCCCGCAGCAGCCTTCTCTGCCTTCTCCTTATCTTCATCGGCCATAATTTGGTATTGGGAGTGGGTCGTGTGTGAACTGTGTTGCAGATGTGACAGCTAGCTTGAGGCTCGGTGATGCCATGTTGCCCGCTGAGAAAGCGCGCTAGTGGGGAGAAACCTGGGGTCAGTGCACTCCAACATGATCATCACCATTTCACAGCAACGACTTGCAGATTCTAACAAGACCACGAAAAGCTCAAGTTCCGTGAAGCTCTCTTAGATTTAGGGCCCTTCATTCACTCAGAACAACCAACCATGCCCCTCAACCAATACCCCCAAATCCTCCCCATTCCCATGACCCAAGATAACCCACCCACCACGAGTCATCAAACCCGAGCCATGCCAAACTACTCACGTACAATCCTTCTCGGACCAAGCACGTCCCAATCCTACAGCGCTTAGATATCACTGAAGGAACACCCCTCACGCCACCCCCGGGATAACTGCTGAAACCAGACCCTGACTCAACTCATCAAGATCCGCGTTTCCGGATCCCAGCTTCTGCATGAATTAGTGATTGCGTCGGACCCTGTGTTTCATAACGATCGGCAAACGCGTGGTACGGACGTGAAACCGCGACGTCGAGGTTGTACAGGCGTCGACGATGGTAGATGTGAGTGCGAAGACATGTGGCATAGGTAGACAAATTCAAGATAGCGTTTTCATTCATCCACCACTCCCTCCCTCCTTCTCCACCACAGCTATCTGTTCCACTAGATTGCCCGAAACAGCCGTTACCAACCATCCGAAATCATCCATCCCCAACACAAACGCAAGGGATCTTGCGCCGCCCGAAAAAGTATATATAGAGAAGCATCATGCCTCGAAAAAGACAGAGTCTGGGTGAGATCTGCAGTCCAGAATGCCGAGCCAGTATGCTGTAGGCGAATATAACGAGCGTAAAGACAAAAAGAAAAAGCAGCGGCTAGTGTTTGTTGTAGACCGCCGTGTTCAACCACCAGTCAAAGTATCCCACCTAGATGTCTTTGCACAAGATGCATATCAGATCAAGGCGACTCCATAGATACCCGTCCTCCCAGTATTCGCAAGACAAAGTGAGCAAGCAAGGAAAAAGATGCAGTTATGCTCAACGAGTGTAAGAAAGTATCCTCCTGTTCGCGTGTCAAAAACAAAAAGAGAAACATCGCAAAAGATGCGCCATTAAACATTCGTAGCCGCCTCGCTGGTAAAACTCCGTGTCATGCAAGATGTGAAGGTGAGAGGTGTGTACGCCCAGGTTCGGGAAGAACTGCAAAATCATGCCTTCGATATGTGGTCAAGGTATGTGCCAAGGGTGGAAAGGTCCAGAAGAGAGGTTTGAATCAGACGCGCGACGATGACGAGGATTCCCGGGATTTCCAGAACATCAGCTTACTCAAACGGTTGCTCTTCTTCTTCTCTTTGACAGGCTCCATGCGATGTTCAGAATGCGGACGCTGCTCGATTGAAAGCTTGCTCCTCTCAATATAAGAGGAGCTGTTGATGAGTCGAGACAAGCTTGCGATGCTGGAACGCTTGCGGCGGCGTGTGTCCACCTCGCTGGTAGCAGAGTGCAGAGATGACGAGCGGTCGCTGGGTCGACGGGAACTGGGGTGCGGGTAGGCATGCTGCATTGCGATCGTCATAGTCGATCTTGACGACGACAGAGACGGGACATCGTCCACCGAGACGCGAAGCTCAGGACCGGGCTCTCCGAATCGTGGCGATGGCATGATGGGGTAGTCGGTCATCGAGGAACCCGCGGTTCCCAAACGAGGATTATCGAATGAGATCTGGCTAGAATGGTAATCAGGAGACGGGAAAGACGATATAGTGTCGGGTGTCATAAGGCTTTGCTGCGAAAGCGGAATAGACACGTTCATCACTGGTTCGTGGTCTTTCACATCGTCTGTCAACGGCTGTTGAGTGACTGTGGAGTCGGAAGAGTGGGTCAGAGACGATGTACGCGGCTCTTCATGGTCCTCCACAACCTCGACGACACCAGCCTGCTGTGGTTGCCAGATGCCGCTATCGCTTGGCACTAGTTGTGGTAGCGCTCGAGGAGACAAAGGCTCCGTTGATTCTGGCTGGCTTAGCTTAGTATTGCGCTTGATGCCCAACCCATCATTGAAGTTCCAGTTGATGGTTGATCCATTCTGCTTGCCATCTGCTTCGACAAGCTGGATCTTGGGCTCTTCGGACTCTTCAGGAATGGAACCAATTGAACCCTTCTTCATGACAAGTACATCATCTTCTGGCTCCTCTTCCTCAAACACATCAGCCATGGGAGCAGCAGAAGAAGCAGCAGCCGATGACCTGAACTCGAAAGGCACCAGTTCGGGCGCGCTTTCTGTTCTTCGGTGGCTTGGTGCAGTTCCACTGAAGCTGTGCATGGCCCTTCTGTGGGCGGAAAATCCGCGCTGCTGATTTCGTGGACTGGAGCCATTGGGAGTATTGAACGGCCCAAGCGCCGCGTCCAAATCGATAATGGGGCTCATAATGTCGGAGTCCACACGCTTCATTGGTCGCGGTTGCCACGAAGCAATGTCAGTGTCAAGCTTCCTCGCCGGGGCAGAAGACTCAGATGGTGCGACGATGGTCACAGTGGTATCCTCATCAAAATTGGGTTCAAAATCCAGGTCGTCCGATACATCCGAATCGTCAACTTCTACGGCTGCGTCTGTTGGGGGCGTTGGCGCGCGGCTCCTCACTTTCTTGCTGTGTCTGCCCTTCTTTTGAATGATGGAATTTGCCCATGACTTCACTTTCCGGGGTTTACGAATCGATTTGCGTGATGCAGACTTTGGTTTCTCTGCATCTTCTACGGACTCGTTGCTTTCGGATAATGGTGTGGACAAGGGCGATTCCAAGTACCGCGAAAGAGCGGGGTCAGATTTGCTGACTGGAAACACGTTGATTGATTTGTCGCTGTTGCGTGAAAAGAAACTCCGTCTTTTGGAGGGAAGGGGGGAATTCGAGCTCATATCGAGTGTTGGCGAGGCTGCAGGAACTGCAGACATGGGTCGCTTGCGCTCCAAGACGTCGCCACTCAACGAGTTACTCATAAACTTGTCCAGAACGGCTCCAGCGGTGCTAGGTCGTCCCTCGTCCTCTACTGTGCTGAGGGTTGGGCGACCCATGCGTGCAGGTTGCGTGCCGCTCACTATCGACGAGAGGCTGTTCGAGGCCGAATGACACCGGATCGTAGACATGGATGTCTCTGTTTCCGAGGAAATGGTTGACAGAGGGCGGATGTATTCGACTGTGTCGGAGAATCCGACTCGCGCCCTGGATGGAGGGCGTGCAGCCGAGTCATCGTCGGCTCCGCTCGCCCGCAATGACGGCTGCGACATGGATCTGTTTACGGAGTGACCAACAATGAACTGGTTGCCCTCCAAAGGCGTGGCTGGCGCGCTGCCGGTTGTTGGTGGGGGAGGTGTCATCATCGAGGACAGGTCGTGGGAGGAAACAGCGCCTGAACGACGGTGAGCATGGCCACGCCTTCCTGCTGGAGGTCCAGGACGCAGTGTGGTGTCTGGTGCTGGCAGATCGCCCTCGCCCTTGGTCGGACTGCTGCTCAGCAGTGACATGCCTGGACGATTGTCTCCGCCAATGAATTCGCTTCCTCCCCTTTTGTGGTGTCCCTGTATTGGTCTCGAAGGAGTCGCGGGTGCTGTGGTTGCTGGTGTTACTGTGACGGTCGCTGGCGAGACGGGTGGAGAGGTGCCCGTGGCTGGCTTCAATGTGCCTGCAGGATTGAAGGAGAAACTAGGCAGAGTGTTGATGGACTTTTGTCTCGCGTGCGGCATAGACCCGCGACGGCCCGCTGGATATGCCTGGAGCGACATTGGCCGCGAGTTGAACGTGGTGGGTTCTGAAGAGGCCGCGTCGGGGTCGCGCATGGGGAACGAGAACTCTGGGTTGGGGATGAGCTCGATGGCGCCAGCATTGGGGGCATTGCGGCGCTGGTAGAGGGGTGAACCGACGCCCACAGACTGCGACTGGGTCGCGCGGTGTCGTGGCAGGGCAATCTGAGCCATTGTGGTGAATTAGCTGCCCTGGCGGACACGATGATAGGTGAATTCGACGAGACTTGGCGAGGCTTGACGAGGTTAGGAGAGCGCAGACAAAATCTGGCGCCCACGCGATTAGTATGTTGCTGCTGATGCTGCTTCGAGGTACTGGCGAGAGACGGCAGTCAGCACGGTAATTGCAGGACCGTGGCTGGCGGGTGACGAGTGCGTACAGTATACGGGAGCTAGCAGAGGGCTGGTGATAGGTGAAGCCAGTACACCCAGGATTAAGGAATGACAAGAGAAATGAGCGGACAGATGCCTAACGTCGACCCAGATTTGGTGAGTGCGACGATGAGGCTCCAGAGAGGCGGCAGCGAGCTTCGCAAAGGGTGGAAGAGGGTGGTGACGGAGCGGACGGGCGGAGTGGACGAGCGACGGGCGCTGGAGAGGAGGCAGTGCCGGTTGCTTTTGTTCAATGCCTACGCTAGCACGCAGGCCCACTCATGTGGCTTGCTATCCGCGCAACAACCTTGGAACCTGAGCATGGGTTGCCTGCGCTGGCCGTGTTTGTCGTCAATGTCTCCGTCTTATTGCTCCATCGTCATTCCGAGCGATCCATGGCGAACGCGAGATTGAACGTGCAAACACCCAATTCGAGCAATTGTCCTGGCGTCCATGTATCGTCGACGTGTCAAATTCTGGAGCGCGAATTAGCGTGCCTGTCCAATTTGCGCGCCTGTACCTGAACATTGAACAGGCAACATCACGAGCAAGACTATCAATTCTCGCATCCTATCTGCGCGTCCTTACCAAGGGCAACGTTGCCTCGCGTCGTGCCCGTGTTGATTACAATTTCATCACGCTGCTGCGTGTGCCTGCTTTCGCCGTTGCTGCCGTGGACGCTCCAGTCCAGACGGCTACATGGCCCTGCAGCATCATCAGCGCCTCTCCATGCACGCCGCGGGCCTGCCCTCTTACTCGCTGGAGCCTGCTGCACGCGATATGCATCCTGTCTCGCAGATCGACTTGGTCTTGGCACCGTGCCGTGGAGCCAGCAAGTGTCCCTCTGCCTGCTCCCTGCAACCCTCGGACACCATGCCGGTCCCGTCAAGTGCCCGTACGCGCACATCATCATCATCGTCCCCTCCCTCCCACTTCACGCTGCAAAGTCTGAATGCCCTCACGTCTTTCTATTCTCTTCTTCAACGCTGTAGTTCGAGGCTTCGGGCGAACACGCGATGATTGGCACTGACATGTTTCACCGAACCGTTCGTGGTGGGGCTAGACAAGGTTAGATTTGTTATGCTCCCGCTGTTGGCGACCAATCGACTAGCAATCCGTATCGGGGAGTGTGCTAGCTATGCAGGGGCAAGGTCCATGTCTGCTTTTGTGAAGAGCGACAAGCTCACGCTCAAGCTCGCCACCCATAAATAGACTCCGATTGACGAAATGCGGAGAAACGGGTGGGCGACGTGAAGGGCAACCACCATCAAATAACGATTGAACCATCGTGAACACGATAAAGCTCGAAGTCTATTGAGACGCGTATCTTGATCGAAACCTACCCTTTTCCTGGGTACGAACCTCGACAATTGCACCCATGGGAGTATGGTTAAACTCGAGATAACTGTGCAGCAACCTTTATGCAATTCACCCATGTTATCTTCTCTTCCTCCAAACGAGAACACCTCCAGGGTGCGATCCTCCACGTCTCACAACGTCTAAATGGCGCCTTTGGCGTTTGTGGCACAAAAATTGTAAAAACCCTCATTTTTCTCCTCAATTCTACGGCCCGAATGTTCGGGAGTTGCTTTTTGTCTTGCGAGCTTCTCTCTATGCAAGACTAAGGTGAACAGACCGCTCCAGTCCTCTGCAAGCTGCATCGCCATCTCGATCCAAACTCTACGCAAACCCAGGTCAAAGTCAGACATACGGTGTTGCCCCTGGAGATGCTCAGTCCCCAATCATCGCAACTAGGTCCATCCTAAATCAACTTGTGACACCCGACGTCATTATCTATCGTCTGCTCCGATGCTCATGATCTCCAGGAACGCAACTTCGGTACTACTCTCGAACCGAGAATCTGCAGACATCGTCATCTGCTCTTTTTATGAACTCAAGGGTGTGTGTGGGGTGGCAATTCTCGAGGCTTGAAAGTTTTCCTCGCGAGAACGGCAGTGTCACACAGCCTGAATTTTTCTCTTGTGTGATGCACCATGGTATGGATGACGGCGACGCACCTCGAACGTTGTCAAGCGCTACGGCTACCAAAGCCTGGTTTGCGAGCTGCTGTAATTCCCAATTCCAACACCGGCATGATGTCTACGAACTGTTCTACCATCACACTATGCAATTAGCTTTCATATCCAACAAATGTGCGTTGGGACAGCAACACCCGCAGGCCCCTGTGCCCGTTGACGGTAATTACCACTGTCAAACGACAACGCATAGCCACGCAGTTCTACCACCACACTGGGGCTCGGCTACGTAAACGACGGCTATTCGCGTCGCAAGATCGCAGATTCGCAATCTCGAAAGTTATGTTTCTTGACGCTGTGCTGTGGATGCGCAGAAATTGGTCATCTCCGAGTGCCAAAAGGAGCAACAATGAGTATCCCTAACAGCTGTGGCCAATAGCAGGCACGCACTCACGATCGCACCTTCCTTGTTCAACATCATTCCCCAGCCTCACAAATGGGCTTCATATCCGAGTGACGTGTGTTATGTCGGCTCAATTTCAGTCTCAATACTGCTTTGTGGTTGGTTTTCGGTGTAACAAGCAAACTTCGAATCCCGATCGTCTCGTTCAAGGTCAACCTGGTCTATCTGTAGCTCAACGCGCGTACTACGCACCAACCAGCGCTGAGTGTTGGTGACGTCTGGCAGAGCCTCAAAGCGAGAACCATTCAGCTTGCGGTCCGTCGTCCCAGGGAAAAGGGTTGCGTTTTCCAGCTCACCACCGCGTTTCCCTGGTCCAATCTATCCGTTGCCATCCGCTCGCTTGTTGTTCTGCGCTCGCACCCCGGACTTGAGTCTGAAACGATGCGTGTGGTTGGAACCGCAGCTGAAGACGCAGAGCTGAAGGCAACGTTCTAGACTGAACGTTACGCTTCTCGAATGAACCAACACCCTCATCACAGCTAGCCAGCAGACTAGCGAATGGCACTCGTTCACGCTCCAAACTCCTGTTTGCAAAGCCAAACTAACGCCACAGTACATCACCTGGACGTTGTCAAGACATGCCACTGGACCGCAAAATCAAAGCCACTTTCAAAAACGTTTGCACACCACCACACTCCGGACGGAGTGCCCGCCGTCTATTGCCATGGCGGACTCCTCTGTTCCTATTGACTGACGGGAAGTGGTTTAGCTTGCGTACAGACGGGCTGCACGCCGCTCAGCGCTAGAAGTCTCTTCTACTCACACCCCCAAAGTTAGCAGGAATATGACACAACGACACCAGGGCAATCATCGTGGCTGCACATAGCCATGTCACATTACCTTGCGACGACGTAATCTTGCTTCATTCGATCCAATGACAGACGTCTAAGTACCATTTCACGCTACATCTCGGCTGGCTTGACTCGCCGAACTACAACCGTCAGAAGCGGAACTTTCTTGCGTAGAAAGATGCCAAATTCCTTGGCCAGTAATGCTCTACACAGTAAGCGGCAAGCGCGGAAATTCTCCTCCACACGATGATATCGGCGTCAAAAGCCGAGCACGATCTCGCCGGCCGTCGATGCTGCACCTTACCCTAGCGCATGTACACAATCAATGATCGTCAGGGCAAATGGAGGGGTGATCAGCCCTGTGACTGGGTTTCCATAGTCCCTTGCGTATGCTCGTGCACCACTTGAGCGAAAAGGCCCGCGGTGGATGACTCTAGACAGCGCCGTGTAAGACGACAAGACCGCATCGTTGAGAGTTTCTGTCAAGTTACAGCCTGCATCAGCAGCCATTTTGCATCGGCGTCAAGGCACAACTGCGGCAAAGTCGAACCAAGACGATGTTCCCCACCTAAGCGCTAGCACTTTGCGCGTCTACATACATCCGATATTACGGCATTGGCCAGATACTGCTGGTGTGCCTTGTCAAGACTCATCCATGGCGGCTGTGAAGACGCAAGCAACTCATTGTCTCACGGTCATGAAGCTATCCATGTCCCACCCATGTACGAACTCCGACTGATCTGACAACGTTCGGTTTCAACACACGAACCAACAAGGGTGCACGCCACGTTCCATCAGCAGAACCCTTCCCCAGATGCCATGCACCGCAGTGCTGGGATGCCCGGTACCATGTACACTTTGTTTCAGAAATCTCACCGGTACGAGATACGTGGAGTGGTACAGCGGGGTCAAGATTGCGGGTTAATGTGTCCGGTGGTGGTAATATCGATGGGATTGGGAGGCCTGATCGCTGCTCAGTGAGCAGATAGTCCATCACTGATTGCAGAACGCGATTGTCGATAGCTTTGCGGGGTTCCAACGGATGTCAGCAAGCGGGTATCGCAGGGGTGAGATTACTGAGACGCAAGGCATGTGTATGTTGCTTGTATGTCTCATGTTGGAGACCCCAGAACTCAAAATTTGAAAGCGTATTGCACGCACACAGATGTTAGACGGTGATAGTGTCCTAGGGCACGAACTCCCATGACTCCCGTACGTTGATCAACACAAACGTGAAGAGAGCCTGCGACACTGACCAGAAGAAAGATATGGAAACATGAGCATTGTAATCAATCTCGGAAATCAATCTAACGGCTCATACCTCATACCCTCCACTTCTCCACATATAAACAAGACTACTCAACCTCCACTCGATGGCAGATGATGAAGCTTGAGCGAACAACTCGGCGCATTCACCACCTCTGCTCCTCTGTTCCTCTACCAATCTGGGTAACAACCAGGCACTGTAACTCAAAGTCATAAAATAGCGGATATACATCAGTTTCTATTACACATCCTCATACTGTTCTGAGAGATCAGTGTCCACTATACAAAAACAGTTTCTCACAAATTCGCCCACCGCGAACAGTTGGCGAAGTCTCCTTTCCTAGCATCTACGCAGAACCCCGTTGTCATTGTCGATGTTTCCATAATTCGAGGATAGGCATATCATGTCTTGAGCGAGTAGACAACGCCATCTCTTTACCTGTATACTAACAGATCCACGTATATCGAGCGCTTTATAATTTCAATATTAAACTCACTGCTTTTTCCTCCCATCACACGTTAGAATTACATACGCTGTCCACCAAAGTGGCATAGATATCAATCCATCTCCTATCCCAGGCTCTTCATTACCTCACAATACATCACATCTGTGACTTGATCTACGCTCTACAAACAGCTCTACGAAGAGCTACCCAACCAGCCATCAATTCATATACAACCAGGAGACACAGCAGTACAGTGCAGTGCCGCATAATCTATCTCTCTCCTATCCGCAATCCTGTTCCCTCACACTTCCCAGCCGTACGCCCAGCACAAAGCAGCAAACGCAAAATATTCTGCTTATCTAACTTATCCTCCTATCCGTGTCCAGACACCACTCCACGCACTCACCCATTGTATACACACACCAGCACTGCACTGTATGCGATGTTCACAGCCCATTCCATCACCGCGAAAACCTATTTTTCTTCCAAAGTTTCGAGGTCTGTGGAGGAGGGGGAGTGTATAATCGGACGGGTTGTGAGAGAGGAAGGGAGACTACGCACATATCCGCCTCCCGACAGCGAAGAGGGAGACCCACCCACGCCAAGTTTCACAGGGAGAGTGGGTGGGCGATAACAGATGGCGATGGCGGTATGGACTCGGACTCCGCAGGCAGAAGCCCCGCATGATGTATTTGGAGCGGAATGAAAGAGCTCTAAGCAACAAGTCAAGAAACAAGCCAAGACCCATCGACCCGTCTAGCAGAAAGTAAGTGAACGCACACAGACATGCGCTACACTTCACTACCGCTTTGAGTGCTTTCAGGAGAAAGACTAGTGGATAGATAGAGTGCGTCGATAAACAGACTGATCTTTCCTGAGCTGAGCTGAGCTGATTTGGACCAAGTCAATTCACTCCAACACCAAGGAAACACCGAGGAAACACATCTTCTCCGCTACGCTACGCTACGCAACGTGGTAGATCTTTCTATACGTTTTTCTATACGTTTTTCCATCGACTATTCGCATCTATTCCATCCCATACTCTTCACTTCTCTGTGAACGTATGAGGAAGAACGAGTCGAACCCGCGAAAAGTTAGTAAAAAGACTCAAGGGAAAACAAATCATTTCACAAAGACAAGGCGAGGAGTAAATGACTGCCAAACAGTCCAAAAGCACGTCAAAAAGATATTAAATTCCACCTTCCAACCCGCTACTCTCTCAATTCCGCAACAGCAAAATACCCCTTATTCTCCACCACACCCCGATCCTTCACCACAGCCGTATACTTAACAACCCACAACGGCACCACATCGCCCCTCAACCCCTCTACATTCGCCTCACCCGCCAGCACCCCCGAGCCCCCCTCCCCCTCCCCCAGAATCTGCCTCAGCGTCCCCCGCGGCAGGATATTCGTACAGTCATTATGCGTAAGCAGCTCGATCTGCTGCTGTTTCGCATACAGAATAAGCGGCTTAGGCACAACGCAGCAATCGCGCACATTAATCTGGTTAACACTCGGTTTTATGCGCGTGTGTTCGAGGAATTTGCCCAGTCTCGCGACGCCGAACTCGGCGATGCCTAGTTTCTGCACTAGGCCTTCGGCTTGCAGGGCTTCGAGGGAGCGCCATGTGGTGATCATGGTCTCGATGTCTTCGGGGGGTACTTCCTCGCCATCGCTCGACTGCGGGGGGGACGGCTCGTCATCATCGTCGTCCGAGTCCGAGTCGTCCGCGTCAAAGGATATCCCCGGGAAGCTCACAATCAGCAGGTCGATGCTCGTGCTGCCCAGTTCTTTCAGGACGAGCTCGATGGCTTCTCGTGTTTGTGCGCAGCGCCTGTCGGCGGGGATGTTGGGGAGGTAGAAGAGCTTGACTGTGATGTCGTAGGAGTCGCGCGGTTCGGAGAGGGGGGAGGGCGTGTGCGAGGGTATGTAGAGGGCGGAGGGGGTTTGTGTGGTCCAGGATTTGTATGGGGGGGTTGTGGAGGCGGGTTGCGAGGGTTGGTGGGCGGAGAAGTTGGAGCGCAGGGAGGAGGTGAGTTCGGTGTTTGATTTCTCGAAGAAGGGGCGCCGGGTTACGGAGGGGCTGCTGGACATTATGTTGCTGGGGTTGTTAGGTGTGGCATGGGACGGAAGGGACGGGAGGCGCATACGAGGTGGATAGTGTGAGCTTCATGGTGGCGGCTGGGCTCTGGAGCTGTGTGGTTGTGCTCGAGAGTGTGTATGTATGAGTGTGTGTGGTGTGTGGTGTGGTGTGAATGGTGATGTCGCGTGGGAGTCAGATTCGGGCTTGCAGAGAAGAGTGAATGTTTGTCAGCGAGTACGGGTGAGTGGGGTGCACTATGCAACAGCGATTGGCGCTTCAGTTCAACAAGTCACGGGTAGAGGAAGTGTACGGGGACAAGTCTATTACAAAGAATTATCGTGATGTGCCTCGCGGGGTGACGATTGACGATTGTCGACGAGGGCGCATTGACGACATCTGAACTCGCGGGGACCAGCGCCCGCCGATCTCCAGCAGACCGACCGCCTCGAGAGAACACGCACCCACGACTGCCCTCCCCACACACCATGACCATCAAGTGAGTCGCCCGCCGCACTACATCCCCCGTACACGCTGACAGCGCCCCCAGGTATCTCATCCTGCTCTCGCGCCAGGGCAAAGTGGTGCGTACCTCACCCTAGACCCCCCCGTCCTCTGCTGAACGTCGGCAGCGCCTGGCCAAGTGGTTCACGACGCTCGCGCCCAAGGACAAGGCCAAGATCGTCAAGGACGTCTCGCAGCTCGTCCTCGCCCGCCGCACCCGCATGTGCAATTTCTTGGAGTACAAAGGTCCGTGGCTCCTACAGGCGTGGCTGCGTCGCTAGGCTCACACTTTCTGCCAGACACCAAGATCGTCTACCGCCGCTATGCCTCGTTGTTCTTCATCGCCGGCTGCGACTCGACCGACAACGAGCTGATAACCCTCGAGATCGTCCACCGCTACGTCGAGCAGATGGACAAGTACTACGGCAACGTGTGCGAGCTCGACATCATCTTCAATTTCCAAAAGGCCTACTTCATCCTCGACGAGCTGCTGCTGGCCGGCGAGATGCAAGAGAGCAGCAAGAAGAACGTCCTGAGGTGCATAGGCCAGCAGGACAGCCTCGAGGATATGGAGGTGAGTCGCGACTGAGCACTGCCGCCCACCACCCACGGCTGACACGTACCGCTCTCCCCAGGCCGACGATGATGTCGTCACCAAGCTCATGTAGGGTGTGCATCCCAAGTGCACATTGTACACACCCCACACGCCCGCCCGTCTCGATGAGCCGCGACCCAGTCACGAATCCTTGCTGACCGCCCCACCCCCCACAAATAGGACGCGGATGTCTTCAGAGAGCGACTCCACGAGAGCGGTTTTTTGTAGATCAGCATTGGTGTCAGGTACGAACAGCTTTGTACGGCTACAGACTCGGAGCTTTCGGCTCGTCAGTGGGCATTCCCCTTTTCCTTGGCTCCGCAGACGAGCATGTCAGAGGCGAGCGTCGCATAGACAGAACGGTGTTCTACAACGTGGGGACTCGGGGCTATTGGACACGCACTATCTGTCATCCTGCCATGTAGAGCGGATGGCGATAGATGCACTCTATCTACTACAATACTTTTTCCCCTGGCAGCGTTTGCTCGTCCAGCAGGTTTGGCTCAAGTGGTCTATGGAGCTCGAACGTGATATCAATGTCATGCTGTCGAGACTTGCACCCTTGGTATTTCTTTGGCTATTCATCTCTTGCGTTTTCCTTTGTTGCGACTCATCCACCGTCTAGCCATGATCGTGTCAGGCAATTGGACGGCTTGTGACAGCACCAGGTTCGGATCAGCTTTGGTCCTCTCCCAGAACCCTAGCCTACATTCATGCAATCAATCCTATGTTGCCGAACTCGATAAGCAGTTCGTTCCCAGGCAACTTGTACTATCGCATCCCATGTGCTCAGTCAGTACCGGACATGACATCTCCAATACATCACACATGCTCTGCGGATTCACACGCTGCTACTACTAACTTCAGCATCGAGACCAGTTACCTCTCACCGACTTCCCACTTAGTCTTATCAACAGATGTCGTTGGTCGAGGAAGGATCATGGCCGGGCCAATCAGAACCGTCATCCCGGAACACGACAACGCAGCCAAGGCCTAGGTCACCGTACCGTCTCCGCAACTCCAGCACCAGCACATCACTCCACTGCCGCACCATAGCCAGCTATATGTCCCCTGCCTGCTAGACGACTGTCTGGCCGAGCAACAGCATCCTCTCCTCTCTGCAGCCAGCCTAGAGTCGTGTATCCTCGTTGTATCGGTTCGCGCAAGCCACCCCCTCACGAAACAGGGCCGCATCGAGTAGACAGCAGCTTCGGCGCGCTGGCTCACATACCATCACTTTGAGAAGAAGAGACAAGCACATCGTTATTAATATAAGTCGTTCGAACAGGAACAGCTCCAGCCCGGCGCAATGAAGGTGCGTACTCGATGCGATAAGGGTCGGGGTGATGATGTAACTGACCTGGCGCGACTGCAGTACCTCGATCTGTGCGCCCTCCACGAGGTGAACCTCGCCCTCAACTTCGACACCCAAGACACAGCCATAATCGGCGGCTGTGATCTCTGGACCGTAAAAGCCGCCGGCAGCGACAAGAAACTCTACAAGCGCATTGAGAAGACGCTCGAGGAGCGACACAAAGACCTCCTCTCTGCCGTTGCAGACCTCTCCGCCCAGTCCGCCGCGCAGTTCAAAGACGACCTGAATATCGCGCGCGACACACCCTTTGGCTCTTTCAACGATGCCGCCAACCGCCATACGTTTGCGTACTTGATCGCGACGCTAAACGCAACACACATCGACTACGACTTCGCCAACACACTCAACCCCGACGAGTTTCGCTGTGAAACACAAAAAAGCTTCATGCACAAAGTCGACACCACAATGTTCTACCTCCGCCCGCAGGTCTACTCGGCCGGCCTACCCCGCGGCGCCATCACACCCCTCGGATCCCCCATCTGGAACCCCCGCTCCTGGGTCCTCCTCGACAGCGAAATGGACATGAGCGCATGCGAGTACTTCGCATGGGAGCCAAGCGACGACCCATTTGCCGACGACGGCGCCATCTGGAGCCACCACTTCTTCCTCTACAACCGCGACCGCAAGCGCGTAGCATATTTCTACCTCCGCGGCGTCTCCGCGCTGTCCAACAGCCCCAGCGTAGCCATGTCGCTCATGTCCAAAGTCAAGCAGTCGACGCACGAAAGTAGCGCTAATGCGGGGAGTCGCAAGCGCGCGGAGTACTGGCTGGGCGACAGGGCGCGCAAGGGTCTCGAGGCGTATGGCGAGAGCGACGAGCTGGATGATCTGGTTATTGATCACCCTGGGGATGTCGTCGAGGAACAGCAGTGGCAGATGGATCTTAGAGAGGTTAGCGCGGATAGAGAGTATTATGAGAGTGAGGGCGATAGCGATGTAGAGAGCTTGGTGGGCAGGCATAGACGGCGGTCTGTGCGTACGATGAGCGAGGGGCTTGTCGAGAGGATGGAGCTTTGAGTTTTGAGTGATTGGGGTGGTTGTCGTTCAACCCGACGGCGCGACGGAGTTGGCGTATCCGTTATGACACAGGTATTTCTTTCCCGTTTTCCCCCTTTTTGTCCCTGTTTTCCCTACGCCTCGACATTTCATTGAAGGCGTTTTCATGGTTTCTGCTCCTTTACCGTTTTCTGCTTTCCCGCATACTCAACTCTCGCATGACGGCAAAAACTCGGACTGGACTGGGGCGTTACGGTCGGTGGGAGCGACGCGTTTCCAAAGATCGTCTGGGGTTGTCTCCCTTTTTTGCGTCTTGGTCGAGATATACCCGTGGTTACTTGCGTGTCTGTTTTTTCTTGTTCTTGTTTGTATTTATTTGTATGGGTTTTTGGAGGGGGGTAAGGGGGCGTTGGGGTGATTATGATGGGATTGGTGGGAGGGTATATGGATGGGGGGTGGGAGGGTATATGGAATGCAATGAATTGATATGCAATGCAACGAAATGAAATGTAACTGCTATGAAAAACAGTTTCGCATGTTGATTCGGGAGTGAAGTCTAGAGTGCCTTCCTGTTTCCTTGCTTCCCTGCCGTCCGCCTGAATCGAGCCTCAAATCATCGAGATGGTAGGTTCTATCGCATTCCCCCATCTCTACACAAAAGCCGCTATCCAAATCCACGCTCGCACGCAACAAAATCCCACATCGACAATGCGAGACGCGCTTCTTCCTCCTTGCTAACTTGTTCTGCAGAACACCACGCTGAGCTAAATCATGCTTTCGCACTTCCGCTCCCCAGGTCGGTATATAGCCCCGTCTATCCTTCTCCTTCTCCTTTTCCCGTCTATGCACTTTATACACAGCTAGCTAGTTGGCTTGTCGGGTGTGCTGCCCACTCATGTCCATGTCCATGTCCATGCACATACCCCCCCCCCCTCGATCTTATGGTGTTTGATGAGTCAGTCCCCCATCTATATTCTCCGTGTTCTTCACTCCACCTCGAAGTTGCGGGGCGCGGGGACTGGCGTGCTGGGATCTTGCGTTGGAGGAGGAGGGGGGGAGGATGTGTAGATGGGTGTAGTATGCGAGTAGGAACATTCACGGTGTTGGGGTTAGGGATTCTACGAGGAAGGTCACAATGGGGAGAGTCTGTCGGTGGGGAAGAATGTGGATAGATGGTATAGGATGGACATTTGTTCATGGAAGACAAGCACGTTTTGTCTTGTTTAATGTTAAGCAAGTGGTTGAATAAATATGTTTTTGCTAAATTTTACTCGAGATGAAGTATCGAACGCATTCCCACACAACCAAGACTCACACTGTAGTCTCTCATCTAAAAAATAAACATGACCCTCCCCCCCTCCCCTTTCTCCATCCCCATCCCCCTCCCCCCTCTCCACCCCATCCAACCGCTCAATCCCACGCCCGACACCCCCCCATTTTATTCCCACACACCCCCTCACTACTCGCCCAATCCAGCACCCAATAATGCACCGGCCACGCCACCGTACTCGCCCAAAAGATTCCAAAATACAGGCCCGCGCTAATTAGGCAGCCCGCACTCCGCGCATGAGAAGAGAGTGCTGGAGCTATCGCTGGAATCAGAGCGGGGATGCAGAGCAGCGCTGCAGTGCCAGCAATCGCCCAAGTTGGGGGAGGAGGCGGAGGGGATGAGCGTCCAGTCGATTGAGGTGGTTGAGGAGGAGGAGGAGGAGGAGGAGGAGGAGGAGGAGGAGGGGGTGTCATGGTGGGTGTTTTGTGTTGATGATGGTGATGTTGGATTTGTGGTGCTGGTTTGGGGGTTAGTGTGTTCGGGGGAGGGGGAGCCTTTTGTGGACATTAGTTCGGTTATTGTGTGTTTGCTGTACGTCAGGGGACTTGTTTATTGGGGGGTGTTTGTTGCGCTTGGTGTGATGTTTGTGGTTATGATTGCGCTTGTGATTGCGAACTCGAATACTGGACAGACGTGATGGAGTGTTGGTAGCGCTGCTACTGATGATGAGTTATCCTTTGAATGTGTTTGTAGTTTAGTTTCTAATGAGAACTCGATTTCGCGGTGATAAACGTTTAGCAAGTCTTGGACAGGTGTATTGGAGCGATTGTAGTTCTGCCCTGGGAATCTTATATAGACCACACTCCATATGTGCAATCATGAAATGTGGACGTTGTGAAGGCAGAATACATGCGTGATGTTTTTGGTGCACAAAGTTGTGAAGTAACTTGACTGTTGGTGAATTGAAGTAGGAAACACTCAACTGACAACTCTCGATGAATAGTCTTTCGAATGGTCTACTGTATACTGTTCTGTGTGGCTGTTTGGAGGTTTTCGATATGTGGCATGGTATGAGGAATGGAAATGTTGCTTGAACTTGTGGAGGCACTCATCTTTGAGCATGAGTTGGAACCTATGATTCCGTGGCTAGGAGGCGGACAGCTGAATCTGCACATCCTGACATCGGATGAAGGAAGAGGTTGAAGAATATAAAGAAGATAGACCTTATACTTGAAACCGCAGAATGAGATACATGGTGTTCAAATTCCTATTCAGTGTCGATCTCCAAAGTCCCGAAGGGTCTCGCCTGAATACGATTGCCACTGAAACAGTGTTTCTAACAGACATTAGGAGCCACTCTTCACTGCCAGTCAGTTGTTCACACAACCCTACTATGCTCTGGAGATGTTATTCGACATTGTAACGCGAGACTAGGAACGGACTCGATGAGACATCTCGAGTATTCCCACAGTCAAGGCTAATCGAATCTTGGGTATCTGACCTGATATGCTCCAAGAGACCCACAACAACAACTCGGGATACATCGCAGATTGCTCAACAGAATAGAAAATTCTACTCAATCGAGGCTGTCCAGCTGTGTGCGTATCTGTTGAGCTGATCCGCGGTCGCCACAAGTTCGATGACTCCTTCCACCACCATCACCGTCCCAGCAAGAACTAGCAATAAGTGGCGTTCCCTTCTAGATGACCCGTATCGCGTAAGCAGTCGGTAGACGCCGTTCACGCCATACGTAAGACACGTTCACGCTATGGGTCGATATTCCAGGTCTTGTTCTCGCAACAAGCAGTGGGGCGTATGTGTGATGGAAGAGGAGGCGAAATTCCCAACGTGAAGCACCAAGCATGAAGCAGGTATCGTGGGGGTCCTGGTCAACGCGCATCTCAACAGGCTTGATCGTTGTTTTTGTTGACGGCTCCAGTTACCGTTCCTGGATTGGTTGAGTGGATACGACATGGGGTGATATAGCGCACTCTGGGGACGGAAAACGAAAGGGAATTCCGCAGCTGTGGGGTATGGTTCAGATGCGTAGCGAAGATATCCCGTTGGCAAGTGGATCCTGGGAGCTCAGTCGAATTTGCTTCCAAAATATGACCGTGATTCAACGGAGAACGGCGACCATGTAATGATCTGAGAACGGATACTTGATTGTGACGAATCAGAAGAAGAGATTCGAATGAACGGCTCAAGGGTTCACCAACCATCACCATATATGCTTCGTCACAGTCGCGAGATCAACTCAGTCGATGCCAGGTGACTTTTCAGAAATATCTTTCTGCTTTGGTTTGTCGCTGAGTACGGTCACCCTTTTGTCCGTGCTCAACGTAGCAAACACTTGAGAAGTGCCGGTGGGATATCGGAAGTCGGAAGCCGGAAGCGGAATCGTTCCACCTTGAAAGCCCACACCGATGATAAGCCGATGAGCTGGAAAGTAATGTCTCGTTGATACTACAAGACTGCGATCAACATGTACATTCAGCGCCGCGGACATCCGTGGACGGGAAATATCTCGGAGAATAACAAACAATGGGGCCGTGATTTAAACGTCGAGTGGCAACGATAACGTTCAAGGTAGTAGACAGAGACTGGTACTGATCCGATCGATAGTGTACGTCCAGAACATCTTGTCTCGATAACAATATGATTGATGATGCAGCAAAGTACGTACCCAGCTGCACACAAAAACAATGTTTGGCTTCGCGATCAATGTAGGCCAGTACTACTAGGGAATAGCGTTGTTTAAATGTGTGCAGGTGACAACAAAGCTGCCTAGTTAGATGGTTGACTAGATGCTGCTGGAGCTAAGGGTCGTATGTTTAAATCGTTTAACTGTGACGGTCGCCAAGCTTAGTTCAATTCCAGGTATATCAGAAACAAAAGCTCTGTGTGATACGTTGCCGTAATTGACGGATATGCTGCGAAAGCGTTACGGCCTAAAGAACCGAAGAAAGGATCAAAGGCTGTTGAACACCCTTCATGCAGGCCAGTCACAGCTTAGATCGTGCCTTTCGTACCTCCAGGTCCAGTTTTCGCGTGTGTTATTACGATGGTATCATGTCGGGATCGAGTGGCATGATGCTTGCAATACGAGTGAACGGAACAGCTGCACATGCGGGTCTGGTTGGGTACAGCGATAGTCGAGGCGGCTATGTGCAAGCATCGCAGCATACATCTACTTCTAGGGGCGAACATGGAGGGGCCGTGGTGGAGCGAGGTGCATCGGGACTTCCTGGTCGCGTTAGTTCATCCTTGGCTGGAGCGGGATGTATTTAGCGGACGCTCGTCATTGAGTCTCTGCATATGCTCCCGTCTTGTTTGGTATCGTGTTGGCGTGAGTGGTGATTAGCTGTTCGGTATTATCTCGAGTATCGTACACAGTACAGTGGGGAATACGTCATGCACTGTGCGATCGGTATACCGAGACTTTCGAGCCATACTCTGGCTGCAGGCGGGACATGATCAGTTGAGAATGTGGAAAAGCACATGCGCGAAAGCCACAAACAAGACTATCGTTTTGCATATCCACTCTCAAGAGGGCAATATGATTGTCCACGAGCTTTGATAACCAATTCTTTGTTATCTCTTCTTGAAGCAGGCTAAAAACCTAGGCGCCGAAGGATTGAATGGCGCTGCCCTTGACTGTAAGTGGCATTTCTGGTTAGCAGTATCCCGAATACCGTGGCCATATGCAGTTTCAATGGCCCAAGGGTCCAAGTTGGTTGCAGATCGAGCGGTGCGAGCCGGTGGGTCTGTTCCCTCGAGCAGTAGAGGCGCGGCATACTACGAACCATTGTTAGCAGTCTGCAGAGCTCTTACACTCGGCCTATTCTTTGAATGTTGGCCGGGCCCACTGCCATTTGATTGACGTTGGTGGGCTTGAACGACATCCACTATGCGTAGTGTGCATCTGCCACGAGTTGGTCTGATGCACAACTACGGCAGATCTTCCATTGCCACAGGAAACAGACGTCACTATCCAGGGTCGCATTAGTCATGGGGACGACCTTGTAAGAAATACGCATAAATGGTGGTAGCCGACGGTTTATTGTGGGAACGTGACCTGGACTCGAGCAGCGGGCGGTTGAGCCGAAGCGAGAATGGTCGGTTGACAAACATGCGATAGAAACAAGAGCCGTCGTACGTAATCGTGCTCCACTACTCGGAGCAGGAAAATGGCGGCCGACGCTGTATGGCTGGAGACGCAACATGCGTGAATGTGAGCCAGGCTGCCTCACGCTTCAAACGGTCAGGTGCTGGAAAATATCCACAGTGGCCTATTGGCTCTATGCAGAATCGAGGCGGGTCATCGTCTTCGGCTGTCGGATATCTAGCGAGTCGCCATAGTCAGCTAGCTTGCAGACAAGGTAGTCCAGTGCAGGTAGTGCAGACATTGATTGCTATGTCAGTGACAAATTGCGACTAGAAGGGCGACACCGTTTTTGCAGCTGGCGATACTGTTCTACAAGTGGACCACTAGGAAAACGGCTCTGATCAGCGAGTAACGCCCTCGGTTGGTAAGGGTTAATAGCTACTGCATGAGCAGGGCTAGAGTGACGAAACCGTTTGGGAGCCGGTGGGCTGTGAACAAGTCCAATGGAAGCTGCGCGCTTTAGAATTAGCTGCATGGCCTAAAAGCGCCAACTCTAGAATTGTTCGGAAGTCCGGGGTAGTCTGGCGTATTGGTCTAAGCGTGGCCTCGCATCCTCCATCTGCTGCCGCCAGCTTTCCCCAGATTTTGCCAGGTTTGCTTACGGGTAGACGCTTGCTCCAGCAGATCGGTGAAGGCTCTCTGTACTGCAGGGCCGCGGATATATAATGCGCGCCATGTCATCGTCTTGTCTAGTTTCGTCGACGACTGCAGTTTGCAGTCGGCGCAGCGTGCTGTCAGTCGTGGTTGTTGGTGTAGTTCGGCGCTTTGGTGGCAGCAGAGACAAGGATGGCTGAATGTACCATGTAGGCCGAACGCGCGCATCCTCCCTTCGTTGCGGGTCCACGATGCTCGAGTCTGGGGAGCCAAGCTCACGCTCAAGCCATGGAGTCGTCCGGTTGCGTCGCAGGATGTGCTGCTGCATCGTGCACCCCAGACGCCTGCGATGGCGCCGAGAGCTATCCAGGAACAAGTGATGAAGGCTAATTTGGAATCTGCCGGCTACCAATCTATTCCAGCCGTGTGGTACGTACAAGTCTGACGTCGCCCAGACGCAGGCCAGCGAGCATTGTCGAAGACGGCGGCTCGATAGTAGAGGATTCGGCTCGACAGTGGATAGGCGATTCGGCAGCCACAGAGCGATGCTTGCTGCACGACAGCGGTCGAAAAACAACGCACACGGCGCCTGGCTTTGGTACCATGGGCCGAGGCCGTGTGGACCCCTGGAGCATATGATGCAGCCAAGGCGTGGTGCAGGTGAGAAGAGTCTCACTGGTACCTATTGCCGATCGGGTCGAGTTGCTGGCCCTGCCGACTTCCGGAGCGCAGACGACAGACGGTGTGTGCAGTGGGCCAGTGGGCCAGCGAGCCTCGCGATCAGCGCCAGCCAGCAACGGGCAAACTGTGGCCGCCTCTAGAAAAGTCTGCATGGGCAACTGGGAGCTCGCGGAGAGGCGAGTGCACGCAGACCCTGTCCACTGGCGGCCGACAGATCCCTGCAGGCCTGGGGCTTAGCTTGGAGGAGCGTTGCTGTGTCATGCACGCATCACGAGCACGGCCTCGGGGATCTGCTCGTTATTTGCTGTCTTGGGCTGGGACGAACGCACGCTCTGTAGACATTTGCTTTTGCCTCGTCGCCGTCACTTGCGTGAAGACTGCCGAGATACTTTGTTCAGAGCTTCATTGCGCTGCGTGTTTCGTGCGAGAGAGAGAGAAAAGGCCCCAGATTGCGTTACCCCAGCTTCTTTCTTTCCCCGGCTGTGCACCCGCGGCAGCACCACAGCCAATCGCCGCGCCGCTGTCCAGAGCTTGCCAATTGCTCCCGACGCCGTGTCTGCTCTGTATTCTAGCCCACAGGCAGTTCCAGCAAAGGCATCGGAACCTGGCGGTTGTGCCAGTAACGATTGCAGCAAGGCTGTACTAAGCGGCCCTCAGTCCAGCAACTCGCGAATGCTCACAGCCACCTCGACTATACGGGTCCTACCACTGTCCGTAGACTAGGTACGTACGTGCGCCATCGAGTGGACGGGCCGAATCAGCACAAGTTCCATCGACGTCCCTGGTTCATCTCTCCGCCGAGTCCGTTCAGCACAGGCTCGTCCTCTTGCAAGACGCCCTTGCAAACCATCTACGCTCCTGAGACCGCTTGCACTCGACATAACCCTCCAGTGGACATCAATTGGCCTTCTCCCACACACCTCCATTCTTTCCCACAGCGCCGAATTACCCCAGCTGCAACTGGCCATACACACGTCGCGCCCGAAGCCTTACATTGCTCACCTGCCCTCGCAACCTCGCCCCCAAACACCCCACGAACACCTGTTTGGCGTGGAGGCCTGCACAAGGTACTGCACTCTACTCTCGCTCTTGTGCCAACAGTTTGCTGACGTGCGTGCGCGGTTGCAGCGCCCTTGTCTCTTCGAGTCCTTAGTTACTCGACGAGTTTGTCAGTCCACGAAGCTTCACTTTCGCTTCACCAAGTCGGGCCCCTTTGAAGGTCCACAAGGCGAATTGCGTTGTGCCAGGCCAAGTCGAACATCACATAAGCAACGTGACTGATCATGTCTGCGCAAATCGAAGGCACGAGCCCTATGGCTCAGGCGAGCACTCCCAGCGACGGGTCGGGAAGCACCGTCGGCAGTAGTACCAGTGAGTGACAAACCACTGACAACCTCGTACCATACACTGACAATGCATGTCAGTTGTTGCGTCTGTACAGACTGCGCAACCAACAACCTCACAGCCCACCACGGCGACCTTCCCCCCGCCAAAGACAGACAAGCCCAGGCCACACGTCTGCACGACATGCAGTCGATCGTTCGCACGGCTGGAGCACCTGAAGCGCCACGAGCGATCTCACACCAAAGAGAAGCCTTTCGAGTGCCCACAATGTACCCGATGCTTTGCGCGGCGTGACTTGCTGTTGCGACACCAGCAGAAGCTGCATCAGTCTGGAGCAACGTCTACAAGGCCTCGCAATGCTCGTCGGGAAAGCACGACTGGCTTGCCTCCCAACTCCACAGCGCGTGTACGCAAGAACTCGGTGTCGAACAATCTTGGCAGCGGGAGTATGAGGCCCAGAGCGAACACGATCGGTCACATTGACGCAGGCCATCTGAGTAACTTCTTGGCAAACCACAACGCATCGTTAGCGGTGGGCTCAGGAAGCCATCATCCAGGACATTCTCGTCATGCGAGTATCTCTGGCATGAACCCAGCTAGTCAGTTTGATTACAGAGGCCTGTCAACATCTTTGGGCAACCACGGCCAACATCATGGACTACCAAGGATAGACACACATCTTGGCCTAAGCTTAAGCGGCGGGCTTCGAACAGCACCCATGCCAACTGTTGGCCCTGACGATCTTGAGCTCGAGAAATTCTTTGGTCCGTCGTCAGCATCCACCATCAATCCCAATCAGTTGCATCATTTCAACGCCTCTGTTGGACATCCGCAATCGCCATTTCATCAATTCGCCAACCCCTTCGCTGGAAACAACCCCATCGAAGAGGATGACTTCGTATGGAACACAAGCCTAGACAATTCGATGATGTTCAATGAGTTGGCTGTCGACGGATCGTCACCCTCAGCCATGAGTAATGCAAGCCAAAATACATTCAACGAAATAATGATAGACGGCTCAGGTCAGCCCACATCTGCCGCCATGTGGCATAACCCATTAGTTACTCACGCCAACATCAACCCGACACCCTACACCCTCGACGCCATGGCTCCTGTATTTCCTGAGTTGATGATGCATGCCGTCTCACCCAATGATCTTGGAGACCATGGAGTTCAGAACGACTTCTATATGGCTTCGCCTCCTCCACTACCAAACACAAGTCCCTCTGCAGGCATTCCTGGTATGCCCAATCAATATTTCCAGGCACCCTTGACCTTCAACTCTGATTCTGGTAGTATATCTTCGTCCAGAAATGGAAGTGCGAGGCACAGCTCAGTAACGTCCGTCTCTACAGAATCCATCACCGATGCTACCAGACAAGCTCTGATGTTCAATTTGTCGCAAGCTCTTGGGTACGGTCATCCGCAAAGGAAATTCTCTCAACCTCAAATCAGCTCACCCTTGTCTACTACAAACAGTGGAAAACCCCAGGTCCAGGTTGCCTCGCTTCCAACTACCATGGATCTCCAACGCTTTGTGAACGCATATATACAATTCTTTCATCCTCACCTACCCTTTCTACATATCCCAACTTTGTGTTTTGATACTCCAGCATACACATATCACCTGCGCACTTCTAGCAGCTACAATCACGACGGCATGGTTGGTGGTGGTGGCTGTCTAATTCTGGCGATGGCAGCGATTGGTGCTCTCTACGAGTTCGAGCACAATGTTGCGAAAGAACTCTTCGAGGCCGCGAAGAAGATGATTCTTTACTATTTGGACGAGCGTCGTCGAGCTGGTCTTTCAGCTGCAGTCAATGGACCCAGCGTTACTAACGACTCTCTCAACAAACCACCACTGTGGTTAGTTCAGGCCATGTTGTTGAACCTTATATTTGGTCACAACTGTGGTGATCGACAGGCTGCTGAGGTCGCCAGCACTCATTGTGCAGCCCTTGTGAGTCTCGCAAAAGCTTCTGGGTTGGATAAAGCTGCGACTGCAGAGACGATGAGCCATAGTCCCCGTCATCAAACGAACGGTCATGATGTTAGCATGATGGACGACACAGATATGAATCATGATCACTCCCAGACTGACACCGTCAACGAACACGCCCAGTGGATTCAATGGAAGAAGATCGAGGAACGCAAACGAACGTACTTCGCTGTGTTTTCAATGTCGAGCTTGTTAGTTTCGGCGTACGCACATGCTCCACGGATTCTGAATTCCGAGATTCGCCTCGACCTTCCTTGCGAGGAAGACATTTGGTGCGCAGACAGCCCTCAGGCATGGATGGCAATGGGCGGCCCAATGGTTGCACAAACAAGAGGACTATCTTTCAATGCTGCCATGACCTACTTGCTGGAAGCCAGCACACGACAGTCAGGCAATCGCATGCATAACTCATATGCTCAAGCATACAGCGGCCAGTCTATGAACGACAGCACTGGAAGCGATATTCGACCTAGCACATTCGGGTGCTACGTCCTGATCAATGCGCTACACGTTTACATTTGGGAGACACGACAAAGACACACCGGACGTTTGTGGAAAACACAGGAGACTGAAGCCATGCATGCCCAAGTTGAACCTGCACTGAAGGCCTGGCAGTCTGCTTGGAGGACCAACCCCAATCACAGCATTGAGCGACCTAGCCCATTCGGTCCATTGTCCGCTGACTGCATACCCTTGTTGGACCTAGCGTACGTGAGGCTTTTCATCAATCTTGCCAGGTCCAAGGAACTTTTGTGGCAGCGAGACTTTGATGGCATGGCCAATGAGCTCGCAAGAGGCATTGAAATCGTTGCCCAAGCCGACGGTTCCCCGGAGAGTTCCTCGTCCTCGGACCCTAGAAACACAGATGGTTCTGATATTGTCGGCCATATCAACCAGTCCAACCAATCGTCAAAACGCGAAAAACACCTTCGCAAAGCTGCGTTTTATGCAGCCGACTCTCTTTCTATGGCAGATAAACTTGGTGCAACATACGTCGATTTCACTGCTAGGGAACTACCTAACTCATCCGCATTGTGTACCTTCGACTGTGCACAAGTTCTCGCTGAATGGGTCGCCACTGTTCAAGATCGTGTTGGGCGTTTCCTAGGTATTCTGGGCAAAGACAATATCGACTTCACCGCCGTTCCTGCAATCATGCTCCTTGAAGAGGAGGACGTCAAGCTCCTGCAGAAGGTTGCGGACATTCTCCACCACGCGGATATGAAACTGGCTTACGATATGTCTGCCAATTCAGGGCCTGTATTCAGTGGTTATTCGAACCTGGGCCACGTCGGATATGGCACGAAGCTACTCATGGTGACAGCGTATATGCTGTCCAAGGCTGCTGTCTGGCCAGGTGAGTTGCAATGTCCATTCTTCTGTTTATGTGCTAACCATATTCCAGTTACCCACGTCCAAGCACGCGCACTAGAATCGCATGCCAATCACATCAACCAACGAGCGGAAAACTCCGTGAAAGCCTCGTAAATTCTTCATCTTTTCGTTTTGTACAAACTTTACGCCACACCATCACCACGGAGTTCACCACAGTCAATACCCCTGGCGACATGACAGCCTGAACGACCATCAACGAACCTCACGAACTGCCTCGACCTGTATTCTTGTACAGTACGCAGCAGGCTATCCAGATCGGCATGAATCGAAAATGGAACAAATCATAGTGCTTGTCTTAATGGAGATATGTTGTTGATGTTCTGGGAAATTTCTCACTCTCATTATTCTTCTGCGATCGTTCTTGACCTCATACGATCTTTCTTGAGAGGCTGTTCCTTCGCTTTTCGTGCCTTCGACACATTTCATTGTCCACAAAATGCTACGCATGTTCAATTCCGGCTGGCAGCCGAACTTATCAACACACAGGCGTTCATGGTAGGGTTTAGGAAGTTTTTCCACTGGAGTTCAATTGTCTTCAGTTTCACGAGGTTCTGTATCAACGAGAGCGGCCTTCGAAAGCACGTTCAAGACCTGTTTGTTTCGTCCTTAAGAACTTGGTAGCAACGATATTACGAATGATGGTATAATCCGGGTTCAGGATGCCAAGTCAGCGCGGGAAAAAGTCTAGTTGGTCAAAGGACCAGGAGTATATTGAATAAACGCATTGTTTTCTGCACACACGCACACACTTCAAAGTCACATGTAAATCTACCTCACGGTCACAGGCTTACACTCGGCCCAAATCCGGATTTCCCATACACGCAGCAGCAGCTTCCAGACCCTGAAATCTCGTCCCCCCTAAAATTCTGCTCGGTCATCTCGACGCTACTAACATACCCGGTGCCACGTTCTTTCCTGCCTTATACTACTCTACGGTCCGCTAGCGGGAAGGCATGTTACATGCACTAAAACTCCGCCTTGTGTCGGACCAAGGTCTAATGTTCGCGCTTGCGCTTGCGCTTACAGTTCGCGCTGCATGCATACAGTCTGGCTTCCGGCGCCGTCCGATGGGGCTTTATTCATAGCCACCTCGCGCTCGGAGTCGTGGCCGGATCTTCGGACGATCGGCGATAGGGCGTGTGTGTTCGGAGGGTGTGTGGGCGTGGGGTGTATTTTGGTATGTATACATATGCATCATCAGGGTGGGATCAGTCGATCGGCGTTTTACACAGCACTTGCCTGGGTAGATATCGACCATTGACTAGACCAGACCAGAAGGCTTATACGGCCCAGATACGCTACGTCGATATCTACACACACAACGTCTCCACATTCCTACCCAGCAAACCCGCATGGACAGGGCATGTGCGTCTGTCCGTCCGTTCGTCTACCACCCACACATGCCATCCCCGACGTCGGATTTAGCTCCCACTAGCGATCTGGGGAAGCATCGCAGCTCGGCGTGCACAGCCAGCCTGTCGGAGGCCCTCCGTTATGGAACATGCCTTGTCACAAGACAAGATCTCTGGGTGGCTTTGGGGGTCGGATTCGGATCTGGATGGCTTTTCTGTGCATGGCTTCGGGCCTATACTAGACATGGCCAGACAAGATCAGATCACATCAGACCAGGCACCCCGCTTGTGGAGATTTGCATGGTTGACGGATTTTCTTGGCGGGAGAGAGTGTTCGTGGAAGATTTCGAGCGGGGAGAGCGATTGGCTGCTCGGGGTGGGTATATCTGTTTGCTCAGGGTGAGGTATGCGGTTTGGTGAATGCCATTTGGTCTGCTTTGGTGTAGTGGGACATGTGGAGGTGGATCTACTCGTGGATCTACCATGGGTGTGTGCTATCGTGAAGGAATGTGTCCGAAGATTCTCGGTTCACACAACCTAAGAATAGTTCTGATGTGAATGCTGGGAGGTTTCGATCTCGTGTGTTGAAGGTCATTGTGGATGGACTCTGGTGCCGGGTAAATATCTTGGAAACGCTGGTTCCTTGGAGACTGGAGACGGCGGTATAACTTACGCTAGTTTTCGAAGATAGTAGGAAGTTCAAGAACTACTGTGGGAACTATTACACGTCGTTATCAGGCACTGTGGCCTAGTCACTGCGCCTCTGCAAGTTGTTAGGCGATTAGATAGATTTCTACGGTAGCACGATAAGGCGCGTACCAAGAGGGAATGCACCAGCCACATCTCACAAAGGAGCACGCGAAGTGGGACATGAGAGCCGAAGAACACTGACGTCTATCAGAGAATGCGATGTTCGACTAGTCGCGTCGTCGTGATGGAGCACGTGCGTACGCGTTTCATTGGTTCCTTCCAACGCTTGGACCGTGCTTTTCCACTCCTTCGACGTTGCGCCATATCTTCTTCTCGCTTCACAACTGCCGCAGCGGGTTTCTTGGGAAGCAACCGGGATTCTGAAGCGTCTTCGAGAATAGTAAAGGCGCACGGGAAGTGCCGCGGAAGATGTCGCGTCCTGCGGCGAGGAAAGCTGTGCCCAAGGGCGAGTATATTGAGACTGTAAGTATTGTGTAATCGAGCATTGCCGGATATGCTCTAGTCTATGAGTTTCCTTCCGTACAGCGTACTCGATCAGACTACGCTTTTGTACTCGATTAGACTACGCTTTTGTAGGCTTCTTCTCTCGCTGGTTGGTCCTCGACCGGCTTCTCTTTATCATCTTTTCTCGGTTCTCGTAATGTTGTTTGCGTGCATGTCTAGCTTCATGTTTCTCAAGGCTAGCAGGCATATGGATGTTTGGTCAGCTCTGACCGGTCTGTAGGACTCCGGTAACAAAGTCTCTCGACGCTCTGCTATTACTGGAACAGCAAATATCACGCTAGGCGGCCGGACTGTCATCATGGCAGACGTACAATTGCGAGGCGATCTACATTCTACACGTCCGGTCCCGTCGCAATCGGGGAGAGAGGTTACGCCTACCAGCATCAGCATTGGCCGATGTACAGTCATATCCACAGGAAGCGTCATCAAGCCCCCGTGTCGAATCAGCAGAGGTCAGGTTCAATACTACCCGATGAAGATCGGCGACAATGTATACGTAGGTATGTGAACAAATCCTTCCCAGGCTTGGAAATCTCGAACTGAGAATACCTTTGTTGCCTGATGTCAAACTAACACGCTCAAGGTCCCAACTGCACGATACAGGCCATCAATATATCATCACATGTTCATATCGGGGAGAAGGTCACTATACAGCCCTTTGTTATCATCAAAGAGAATGTCAAGATCTTGCCGCACTCCGTGGTACCCGCTAATATGGTCATCGCCTCGGGATCTGTTGTCGGTGGACAGCCTGCGAGGATAGTCGGCGAGGTGGGAGAAGGCTGGGGCGTCAGTGGAGGTGGCGCAGGCGGAGGGCTTGGGGTCGGTGGAGGCGGAGAGGAGAAGTGGGTTGAGGGTGGCGATCTGAGGGAGTTGGTGAGGAGTATCAAGTAGTCATCTGAGTGAAAAGGGATTTGGTTTGAAGTAAATAGATAGATCTTCACGGCGTAATGTCCCCAGTACCTAGATGGGCTGGTGGCCATCTCTGTCTGTCTTCTTGATACAATTATTGTCGGGTGTGACAACAATTTCTATATACTGTTCGGACCTCGTTAAGATTATATTGTCCAACTTACCAACTGACATGAATCTGGTAAGAGCCGAAGCTCTGAATCTGATATAGCCGATCGAATCTCATATTAAAAACCAGTAGTCCATATTCGCCACTGGCAAAGCTCCGTTCGTAGGACTGTCAGATATCCATTAGGTGGAATTCTCATAGCTCCTTGAGATGCTGTCACCTAAAAGACCCACCCATGTGCTTATGATTCAAAGTGAGATCAGGCTACAAGCCTTGTCCGCCTTCAAATTATCCAGAAAAAACTTTGTCGACACTCCCCCAACACCACAACTTGCACTCAGCCACAAACTGGCAACTTCTGTCATCGCTCCCTATATCAACTCAGCTTTCGTGTGCGCACGAACAGTGCTGTACTCTATTTGCACCTGTGAGTGTGTCGGCCGCCCTTCCAGTCTCAACTATGCAACCTAACGAAAATTCGACCTTCACAGATTGCTTCGTGTCTGGAACAAGCTTGGCTGGGCCTTGCCATAAGTCATTGAATGATTGTATGGATCTAATATCAACGAAGAGACCTGCCCACAAGTCCATATGGATCAACGCCCGCATGTTGCATTCGGAGACTCTTCAGACCCAACCCAGACGTTCCGTCCTCCGAAGCTCCCAATAGGTACTGATGAAAAGGGAAATGAACTAGGAGTACCTTTTCGTCTAGCAGAATTAGCAAGCGGCATCAAAACCAATCTTCGTTGGAGGAATATATCGATATCTGAGGCGCAAGACGGGCCAGCAGTACGAGAATCAGACACGGCATTTCGACCAGGCGCTGAATACTGGTATAAAGCTGAAGCTCGGAGCTCGTCAAGACCTGGGGAGAAATAGTTATTGGTAAGAATGTTTGCGTTACTGCGAAGTATGGTGGTTGTTTTGACATATTTCAGGCCCAAATCCACTACATCCAGATCTTCCAGAGGTGGTCTCGCTTCCACCCAAATGGCCTCAATTAAACCCTCAGATTTATACTGTACCAGAGTGTGATCCATTCTATCCCTTTAACCCATATTGCTTGTCACTATGGGTACTCGAGGATGCGAAGTGTATTCGTAAGAGCCTCAAAACTCTTGTTAGCGAAATACCAGGATTGGAGTAGCTTTATGGAAACGAAGAAGATAAGATGACACCGCCCTACATCAGGTTCAACACAGTTTATTCCAAGGAAAGCGACATCGAGAAAGCTGATGAATTTCTGAGACTCTACCTGTACAGCACTGCGCTTGCCTCACTCCTCATTGAACTGAAACACGCAGTCCTTATTCCAGTGTCTATGGAAACGACAAGCGGCACGCCTACGATATATTGGCGTTCCTATCCACGAAGACAAATGCACCAATGGTGAACTATATCGATTTCATCACCAAGAAGTGCGGGCACCTTCAGAACGAGATCCTGCGCGTCTGTTTCTTCAGTTCATCTCAACCATATGGCCACACGTGAATCGTTCAGTCGATCCCGGTACGAGTAACACCTCCACTGAGCCTGACAATTCGAACACACTACGTTAAAGGATAACATAGATCTCTGAGTTTCTGGGGCTTGGCTCATGACCTTCACTCATTTTGAAGACGGTGGCGGGATGAGGAGCAATATCTGGTGGACTACATTCGACCAATATCGAGAAGGGGGTGGAAGTGCTTGGGCGCCTCGTAAAGCAAGAGATTACACTCACATTGCGCGACGGTCTTTGTGTGGAGGCGAGTTACAAGGAAGCGCTGTATACTATGAAGGACAGTGGACTTATCTAAGCGCTGAGTTTTGTTTTCCACCACGATGAAACACCCATAGACGTAATGGCTGAATCTGTCCAAAGCAAGGTTCTTGGCGCAACAATCCGTACACATTCGTTTTTATATATTGATCGCCGCAACACGTGGCGATCGGGCGCAACCGTGTTTCAACGCGGGAGAATCCACCCAAAACCCAACTGCTCGGAAATGAGGGCACACGTTTACGGCATATAGGGTTTAAATTGACAGACGACGACCTTGACCTCTATCTGGATCTTCAAAGTGAGGCTGTGTATCGTGTATTCAACGGCCATCCATGTGTAACATATTCGTGGTCATTACTTCATGATACATCTCCACAGCGCCGATCGGTGCCAAATTCTGTGTAACATGACACAACACCCGTAACCCGGTTCTTGTAGCACCTTCGGCGGTTTTCTCGCGGCGTGCAGTTTCACTTCATGCGCTGACATGGTTGCATCGGCGGCAACCGAAACGGAGTTTTCACGTGAATGGCAATTCTGCATCGGGTATGTCGTGCGACCCGAACGCGAAACAGAGTCCCCAAGTTGGATGTGCAGTGGTAGTGAGTGTCTTGAAATGATAGAATTGCTTTTTGATGTCATCTAAACGAGTGAAGTCTCCTGTTTGCCGTTCTTGATCTCCATGCTCGACAGTTCGAAGTCTGTCTTGTGGTATATTCCCTGGTTGTCCCACGAGTCGGTAGATGTGTCGCCCTTCCCGTCGGAGTATGCTGTTGCGCTATGGCTGGTGATATACTCAGCGGGTTGTCTAGACACTGTTAGCGAAGCGTCCGGGTTCAAGAGTTTGTTGCGAGACATACTTGCTGCGTCGGCCCGTACCAGGAGCAGTTTCCATGATATTAGATGCCAACTTCTTCGAGGTCAATGACGTGTGTATGTCTCTGATCAATGGGCGCAACACTGGAATGCATTGTACGATAATCGTGCCAACGACTTCTGATGAAAACCAGACGTTCGAGAGCGCGTTTCGCCAAAAGTACATCGTGTCCTTGTCGTTTCCTTCGCTCTTCCAGCCTGTTCGTATCGCTGATACGACGGCAACTATCATTCCCTGCGTGAAGCCTTACGTTAGTGACCCGACCTTTTGCGACGCTCAAGCGGCGTAATGGTGTACATCGTCACTTACCAGACTCATAGTTGCACAAAGACCGACCTTCTCAACCCTGCGCATATCCAGATGCCATGTAATGATCCATGGGAAAAGAGCCAGGACAAAGTCCATAATAATGTTGTACACTGGCCGTATTGTTAGTGAACTGAGATGTGAGTTCTCGAGCTCAACTCACCATTGCCACCCTCTTTAAACCCTTGTCGAAAATCCCAATCGAGATACAAGTTAATACGGTACCAGACGTTATAACTTGGCTTGTCGTAGATCTTGGCCCATTGGAAGACAACCTTGACAACCATGTAGAGGTTCATGGACACAATGATGTACCACAGCACCCATCTTTGCCAGCCTTTGGTCAGCTTGAGTAGGGTCACTGCGAATGCCGTCTTCGTCAATGCCTGCCCTACAAGGGTGCCACACGATGTTATGTTGATGAGAATGTGCATGCGATCGTCCCATACATCAGCGACATAGCCAGTTGCAAACTCCAATGATATTAGACTGTTGTTGACTGTGAGGATGATCTGAAGAGGGGTTAGACACGGCTTGCTACATATATATCTGATAGTGCATCGGACGCAAAGAGGTGCTCACCCAGGATACAATAAGAATCCAGTCATCATACCAGAGTCCATGGCGTCGAGTGATTTTGATCCACACCCGAAGGCCGAGAAACGCAGTCGCACCGGCATACAGAGTCCATAGGCCGACATTGAGTGGTATAGAGGGGTCGACATAGACGTGGGCGTCCTCTCTGGTTTGAATCCCATGGGAGAGCATCATAACATTCTGGTTAAGCGAGCAATTCCGAAACGAAGTGAAAAATGAAGGAGTGTGAGGAAAGAGGGCGGGTGATGAACGGTAAAACGGAAAAAAACAAAAAACAAGAAAGAAGGCAAAAGAGAGAATGGAATCAACCCGTTCCCAATAAGTCTACGCGAGGAAAGTGACAGTCTTACAGCCTTTTGGAGGCATCAACATCCTTCAGCACATGCATCGGGTTCTAGACTGGACTCGCGAAATGAAGCCCCTAGGACGCCCCTGCGAAGGAATTGGTGGAACAACCGTTATGTGCCTAACGGCTCTGTGCGTGATCCGGGATGCTGGCATGTTCACGGCTTGCTAGCCAAAAGAGGACATGTTCCTGTTACGTGCAGGGTTTCGATTACGCGGGACGGAAGCCGTAGAAGAAGGCTTCGTCAACTGCAGACACTGGCGCGAAATTTCCACCGGTATACGACAGCTGTCACGCGTCCCATGAATGGCTCATCTGTCGAAAAGAGGCCCACATACGTACGCATCGTCAGAGGAACATTTTCTCCGCGAACTACAAAGGTGTGACTAAAGAGGATCGTGTGCAGGAAAAGACACCAACCTGGCGCATTGGTCAAGATCGTGGCTGCGCCTGGTTTCTGCCTCGATGAGCCACGCTGAACACGCTGACCACGTTCGTCCCGGAGCCGACCGTCGGAAGGCCCGAAATGAGGTGTAAATTGAAACTGCATTTGTGATCTCAGCATGACGCCAAGCCTGATGGGTCTGTATCAAGCTATCAGCTCAGGCAGCACGGTGGTCGTAGAATTTTTAGAGATGGCTGCAATCTCCCAGGTAGGTGCTTGGAAAGCGAAAACGCGGGGCGTTTCACCATCAGCCCAACTTGCCGAGCCGAAGCACGCGAACAACGTCATCGTATCGCTTATCTTGTTTCCTCCACCTGCTCTGGTATCCCGCTGATTCCCCAATTGTACCATGGCTGAGGAACAATTGCGACTAGCTTCCGTGCGGGGCGGCAGAGATGGGAGCACATCAGCGGCATATCACAGTACCTAACCTAATCAGACGCGCAATACGTTCACGCCAACTTGCGACCAGACGCTGGCCGAGTTTAGGTAATATGTACAGAGCATAAGGTCCACGGTACCGTGCGTGGAGATTTTGCTTCGCCGATGATGGAGCGAGATCGAATTCGTGGTTGCAGGGATACCGCAATCTTAAATTACCTCAAGATTACCCAAGAGTTCGGTACTTGCACTGCGGACTTAAGACATCGTTGCCCTCTTTACCAAGGCTTCCTTCTCTCTTGGAAAACCGTTTTTTCATACAGAATCATCCCATCTCACCCTCTTGGCAGTTGTAGTTCGCCCATATCAGGCTTTTGTCACCGAGAGAAAATCAATTATGACCAACATGATAAGAGACTTATCGCTGGCATCCCTGGTTATATGCTTAAATCCTTCATGCTGCGCCCTCTTGTTGTTGGCCGTGGGCAGGCACATGCTAACAATAGGAATGTACACTCCCAAAGTCACCTTCTATTACTGGTTATGCAACAGCAAGTTGTAGTGTTGCAGCGTCGTTATTGGCAAGAAACGTGTAGGGTTACATGTGTTTCTTCTTATGAGTGCATGTTCTCATTGTTCTTGCGTAGCAGGTTTCATGTTATCTGTGAGTGCCTTCGCTAGACTCGCCTTGCCGTTCAAGCAGCACTTGAGATGCTCTTTGGTTTTGTCGATTATTCACATATCTGCCAATGATAGCAACTTGCTTACCACCATGATCCTCATCGACTTCGCCTTTGGATGCGCAACCAGGAACTCTATGGACGAACTCGTTGCTATTCCGTAGGCCACGTGCTTGGTCGCCTCATAACTGGAGGAGTTTCTGACTCCGATGTGCAATATTCGCAGTGGAGACTTATGAGTGATTGGATACGAAGTGCGGAGTCTGTGGTGTGGTCAAGTGGTCAAATGACCATAGAATGGGTCGCGTGCTGGACGATCGAGGTGCGCAAATCGCTATATCCTTCGGCAATAACGACTGAAGAGGGCGGAGCACAACGTAGGTAGGTGTCATCGTATGAACATATGCATGCGTGTATGCAACTCGTAACGCGTTCAGACTGTGTGACATCGCTTGTCGCAGGCCGATGTGGTGTGACTTGTAATTCTTTGAGGTGACAGTCTCAGATAGATGTTGAGGATGGTAGGTGAAGAGGATGCACGTTGATCACAGCGAGGGCGTTCCAGATGTATTGTCATCTGCTCATGCTCAAGACATTGACTGCTAGAGCACAGTGCTAGGACCAAGAAGACCATGGGCTTGGTCGACAAATAAGCAGTGCGTTGGCAAGAATTATGGGTTGAGGTCGACTCCACAGTTCCAACACAGCGATCTTGAAGTCCCACGACGCACATCAAAGCGCACTTGTTCGTCAAGAGATCCCATTTGTAGCAGCAATAGAGCGTAAGAAGACAAGAATGCATATCGAAACCGCCACTCATACATTGGCCTAGCCATTCCATCTGAACAGCCACGCGTGATTACCACAAGCAACGCATACAGGCACTCGCAGAGGCAGTGATTGATATCTTGCTGCTAGATAAATATAGAAACGTCCACCCTTGCGAGGACCAAAAATATGAAGATCCCAGCATACAATATCCCCTCACCCTGCCTCACTCCCAGCAAACCACTCACTCTCCAACAGTATACTCCCTTCCAAAAATACACCATTAACACCGGCATCACCACGCTTCCCCCATCAGACCACGTACAAAGCAAAAAAACACTACCACAAGCACCACTTTACTCCCCACCTCCACATCAAACCTCTCCCAACAAAACCACCCAAAACAACATCAACAAGACAGCAAAACCCCAAAACACACCCAACAAGCCCCCACAATCACTCCGCCACAAACCCGCACCACCTTCCTCCCCCATCCCCTCTCACCCCTCACCCCGAAGCTAACCCGAAACCCACCCGCGACAAACACCGCCGACATTGAACCATTGAACCCGCCCCGAAACGCAAAAACGCCGAGCACAACACAATACCCAACACCCGAACCCGAAGGTGCCTGACGTGTGCTAGACTTTTCGAGAGATAGTGCACAGACGCGGATAGGAGTGGAAGCCGTAGATAGGTAAGTAAAAGGCCGGGGTAAGCCAGGTCAAGCCAGGTCAAGCCAGGGAAAGGAATAAAGTTCAGCTCATTCCGGGAGACTGGGGAGACTGGGGTGGGGTGGGAGGTGCTATTTATAAACGCGTGTGTTTGTCTGGGGGTTGGTTGCTGGTAACTTGCTGTTTCGTTGATTTTCGTAGGCAGATGGCTTTTGGGGAGATAGTCGGACACTGAGATGGTGGGGGTTTGCGCGGTTGTGCTGATACGTATCGTCTCCTTCATCGCGTACTTCTATAGATGTTTGCGAGGGTTGGGTAGTGTGTAGTTAATGTGCTTTTGGGGCAAGTCGCACCCGCTCCGTCTCTCGAAGACCACGGTTGGACTGTACGTACGATCGATAATGTGCAGTGTCGAGCGCGATGAGATTGCTACAAGTATGCAGTGGGAAGGTAATTCCCTACCGTTTTGATAAGAGCACGGTACTGGCACTGGTACTGGGTATCTGATCTGCAGCAGCTGAAGACATAAAATCGTATTGTGTCATGTAGTATTCGTCCCAACTAAACCTCACCACACTCTCCCCACCCACCCAAGTCCTCCACCTCCTCGCAGCGCAAAAACCAAGCGATAAAGACCCATCAAGTCCCATCCCATCCCCTCACTTCCCCCTCTCCCCCATCACTCCGCCTCACAAATCTGACACGCCTCCTTCGCGTCCCTCCCCATCAAGCCCCTCCTCGCTCTCCTCGCACTCGCACTCCCACCCGCGCCCGCAAACCCGACCGCGGCATTGAACAAATCCGCCGTACTCTGATCCCTCGTCCCCGCCGCCGCCACCTTCGCTTTCGCATCCGCGCAAATCTGTTTCGCGGCGTCATTCGCGTTGCAAACATTTGTCAGCTGGTTGCAGAGCGCGTTTGTGATGATGTTGGGGTTTAGGGCTTCTTGCTGGCCGCCGCGGGCTAACGGGTCGGTGATTTGGAAGGTGAATTCTGTGGCGGGGCGCGAGTTGAGACCGCCTGCGAAGAAGATGGTGGGGGTGCAGAGGCCGAAGTCTGCGGTGGTGGTGGATGTTGATGTGGAGTTGGTGTCAGAGTTCGAATTCGTATTGCTATTACCGTTGTTGTTGGAGTTGGTATTACTATTGGCGTTGGTGTTCGAGTTGGCGTTGCCGTTGTTATTGGTGTTGCTATTAGAGTTGTTGTTGCCATTGCCGCTGTTGTTAGAGTTACCCTTAGAATTGCCGTTATTATTGTTGTTGCCGCTGTTATTAGCATTCCCACTCGACCCAGCAGCCGTCCCATTGCCCGCCGTTCCCTGTCCAGCACCTATTGCAATAATCAGCATCAAGCCATCAACCAGAGTAGAACAGCATCGACATACCACCCGCCGCGTCCTGCGCCACAACCAAATCCGCCAACCCAGCCTGTTGCATAACCTCAAACACACTCAACCCATCCGCCGCCAACGGACTCGCAGCCGAACTCTTACTCAACGCCGCCACCTTCCCATCAACATCCACATCGGGATCAATAAGCGGCGTGATGCCCCTCAACTCCGGTGTGGCGGGTAGACTCGCATCTGCGCATACGTTCTGCACATTGCCGCCCACGAATGGGTTTGTGTTCTTCTCTGCGGTCACCATGCCGATGGCGGCGGCGAGTGCGTCGGCGCCGCCGCCGAGCTTGGTCATGATTTCGTCGGCGCGTTGGAGCTGGATGGGTCAGATGTGCGAGGTGGAAGGGGGAGTGGGAGGTGGTACCTTTGCGCAGGAGTTTGCAGCGCCCAGGATGTCGCTTATTGCTGCGCCGGCGATTGTTGATGCAACGCCAGGGTCGCCGGCTTGGACTTTTTGGATGGCGGCGATGGGGACTTGTTCTTGGCCGAAGCGGGCGAGTGCGCGGCTGACGCACAGCGAGATGAGGAGGGATTTGGAGAGCATCTTGAGTAGGGGGGTGAGGTGGAGATTGGGATGTTGATGAAGGGAGACCGGCTCCAACAGTGTATGGATATGTAAAGGGGAAGTGGAATGGCTACCGGTAGCTATTCGACTTGAGAGAATGTAAAATGGGATTACTAACAAGCGACAGTGGGAATGGAAGAAAGGGAGTGTCAAGTAGGGTGGAGTTGTGAGGCGTGATCGGAATGCCAAACCTGAGGCTACGAGCCTCTTATACATATCATCTCAACTCACTAACCACGATGCGATGCCTCTCCAAGTAAGCGCCCGCTCATCAGACTGCAATCCAGATGTCTCGGTTCTCCACCCAGAGGTTGCGAATCAAAAATTTCACCGCTGTCAGGCATGGAAGATTGCCCGCAAAGACGTTCGCGCCAAGATGTCAGACACTGTCAAGACGTATGATCAGCAGGCTGCGACGTCAGTATGTAGGAGAACATGTATGTCAAAGCCGCTTTATTGTGTGGCTAGATGGTTGTCAGAGGGTGACAGGCGGTGTCGTGACGTGCTTGGTCGCAGTACAGTTTCATCACACCTGTCGCAGCGGCTGACGGTAACGAACATCAATGCGTTGGAGACTCGATCGCATGCACACGGGACTAGAAATCGAGTGAGCAAATAGTAACAACATGTAGCAAAGGGCAAATGCGGTTGACGAAGATGCGCGCTCGTATTCGAAAACAAGGCGGGCGTTAAGCCAGGCGCCTCATGCAGCCAAAATTCTAAGCTGAACAGCACCAGAAAATGCCCAAGAACAGGAGAGAGTAGGAGAGTATTCGTAATGCCTCTCTCGAGGGCGCTTATAGCCTATCCAATTTCCTCCGCAACAGCCTTGTCCTCTTCATCAGTTTCTTGTACTTGTGCTTCTTCATCTTCAGCTTCCTCTGCCTCTTGACACTGATCAAGAACATGCCTCCCCGCCGTCTCCTGACGTGCTCCCTGAACGTCGGTCTCTCGGGAAGCATGACTTCGGTGATGCGCTGGTTGATAGCATCCGCCATCTCCTCTGCGTTCTGGGCATACAGCTCCGGCTCCGCAGCCAGCGCATTGGAAGGGTTTGGTGGCGGCGGCGGTCGGAATGGAAGGAGACGCGATGCCCAGCTCTCGACGCTCTCCTGTGTTGGCATGGCCGTGTCGAGGTGGTATACCTCGATGGATGCCTGTTGTGCGTCTGCGGCCTGCTCTTCGGCGGCGTCAACCTTTGCGGTTAGGCGGTCGATGAACTCGGTGAGAGTGCGCTTGGTGCGTTGTATCGACCTGGTGCTGTGCTGGGCGACATTGTCGAACAGGGCGTCGAACTCGGCCGTGGACGTGGGCTCGGGCCACGAGTGTTGGATGGAAATGGGGCGGTGGAGCGAGAAGAAGGACGACAGCTTCACCTCTGCTATGAGTCAGCACACATGCACACACACAAGCACACCATCCAAGCACACGTGTGGGGTGACGTACCATGCTCGTGCAGGTGGTCGGTCGGCCGTACGTAGGGAAGGTTGAATGCGACCGCGGGCGTCTCTGCGGCAGTCGACACATCTTTGGCCTTGCTCTGCTTCTCTGCCCTCTTCGCTGCGCTGTGCAGCTTCCGCGCACCGAGCTCCTGCTCATCCACGCGCTTCTTCTTGTTATCGGGCGGTGTCGAGGGCTTGGACGACGACAGGCGCCGCTGCTGCCTCGGCGGGATGAAGGGCTGCTGGGCCGTGTTCAGCACAGCGCGGTTGAGGGCGCTGGCGGGCGCTGCAGAGAGGGACGTGGTCGAGCGGACGACTCTCCCTATGGCAGGAGAGAACATGGCCGGCTGGAGGGGCAGGTTGGTGATGCGAGAGGCTCGACGCGGCTCTGGAGGGCCGATATCTGCAATGCACGTCCGTGCCAAGGCGCGAAATTCACGGGAAAACCATCACCAGCAGCACTCGACGGACACCTTGAACCATGAAACAACTCCATTCCTTTGCCACCCAACCGCTTCTCCATTCCCAAGTGTAGACCCACGCTAACCTACCCCATCCACCAAGACTCATCGCCTCTTGAAATATGTTCTCTGTACAAAAACCTCCAATGAACCACGCCTCTTCCCCAACCGCCTTTCACTCGTCACTCATCCCTCATTGCCACCACGTCATATCCACCAAACCACCTCTCTACTCAGTGCACACCTTGGACCCACATCCGATCAAAAAACAAACTCCTCGCTTCGTAGTTGCCGTATTTAGACGCCACAGCCGCCTACACATGAATAGCCATCGTCCAACGTCATTCCCTGACGAGGTGCTGTACCTGAGTCTTGACATAACACCTCTCTACAGATGTGCATAAGCTAATGTAGTGGTATCTTGACTGGTGATACATTTCAATATACTATATTTTGACATTACTTGTTAAGCCCCCATACCACCTCGCTCTTAGCTCTGCTTGGTTGCTAACTCGCCATGTGTCACTGGCTGGGGAATACTCTGAAAGCCACAATATGGGCATGGACAACTCGAACTCGAACCCTTGCGCCGATCGCTGATGACGCTTGAAAAGCACAAAACAATCCCCCGTCTCCCTGGCTATACGCGTGCAAACAGCCGCCAGCGCCCTGAATGCTACATATGGTATTCCGCCCGTATTTTGCAGTAATTACGTCGTAGTTTGTCCTTCCGCGAGAGGACAGAGGAGAAATCCAGGATATCAGAGGTAAAATATGGAAATGGTCGTCAAAATCGTCTCGCCCGAGTCGCCACATAGCTGCCAAAAGTCTCACACCCGTCCTGGCACTGATGTCGTCGTGTTGGTATACGAGCGTATGCCGGCCATGCTCTGACGTGTCCATCGATCATGACGAGTGGGACTCATTGTCTTGATTCGCTCTAACCGTGGTGACGTTGAGTCACTCACAGAATGAGGGCATTGAGGTTGCGCTGGACAATCATGTCCTGTACTGATGCCATGGTCTTCTTCAGCAGATCCGTATCGGTCGCGTTGGTGTAGTGGATGTAAACCTCCTTCTTCGGCTGTCGTACGAGGTTGCGGAACTTGGCCGCGAAGAACTCCTGTCCTGCTTCGACATCGGTCGGAGAGCCTGTGTAGTCTGGGAAGACCTTGTTGATTCGGCTCATGCCACCTGCTATCTTTTCTCGGAAGAGATCGCTCTTGTTGAGAAAGAGGATCAAGGCTGATCTGTCAAAGTACTTGGAGTTGGAGATGGATTCGAAGAGCATCAAGGCTTCGTGCATTTGGTTCTAGAAAACGTCAGTTGGGGCCTGGCCGTAGCGCAACGGATACTCACCCCATTCCTGTCTTCCACTAGTACGTGGTCGTAACCGCTGATGGCGACGAGAAACAGTACTACTTGCACGTTGTCGAATACGTGAATCCACTTTTTCCGTTCCGAGCGCTGGCCACCGACGTCGACCATCTTGTATGTCAGGTTGCCGAGCTCAAAGATGGTCTCTGAGATACCGGTTGTTCGTAGTCGTGTGCGCAGAATGTCTTGGTCAGTGGGAAGGAAGTCTTTGGCGAAGAGTCTGTCGACATCTTGGAAGAAGCTGCATGTCTGTCAGCGCGAGAGTCGGACACAGGCGGGATTGACTGACTAGCTCAGGTTGTCGTGCAGCGCGTACTGGTTGCCCCTCAGTATCGTCAGCTGCACACCCTTGTCCGCCCACAGGCAGTTGAAGGCAGTGAGGAACTCTTCGGGCATGGGCTCTTCGATTCCAATATCTGGTGCGGAGTTGACCAGCTCGGAGTAGCGCTAGACGAGGTTTAGTAGACGCTCTTTTTCGCATTGACACGACTCCCACGTACGATGTTGTCTTCGTCCTCGAAATCAGTGTCGTCATCCTGCATGGCCGCGTAGATGGTCTGGAAGGCCGACACCAGGTTGTTGAAGATGGTGGCTCGCCATGTCTTGCGCTCCGTCCTGCCGAATCCGCCTGCGTTGATGATGCGCATCTGCTTCAGAACCGTCGACTTGCCGCTCTCGCCAGCACCTGCAGCGACGTCTCGGTCAGCGCGTGTCCCCAGCGTCTAGCGTGGGTGCATACCAAGCAACAGGAGCTTCACCTCGCGCTCCGACTTCTTCCTGTCCACGCGGAGGTCCTTTTCGATTTCCTCATTCTTCTTCGACTCCGGGTCTGCGGGTTTCCTGCCAAAGCACATTGTCGTCGGTGCCATGTAGCAGCCGCGGGTGGTGTGGGGGACGTGGCGCGGGAGCTGGAGATAAGTTCGCGACGCTACCAAAACCTAGAAGCTCGCGAGGCGGGACGATCGGCCAGACGTGTGCGTGCGATTGGCGTGTCGAGGCTGCAGCTGGTCTTGTCACCTACAACTAGGATGTCGCAAATGCGGGGAAAAGAGGGTCGAAGAAGCAAGCACAACAGAACGTGCGGGCAGCAAGCACACTTGTATGAACAGACTCCCGGGAGGCAGGCACAACAAAAGAAATTGTGTGTTTCGCCGAATGATCCCTGTTCTTATGGTACACTGGGGGAAGCGTCCCGCCCGTTGGTGGCCGTGCTCAGAGAGCGGACGAAACCTTGCCAGCCAACGCGCGGATTGGGCGGTCGCAGGGCGATGCAATTGGGGTTGGCGTCACGCAATCTTTGCGCCGAGCCATTCGTTCATGTCACGACACGCTCGAAGCTGTGCGAAGCAAACTGCGCAGCACCAAAGCCCACGAGGAGACGCGGAAGGGAGGGGCGTAGTTCGGTCCGGCAAACTCCTTCCTAGGGAGAGAACCGTTGCCATAGGTTCAACTGCACCCCAGCACCGGCATAGCTACTGTTTCGGCCTGGTGGCGGACCCAGCATGGAGGTTACGGGCTGTTGGTTATGTTTCAATTCTACGCCTGCTTGCTTTGCGCCCGACACTCCTTGCGGTTATCCTGGTATCCGTCGGAGGCTCCATAAAGCATGACTCGTGTCACATCTGGCTGATGCTGTGAAGCTGTGTTACCGGCTACAGACGAGTACAACCTATGCCGTTGCTTCCGAGTGTGCACTGCGAATGCAACCACTACCTGTTCAAGACAGACATGCCGTCTCCCTGGTTGACGTCGTGGACATGTCAGACCCGTAAACTAAGGATCGAGGTAGCTTCGATTGCTCCGGTCCGTCTTGCGGATCGTCATTCGCCAATCAATATGGCCTGACCTTCGCCATCCATGGGCGTGCTCCGACCGTTGTGTGCCCTCTCCACGTAATGATGTATTGCGTGCCTCAGATAATACCGCGCAAATTATCTTGAAGTCAACTCCCAAAGAAGCCTGCTATCTGCATGGATCTACCCAGCCTGGTTCATCATAAAGTTACGTTGATCGGAGATCACCACACGATAACATGGCTTTAGCTTCTCAGGGTTCAACATGGCCCACCCGCCCACAATCCTCTAGTTCCAACTTCTGTGCACGCATAGGGAGCTTCACAATATTTTATTCGCTCAAGGTACTCACCTCAAGAAGGCAAGGACTCGACATTACCATGAGATGGTTGCAACAAAGCCAGCATTAGTGTTCCAAGACGCGCAAAAGCTTCGTCGAATAGGATCCCGACCCGCTCCAATGGTCCAGTAGCTGGCTTGACGTTCCTTTTTCTATTGCATAGTTCCTCTTTGAGTCAGGTCTCGCCACTGCATCTCCTGTTTGGATGTCGATCATATTCGCTGATTGCTTCCAACCTATCCATATCGGTACCACCCCGGCAGATAATAAGTGGTTTGCCTGTTCGCCAGGTTCAAAGCCATTTGCCGTAGATTGCTGTCCACGTGTTAGCGAGCCGCATTCATTCGGTCTGGACCAACGGGCAGGCTCTCGGCATATTCATTGCTAAAGATAGGAAATGCATGGAGCAGCTGACGAAAACAAGGCAATGATGGATACAAAGCAGAAACTGCTGCAGTGATCATAGGTATGTATCTACAGAGCTGCAACTTTTAGTGCAAAAAAAAACAGCATTTGCTTTTACTTTTATGTTGGACAGTATTGAGTGTCTAGCGAGGATACTTTTTTGCCGGTATCCCAATTTGCGGGTCGTAGAAAGTCTCGAATATTCTTGAACTTTGTTAGAACGTGAATACAGCACCCAACCCGACGACCCGTGGCTATGCTGGAGATCGTACGGCGAAGAGATCATACAGTGAGGGCATTTGAGAACAAACGTTCATGTTGCATCTTGTAGTGGTCGTCAAACTTGCTGTACGTTTCAGCAGAGTACCGTTGCTGGTCAAAGTCTGCCAGGTTTTTTTGAGATCCTAACTGCAGCTGAGTGTATTCGAGATTGACTTCTCTCTTTTCACACCACCGCGTGTGATCTTGTCATTTCTGTCAATCATATAATTACAATATCTGTTTTCGTCGTGGTCTTCTTAATATTCGTTCTTTCACCTCAGAGTTTCGATCAAGTTGTGCCCTTTGTAGGGATTTGTTCCTGTGTATTCCGTCTAAACCGTGTCTCAAAATGATGGTCTTTCAATTCCCAATTCCTTTTTCATGTGATTATCATCCAGAATGTTACACACTCTTCCAAAAATGCGGCACCGCTGTAGGAGCTATAAGTCAAGGTGAAGGTGGCTCCTTTCCGTCTCTTTCGCGAGCCACTGGGTAACTAGCCATATCACACCTGTACAAAAGGACTGGCGTCGCTGTTCTTCACCTGTCGAGAGATCAACGTCTGAACACCTCGAGTTCGTCAGGACAATTTTTTCACATTTCTCTGGGTAGTGGTAGCGTGCTTGCCTTTTTCGTTACCCCAACGCCGACGCGACTGCCTCTCCTACGCACAACAACACTGCCTTCACCCACCTCCAACACCACCGCGTGTACATCGCATATCGTTGACAAGGTCGCATTCATTGTAAGTGTGCACTTTGCGTGCAACTACAGACCTTTTTCTTTCACTGAAGCTGATTGACCACCAGAAGACACGCAGGCCATTGTTCTGCGTTGTGCGTTTGACTGTTCAAACTTTTGCACTCTACAAAATCTGGTATCACCAACCAACAGGTTAGGTGAGGGACCACGCTCAGTATATCCATTATTTATCTGTGCTGACCAGAGCCTATTTGACAGTATCCCTAAACATGGCCTCGCACTATCAAGGTCCTGCTTCCCTTGCGTTCTCAAGGTATGCCAGCCCGCAGCAGAGGAGCGATCAGCTTGCCGCCTTCGCAGCGGTATCGCCTATTTCCAAGTCAATGAAGGAAAACGTTATCGCCACCAAGGATCAGATCGCTGCCTCTGACAACCAGCCCGCTCCCGACATGGCGACCCAGAACTCCGATGCGCAGCTTGCAGTTGCTCAGGGCAATACCCTCAAGAAAGAAGTCGACACGCACGCCGCGAAGTTCTCTAGGTCTGTATCAACCGCTGTGACGAACACACGACAGCTGCTTGAGCTCATCCGCGACTCATTACAAAAGGAAGACGCGTCGGAGCTCAAGACTGTGGATAACCTCTGGAACGAACTTGAACAGCTTTTCGCGGCTGCAAAGGAAGCCAAGGTAGTTTTGCCCATCTTTCTGGAGAAGCAGAGGAACAACATGAGTCTCTACCACAGCTCGATGATGAACGAGACATACCGCGAGACGCAAGAAGAGTTGAACATCCAGCACAAGAAGGTCAACCTCCAGCACAATCTCATTCTTGAACACCAGCAGGCTTTCCAGGACTACAAAGAGCAGGTCGCTCCAAAGCTGCAGGAGAACGAGGAGCTTCGAGATCGTCTATCACGCCTTACGCTAGAGAAAGGTAACTTTCGCACGGAGATTGACAAGTACAAACAGCTCCTGGAGCAGCAGCAGTCATGCGGGACCGAAGATCTCAAGAAGGCGGACGACTTGCAGAAGGAAGTGGAGACGCTTGTAACTTCCAGTCAGCGGCTCATGACGGAGAACGAAACCCTCCGCGACAGGATTAACGACATGGAGGAGCAGAAGAAGACTGCAGAACAGACGCTTGCTGATGGCTACACGGAAGAACTCAGGTCCAAGACAGAGCTGCTCGCGAAGGAAGGTGTCAAGACCATGTCTCTCAATGTTCTAGTAAACGCTCTGAAGTCTGGTGAGAGCAATGCCAAGAAGGAGGTCGATAAGGTAAAGGCCGAGAACAAGATGCTTGGTGAGAAGTACAAGAATCAGGCTGCTGAGCATGCAACGGCTTTCACGGTATGATATCTCGTTCCTGCTGACGCACGCCGTACTAACCCCACACTCAGAAGCTCAGTTATCAGACCAAGAACATCGAGGGGCTGACTGTCGAGTTGGAGCGCCTCCGAAAAGAGAAGGCCGAGCTAAAAGCAAGCCTTGCCAAGCTGTCCGAACTTGAAGAGACCAACACAGAACTATCACAGGCAAAGTCAGATTTGCAGAAGCAGGTCGACAAACTCACTGCGGAGATGGGTCAAGCCAAGGATGATGGTAGGAAGGTTGAGAACGAATACAAGGTTTTGTTGGAAAAGGTCAAGAAGCTTGAGAAGGAAAACGAGGACCTAGAGATCGAGAACAATAATTTCGAGGCTGATCACAAGAAAGCTCTGCAAGCTCTCACTGTTTCCCAAAAGGAGAACTCAAAGCTCGTGTCAACCGTCAACGGGCTCAAGACCAACCGTTCTGCAGTGGCACCAGCTGTGGGTGGCATTCTAACCGCCGGTAAGGAGACTAAGGCTCTTGAGGAGAAGGTTCGAGGGCTCGAGGAGCAGAAGACTACCCTTGAAGACGCTCTCGAGGAGTGGACTACTCTCGCCAAGGTAAGCTCATATCACATTTCCAGGGAACCGGTGTGGCTTGCATGATGACTGACGCTTTACAGCGTTCCTACAAAGAGTACAAGGAAATGCTCCCGACTTACAAGCTAGCCGACAATTTCCGCAAAGATGCCCTTGAGAAGCAAGAACAGATCAAGGCCTTGAAGCTCCAGCTCGCATCCGCCAAGGTCTCGCAGTTGAACGGCGGGGGTGCTAGCGGCGATGCAGGCTACTGGAAGGACAAGTACGAGAGACTACTGTCCACTTACGGGAACTAAGTTCGACCTTGGAGCGCGACGATGTCTCTGCCCTCGAACGTGGTGTGGTTAAAGGCTAGCTTCATGCAATCTAAAATAACGAAGATCGATCCTACGATTAGGGGATAGGCACACAGATTGGCGTACAGCGTAGTACTGATAGCGTAGCTCACACGATACGAATAACAACGATAACATATAGTGCATACCCATCGTAACTGACAGTGTACATGATGTTTGGCAGCACTGGCGAGTTCGCAGCTGTTTGGCGGAACAAGATGGCAGAACGGCGTAGTCATGTGACATGACGTAGAGCTCAAACACCCTCTCTAACGCCATGTCGTGTGAGTTGCGGGGTGAGATATCACAATCTTGAAAGCTCAAAACAACTAGTCGAACCTAGACTCTTGTAGCATGAGCACCTATTGACGTCTTGCGGGGGTCATTGCGGGTGGTCTTTAGCTTGAGACGCGTAAGTTCGAGCTCGAATACCTTGATTGATCAAAACTCCATCAAGATACGTGGAATTGGTGTAACAGACTTCGCCCCGCTCTGACGTTCGCGTGTAATTGTTCCGTGCGATCGCTCTTGAATTTATCGCTACGTCATCAGCACGCGTCTTTCTTAGTCCATCTAAAACGCGCTCCTCACTCCTACCTCACAACACTACCCCACTTGCAACCTCAACACACATTCCAACAACCCCACTCAACAATGGAGACCATCACCAACCTCGCGTCTACTGCTGCGAACACAGCGTCGAAGCTTATCTATGGCGACACCACTACTGCTGCTGCCGACACTACCACCAAGAACAATGAGACGGGAGGCATGGAGCCCATCTCTGGCGAGCAGGGCAAAGGCACTGTCACTGAGCCGTTCGACCAAGGCAATGCTGGTAAGTAGAAACTGAAGCTTCGCGAACCTGTTCCATGTCAATTATGTACTTACCTCACCCGCAGCAACCCCTCTCGAGAAGCCTTCGGGCTTAGGTGGCTTAGGTACTTCAGGTACCTCAGGTACTTCTGGTACCTTCCTTGACTACTCCAACCAGGTGTCATCAGGTCAAGAGCCCATCTCTGGTCTACAGGGTAAAGGTACCGCGGGTGAGCCTTTTGATCAGGGAAACTCTCGTAGGTAGCTTAATCACATCATTAATGCCAATTTTAACTTGATCACAAAGTAAACCCAACCGATTCGTCTTCCAGCTCATATCGCCCATCTGGCACATCTACCGATACCTACACGTCCAATTTCGACTCGAACCCTGTTGGCGGAACGCATGCGACCGGCATCACGGACAAGGTCTGGAAACCAGCCCCGGTCGACAACGTCAGCACTTCGGTTATCTCATCAGCCCCGGTTGATCCTCTGACTAGCGAGAGGGCGGGTTCTGATCACCCCTTTGAGAAGTCTAGCTACGACAGCTTTGAGAAGCCCAGCCATGACAGCTACGAGAAGCCCAGCTACGACAGCTACGACAAGTCCAGCTCCATTCCTTTCGAGAAGTCGAGCTCTAGCCCCTTTGAACACTCAGGCTTTGCTTCTACTGGTCAATCAAGCCAATTCCCCACCGGCGTTCCTGCTCCTATCGAGCAATCTGGTTTCGCACCCACCCAGCAATCTGACTTCGCTCCCATCCAGCAGTCTGACTTCGCTTCCACCCAACAGTCTGGCTTCGCTCCTGTCGAGAAGTCCGGTTTTGCACCTACCGAGCAGTCTGGTTTCGCACCTACCGAGCAATCCGGCTTCGCACCATCAGAACAGTCGAAGTTCTCCTCCGACGATAGGTCAAAGATTCCTGTTCCAGTCAGGGAGTCTGAGATTGCCTCTACTAGTGGTTCCGGCATGCCTGCTGTCGACACTGCCCCTCTTGAGTACAAATACCCGGGTTCGGGCACTCCCGACAGGGCTTCTGATGTCCACGAGGCAGGTGTTATCAATGACTCCAATGCTGGCTTTGGAAACACCTCTCACAACCCTGTGGGACATCACCATGACACCAAGACGGGAGCGTTCACAGGTTCTGCCGTCGATGGGACTCACTCCGGTGCCGGCAATCCGGTAACTTCGGGAGAGACCAACCGTACGTGGACTCAGAAAGCCGGCGACGCGCTGACCAAAGCTGACGGGATCGCAGGTCTTGCGGGAGAGAAGAGCAGTTATCAGTCTGGGTCGATGACTTCACCTACGTCGACATCATCCGCTGGCACTAACCAAGGCGCTCCCCACGAGAGCAAGATGTCAAAGATCATGGACAAGCTTCATATTGGTCACAAATAGGTGGCTTGTCACTTGCACTCGTTCAAACTAACGGAGTTGTCCTTTCTTACTTGACGATGGATGATATATGATACCACGGCGTGAATCGCGAACCTCTGGGCGGACTTTTTGTTACATGTAGCTTAAACGCCATGTTCTGATGAATGATAAAAGCTTTTCATACGTTGCTGCTTCCATCTGTTTCTACACTTAGTGTCTTCTCGTACATGTCGAAACCCACTTCTGAAAGAATGACTATGTGCCTGCTCATCCTCTCAACTCGTTTGATACCGAAAACCATGATAAAACGCCAAGCCCCATACAGCATGTAGAAGGACACGGCACAACCTTCGCACATGGTCACAATCTCCATCTGCCTCCCCTATGCGAATCGTCGTTTTTGTCATACGCTTGCTGCAATCCGCCTTTGTTTGTTGGGTCACATCCTCTTCAACGTATCTTTTTGTTTTCATAGATGATCTGCCTTCCAAAACAACAACGTCTTGCATCCCTAAATGCAATTATCTGTGGCAAACACTTTTCTGGGCGAGTTCTTTTGTGTGCTTCAGCGTATGATGCATCAAGACGGGACGCGGTGGCTCTTCTGGGGCTGATTTGGAGATGCTGATATGTGATTACACGGAAGGGGTAAGAGTTGACTACCACGGGGTCGAAGTCAAGAGGGAACTTTAACGTTTAGCTTAAAAGTTTCTATGGAAGTTTCGTGTGTAGAAGAAGTAACAGGTGTTAGCGTCTGAGTTCAATCGAGATATATCGGTGTGGGCATGGAGTAAGATCTTGTAGCAGATTTTAAGCCTGAGAGTCTGGTGCATTAACATTCGTTACTTTGTATGACACCTGATGCTATGCTGTTTTGGTCAAGTTACAGAATGAATAGAGCGCCAGAAGGGGGTGGGTAGACATCGTTGACATGTTTGAGTGAGCAAGTGAAGCTGAAGTGTATTCGTATGCTTCACACGATGCAAGTCTTGACGAGTCGCAACAGTTCATTCTTGCATGTTCATTAAGTATGAGGCATGTAGCCAATAGTATACGGTTTGCTCCTGGATAGATGAGATGGTTGGGTGTCACATATATTTCGACAATTTTCCGCGTGATGGCTTATTCTGAAACTCACTTATGACCTCGCTACCCCGGAAACATGAGGTAAGTTGCCTGGACCGGCGCGACGACAGTGTCATGGAACTGCTGCCGGAACTGGCAAAATTGAAAGTCTTTCTCCGCGTCTCGCGCTTGGAACGAGCACTTGATACATCGCTCTACCGCATACCCATATGAGTTTCCTGCAAGGCGGTACACTTCATCCAAGGCTTTTACTGCAGACTTGTATTCATTGTGATGCGCAACTGGCACCCCGGATATTTGAACCTCCTCAAGGGGCTTGTTGATACAGAGCTCGATAAGAACGAGGCCAAGCGTATACACCGACCTATTGGGAACGTAGTGTTCGAACGCGTTGGCGAGTGGATCTACTAGTCCGGCCGTCGAGGGGAAAAAGCACGATAAACACGGGTGCTGCGAAAGCATTTCCCGACCTGCTTTACTCTGTTCCAGGAACATGCTCACCTGATGACGGTCCCATTGTGTTCCGATCCAGGGACTACCGCTCATGTGTAGAACTGACCAAGTGATCGCGGTAGCAATGCCGTATCTTTGCTTCGCGGTCAACATGAGCGAAGGGTTTTGTCGCCCAAAAGGATGGCCCTGAGCTGATAGTAGAGTCTTCAGGGAAATTGTGCTTGGAGTTTTCAGTAATCCCCTTTGGCAATCGCTCAGTGAAAACCGCTGATCTGTGGTTCCACTCGGGTCTTGGAGGAATCCTGTCAGAGTCGTTGGACCATTGCTTACGCCCAATGCGGCGCACAAACTCGTGACTCTGACACATGTCGAGGTTGTGCTCTGGCCTGGTGTATGAGCTGGATCGGGGACAAGTGCTATTGAGGTTTAGCTTGGCAAGCCATGTGTGTTGAAAAGCTTCTCAGCCACTCACGTGTCGGAACCGGGGATTTGGCTGGAATTGTAGACCGGGACTTTGGCAATATGATACTGGTAATCTTAGAAAGCACTCTCATGGGTCGGCGTCTTAAAACTGAATAAGGAGCCACAGCAGGCTTAGCCGATGCAGTCGATAATTGAGGAACAGCGTTGTGAGCCTTCTTTGGATCTTCTGAAGTAACGCTAAACTTTTGCCATGCACTTGGATTCTGGAACGGCTGTAAATTTGGTACAAATGTGATCGCCAAGTCAAATGTCCTATTGGCGTCAGAGTCGTAAGTCTTCCAATCAATTTCGATGGCGGCTTGGTGACATGGTGAACAAGCACAGTGTAATCCATCTTCTAGTGCTCGGTAGAGAGAGTCCAGACGTGTTCGAATTGCACTACAACGCCGAGGATTGAAATGGTGCTTCAAATTTGTGACTCTGGGACTGCTGTCTTCCGTAGGAATTACAGAGTACTCGATAAACCTTTTTAAGTCATTGTTTCCAGTCCGCAAACCGTCGATCATCTGAGTTTGCTTCTTCGAATTGAGACTTCGTTTCACTCTGCGCCATTCCCATTGAGCTCTATCGGACACGGTTCTTGGCTGCGCAGACCCAAATCAGCCTCGACATCATGTTCTACATACATTCTAGAAACTATAACTGAAGCTTTGTTGGAGCACATACCCTTCCTTGAATGTCGACATCGAGGTCTGTCATGAGCTCAGCTATGACTTTGCTCATTCCTTTCACGATAATCATGAGCTCATTTGAATCATCCGGAAAATTGTTGTCGAAGCATTCGCGTAACTCATCGATTGATGGGTTATCGTCCAAACCAAGGCTTGCCAGGCTTTTCCGAAGGTGTCGGTTTTGCAATACCAGATTAGCGCGGAAGGTTGATATGGTGTCGTGATACCGATGAAAAGTTTCGAAAGGCTCGCGGTATTTTTCAAGGACCCAAATCACAATAGGGATTCCGCCCAAAACAAGGCCTCCTATTTCAGCCATGAGGATAGCTCGATTGGAAGCTTATGATCTCGCAAACAGCGTTGCGAGGTGGTCTAATAAGCGAGGAGTTGATCTTTGACAACTGATCCTAGGTTCAACTCAGCCGCACCAATGTCGGCTCCAAAAACTTAGCTTCGCCGGTGATCAGGCTGAGACATCCATGGATACGTGGCAGAACATCATTCGATATATACACGTCTTTCGCTTCCATCAACCCAGGACTACGCAGGAATGATGCATTATGCTGATCGCAATCGGCACTTATTGGTCTATTCGCAGCCCACGAGCAGAAAGCCACAAGGTTTGGTCCTTATGACAGCCCGCTCTCCGAGGAGAATTTCTCTATGCTCACATATCCATATGTTGAGTGCACTTTGCAATGAAGAAGAGTCGCTTTCACCATGATGAAAGGTTGAGTTGGGCCTTTGGACGAAGACCTTTTGTACCACTATCATGGCATTTCACGAGCCTCTTTCCCGATTGTACATCGGTTGCATGCAGTCGTTCCGAGACTTGCTCCAGGTTATCATTGCGAAAGATAGTAGCGCAGACGATACCCAGGAGGTTCGCCTTCATGAGCTCCAGGAAGAGTATGGTAGACTACAGATCTGGGGCAATCAGTCAGGAGCAGACCTATCTCCGGGAGCCCAAGAATCTTTGGAGAACAAGCTTCGGCACGATGAAGAGCTCAACGAGTTGTCAAGGAGTATTCTGCAACGAATGAACGACTTGCTCAGTCAAGGCATGTATCTTTATCATAATACAGGAATTTCATACCAACCCGCCTTAGCAAACACTCTCGTGAACAGAACGAATGACAATGATAACGCGGCGGCGTTGAACTACAATTCGACGAGTTGCACCAGCAGTGACTCTGACTCTGAGTCCGAATGTGACGCAGGAATTCCACCTCACAGGAAGTCAAGATTTAGTCTACTTTTTCAGCACTTGAAAGAGCAAACACGATTGCTTTATGATCTGTCATCTCTGCTTCGTCGCCCAGATGACTCGAATCAATATGTGCAGGCTATCAACCAGCGTCAGCCCATATCGAATCTGATTCCGAAAACAGCTACGAATGAGTTTGAGGATATTGAACACACGAGTTATCACTCTCCATTTTCGTTTTCCGTATCAACCGGTCAACAGGGATTAAGTAATGTAGCAAAAGCCGAGGAGGGCAAGATTCAGTATGACCACCATGAAGACGTTCCACAGCAAGGCAAGCCACCATCTGTGGGATCTCATCCGTATCCTGACCGACTCTCGCAACCCGAACCAACCTCTCAGGTAGTTGATGAAGACATCCTTGAGCAGTGGCTCAGACAGGATGATGAGCAGCCTGGGGATGGACTTACACAAGCAGACATCTTCGACCCTAGCATCTTCAAAAAGAAGGAGACAACCCGCGACGTCTTAGAGAACTGGGAAGACAGACGCCGCGATGACTTACAGGACTGGGAAGACAGACGCCGCGACGACTTACAGGACTGGGAAGACAGACACCGCGACTTCTTACAGGACTGGGAAGACAGATACAACACAACACCAGTGCCTCAAGCAGAATTCTTCTCGCCTAAGGAGCTTGAACGAGATAATCTGCCAAACGTGCAAGCCGTAGACTCCAACGAAGGCGACCAAGCACATGACGATGCAGCATACAAACACCGCAAAACTCAGCCGTACTCCTATCCCCAGCAGCTGCCCTACCATTTACCAGGACTCAAATCTACCGAAGCGATACCTTCAGGAAGCAGACTACGTTCTGTACGTAACGTAAAGCCTGGGGAAGTTCCCCAGCCCAAGATCAAGCAAAGTCTCGGACAGTATCGTGAAGACGTCTACAAGCAGAAACCTTCGGAACCTTCATGGCAACAAAACCTATCCCCCCTAAGCACGAGGCCTCGTGGACGTTCTTCGCTAGAGTCCCTGAAACTACCCATCCGACATCCTGGAACTCTAAACGTCGTTTCCAGCTCATCGCAGTTGCCCCAACGATCGATGAACGTAGGTACCTCCCTCCTAGCATTGTCACTTCCAGGAAATGTTGCGCGTCGTCGTCTCGTACTTGACTTACTAACAAGAGCAAAAGGAGGGCATACAGGAACATGCATATCCGCTTCCTTACGTGAATCCGCCGTCTATACAGTTCCGATCGCCGACAGAAAACTCATCAGCGACGAGTACGTTGATCAATGAGCTATCTTCACGGCCAGGAAGACACTCTCTGCTTATCTCCGACACTGATTCGAGTGAGTCAGACTTTCTGGAATGTCCACAGTATGTTGTGGAAGCAACACTAGGCCGCCCCCATACATGTACAGGTTTCCAAGCAAGAGATATGGTATCTGTCATAGTACATCTAACGCGTCGTCACGGACTATTCCTGGGAGTTTGTCCAATATGTCGGGAAATGGTCATAGATCGAGCCGTCTTCGTTGCCCAACATGGCTATGGCTCCCCAAAGTGTCAGAGTAATCCAAGGCCAACTGTTACACAGATAGAGCAGTGGACAGCACTGTACTACAAGTTGAAAGCGCGTATGGAGGCTGGAACTCAAACAGAGCGTAAGTCTGCTGGCTTAGGCCACCATGTAACGCAGTGATCTGTGTATGAAGGCTAAACAAAACCTGAAGAACCACCAACCGTCGTGGATGAATGAGACAAACAGCCCTCATTACGTCTTTCATCCCATCGTCCTACCATGAACATTGATCAACCACAACAGGATCATCGTGATGATGGTCAAGAGGATAATCTACATATGTCGAGGCTATGTTACTCAGAATCAGCGATATCTAGAGAAAAGCAGTGATCTGTGAATAGCCAAGTGGAATCTCAAACACAATGATCTCATTGCAAACCAATACAATGGCATAAAGCGCAAGATTAGATTTTGATCATGACAAACCTAAAGCGTCGTAGATCGATTTGTACGGCACGACCAAACATCGTTCTTATATACCCAAATCTCCACACCGTTATCGAGCCACCACATCAAGATCTCCTTCCAATCCATACGCACCCGCAATTTGCTTTGCAACGCTCTCTCCTGACCACCACGCTCCAGTAACCGTACCCTATACACCTATTAGTAAAACATCACGTGCACAAAACAGCTTGGGTCAGACTTACCAACGCCACAAATGGCGCCGTATGCTCTCCCGCAAACCACAATCCTTTCTCCGGAACACCACGGCGCATAGCTTCAATATCCTCATCGCCCCTCTCCAACCCCACGGGGAAATTCGCATACGACCCGTACCCCGCCAGTTCGTCGTTTGCCCAGGCCGTTGCGAGAATGGCTTTTGGCTGGTGGTCGGGGTTGGAAGCGGAGTAGGAGGGGAGGAGGGAGTAATATGGTTCGAAAAAAGAGGTTAGTAGGGCATCGTGCTTTGATGCTGGGGATGTACGCAGGAGCGATGCGATGTGGAGGGATGTCGGGCCGTGGATGTAGAAGAGAAGTGTTGGGTGGGCGGTTGGCGGGGGGAGCGCGGCGAGATTCATGGCTTCTTGGTTCCAGTGGGAAGGGTTTGTGGGGGTGTAGTGCGGGGCGAGAAAGTGTGTGAAGCCAGGGTAGTGGGATGGGTTGACAGCTGCGGATGGACGGAGGGGAGCGGCTGTTGCTGGAACGTTTGGAGTGGTGTTTGAGGTGGTGGCAGTAGTAGTGGTGTTGGTGGTTGAGTCGTTCCAAAAAGCTGTTGGAAAGGTGATATATACCTAGGATAGCGGTCAGAGAAGGAGGTGAGTGAGAATTATGGGGAGATAGACCTTGTCCAGATTCCCATACCCAATCGCCTTTATGCCTTCTTGCAACCTCTCTGGCAGTGCAGGTACAAACGCATCAGTATTTCTCTTCAGCCAACCCAAGGGCGCCGTCATGACTACCTCATCGAAGATCTGGCTCTCGCGCCCCTCCAGCTCAACCGTCAATTTTGGATCTTCCGCCTGTTCGCTCGACACTATCCTCGTGACTTTATGCCCAAACATGACCGCTGCCTTCTTCAGCGCCGGTTGCGCAATCTTCTGCAGAATCTTATGATACGTGCCCGCAACAAACAAGTTCTCCCCATCAATGCACTCCTCCAACCAGAGGAACTTCAGACTTTGTCGCTGAACCGGACTTCCCACAAATGCTCCCCACATCTCTGCCATCTGCAAAACAGCTGTCCGTTTCCCTTTCTCCTTATCCCCGGGGAACATTTCAACTACCTGCTCCTCAAAATACGCGTACAGACTTTTCTCCGCTGGTATTTTGGCTGATTCCTCATTTGAGAGTTTCATTGCCTGCTCGATGATACCCCACACTACTTCCGATGTTTCGGTTGCTTCTTTGTCCGGCATCTGCTTTCCCAAGTGATCGAAGACTGACTGTCGGCCGTCCCAGTTCATGATCACTGTATTGGTTTGCTTGGCGAGATCTAGGATGGGATTGTTATCCGTGCCGTGAATCCAATTCGGACCTCTATAAATCGTGAGATTTAGCTAATTGCTTGACTCGAGACAAGATGACATGTAAGTGAGGAGCACACCTACAGATCTACCATGTGACCCAGTGCACTGCTTTGACATAGCTACTCCCATCAATCTCGTGATCTTTACATGCAAGTGGGGTGGTAACATACCCGTCCACCAACGCGATCCCGACCCTCTAGGATCGTTACCCGCATGCCATGCTGCAACAATACATCTGCGCATCTCAAACCGGCCACGCCAGCCCCTACAACGCAGACATGTGGTGCTTTCCCCGCTGCCCTGCGAATCATACTGCTCGCCTGAGTTTCTTGATGAGGAGAGCCGGGAAGATCTTTATGTATACGACTTGGGCTGATGGGTTTCGGAGAGGTTCTATTTTCTGAGACGTGAGCCTTGTGATCCATATTCAGGTTGCCGATGTTGCCCATCATGAAGAGGCCGAAGAATGTATTTGAGATAAAAGAAAAAAGCTTTACAAGAGTACAAAAGATACGATAATAAAGTTGATAATAGAAGATAGCAAGTCGTAACGTCAGATAAGCCGCTTCACTCGCTGTAAGCTAACTGCAATGCAGGCTCCAAATCACAGAACTCAACGGACAGATCTCCGGCAAAGGACAAGCTTAGCTACGATGTAACAGAAGAAGCAATAGTCCGGGTACGGAAGGTGGAAGATATGACAGCTTGAAGAACGAATGAGCTCTTTCTCACCTGTAAGGTTCTGGTCGAGTAAAGCGGGGCAACAGCTCGTGTGACAAGTACGTTAGACTCTGAATGGTACGCAAGTAGCGGAACGTGATGATGTTGCACGTGTGACAGGAATGAGGCGTTGTACCCTTGCATGAAGTGCAAGCGGAGCCACGAGGCTAGATCGGGATGGTGATTGGATGAAATAATGACGTCTGTCATCAATGTGATGACAACAAAAGACAGTATTGTTAAGTTGTTTCAAAGTTAGCTTGTTGTAAGAGTGGGGGTTGGTGATACTGTTGTCACGCAAGTGATTCTATGCTAAACGAGTCCTTCTTGCCAGACCCAATTTCTATGTATTTCTAAGCAAGTATCTACAACGAACTAGGATATCATAGATCGAACAAAATCTTCGCCTGCTGCACAAGTGAACCATATGTGAAATTATCCAAATCGAAGGATAACAATGAAAAGACAAAACACACAACCCTATGTCAAGAACCACCGGGACCTGCCCAAGCAGCAGCAGCGTGAGCCGATTCCCAAGGTTGTCAGAAGAAGGACAGTCAACACCAAACACCCATACACCTCTCATCGCTCATCATTTCCGAAGTGCATAACCTACATGAACGGGAGAATGACGCCCTTCCTCATTGGACTTCCCCGCCCATCGGCCGTCGACCCATCACAACTATAACCCGAGTCGCGATCAACATCGTCATTATCGAAGTCGATATCGAACACAGCCTCATGTTCCTCCTCGCCCTCTTCGTCATCATCTCCATCCCACGCCTTCTGTGTCGCACCACGAGTGTTCCATTTCAGTGTCCGACTGATACTGTCAAACCACTCTGTAGGTTGCGACAACACAGTAGGGAACGGATACTGCGAGGCAGCGATAGTGACATGGTCGCCCTGACGCAGTTCGACGCGGCCTTTGCCGTCGAAGGCGCAGTATGCTGTCGCGCGGGACTTGCGAGGCACGGCAATGCGCAGGAGCATGCTGTCGTTGAGCAGCATAGGGCGGAAGGAGAGCGTGTGCGGACATATCGGTGTGAGTAAGATGGCAGGGATATCGGGATGCACAAGGGAGCCACCAGCGGATAAAGAGTACGCTGTCGAGCCAGTGGGCGTGGAGAAGATGCAGCCGTCTGCTTGCACGACGGTGAGGAGATTGTTGTCGCCATAAAGTTCGAGGTTTGAAACGTAGGGTGATGGGCCGCGGTCGATGACGAGTTCGTTAAGCACTTCGAACTGCTCAGCTTCGATGTGTTGAGGTGAATCGGGGGCGGCGTTCTTCTGGTAGCGGTAGACAGTGCAGGTGAAACGCATACGGAGGTTTACGCGCATGCCGGCGTCGCCCATAACCTTGCCCAAGGCCTCTTTGTACTGCGGATACTCGAAGTTGGTCAGAAAACCAAGACTGCCGAGGGCGAACGGCATGATTGGAGGAACAATGCGCTGGAAAAGCCAGGACGTGAAGAGAACAGTGCCATCGCCGCCAAGTGTAAGGACAAGGTCGAATATTTCGGGAGACTCCCAGCAAAGATCTGGGGTCCAGTAATGGAGTCTCTGCTCAAAACGGCTGTCTTTGGCTACCAGAGAAGCTGCGTCGAAGCGCTTCGACGTGCGCAACTTATGATCCACGTAGACGTTGACTCCGACATCTGACCCGTAACGAGGCGTGTTGAGTAACCATTCCGCCAGCTCACGCGTGAGATACACTAGGTTATTGTCGCGCGCCTTGGTAACGATCATAATGTTGCGCATCGTCATCTTGATGGGCCGGCGCTGGAGCTGCTTCGCGATCTCGCGGACGCCAAATGCCGTCTGCATGAGTCGCGAATGCGATAACGTATCATCCTCGGCCATATCTTCCAGCACCCTCTCTAGGTTGACGGCCTTGTCGAACTTCTTGTGGAAAAAACATGGCGATGCAAGCGTGGCCATCTTGCTTATAGCGAGGTCGTCCGAGTGGTGCAGCTTGAGTTCTGAAATGGCCTCGGCCAGTCGCTGTTGGGTGATGCTCTTGGACCGGCGCGTCTTCCCTTCTTCGATCGCTCCTGCGCTCTTTCCCTCCATGATTACCTGATCCATGGACTCTGACGTCGGTGGGCGCGATTGCAGCGCCTTCAGAATAGTCTGGCGGGGCACAGCCGAGTCAAAGGAACAAGCGTTCTTGCGGTGTTTTCGCACGCGGTGCTCGCCAAACGAAGGTAGTTGTGGCAGAGTCGTGAGGTTCTCGATTGACGAAGATGTGGTAAGCAGTGCCGACGGGGATGGTTTGTCCGAAGGTGAGGCGGATGAGAAGGATTCGGATGTCGCGGGCGCACCGCCTAAATCCGTCGTTGTTACCGATCGTGAGGCATTATTCGGCGCGTTCTGGGGGCAGTGGACGCTCGTCTGCGGCGGTTGCGGGGAGCGTGGATGGGCGAGCTTTAATGATGCATCGGCTGCCTTAACGCCGGAGAAACTTGGGCGTGGTCGCGCAGACAACAACGGTTGGACCTTGGTCGGAGTGGACGGCTCCCCAACACTGTTGGGCGTTCTGGGCGTCATAATCGCTTATTGATCGCTCGATCCTTGTTTAGAGTGCACCGACTGCGGATTGCGAATGCGGCAAAGTATGCCACGGTCTGAGATTTTGCGAGTTGATACGCAACGGGGTATGAAAGGTTTATGTGCAAGATTATGTACAGCCAATTTGAACGTAGCCAGACGTTCTACGAGAAATAATTAAGTGCTCCAGGCGAATGAAAAAGAATGTAACAGGAAAAAGGGCAATGAGTCGTCGCTACTGCATGTTCGAGGCGTGAGGTCTCTCGGTATGTGATGTGATATCGATGTGAGTCTGTGGGCATTCAATGTCGTGATTGGAGACGCAGCTCAAGATGTGACAAGCCGCAAAGAAGGCGAGAGGAGATGTCGCGCGATAGAATATTGGAAGGCGTAAAGGAGGATGGCTGGAGCTAGCACTAAGCACAACGTAGCGAGCCTACCTATATTTATTTTAACATTTGCACAACATCCGCTGTCACCAGGCTAGATCTGGATCGCGGCAGTATGCGCCAGCCTCAAACGTAGGAATCGTGGCGACAACCTGTCGAGGGGATCTGACACTTTACATGTGTGAAGATCGCGCCTCCGACCCCAAACAAAGAACAAAACTCCTTGAACTCCGATCTTGACGCAGAACGAGACGTTGCATGCAGTTAAGATATATATGTCTACTTGTCTATCCAGGCCTTTGTTCTATCGCCGTTGTATATTAACTTTGACTTCGTCTTTGAACACTCGTGAAAAGTCGCTACTGGTTTGTCAACGCCTTCTCTCGCTTGTAGTGGTCTTACACCTCCGACACTGTTCCAAAGCCCTTAGTGTTAGATCACCCTAAATCTGAATTCAGGGTGGACCACCAATGCAAAGACAACGTCTTAGGTGAGCCTCAGGCCGCACCATGCCCCAGTACGGAAATGCCGCTTTACCGCAGTTTACCAGGGACAAATCGGAGCTTTCCAGTGACGAACCAAGCTGAGAGGAGGCCACACGTCTGAAGTTGTAACAGGAGCTCATATATGTGCCTCGATATGTATTTCAGTACGAGGGTTATGTAATTAAGGCGTTCGTCGTTACATACTCCCTCCCGCAAGACGAGACAAGCAATTTCGCAATCACATCTGGCCTAAGTCAGGATTGAGTCGCCGAGGCCGGGCCAAATTCCAAGGTACGTGTCAGTCATCATTTATATTGGTAACATTTTCTATTCACATTAGTTGAACCCTCGTGTTCAGGCTTTGGGAACAAAAGGTCTACGCAAGGTCGTGAAGAGGATAGCGTCAAATGTGGATCTACATTATGACCAAGACGGGAATATGTCAATTACTTCGCGATTTGTAAGGCATGGTATTTCATCTAGCCTATGTAAGCAGGTGGTGGCAGCCGGAGGTACAGTACTCGCTCGCCAACTGCTGGTGGTCAAAGATGTGTATGGAATCTTGACTTTTGGTGGCCGTCCGTGTGCCGTGGTATATATGCATCGTGATATGTATAAGAAAGAAACATGGAAGAACGCCAATTTTAGACGCTTATTGAAGGGCCTTGCGAGCGAATGTAGGCAAAACGAAGGCTGCCTCATGGATCTCCTTGCTGTAGTATCTGCACAGCTTCTCCTCCTCCTCCCGAGACCAAGAACGAAGCGGCTTCTTGAGGTCAAGGCTAGCATCCTTAGAGCAGACCATGAACCCAATCTGTCCAGAGGGGTAAGTGGGGATCGTGGTGTAGCCGTATTCGACGTTGGGGAAGACCTCCTTGCAGGACTTCTTGAGGTTTGCAATGAGGGGCATGTGCAGCCATTGGTTCTCAGCTGCGCGACGGAATTAGCCATTGTTCACAGAAGCACCTGACGGATGCATGAGAGGCTCCAGAAGGTCAAACACTATGCTGGGATATGGAAAAGGGCTTACAACCTTGTGTGGTGATAACACCACCTTCACGGAGCGCGCCGTTAAGCAGCTCGAAGTAGGCCTTCTGGAAGAGGGCTTCAGCTGGACCCTCTGGGTCGCTGGAGTCGGTGATGATGACGTCGAACTGGTTCTTCTTGTCCTCAAGGTACTTGAAGCCATCACCTACGATGGTCTCGGTCTTAGGGTGCTCGAAGCCGACCGACATGGCGGGGAGGTACTGCTTGGAAAGACGGATGACGGCCTCGTCGATGTCGCACAGGACGGCCTCCTTGACGCAGTCGTGCTTCACGACCTCACGGAGGACACCGCCATCACCGCCGCCAATGACAAGGACCTTCTCAGGGTTGGGGTGGGCGTTCATCGCAAGATGAGTGATCATCTCCTGGTAGCTGTCCCATCGTCAGTTCGGAAACCTTTCGGTCATTGCATGTAAACATACGAGAATTCATCGCGCTCGGTGCACTGAATGACGTTGTCGAGAACAAGAACCATGCCGTAGTCGGTCGACTCGAAGATCAGGACATCCTGGTACTTGCTCTTCTCGTGGTGGATGACCTCCTTGACCTTGAGGGTCATAGCCTGGCCCGGCCACATGTTGGAAATTTCACGGAACCAGCCATCTGGAGAAGAGATTGTTAGTAAATGTGTATTTGACAAGATAGAAAGACGTGATAGGTATTGTTTTGAAAGAGTGTATCACTTACCCTTGATGGTGGGGTGCTCGATGGAGGGCATCTTGAGTTTGGTTGTAAAACAACGGTGAATTGGAGAAAAGGGCTTGGGTATCGAAAAGTTGTTGCGAACAAAGAAAGAAGAACAGAGGGGCGCCTTCCTGATATAAATGGAGAGCTTCAGGGTTGCTGTAGTGTTTGCACTCGGGCAGCCATCATTTTTTTTCTGCGTCCCGCACGCGTCATGCAGGTGCCCCCGCACTGACCCGAGTATGTAAACATCGATCCCTGCTCAACCATCGCTTCCCTTCCCGCCATTTGTTGAGAATCACGAGATCTATCAACGGTCTTCCTTTGTCGCTACCACCGGGGCAAACGACGATTTTCCCAATCACGTGATGTGGGCCCAAGCGCCTAGTGTGCCAAACGTCATGTGATTGGGAAAATCGTCGTGTGCCCCGGTGGTACGATATGGTGAGCCTGCAAACTGATCTATCTTTGGAAAGTGATGTATGTATTGATACGAAGGGTAGCCTTGATGCAACCTCTAACCCGAAGCACATCAATCGGGATTAGGGTCAGTGTCCAAATAAGCAACACTACCACAATGCGGCGTCCATATAGCTCGAGAAAAGGCCAGTAGACTACGAAGAGGCTGTTCGAGTTTATGCCATTGTTAGACTTTCCAGAACTTGAGTTGTTCTTCGTTTTCAAGACCTTGTAGGTCGGATTTTACCACCTCGCTATTTCCGGATTTTTTGCTTCAAGCTATCTCCGTCTGACAAGAGGGAGGGATGCCTTAAGGGTGCCTAATGATGTCGGCAATCAGCCGGAAGAGTATGCAGGGATGCACCGGATATAAAGAGCTACAAAGTTCCAACTTAGTCTTGCTGAACACACGCATTCACTATGTCTCAAGTCGGTTTGACTCAAAATGACCCTTCCGTGGGCAAGCTGGAGGAAACACCCGTATCGTGGTACGTCAAAGAACTGACAGACCTGAGGCCCGAAGCAAGGGAATTGTTTGAGAAGTACAGCAACGTCGAGCCAAACGAAGTGGTCTCGCATATTCAGCAGTTTGTGAGTTCGAACAGGTCTTGGAAAACACCAAACTAACTATGATCAAGAGGGACGAAGCTTTCGCGATAGTAAGTTATTCCTATTGAGGTTGTTGGACTCTATTGACCTAAGTTAGTTCCCGTATCCTTGTCTTGGCCGCTGGGGCTTTCTCGACCTCAGCATTTCGCAGTCGCCTAGCTATAGCGAGGTCCTCGATCGCGTCAAAAAAGGGGAGCTACTGCTCGATATCGGCTGTTGTGTTGGACAGGATCTCCGCAAACTCATACATGATGGCGCTCCTTCCGGAAACACCTATGGCTCCGATTTGAAGAGTTCTTTCTGGAATATCGGCTATGATTTGTTCCTCGACAAAGCATCTCTCAAGACAAAGTTCATCGAAGCCGACATTTTCGACGCCAACTCGGGATTGCAACAGCTTGACAGCCGGGTGGACATCGTACACGCCGCCTCGTTCTTTCATCTGTTTGACTGGGATCAACAGGTCCAGGCAGCGAAGAGAACCGTGCAGCTATTGAGGCCAGTATCAGGTAGTCTAATCATCGGCCGGCAGGCTGGGACGATTCAGAGTCGTGATTTCGAAGGAACCAGGCTTCCTGGGAACAAGAGATACAGCCATAATCCTGAGTCGCTCGCGAGAATGTGGAAGCAAGTGGGTGATGAGACTGGGACAGAATGGACTGTGGATGCTACCTTTGGAGACCAGAACCCACTGGAGAGAATGGGGGGTAGCACCGATCCAAGCACTTCGGACGTTCGGTGGTTGTATTTCGCCATCCGTAGAGTTTAGCGATTGAGTGGTGATATTCCAATGGCAAAGAGAAGACATTGAATGCTTCGTGTTGACAATTTGCTATTTACCATTATTGATGTGAAACTCGAGGGGCAGAGCATGATGGACATTGTGACCAATCAGCACCACTCAGGGTCCACGCAAACAACCCAAACACATTCGTGGCTTCTACATCGTGACCAGTTGCATGTCAACCCCATTCTATTTCTCGCTCACGACTATCTGTTCGACTCGACTCTCTACCTTTCGCAATGGACCCGTACTCGCCTGAAGGGGGTCCGTCAAACCCCCCGTCTTACATCTGGATCCCCACTAACATCACCTAGAGCTCATAAACATCCACTCAGCCTTCCACGCGGGCGCCTACCAACAAGTCCTGGACTTTGACACATCGTCGTTTTCCTCTACCAATGCGCTCCCCATTCGCGTCCTGAAGTCCCGCTCACAAATTGCGCTTGGGCAAGCCAAGCAAGTTTCCGCCGATCTCGCTAGCGAAAAGACACCCGATCTCATCGCCGTACGGCTACTGGCAGACTACGAGCAGGGCAAGGATGTTGTTGCACAGGCGAAGAAGCTCGCAGAGCAGCATGGGCAAGAGAACCTAGCAGTGCAGTTGTGTGTCGGGATCCTGCTGGAGAGGGCGGGCGAGACGGATGCGGCATTGGAGCTCTTGAGTAAGCACCAGGGTAGCTTGGATGCGTACGTTCAGTTCAAACATCGTCCCAGAGGGATGATGTGTGTCTTGGAGGGGTTTGGCTGACATGCGAACAGTGTAGCACTCATTGTGCAGATACACCTACAACAAAACCGCTCCGATCTCGCGACAAAAGAAGCACAGCGCGCACGGAAATGGGCACAGGACAGTCTCCTTGTAAACATTGCGGAATCGTGGGTTGGCATGCGCGAAGTAACATCTCTCCTGTCTTCATCGATACTCAACCACTAACTTGTCTCAGGGCGGCGAAAAGTATCAATCCGCATTCTACGTCTTCGAAGAGCTCGCCCAAACCGCTCAGTCTCAATCCCCACACTCCCTCGTTGCGCAAGCCGTCTCAGAACTTCATCTCGGGCGCCTCCCTGAAGCTGAAGCCGCCTTACAACAAGCCATCGCCATTGATGAAAATTCCGCGGATACAATTGCAAATCTTATCGTGTTGAACACACTGCTGGGTAAGAAGGATGAGACGAAACAGTTGACGGAGAAGCTGCAGACAGTAGACAAGCAACACAGAGCAGTGAAGGACTGGACAGAGAAGAAGGAGGAGTTTCAGAAGGCTATGGGGAAGTACACACCGAAGTTTGAGGTTGCTTCTTGAGAGCCAAGAGTTGGGTTAGGAGATGCTGTAGTCGGCATGGCAAGAGCGACATGTACCGTTCAGCACATGAGGATGACTGGACAGATGATATGAACTAAAAATCACGATCACCCATGATATGATATGCTATATAACTCGAGTCGGTGCCATGATAGGATGCAGATGCGTGTCGAACCAACTTCGAAAATCACCATCTCGCAGTCGTCATGAATTAACCTTAACCAACAAATTGCCGAGCAAACATGTGTTCCCAGCCTTTTCTGTCAAAATTCTTGACTTTATGATCGGCTTATAAATCCACTGGGGAGCTGGTCATGAATTTAGGCAATATCATGATCCATTTTAGGGACTACAGGTATACATACTATTATAGTAGGTGCATCCCGCGTACTGCTGGATAACTTTCACAACGCTGAACCATATAATTACCAGTCGGTAGTTTCCGAGTATGCCGAAGAAATCATATCACCCATCACGTAAGATCTAGGTAGTTGGTGGCGCAGGTCGAACACGGACTGTGGGCCAGAATGGTAACATCTCGGGATACGAAGATTCCGGCGTTGACTTCTTGAGGCATTTGAAGTCGCCGATCACTCACTCCCCTGCCCTACGGGTTTGGCGCTCTCCAGTACTGCTGATCTACGATGGGTACCTATGCATCCAAAAACGTCCATATGGTGATCGCCCGCCAGCCAAGGACGGCCCGTTGGTCGTCCAAATCGGCGGGTCTCGCTGTTGAGCAGACTGATGCCTGGTATTGAGGTGAGCAGCAACATCATGGTTATTGGAATTAGAATGTGCTGACCCGAAGAGGCACGGAGACACGGTTATCCGTTGATCAATAACGACACTCAGCTCTGCAACGCAGCTGGCACATTCCCCCACCCACCTGTGCAGCGCGTGCTGGAATGCCAAACGTGTAGCCCCGGCACGACACACATCCGAGCTCCATCAAGCCTTTTTGCGACGAGCTTAGCTGCACTCTCAGCCAATCCCCGCCGACGTGGCTTGGACCCTGAAGCGTCTTGCACGCATGGTGGAGTCGACTGTCGCAGGGTGACCTTGGGATGAGGGTTTGGCGGCGAGCGAAACTGCTCTGAAGATGGAAAAGGCGCATGCTGATCCTGTGGTGGGGATTTCCTACTTGCGCAGCCGCTGCTCTCCGGGCTCTGCGATTAAAATGTCACGTCGTTGGCTGTCTTGATGGGCGTTTTGCGTTCTCTCAAGTCCTCCGTTCCTTAGTCTTTTCTCGTAGCGGCGCTGGGCGTCATAGGTATTCAATATGGTTGACAGACGACCTGATAGCCCCCTCGAAGTCCATACACCTATCCTCGAGAATATGGTTGCTGGTGTGCCTCCGGTGTTCTCTGGCTTGACGCGACAGCTAGATGTATTGACGGAGCAGCCGTTGCTTGGTCCCAAAGCGGAATTTCCCTCAGGTTAGAAACTGAGCTCCACGAAGAAAGGTGATTGCTGACGTAGTTATGGAACAGCTTCATTCACATTTGCGCGCAAAGATGTGTCGGGGAACAAGAGACCACAGGCCATTGCGCATCGAGGGTACAAGGCGAAATTCCCAGAGAATACAATGGGGGCGTTTAGAGGGGCGGTGGAGGTTGGTGCAGATGCAATAGAGACAGATGTCCATCTTTCGAAGGATGGGGTTGTTGTGTTATCACATGTGAGTCTGCAGTGTGACCTGACCATTGTGGATAGTTTGACTAAACTTGTGTAGGACAAAGATTTGAAAAGATGCTTCGGACGACCCGAGAAGCTGATTGACTGCGATTACGAATTCATCAGCAAGCTGCGGACGCTGAAAGAACCTCATGAGTCCATGCCGCGATTGGCAGATCTGCTGGAGTATCTTACGCGACCAGGGTTGGAGGACATATGGGTTCTATTGGATATCAAGGTATGTTACTCTTGATGCTGTACAAGAAAGAGCAAGCTGACATTAAGTAGCTCGACAACAACCCCGATGATATAATGCGCTTGATCAGCGAGACGATCCAAAGTGTCCCTCCATCGCCATCTCGACCCTGGCAGAACCGCATAGTTCTCGGCTGCTGGGCAGCGAAATACCTACCACTCTGCTCCCGTTACCTACCCGGCTTCCCCATCTCGCACATCGGTTTCTCAACACTCATAGCGTCTTACTTCTTTACAGTACCAGGCGTCTCATTCAACATGCAACAAGCTGTGCTCATGACGCCATGGGGACGGCTGTTTGTCCGTAAAGCACAGTGCGATAATCGGCCGGTGTATGCATGGACGGTGAACGATGAGCGAGCCATGCGATGGGATATAAGACGCGGATTAGACGGTGTTATTACGGATGATCCCAAGTTGTATCTGGATGTGCGGAAAGGGTGGCATGAGGGTATGAGGGATGGGCTTGGAGTGAAAAACTTAGTGGAGGTGGTCAGGATCAATTTCTTTGCGCTTTTATACACTATCATGTTTTGGTTCATGCTAGGGTTTGGGGAGAAGGGGCCGTTGATTAGGAGGAGGAGAGCGGAGAAGAAGTGAGGCAAAGATGGTGTTATAGATTTCGGGTTCTTTGGAACAATTTCTAGAGTTTACAGGCACGAAGCGAGCAACAATTGTCAGAATGCTTGTTGAGCTGGTGGCATTCAAAGAGTGTTTTGCTCGTGACAGTCAAGATGATCGCAAGTGAAAGGCCGTCTGCCGTGGTAGGATCATGAAGCGACGCGCTCCAAAAGTTCGCGCGTCGTCGTTTAACCCCGCGTCAACATCCCACCGCTCACTCGACAACACCATGCCTAGGTACGCTCACCACCATGCGACGTGACGTCAGCTCACTAACGCGTTGCTAGAGAAATTATCACGCTGCAGGCCGGCCAATGCGGCAACAGCGTTGGCCAGCAGTTCTGGCAACAGCTCTGCCAGGAGCATGGCATCAATCGGGACGGAAACCTCGAGGACTTCGCGACAGAGGGCGGCGACCGTAAAGATGTCTTCTTCTACCAGTCCGACGACACGCGCTACATTCCACGAGCCATTCTCCTGGACTTGGAACCGCGCGTTCTCAACTCGATACAACAGAGCGCGTACAAGAACATCTACAACCCCGAGAACTTCTACATACACAAGGAAGGCACCGGCGCAGGCAATAACTGGGGTATGGGCTATAGCATGGGTGAGCAGATACACGAAGAGATTCTTGACATCATCGATCGGGAAGCGGACGGTTCGGACTCGCTGGAGGGTTTCATGCTGCTGCACTCGATCGCTGGTGGCACGGGCTCTGGCCTGGGATCTTTTATGCTCGAAAGGCTGAACGACAGGTTTCCGAAGAAGCTCATTCAGACGTACAGCGTGTTTCCCAACACGCAAGATGGTGATATTGTAGTTCAGCCATACAACAGTTTGTTGAGTATGAGACGGTTAACACAGAACGCAGACTCGGTGGTAAGTAATCTGATGCAGCGACATCCAGGAAGTGCTGACTGAACAGGTGGTCCTCGACAATGGAGCTCTATCAAAGATAGCGGCAGACAGATTGCATGTCCTTAACCCATCGTTTGAGCAGACAAACCAGCTCGTCTCAACCGTCATGTCCGCCAGCACAACAACGCTTCGCTACCCAGGATATATGCATAATGACCTTGTCGGAATTGTCGCGTCGCTTATTCCCACGCCTCGTTGTCACTTTTTGATGACCTCATACACTCCATTCTCTGGTGAGAATGTTGAGCAAGCCAAGACAGTCCGGAAGACGACAGTATTGGATGTCATGAGAAGATTGTTGCAGCCGAAAAACCGCATGGTCTCCACTAATCCCACCAAGAAGAGCTGCTACATGTCCATCTTGAATATCATCCAGGGAGAAGCAGATCCATCGGATGTAAGTCAACCTTCCGTTGTACCAGTAACAGCTTGCTAATCTGTCAAGGTACACAAATCACTTATGCGTATTCGCGAACGCCGCCTTGCTACGTTCATTCCGTGGGGGCCTGCCTCCATCCAAGTCGCGTTGACCAAGAAGTCGCCCTACGTCACCTCGTCCCATCGAGTATCTGGGCTTATGCTCGCCAATCATACTGGCATCGCCACGCTGTTCAAACGCATAGTAGCGCAGTATAATACACTGAGGAAACGAAATGCCTTCTTGGAAAGCTACAAGCGAGAGGCCCCTTTCAAGGATGGCCTGGGCGAATTTGACGAAGCCAAGGAAGTTGTCCAGGGCCTGATCGAAGAATATGAAGAGGCGGAGGGCGCTGACTACCTGAGCAAGGAAATAGCGCCCGTGGAGGAAGGTGATGATAAGCGAGTTGGTTAGACGAGCGTTGGGGGAGCATGGCTGGCGTTGACATTGTTCGAAAGGTTACTGGAGTTTTCCGGGTATGCCCACAATTAGCCTAGATTGGGCTGTTGGGGCGGTAAAGACGACTCTCGTTGTCAGGCGTCACGCAATGATACCATTTCTTTCTCTTTCCCAATTCTCTATGGTGCTGGTAGTGATACGAGTGAGTTCTTTGTATCAGAATTCGTTTAGTAGCGCATTAAAGAGTGGAGGTGCTCATCAATAAACTTCGTGACAGCGAACCATGAAACGCATTCCTGGTGTATTATGGTACGATGTACGCATCAATGATGGAGACACTTGCCGATCAGTCGAGCCAATTTGAAGACACGTGCACCCCGCAAGATAACGGTTTTGAGGAGTCGTGTAGTACCCAGTCCGCGGAGCCTACAGTGATGCGGAGGAGATGGGCGGCTAACTTGCCGCCCATATGTAGTCTGTAGCAGAACCTGCACTATAGACGAAGGAAGGATAGGCTAGTAGGTCTGCATATGGATTACATTGAGAGGCTATGATTGGATGGAAGTGAACATCAGCATGGTTGAGGACTATGAAGGAAGAGGAAGAGCGCCCGAGCTATATGTCGGGAGACGTTACTATTGAAGTCGAGGAGAGCATTCTCCAGGCTTCGACACCGGACACATGCATGTCATACCCGTCTTTACCTCGATCCAGCAAACGAGACTGGGATATACACAGTATGTCCTGAACAACAAGGCGTTGAGGCGCAAGTCATAATTCTAGCCACGCGTGTCGTGCAGTCCAACACTTGACAGCGGTGTGGTGGACGGATCGCATCGTTGTTCTTCTGGGTCAAATTTTACCTCTCGTGATTCGTGTACGATAATACTTCCTTAGCCCCAGGCCGACTTCCCGTGTTCACCGGATAGTGTCCGCCCACAAAGTGAAGCTACTCAGGGTACAGGGCAGATGTTAAAGTCGACAGGGCTAAGCAAGGACTGAAAAGGAGGGAAATCAGGCACGCTTGCATCCATTCCCCACTGAAAACGTTCATACATTGAATATCCGAGAGACGGGAAGGCGAATGAAGGCAGCAACCGAAAAACCTGCCGCAACGAGTCAAGAAAGCGAAGAATCTCGCAAGGAACTTTGGAACGTGGCGTTCTTCAGCTGGCGTGTTTTGAATGACTTTCGACTCGAGTTGCGTTCGCGAAATGTGCAAGTGGTTTAGCCTTGTGGACCTTCATGCAAATCATCTTGGCGCTTGTAAGCAGTAACCACCGACAATCAAACCCTTAGCCCCTAGACGAATTTCCTCAACGAGTTTGCAGATTTGTAAGAATAAGTTTTAAGAAACGGGTAGGGCGAAGAACCGACTTCATTAGAACGACGACCCTAAGCAGGATCGACCTTTCGGCGTTTTATCGGTATTATTCCCCGCCTTCCGATTCGTACCGGCGCAAACAGAACCTTACAACGACGTCAGGAGCGTTCTCTAACCACGGCTGCTCTCCGCCGTCATCGCGAGCTTCCTCTTTGTTCTTATACTTCCTTTCGCCGATTGAGGGCGAGATGTTGTAGTTGTTACACGACTTCGACCGAGAGTGGATACCCAGCTAGGCGAATCAGTTCAGAATGACAACCCCAAGAAGGAAGGCTTGCGTCGAGTGTCGCCAACAAAAGGTACGCGTCAGATCAGCAACGTCGCGATGGACTTCCTCTGGACGTAACTTAAATACTGACTTTCTAGATTCGATGTGATGTTGAGCAACTCAAAGTGCCGCATGATCCATGTGGACGCTGCAGGAAGATGGGACTGGAATGCAGAATTCTGCCCACGTCGACCAGGAATCTTCGACAGACGAAGGCAGAGATGCGACGGGAGCTTGAGGAATTGCGATGGAATATGCGACACAATCAAGTACAAGGATCGGAATCAACTTATCCTCATTCGACAGCGTCGCCAAATCTCGACATGCGAAACTACAGCCCACTCGAACCCGACTCGGGCACATATTCGAATCCCTCTGCCAGGACCGAAGCATCGAATTCCCTTTCTCCAGGTTATGAATCCAGGCCGCCAACGAGGAAGGGTTCGGAGAACACGCTTCCACGCACGTTGGATGGGTACATGGTTGATGCGAAGACCATTGATGCTTGCTTCTTACTGTACACGCCCACCAACCTCCTAGTTACCTACTTTCTAACAATTTCCAGATATTTTGCGCGATATCACGCGCTCTTCCCCCTCGTGGATGCGACATTAGGACCAAATGAGTTCTACGATCTCTCACCATTCCTTTTCTGGGTCATCATCGTCACGGGATCGAGAAGGTATACTGAGGACCACACGATTCTTGACAGGACAAGCCAGCTCATCACACCACTCGCGTTTTCATCTATGGCTTTGCGTTCCTCCCAGATTCCGGTCATCCAAGGTCTTCTCATCCTTTCCACCTGGCGGTTACCAACAAGCTCCATGTACAAAGATATGACTCACCTACTGTGCGGTTCTGCAGTACATCTGGCGACACAGATTGGCCTTCACGTTTCCGGAATAGGGCAGGATTTTGCGCGGAAGCCACTGATGAAAAATGAGGATGAGAAGATCAATCGCGCTAGGCTCTGGCTTTGTTGCGTTATTGTGTCTATTAGGTGAGAATTTATCACACGGCCGAATAGTTCGCGATTGCTAATCTCTCGCAGAACAAGTTGTTCCGAAGGTATCCCGCCCTTTGCTGATTCGTTTTTTGACTGTGACGAACGAAATCGAGAAGACATGGTTCCGTATCTCCCACTTGATCTGCAATTCCTTCATAAAGTTTACATCATCCTCCTACGTGCGATGGTGGCTATGGGAAGAACCGATCTGCAATCTATCAATGTCGATGTACGGGTGCTGCGTTCACATATCAGTATCTTTGATTCCCAACTACACAGTCTGGCCCCCTCATCTTTGAGCGAAACAGGTGTGTGAAACCAACTCTTACGACCATGCAGACACTAACTGGACAGATTCTCTTCAACTCAACTGTGCACGTATCCATGTACTGGCTTTCCATTTCTTCGCCCATCCCACCAACCCAGGCCCAGACGCAGAAGCTCTTTCTCGCCTTTATGCACTTTGTGTCTCGGTTATCCATACAACATACGCGATTTCCGAACAAAGCAGCCTGCCATCTGTTTCGCAGGCCTTCATTGAGAGAACCATCACTCTCGCAGGATTCGCGATCCTACGACTTGTCCGTAGTCCGCTTGCGCAGCATCTCGACCTTTCTACAGGTGAACAAGCGTTCGGTCAGGCAATTCAGTTCCTCAAGAACGTATCTTTGCAACAAGGAGATCTTGCCCACAGGACAGCCCAAATCATGAGTGATCTTTGGAACAGCAATAAGGTTTTCCGTAGGAAAGACGGTCGTCTTGAGTCATTGGGTCTAAGGTTGAGAACTAGACTGAGTATGAGTCTTAGCTACGACATGTTCTGGTACTGGAGGGAGGAATTCGGCAACATGTCCAACCCCTACAACGGCGAGGAAGTAGCATTGCCTCCGAGTGATGTAACTCGACCCAACACACCTCGTAAGTAACCTTCATATCTGTCATGGTCTCATTACTAACAGAATTATCAGCGTATGCACAGAATCAGAATTTAGCAGGAAACCAGGAACCACAACGTCCAGCTCCAAGACCACACGCTCCTCTTAAACTCGATCCTAGCTTAATGAACCACATGCCACCTGCCCCTTCAGTTATGAGTTTCGATACCTGGGAAGGGTCTGATTACAACGTACCGCCAATGCTGGATCAATTTCCTGATTACGACTGGGCTGCTGGCTTCGATTTCTCGAGTAGCGAATTCCCGAATATCCCTGTTGGTCCAGTTGCCCCCGCCAATCCGATGATGCATGAGAACGTAGGATATATGGGTCATACGTTTGGTTGAGCCGGCTTGTTCGACCAAAAGTTTCCCCATGGCCTCGTTTAAGAGAATTTTGCCTGAGGAATGACCTGGATGGAAGTTGATTGAACTGGAATTATATCAGTCCCCAGACCGTCGCATTCGGATCAGAACGACCTCTCGAGCGCAGTCCGACGATTCCTGCCCAGGCCAGATTGGACTCGAATTCGCCTCTGGCTGGTACTGAATTTGCGTTGGACCCTTCGAAACCTTCACATTCTTTGATGCCACATCGTCTGGATGAATTCGTCCCATACCTCTGGAAGACCTGCTCCTAGATATAGAGCCACCCAGGGCTTTACAAAAAAAGGACCGACGACTTCGTTTCTATCTGTTTTGGTCAGAGTCGGTGGCCTTTGATGACCATTTAAACTGCACTGTTGTCGGAACCAAGTGTGCAAAACGCCGGATGTGTTATTGTTACAGGGAGACGGGAAAGGCGAATGGCGCCGGAAAAACAAAGACGAATGATCTGATGATCTCCAGTGGGTACCGCAGCCTACGTTTACGATCCGCTTTCATGCGTAAAGGGCTCCATTTGAAGGGTCTTGAAACGATGATAGTGGACCTCGAACGGTTATCCCCGCGGCATTGATGCTGTATACGGCTTCGTTGGGATGTGTTTGAGCATTGCGGTTGGCATAAGCAATGCGATCACCAATAGCCGTTGAAAGCAGGAGAGAGGAGAGATCCTACTGTATTGTTCATGTCCGGATCTCTCAATCTTTAGAACGCGCCTGCCGGACGGCATTAGAAGGAGTGCCGACTGTAGGGGGGACAATAGGCCATTAGGCTCCATCTGAAAGAGCGACAATCGAAACATTTGCCCAATCTTCAGCTTTGACCTAACTCAGATTGGAAGCTAATCGAGTGTAGATCTGAACCTAATAAGCAAAGCGAAGGCCAAATGATAGAAGCAACGCAAGCAAAGATCCCAAGCGCGCTACAACATACGTAGGCGCGGTCAAACTCCAAAACACCAGGCTACAAGCGCAAGATCTTGAGTGTTCTTCCAACGAACGCGAATTGACCGGCATCTCATGCATCCGTATACGCCGTCCCCCCAGCCTGAGCATCAAACTCAATCATGTCGTCCAACCCGCATACTGCGAATAATTCTCTTGGCCCATATCTCCGCCCGTCTTTCTCCACAGACTTGACGTTGCCAATCGTGTTCAGCTGCTGCATTGCCTTTCTAACCGCCGGGTACACGACCTCGAATGCTAGACACGGGAAGATGGCGATCCTATACCCAATATCCTTGCACTCCTCGACGCCGAAATCCGGAGACACGCCGCCGGGCACATTGTTGAACAGACACGGCGTCGGGGCGAGATCCTTGCATGCGCGCTCTGCTTCTTCGCGGGTATTCACGCCTTCGAGAAACGCGGCGTCTGCGCCTTCAGCTACGGCGACCTTTAACCGCTTGATCGCCTCGTCGTAGCCGAATCCTTGCAGTGCGTCTGTTCGCGCGATGATGACGATGTCGCCGCCGCTTTGCTCACGGGCTAGTACTGCGGCTTTGATTCGCGATGCATATTCTGCTGTGCTGACGAGTTGCTTGCCGTTCAGGTGGCCGCAGCGCTTGGTCGCTATCTGGTCTTCGAGATGGAGGCCTGCTATGCCGGCACGGATGTAGGCGGTTGTTGTGCGGCCGGCCATTATGGGGCCGCCATAGCCTGTGTCTGCGTCTGCGATGAGGGGGACGGAGGGGTCGAGGTTTGCGATCATGGAGGCATTGGAGAGCATATCGTTGAGGGTTGCGATGCCCATGTCTGCCATGCCGAGTCTGGACATTGTTGTCCCTGCGCCCGTCTTTTCGAATACCGGTTAGTTTTTTTGGTTCCGTGGAGTTGGAAGCGTCGCGTGGCTTACCATGTACAGACAGTCTGCGCCTTCTTGCAGCGCAATCCGTGCTGTGAAGCCATCGTATACACCGGGACATGCGATGAATTTGTCGGGATCTGCAAGCATAGCGCGCAGCGTCTCAACGGCTGTCTTTCTCCTCCCGCCTGTGCTTGTCCCATTCGAACCCATGATGTCACACTGCTCTTTCTTTCCCAAGCCCAAAGAATTCCCAGTCCTTTGTCTATTAGTCTTTTCCCAACTCTTTCCACTTCCTCCCGTGAATATCCAGACTTATCAAGAAACCACAAACACAAACACACACACTCACGAAATAAAAGCGCGTCTCAACCAAACGCTAAAAGAGCAGAAGACAAATAGACGATGATCGCGCCAACAAAAAAAAGAGCCAAGAAGAGATTAGTTACCACAAATCGTAGATCAGCACAAGCCTAAGCTTTTCGGTCCAGGAACCATGCAACCCCGAAAAGCGCAAACACCCCTCTTCTTATACTCCCACCAACCCTCTTTCCCACAGACACAATCACAAATCCCGGGCAACGAGCGCAGCTCAGCTCAGACTCGTCAGACCAGGCACTTGAAACACGGCACTTTTTTCAAACCCAACAACAGCAGCAGGCGGTGGGGGGGAGGGACGGGGAGGGGGAATTCTTCTCCATGACGGCCTATCACTTTGCCTAGACCTCTCCGTCCGGGCACGTAGTAGTATGTAGTAGCACCCCCGCGCGCAGCGGAGGTGACGGTGACGTAGTGCAGGGTGCCGATATTCGCCGGGTGCTCGTCCGATTGAGGGAGCTCCATGGGCTCTTATTTGCTGGGGAGGGGGGGGTGGTGAGCGAGGTGGCTCGAGGAGGGTGGAGCTTTGGTGTAGGCGTGCCGAGGTGCGGGGCGGGATGATGGATGCGAGTGTGGGTTTTGGGCGGCGGGGGGGAGGCGAGGGTTGATGGTGGAGGTTGGAGGGTAACTGGATGGGGAGTGTGAGGATTGGGATGGGCTGGGCTGGGCTAGGCTTGATGTTCATGTGTGATGCTTTTTTGGGGCGAGGCGTTGGGAGTGGGTAGGGGTTTGCATTAGGGTTTTTAGAGAGCGGGTGGAGTCGTTCAGCTGTTTATGCTTTTTGATCAAGAGAGTACACGGCACTTTACTACTTTCCTGTCCTCCTGGCTCTGTTGTGTATGAGTAAATTGCTGGCTTAATCATAGAAGAAGAAGCTGTCACTTTGATAGGCGGTGTCATAGCAGCAACCCATCTCTATCACCCACTCAGATGTTACGTCGAACTTTCACGACGCAAATGCTATTAATATATCTTACCTGACCATTCGATTGGCGTAGTCAAGCTCGTTCGGGTACTGCTTCTACGATACATTATAGCCCCCAGGTAGCTCGTCGAGGTCTTCCAGTCCAAGGTAGTCCCCCTCGTCCAGCCACACTTGAACTTGAACTTCAAAGGAAGCTGTGATATGAATAAGGTACAGGTTTTCAATATATTGGGACTGAATCTAGTCTCTTAATACAAATACCTCGCTTTGACGATTATCTTTCATGCTATCGACTGTCCGATATCGCTGGAACAAACGTTTCACGTATTCACAGAACGACGAAGACGTGAAGAGCAAGAGCGATAATGGAAGCATAGAACGGGAAAGGAACAGGAAAAGGAAAAGGAACCCCTCATATCTCTTGAGTCATTCCCAAGTCCCCACCACATCACCACACGATTGAGAAACCATAAAGTCATAACATCATTTACCCCCCAAACACCAACACTAACTCAAGAATCCCCCACATTCTACAGCGGCGGAAGCACCTCCCGACAATTCGGACACATAAGCCGATACCGCATCCATCCCTCCAAGCACCCCGTATGAAAAACATGCCGACAAGGCGTAACCATATAAAGCCTCCGCTGCAGCAGCATACCCGCCTCGCCCATCACGCCATCCACCGCCTCGCCCTTGGGCAGAACCGGGACCTCTATATCCTGCGCGCAAATACTGCAGTCGAAGACCTTCCTGCGCTTATCTTTCAGCTCGCCGAGAGTCTTGCTAGGCTCGGAGGGTTCGGCGTCCTCTGAGGCGGAGGTCGTAACATTAAGCGGCATCTTCCCATCCTCCTCGTCGTCGTTTAGAAGCGGATGGTACTCCCACGCCTCGGGCACCCAGCTCCAGGACTGGTTTACGAAGATACGCGGGCCGAGCACGGCCTGAGCGGCCAGGAGCACGATTTGAAGCCACAGCCAGGCGACGAGGGCGGCGCAGATGCGCGGGTTGGGCTTGGCGAACATGACGTTGTCGGGTTTGAGCCAGAAGTATGCGAGCGGGATGAGGCGCGTGATGGAGGTGCCGAGGACGTATTCCCAGCGGAGGGCGCGGCGGCAGTTGCGCATTACGTTGCGGTAGATTTGCGGGATCCAGAAGGAGAGGTAGAGGGAAGAGAGGAGGGTGAAGTAGATGCTGCGGATGGTGCTGCGGGTGGTGCCGAATTGGATGGTGGTGAAGAAGAGGATGATGAGGAGGAGGCAGAAGCGACTGTATAGGGCGCCGAGTTCGGCGCGGGGGTTGGGTGGAGGCGTTGTCGTGGTGGTTGTTGTTGTCGTTGGGACGTCATCGTCGTCTTCGAGAGGGTCGTCTTGGTCCGGGGCGATGATTATGGGTGTTGGTGGGCGGGGGTGGGAGGCCGTCGCAGGGAGAGGTAGTCCTTCTGTGGAAAGAGGGGGAGGACGAGGAAGCGGAGGGGTAGGAGCTGGGGTAGTAGGAGCTGGCGGTGCTTGCTGTCGATTTTGACGCTCTCGTTCCGCAGCTTGGACAGACCAGATATCCATCAAGAAGCGCAAGTGCGTGAGTACAGAGAACAGCGCCATAAACGCAATACTGTACAACGCCAGTTGCGATGTCCCAAGGAAAAGATACATAAAGATGAGTATCAAGAATGTGAAGCCATCCCCCAGAGCCATCAAGGCGATTGTGTAGAAGCTGACACGGCTGCGCATGGATGGTGTAGCGGTCTCTTTCATCTGCTTGATGAGGAACGAGAGTTGGAAAGCAAGGCTCATAGCAAACGCAATAATGCCATGTCGAGCCTTGTCGTTAAACTCCTCAGTCTTTTCGCCCTGGAGATGTGTAGCTTCGGAGGGAGGAAAGTCTGGCGGGCCTTTCGACTCGATAACGAAGCCACAGTCCGGCGAAAAGCCAACCATGGACATCGAAACAGGAGAGTGGCGGGGCATTGGTGCGCCAGTAGGATACCGCAGCTCGTGCTCCAGCCAGTCCAGATCAACACCATACTGGTTCGGCAGCTGTTGTAGATATAACACAAACTCGCAATGGTGACCCTGGTATAGGCCCTCGTTTGCCCCTTCAGCAGAGGATGTCCAAGGGTTCCATAGCGGGAAGACACGGTTCCGCTGTCGATCGATAGCCTCATGTATCGTCCCGTTGAGGAAGTGTTGGCTTATATCATAGTATCGCTGGTCAGTCTGCATATGCGGCAGTGCGAATATGCCCGCAAACCGATCGCTCGTGGTTGTCAGAACGGCTGCTCCACTCTTCAAGAAATGTACACCGTGGACGATAAACTCCCACCAATTGTCCCCAAAGCTATCGTCATCCCCGATCACTACTCTTGCGCTGATCTCAGAAACGGTGTGGTTCGCATCCCTCCGCATCTTATCCTCCAGCTCCGAGAAGTGGAAGCGCACCGGTCCGCCCGCACCAGTCAGGTTTCTGTCGAAGACCGCCTGCTGTGCAAAAGGCCCATCAGACACCATCGACAAGTTCCCCATGTCGCTCGGATGCCTGATGCGACTCAGCGGGGAACGCGTCCATTCGCCCTGCACGAACCCCGAAAAGTTCTTATACACAGGTATATCTGCTGCGTCTTCCCATCCATTCCCCAGCAATCGCCTCTCCCATCCCCGCGCCTTCTCTTTCACCCCATGTAGCGCCTCCCACGCAAACCCATCCTCATCCCTCAGCCCCGTGACATTCAGCCACTTGTCCCCTTTCGGATCGAAATCTCCGTAGCGCGTTTGGTTTAAGATGTCGAGCTGGTCGAATTCGCGCTGGATGAGCTCGTTGTATCGCTCGCGCGTGTTGTAGCTTGGCTGCTGCGGTTCTGGCGAGTTGAGGATCAGGAGGAGGATGATGAAGAAAATGAAGCTTCGTGGATCGCGCCGGGCTTCCATCGGGGTGTTATGGTCGTGGTACGAGTCATCGGGGCAGGGTGGTGGTGCGTTGTGGAGCTTACATCGTCATGAACGATGTTGGATCTCGGTGGTCCGCACGCCTTGGCAATGACTTCACACCTTCAAATACGCGGAGAACAGTAGAGTGGAAATTCATTGATGTTCATTCGTTTCATGAGAGCAATGAGGGGTATTGAATTACATGTATGCACTGAGAAAGGGTTGGTCAACTACATCGTGATATCCTGAGCTCCTTCCATCCTAAACGCCTATCCGTGACTGCAAGCCTTTTCTTTATACACGTGAACGAAAGATAGGAAAGACATCAACTTTTTTTTAGTGATTGGCACCGGCAAACACTGGTGGCGCTGCCTCCAGATCAACTCGTTGAACCGTCTGCCGCAGGTCGTTGCTGTTACGGACGAGATTGCCAAAGTACTTGCGGGCGAGTTCGGCCTCCCCCTTGAATTTGCTCGTCTCCTCTTTCTTGAGCTGGAGCTTTTCGACGTTACGCTGGAGGCCTATACGAACGTCGTTGGCAGGACCCTTGAGTGCACGTCGAATTTCGGAGCTGATACGTAGAGCGTTCGTGTGGGTGTAGTCGATGGCTGACAACTGTTGAGACAACTTCGCACTAAGACGATGGGGCAGAGACTTGGGGACAGATGTGAGGACGTAGGCGACTCCGATCGCAACTAGCAAGCAATGTTAGTGTTGATATCGAGATGGACGTAAGATAAGTACTCACCACCAGCAACAAGGCCAGGAATCACGAGCCTGCTCATGTTCTTCGAACCCATAATCTTGGCAGCACCAAGTACGCCATCAAGCCATCCGACGCCACCCATCAGTCGGCCTCCTACTACAGTTGCAACTGTCATAGCCATGCCGGTACCAGCAACCTTCTCTTGACGTTCCCACAGGCTGGCCACGTCAAAGAAGTCCCAGAGTTCAATGTCAATATCCACCTGTCGTGCAAGGGCGTGAACCGACTTTCTGAACATTCTTTCTGGGCGGAACATGACGTCAGCGTACAAATTATTACCCAAATGTAAGACACCAAGGTTTTTGATGCCGTTGTAGCCCTGCACAGCCTGGGTCCGTGCATGCTCCTCACACTGGCGAACAGTTTCCGAGATTTCGTGGATCATGGAGTCGCGGATGTCTTCAGCGTACTGGTAGGCAGAGAACAAGCCTGGGTACTCGATGCCTAGATCTTGCTCTCCTACTTTCGCTATGCATAAATTGAGTGTGTCCCGGGTATGACCGTAAACATCCGATGTTGTGTCTTCGACCATTCGCTCCACGGTTTCCCCGGCTTCTGTGCGTGACTTTTTAGACTCTTCATATTCGGGTTCGAGGGCATCGATTTCTTTCTTCACGCGATCGAGCTCGGCCTGCGAGACATCACGGTTGACGGTAGCGAGATTGTTCATATCTCCGAGCACATTCAGAAGATAGGTCTGGGCGGGGGCCAGTTTAGACCTAGCTCTCTTCTCAAGAACGAAACGTCGCAGCGATGTCTCGAGATCCCCAAAGTCGCGGATCTTCTCCGCCTCTTTGCCCTTTCCTTTGTCGGATGGGTCGTCATCGCCATCGCCGCCAGGTGGCGAGCTTCCATCTCCTTGCATGGGTATGGCGTTACTCGAGACAAAGTGGACCAATTCGCTGGACTCCTTGAAGGTTGCAGGGCTCAGCCCCGCCACTTGCTTGAGGATCATCTCTTCACACCGTTGCTGGTCGCGGATGACGTCGAATCCGTTGACGACCATGAAGATGTACGCCTTCTCTCGGGCGGCGCTGAAGATGAAGTTCTTGGCTGACTCGGTGAAATGGTTGGCGGCAGAGACGACGAAGACGACGACGTCGATCTCCTCCTGGCGAGCGAATACGGCAGTTGTCTTGATCGAGTCTGCGTTCAGCCCCGGCGCATCGATGAGCGCAATGTCGACAACGCCGTTGTTGAGGATGGATTCGTCGACGGAGCGGATGTCCCTGATGTAGACCTTGCACTGGGAGAAGTGCTCGCTGTCGATGACTATCCTCTCCAGCTCGTCAAGTTCGAAGACGACGTAGGTGCTTTCATCGTTGCGCTTGTAGGTCTGACCGTGTGGGACAGCATGGACTTCCTCGACGCCACCGTTCTCTCTGAAGTCGAGGACCTCGCAGAAGATACTTGTGCAGGGTTGCTGGTCCTCTGGAAGGACCTTTCGGCGCAAGAGGGCGTTGCAGAAGGTGGATTTGCCGGCATTCAAGTCGCCCGTGACAAGCACCTTGCTGGACGTGTCCTCGATGCGCTCTTTGATGGAGTAGAGGTGGCGTATGCTCTGCTGGATCTGGCCGTCGAGCAGGGACGCAATGGAGCTCTTTTCCAGCGAATGCACCAAGTCGGTCTGGGAGCGGCCGCCCATGCGGAGTTCCAGCTTGAGGACGGAAAATTCCTGGGCGAGCTGTGGCGTGACCAGCCGTGGTTCCTCCTTGGGCTTCTCTGCAGCAGCGGCGCTCGATTCTGCGGGGTCGTCGCCAATGGTGGTGCCTGCGCGCCGTGGCGGGCGTGGGCGGTCGGTGGAGCGCATCATGGGGTCGAAGTCGCCCATGACCGAGTGCGTGTGTGCCAGCGCGGGCCGCGAGTCGAGACGGGCGTGGGGCTTGGGCGGCTCGACTTGCACCGAGGGGTAGTGGGCGGGCCACTTGAGGTTCATTTCCTGGAAGCTCTTGAGCGCCTCGATGGTGCCGTGGATGGCTCGCCCGAGCGTGTTCTTGTTCTGGTTGTAGCGCAGCTGCATGACATGGCTCTGCTGTCTGTCGCTCTCCGAGGCGTTGGACTCGCTGGGCAGGATGGCGGATGGCGACTGCGACGGCTGGTCCTCGCCAATGTGCGAGTGCCAGCTCGAGGCGCCGTTCTGGCCATCCACTAGGCTGCCTCCATAGCCAGAGTCATCGTCCAGCATCGACACCAGGCGGGCGGCGGCCTCGGGCGTCGAGCCAGAGCCGACCGTCATGTAGCCCGGCCCGCCATGACTGCGGCGAGAACCACGGGCATTGGACGGGCGAGCGTCACGGCCGCTCGAGGAAGACTGCCCACGGTCGGGCGTCTGGGCGCGTTTGTCGGGATGCATCGGGGTGGCTATATCAGATGCGCGGATAGGCGGGGGAGCATGTCGTGGAGGGTGAGGTGGTGTGGTGTGGAGGAAGATTTGCAGAGGATCGAATTCGACAGACGCCGATGCCGTCACGAGTGGCACGGGAAAAGCAGTGGCGCTTGCACGCTAGAGATCCGTCTACTATTGCAACACAGCCCACCACCACGTAAACGTTGGAGATGCGACTAGCAGGCGATAAAGATGGGTGCTCATGAACAGGTGCTCGCACGTGGGCAGGACGAAGGCCACAGAAAGGATTCGACCACCTTGCAGGAGTCCTGTTCGCGGGACAACGCAGCCCTCACCGCACTTTTCAACTTTTGCTTTGCTCCACCAATAACCCGCCCTGAACGTCTTCAATTGCTTTGCCTACTGCAGTCACTTGTGTCAACCAAGTTACCCCTGGGGCACGACCCCTCACACCAGTAGGGCTACGTTGACAAACTGCGCAAACCATACAAACTCGAGTGCATGCTGGCATCTGCCTCGAATCTTGGTGTCCAGGTGCCTAAACCAGTGTTGAACCGCCAAGGCGCGGCGCGTATCGCGACATCATACCATCCGCCTCCAATTCACTCTACTATCACCACCACCCCCAACGTTTGAACCTCCACAGCCACCTCACCATACTCTGCGTCTCACATCCCTAAACTCTATGGTCTTGCGGTAGTCAAGTCAACGACTTTCCATTCAACACTACATTGCAACTCCCCGCATTGCCATCACCACCACACTGGATTACGATTAGCCATATCACGTGACGTCATGAACATCGTAGAGTGGGCATTTGGGAAACGCATGACGCCGGCGGAGCGTCTGCGGAAACACCAGCGTGCACTTGAGAAGACGCAGAGAGAACTCGACCGCGAGCGGGTGAAGCTCGAGAACCAAGAGAAGAAGCTCATAGCCGATATCAAGAAGAGCGCCAAAAATGGACAAATGGGACCCTTGCGTATACAGGCAAAAGATCTCGTGCGGACACGAAGGTTTGTGCTGTGTCTGGTTGCGAGAGCACAACTGACCGGATGAAGGTATATCCAGAAGTTCTACCAGATGCGCACACAACTACAGGCGATTTCGCTGAGAATACAGGTTGGTTTGCTGTGATCATGTTCTTGTGCTTGTACTGACCTCAGACAGACTGTCCGCAGTAACGAGCAGATGATGCAGTCAATGAAGGGCGCGACAGGTAATATCCATCATTGCCCGATTTTTCATCCTCTAACATCCGACAGCATTGCTGGGAAGCATGAACAGGCAGATGAACCTCCCAGCTCTACAGCGCATCGCCATGGAATTTGAGAAAGAAAACGACATCATGGACCAGCGGCAAGAGATGATGGACGATGCCATTGATGATGCCACGGGTATGGAGGATGAAGAAGAGAGCGAAGATGTCGTCAATCAGGTCCTCGACGAGATAGGCATTGATCTTGGGCAGGCAGTACGTATTTTCTTGTCACACGAGGGCCAGGCACTAACATCATGCAGCTTGGGGAAACGCCTAGTGGTCTGCAGAAGGCTGCTGTGCCTGAGGGTAGGGTGGCGCAGGCGATCGGAGGAGCTGACCCTGACGATGACGATCTCCAGGCACGACTAGACAGCCTGAGGAGATGAGGGATGATTTGTTTCACGACGGAGCGACAGCGATTATGATCGTGGCTAGGTTGGCTGTTTTCCACATATTTCGAATTCATAGTCAAAACGATACCACACAGCGCGATCAAAACACTTTCAGTGACTGCTCTTGTCGGGTTCAAAGACCACAACACGCCATAAAAAGCAAGTAACTCCATGGATCTGTACTTCAAAGGGGAACATCTCGTGCAAAGTACTGCATCTGTCCTGTCTGTTCTTTTCCGCGGCATGTCACGTAGCCTAGAGTTTAGCTACAGGAAGACCCACGAACTCGAATCCCTGCATACTGCATACTCCACTAATTAAAAGCACATGCATCGTTGAGCCTAGATTCTGCTGATCGTCGACGTCCCCGTACCACCGGGAGATCTGTCTAGGTGGCCAAAACGGTGCACTACCGGCTTCAAGAACGTGCTGAGAAATAGGTCACAAGGTCATCCGGCTGTCAACCTTGAACAGCCTCAAGGCTACACTTGTTACCGAGTTTGTAAAGGGTCTGGGCGGGGTAGCGAGGTGAACTATTCCAGGGCTCTGACAGCCGGTCAAACCCACGCCTTCCTGGATGCCTTTAATAGCCTTGTCCCCGCACGACAGGCAACACTCCCCTGTACCGCTTCGTGGGCTATTCCTAGACCTTATCCAATCCAACCACCCTCTTGTGTCCCCTTCACAACGTCTATACGCGCTTCACCCTTTGTTCGGTTACCCTGACGTGCATATTGCGACGTCATTCGCCAGCCCACTACACGACGCCCAGCTCTTGGGATCGTCTCCCTCGCAACATTGCCCACGCACCTCACACCTCTCCCTCCTCCATATCACACAACAAGATCGCCTACATCAAACACGAGTCTCTCGCAAGAATCTGAAAACCAGTACGTTTGCTCGCCATGCACGATGAGCGCATCAGGCGCACGGTCCGCCACAAAGAGGGGTGCATTGCTTGCTGTCTGCGTCGGCCGTCCGTTTGAAGAGAGCTTGAGCTGATTTCTAAGACTTCTGCAGGCTATTGACGTCACACGCAAACACGCGCCGCATCCCAAGCAAGCAAGCTCTCGGAATACCCGGCTCTACAAGATCCACGACTCTGTACAGGGCGCTATCGCGAAGCCTTCAATCTGGCAGGAAACAAGCGTCGCAGCTTCTCCAGCCAAGGAGGCCTGCTAAACAGGATGTTTGGCTCTACTCCTGGGAAGGACGACGAGGTTGCCGCGGTAGATGGTCCGCCGATCGGCGACGCGTCGAAGCCGGTGACAGTGGCAGCCCCGACGGAGGATGCAGCCATGACAGAACAGAGGGTTTCTGGTAACGGCATTGCATCAGCAGACCGTAGAAGCAGCGATCTTACCTCCAGTCCTGTTGCGGAGAAGAAGCGGCGAAGTAGTGGTGTGTCGCGTGCTCGGGATATGTTCTCGAGCGTGAAGCAGTCACTACATTCAAGCAGCTCTTCTCCCACGACCAACCCAGCCACGCCGGAGAAGATCGCTCAGACACCTTTACAAAAGCTGGGAAAAGCTGATGCGGCACTGATCGTTCCTCAGGGGTCTCTCAACAACTCCGCCGGTGAATCTGCGCCAGGCCCACGATCTACCTTCCGCGTCGGTGTCACAGAAGACAAGAACAAGAAATGCAGGCGGACGATGGAGGACACACACGCCTATCTTTACAACTTCCTGAGTACACCGGCTCCCTCATATAGCATAGACCCGAGGGCTTCCGCATCGAGTACAGGATCGGCGCAGGTCGATCCTACTACACAACCTGTCATCGAGACTGACAATGGGTACTTTGCCATCTTCGATGGGCATGCTGGAAACTTCGCTGCCGACTGGTGCGGGAAGAAACTGCACCTGATCTTGGAAGACACCATCCGAAAGAACCCAAATACCCCCATTCCCGAGCTGCTCGACCAGACATTCACCATGGCCGATCAGCAACTCGAAAAGCTGCCCCTCAAGAACAGCGGTTGCACTGCGATTACAGCGGTTTTGAGGTGGGAGGATCGAGTGCCGAATGCTCAATCATCTACTGGTTCAGTCCTGTTTGCGCCCGCTGCTGTTTCGGCTGTTAAGAACGCTGTCGAGAGTGGTCAAGTCGCCGATGTACCCAGCGCAGATCCCGCTGTCGACCACCCTGTAGAAGCGAAGCTACGCAACGAGGCTAGTAGACAGCGAGTCCTCTACACGGCGAATGTTGGTGATGCGCGAATTGTTCTATGTCGAAATGGCAGAGCGCTCCGCCTTTCGTATGACCACAAGGGTAGTGATGAGAACGAAGGACGCCGCGTAGCCAGCGCTGGTGGCTTGATCCTCAACAACCGCGTGAACGGCGTGCTTGCTGTCACGCGAGCTTTGGGCGATGCATACATGAAAGATCTCGTTACCGGTCACCCATACACGACAGAAACCGTGATTCAGGCGGATCAGGATGAATTCCTCATTCTGGCTTGCGATGGCGTAAGTACACTGATTCCCGTGCTTCAGTATTTGCTAACAAAACTAGCTCTGGGACGTCTGCTCTGACCAAGAAGCCGTCGACTTGATCCGTGGCATCCACGATCCCCAGGACGCCTCTAAAAAGCTGGTTGATTACGCCCTTGCCCGGTTTTCGACGGACAATCTGTCTTGTATGGTGGTTCGGTTCGACAACAAGGCCCTCCGACAGCGCAAGCACGAAGGCACAATGGGGGTAGAGGGTGACGCAGCGGGTGCCAGGGGTGGAGTCAGCGAAGCAGAAGCCATCGTCGCGCAGGCACGGAAGTCGATTGGCGAACCAGAGCTGTCGGTCGAGAGTGCAGCCTCCCAAATTATCATGGAGGAGGAGGAGAAGGAACCCGTACCCGAACTCAGTCTCGAAGCTGCAAAGGCGGCTCAGAAGAACAAGGTATGAACAGAGCACTGCGATGATACAAGGCTGCGCGTTCAACAGTGCAAGGAGTAATGAGAGGCTGGCAGCAATGTATGGGTTCGGTTTTCTATAGCTGGGGGAGGATGGTTTCTGGAGGTGAATGCTCCTACACATAGCAACGCCAGGCGTTCCCCAAATCAATCAAGCTCACACTGCACCGCATCTCATGCACATGCATGACTCAGGACCGAACACGGCCATGCGCAACGCTCGTTTCTCGCGTGAATGATCGCCGCAACGGGCCCGAGCGCATGCCCCACACGATATCGGGAACGTCAGGTCTTCAGTGCACAAGGCGAGGCTGCCGCTGCCCACGCACCCACGCCCTGCCTCAGCTGCCGCCCGTCCTCCTGAGCGCCCTCGACGTCCCTCCATGCGGCTCCGACCGGAGGAGCACCGCTGTCACGATGTCTGGCGCAGACGAGTCCACCGAAGCCCACGTTGACGACGCCGCTGTCGCCCAAGGCCACCCTACCTTTGTCTCCCCGCGCACGCTGCTCGAGCCCTCGCGGCCCACGCTGCCTCCGCGGAGCTTCACCGCCCTGGACCACGAGCAGCTGGACGGCCTGGTATGCGGCACCCCGCGCTGTGAGCACAAACGCGGGCACTGACGTGGGGCAGAAAACCATCCGCGCCTTCCTCCGCGCCAGGACGAGCTACGACGTGCTGCCGCTCAGCTACCGCCTCATTGTGCTCGACACGGCCTTGATGGTCAAGAAGAGCCTCAACATCCTCAACCAGAATGGTCAGCGCGCCTTGCTTGTGCGGGTATGGGGTGGGAATGTCGCGGCTGACTCGTGTGTGCAGGCATTGTCTCTGCGCCGCTCTGGGACTCGAAGACGTCGACCTTTGCCGGCCTGCTGACGACGTCGGACTATATAAATGTCATCCAGTACTACTGGCAGAACCCAGACGCGCTGGGCAGGGTCGACCAGTTCCGCCTGAACAGCCTGCGAGGTACCGCTTCCCTGCGCAACCACACATGCGAGAACCCGCCACTGACAGCAGCAGAGATCGAGAAAGCGCTTGGTGTCAAGCCCATCGAGACAATCTCCATCCACCCCGACCGCCCCGTCTACGAAGCATGTCGCCTGATGCTCGAGTCGCGCGCGCGACGCATACCCATTGTCGACACTGACGACGAAACACGGCGCACAATGGTCGTCAGCGTCATCACACAGTACCGCATCCTGAAGTTCATCGCCGTGAACGTCAAGGAGACGCAGAAGCTGCGGAAGCCGCTGAACGAGCTGAGCGTGGGCACATATACGGATATTGCGACGGCGACCATGGACACGCCTGTCATGGATGTCATACACATGCTGGTCAAGAAGAGCATCTCCAGCGTGCCCATCGTAGACAGAACTGGTACGTCGCATGGATTACTATCGCGAAAACAGCACTAACTCCCCCCACCCTAGGCGTGGTCCTCAACGTCTTCGAATCCGTCGACGTCATCGCCCTCATCAAAGGCGGCATGTACGACGACCTCAGCCTGACGGTCGGCGACGCGCTGCTCAAACGCTCGGATGTACGTTACCCCTCCATCCCCCCCTTGCCCTCAAAATTTACTCACACTGACACCCCTCCTACAGGACTTCCCCGGCATCTTCACCTGCTCCCTCCAAGACAACATGTCCACCATCTACGACACCATCCGCAAATCCCGCGTCCACCGCTTCATCGTCATCGACGACGAGAGTAAACTCAAGGGCATCCTTACCCTGAGCGATGTATTGGAGCATACCCTGCTCGAGGGCATGGAGGAGGAGGAGTATGATGCTAGTAATCCGCCGTTGAGCTGTGCTTATAGGGGGTGATGCTTTGCTGGGGTTTGCATTATGGGGCGTATTGGGCGTTTTATGGCGTGGCGTGGCGTGGAGGGATGGGATGGGATATGAATGGGGTGGTATAGTGGGGATTTGTGCATATATCCTCAGTTTCTGACTTCTGAGTTTTGGGCGGTGGGTTCTGGGTGGTGGTAATATCTACACATGCACATGCACATATACATGAACTGAAATTCTGTCTAGCTATTAAGTGCTTGTCCCTGCACTCCTGTTCACCTCACTCCTTCCTTTCTTTCTTTCGGCACATTAGCGCATAGTTTCCTCGCCGTAGAGACAAGACTGAAATGGGAACAGTAAATATCAATTACATGCATATGTAACTCAGACTCACACTTTATAGCATCTAACTGTAGTGTTTTCGTGAGTAAAGAGAAATCTTGGCTAGGAGGCTGAAAGTACGCATTGTTTGTATTTACCACCTATTTATCTCAAGGTACGGTGTCGAGACATATATACCCTCCAATTCAATGTTGACACAAACATTGCCAATATCGCCGCTAGTCCCACTCCAGCCATCACGAAAGTACCCCACCCTTCTAACTTGCACGTCTTTACTAGTGTCCGACAGCACACACCCCGTCCGCAGCCATCCCTTAGTGCGCGAATAGTCGTTATGTATACCTTCCTATCTACATAACTGTGCGTACCGAACAAACAAGTAGATAGACGCTGTGCTTGGACCGCACCTCCTTCCATCAAACATGAAGGAAGAGTCTCGTTTTCGGGAGGTGGTGGTGGTTGTAATCCGGCAGAACTGGTGCGTCGACGGATGTATACCATGCGCGCGGATACAGCGTGGAGTGTTAGTCTTGTAGCTATAGCGGTGATAGCCGTGGAGTCAGGAGGGGAAGATGGGGGTGATTGGGATGTGGGGTGGGTATGTGGATGGGAAGGGGAAGGGGAGGGCGAGGGGGTTGGAAGGGGAGAAGCGGGTGTTATGATGATCTGGGGAAGGGTATGCGAGATCTGGGTTCTGGTCGTATACTCATCCGAAAGGGGAGACGCGGAAGGAGAAGAAGGAGGAGGAGGAGGAGAAGGAGAACGCAACGGCTGGTGAAACTCCGTGTGGGAAGTGGGGAATGCGGAGATATGGTGTAATATCCGCCTTGTGAAGGTCTTTAAACGCTGGAAATGTCTGGGTTTGTCTTTCTCCTTCTCTCTCCACTTCTTCTTTAGTTTCTTCCGCGGTCTGTCTTCCCTCTTCGCCTCTACCTCCCCCTCATCCACAGGTTTCACAACAGGCCGAGCCGTCCAAACACACTCACGCCCATGTGCGAATCTCACCCCATCCGCATCTCCATCCTCACTCCGCACTGTGCCAAAATCCGATGAACAACTCTTACGCAGCGCACCCAGCGTGCCCAGAGCCTCTGCGCTAGCTACTGTGAAAGCGTGGGTGCGGGGTTGAGTAGATGGTGGGGAGATTGTGTGTAGCGCGGTCAGTGTGCCGAGCGAGGATGCCGTGGATACCGTGAAGGGTTGGGCGCGGGGCTGGGCGGGTGTGGATGGATGGGCGTGGGAAGTGGAAGTGGAAGGGGCTGGTTGGTATGTTTCTCCCTCTTCCTCTTGTTCCTCCTTGATGCTGGGGAGTGGGTGGAAAGCCTTCGTTTTCAACGGGTTGTTGGGGGGTGGATTCATAGTTGAATGAGGAGTTGGGCGAGTTTGGAAAGGGAGGTGGGTTATGTAGGGCTTTGGAGACATTGTGCGTGGATGATAGATTGGTATCTATGGTTGTGAGGTGGAGTGAATGGGGATGGGGATTTGTTTAGGAGTTGGGTTGGAAGCGTATACTTTACTTTACTCGGGGAGTGGTGAAAGTGTTTACTGCACTGTATTTCACTATACTGTACCTCTTGAATTTTTGGTTATGGCCGTTGATCTCGTTCACTCGCCGCAGTACATTGATCTTCTCATTGTAGCGAGGTAGTGAACTGGAATGGGCGGGGAACAACGAGAAGCTTTGCGTATGGTGCATAACTGTATATCTCTTTCTTGCACTTTTGATATGGCGATGTTCCTCTATATACTCGCCCCGTTGTTGATTCTTGTGTTGTATCTTTCTTTCTTGGGACGTGCATGGCTTTTCCTGAAATGGAGTGGGATGGGATGCGTTCGCTATCGAGGAACACTTGGGTAGTGATACGGGGACGGGGATAGAGGAACGGCATTGTGAAGCAGCCTTAGTTTCAAAGCTTGAGACGTCCGAGAATCGAGGAGTAAAGACGTTATGTGTAAGTCTGCAGTAATTCTTAAGTTTCAAGTTCTTAGTTTTTGAGGTGGTTTAGATTGCATGTTCTCGTATCTTCGTGTTCTGGCTGATTTCGACGTGAAGAGATACGTCATCTTCTTCTTCCTTCTTGTATCTGTATCTCCTCTTTGGTTCTGCGTGGTTTTCGGTCTTATCTCTCGATGCGAACGATGCGCGAGTAATCTCTTCACAGTACGTACTTGTCGTGGACAATTCGTCATCTCTCCACGGGCCCACATTTTAACATGTGCCGTTGTGTCAGTCCTGTCAGCCATGCGGGAGCTTCCACTGTCGTGTTAGAGCCAGGAACCATGCGACATGACACGAGTAACAACATATGCATATATCTGTAAAGTGAGGGCAGAGTGTGTGGAAGCGTAACAAAGTCGTGGTGTGGTTGTACCGGCGCCACAGCCCTGTGCTCGGGATATTTTAAGCAACAGCGCGGATCGTTTCAGGGGTGGTGGTGGTGTGGATCCGGGGCGCAGCTGGGAACAAACGTCGATTGCTTGCGCAAGCAACAACGCACGGCTGACCTCAGCCACGTTCCTTTCTCTTCAGCCTGCCGGTTACCTTCATAGCATTCAAGTTTAAAGCGTCGGTCTTTGTTTTGGCTTTCCCATGACACTCCCCCCCGTCGCCTGTCCACACCGCGCATAATGGCTGCAAACGACTACTACACGACGACGACGAGCAGCCCTCACGACCGAGCAGACGCGCCGCTGCCTCCCCTCCCCGGCCAGCACCAGCACCACGCCCCCACGTCCCCCTTCGAAGACCACACATACCCGCCCTATCCCGCCACGGCCAACTCGTCGGGCGCCCTGTCCGCCCACGACACTTCGTACTACGGCCAGCCCCAGCGCTATGATTCTCGAGACTCGGACCCCTTTGCAGACCACAGCGCCATCCCGCTGAACACGCGCCCCAAGGCCGACGCCAGCCCCTCGCGCTACGATGCAGACCCGGAGCGGTATCCCAGTGCGCCGCGCGACGCGAAGAGGAAGAAGAAGAAGGGCTGGTTCAAGGGGAGGGTGACGTGGGTGTGCTACATCTTGACGCTGGCCCAGGTCGGGGTTTTTGTCGGCGAGCTGGTCAAGAATGGTGGGTCAAGTTATATTCCTATGTATTGTGAATGGAAGGGAAGGCTAACAATACCCCCCCTCCAGGCATGCTCACAGGCTCGCCCATCCAGACCAAACCCTCCTTCAACATCATGATCGGACCCTCGCCCTACACGCTGATCAACATGGGCTCCCGCTTCACCCCCTGCATGCACAACATCGCCGCCGTCATCGCCGCAGACGTACAAGAATGGCCCTGTCCAAACACCACCTCCCTCTCCGCCGACGCCCCCAAATGCTCCCTCAGCACCCTCTGCGGCAACGGCGGCGTCCCCGACCAATCCAGCGTAACAGACTTCCACGACCGCTCCCACGAACCAGACCAATGGTGGCGCTTCATCATACCCATCTTCCTCCACGCAGGCCTAATCCACATCGGCTTCAACATGCTCCTCCAGCTCACCCTCGGCCGGGACATGGAGAAAGAAATCGGCCCCCTCCGCTTCACACTCGTATACTTCAGCGCGGGTATCTTCGGCTTCGTGCTCGGCGGCAACTACGCCGCAGACGGCACCGCCTCCGTCGGCGCCTCCGGCTCGCTCTTCGGCATCCTAGCCCTCACCCTCCTCGACCTCCTGTACAACTGGAGCTCCAAACGCTCCCCGGTAAAAGACCTCCTCTTCCTCCTCCTCGACGTGGCCATCGCATTCGTCCTCGGCCTACTCCCGGGTCTGGATAACTTCTCCCACATCGGCGGTTTCGCAATGGGCCTCGTCCTGGGCATCTGCCTGCTACATAGCCCCCAGGCGCTGCGCGAACGTATCGGCACAGATGAACCCCCGTATAACGCCGTGGGCGATACGCAGCACCTCGCCCCTTCTGCCGGGGAGACGACGTCGAAAATCAACCACCTGCTCAAGCAACCCGTGGGCTTCTTTAAAGGCCGCAAGCCGCTGTGGTGGGCGTGGTGGCTTGTTCGTGCGGGGAGTCTGGTTACCGTGTTTATTGGGTTTATATTGTTGTTGCGCAACTTTTATGAGTGGAGGAATACGTGTAGTTGGTGTAAACATTTGTCTTGTTTGGTGAGTCTTTTCCCTTTCTTCTTTTTGCTGTCTTGGCGGCTTTTGGGATGCAGAAAGCTAATGTGTGTCTTGTAGCCTATTACTACAGGCGGTGTGAATTGGTGCGATATCGGGGGTTTGAATTTTACGAACTCTACGACCGATTCTTCGGGGACGTCGAAGCGTGGGCTTGGGCTTGGGATTGGGCCGGCGGATGTGTCGCTTTTTGTGGCTGAGGCTGTGGGCGCGTTTAGGTGAGGGTTGTTGTTGTGGTAGGTCTTTTTCTTTTCTTTTCGGGTACTTCGCATTGAAGGGTCAAGGCGTACGGTACGATATGGGGGTTATACACATACACACACGCGGCGCAGATACCCATTCATTCCTTGCTTTCTTATCACGGCATGTTTGAGGGAGTATGGACATGGAGATGGACATATCTTGGTTTATTTAAAAAGAAGGGAGGGGGTATGAGTACATTGGCATTCTGGATGGAAGTTGGAAAGGAAAAGAAAGAAAGAAACAATTAAAGAAACATCCTGCACCGGTATCCTTCCCCTGCTGTGAGAACTTGAAGACTTTTGAATGACGCTGAGACTCTGGCCCGTTGCTAAAAGTACACGTTGAGAAAAGAAAAGAAGAGCCATATGCAGTCGCTCATCAAGTTGCAGAGAGACACCATGAACGATTTCAAGACGTCCTGCCCCACGCATAACTCCGAGTTGCTGGACTAACCACCGCCAGATATGACGGTATTGAGTCGAGATCCCGCCGTGTCATGCCCACAGTCCAACGGGACAGGAAACTTCGCTCGCTGCCCGCATCCAGGACAGCAAATCTACCACTGCGAGCGGTTCTGCAGCGGAAAGCCGCCAATCTGCGCCGCATACTTGATGGGCTCCTTCCAATCCGGGGGTGTAGTCACTTCATACTGGAGGTACGTGGCGGTCGGGGGCTTGTACTTTTCCATACGTCCCGTGTCAGGGTTCTGGATCAACGAGACCGGATTGTTGAGGTGGTCTGGACGCGTCTTCTCGTCGACGCCGAGGAAGCCACCGGACAGGCGGTCGAGGAACATGTTGTAGTCGTCTGCTTTGTTGATCTGGCACCTGGCTCCTCGACTCTCGCAATGCGACATGAGGGCTGTGGCGGACCTGAAGTACTTGAGGCACATGGGGCACTTCATGCGTGTTATGCGGTGGTCGTTCATGATGTGCTTGTTCATGTCGGCTGGGGAGGGGAAGGTCTGCTCGCATACAAACGGGCAGTAGTATTTGTTTACCACCGGGTCCCAGAAACGTTCTGGGTTCCAGTCGTCGCTCATGGGGTCCCAGAAACGCGTGCGCATGATGTTGATGCCGTGGGACTTCTCCATCTGGTCGTCGTGAGCGGCTATGGAGAACTCACTTACGCTGGGTGCAGGGTTTGGTTTAGCGTTGGGGAATAGGGTGCTGCTCGAGGATTTGCCTTCGCGGCTACCCCAGACTTTGAGCTGTCGGCTGGTAGACGCAGCGGTCGAGCTACCATGGTTTGAACCTCCGTGAAATGGTGATGCAACAGGAGAGCCAACGACGGTAGTAGACTCCGAACCTCCATTCAAAGACATACCGCTCATAGTAGCCGTGATATCAGAGTAAGTGCCGCTAGTTTTCCCCACCTGAGACGGAAGAGGCGGATACGGTCCCATGTACTGAGGAGTTGTGGGAGTCTCTGGGGGGGTTTCGGGCTTAAGAGCTTCGTATCGCACCTCTCCAATCTCTTCATCTGCCATCAATGGATCGTCATCGAGATTGATGCCACCATCTTCCTCGTCATCTTGTGCCGCGTCGTATTGGGCCGTCTTCTGCTTGAATCGGTCGTAAGCTGTGCCTGTCTTTAGGAGCTCAGTGATGAGGTGTTTGTGCACGATATGACCCTGGAAGTCGGCGGCACGGATCACATCGCAGTGGCCAAACTCAAGGTGTTCAATAAACAAACAAGCGCGGTAAAATGACTGCCGGCAGCCAATGCATGTGAGCTTCTGATCGACTTTGTGGTTCTAGGGCACGAATCAGTGACCATGCTATATTGCGATTTTGAGCGGACCACTCACGAGCTCAATGTGACGCTTCAAGCCCGATTCGGACTTGAATTCGTCGCCGCATACCCGGCAGGCTTTGTTGTGCATGTCAGGGCGTGTGATCTTGTGGTGCGCAAATTCATCGTACGAGTCGAAGTCCTCGTCGCACTTGTGGCAGTAGTCATGCTCGTCCGAATGCTTCTTGTGGCTTCGCATGGCCTTCTCCGTGCTGAAGTGCATGTTGCAGTCTTTGTACGTGCATCTGACACGCTCGATGGGTTCAGACGGCACTGGCATCCTGGGCGACTGTGGGTTAGATTGCGCTCTTAGTCTGTACGCTGTGAGCTCAGCTCAGTTAGCTACTTCAAGTGCTACAGGCTCACCTTGGGATAGTAAGCTGCTACAGCGCGACCGGACTAGCAGTTCTGGTTGTACGGGTGCTTGGGGTGATGTGGTGAGACAAGGTTTATATTGATGGCGTTGATCGTCGATACTGCCGTCGATTCTGTCTCACCGAACATGCACTTCACAGTGACTTAAGCGCAAGGTAGCGATGTGTTTGTCAGGGCAAGAAGATGATGAGCGATTGGAGAAATGTATGTTGAATAACCTCCTAAATCCTGGCAACTAAGCGAGTGGAGGCGGGGTGTAGAGTGAGATTGGGGGTTTTGTGAGCTTGAGGTGAAAGAAGGTAAGCGAAACAGGCAAGAGCGTTTTGTTTGCTGCTTGAGCGAGGAAGGAGCAATGTCACACCGAAGATGATGCCTACACCAGCAGCTTGTCTCGACACAACATTGATGGTTCTGAGGATACCTCACTGTTTACGAGCACTGACATGATGTAGAGTATATTTGAGTCATTTTGTGCCATTGATATACCTCATCATGGTAATAGTGACAAGGTCATACACACCACGTCAATGGTCATAAGTGTTTATACTATTGATCTCATTATACGTCGCTTAGAATCGCGAGTATGGCAGCCTGGATGTATTAGCAATGGAACGTTCTGAAAACACACAAACGTACCATTTCCCCCTCAAGGTGATCTTCGCCCATTCGCCCTTCTCATCAGTCTCTTTCTCAATCTTCGTGCTGAAGCTAATCGCACTCATGATTCCATCGCCGAACTTCTCGTTCAACACAGCCTTGTACGCATACCCGTAGTTCTGCACAATCTCATACAAGCGGTAGACGAGCGGGTCTTTGGGAGGCATCTCAAGGGACCTTCCGCGATCAGGGAATCCAGCAAGCTGCGACTCAAGTGTCTCTACGGGAATTTCCAGGACTTCCGAGAGCTTCTTGATGTCCTCTGGTGTAGCCATTGCTTGCCCGTAGAAGAGGGCCGCAATCGCTACCTCTTCGCGACCGACATGCTTTGCGATGGCTTCAAAAGTGAGGTTCTTCTTCTTCTTTGCGTCGAAGAGGGTGGGAGAAGACGGAGGAAGGCGAGGAATAAGGTCCTCCTGATGATACATGAGCTCCGTTGAATACATATGACGGCGTTCTTACCTGCAGGGTAGCTATGGGATGGCTTGACATGTTGACGGGCGTTGAGTGGAAGCAACGAGAAGCTGTATAGACTATCGAAGGACGTGCAAAGGAGGCTGGAATGGGAGCAATTGCACGAGATGCGAATCTGGCAGAGAGAGCAAGACGAGTACACGCAGAAGAAGCCATGGTTGAACGACTATTGTAGTGATTATGTAGCTGCAGCTATGGTGGGCAAATGGGGCACTGGGGGGAGTCGTTGTCAGTTAGAGCTACGAACCATACGTCACGAAAACGCGCTGAAGCTATGCAATACCCTGCAAGCCGTCTGGACCTTTCTCCATTGCGGCATTATCTCCGCGGGGATCTACGTGATGTCGGTAGTGGAGGTTTAATGGTGTATGATCAGCTTGCGATAAGAGAGGGGAGGGGGGCATCGACGACGGCTAGCACAAGGACGAGATTAGTGCTACAGACAGTTGATCGAAGACGTACGTGTTGTGGTGTGTTGATTGAAATCGCTCAGGGCTGCATCATCTTGATGTTCGCCTGCGAGTACCCCGCTGTCACAAGCCTGCAGTGCATCATTGCGGGGCTCTCAGCCGAGATCTCGAGCTGAACAAAGCCCTCTCTTTACAATCACAGTCGCACTGGAGAGACAACGAGGAGCTGCGCATCTGGCACGATGTCACGTCATCGCTATGACGAAGATTTGGCATATGGAAACCTCCCCCCTGGAGACGAAGGTGGAGAGGGGGACCGTGGGCTGGTGGGTGACATGGGTCGGCGCCTGTTCGGGGGCAAGAAAGAGGTGAGATACCTTTCTGCAAAGTACCATGCCTGTCATTCGTGCACCCTGTACACATTGCGTATGATCCAAGCTCCACCAGCTCCACAGCCTGTTTCGCGCCCCGAACATCATCCTTCACCCAAGGCTCAACATTGATTGTTCACGAGCGTTGGAATCGATTCCTCTCTTCGCAAAAACATACTTTAAAACCTCCTACTGACGGTTGTCTTGTTAGAACTCTCGGCCACAGCAAGGATCCTCCGACGCAGGCGGCATGTCGTTCATGTTCGGTAAACTCCATGAGACCATACACGGCCTGGGCTCCGACTTGAAGGATACAATCTCGGGGAAGACTGGCACTCCAGCCAAACCTTCTCAAGGCCAGCAAGGCGAACAGTCGGTGCCCCAAGAACTCCACAACCAGCATCGCTTTCTGAGCTTTGCGCCCGAACGACGTGGCAATGACATCAAGTGGTATGTCGATGGAGCCTCTTACATGTGGGCTGTGAGCGTAGCATTGGAACGCGCTCGAGAGTCCGTATGGATCCTCGATTGGTGGCTATCCCCAGAACTGTACCTCCGTCGCCCGCCAGCGAAGAACCAGCAGTATCGACTTGACCGGATGCTCGAAGCCGCAGCCCAACGTGGTGTCAAGGTCAACATCATTGTGTACAAAGAGGTTACGCAAGCTTTGACTCGTAAGTTGCTAAGTCCAACTTTGCCCGATTATCTCCACTCTCTCCTACCGCAGTCTACGGACAATTTTACAAAAGGTCTTACTCGGTTCGGGCTTGATGTCATCTTCAAATCGCTCGAAGAATGGGAAAGGACAGACCCGCTGATTGCACCACCTATTACAGTCTCTTCATCTCATACGAAGCATCACTTGGAGGACCTCCACCCCAATATTGGGGTGTTCAGGCATCCCGACCATCTGCCTGATGTAGCAGTCCTCCAATCCAACTTTCTATCTTCGCTTCGGAGCATGACGCTGTCGCCGGCAAAACTGGCTCAACTCCCAGGAGATGGTCTCAAAGCCATCTACGGAGCTCACGAGGGTACAGTTCTATACTGGGCACATCACGAAAAGCTTTGTCTGATCGACGGCCAAACTGCATTCATGGGCGGGCTTGATCTTTGCTACGGTCGTTGGGACACAAATTCGCATCCCATTGCTGACGCACACCCTGGTGATATGAATCGGATCGTGTTTCCTGGCCAGGACTTCAACAACGCCCGAATGATGGGTAAGTACATGCGGTCAAATTTACTCATTTCTATGGAGACTGGTTAGCATCAGTAATCGTTTCAGTTGCAACACGTCGACTGGAAAGACACGCGAAGCTATCCTGTTCTTTGGTTGCCAGGAAGCTAACGTATGTTTAGATTTCAACGACGTCAGCCATTGGGAGAACAACAAACTCGACAGAAGCCAAAGCTCTCGCATGGGTTGGTCTGATGTCGCTCTTTGCATATCTGGAACAGTTGTCCAAGATCTCCGAACACACTTCACGCAACGCTGGAACTTCATTTATGACGAGAAGTACAGCAGGAAGGCGACTAGGTACCAACGGCTTCCTGATACCAGCAGTGGCGCCCAAGTCGGTGGCGAATATCCGCAGCGTGGGTTTGAAGGTGACCAAGATGGTCAGCGTGGATTTGGTGATGAAGGTGAGGGTGAACGAGGTTTGTTTGGTCGCGGTGGAGGGCTCCGCCAGAAAATATACAGTCGTGTCAACGAAGAATACCATGAGTTCGAGCAACAACACGGACATGGACAGGGCGGGCAACAGCAAGGCTACCAATCACATGCCGAACATAGTGCTCAGGGCGGTAGGGTCGACTGCCAGATCACGCGCAGTTCGGCGCTATGGAGTCACAATCTTATCAACACAGAGGTGAGTACACTGATTGAATTAAGGAAGTTAATACTAACAGCTCTAGCACTCGATACAAGAAGCTTATTGCGAGACTATCAGGAACAGCCAGCACTTTGTGTACATCGAAAACCAGTTCTTCATCACGTCTACCGGATCAGATCGCAAAATTGGTACGCAGAAAATTCCTACAACCTCTGCTTTGAGCTTCCAGGAGTTTGCAAGCTGTCCTTTACTTAAATCAAACGTATCAGAGCAGCAGCTAACGTCAAACAGTCAAGAACTTGATCGGTGCAGCTATTGTCGAACGCATTGTCCGCGCTGCTCGTGAGGGCCAGAAATTCAAGATGATCGTCATGATACCCTCTGTGCCAGCGTTCGCTGGTGACCTCAAGGCTGATGACGCCCTTGGAACCCGCGCCATCATGGAATTTCAGTACGACTCGATAAACCGCGGCGGTCACTCGATCTACGAAGAGTACGTATTCACTACCATGTCTCCATCATTTCCACCCAACAGTGCTGCCCACAGTACCTTGAACTATTCCGATACCCTTATGATACAGTTTCGACTTGCTTATAACATTGATCCTATCCAACCTTAGTCTATATACTAACTATCCACAGAATTGCCAAAGCTGGTTTCAACCCCATGGATTATATCAGATTCTACAATCTCCGCAGCTACGATCGTATCAATGCGAGCAAAATCATGCGTGAGACGGAACAGAACAGCGGCGTTTCGTATTCCCAGGCTAGCGAAGGTTACGACGCTGCACATGACGCTTCTCGAGACAATCTCGCGTACGGCGCATACGAGTTGGATGGATCGTCGGATCAAGCCAAACGCAACGATTACGAGCGGTATCAACAAGAAGCTGCTAAGACTGGTAGTCGACAGGGCCTCGGCGACGGACGATGGGACTCTGTCAGCGAGTGCTACATGCTCAATGGCGAAGACATTCGTAACGTTCCCTGGGAGGGCAGTGCGGCGGATGAGATGGACGCATTCGTCAGCGAGGAGCTGTATGTTCACACCAAACTCCTCATCGCTGATGACACAACTGTCATATGTGGCTCGGCGAACATCAACGATCGCTCGCAACTAGGAGATCACGACTCGGAGATAGCGGTCATTATCAACGATCAGGAACAGGTTGACTCGTACATGGATGGACGTCCCTGGCGTGTCTCCAAGTTTGCCTCCTCTCTCCGGAGGGAGATTTTCAGGAAACACTTGGGTCTGCTCAGACACCAAGACCCGGAACGACCAAACGAGAACTTTGAACCCATCGGTGTAGCAAATGTGTATGACTGGGGCTCGCGCGAGGACCAGCAAGTTGCAGATCCACTCTCAGACGAGTTCCAGGGTTTGTGGAACTGGCGAGCGAAGACAAACACCGAAGCTTTTGCAACGGTGTTCCACCCAGTACCAGATGATAAGGTCAGGAACTGGAAGCAGTACGACGAGTACTACTCCCGATTCTTCGCGCAGGATGCAAAGGACAAGCAGAACATCAAGCCCAGTCTTTACAAATGGGGCCATGTGGTTGCGGAGAACTTCAGCTCTGGTGAACAGGGTGTGCGCGAGGTCAAAGATATGCTGAGCACCATCAAGGGCAATCTTGTGGAGATGCCGTTGCTTTTCCTGAAAGAGGAAGATATCGCCAAAGAAGGTGCGGGCTTCAACGCCTTCACTGAGGAACTCTACACCTAAGCGAAGAGCGCTTGATTCTGGGCTGCGCACTTTGGGTGGTGGGAATGGCTGAGCTTCGGTTTTCTGGTTTCTCGACAAGTATATATTACAAGAATGATTGAATGATTCCATGAACGCATCCGTTTTTTCTTGTTTCATTGAAAAGGGGATACGAAGGAGATGCGGCCTTATCGAGAGCTGATTGGCTCAAGCTGTTTAGCGCGAAATACGCCCTATTCGAACATATGAAGTTCTCTTGGTGTCACGTCACAAGAGACCGACGTGCAACGTAACACTTGAACTACTCCAGTACTTCTCATGCCTTTGCACAGGCGGTTTACGGCGCGAAACGCCTTCATTGTTATCAGTTTCTTGTTTCTCGGCGCATATTTCGTCCACATCAAAAATGTGATACGCGACGAGAGCGCCGCTCTCGCGGGCACAGACAGTGATCTCACTGATCTCACTGATGTCGCTGAACTCGCTGAACTCGCTTTACCACCTGACCAGCTAGTCTTGGACAGCGCGAGCGAGCACGAGAAAGAGACCAAGCAGTTACAAGTGAACACAGGCATCAAGATGCGCAGGACAGCAGTCGTGGTCGCAAGCCAGGCTTCGGAGAACGCGACGTGGTTGGACGAGTACTTTCCACAGTGGGAGAAGAATATCTACCGCGTAGACGATCCCCAGGCGCCGCTCACGGTGCCCAAGAATAAGGGCAGGGAGAGTATGGTGTATTTGACGTTTGTACTCCCTCTGCTTCGCCACTGAGGATCACTAGCTAATCCAGTGTGGTGCAGTTACATCATAGACCACTACGACGCTCTACCTGACAACGTCCTATTCATCCATCCCAACCGCTACCAATGGCACAACGACGACCCAGACTACGACGGTGTACCCATGCTGCACCACTTTCAGCTTCCATACCTCGAGCAGGAGGGATACGTCAACATTCGATGTGTGTGGTCTCTTGGGTGTCCTGATGAGATCAAGCCACTAAAAGAGGAGGGTGAGCATAGAGCGAGTATACATGCCGGTGGCTACTACAAAAAGGCGTTCCAGGAGCTTTTCCCGGATACACAGGTACCGATACGTGTTGGTGTGAGCTGCTGTGCGCAGTTTGCAGTGACAAGGGAGAAGATTCGGCAGAAGAGTAGGGAGACGTATATAAGGTATCGGGAGTGGTTGATGAATACAGAGTTGGGCGACGCAATTAGTGGGAGGGTGTTGGAGTATTCGTGGCACAGTGAGTGGGCATTTTCTTAGCATGGGGGCTGCTTTATGCGGCTCTGCTTGGATGTCCTCCACACCTCTTGGACCACGTACTAATGCTTACAGTGATCTTCGACAAAGAGCCCGTTCACTGCCCAAGTGCGGAAGACTGCTATTGCAAAGTTTTTGGGCTCTGCAACCTGAAGTGCAACACAGAAGCCTGTGAAGGGCGATATATGCTGCCACCTTTTGCGTCCCTACCACAAGGCTGGCCCCTCGTAGGATGGAACGACGAGCCACGTCAAAGAGCTGGATCTGAAGAATAACTCCATCAACCAAGGACACATACCGCACAGTCTCTCGCATTGTGAGCAGGTGTCGTGGGTCCCCTCAACGGGAAAAGCATCCACGAGAGCAAAATATTGTTTTCCCCGATATCGGCGATGATTCTTGCTCGAACCGGATCCGGAAGCTCTGTCGCAGAACTCTATGTGCTGTGCCGCATCAAATTTCACATAAAATGTGTCAACCTTTGGCTTATGACGCGACAATGGCGGTTCTTCAACAATAACCTGCATACGCTCGCCTGTTTGGTATCAATTCCGGTGACTTCTTTTCGATAGTACCGCATAGCTGTGCAGGCTAGACCTTGTGGTGGCAGTACCTCCTCTCCATGGAATATAGACCGACGAGCATCTGCATGCCTTCGGTAGCTCTCCCGCATCCCCCCTGGACACTCATTCGTTGACTTAGGAGAACCCTTTCAAACCCGTCGAACTTACCCTCGCACTGGAAAATGGGAGGGCAAAGGGCAAAAAATACGACGGGTCATGGTCTTGGTCCTTCATGTATGCATGCCTGGATCACAACATGTTGCTTTTTCTGTGTGGATCCAGATCAGGTAGGGAATTGCATCACCTCTCATTGGTGATTCGAGCAAGGCTGAAGGTCTTCGTCGCAGGTTGCACAGGACCTCTGGTCGTATTGGCGGGGGGGCTGAGCAAATGAAAAACAAATAGCCTATGGGCAGCTGGCTTCGAAACCGCGGTACACGCGATTAATCGCTTTCCCGTGCTTCCATGTACTAGGGTGTCACAAGGCTGAAACAAATTCATGATGATTCTGAGGCTCTGATTTTGGCCCCTGATTGGTCCGATATTTTAAGCGGAGCGGAGCCGCATGCTCGCATTCTCGCAGCTCTTCTCTGTGGAACCCGATTGTATCAGCTGTTCTCGTCTCGTCACATCAGCCCTAACACAACAAATATGTTTGATCGTTGTGGCCTGCGAACGCAGAGCCGCATGTCCGTTTCTCGCAACGCTTAGCCGAGTTCCAGTTTGGTGGCTTGATGGTCTATCCAACACAGCCGACCTGCAGGCTGAGAGTATGTGTGGGCCCTTGCATAGGGGATAACCAAGTCGATTCTTGGACTATCATTTACCACCCCGAAGAGGCTCTGCGGAGTATGCTCGGAGTACTTCACGTTCCTAGCTTGCCAATGTCAACGTCTGGTACGAGGCTATGTGCAGCTGATCAACTTATATTGCATCATTTGGTTGAGCCTCATAGCTCGATCTCAAAAGTTCATGTATTTCCACTTCCAGTTTACTATCATCGGGTTGCAAATAATTCAATTTTCTCTTCAACCTTGCTCGGAACTGCTAGGTCGTTATCATCTTCAGGCTTTTGTCAATTTCTATGACTATCTCTCTTGACCGGTTGCCGTTTGACGTCTTATTCCACATTGCGTCAGGCCTCGATTTCGACGACATCATCCATCTTAGCCACACATGCCGTCAACTGAAAGTTCTACTCAACGAGAGAACGCTATGTCGACGAGCTGTCGAGGTGGGGGAAACATGAGATGACCTATGAGTTCAGCTGGCCTAACTCTACCTCTAGACTCATCATCCGCATACAAAAGAGGCTCAACTTGCGCGAGAAGAAGCAATCACATACAAAAAAGCCTTGCAATCTGTATATGACAGACGAAGTGCGATTTCCAACGCGTACCCTTTTTCGGCTCGTGTCCTCGACTCGGGCAATTCTTTTCTATATCGTCAAGGCGTGATATGTGTACTGGATGGTAACACTGTCCGTGTGTCGGATGTACATTCGTCTCTCGATACTGTTCATCTTGATCTTACCTCTCTTACTCGTTCTAAGCATAACGTAGCATCACCGTTGTTAAGTGACGCAAAAGTCAGTCTACTCTATTACAGCGACGACATACTTGCGGTACATGTTACGAACGGTAGTCGACCGAGCAACAGTCATATTTACGCTATCAGTACAAACACTAACTCACCACATGGGGGAAGAATCATCCAAGCAATTTCTATCGAAGCATGTTCAAGATTATTTGTTAGACACACATCTCGCTATCTCTATTATGGCACACACACAGGGACAGGCGATGATGGCCACCGTAAGTGGGAGATCCATGGCGTGTCATTCGACCAGCAATACCCCTTACCCAAGTGCGAACGGCCTTTGCTACTCGAGAACTTTCACGGTAATGACATTGGATCGACTGTTGCGTTCGAGATACACGACAACTACTTTTATGCGCTTTCGAACCAGGGAACTTTCGAAGTCGAAGAGGTGGATTGGACTTCCTTTTACCACGTTATTCGCTTCCCTCTGGACCAGCCACTTCCTACTGCTGTAGAAAAGAACGATCGTTTGTTTCGTCGCCAACACGCGCAAGGTCCGATACACGACTCCTGGACAGATCTCACTCTACAGCATGACGAACGTACAAACCAACTCATGATCGTCGAGTCTCGACGCGAGTGGGCTCAAGCATCCTCTCGACAATCACGCACTTTCTACACCTCGGATATCAAGTTTCCTCCTAAGCCATCATCCACCGCATCGTCTCCTATCATTGAGCCTTCTGATGGACCAATGCTACCTGAAAACGATATATACGTGGACGTTCTCGGTTCGTCAGATAACCCAAACTATGCGCCTACACCAGAACGGCTTAATTGGATGGCACACCCTGAGTTCCACGAGGACGTGGTTTCACCACGCTCATTCATCCTCGCTCGCACCAAGTTCCGCGCGTACAACCACTCCTGCAGTTCATTCCTTGATCTCGTCGAAGACGATCGGTGTTGCAACGATCCATCAGCACCGCCGTGTCTGAGACTGCGGATTGGATCACGACGCCCTGCGCCTCCACCATATACTACAGCAGGTAATGGTATCACGTCGGCTATTCCTGAAGAGGATGTCAAGTATCGCCATTCACCAATCCGCATGTGGCCCCCTCCAGCACGAAAATGCCCTTGCGCGGCACGATTGCACCGCATCCTCAACCCCTCCGTGTCATCGCATAGCAGGACCATCATTGGTGTGCTGGACGAGCGTAGTCTCGTGTACATGGTCAAGCCTGGGCGTTCGTATGGATCGAGTGAGGAGAGTGCGCAGGGCACCATTGTGCTTGTTGATTTTGGTCGGTCGCTGCAATGCGGAGACAGCGCACAGAAGGGCAACATGGACGATGAGAGGTGCTGGCAGTGGACGGTAGGGCTTGAAGGACGGTGTCGGGGTGGGACGTGTCAATGAGCAGGATCTTGGACGGTGGAAGAGGCAGATGGTAAGCTCACCATATTTTGCCTTATCACTACAATCGGTATGTGTGTGCTGAACGTGCATATTCAACCGGTGACAAGGCAACCAACCCCGCTATAAGGCCGGTACTAAGACAAGGCTGAGCCCGAGTGTCATTTCTTTGGTTCGATAGAGAGGGGAAAACAAAGTTTTGATTTCATGTTCCAAATCTTTTGCCGTGACATTCTGCTGCTTTCCATATACAGCCCAGCTTCGTAGTTGCCGTCTCACAAACTCCCGTTGCCTTCCAATCAGCAAAGTACTCACACGTGTACTACCATACTCCTTTCTTACCCCCCCCCCTCTCCGTTAGTCGAAATACCCGGAGTCAAGGTCTATTCTTTGCAGCAACACAACAAGATTGAAAGTACTACGAAGCCAAACATGTTTAGTAGGCGTATACAAACAACACGTTAGGCGTAAAAGTCCTACAGTTTGTTTATATGTAGTTGTCAAGCTGTTGCAAGACCTCGCTGCAGCCTACTTAATTCCGGATATTCCGACTAACCAAGAGCCCCCTCCTGTTCCTCCACGGCCCTTCCCCTCAGAAATCACACGACTCAGCCAACAGCTTAGCCAACTCCTCCAACGCCCTCTGATCCTCCTCCGTAAACCCATCCAGCTCCGCACAATCAACATCGATAATAGCAACGACCTACCCACACACATAGAAGTCAGCATGCCATCTCCCTAACCCCTAACCTCCATCACACAGGAGAAAACTACTTGATAAAGAGAACACGCAAACTCACTTTCCCCCCTTGCACAACGGGCACTACGATCTCGCTCCGACTCTGCCCATCACACGCGATGTGCCCCGGGAACGCTTCCACGTCGCGAACTAGCTGCGTCGTCTGGGTTGATGCAGCGGTGCCACATACGCCGCGGCCGAAGGCGATGGCCTGGCAGGCGACGCGGCCTTGGAAGGGTCCGAGAAGGAGTTGCGCCGCATTGGTGGGCGAGGTGAAGTAGAAGCCCGCCCAATTCACCGCGTTGGAAGGGGCGGGGAGGGAGTGGAAGGCGTGCCAGAGGAGGGAGGATGTGTTTGAGAAGTTGCTGTTGAACGAGATTTGTTAATTGGCATTGTTTAGGTATTCGATGTGGTTTGTGTGCCAGATTATGAAGACGTACCAGACCTGGTATGGACTATTAGTATGATGGCTTACGAGTATACGGTTGAGCAACATACCCAATTCCTCTGCCCGTCGAAAAGCGCGTGCGCTTGCTCCAGTACTTGCGCGTATACATCCTTCTTGCTCATTCCATCCGCGAAGGCGGATGCGTCTGCGTGCACCTAGTGTTCAACCCATCAGCCTCCTCTCCTGTTATAAACTCCCCTAGTTAATCCCTCCCTTACATACCATGATCCCAAGTGTATATTCTCAAAAGCCCTTAAATCAATTCAACACAACCTGGTCGGCACAGTCGACAATCCCAACCGAACTCCACTCTGATTGGCCAACACGCTACACAAATCCAACCCAAATTTTTTGAACGATACGTCTTACAAGAGCAGTCAGTAAGTAGCGTAAATAGAGGATATTGCGCAATGGTGTAGAAACAGTTGAACGGCAGGTTATCCGATGAGTTTGAGCAATTTGTAATCGAGTGAAAATAAAAATTGCGCCATCGTTTTCTAATCTCTTTGGGATGGATGCTTTGAGGTGCCGTACCCTTGCTGGAAATCAACACATCGCGTGCGCGGTGGGGGTTTTCTCGGTGTGGGTATGGATTGCATACACGCAGGGAAGTAGGGTATGGGAAGATGCAAAATCTGAATTTGATTGGAGTGCCTGTTATGTTTGTTTGCTTGGGGGCGATAATGTAAGTAGGTTTGGCTGGTTGAACGTCCTCGGATCATGCCACCTGAGAAGTTCTTGTGACTCATTACCTCATCTGGATGCTCACTGCTGCATTGTACAAGGCTTTGAGAAACAAACATGGACGATGCTATGAGGAGCTTGTGGTAGCAGTACTGCACAGTGCAAATTTGATAGGTTATAATTTTCTAAATTACCAAAATCCTCATCAAAACACGATTGGCCGGTTGGCGCAATGGTAGCGCGTGGCCCTCCTAAGGCCAAGGTTGCAGGTTCGAGTCCTGCATCGGTCGTCTTTTTTTGTCGACATCCATCCACATCAGCATCCAAACACATATGCTCTTGGTGATGACTGTTGAATGTTTTTTTGCCGAGACAGACATCACAAGGCACATTCTCTAGCTTCGGAGCACTGGTATTTGCACCTATAAACATCTTTTGCTAGCTCTAGATATATGATGACGAGTGGCTATATGAGTATCACTCTTGTAGGTACGACGTCATTGGGTTTTCAAGGTCTCCTTTGCACTAGGCTTTCTGATGGAGTAGGCACATCTACATTAGGCAATCCGGACTTCTCGTCGTGTTTATACCCTTAGCATGTCCTATGTCCAGATCAGATATTACTCGATATTGCGGGCCGAAGCGGCTTAAGAAGCCAGGCAATCATGACCTCGCGCGCCTTTTACTATGCATAACACGGTCTAGTCGATATGAGGGGAATATCCGGATATAGTATTCCGGTTACACACGTGTACATGATTCATCTATAGTAGTTTCTGGTCTTGCGCGCCTAGTCATACCCGCCCCACTCACTAAGTAATGGTAGTAGGAAGTAGTGTAGAAGATAAAAGAGGATAAACGCCAGGTGCATGCCAGACACCCTAAAACTCCAAGCTAAGAGGATATACATGCAGAGCTGTGTACAGAAACCGAAAGGAACTGTGGGAATCGCTGGGAAACCCGTTACATGACCGATGGGAGGGGAATATTTCCAGAGAAGCAAAAGACACCGACGCAGCGGTGAAAGAGGGCAAGATCGTAAGATGAAGAAAAAGCCAGAAGGTGAAAAAATAGGCGCTTCTCCCCACAAAAACGTGGTCTGAGTGTCAATCCACCGCGACACGCGTGCCAGCGTGAGGGTCTCGTCGTGCGGGAAGAATCTGAAATCTGGACCCACTACGGCTGCTCTGGGAAAGTGGTGCGATTATCAGAGCCGAATTTGCCCGCGTTTCCCCAGAGTCTCGGACATAGTGGTGTTTGTAGCGTGCAGTGCTTGCAGAGTACACGTCGTCGTTGCCGTCTCTTGAAATGAAGTGAAGTGAAGTTATAGTTCCATGCCCTCGATATCGCGCATAACACACGCAATCTGTGCCCTCTTCGCAGCCTCGGCAAGCAGCGCGAACTGGTCTAGGTACTGTGTTGTCTCGCCGGCGGTCTGGCCTGCTCCTTGTCGGTTTGGCAGGTATTCGAAGCTCGGGTGTCTGTGGGGCTGCAGCTGTTGGCGCGGCTGTTGTTGTTGGTTCACAGACCCGAAAAAGTGTTGCTGCTGAGGGCCGGACGAAGGCGAGGTGAGCGGCGCTGTAGGGGCAGGCGACTGAGAGGCCAGACTCGAAGTGCTGCTGAAGGTTGAGGTGTGGGAGGAGCTCGAGGACTGCAGCGGGGCGAAGGCTGGTCGCGAGGCATAGGATTGATTTGGAACTCGGGACATGATGTGAGTTATCGAATTTGTTTCCTCGTTTGCTTTGAAAGGGCTTCGGGTGAGTGGAGGAAAGTTGGTGGTACGGCGCTGTAGATGTGATTTGGCAAGTGGATATCTGCAAATCAAAAAAGTACGGTGGATCAAACGGCGGTTGGATGCACGGAGGTCGGAAGTGAGCGGCCTTGTAATTTCTTCGCAGATGTTTCAAAAGTGAATGCTGAGGGAAGAGGGTAATATCTATCGAGTGTGAGGGCGGGCGAAGGCAAAGATAGGCAGAGCAATCGCGTTAGGAACGACCGAGGCTCGGGCTGCTAGAGGCAGGGACTTTCTTCCCTTGTGAGGTCACCGCCCGCAAATTCTCCCGGATTCAGCGCACTTGGCCTCGTTATCGGTGCACCATACACTGCACTTAGGCCATTTAGCAGCGGGAACAGCGCAAGATGCCAGTAAGTCGCCTCGTTGCACCTGCCGCCCGAGTCTCGACTGACGCGCATAGCTCGTGCTCATCTCAGGTCGCGCCTTCCTTCTTGGTGGCCAGCGGAATTAGACTGACCCCAGATTCCAGGCTACCCCTCCGCGGGGAAAACGACGCGTTCTGTCCAACTTAAGGACTACTTCGAATCTAAGATTGCCGCCTCCAGCGCCGATGCTCGCCTGAATCGCCTGAAAGTACACCTCATCAACGACCAGACGCTTGGTGTGTCGCGCAGTGTCTATCACACGGCCAGAGCCGAGAAGGATGCGCGCGCGGAGGAATATTCTGCCGTTAAGAGAGTGCTGTCACGCGATGATATTGTGATTGCCGATGGCTTGAACTACATCAAGGGCTTCCGCTACCAGTTGTACTGCGAGGCGAAGGCTGTACAAACACCCAGCTGTGTGGTCAGTACTCACATATATACCGACATGTGGCAGAGCCAGGCTCACAGTCCTAGAGGTGCACATAGGGACGCCCGCCGAGAAATGTCGCGAGATCAACACCGCACTGCTGGCAGACAAAGACAACGATGGAGGCTATGAAGAAGACGACTTCGAGAACCTCATCTTCAGATACGAAGAGCCCAACGGCATGACACGGTGGGACAGTCCCCTGTTCATCGTCGTCCAAGAAGACGAAGCGCCATCATGGTGCGACCAAATCTGGGACTCTCTCATAGGCAGCGACGGCAAGATGAAGGTTGTAAAGTCACACCAAGCAACAGTCCTAGTACACGCCCCACGCTCCCCGACTGCACCACCAGCCAGACTAACCTCCCCCAGAAACCCGCAACGGAGCAAAACTACCTCTACGAGCTCGACAAGACCACATCCGACATCCTCGCGCAGATCATGACATACCAGAAAGACCACGCCGGCGAAGGCGGCGGCGAGATATCCGTCCAGGACGTCGACAAGCCCATCGAACTCCCTGCGAACCCGATGACCCTCCCACAACTCCAGCGCATACGCCGTCAATTCATTGCTATGAACCGCCAGCACAGTTTCTCCAAGTCGAGGATAAAGGAGGTCTTTGTCGAGTACCTCAACAGCGAGTTCCTGCGCTAAGACGAGGCAGCGTGGTCGGAGTGTGTAGGAGTGTATGCCTGTATGCAGGCTGTGTAGACTCATATCACTAGACGTGTGATTTTTCGATGCTGGGCGCATGCCACATCACCGTGCATACGCGATCATGGCGTGGCATCTCAAGATGGTGTCTGGGCACGACACTTGCAACTCGATGCAGAAGCACAGAACTCGAACAGCATGTGCCAATGCTATGAATCCCGTCTCTTGGTTAGTCGGAATACCCGGAACTAAGTTGGCTGCAGCGAGGCCTTGCAACAGCTTGACAACTACATCTAAACAAACTCTAGGACTTTTACGCCTTACGTGTTGTTTTGTATACGCCTACTACACATGTATGTTTTTGTAGTACTTCCAATCTTGTAGTTTAGGGTTGATGTGTTGCTGCAAAGAATAGACTGTAAAACTCGCAAAGACTCTACTTATATGATGTTTCGCAGTTGGGCGTGCTTGAAAGGTATATATTGGCTCTCGGTCAAGTGCAAAAACAGGAAGTAAGTTACATTGTTTGTGGCTCCTACAAGCCGCAAAACTACACAATTGCAATTTGTTAAACTGTATGCAAGGCGTATACAGCTTGAAATTCAGGCACAAGATCCCTACACTAAACTTAGTTGTAGTTGTCAAGCTGTTGCATGATTTCGCTGCGTTCTGCAAGGCATCCATCCCAAGTCCATCCACCAAACATCACCCATCACATCACAACAGCAACAGTGAACGCATTTGCAGTTTGAAAATAGTTAATACTAAAAACGCCTCATTAACTTCATACACATTCATAAGCCCTCCACCCCGCAGCAGCCAGACGCCAGGGCATCGAGGAAGCAAGATCGCACACACACAAAGTCCGCACCAGACAACACCCGAATAAAGAGAATGAAAAAAGAGAAAAAGTTTGACAGGAAAGGAAAACCCATTCGACAAAAAACCCCGCCGTGCGCCACCCGATGGAAAAACCTAAACTGTTTGTTTGATAAACACAAAACGCCCGTCCTGCAGACGCAAAGGTCCGGGGATATGCTGCCGCCGATGCAAGTGAGGAGGAGGAGAGTGAGGATCCGCGAAAAACGCCAATATGTTTAGACGCTCAAAATGCTGCAATGACTACCAGGCTGGCCGCTCATGGCTTCGGGCGGGCGATGGAGTGAGAAGCGCTTCCTACACGTCCACTGGTTTTCCGTACGCTGGTCTTGCCCTCGGTGCTTCGTCGCATGGGACTCGAGCGGATCTTGCTCATGCTGATGCCGCTGCCGCTCTTCTCTCTCGGTGTCTTCGGTCGAGCACCAGCTGGCGCCGTGTTCTCGGCGTCACTCCCATCGCCGAAGCCAAACGACGTGTGTGTCAAGGAGGTCTGGATGACGGAGGTTGTGCTGAAGGCACGACGCTGCTTGTCTTTCAGGACAGGTGAACGGGTTGGCGAGCGAGACGATGTTCTCCGTGCAATCTGGCGCAGGTGGTACTCTTCGTCGCTCTCGCCGTCGAACCGTGTTACGTCTGCCCTGATCTCAGTGGTTGATTTCGTGAATGGCTCGTTCTCGTGGATGCGCTGAGGTGATTGTCGCGAGCTGCCATTACCGTAAAGCTTGCTAGTCTTTCGCGGCTGGCCTGGTGTAGGCGCAGGCAGGTTGTCTTCTTGAACACCGATATTCGAATGTGTGGCGTTGTTGCGCTCATTGGACTCGATCTCTCCAAGTGCAGCGCGCTTCTGAGAACCGTTCGGTGGGGTGAAGGTCTGGCCGTTGCTTGCAAGGCGCTGCTTGTGAGGAGACCTGGTTGGCGTAGAAGGCATCGCCTCGGCATACTTGGCTTTGATAGTGTCCTCGTAGAACCACTCGCGGAAAGTGGCCTGGTTGAGGTGAAGCCAATGTTGTTGAGGTCCAACGACCATTCCGGGGCGCATAAAGCGCATGTATGCGATGATCTCGTTTGCAGTGAAGCCATGCCTGTAGATCAAGTATGCTCCAATGAGGCAGCCGGTGCGGCCAAGTCCAGCTTTGCAGTGCACAGCAATCCCCTTCTTTCGGACCGTAATCATATCGTGCGCAAGGTTGACGAACTGTCGCACCAGTGACAGAGGCGGGCAAGTTCCATCGTCGAAGATCATGTTCAGGTGCTTAATGCCGAGTTTGGTGAAATAGCTCGATGAGTAAAGCTCAGAGTTCAAACGGACGACGAGACCGACGTTGCGTGCGCAGAAGTGGGAGAGTACGTTCTTGAAGGGACCTGGGATGTTTGATCGCTGAATCTCGGCGATGTTCGAGGGCAGTGACGCGTATGTTGAGGATGTCGTGGCGATCTCGTGAGTGGGCTGGTGTTGTGGTGACGCAAAGGCCAGGAAGTCGGGAGTGACCCAGTTGAAGTCGCCCATGTCGACACGCTCAAACTTCTCGTATCTGGACCAGTTAGCAGTGCTCCTCTAGACAGACCAAGATAGACATACTCTTCCAGACTGAAGTCCTTGAGCCCGCAAAGGCCCTCCTCCTTCGCTTTCCACACTCCGTAGATGACATCCTGAATGTTCAGGACGTAGTCTGCCTGGCTGTAGCCTGCGTCGCGGAAAGGCATGCAGGGTGGGTCCATCTGGGCAATGGGCGCTAGGGCAAGATGAGGTGGCCATGACTGGATGAGGACCATGTAACACGCCAAGATGCAGGCAGCATTCGCGCGGCCTGTAGTTGTCAGCAAGTGTGTCGCAAGCGTGGGAAAGTCGTTTTGGCTCACTTCTCGAGTCTGCGTTGCTCCAGAACACTACGGCCCTGTCCTCGTTCGCGGGGTCCCCCAACACCTCGTGTAGCTGCACAGCAAAGCGGTACAGGTGGCCAATGTGCAGTGGGCCAAAGTCGCCGTGGAAAGCATTGTACAGCAGTGTCTTATCAATGCTAAAGTACACCGGAGGATGTGTCTTGGAGCCAGCGTGACCTGCTTGTGCCCGCGACGAGCGCTTCGTCGGCGACTGGCTTTGTTTTGGGTAGGGGAACGGCGTGCCGGCGTCTGGTGCGTGCGTGTATGAGGCAAGGTAGAGTCGGTCTTGGATGTACTGAGAGGTTGCGTGCGTCAGTACTGGTTGCCATGTTTGTTTTGTTTTTGGGGTTTGTTGTGATGCTCACCTCGATGACCTGTCCGTAGCTGGTCGAGTTCGCGCGAGGCGTCCTCGAGGGTCTTGGGTGTGCAGACATGTTGCGGGATCTGTGACGTCCGAGTATGTGCCCTGGTTGGCAAGAATTGGCGAGCTGCAGTAGTCGAGGGGTGCGCGATGTGTGTTGGACTCGGGACGGAACAGCGGGCTCGAGCAGCGCAGTGGAGCGGCGGGGCGGAAGGGTTTCCTGAGGCTGTCGACTTGGTCGCCGAGTGCTGTTGACCTTTCGTGCGTCCCGGGAAAGAAATAACTGTAAAGATACAAATCTGTCCGTGGTGGAGGAGAGGGCGGAGTTTTGAATGCCTCAAGACCAAAACAAATGATGTAAACAGGCTAAGTCCGGTCTGGGCTTAGCCTCGCCATCGCACAGATCGGGACGACCCTCAGACCAAAACAACAACAAACTCCGCTTGGCCAGTGCACAGGTAAGCCAGTCCCCTGCTCACCGTCTTGTTGTCTTGCTGTCTTGTTTATTTGTTTGTTTATCTGTGCTCCATCGAGGGGCTCACCGCATCGGTCAACATCGAGGCACAGCACTCTATGCCAGACTTGAACAGCATTCAAGGCTTCACGCGTCGTGTTCATGCATTATTTTCGAGATTCACCATGGCAGCGTTGACGTGGCGGTGCATTGCAGCCCGCCTACGATTCATGACTTACACTGAGCAGGAACAACGATCGTCACTCTGGTGACCACTTTGCCCCAGGACTTGTGTGCATGATATCACAGGGTCCAAGACATATGGTTTCTAGACTACAGTGCCTATATTTCCGATCCCTGACCTCGACACGCGATCTGCACCACAGGATACCCTGCATGCGACTATAGTACACCGCATATGCATCGAGTGCTTGTTGTTTAGTTGGTCTGATCAACAAAAACACCGAGTGTTCGATTGACTACACGTTGTTGAAGGATATTGTTGCACCGTCAGCATGATCAGAAGAGGCAGAACCGAAGGATGGCTCAAACAGCCTATCGAAGCCTTGCCAAGATGGGCAGCGTTCCATGGAGTCTCCTTCGAGGGCATTAGAATTGGCCCGCTCCCTGGCTTCGAAAATAGAGGGTCGACCGTCATAGCAGATCGTGAACTGGAGGGAGGCAAGGTCGAGCCGCTGTTGGTTGTCCCGAGAGATCTTATAATCTCGCGGCAGAATATTGAGGTTCTTGCCAAAGCAGACCGCAATCTCCGTGAAGTCCTCGATGTGTTGGGAGATTTTGGAACGGTGATACACCTTTGACAAACATCCAGGCAGCACAAACGCTGACTTGCAGAACAGACGACAAGAGGCGCTGTGCTGATGTTTCTGCTCATACAAGCCACCATATGCTGCCCAGATACAAAGAACGTTGGCGTCTTGAATCCTCTTACCGAATATGTCAAGTTTCTTCCAGATGAACTGCTACCAACATTTTGGACCGAGGACGAGCAGGAGCTCCTTACAGGCACAACTCTTAGGCCTGCAGTTCGAGCAAAGCTGAGCAGCCTATTACGCGAATTTGAAACAGTTCGCACAGCCACAGAATCCATCGGCTGGTGTTCAAAGTACTGGTGGGATGACGATACTGGAATGCTTACATTCGACGATTGGTTACGGGTCGATGCGATGTACAGATCCAGGGCGCTCGAGTTCCCAGGCGTTGGTGATTGCATGGTTCCATGCGTAGACATGGCAAATCATGCATCTGGAGAAACTACAGCTGCGTTATACGAGGCTGACGACGACGGGAATGGGCTGCTTCTTCTGCGAGAAGGCAAGAAGGTCGGGAAGACCAGCGAGATCACCATCACGTAGGCCTAGTTTCAACTGATATTGTTCTTCCGAGAACGCTGACAACGGTAGATACGGTGACGATAAAGGAGCATGCGAGAATGTATTCTCGTATGGATTCCTCGAAGATAGCATGATCTCCGCACAGGTCATGTTCCTGGATCTCGATATCCCGGACGATGATCCCTTACGACCCGCTAAAATCTTTGTATCCACAGCCGCACCGGGCTTCCGCATCTTCGAAGACAAGAAAAACGGTACTATAGATTGGGAGAGCGACTTCATTTGGCTCGTCATCATAAACGAAGAAGACGGGTTGGATTTCAAGATTCGGCAAACTATTGACGGAAAGAAAGAAATTCAAGCCTTCTGGAAAGACCGAGAGCTAGACGATACCTTGAAGCTGAAAGAGTATCTTCAGGACGAGCCGTTGTGGGATATATTCAAGCTGCGTGCTACAGTTCTTCTGCAAAATCGCGTCGAGACGCAGATAGAGACGCTGCAGGAAATGCAGAGCGTCAAGCGTGAAACTTCAATTCGGGAAATACCGTGGAGTCTGGCGAAGCGACTCCGAAGTCTCGAGCTAGACATGCTGCAGCGTGCTGAAGCGACGTTAGAAAGCCAGGTAAGGAACGTTCCTTGAAGTCTTACCCCGCGTTTCGCATGTTGCGCTTCTCGTATTCAGGCTTGTTGGTGCATGTGAGCTTGGCTATCATGCCTTAGCTTACGACATGTCCATAATGGCCCGAACAACCCCCTGTCTGACATTTGTATTCCCGACTAATTCCGATCCTAGAAGTCTACTTTGATCGAGTCAGAAGTCGTACAGCGGTATTTGGGCATGGCTGGAGACGACGAAGAGGAGGTAGATTTCACTTGAGATATGCCAGCTTTCCATAGAGATAGACAACTGAATCGCGTCCATCACTTACACAGTATTTCTAGCCCTGTTGGCCACGTTGGCCAGGGATGAGACAGGGATAAGACAGGGACTTCAGCTTCCAATTATCAGCTCATTATCTCAACCGGGACCTTCCAATCGGTGGCTTCTCACATGCAGCTCTAAACCTGAAAGAGTGATGTTGAACGTCCACAGTCACACCCACGGCGTTGATCAATCTCCCATGACAGTGGGCTGAACTGCACACTGTAATGGACATTAATCGTGCATTTGTGAGCTCGTAGATTAGTCAAGCGACAATGTGGCAGAACTAGCACAGATGATGGTCATATGCAGTAAGAGGCGCAGCTGTCAGGTGCCCTGGTCGAAGCCATCATAATTCGTAAGGCAGCTCACGATCACTAAGGCTAGTCTACCGCACACCCGACAATCTCCTGCATGCTGTTTGGCGAAAGCACCAGAAATCACTGGCGAGCTGTAGTCTAGTCCAGCCAAGTAGGCAAGGGGTGTCTGTGGTGCTCGTTGGTGCGTCGCGTTTAACCCCGCAGGGCCCACAGAAACAGACCATGGTGAGGATCCTTGTGGTCGGACACCAAACCCCGGATGGCGCTAACAAATGGGGCGTCTTTGGATCTGACTTGCGTCAGCCATCCGCTCGACCAGACACTCTGCCGCCCTCTTGGACTCTCGTGCACCCACCAACTCGCGCTTGTTTCACAGCTCAACACCCTCGCACGCTTGCTATCAATATTTTGACATTTGTTGCAAAGGACATCGTTGATAGTCTATTCCGAAGATCCGAATGTCACAGACCGTGACAGCATCTGTCAGCAACAGCCGTTGGGGCTCGACCAAAAATTACCTCACCATATCGTCAACCACGTAGAAACATCACCGCCAACATGCCTGGAATCCTGCCTATGAAAGTTATCAAAATCGGATCGAGCAGCCAAGCCCGTATCGCCCAAGCATGCGATCGATGTCGTTCAAAAAAGATACGCTGTGACGGCATACGCCCTAGCTGCACACAATGCACAAACGTTGGCTTCGAGTGCAAGACGAGCGACAAGTTGAGCCGTCGCGCCTTTCCGAGAGGGTACACAGAGTCACTGGAGGAGCGCACGCGACTCTTGGAGGCAGAGGTGCGCGAGCTCAAGGAGCTGCTTGACGAGAAAGATGAGAAGATTGATATGCTCTCGCGCATACATTCGCACTCTTCAGTCGCACATACGACTGGAAGACGGCCATCGCACCAACCAGGCTCTTGGGAGGTTCGTGACAAATCGCCAGAGAAGGACGACACTTTCAAAGTGCAAGCACCGCTCCTGTCTGACAGTGCGAACCACGATTCGTATTTTGAGGGCGGCTCCAGTGGACGGGCACTTATTGGTACGATCTAGACGATGCGCTCCCTATACTCGAGCTATCTAACATCTCGCAGAGGCTTTCAACCAAAAGGCCCAAAAGACGGGCAGATTGTGCACCGGTATTAGCTCAAACGCGTTCTTCGGAGCGGAGGAGAAGACAGCTACTTCTGCTTCGCCCAAACGCATTGTTTCTTTCAAGGCGCCTCCTCGCCTAGTCTCTGACCAGATGATCAACATCTTTTTCCAGGAATGGGCGCCTCTTTTTCCAATTCTTCATCGTCCAACCTTTCTCTCCCTTTACGAAAAGTATGTCGCAAATCCCGACGATATGGTCGACAGAAAGTCACTTGTCGTACTGAACCTTGTCTTTGGAATCGCCACGTTGTCACGCGATGTATGTTCCCGCAAATATCCATCTGATGTTACACGACAGAAAGCTGTACTGACACTGCGCTAGCCTCATGACGGTCAAGACGCAAGTTCTTACGAAGCTCAATGGCAGGGTGCCATTGAGAGTTTCTTGATGGACAATGACATTGAAACCCTACAATGCCTCGTCCTTGCTCAGATCTTCTGCTTGTTGAAGGCTGACAATTCGCGGCTTCTTCAGTACAAGGGCCTGGCGATTGGCCTGTCACAACGTCTCGGCTTGCATCAATCACAGAAGCGTTTCGAATACGGCGCACTGACCAGCGAAACAAGGAAGAAAGTCTTCTGGTCGTTTTACACTGTCGACTGGTAAGATTTCGATATCAAGCCATGTTTGTTCGTCTGGCTAATCTGCCACAGCCTATCTGCTGCGCAACTCGGCCTTCCCATGCTCATCAAAGATGACGATGTGCACTGCGAGTATCCAGTCGATGCCGATGACGAGTATGTTACCGAAAAGGGGTTCCTGCCGACCTTGCCCGGCGAGTCGACCAAGCTCTCAAGCGCCCTTGCGCTCTTCCGCGTCACACGTATCCTGTCTAAGGTTCTTGTTGAGTTGTACCCGACTTCGGCCTCTCATGAGATCTCCTTCCAAACTATCGCGTCTCTTGCCGACGATCTTGACGACTGGGAGAGAAACCTTGCACCTCACCTCAAATTGACGTTTGCACAAGACAAGCCGAGTACGAACGTGACTAGCAGCAGGTCACCTATTCTTGTATGCATTGCCTGAGAGCCTAGTTCACTTGCGAAGTGCTGACAAAGTTTAGTCTTTGACTTACCATCACATCCGGTCGCTCATCTATCGACCGGCTGTTATTGCTGACTTGGGAGATAAAAGCTCTTCGGCCGCCGTTGCTGTTGGCGATTCTTGCAAGCACATTGTACAGATCGTTCAACTCCTCGATGAACGTGGACTCTGTTTCTCTTTCTGCTTGAGTCGCAATGAAGTACTCGTGCAAGCTGGTTTCGGGCTGCTCTATCAGACTCTGGACCTTGCCCGTGATGGCAAACTCATCAAGGACTACAACCGCCTTCTCTGCTCCGTTATAGAAATGCTTGAGCGCGGAAATGCTCGTGGCTCTGTGGAGTTCCGGTATGCTTTATTCCCCTTTTCAATTCCTCATTTCACTAACTGTTGATAAGTCGCATTGGTTGCGCTATGATTACTGTTCCTCGCGTCAACCCATTGCCGGCGCCCTCGCTGTTACGCCATAATTCTGATGGCAATATGGGAGCGCCAATGGACACTTTCCGTGCCACTCAAAAGTCACTGAAGGCTATCGCAGCTCGCATGTCTCCGGGCTCTACGAAGTGTGCTCAAGCACTCACAGCCTCACGCCGTGCGACTCTCCCTGTCATTCCACCAAGCATGAGTATGCACGCCAATCCATCTTCAACAAGTCTGTCCTCTATCCACTCGGAAACATCTGTAAGCCGCTCAGAACCAACGCATAGTCCGCTAGCCAATAGAGATGTTCTCCCCATGCCGAGCAAACACCGTCAAGACCAGTCCACTAGCTCCAATCGCAACATCGATTATCTCTCCTTTAGTACCAACACACTCCCGAATTACGGTTCTACTGCTGGTATCAAGAAAGACAACTCGTCTGTTGACTGGGAACGCTTCCTCTCATCAATCGACAACGGCCAAGCCAACATTTACGACACTATATATGGCGGTCCGCCTGCAGATGCCTTTCTTAGTATTGCACAACATCCCGCCATAGCTGATGCCAATTCTACCCTCTCGCCAGATGACTGGAATTGGGAGAATTACAGCGAACAAGCGCCACCACCGCAGAGTGTTTTAAGCTTCAGCGACGAGAGCTTGACTAGCGGCGAAGACTTTGGCAGCAACCCTTGCGACTTTGACCTACCGCCTGGAGTCGACAAAACATACCTCCCAGACTACATCAATTCCCTGATTGGGACGGGTGGACTCGATGTGAACTTTGGGTTATGATTTTCTACAGGTGTGATAACATGGTGAACGGGTAACATCAAGATGGTCGGATTTTGATGGCGGTTGGAGTAAATGTGTATGTCAGGGATTTCGGTTTGTTCGGTTTGCTTCTAGGTTGGGGGAGTTGGACTTTGCTACGATCTGCTTTTTACGATATCCCATGCGGGCGCAAGTTAGGCAATGCGCCGTTGTTGGGAGCTGAGGTGGAGATGTCATCACATGTTCAATAGCGAAAATGCGTGAACCTTTCTCGATAGATAATTTGAGTTGTCAAATTGTATGTAGTTTGCAATGCGCAAAAGATCGTGTTCGCATCCTTCTGCTTAATATTGCAATCCCAACATTGCGATCCATGTTGAAGTGCTGTGTATGTCATGATTTCGTCTCGACTTGACTTAGCAATCTGGGCCTTGCCAACCCAAGGTTGCGTCTGCGATATCCAGTCTTCATCCTAATCAAATGGGAAAGGCTATATCATGATGACTCAGCGACCAAGCTCCATTAAGTGGGTCTATTAGCCAAGCGATAGCCAGACGTCACCACTTTCCGGGGTTCAGACATAAACATTTACCTGATAGTAACGACGACCATTGGTAGAATTGTACATACAATAACTAAACCTCAACCATCGCTCCTACAAGCCTTGCTCTTGGCACTCGACACAACACACCAAAAAGCCAGACAGAAATGCTACGCGAGAACATGAAAGAGGTGGACCTTCTAATCCTAGGCGCCGGCTGGACAAGCACATTTCTGCTGCCACTGCTGGACATCGAGCACATCACACACGCCGAGACAACAACCACAGGAAGAAACAACACGCTACCTTTCAAATTCGACCCAGAATCACACGATGAAGACTCATACAAGCGCCTCCCCTCGGCCCGTACAATCCTCATCACCTTCCCCCTAAAAGGCCCCGACCAGTCCAAGCTCATCACCTCGCTGTACCGCAAAACCCACGGCGACGAAAACAACTGGATCCAACTCGGCTCAACGGGCATCTTCAACCAAGTCCCCACCGACTGGAGCACAGACGAAAGCCCGTACGATACCGCCGATCTGCGAGCAATCGCCGAAGACGAGCTCATGCAGTGCGTCCGCGGCTGCGTGCTCAATCTCTCCGGCTTGTACGGGGGGACCCGCATCCCGCGAACCTGGCTCCCACGGCTCGCCTCGTGCAAAGACGATGTGCGGAAGCGCGGGGCGGTGCACTTTGTGCACGGCGAGGACGTAGCGCGAGCCATCGTCGCGACGCACAGGAAATTTACACCCGCAAAGCGGTGGATAGTGTCTGATCTCAGGGTCTACGATTGGTACGATTTGATCATGAGTTTCAGCGCCTTGGCGGAGGAGGTTGAGGAAAGCGCGCAGGAGGCGGAGGCGAGGCTGCAGTTTAGCACGTGGGTGGGCGAGCTGATGCTCGAGGAGGGTGTGCGGGCGTTGCCGAGGGAGATGGGCGTGCTGGGGCGGAAACTCGATTCTAGGGGGTTTTGGCGGGAGCATGGGATTTGGCCTAGGCATCGGCGGTTGGCGTAGGCGTGGACACTTAGGAATTCATAGCGTGGGCTTGTAAGATTGGTCCTCCAATTGGCAACTGAACATTTCGGATTACTTTGTGCCCGAGCAATCTCCGTGGCATCCATCACTGGCCTATCGGTTCGATGAGGCTGACATCACGGGCGAAGTACCATGGTCGACAGCGTGCGCAGGATCTGCAGAGCTTTTTCCCCATGGTTCCTACCTGACTGGGAAATCTTCCACTAATACGCTGCATGGTCCTCTTGGTAGCTCACTATCTAGCTCAGGCTGCCGTTGAGCACAGGGCACCAAAGCAGCCAGAGTGAACGGGACCGACACGGGCATATCCCATATTGTCGCCATTCGACCGGAGGATCTCTCCTGCCGCTAGTTACCGTTATTCGAGAACTAGTGACCGTTGTTCCCGTCACTGGGCCGTTATCAGATGAGGCTACTATGGGGAAGGAAGTATCGTGATGGTCAGAGGAATCGGGGTCTACAGAGTAAACAAGGTCGACGGAGTGAATGAGGCCAGCAAGGCCTCTTGACTAGATGAAATTGCATCGCGAAGACTACATGATATCACTACAATACTGCTGTGAATAACAAAGTATCGTCGTGTCTGACCTCCATTACAAGCCAGTCCCAGCCAGTCAGCCCTGCATGCAAATTCCTCTCTGATGACATCAAGCAAGAGCTCTCACGGTAGCCATAACGTATAGAAAACTTTTCCCACCGTCTCCACTCGACGGGAGTTTCCAGAGTCCGAATTCTCACAGTACTGTCACGGTGACGGGGTGATATTGTGCGCTTCGACCGACATCACAGCCAGTTACGGCGAGTGACCCCGGTATCCAGACTTTGTTCTGATGAGCTCGAAAGTACTGTACCGAAGTAACCAGAGTAGACGAAGGAAACCAAGTAAACAAGAGTTGATGGAGCTATTTCCTGCATCATCCGTGCCCGACGAGCCCGACGAAAAATATGGAGAGAGAGACTTCCACGGTTCGAACTCCCACTGGGCTGTTGCGTGATTTTGTTAGCTCTGACTCATATGACGAGCCAGTTAGACACAGTCACTTTGGCGAGATCGAGAGTGAGGTATTGTAGTTGCCAGAGTAGCTAGAATCAGCAGTGTAGACAGAGTAGATGAGGTCAACAAAGCTGTGTTCCCATCGTCTCTGCTCGAAAAGGGAGTCTTCACAGTCTGAACTCCTACTGTACGATCACGGTGACGACGTGATGTTGACCTCCATCATGAGCCAGTCACGGAAAGTCACTCCGGTTCCATTGAGAGACAAGTACCGTGGTAGCCAAAGTAGACATGGTCCACTGAGTTATATGCCTCATCGTCCCCACTCGACGATAGACGATGAGAGAATCCTCATGGTCAATACGCCACCGTACTATTGCGGTACTCCAGTTGACGATGGGGCATTGTCGTATATGTCCCCTATCACAGGCCGGTCACTGGTCACACTGTTGATGTGGGGACGGTTCTGATATCGGTACGATGCTTTTTTGCTCCCATCGATCTCGAGGCCAGATACGGCCTGGGGGGAGTCACGATGTTTCTCTGGTTCGAGCCTGTTGCCGTGGTTGGAGAGCCACATGCTCTAACGGCGTCGACCCGGTCGACGACAACGAGCAAAATTTTCCCCTGGCAGAGAGAAAGTTCGTGATGTCTATGAACCGTTGTTTGAACTTTGCCCAAGTCCCTGGGGGAGAGTATAAGGACGAAAATCTGCCTCCTAAACCTGCTTCTCTTGTATTATCTCTGTATTCACAGCAGCTTCGACGACTTACCAGTACTTCCCATCACATATCTTGTCCCTGCACTCCTTTCTCTTCATTTCTCCCCCTCTTCCCCCTTTCACACCCATCCCATCACCATCATGGTGGGCTTCGTCAACGTCCCGGGGTACCCCCACCTCGTTGTGACCGCGGACATGGAGCTGGGGTGGTGCTACAACACGCTCAGCAATGAGTGTGAGCCGATCCCCCTTGCTCCTCCTCCCCCGGTTGGTCTTCAACACCAGCCGAGTTTCCTCGCGGGCGTGGCTCAACCCACCCCGTATTCTTCTATGGCGCCGTCTGGGCAAGCGGCGTCCTACCAACAGCCCTGGGGTATTCAACAACCCCAACAGTTCACCGCGGGTCCAGTTCAACCTGGTCCGTATCCCTCCTCGCAGCCTGTCGGTCTTCAACACCGGCAGGTCTTCTCCACAGGCGTGGCTCAACCCACCCTGTATTCTCCTATGGCGTCGCTTGGGCGGGCGACGTCCTACCAGCAGCCCAGGGGTTTTCAACAACCCCAACAGTTCGTCACGAGCCCAGCTCAACCTGGCTCGTATCTCCCCTCGCAGTCTGTTGGGTTTCAACACCAGCAGGTCTCCTCCACAGGACCAGTTCAACATGGCCTGTATCCTCCCTTCGTGGCGTCGTCTGGGCAAGCGACGTCTCACCAACAGCCCTGGGGTCTCCAACAACCCCAACAGTTCGCCACGGGTCCAGCTCAACCTGGCTCGTATCTCCCCTCGCAGCCTGCTGGCTATCAACACCAGCAGGTCTTCTCCGCAGGACCAGCTCAACCTGGCCTGTATTCTTCCCCTGTGGCGCCGTATGGGCAAACGGCGTCCCACCAACAGCCCAGAGGTCTTCAACAACCTCACCAGTCGTCCTTTGCGGTCGCGGCTCAACCCGCCCCGCAGGCCTTCAACGGCCCGGTGATGCAAAACGTGCGTCAGACATCCAACATGTCTGACAACGAGCACGTGCGAGCCATGGGCGCATGGACGCAGCAGATGCCGATCCGGGAGAATACCAACGGCACTGGCCCGTCGGCAGCTCCCGCACAGGGCCCCTCGTCGGCGCCAAAGGTCGTCATAGACTTCACTGGCGACGATGACGACGAGCGTGAGGTCGAGGAATTCGTCGAGGAGCCGTCCACGATGTGGGTAACGTCGTGTCCGCAGCTCAGGCAGCGGCTGGTGTATATATCCTCACGGGCGCAGTCGGGCCCCACCACTTACATGGGGCTTCTGCAGTGTTCGATGTACCAGGACAGGCACAGGGAGGGCCTGAAGAAGTACTGCAACCGGTTCTGGCCGTCGGACGAAGAGGCGTTGGCTGATGTGCGCGAGATGGCTCGCTATTTCATCGACGCGCAGAAGATGTTCTGGATCCATGGGGTCTGGGACGATGCGGCGACGGCAGAGGAGATGGCGGACGTGGTGCTGCAGAAGAGGGCATTGGCTGCGGGGTTGAGTAAAGAAAAGGATGAGGAGATTGAGCGGAGGAGGGTTCGGGCGGAGATGGTTGCGATCGCCCGTCTATCCAAGACCAAGCGAGCGAAGAAAGAGGCTGCGCAGCGGGCGAAAGAGGCGGCTGCGGCCGAGAAGAAAGCGCAGAAGGAGGCGAAAGCCGAGGAGAAGAGGGTGCAAGCGGCCGAGAAGAGAGCGCAAGCGGAGGCGAAGCTTCAGGAGAAGAAGAGGAAGAGGGCAGACGCCCTTGCTGCGCCGAAGACAAAGCGGGTGAAGTCAACTCCTGCTCCACCGCCCGCCCCTATCTCCGTTCCCGCCGCCGCCGCCGAACCTGTGGAGGAGGAGGATCTTCTCGCAGCGTTTGACGCTTTCCCGCCTTCGCCCGTTCCCGCCGCCGCCGCCGCAAACCCCATTGCGGAGGAGGATCTCCTCGCAGCCTTCGAGGCTTTCCCGGCCTCGCCCTCACCCGCACCAGAGGAAGAGTCCACTCTTCTTGCGGCGTTTGCCGAAGACGAGAGCGAGAACGGCGACGATTTCGCCTCGGAACTCGTCATTGAAGACCCTGAAGAGGGCAACACTTCTTCCGGGGATATCCCCACTGCTCTTGCCCTGCAAGAGCAGGTCCCCTCCCCGCCCATCTCCCCCCTTCTCCCCCTTGCCCAGAGGGCAACCTCTGACGACGACGAGGAGGGATTCGGCACCCCCCCCGTCCCCTCCTCACCCCTCGTAGTCGCCCGAGGGCCTCAAGAGGAGGTCGCTCTGCGCACGCCTCCCGCCTCGCAGACGCCCAGCCCCCTTGTCGCCGAGGACGACGACCTCGGCTCCCTCTTTGGGGATGACGAGGCCGGCTCCCTGTTTGGGGACGACAATGTCGGTTCCCTCTTCGAAGATGACGAGGTCAACTCCCTCTTTGAGGACGACAACCTCGGTTCCCTCTTCGGGGACGAGGAGGAGGCGGTACCGTCTCCGCCCGCCCCAGCCCCGGTCGTCGAAGACGACAACGACGACGCTGCCGACTCTCTGTTCGGCGACCCGGACCCGTCGCTTGAAGAAGACGAGCCCGAGGAAGAGGAAGAGGAGGAGGAGAGCGAGGAGGTGCAGTGTTGGCGCCGACGGTGCGAGGTGGCGCGCAGCGAGGTCGCAGTGAAGGAGGCGGCGAGGGTGGAGCTGTGTGGGAGGAGGGATTTTCTTGCGCACGCCTTGCTCAAGAAGAGGTTCGACAAGAGCATCGAGAAGGCGGAGGCGGAGAAGGCGGAGAAGGAGAGGGAGTTGCAGGTGTTGCTGGATAGCGCGCCGAGGGGCTCCCGGGGGGTGGGTGGGAGCGAGTAGATAGTCTTTTTTGGCGTTGGTGTAGTTGTCTCGCTGTTGTGTTTCTACGGGGAGTTTGGGTTTGTTTTGTTGTTGTATGCATTTGGGTCCTGGCGTTAGTTGGTGGTCATGTCTGAATATCATTTCTGTATTTGCCAACTCCGTCTTTGTGAATGACTGTATTCGAGAAACTAAGGAGGACGTTGTCCACTACTTGCGAAAAGATATAATGTATACCAAGTAAAACCCGCAACGCTATGCAAAAAGATTAGAGTACCTTAATAATATATAAGAAGGTTAAGAAGAACATTACCCAAAACCCACCCTCCCTTCTCATACCCTCTACACCTCCATATTCTCAAACGGATCCCGATCCGGCGGCAACCCCCTGTACATGACATTGCCAACAGCGTCCAACCGCGCATTCACGCTGGTGATCCAGATCCTTCGCGTATACGAAGAAGTTCGCTGGATTTCGTCCTTAGCGACGCCCAACTCATCCCATGGTACCCATACAGCAGGCTGAATAGTCCGGACCGCCGGGTGCTGAAAGCTGCGCTTGATGAGCTTCTGGCGGGCTTCGGGCTCGATATCTTCGAGTTCATCGTCGATGTTGTCGAAAAGGTTGGAGGTGGGGAGGACTTGGGCTTCGATATCGCGTACGGGACGTGCAACGTCGTCTAGACCTTGTTTGAAAGTAGTGGCAATTGCATCGAAGGGGTCTTTGTGTTTGTGCTTCTTAGGTGTGCCGCGGGACTTCGATCGCATACCAGACCTGTTCGACCAAGAAGATTTGCGACGGGAATACTCCGGCTTGGGTGGGAGTTCATTGGTGGCTAGATTCTTCTTGTCCATGTTGCTCATCTCGTAGGCTCCTTCGGCGTGCGAAGCTTCCTGCTTGTTCAACTCCTCCATATGCGCGAGTTCGCGCTCCTCTGCTGTCTTGTTGGCCTTGTCTTCAGCGTTGAGAGGCTGAATTTCATCATCGTCCTTTGTCCAGCGAGAAGCCTGCGCACGTTGGAACTCCTCATCTCGGGCTACTGCCTCATCTTCGAATGTGATGGGGAGGTAAGTGAAAAGGGGTCCAAAGGCACTGTTCAGAACAAACTGATATATGACAGTAAACCCCGCCATGATGATCATGATGATCGCTTGAGGAAAGCAGGCCATATTTCCGTCACCTATGAAGAACAAACCAATAAGACAAAGCTCTAGGAAATACAATCCGGTGAAGAGCTGGTTGACTGCTCTGGGAAAGAGCAGACCGTTTGTTTCAGCCTTTGCGTAAGAGACGTAGATCATCTGATAACGATAGGTAAACCAAAATAGACCGAAGGTGATCAACATCATGATGATGATCAAGGGTGAGACGACTGAGTAGATGATACCTGCGTGGTGTTAGCAAATTGCAACATGCATCTGGCAGTTGATCGTACCGATTGCACCGAAATTAGTGTACACCGGGATCATGGTTCCCCAGTTGATGCCCGGTCGACCCAAAACCCTGGAAACCTTCTCTCGTGGAGTCGTGTCAAAGAAACGGAATACAATGATCATGACGACCGCTCCGATCTGCAACAGTGTTCCCGAACTGATACTGAGAGCCTGGAGAATCATGTAGGAGAAGAAGTAATTGGAAGCCTGTGGCAAGTTCCTCGCAAGTGTAGCCGGGATGCTGATGGGGTCGCTAAGCAACTCTGAGAGGGCAGTCGTAATACCTGTGGATATTGAGACCACCAGAAACAGTTCTACAAACACGAATGCGAAATAGAAGTTTTGAACAAGGAGCTCGCGTTCGCCGGTCGTTGTTGTACCGGTGAATCCAGCTAAGAGGCGCAGGACAATGGGTAGTACAGCAAAGAGAACCGCCAAGAAGGCTGGAGGCAACACACCCTGGATGAAACTGATCGCCCATGTAGGAAGACGGTTCAGAAACGCCAACCAATGCACCTGGGTAGTCAAAGTTCTAATCTGTGACAACGTTCCAGTGAACGCGACAGGAATACCCCAGAAGATGATGAGTACCACAATGATAGCAATGACAAAGAACATACGTAGGTATCGTTCCCACCACTTCATGGTTAAATTTTCCCACATCACGTAGTTCGGGTTAACTTCGACAGTACGAGGAGCCATCTGCCTAGGAATATGGTAGCTGAGTGACTGACAAGCCATGTGCGCTGCGACCTGGTGATTGAACTGGATGAAAGCCGAGTTCATCAAAGGAAATCGTTCTGGATGGGCCTGATCATCCGCAATCTCGGCATTGAGGCGAGCCAATTCTTTGCGGCAGTAGTAGATCGTATCCACTTTCTTGCCGGTCAGCGGAATCGCCGGCCACCAGGACCACTTGAACCAAGGGAGACGCATTGTATCACGGTCATTGGGCTTGATGTACTGCTTCCACAGTGCATCTTCAGCATCCTCAGCAAAGGCGTCGTTGTACAATCCAGCGAGATCATACTTGATGTTCTCAGGGTCCTTGATCTCCAGAAGAGGCTCTTCGCCTTCTTTGCGAAACGGCTGCGGCTCTGCAAAGTTGCCGTGTCCAACATAAGCGTTCTTCAAAGCTACGAATGGTCGAAGTGCGGTGCTAGTGGCTTTGTGCTTCTTCTCGTCCTTCTTGGGGGAGTTGGTCTGGGTTAGAGTGCCATCAGAATAGGGATTGTTGCTCTCTGGCTCTCTCAATGGAGAACGGGTGTCAGAACTCGCGCCTCTTTGCTGGTAGTCCGCAGACGTTGGCGACATGCCAGAGAGCTCAGGGCTACCATCGAGGTTTGGTTGCACAAGTTCATTCTTAGTGTGGTGATCGTGCTTTCCACCAAACGCACCTTTGAAGCCGCCAACCATCTTCTTTCCAAAACGATCAACACCCTGTCCAACGTCACGGAATCCGTCGTTGATTGCATAGAGACCCTGCCCAACGAGTGGGATGGGAAAAAGATTACGTTTTCGATGAGTTGAGGAGGAGCGAGAAGACGACGAGGACGAGGATGATGAGTGGTTTTCCACAAGCACCTCTCGGAGTTGTTGCTCAATTTCGTGTGGATTACCGGCATCTGTGCCCTGATCGTGCGTGTCATGCGCAATATTATGGTTTTGCAGCGCTTGGTCGTCTTTCTTCTCTTTTCTTGTCTTCTGCTTCTTGCCTGCCTCCTTGGCTTCCTTCTCTTGCATCTTCTTGTGTGCTTTTGTACATTGGATGATGAGGTTAGTCTCGGCAGCTTCCAGTGCGCGGGCGATCTTGGTCCTCTTGTCGACCTTTTCCTGCAGGTCGTCGTAGTTGCGGTTGATCCAGATATCCTTAATACCGCCGGGGAAAACATCGTAAAGCGCGTCCAGGGCTGCGACAGTAAGCCACTTTTCAGGTATGCTTTGCACGAGAATGGTGGTTGCGGAAGCTCGAATGCGATGCTCTGGCATGGTGAGAATGGTCTGCCTCAGGCGAACAAACTTCCTGAGGGCCAAGTAGAAGTTGAAGCACACCCAGCATATAACACCAACGGCAACGATACAGTGTCCCCATAGACGATTGATCTTTTCAGGCGTGGCAACGTTGGGCCATGCAAACGAGTCCAAGCCCGACACACCCGGCACATCACCGTGGCGGTTGAGCGGCAGGAGGATGGGTAGGATAACAAGGGCCATGGGTATGAAGATACGAAGCAGGAGTTGCAGGTACTGCAGGAAGAGGTAGCCGTCGACGCCGGCCACGCGGACGAGCTCACGGTCGCTGATGGTGAAGACATTCTTGAACGACTCGATGGCGGTGACGGGGGCAGCGATGCGCTTCTTCTCGGGCACAAAGGCTGTTTTGTAGTAGCTGGTGTGGTCAGCGCAGCCGCATGCATGGTAGACGAAAGGCACGTACTAGATCTTGTGGAAGAGACTCTGCCGCGCCGCCTGCTTGTCGTCGGCGAGACCTTTGCTCGACCTGCGGACCTTCCAGTTGCCGCTGAAGACCAGGAAGAAGCTGATCTGCACGCCAAAGATGATGGCAGCCGTCGACAGCGAGGCGGCAAAGTTGGCTATGCTCTGGTTCGAGTTCTTCTGCGCTGCTCCAGCGGTAGACGACATGTTGTTGGTTACAGAGCACTAGAGGCGCAACCACGAGAGGTGTGAATGGCAATGTCGTGAGTCGTGCCGATTTCCCGCGTGTCTAGGACGTGCTGGCCATGGAGAGGGGTGTGGGTAGGGGCAGTCGCTATGCAGGCGAACGCGACGTGACGAGGGCGAGGTTGAACGAGAACCGTGAAAGAAACGGCCCAAGGAGACATTCCGCCAACGACGATGAAGCTCATTACGGTGATTCGCCAGACCCGAACGTGTTTCGGTCGCCGTTGCCCTGCGTTGGTGCTTGGCAGCGCCTCTGGCGTCACTTCCAAGTGCGCTACCACAACAGCCAAACAAACCCCTGCGACTTGCTCTGTGCAGCCGCCTGCCCAACGGCTGCACTCTGTTCGCGCAACGCATCCATGCGTTCTTACTCTACTCAAGCTGCACAAATTGCCTGCTGGGAGAGACTGGATTTCCACCTCCATGCCTCCACCAGCAGATGCTCAGGCCTGCCGTAGTGAAATTAAAGATTGCGGGGGCTGCATAGCGACCATGACGACATTCTGCATCGAAAGGAGCCTTCCAAGGTTCGGTACCATTGTTTTCGGTAAACAACGAGAAAACCGGGCATCGTGATCGCAACAACCCCTCCAGACTAGGTACTCGAGAGACTTGGCGTAGTTCCAAATCACTGCTGTGAACAAGCCCTTGGTCACCGCTTCGCCGCCACAGATGACATCTTCCACGTGCCCATCTGTACACCACTTCGACTGTCGCCATTTGTTACCCAAACTGATAGAGTAACAGCACGATTCGCCTTGTGAGCATGTATCTTCGATGATGTTTGCATATCTTCTTGATGTGGATGGTGCCCATGAGTTGCACGTATCGAGAGGACCAGCTCGGCCAACCTTGTTTCCTTTTCGTCGCTTCGTTCCCTTGCTCCCATGCTAAAAGTAACACATCGAATTTCAACACTCGCGAACACAAAATGCTCTTCATGTCACCATCTGCAACCTATCGATGGTAAACAATCTACAATACCTGGATTTGCTCACAAATAACCTCATTGGCGTTCCTTTACTAATCAGCAGGTCGGTATACGCCATCTTCCTACAAAGCACACATAACATACAATTGTGCATCGCTTCGAACACATACATCCGCATAAATTCACCGTCGTCTCTGAGCGACACGTTGACGGCTGCAGCAATACAGCAGACTGACGTGTAAACGTTGGCGAGACCATCAGATGCGGGGCACCCACGGATGCTCCCGCAGCTAGCCAACCTAGAACTTCACTCCATCGCTCAGCCTTTCCTATCCCATATTCGTCTCCCACCGCCACATTTCCGTCTCGCTACTGCTACATGCCCATCACCCAAGAGCCTGACCTGTTTTCTTGTACAAATCTTCGCGTTGGACGACCAGGACTGGTCACCGCATCCCCATTCACAGTATCTACCCCGCAATAGTAGCACCTAGCAAGAGCTATCCATATGTCAAAACGCAAATTCACAAAGCCTGGAGATCTCCTACCTGGCCCATCACCACGCAAACGACGTGCCCAAGGTACGGACCGGCCGTTTACTACCAAAACATCTGTATTGAATGACCTACCTGAAGAGCTCATCCTCGAGGTACTCGATCAGGTGCTCTGGTGGGAAGACGGCGATGCAAAAGCACATTACCAAACCTTGCACAGTCTCTCTTTGACAAACCGGAAGCTGTACCGACTCACAAAGTCGTATCTGTACACAATCGTAGACAATGTTTTTGTAGATTCCGGCAAGCTCCTGCGCTCAGCGATCCAGGAGCCAGAGCTAGCAAAGCGCATCAAATGTGTCCACTGGCTTGATGACCACCAAGGAAGCCCGTATCAGTGGAATCCCGACAACAAATACAAACTCTCCCAGATTGAGCGCCGCGAACTCTGCAAACTCGTCGACCGACTCGGCATCCCGGAGATCCAAGCATATCGCATAGGATTCAAAGAGCAGAAGATGCGTGACAACCTCACCTCTCTACTCCTAGTAGCCCCAGATATCGAGTCCATCGAAGTAGCAGACACAAATATGTGCTGCTCCCCCTCGGGCTACCGCTTGCGACCCATGTGGCTAAAACTCCTCTGCGACGCCGGCATGTCCACCATCCCGGGACTATCAACTCACTTCCAGCACCTCAGCACAATACGGCTTCAGATGGGTCCCATAAAACTCGAGCACATAGGCGGCATGCTACGTCTTCCCTCCCTCCGCGCCCTCATGCTCGAAGACATCTTCCATCCAGGCGAGATCCTCCCCTGGCGATGGGACGCCGAAGTAGCACCCCGCTGCTCGAACCTACAAGTCCTATACATAGAAAACAGCTACATCGACTCGCTCGCGGTCGCACAGATCCTGCACGCCATAAAAGCGCTCAAGCTCTTCTGCCTCGACTTCGATAACTGGATCCACAGCGCCGCCAACCGTTTCTTCGGCGAGCGGCCCCCGCTCATGCACTACCCCACCCTCGCCGCCGCGCTGCTCGCACACAAGGACTCGCTCGAGCAGCTCAGCCTAGAGGATAGCTCAGAGGGCGAACTGCGCGCGTTCTTCGGCGACGAAACGGGCTGTCTCGGCAGTCTGCGCGATATGCATAAACTCAAGTATGTCGACATGGGCCTGTATCCGTTCCGCCAGAACAAGACGCCCCACGACGACAACGCGGCGCCTGCCCGTCTCGCGGAGAACTTACCGCGCAATATCGAGCACATGGATATTAGCATCGAGGAGGTGCTCAACGACGCAGAGGAGAAGCGCTGGCGGCGCGATCTGGAGGACCTGGCCAGGACGTGTAAGACGATGGTGCCGCTGCTGAGGGAGATTCGCGTCGCCAAGCGCCTGGTGCAGGTCGTGTTTGTCGACGACGAGGTGCGCAAGATCAAAGAGAAGTTTGCGGAGCAGGGCGTTGTGCTGCGGTTTTGTGGCGAGGAGGGGTATCGGCCGACGGTGAAGCATTGTACTGGGGGTGGGCGTGAGAGGGATGAGGATGTTGATGTTGATGTTGATGATGCTGAGGTTGACGATGACGATAACGATTCGAGTCTGAGTATACAGCTCATGGCTGACCTGCTGGGGACTGCTGGGGGTACGTATGTGCACGGGCATGAGGTTTAAAAGGAGCTTCGATGTGTGTTGTTTTCAGACTTGTATTTTGATATGGTACGATATGACCTACTACTATTAGAAGATCCATAATGCGTTACTGACGCTTTTACGACCCTGGCATGATCGTTACCGTCGGCGACGGTCCTACCCGGCATTACATTTCCCGCGTACCTACAACCCTAACATAACATTACTCACAGTCCTGGTATCAGATCTTACTACTTCTCATGAAGTTAAATATTACACCTGGACTCTTGAGCGTTCTCACTTTCATCAATTTGTCTTCACCATTATGAATTTGTATAACGTCCACACAACCTAATCTCAAACTCCCTCTCTCTCTGTTATGGGCGGTTAGGTGCCAGAAAATGTTTACAGCTGTTAGGTTAAATGGGCTTGTTGATAGCTGCCAAATACATGATATGATTGATAACTACCATTGTTGCAAATTCTACGTTGGTAGCTGTCTGACTTATCTCTCGCCTCTCTCCCACCTCAGCTTGACCTCCCCCCCCACACTCATTGCTGCACATCGACCCGACATCATGGACGACAATTTCAATTCCAGCGACATTGAGGTTGATGCAGCACCGCCAGATCGACTTGCGCTAGCTGGTACGCGTTCTGTTGATATCATCTTCGCCAACACTTCCGCATTCCGCATCGAGTCTAAGAAAGCCGTCGAGCAGCTACAATCAGTCAATGGAGCGCCCACAATGCGGATGCAGCGTGCCCGATGGGCAAAATGCATAGAGCATTTTCTACAAAGAAGCTCTCAACAAGACGTCAGTGATGCTACCTCTCTCACATCTTCTAACTCATGTGACGACTTGATACTTGTCGACCGAGATATTGAACAATTGCTTCTGAGCACCCCCCCCCCCGAAATGGCGCAATTTAGTTACGCGTCCCGTGAATTACTTTCTTGATCGACTTTGCAACTTGCTCTCAAGTACACCATGCACACCATGCGCTACCAGCACGATTCCTGTGCCTTGACTCACAGCGATCGACAACATGTCAAGGACTACTTCGAAAAGCTACATAGCCAGAAGAAGATTACCAAAGAACTGGCTCGTGAGGCATTATGGTTGATGATGCGGGTCATGGCTCATCTTATCAAAGCTTTTCTTGTCCAAACCATTCGATTCAGGGTTCCAGACCGGAGCATTGTAATGTAGAAGTGCCCTGGACCTGCTCTCCGGTAAGTATGTAGCTGTCGCGCTGGTGGGGGGATCACTGGCGACCTGCCCTCTCAGTCAAGTGTAAAAGCAGGAAGTAAGTTGCGTTCTCTATGGCTTCTACAAGCCTCAAGACTACGTTGATAAGGTTCAACAATGTGCACGCTAGGCGTATACTGCTAGGAATCTAGGCAGTAGATTCTTATCCTAATCTTAGATGTAGGCGTCCAGCTGTGGCATGACATTGCTGCACCTTGATATCTTGATCAACCGAGAGTTGCCCTATTGGAGGACTTCGAACATGTGTTCATCGTACTCTCGCGCTAGGAGGCAAGGTAGCATCCGGATACTATTCCTCAGAGATACTTAGTAGAGGGTAGGAAGAGCACAACTCACTGGAAGACAACACCTGACCTGGGCGACCACCTCCGCAAGACACATTTTCTCAAAGGCAAAGAGTTGAGCACCATCATCACCGCTACAAAGGCGGTCACAGGAACTGACTAAGATGATGGGAATCGGATGATAAGGGCATGGTAGCTGGTGATGGATCATGATATAGTAGCTAGTTCAATTAAATCATCAGATCATATAACTGGTATTCCATTCGTTTGGTAAGTCGCTCAATTCGGATCACTGGCATGAGAGGGATGGCAATATCGATCTTGACGATGTCGGTAACGATGTCGAGGACGAGGATGGTAATGATTCGAGTCCGAGTATACATATCATCGCTGATTTGCTGGGGACGGCTGAGGGTACCTCTACTGAGGTATCTCGAACGGGCCGTTTCATCGTTGTTGAAACCTTGTTTGACAGACGAGTCATTCGTCCCGCTTCCTGTTACTGGTCTTCTTTCCCAACTCCTCGTCGTCCTCATTTGACTCTTCCTTGTCCTCTGTTTCTTGTTCTCGCGCCTTCTGGATCTCATCCCCAAGCTCGTTTGCCTTTTTGCCATGGCCAATCTCAATGGGATGATCTTCGCAATCGGATTCGTATTCAACGCCGAATCCTAGAGCACTGTCAGCCAATCCCGACGAAGTAGAAAGCTGGTTACACACCAGCCAACTCCGTATTCATGCGCCTATATTTCTGCGGTTTCCACTGCGGTGCCTCGCTTTCAAACCTGTTCGCCGTACCGCAAGCCAAAGAAAAGCACTCGAGTGCTTGTTGAAGGGGTCCCATATCCATGTCTTGAGATGCTTCCTTCCCTTTCTCCGCTGTTCCACCGGCTTCCACTCTCGCAAGCTCATCTCCAATTGCGGCGGCGAGTTCTCGACCAGCGGCTGTCTCTTCGCCGTCTCTTTCCTCCTCGCCGTCATCTCGAACGCGAGTAGATGCCCACGCGGCCAAATCACCAGCCAACTTCTTATCTGCATTTGATATAGCTTGCTCCAAGTTCGTCGCTAGCTCCTTCTCACCGTCTCGTCGAGCGTTCTCGAGACAAGCATGATATGTGATCAACGAGTCGATCGTTTGCATTAATTCCGCCTTGTACCTGTCATCTGGACGTTTTGCCGGGGTAGTCGTCTTTGTGGAGTGCTTCTTGTTCTCAGAAAAGCGACCCATCTTTGCGTTCTTGGGTGATGGAATGATATGGGTTTGGTTGTTATTTGGAGAATGTTTCAAGCTCGCGTCGAAGAAAATAGGATCCGTGACTTCACCGCTGGATCTTGATATGACGCTAAGATGTTTCGATCGTTGCCTAGAATGGCCTTATCTACTTTCACCTCTCTCTCTCACTTGTGGCCGTTATATCTCACACCTTCCAGTCTTTTCTCCAGACTGGAGTTCATACAACCTTCGCAAGACATATGCGGAACTAAGCTCTAGAAAAGTCTTGAATCAGCTGGACAACTACATGTAAGATTCAAGTAACACTTGTGCGCTTTACGTAGTACTTGTAGGCGTCTAGCTAGCTTTTACTTGTAGCGTTACTCATGTCGTTTCGTTGCGTCGTGTGCAGAGAAGAAGAAGGTAGCTGGATTCCAAACATTTTGACCAATTGAGAAAGAGAGAGAGAGGGAGCAGTGTTCAATATGTGATTTCCAGGTTTGTGTATGCATCTGGCACAACGACTGATATTCCCTACTCCAACACATGCACAACGCTCGATCCCCTCTACTGCACTACAGCTTAATCTCTCCCTGCACGCCACTCCCAACATGCATAAAACACGCCTTCAACGGCGTCACACTCGTATACCCCTGCGCAACAGCCCATCCATCATTCCCGGGCTCGCTCTCCTCAACACTCTCATACACGTCCTTGAACGAAGGCGCCCACTTGAAGTGCTTATGCGTGTACCTCACATGGGGCCGGTCCAACGGCGTTCCCGCCCCACTATTCGTCTCACTCTCCAGCACACCATCCGTGTTCCCGCGCAGCTCCGCCTTGCCCAGCTTTTCCTCCTGTTTGCGAATCGCGTTCTCCGTGTCCTCGGGTGTGTCGTCCGCGTCGGGCGGGACATCCACGACCTGGAAGCAGGATCCTGATTTCCACTTGTTCTGCAGCATGTGCGTCCAAAGGACTTTCCTGTCACCGACGTTCTCGACAAGCGGCACGTTGACGGAGTACAAGTGTGTTTCTGGGTCCCAGTTATCATATAGGTATTGGATTATCTTCGCACTGAGGGCAGAGGCGCCCGTGATAATGCTCGCGTCGTGGTTGCGGTCGAAGAAGGCGTAGCTCAGCGCGATGCTCTTCATGCCGCAGACGGCTGCTTCCATTGCGCCACCCACTGTGCCCGAGGACAGCGAGAACAGGGCCGTGCTGTTGCGGCCGTAGTTTGGCCCGCTGACGACGAGATCAATTGGGCCCCGGTCGTTGAAGTAGTGGTACAGGCCAATCTGGACGCAGGATGCTGGCGTGCTGTCGACGAGCACCCATTCTTCTTCTGTGCTGTGGGCGGGCAGGGGAGAAGTGTGCGTCGTGCCGCTGTTGGTCAGCTTGCCTGTTGACGTCGTTCGAAGGGGCTGTGGCCGGAAGTAGGTGGGTTTTACGGCTTTCCCGACCAGGTGCGCTTTGCCTATCCAGGAGCGTTGGGTGTGCGGGAGGACGACAGAGATGGTGTGGCCTTGGGCTTGGAGGGAGGTTACTGCGTGGGTTGTTAGGAAGGTGCTTTGAACGGCGTATATCATAGATGGTGTGCTAACCCAGCGAGTGCACGTATGGCGAGGATTGGTCTGAAGGCGGGCCATCGTCGTTGGTGATCTGAGTCGATTAGCACAGCTCTTGCACATTGGGTATGGCTGGACTTACTAGAATATGCATTTTTGGTTCTTCAACTTGGAGATAGAGAGGCTATCTTGCGGTCATGGAGAGGTTGTGGAGTAAACACGGACGTGGAGGGGCAGACGCCAGCATCGACGTGTGACGACGTGACGTGCTGAGCTGTCCCGAACGCGCTATCCATGTCACCAATTGACAACGACTCTCTTCAACACCAGAATCTTCTCAACGTTGCAGTCGCAAGTTGGCATTGCCGTCACGCGAAAAGTCATGTCTTCGCCGCGTGTCGAGTTGCGGTGCCTGCGTCATGGGTAGACGTCGCGTTTGTGTCACCATCACAAAGATGCACCAGGTAACCAACGCGATGAGCCACGCAAAAAAGAACTTGGCAAAAACGACTTCTTCAACCAAACAGCCAAGTACGGAAGTAAAGAAGAGACGCAAAGCCCCTCGCAAACACCGGACTCTCCATCACGATTCCCATCTCAAACACTCCTCACGGCACGCTTCAATGGCCCCTCACCCTCCCGACTTCCGCACCGCACCCGGTACTTGAACACGACATGTTGAAACGGGAACCGGGAGACTTAGACCACGTTGAGTATGGCCACACGCTCCGAAGTCGAAGAGCCGCACTGCGAGGCATCTATTTTCGGGCTTCGCAAGTTCGGATCCCCACCCGCGCCCCGTGTTGAAACGACCATTCTCCAGGGCCGAAACAACAAAATATCTTCATGTGTGTATATATATCAAGAGATGGGATGTTGGGGAAAGAACAAGATACCCAGTTCTCTACATCTACTTTCAAGTTCTTTGTTCACAGCTCTCCGAGCTTCCAAGTCGACATAACACGAGAAGTTATTCTATAACACCAACACACGTGACCTCACCACCACCACTATCAAAATGGTCATCAACGTCGCTACCGCCTCCCTCGAGGGCAAAGTCGCCCTCATCACCGGCGCCGGTCGCGGTATCGGCCGTGGATGCGCCATCGAGCTGGGCAAGCGCGGCGCCTCCGTAATCGTAAACTACGTCTCCTCCTCGGGTCCCGCACAAGAAGTCGTCTCGATAATCGAAGGCTTCAACAACGGCGCAAAAGCCATTGCCATCCAAGCCGACGTATCCAAAGTGTCCGAGATCCACCGCCTCTTCTCCGAAGCCAAATCCGCAATGGGAAAAATCGACATCGTAATGAGCAACTCGGGCACCGAGAGCTGGGACGTCACCGAGGAAATCACAGAGGAGAAGTACGACCACGTCTTCAACCTCAACACGCGCGCGCAGTTCTTCGTCGGCCAGACGGCATACAAGTACATCGAGGACGGCGGCCGCATTATTCTGATGAGTTCGATTGCGGCGGGGTTGTTGGGTGTCAAGGACCATGCGCTGTACAATGCGTCGAAGATGGCGGTTATCGGCTTCATCAAGGCGTTTGCTACGGACTTTGGGAAGCGCGGGATTACGGTTAATGGCGTTGCGCCTGGTGGCATCAAATCGGACATGTTTACGCAAAACGCTTGGCACTACATCCCAGGGGGTTCGCCGGACTGGCCGGCGCAGAAGATCGAGGATCTGATGGCGAACCATTGCCCGCTGGGGAGGTGTGCGGTGCCAGAGGATGTGGCGCGTGTGGTGGCGTTTCTGGCGAGTGCGGATGGAGGGTGGGTTAACGGGCAGGTGCTTACTATCTCTGGTGGGTCTTCGCAGTAGAGAATGTGCTTTGTAGTGTGTTGAGATGGGGGGGGGGTCTTTCTGCATGGTGGGGATTAGGGGCTTATGAGTTACAATTTTGCATGAATATACCAGTAATCAAGATCGCAACAAATGTTTTGAACCAGCGTGACAACTACGTGTACGATAAGCGTGGAAATATTATGCTTGAAATTACAGCCGTATACGCCTAGCACGTACCTTTGTTAATTTTGTGGTGTGGTTTTGTGGTTTGTAGGAGCTAGGAAGCAGAGAATGCATAACAACCCTGAACTGCAAGATCCAATGCTACAAGTACAACGAAGAGACAATCGATCAGTTCCGCTTCTGTGCAACTAACACTGTGTACTATTACTGGTAATCACAGTGCGAAAAGGGGTTGGGTTGTAGCTTCTATAGCACGTTGAAACATTTGCTTTTACTGTATTACGTTTATCTGCTTGTACGACAAGCTTGAATATGCTGAAGACTGAACTTCATACTACACGGACAACACACTGACAGGCGTGTACTAACAACATCCATGGCGTATAAGTTTCACCGTCAAGCTGTTGCAACATTTCACTGCACTGTAATTTCTGGTAGTTCGACTAGCCAAGAGAGATGGAGGTAGGAGGATGTTCGAAAGAAGCATTGATAATTAAAAAATATAGATCGGCATAGTGGAAAAAACGCCACGCGTAAATCTCGGGGTATATCAAAAATCCACTTCATCGCGTGGAGAAGCCCCATGCGCCAAAACAAAATTAATAGATAGTGGCATGCAATATGTACTCAAATCCGACGACAGCAGAACGCCAACTCATTAGTTGTCGAAATTGAAAAAGGCGTCATCGAACGACGAGTTCTCTGGATTCTCATACTCGTCCATATTGAACAGGTCGTCCAGATTGTCCGCGACCAGAAGATCATTGGTAGTTGTTGGTGGCTGCGTGACGGGTTGCTCAGCAGGCTTAGTCGCGGCGGGAGGGTCGGGCGGTGCAGTCGTGTTGGTGTTCAGGTCTGGGAGATCGGGCATGGGAAAGTCAATGTCCATGGCTGCGTTTGGGCCGGCATTGTTATTGTTGTTGTTGTTTTCGTCGTCACTGCTCTTTGCGAAGTCCTCGAGGCCGCGCAGGAGAGAGGGTCCTTCGTCGAGAGTGAAGTCTAGATCGCCGGACGTGTCCATCTTCATGTCGTCTTGGTTGTTGTCGGTGTTGTCGTTGTTGGTGTCGCCAGATGTGTCCATTTCGTCACCGAAGATGGCGTCAAAGTCAAATTCTGCCTCTGCAGGTTGCGCGACTAGGGACGCGTCTGAGGGTAGGTCTGTGGGCGCGGAGGTGGTGGTGGTGGGTATAGGTTGTGGCACGTGTTCCTCCTCAGGCTTAACGGGTTCCTCGGGCTCTGCTGGCTTCACAGACTGGCTGTCCTTTGATGGTGTCGCGACATGGGCTGGGGTCGTGGGCTCTGCCTTCACTGCTACGTCTAGCTTCTGTACTGGGACATTCTGCCTCGATTCTGCAGCAAGTCGGGCCTTGTCCACTTCCTGCTGTCTTGCTGCAGCCTCCCGCTTCTTGCGATCCTGCTTCATCAATGCAAGATCCCTTCGCAGCACTGTTTGCGCTTGGCGGACCTCGTTCTCCAGCTCGTCGAGGGCGTCGTGGAAGCGCTCAGTAGCAACAGGCACAGTACGCTGCATGCTCAGTTTCATGCGTCCAGTGCCACCGCCAGCATGGTGTTCTTTGACGAAGCGGCCACTGGAGAGGAACTGTGAGGCGTGAGTGGGACATTGCTGGGAGCTGTGTTTCTGGTGGGGATGCATACCACTAGATTGAGCATGCTCTGCAGCGTGTCGAGATTGCGGTTGCCAGGAACAGCAGGAGCGCGGGGCTGCTCCTGCCTAGCTGGGTCGGGTTTCATGGTGGCCATTTTACTGCAAGGCAGAGAGGCGTGAGCAGCTGTGAGGACTGAGGTTTGAAGAAGTGAGGAGTAAAGCTTGAAGGGTAAAGCTTGAAGCGTGCTCGGCGCGCGTTAACAGCTGGGGTACCATGATTCGTTCGCCCACATAGGGCAGCCGCTAGCATGCTTCCAGATTCCATACATAGCCAAGCCTTTTCAAAACTCATTCAAAACTCGCGACTGGCGTAGAGATCAGCATGCAAACCTGTTGCCTGAGAGCCAAACACGTCGCATCAGCACGTCGGCAAGCAGCCTTCGCCCTCGCCAGCCCAAAAGTGCCCTCCACCAGGTCACGCACAAACCTCGTGGTATCCACATTTCACCTCCACATTGGCGGAACCAGCACGCTGCGCTCGTAATTAACGCGGCTGCCGTAAGGCTAGTCGAGTCCGAAGCCAGGGCGGCCCGCCGTTGCATCGGCGCTTGTGGCCCTGATTCTTGCAACCTCACCATCTCTCACTCCTCCCTCTCTCTTACGGTCAGCCTGCTCTTATTGTCTGGCGTCGGGTTCGCTTCTAGGCTTCTACCTCTCCTTGCCCTTCCTCTGTTTCCTTCTCTTTCCTTGCGCATTCGCGTGTCTGTCGGTTGCCCTGTTCGCGACTGGCTTAACGATTTCTTAGCCGCCTCCTGGAGCTGCTCTCACCACCCCGCCTGCCCACCCACCAACGTTCGTGGCCTTGTCAACATCGCCGCTTCCCCATCGCCAATTTGACTTGCCCGTGAAACTCTTTCGCCCCCACACCCTAGATAGTCGCCAGCGCATTCTTGCGACCAACTTTCTCTCGCGCAACCATGGCCGACTCTGTATCCGCATCGCTCCCTCCTCCGCCGCCGTCTGCTGGTGCTCCCGGCTACGATGGCGGAAACCAGCAGCAGCACATGCCGCCGCCGCAGCTCGCCCCTGTAATTATCCCGCAGAACAACAATCCAATCCCAACTGCCATCAGCTCGCCCATGTCTGGCAACCCCATGTCCCCGACCAGTGGTGGTCCAGGCTATGCTGCGCGCCGTGCTGCTCCCGAGCCAAACAAGAGGGCACTGTACGTTGGCGGATTGGACCCTCGCGTCACCGAGGACGTGCTGCGCCAAATCTTCGAAACCACCGGCCACGTTCAGAGTGTTAAGATCATCCCCGACAAGACCGCCTCTTCTCCACAGATAGGCCACATTCACGAACCAGTAAGCCATCTCCTGTGATGTCTATCAGAAAGTTGGCTTTTCTCCGTCCCACATGTGGCACGGACCTGACCCGCTGACCCTTTTCGGGACTTCGCATCGTATCCAATGGCTAACAATGGGGCTCACAGGGTTTCAACTACGGATTTGTCGAATACGACGACCCTGCAGCGGCTGAGCGAGGCATGGCGACTCTCAACGGCCGCCGCATCCACAACAACGTAAGCGCATACTCGAGGATTACCCTAGAGCGGGGTCTGACTCAATTAGGAAATTCGCGTGAACTGGGCTTATCAATCGAACAACACGGCCAAGGAGGACACTTCCAACCACTTCCACATCTTCGTCGGCGACTTGTCCAACGAGGTCAACGATGAGGTCCTGCTCCAGGCTTTCTCAACTTTCGGTCCTGTATCAGAAGCTCGCGTTATGTGGGACATGAAGACTGGAAGGTCCCGCGGATATGGATTCGTCGCCTTCCGTGACCGCGCTGATGCCGAGCGTGCCCTCAGCTCCATGGACGGCGAGTGGCTTGGTTCTCGCGCCATCCGTTGCAACTGGGCCAACCAGAAGGGCCAGCCTTCCATCGCTCAGCAGTCAGCCATGGCCTCTATGGGAATGACCCCAACAACTCCTTTTGGACACCACCACTTTCCGACCCACGGTGTCCAAAGCTACGACATGGTCGTTGCGCAGACTCCTCAATGGCAAACGACTTGCTACGTTGGCAACCTCACGCCCTACACCTCCCAGTCTGACCTTGTGCCGCTTTTCCAAAACTTTGGTTACGTTACCGAGACTCGTTTCCAGTCTGATCGTGGGTTCGCTTTCATTAAAATGGACACTCATGAGAATGCCGCAATGGCCATCTGTCAACTGAACGGTTACAATGTTAACGGCCGACCGCTCAAGTGCAGCGTAGGTTGATCTGTTCCTTTTGTTATTTTCTTAGCTCACAATTAGATCTAGTGGGGCAAAGACCGCCCTCCAACTGGTCAGTTTGAAGGCTACTCGCCTGCAGGCCCTAACTCAGCGTATCCTCAAACGCCCAGCGCGTACTTCCCGCAATACGGGGGTGGACCAGGCGGTCCTATGGCAGGTGGGCCTATGTCAGGAGGCCCCATGTCGGGAGGTCCCATGTCGGGCGGTCCCATGTCGGGAGGCCCAATGTCAGGTGGTCCCATGTCAGGCGGCCCAATGTCGGGTGGCCCCATGTCACCTTCAGGTGAGCGGCACCGGAGGAAGCTGCAGTATCGGAAAACACAATCTAATGCGCGGGCAGGACCCAGCCCCGGCGGACAACCCTTTGCCCAACAGCAGGCTGGCTTCGGCGGTCCTGGCATGCAATACCAGCAGATGCAGCCAGGCAGCGCGGGTGGATATGGTCGTGGCGCACCCCAGCAGCAGCAATGGGGACAGCCTGGTCAGGGCAACTTCAACCAGAACGGCTTCGGCGGTTACCAGGGTTGAGCGCCTTTGCAGCATCAGTGTTCCCTTGTTCCACGCTGTCCAGCTTATTCTTACGACATGCTTGGTTTTTTAAACTTGCGCCTTTTGGATAGCACCATACTCTGGATCTTCTCATCTACTATCTGTTTATGTTCTTCCAAAAGGAATCTTTATCTTGTCATGTTGTTCATCAAAAATGGGAGCGAGGGAATGTTTGGCAGGCTTGGCTGAGCCCTGTGGTTGTAGTACCCCTTTGTACCTTTTTCTTCTGGGAGGGGCTTGTGTGTCACGGTCGATTGTTGCGTGGGGCATGTTGTCCTTTTAATGAATTTCCTTGTCGCGATGTTCTCTTTTGCTTGAGTGTTTTGGTTACGGCCAGGCATTTCTCCCATCTACGTTCGATCTTGGAATATTCTCTTTCGATCTAAAAGAATTTTCGCTTTGGTATTTTCTCTGACGTGGCGCATGCATATCATACCCCCATTGATTATTTTTTAGAGCGGTGTCTCATGTGTCTCCTTTGGATAGTGTGTAATGTCTGCCATGTGGGTGTGCTTGACTTGCGGTACACTCCTGTCGAATTGCCATGAGTGGCGGCTTGGAAGTGTTTGGCTGAGCGTGGGCATGTGTGTGGATGGAGAGCATTGTTGAGTAATTCCTGATACTGAGATATCAGCAGCATGCACGAGACAAAGTCCATGATAATGAAATAAAGTTTGGTGTTTGTTGGAAGCAAAGTAAACTTTTTTGAGCCACAATATCAGTGATTGCCGTGTCGCTTTCCTCTCACCTTCAATCAGACACAGCACATAAGACGAGAACTCCACAATCTGACACCACACAAACTAATCTTGCCAGACCTCTGCATCTTCACAGCTTCATTACTCAAGGAACCGCAAACCAAGTGTCAAGTGTGTACTGCCAAAGTCCATCGCTAAGGACCCACGTGACCGTGACACACTAATCAAGTGGGAGGCGGCGGCGCGTCAAATCGCGTCGTTGCACCGAGCACTCCCCGCACGGGCATGCCAACACTCGACATTGTCTCCCTAATACTTGTTTTTCTCGTCGCGGCTTTTCTTTGCTGTATGCTTTTCGCGCTCGCGAGGCTGAGCTTCTTTCCGCTGAAGGGGTTGGCATCGTCATCATCGTCGTTGCCATTGCTGTCGCTATCGCGCTTTCGCCCCGCGACTGGAGGGAAGGATTTGAGAGGGAATACACGAAGTGGGAATCGAAGGAGTTTAGCTGGGCTACATACCGCACACGCACCGGATTTGCGTGTTGCGAGTCAGACTGGCTTGTCTGCTGATACTCGACCCAACTCAACTTTCGCGTCCTCGTCGCGCCCATACTACGGATACCTCGCCTCTCAACCACACTCAACAGTGACCATGTTCCAGCAAGCCGTGAAGAAGCACGATTCCGTCGCCTCCATACCCACATCGAGTGTCAATCCCGCACAAAAGCAGCAATCGCTCGGCAACTCGTTCAATCGTACGGCGTCGACACAAAAGCCGGGGACGCGTCCGTTGGCCTTTGGGACGCAAAATCACAAGGGCGTGGGGACCCAACAGCCACCAAGTCAGACAGGACATGGAGTCAAGAGGGCGTCTAATGGCCTGGCGAAAACGCTGAGCTCACAGGACGATATATTTGATTACCCGGCGCTCAACCTCGCTGAGATGGAGAAAGAGAACAGACTACCTGCTGCATTCCACGCCTCGTCACGGAGCAATTCTGGAAGCCTGGCCTCGGCGTTATTCGACGAGGATGACTTTGATAGTGACATCGATCTTGATGTTGAGGACCCCGCCACGAAAGGGTCTGTTAGTTACCCTACGCTCCCTCAGATGCCCTCCACTAGCTCAACAGCCTGGGAATACCAGACATTTCCAACGGTCGCACAACTGAAGGCTGAATTGGCTAGCAGCCAGCCCATACCATGGTCTTCGTCTCCACTTGAACACTTCAAGACGCCTCGAAAGGCTGTACCCCCAAAACCTAAAGTCGAGACTCCACAGCCTGAGCCCGTGAAGACCAAGCGAGCAAAGTTACCCTGGCCGGTAGAGCAGACTCAGGTCAAGGCGCTTCCTACACCAGAGCCTGAGGAGCCAGATGAGGATCATGTTCAACATAAGAAGATGAAGTCCAGAAATACGATAAAGACGGAGGCTAGCACACCCTTGCCAAAAGATCCCACAAAGTCCCAGTACCCATGGAACACGACTGAAAGCGCTTTAAAGCAACAACAGAAGAACTTGCGGGAACAACATAAGCAGCAGACGAAGAGCAACAAGGGCACTGAGGATGAGGTCAATGAGGCCATGCAAAAGAAGAAAAAGAACAGTGTTCATCGCATCTTTCTCAGTGAGGAGCAAACCAATGTCTTGAACCTGGTTACAGAATATAAGAAGAGTGTCTTCTTCACTGGTTCAGCTGGTACGTGTTTTCAAAATCTATCTCACCCAGCGAGCTAACCGTGATAGGTACTGGTAAATCCGTCCTTCTTCGTGAGATCATCGCGGCTTTACGGCGAAAGTTTATTCGTGAGCCAGACCGAATTGCTGTAACAGCGTCAACGGGTTTGGCTGCGTGTAACATCGGCGGTGTCACATTACACAGTTTTGCGGGCATTGGCTTGGGGAAAGAGCCTGCAGAGGATCTGGTCAAGAAGATCAGGCGGAACGCGAAAGCTAAGCAGCGATGGATGCGCACCAAAGTCCTGGTTATTGACGAAGTCTCCATGGTTGACGGCGACCTATTTGACAAGATGGAGCAGATTGCCAGGACCATTCGCAACAACGGCAGGCCCTTCGGCGGCATTCAGCTGGTTATTACAGGCGATTTCTTCCAATTGCCACCTGTACCGGAACGAGGACGCGTAGCGAGATTTGCTTTCGACGCGGGAACCTGGACTACTTCGATCGAACACACAATCGGGCTTCACCACGTCTTCCGTCAAAAAGATCCAGTTTTCGCCAACATGCTAAACGAGATGCGAGAGGGGCGAATGTCACAGGAATCCATTGCGCTATTCAGGAAGTTGGACCGTCCACTACCTCCGACGGACGATAGCATTGAAGCCACGGAACTATTCCCCACGCGCCAGGAGGTCGAGCGTGCAAACACTCTCCGTATGCAGCAGCTGCACGGCAACGTATTCACATTCGAAGCGCGAGACGGTGGCACAATCGTCAACAAAGAGCAGCGCGATAAGCTCCTGCAGAGCTGCATGGTTCCAGAACAAGTCCACCTCAAGAAAGGCTCACAGGTCATGCTAGTCAAGAACATGGACGACACGCTCGTCAACGGCTCACTCGGCAAAGTCACGGGCTTCATGACCGAGCAAATGTTCAACCTCTACAAAGAAGACGAGGAAGCCTTCCTCGAAGGCGGCGCCTCGGAAAACGCCATAAAAACCGAAATGGCAAAGTCTTCCCTCGGCCTCAACACCGCAACCGTATACCCCGTCGTCCGCTTCGCCATCGTAGACGGCACAACGCGCGACCTCCTCTGCAAACGCGAAGACTGGAAGATAGAACTCCCCAACGGCGAAGTCCAGGCCAGCCGCAACCAGATCCCACTCATCCTCGCCTGGGCCCTGTCCATCCACAAAGCTCAGGGCCAGACCCTGGAGCGCGTTCGCGTCGATCTCGGCCGCGTGTTCGAAAAGGGCCAGGCGTACGTTGCGCTCTCGCGTGCGACGAGCATGGCGGGCCTGCAGATTTTGAGGTTCGATCCTAGGAAGGTGCTGGCCCATGAGAAGGTTCGGACGTTCTATTCGAGTTTGTCTAGTGCTGAGCAGATTGAGAGTAAGGCGAAGAGTACGACCATTTTGGGGAAGATGCAGGCTGCGAGGAGTAAGAAGGTGAGTGCGGAGCATGATATTTGAGGTGTTGTGTGATGGGAAGGATGGGATATGGAGTGTTTGCATTGGCGGTGTTATTGGGGTGTGTTTCTTGGGTGGCGCTCTAGGGGAGAGTACATGGGTAGATGGTTATAGGGCGTGTTTGCTCGGTGTAACGATTGTGCATTTCGTTGTGCTGGTGCTGGGTTCTTACTCCAGTGTCTGTCGTCTTTCTCTTTTCAATCGAACGCAGAACGATGATACACTATTTTCTTGGAATCAACACTCATATGAAAATTTTATGTTCTTCTTCCTCATGTTGAAATAAACTTATGGAACGTTGACATCGTCTCTACATTTCTCTTGATGAGTTATTTATATACCTGTTCATCTTCGGTGTCAGGATACTAAGTCATCCTACCCTAACCCCTTGTATTTCTTTTTAGAGGGATGAGATTTCAGCTCCATACTGCGTTAGAATAGCATTGTGTTGCGTCTATCTGCTTCTAGAACAGGCGTCATTACGCTGAAGATTGGCAGAAAGGATGACGACTTGACTCTTGTATGTGTGTATTCAACGACCTACGATCTATTCTGGTTAAATTAATCTAATCTTTCGTGTTTGGTCCGAGAAAGAACGAGGATAGTAAGTATTCACCCACGTACAATCCATTCAATTGTTGTGTACACATAGGCAGGTTGATCGATTACTGGCTACCATATTTTTCATTGTTTATTCGAGAAACACAGTCCCTAGTTCGATTCACGTCACTTCGATACGGCCAATGCAGATAGGTAGGGTCAAGGAAAAGAGTATGACAAAAGAAGAGAGCATGCTTTTCGCCACGAGATGAACAATAACAACAACGCTATGTATATACTTTGAAGAAGAGAAAATTGTGATAGTGCCATGCAGTGCAGTCCTACTTGATCCATTTGAACCCAACCCGCTCGGTGGCGGTCACCTATCCCATATCTGTTTCAATGAGCGCCATCTCCCACAGCGATTCCGCATACAAATCGCGGGAGCCTCGTGAGCCCCATCCGACCTTGTCAATTCAATCGAATTTAGTCAGAAGATCTAGACGCCTTCTTTTACTCTTCAATTTACCTGTCTCCCGCCATCGATCTGGTCACAAATCTTCGTCCTCTCCTTCCTCGTGTGCATCTGGAGAAAAGAGTTCTTCTGTATAACCGTCCAAGTTTGAGTTGGCAAATTCTTCTTCGAAGAGCTCTGGGCCCTCAGCGGGTACTGTTGTATTTTTTCGAGGCAGTATGGCAAACTCAGACGCATGTTCAGCTCAAATGTCCCCCCAATCCGCTTGGCTTCTTTTCCAAGGTCTTGTAAAGCGGGTTGGCTTTTTCTGCGGCTTTGTAGTCACAGAATGTGGCATGGTTTGTGAGGTGCGCGGAAGTCCATGTCCATCAACATGGTATGAAACGGACGGCAGATTATTGAATGGTGTCATGTTCTCAGAAACATAGTTGGCATCTGAAAGGTGTTGATCGAGTACCACGCCTTTTTCCAACAATGCTCTTACTATATCTTCCATGTCGCTTACATCAGATGGAGTGATCGTCAGTTTACTCATCCATGGCTTAGCAGTTCCCGGTCCACGCAGGAACACTGACGTATATACGTCGATCTCATCGGAAATTCGAGGAGAATTCATATCGGTATAGTTGATGCCCCATGTTTCTCCCAAAGAGGGTATGTGCAGTTCCAGAGATTCGAGTTGTAAAAACATCTGACCCGTGAAGAATGAGGCACTTTGACCTGGGCGTCGATCAAAAATCTGTACGTCCACGCCGCCTCCTTCCAGGCGTCTATTATATGGATATACAGAAATGAGTAGGTAATGCACAGCTTGAAGTAGCCTGAGGTGCTCAATTTCCTCGGAAGACCGCGATGCACTGAGACTATCAATGGTCCACCTTTTCAAATCAGCCCAAGTATTGAAGTAGATACCAAAGCGTTGCTTCAGATCTGAGCCGAGCAGGCTTGACATGATTTCCTTATCATCAATAGAGTCCACAGTAGATGGTGATCGATCCAGCAACCCTCTAGCCCTGATGAACAGTTCAGATCCGCTGCCGATCGGAGAACTGTTCTCAACTAATAGCGAATGAGCTTCCCTGATATGTTTGGTAAGAGCTGTCAGCTTCTTCTCGCTCTCACCTCCAATCACCAAGTGACAAGACGAGCAGATGACAGGTAAAGGGGGTGCCGTCCATTCGTTATCAGTGGCACTGGGCAAAGATATTGAATCGGCATTGTCTTCTTCGTCATCGCTCACTGGAAGGTCCTCTTTCATATGCGAAGGCAACGCGAACAGAGAGAGTTCTTCGTGATGCTTCGCCAAATGGCGACACAACTGGTTGAGCGAGGGAAGCTTTTGTTGACATAGCGCACAGTCCACTTCTGTCTCTACTTGGGCCTTTCTTTCGCAACTCCGCATAAGATCGGATATGCGTTCTTCACTTGCTAGGTCGGTGTGTTCGTGCCATGTATGTTCGCGAAAGCTGTCTGGCGACTGAAAAGGTTGGTTACATCCCTCAATACATTCCCACCATGTTCGATGTGCTTGCAGCTCATGGTTGAACCACTCGTGTCTTGACTCGTACATACGGTCTGGGATCTCGCAGGCCTCGAACGTACATATCTTGTCAAGGGTCAGATGCTAGTTTCATAGCAATCAATATTGAACTTACATAAGGCTGAAGATCTCGATAGACATGTTTGTGCCAAGCAGTCACTTGTCTGACAGAGGTGAACCGAAAACATAGGGGACACTCGAAGGGGTCGCCATCTTGACCATCTGTTGGTAGCTGCGGGGGCCGTAATCTGATCGAATCATTTGCCGAAGATGCATAGGACGTTTGCGATAGAACATCCTCGTAAAAGTGGTTGTGGCTTAACTCAATGACAGAGTTGCTAGCCTTAACAACTATTGGAATTGACGACGCCACAGTACTCTTGATCTTTGTTGATGGTGCGGTAACGGTAGTACGATATTTTATTGCGATCTCTTGTGGCTGTTCTTCCAAATCATAGGCGAGCCTTTCTCTATGTTCCTGACGGTACCGAAGATACTGACGTCGGCGAGAGATCGCTTTGCCTAGTCGGTCTATCAAATGCTCACTTGCGTCCGGGAATTTGCCTCGTACATGCTCAATGTCGAAGGATTCATAGTGAGCGACATCGATCTGACTGGAATTGTTGAATTGGTCATGGGGTGCTGGATTGCGTATCGCCATTGAAAGTCGCATGAGACAAGTATTGATCTCAGCCACGTTGGATACGAGTTGCCCAAGTTCTGTCGTCGATCGGTCTTGCTCCGGTTCGTGGCCATCCTCCGAGAGGTCTGATTCTGAATCTGACAAATCTTCCCAAGAAACGCGTTCTCCGGTGATGATGTCGGTCGCTTCCTGCAAGACTGTAATCAGATCCCGCAAAAGTTCAAGCACCTGATCCCGTATATGGGAGGCTTCACGAAGTCTGTGGTCGAGGGAGCTTCTGCCACTGCGATGTGCTCCAATGTTTCCGCACCATAGTCGAAACCGGCCAACCTCATCATTGACAACTCCAGGAGGCAGTTTGCCTTTGATGTGTAACTCTGCATTCACAAGACCATTGTAGACTATTTGGAAGCCATTAAAACAGGCTTGGACATGGTTGGCGATCGAGGATGGGTCACCCGGCCCTTTGAGAGCCATGATGCCCGTACCCTCCGCGGCTAGATGACTGAGGTTCGACAAAGGATCTGGGGTTTTTGTACGATATATCCGATATATGTGGCTTTGAGAATAGAGTAACCGATGCTGTGTTGCACTTCATCTATGCCCACTAGGCTGAGGGGAACTTTCGAGGTTGGGCGCATCTGCAGGGCCACACGTGCTTATTCAAGCTCAACTTCTCTCAGCCTTACCTCATTGTCGACAACATCATCTGCACTCGTTGCCGATGTTTTACACCTGCAATAATAACCAGAGCAAACTCTCTGTGATATATACGGTCTGCCGAACTTTCGTCCCGCGATGTCTGGATTCGAGGTTGCAGGCGTTGTTCTCGGATCACTGCCACTCGTCATTTCAGCCTTCGAACATTACGCCGCCGGCATTGCCACTGCGAAACGGTTTTTTCGATACAAGTCCGAGATGCGGTCTCTGATTCTTCAGATGAATACTGAACGCAGCATATTCATCAACACGATGGAGCAGCTCCTGACAGGGATAGTAAGGATCGAGCATATGGCCAACTTCGTCTCAAATGCGGGGAGCGACATCTGGAAAGAGCGTGATATTGAGATGAAGTTAAAAGACAGATTGAGAGGGGCATATGAAATCTACATTGAGAACGTCAAAGGAATGGAGTTGGCTTGCAACCTGATGATGAAGAAGTTAGCGTTGGACCCTGACGGGAAGGTATGGTCGCTCTTTCCACTTCAACTCTTTTTGGAAGATAGCAACTCATAGACGTTAGCCTCAATTCAGCGACCCCAATCTATTCAAACAAGAGTACAAACGTCTTCACTTTTGTATCTCCAAATCAGACTTTGCAGAACAACTGAGCAACCTAAAGAATTTCAACCAGGCATTGACTCGTCTTACGAAGCAGTCCCTGGAACTCGAGCCATCCAGGACGGACACAAGGGCTCGATTGTGCCCCAATTTCAAGGCATTACAGAGCTATGCACGCAGCTTATATGAGACACTACGATCAGGACTACAGTGCGGGTGTCAGAATCACGCGGTAAAGCTACGGTTAGAAAGCAGGAACAAGCTGGAGAAAGAGGAGGATCTGCTCGAACATACACCTTTCCGAGTGATATTCACTTACACTGCCAATGTCGCCTCTCCAACATTGGCACCCACGTTATGGAAAGAAGCGGACATCCGGTGTATTCTTGACCATCCCAAGCGTGTGGCTCTACCATCGCCTACGTCGAGTACCTGTGCGCCTCATGTATCCAGCAGACGAGTTCGGTTCAATCAGCTCGATATACAGGCTCGACAAAGCACTCGCTCTCCTGGCTCGACATTGACTGTTGTCGGGCAACAAACCATACTGACTGCCAAGCCCACACCAGAACAGATACAAGACCTTTGCAAGGCAATTGCTAGATTGCAACAACCACAAAGAGATATGTGTGTTGGCTACCTTCTTGACAGCGTCAAGCGAAAACACGGCATCTACCCATTGGACACACCAACCAACTGCAATCAACACCAATGGGCAGCATACTCTCTGCGAGATGTGTTACATGGACGTGCCAACGTCAGTCAACGCCTGACGCAACAGGACAAGCTCAGGGTTTCCGTCGACCTGGCATCAAGTGTGCTGCAGCTTTATAAGACACCGTGGCTGGACGAGCAATGGGGTAATGAGGATGTCTACTTTATACAACGACCAGGCCCCCCCATGGCGTCTATCTACGAGCATCCCTTTGTTTACCGCAAGTTGTCCACGACAGCTGGCAGCCAGTTTACCAACGCTCAGCCAGCAACACACAGAGTCATCCGGAATCAGACGCTGTTCACGCTCGGCGTCTTGCTTATCGAGCTTTGGTACGGGAAGTTGATCGAGGAGCTGCAGTTACCATGTGACCTCGACTGTCAGGGTACGCCAGGAGTCTCTTGGTGTACTGCTGAACGAGTTGTCCAGAACGAAATCGAGTTTGAAGCTGGGAAGCGGTACGCAGATGTGGTCAGACGATGCATCAGGTGTGACTTCGATCGGAAGGATACGAATCTCGACAACGAGCTCTTCCAACACGCGGTGTTTGATGGTGTTGTCGCGCCGCTGGAAAAGAATCTGCAACAGTTCAACAGCTTGGATTGAACGATATCAGTAGCAGCGATGTGAGCTCAACCTAGAGTTCGTCATGCTCGCCTCGAGTACGACGAATGAGCTGTTTCGAGTGACCGGACGCTTTGACCACAAACTTCGCAAGGCATGTCCGGTCAAGAAGAACGAGCTCCTTCGTAGTTGTCGATCTTGAGACCTGATATTCGTCCTTCGGAAGATTATGAGTACTAAGCGATTCAGGCGAGTACTTTCTCCGCTACAGCCTAATTTGACCATGTGGAGAGGCCATGACAAACTGCATGAACATCTGCAGCTCCTGTAATCTGGTGTTTGCACAGCTAGATACTGGTATACACACAGTGCGGTCTAGAAATGGGTTTTGTAATATGAGCCTGACGTGATTCAAGACACCGACTTTTGTATTCCGGCGAAGACGGCCTGGTGTAGTGGCAAATTCGGCCCACCCGTATGCGCGTCAAAATCAGGGTCTTGCAGTAGTGGCTTGGCACCCCAATCACGGGGTGATGGCGGCTCAAAGGCGCAGCCAAACAGAAGTCAGAGAGCGAGAATGTACTTTATGCCTTCCGCCAAATAACAGGAGAGCAGGTGGTGTAACCCGAGATCCTCAGCTTCATTGCCTGCACGTCATTGCTTTTGTCATTGTTCAGCTTATCGCGACCCTTCAAAGCAACCCAACAACCCCTGCAGGACATTCAACGGCCCCTCAGCGCAGCAGCAACATCGCAAGGTTCACCTGCAGCCTGCTTCACTGCTCCGACTCTGTGGGCGGTGACCTCGCACGTTGTCTGTCGCCTTCTGTCTGCGACGTGCGCCTGCCAAACAGAAATAGGCCCGACTAGCTAGTAGTCGTCCGACATTCACTGCCTGACGGCTGAAACGCTACACGCAAGGTACCACCTGCGTCCCACGAGACCAGAACGACAAAAACAACACTATTCTCCCCTGCATCCCGTAGCTTCACGTCGAATACGCGAATCCTAGCGCTGGATTATGTATTCTCGCAGCTCGCCGCCATGACAGCCACACATCGTTACTCCTCGCCGTCCAAGCAGGACGACTCCCGTGTGACCACCTCGACTGCTCGCTCCGTCACGACGGTCTTTCGAAGCCCTTACGAAATACCGCTATCGATATCCTCCCCAGACATGTTAGGACAGGACGTGTACCAGTCCATCACGTCGACGACCCCTTCCGAGCACCAGTCTCGACGACTAGCCAGCTTCCCAGACACCGAGCCCACGGGTGAAGCCAATACGCTTGTCCGCCAGCTCAGCAACACGTCCGACGACAGTACATCGTCGCGACGGCCCTCGACTCCTCGCTCGCGAACTGACCCGTCACTTGAGACTATGTCCACATACCTCTCACAGCCGCGCAGCCAGCCCACCTTCGCGCGGCCTCATCTGCGCTCCCAGAGCAGTTCTGGATTCCTCAACGCGCCCCCCATGATGCGCGCCCATTCACTACCCACCATCATGCACACAGTCGGACATCTTTCGCTCTCACCCTCGCCTTCGCTCTCGCCCATGCCGTTTGCCCGACCTTCGTCTCCATTGCGGTCACCCAAACGGACGCGAAGTCCACGGGGATCCGAGACTCGACCTACCATATCGAGCACTCCAGAGCGATATGGCATTGGCATTCGTTCAACCTCGATCAGTTCTTTCGAAGGTGCGCCCAGTGTGTGTGACATATCCGAGGACGCTGAGCTAGAGCTCACTCCCAGAGCCGGCTCAGGAGTGTCAAGCTTATACAGCAGCACGGGTTCACTGTCGAGGCGACGACGGCCAGCGTCGCCTCTCCACCAGATGTCAATGCCCCTTGGCGGACCACTCACAAGCGCCCCTGTCGTTGGCACACCGACGTCTACAGCCTCCTCACCGCTCCTTGCGCCATCCAAGTTCAACGAGCACTACCCCTGGTCGCTGGCTTCGTCGTCCGTCCCGTCGACACCGACTTCAATGCGATCTCGCAGTCCATCCATCTCGTCCTTGGAGACGATCGAAGATAGTCCTGATGCCGAAGAACAGGCTATAGAAGCAGAACGAATTGCCAAATTGAAAGCGGCAGCTGACCAGGAGGATGGTGGAGAGCCCAGGCGATCCAGCTTGGATGTGCCAGAAGGCCGTGGCCGCAACTTTGGCTTCGGCAAGAGAGACTCCAGGAAGAGATGGAGTGTCTGCGGTGCTGAGAGGCGCGTCGACTTGAGCTTGGACACTGTCTGGGAGGACTGATTGATTTCAATACTGGAGTCGACAGTCTCCGGCAGCTTCGCGTTGCTCACACATTGCATCATTGGAAGTTTGGGTTTGCTGCATTTTTTGGAGTTTTGATCTGGGTTTTTGCGTGGGTTTGACTTATTCCTGCTCTAATGGGTGTGTTTTTTTGCTTTACGATGGTTCGCTTTCCACCTACGACACGTTCTGACGAACACCACTGCTACAAAGCAAGCCATGAACTACTTCCACGTATATGGTATGATGCATTTCGCGATGCGATGGAGTACGCCGTCACTAGCATGATACCCTCCTGAAGCATTTTCGGCTTTGTACAGCGAGATAGCACATAGGCTACTTCCAAGATGACTTGGACTTTCTCAAGTAACTCAATAAAGTATTTGACAACATCTTCTCGCTCTCGAATGTGTAGTGCAATGTTCAGATGCCTTGCATCTCGGGTACTGCTGTGTTTAGGTAAGATTTAGTGGATGCTTGCGGCTGCCATTACTGGATTCGGCATCTCCAGCTTTGACGTACTCCACAAGAGCTTCGGATGTGGGGTCGCCCCTCCAGCCATGAGTCCATAACTCACCTCACAGCATTTACTGCACCATCACCCATCCTACAAACCTCCATCACATTATCACCCAACATGATCAACTTCGGCATCATCGGAACAAGCTGGATCACGCACTCGTTCATCCGTGGCGCCCAATCAAGTGGAAAATGGAATCTCGCAGCCGTGTACTCGCGGAAGGAAGAGACAGCAAAAGAGTTCGCCTCGAAATATGAGGGCCAGAAGGTCACTCTCCACACCTCGCTCGACGCCCTCGCAAACGACGCAAACATCACCGCCGTCTACGTCGCGTCCCCGAACATCCTACACTACGCGCAAGCCAAGCAGATGCTCCAAGCCGGCAAGCACGTCGTAGTCGAGAAGCCATCGTGCTCCACGGTCGAAGAGCTAGAGGACCTCTTCAAGCTCGCAAAGGAGAAGAAGGTCATCCTCGTCGAAGCCTTCCGCCACATCCAAGAAGCAAACTTCAAGATCCTAAAGCAGAGCATGGAGAAACTGGGCCCCATCTACGGCGCAAGCATCACGTACGCGCAGTACTCGGCGCGCTACGAGCAAGTGCTCGCCGGCGAGGTGCCCAACATCTTCAACCTGGAGATGGGCGGCGGCGCCCTCGTAGACCTCGGCGTGTACTGCGTATCCGCGGCTCTGGACCTCTTCGGCGCGCCTGACAAGTCTACGTACTGGCCTGTTACAATCGCCACGGGTTGCGACGGCGCGGGCAAGATTATCCTGCAGTACCCCAAGTTCAGCGTGTATCTGTGCCACAGCAAGATCTACCACTCGGATACCGTGTCGGAGATTTACGGCGAGAAGGGCACGCTGATATTCAGCTCGGTTACGGATATCGAGAGCGTGGTGTTTAGGGATGCTAAGACGAAGACGAAGACTGAGTTGGCGGGGAAGAAGGAGCCTGCGGACTTGAATCTCAAGGAGGAGGCGGTTGAGTTTGCGAGGCTGATTGAGGAGGAGGATTGGAAGAGCATGGAGAAGTATGAGACGCTTAGTATGGGTATTCTCAAGGTGCTGGAGAATTCTAGGAAGGAGAATGGGCTGTTGTTCCCCGGTGGAATATAGATGAGACGCTGGAGAAAGAAGAATAGACCTGCTATTGAGTGAGTTAGGGGTACTACAGCAACCTCTGCGCAATCATCAGATGTAGATAAGAGCGTTCATAGAAACAGAGAACCTCGAACATGAACAACTAGAACCAAGTTCCTCTCAGGCTTGTTCACGTCGTCGGCATTGCATCATATATCATCAAAGACATACAGCAAAAGACACTCTGAGATCCTCTGAGCCGATACTCCCGTAGAGAGGTATGTACTTACCTGACTACAAAATATAATGTCGAGACTCATGCCGATGTTATCTCATAAGCTAAGTCTGGAGAGAAGTCACTGAAGGCGGCAGCAGATATCACAACCAGGACTGTAACCCGGTACGCGCAGAGAGTCGCAATATAAGTAAACATATTCGTAGAACCAATGCATTCCGTTTCTAAGTGCAAAACAACTGATGAGACCCTAGAATACACGCCATCAAATGGACCGCTTTCGCCGCTTCCCATATCCATTATTTACCACCACCTCACTACCAACTCACACCTTCAACCCTCTTGATATTTGTCATACAGGACATAGTAAGGATATACACAAGAACATGTCGCGCATAATGTTCATGAGCGCCATGCAAGTACGAGATATCATGCCAGTTATACGTGTTCAGCCTAGCTCGAGACGAATGTTTGTCTGATGCAGGAGTCTTGTCGTGGGCTGCAACCGTTGGAGACGAGGTATTGCTTAGTAGCACTTGTCATCACCAGCCTTCGCGTTCATGAGAAGGGCGACAATGAGACCGTACAGACCTGGTTATGGGTTAGCAGTGGCTTCAGTTGTGACGTTGCGCTGTACGTACCCAAGACTTCGGCGAAAATCAGGATCAAAATCATGCCGACGAACAACCTGGGCTGCTGGGCAGTTCCTCGCACACCAGCGTCACCGACAATGCCGATGGCGAAACCAGCAGCCATACCGGACAGACCGACAGCAAGACCAGCACCGAGCTGGATGAAGTTGGCGAAGAGCGAGGACTCTTGCTTAAGACCGTTCGAGATCAACACGGACACGACGAGACCGTAGATACCAATAATACCCGCCATGACGACAGGAATAATGTCTGTGCGGCAGTCAGCAATAAGCTCCAGCATCGAGCATCAAGCCGTCAAAGACTAGCTTAGCCCTACGCGAAGGGGCGCGAGTAACGTACTCTTGACGATCAAGTCAGGGCGGAGGACACCCATGGCAGAAACACCAACACCGGCCTTGGCAGTTCCGTAGGCGGCTCCGAAGCACGCGAAGACGATGGCTGATGTGCAGCCCATCGCGCCGAAGAAGGGCTATTCAGTCATTAGTACGTTTTACGCGATAGGATGCATCGTGCTGGTCGATGCACAGAGGAGCGCGGAAGCTGTGTGTCGTCGCGATGCTGGCCGCGGAAGGGGGCAAAGCGGGAAGTTGGTTCCAAAGGACTTACAGCATAGACGGGGCTGTGACGACGGTGTTAGCGCGTGTTCTTTCAATACAGTGGGAGAAGACTGCTTCAATGCGCTGTGGACGCCTGCGAGCTGCAGCTTATCTCGGCAGAGGCAAGCTGGAGCTGCCTGCGCCATCGAGCAGAAGAGCTCTGCATGCACTCACCAGAGTTCGGAAACCATCTTTGCGGTGGTTTATGGGTTCGACGGGTCGTCTAGAGGAGCTTCGAGATCGTAGATGAGATGGGCAGACGTGGTGGATGCGACGACGGAGGCGGTTGTTGTGTCGAGACGGTGGTGACGATGTTGGCGAATGCAACTCTTCCATTGGCGCTGACATAAACATCGCGCTAAGGTGGTCGGTGCGTCGGCGCATCAGAAAAAATAGTCTGGACATGTTCGACTTCATTGCTCCACCACTCATCTTCCAACTATCCCCCAGGCGAGCAAAGCAGTGAACCCTCCTTCGGGCGAGCTAAGCAGTGAACCGAATACACATTTACACCTTTATACACCTCCAAACACACAATGGCCGAAGACAACTCCGCTGCTTGGCCCCAGGCCGACCAGTAAGTTTACCTAGTATAGCCCATACTTGCGCACAAACTGACCACAAACAGGGCTCTCTCGCAAGAGATCCTCGACCTTGTCCAGCAGGCCACCCACTACCGCCAGCTGAAGAAGGGAGCCAACGAAGCTACCAAGACGCTGAACCGTGGTATCGCCGAGATTGTCATCCTCGCCGCTGATACTTCTCCCCTTGCCATTCTTCTCCATCTTCCTCTGCTGTAAGTTGCAACCCCAAATATCTTTTTGTTATTGAAGAACTGGCCATCATCCACCTTGCGCAACCCACACAACCCCGAGTTTGGCTTGAGCAATTTGTTGAAAATTGTAACCAACTCGAATTTGTACGCGATGCCCACCAGCCAGAAGATTTTTGTCAGGATTAATTTCTGGCGTTGTGTGGAGGTGCGGAAGGTTTACTGGCTATTCTTCGACGTACAATCTATCGAAACTTGAGCATTGGCTGACTCTTACCTAGCTGCGAGGACAAGAACGTCCCTTACGTGTACGTTCCCAGCAAGATGGCACTCGGCCGCGCCTGCGGAGTAGCTCGCGCCGTCATCGCCGCTTCCATTACCACCAACGAGGCCTCCGATTTGATGGGCCAGATCCAGACTCTCAAGAACAAGGTCGAGCGTCTCCAGATCTAGACGCACACTACGGTTGTACGGATAGAGACGAGTGCGACTAGAGTCTGAAGGGAGATTGGAATTTGCAAGATCTACGGATGGATAAAAGCACCAGGGCCTTGGAATGAAAAATTGTCCAAACGTCTCTGTACGTAGATTGAGAATGAGGTGCTGATTTCGTTTCGGCACTGACTCTTATCAAATTTCAACTACTCTCTCACACACAACTTCCCGTACTCCAATTCGTGATGACTCACGTTGATAGTTCATTCATTTTAATCACAGTGATTCATACTCGAAGCGTAAGAGAGCACTGATGCATGGTTGGTTCTCCTCGCGAATAAAACTCAAGCTTTGAAGACATGTCGGTTGCATGGAATCTCTAGGCCCTCATTGGATGGGTCGTGGCCTTGCCCATCACCATCACCACTTCAATGCTTATTGATCATTGACACAAGCATATTGCTCCTCCTGTCCGCTCATTTTCCCCACTCGAGGACCAGGTTTCATACCGAACACATCTCTTTCAGCTATGAGGTAGCTTATACACATGTGTATCCATACAACCAGGATGTTAGAGGATGCTGTAACTGCACATGTAGGTTGAACATGGCTCTATTGGGGAGACACAATCATGATGCACTTCATGAAGAGGGTGGTTTGGGTTCATGGTTCAAATATTCCGATTCACTCAAATTATTCGATTTACTGCTTAATTTGGTTTTAAGGATTTCCTGTGTAGCAACTGCTTATATCTCACGAAACCAAATAACGCCTCGTGTAAGTTCCTCATGAGAGATACTCGAGCAAACAGTCGCCGCAGTCTGATAGTATAGGCCAAGGGAATCTATGGAACAAACCGAAAGACCTTTCCAACTCTCTTGACAACAAAAAACACAGCATGCATCGAGCACCTGCAGCTGATCAATCATACCAACCTTCCGGAAATCTACTGTCTTGATTCCCAAGTCATATACGCTTTGTATCCTAGTGACGAAGTTACACCATCGTAGAGCTCACACGTTGCCTTGGCGGACACTGATTCCTTCGACGGACGTGAGCTGTAGGTCCCGTAGTACCATGCGTTGTCGAATACCGAGTTGTTGCTCATACCCGCATTGTCGAGAACAGAGTTACTCGTCAAGTTCAGGACACTGACATTTCCGCCTCGAGTCACAATGCCGTTACTCTCGCCAGTGTTGTAAGCCAGGCTGAGAAGGGCCACGCTCACGGCGCCAATAACATGGACCAAAAGCCATAAAACACAACTGAGATTCACCATAGTTGGGACGCACACCCATCTTTGCCTTCGTGAGCACTTTATCAGCCTTGGAATCCCTCCTAAAGACGCAGCATCCATGATCCCGTCGAACTGCGGCAGCGGCCAATACCATTGTGCAAGAACCCACCAGCGGAGGATCTTCATATAGCTTTGGAGCGAGATGCTAAAGTTGAACGCAATAAGTAGTGGAATTACCGTCAAAAGTGCGTTGAAGAGCTGCGTGTAGCCTGTATTCAGGTTCTCTTTCCTCTCGAATGCGCAGAGCACTCCAGCACATATCGTGCAAAGGACGACAGTGAGGAGAAACCGCAAGACGCTAGTGCTACAGATCTTTGCCCTCTGTTTGGAACGGAGGTACTCGCGAACGGTGGTTGTTGTGTCGTTCCTATGTTCTGTTGGAATAGTGTAGGTTGTTGGGTCCATGGGGCTTTTCAGGTCCGTGAGAAACCTCTCTCTTCGTGTGTTGTTTCGGGGAGGTTGGAGAGGTCTTGCACGGGCGATGGGCTGGTTTGGTATGCTTAGGTTTGAGGATGCTGAGCTCGATGTAGATGCCCTACTCGGAGGAAGTGAAGGTGGCATAGCTTCGTGAAGGAGAAGTTTAATTAGAAGATATGTGTCATTACTTTCAGCGGGCTGTTTAGTCTGCAGTCTGTTTGACCTACTAAAATGTGAAACTAAGATACGTTAAAAAGATGAAGAAAAAGGGTGATGACGAATGAAAAGATCTGAGGGTAAGAGAGTCAAGATGGCAGAAGATTGGCGTGAAGGGAGGCCGCCAACGCCTTTTGTTAACCTACAGCCTTGCTCCGCCATGTTAGGAGTAAAAGACTGGGAAAGCTTGTTCTTGCTTAAGCGTTTGTCTTAGCCGGAACAGCCGGGCAGTGCAACTTTGGCTCTCGTTTCTACTCGACATCCCCGACCGTCTCCGACACCCAGGTTCTTCAATGTTGTTGAACGCGGGTAGCATGCGACTTGCGCTGTGAAGGTAGTCTGTGAGTTGTTGCGTTCCTTGGTGAATGCACGACTAGACAAATACAAAGCTCAATTTGGAACTGCTTGGAAGCCTCGAGCCTGTCGTTGTTGCCGTCAGTCCCGAAAGGGTGCGATGTAGGTAATTAATCTTACTAATTTGTTCAGCATAAGTTCGGAACAGCTATCGGATGCATCTTGCAGGAGACCACCAACGACAAGGCAGATAAGCATTTCGCAAGCAAGACGAGGCTGACGAATGACCAAAGAGATACGTCATAGGTTTGTTGTTCTCTTTCCTGAGTGACAGCAGCTCTGTGACCAGAGTCATTCGACTAATAAAATCTAGAGAAACGCGATGTGCACAAGACTGAGATCTAAAAGTCACGGGGTATCACATTCCATCCCAAACGCCAAAGCCCAGATCCAACCTAATCTAATCCATTTACCACCCAGAAAGCACCTCATCCACCTTCCTCCTCCCCTCGTCCCTGCCCCCAAACCCCCTCATATCCACATCCCCATCCCCGTCCTCCTCCGCAGTAGCAGGGACCTGTACATCCCCGAACCTCTCCGCGACTCTCCCCGCGACTCTAATCGCCAGACTCCTTGTCTTGCCCAACTCCGCCCCCAGCGGCGCATCCTTCCACACGAGATTTGGCTGTACGCTTTCCTTTGGTGTTTTATACGGCTCCAGCAGCTCCAGCAACATGCGGCTTGTATTGAGAGAGTTCTGCAGTGTTTGGCGGCGCGCGGAGAGGGCTTGAAGGCGTGATAGCGCGGTCGTGTAGTCATCTCTGCTGATCTCTACATCGGTATTGTCGTCGTCATGGTGTGGGTTGGAAGACTGTGGGAAGACGGTAGGTAGGCGCGCAATGCACTCGTCTTGTGTGAGATCATCGGTTTGGTATACCGTATGTCCATCGTCGTCTGCATCTGTCCCTGCATCCCCATCTTCCTCTTCGAGGTGTTGCAGAGCCCCGGAATCCCAGTACAAGTCATCGATTTGGGAGACAACGTGTTCTAGCATTTGCCGACTGTATACAATTCGCGAGTGCTGTTTGAGGTCGCGGTTGACTGGTGGAATTAGCAATCACCCAGTCATGCATTTCTTGATCCGCGTACCTTTGTCCAACACGCCTTTCAGGACGCTTAGCTCGATGCCGCCTTCATTTGCAATGGTGCGCAGGCGTTCTGAGGGCGCGATGCCTCGCGACAGTAGCTGTTTTCGTGTTTGGAGGAAGAGTTGCTTTTGCTCGACAACGGTGCCTTGTTTAGACATGTTGTATGAGGCACGTTCCTGGTGTGTTGAGTTTAGTTGCAAAACTATTCGAGAGCTTGCAGTGACGATGTTGGACTCGCGTTTGTGGGGTGCTAGCGCGTTTCGTGGATAACGCGTCAAGCATGTGACGAGCTGTATCGAGAACACCACTATTCAACTAGTCGTGTGAAACAAAGCATGGCTGAGATAGAAGAAGTCATGCATCAAAAGATGAAGAGACGATTGATTGTATTGGCTGTCTTCAGAGCCCTGCTACAGGCGAATCATAGTGCTCATACTCGAATGCCAATTGGCGTCGTGATATTCCAAAAAGCCACCACTTCAAACCGTTTATATACAATAGAATCATGCTTCATCCTCTCATTGCGTAATGCCGCTCATGCATATACAAATCGCCGAACGCCTTCCGTAATATGCAAATGTCGAATCGTCATGTCAAGGCCGTCGTTATCCAATGGAGTCTTGAAAGCTACTCTGTTACAGGAGTCTCAGGTGTCTTCGCCAGGCTTTGGCTTTCAACCTCAGTGCTCTTGCGTATCTCCTCCATATCCGCATCATTATTCACGACGCCAACGACATCTTCGATCATTGACGCAAAGTCAACAGTGATGCCACCCACATTCATCTTAAGAAGGGCGGTGGTGTCTGGACCCTCAACCAGTTCCATACGCTGGTGTCCGTCGTCAAAACCTGACATCAAGAGATCGCTACCAAATATGTTCGCATCGCTCCATAGCCCGATGGTCGATGTATTCGGGTCCTCGTACAGATCGAAGCCTAAGCCGAGAGTACCTGCTCTCGGTGGTGAACTCGTCATAGGCATGTCGCTAGATAGAAAGTCGTCAGGCATGAAGTCGGTAAAATGTGTCCCGGTACGACCAGGTGTGTTGAAAGAAGGAAATTCGGAGAAATCAAGGGCTTGACCCGGAGACGACGTAATGCCGTCAGACTTGAGAAGGGCGTTGAGCTGACGAGTGAACGGGGTTTCGGGTGCCATTGTCGCAGCACGGCTGCCTCGTGGTGTAAATATATTACGAGACGGCGTCAAGAGCAGGCCAGCACTCTCAGCACCGCGCTTTGGGGTCAGTAAGGGCCGACGACGAGAACCTGGCGTTGGGGTCTTGAGGAGATCTTGGAAAGGCTGACTCTTCTTTGGTGTTATTATTGGAGAGACAGGATCCTCAAATAGGTCAGTAAAGTCATGATCTTCCTGGGCGACTGGTGGTGGTGGACAATTTTCCTTGTCAGCAGTGTCCTGCTCGACACTTGGCAATGATCGTAATCGGTCGAGGTTGAACCACGCCACCTTTGGCACATCGCACGGAATACAACCATCATGGCCGATACCGGCATCTTTGCATCGTTGGCAGGGTCGTTCGCGATCGCAGCCTTTCTTGATCTTCTTGCATCGTTCACAGCGGGGCTTTTCTATTGGAGCATCCTTGTCAGCAACGTGGCTTGGAGCATCTTTGGAAGTTGTAGAAGGAACAACTTGATTGTCAACCAAAGACTTGGTCTCGCCATCTTTACGGGGCGATGGGAAAAGTATTCGCCGAGTGGGTCTGGGTGTGAGGTCGGGATCGATATCAATTGGAGAGTTTTTACTCCCGCGGAAACCAGCTGGGCTGGACTCAACCGCACGTCGAAACGCCGCTTGTGCCGCTTCGTGATTCAGCCCAATTTCGTTCTCAGTCGTCTGGAAACTTTCTGCACGCTCTTGGACATGCGGTGGTGGTAGCATCTCTTCATTCAGAGCACCTTGAAATGAAGCAACGATCGTTTCCTGCTCAACAGGCACGATAGCATCAGATGGAGGCACGACGGCATCGGACACCAAGTCATCATCCTGCCCTAGTGATTTTGAACGGCTAGCTGAGGTCTGATTTCGCTTGCGTTTGGCAGGTTTTGCCGCCTTGTTCCATTGCTTCTGCGGCCGCATTTCCTTCTTCTTGATCAGCCATAATCCGCAAGGATTGCACAGCGTGAGCGCCTCAAATAGTTTCCAGGTCTTCTCCTCTGGTGTTATGTTGTTTTTGAAGATACGGTACTTTTTCTCGGCAATGTTATCTTCCGTGGGCTCGATAACCTCATAACCAACGATACCAGTGCCTGCCGCTTCAGTAGAAAGTTCGATTCCATCGGGTGAGCCGAGTTCAACACGAGTATAGGCTTTTCTCCAAGTTGGCGTGTCGATTTCCCCACAATTGTTGCAATGCTCAGGCATCTCTCCAGCGGCAATGGCCTTCTCCAACTTTTCTTTCAGTTGTTTCTTTCTCTTAGCGTGTCCACCACTCCGAGGATTACCATCGACGGAAATAGGCGCGTCTGACATAGGCTCGCCCGCACCAGACCAAGTGTGTGATCTTGGGAGCCCTCTCGCTCTCGATGCTCTCGGTTTCTGTGTAGGTAGATTCGGTGTCGCGGAGCGGCTGTACATCTGAACTTCATTTTCGCTAGCGGGAGAAACATATGATACGATAGTATCTGGCGACCCGGCTTTCAAGCCATCTGGCTGTGACATATCTTGACCAGGATGCAGTTTGGTGCATGCCCCGTTGATCGACTGTTGCTGCCGTGATGCACACAACTCGAGCGCGCCGTCTCTCGTAGCATACGAGTTGGCAATCTGCACATTGTCCGTATCCTGCTCAACACTCTCAGTAATTGGTAGCATCGAACGTGATCTGGGGACGTATTGTTTCGGTCGAGGGACATAGGACTGGGGGAGTAGCTCAGTTGGCCCTGGATTGACTTCCTGCCAAGGTTGCTGTGATCTCGTCTGCTTCCGCTTGGCTCTTGCTTCTGGTGCAGTAGGAAGATCACTTCCGTCCCATGTTTTGTTTCCAGATTCCATGCCATCGTCTTCACGACCCAGCACCATGTCACTGACAAACCCAGAATCGGTTGGGGGAGGCAGAGTCGGCAGATTTGGACTTGACGGAGAAGGTGATACAGTACGTTTTGGGACTAGTGGAGGGGAGGAGGGCAGATCCGTGGGTGTGTCACCAGGACTTACCCCTCTTTCATCATCGGCCGAGTCCGTTGCATTATCCGAGAAGGAACTGGTGTCGTATGGAGACATGTACGGACGACCTCCATCCATCGAGGCATGTCGCAAAGTACTTGGTGCTGGGGGACGGCGAAGTCCACGCGGACCGAAAGCTGCATCCCCCGGTCGAGGGGTAGGAGCCCGAGGTACCAGCTCAGCGGAGGCAAGTGCAGCTGCGGAACTGGCCGTAAGAGGCTTATGGAGTCGTACAGAAGCGGCGGTACTGGCGGTCACACGCAACGACTCGTGATGGGTAAGTAGGGGAGTCTTCTTGGGTCTCTTTGCTTGGGTAATGCGCGCTCGCTTCCTTGGTGGCCCATCTTCCTGTTCTTCGATAACATAGTTGGGTTGATTTGGAAACTGTTGGGTGTGAGGTTGAGGATATTGCTGAGGATATTGTTGTGTGTGATGTTGTGTATGTTGTTGTGCGTGTTGTTGTGGAACAGGACCAGCTTCGCTCCGGACGGAGGCTCTCGACGCAGGTCGCGAGTCTGGGTTATACTGGTAGTGGTGGAAAGAGATGCTGCTCATAGCAGGGCTGGAGGCTCGGGTCGGCTGGGAGTTGAATGACATATTTGATTCGTCGAAGAAGGCATCGTTCCGCATTGGCTCCTGAGAAGGGCTGTGGCGGGTAAGCATCTGGTGGAATGGCTCCACGCCGCCAAATGAAGAGCGTTGTGCGGGCGTGTCGAAGAATCCTGGAGCCGGTTGTGCTAGTTGACCAAGAGTGGGGTTCTCCTTCAGAAAGTCGGCCCACGCATTGTAGTCGAACTTTTCAGGCATCAGCTGGCTCAGGCTGTGATAGCGCTCCATGTTCTCGACGTATTCCTTCTGCATGCATGTCGGGACAGGCACTAGCTTGAGCTTAACCTCCAGCGTCTCCTTGATTCCATTCGAGAAGAGACCCAGGATGTTCTTGCACACACGGCCAGTGACCATGGTTTGTGATTCGTCGGCAGGGGCATTTGGAGTAGTAGAGGCAGAGGCAAGGATCCATGATAGCATGCCCTGGCCGACCAGAGGCGTCTCGTACTCGGAGAAGTCATAGGCGTAAACGGTGTAGTCGTGACCCAGCCTGGCTACGAGTTCCGGGCTGAAGCGGTGAGCACGTGCGTGTCGATGGCGGAGTATTGACTAGACCTACCTTGCTGCGACGATTGCCTGTATGCACGTCTTGAGTTCTATGACTCCCACCTGTGTGTTCTCGTCAAGAGCCACCACCGGGACATTCAAAGCGTTCGGCAGCCGTGCAAGGCAGTTTGACTTGTTCTGGTCATCGAACGTGTAGAGTACCTTGACTGCAGGCGCAGGGTGTTAGAAAGGAGACGTCTCAGATACTAGACATGCTTGCCTCGCATTGGTCTTCGCGGAATGTCGCCCATATTATCCTCATCGACGGCAGCTGGAGACGCCGTCGTTTGCTGCATGGCTACACTCTCCGCCATGGTACTGCATGGGGTGGACATGGCTGCTCATGGGGCGGGTGAGCACGTCGTGTCGCGGAGGTGCTAGGCGAGGTCGCGGTTGGTAGGGGGATGAGCAGTGACTACGGTACGGCGATCGGACGTCGGTGGCTGGCCGGCATCGCGACGCGTTGGATAGAGCGTGAAGCGAGCTACGGAAACGCGAACTTGGACGCGATCAAGGGGGATTTTGCACGTTCTTAAATATCCGAGTCGCGTGTAACACCTCCACAGGCAACAGCACGCGTAAAAATCCACGGAGGAACCGCGAAATAGCGTCGATATAATGATGTCGTAAGGCTGGAGGCACGAGCTTCGAAGGTTGAGGCTAAAGTCCCATCGCGGGATCTAGCTACATTCTTGCTAGCCTAGAAGAGCTAAACGCGAGTCCAACGTGACTGCCAGGCAAGCTCCCTCACCTCGAACTTCGTGCTCGACGTCCAACTGCACAAGGTTTTCTCCCACCAAATATTCTGTTGTTTCAGAACAAGCCAAGTCAGTCGCCGCACCCGTCTTATTTGTCTGCGTAGAGTTTTGCACCCCGCGAAGCATCACTCGCGAACATTTCCAGGCAGAAAGTCGGACAGCAAAGGCTAACATTTACCCAGCTCCAACGGCTACATATACCTCCCACCGACAACATGGTCGACGCCAAGATCCAGTGCGTACTATTGTTGGTGCCTTGGACTACATGCGCTGACAGTGCACAGGGAGCTGCTCTCCAAGCCCCGGTCGGAATTGACGTATGCACACGCCCTACCCTCTGCTCATCGCATGCGGCATGCTGACGCTTTCACTTAGAGAATATGAAGTCGCTCAGGTTGAAGAGCACGAGCTCACCACCGGTCCTCTCTCCATCCTCCAGACCGCTGTTCGCTCGCGCACCCAGGTCTTGATATCATGCCGCAACAACCGAAAGATCCTGGCGCGCGTCAAGGCCTTTGATCGCCATTGCAACATGGTTCTCGAGAACGCCAAGGAGATGTGGACAGAGACCCCGCGTTTGGGGAACGGGCAGTACGGGAGGAAGGTCAACAAGGACCGCTTCATCTCGAAGATGTATGTTGGAATTATCTCGATGTTCTGCCTATCTTGCTAATTCCCTTAGGTTTCTGCGAGGCGATTCAGTCATCCTTGTCTTGTTGTCTTAAGCGATGGGAGTACGGCGGGATTAAGTTGGAAAACAACCTCGATCACGAATTGGAGTTTGGATGAATGAAAAGTTACATGATAATAGTGAAACCGGCACCACCGAACGAATCGATCAAGCGATATCCCTCAGTTTTCTCTTCTTCACTCCCTCACTCAGGACCAATAGGAACTCGACAAGACTGTGCGCATAAACATTTACAATCGCGTGGAGTCTTCCGCTTCGGCCTTTTACGTCAAATTCGTCCTAGATATGTCCAACGCGCTTTATGGAGCTACCGTCTCGTACTCGACTTTTACCATCTTGGACATCTACCCAACGACTGGGCACAAGGGACGCAACATTGTGAAATCTGCGATCTGAGCTTGACTGTGTGCTAGGAAGTCAAGGGTTTCAGCTTACTTATTGCTGGACGATGGCACAGTATGGCACAATATGGCGCCGAGGGATGGAAAGCTGTCCACCACAGTGGCACATCTCGCTCTGGAAATTCTGCCCGGCACACTTGGACGGCATGAATCATAACAATCACAGTCATGATATCACTTCTCGCTCTTTCTCGTCCTAGACGTTTGAATCCTGTTACTTGAGACTATCGCCAGTCGACCATGTCTTGAACAACGCCTGCAATCTGTAATACCATACGACGCGCTCAGTCCATACCTTGCACAGCCGCATTTTTTTCATCTTGAGCTTGCTTTTTCGTGTTTCTTATTCTTCCCCTCGCTTCCCAAACCACCAGTCATGGCCAATCTCAATGAGTAATCTTCACGTGCATAATCCGACACCTATCGTCCTAATTAGGAAGGTTTGAAGGACCGTTGATTACAGCGCTCGATCTCCACTGGAAACCCAGATGCGGAGATGCACAGTGCCTAGACTAAGGGGTTATAGTAAACTGTTAGTAGCGGTTACTGGAGCATTCACTCAAATTGTTCGGTGCCAAGACAACATGTCCCAAAACGTGCTAGATCGAGACCCTGTATTCGGAGACTTGGATGCTCTCCGCACACCCTGACCATGCAAAGAATCTAGATTGCACTCCACCTGCATAAGCAACACGTAAATCACCCCAACAATCACCGTCGCGTCATCGAAACCACTGCAAAAAGCACACCCCACCAATCATCCCCACACACCAACCGCACAGCTCGACACGCGCCGCGCGCCGCCACAACCCACTACTCAGACCCACCTCGACCACACTTCCTCGCCATGAATAGCTACTCCTTCCTCGACTCAAACGGCAACCCCAACATGCCTCGCGCTCCGCCGTCCCCCTCACCATCACAACCAGGCTCCCAGGTCAACGGCATGGGCGGCGCACAGCAGAATGGTGTACCGCTGGTCAACGGTCTGCCATCGGGCGGCCAGCAGACAGATATGAACTACCTGTGGGGCGTGATACAGCAGCTGAGCCAGCTCTTGGAGGAGAACCGCGCGCAGACGCTGAGCATCGTGAACGGGGTGCAGGCCATCCAAGCACGGGCCGCAGAGGAGGGTGGGGTTGCGGAGTTGGGAGTGAGGGAGGTGAATGGGGAACTGAACGGTATGTCACCACCTCCGATGCATCCCGAACACTAGATACCAGCTATGAGTGAGCTCTTCGTATAGGACGACAAGGCTAATATGTGGCCAAATAGCATCCCGCACCGCCGAACTCAACACCCAGCTCTCCGCCGCACAGAAGCAACTCTCCGACCTCTCCACCTCGAACACATCCCTCCAGACCCTCATTACAGACTACGAGAACGCACTCACACTCCTCCTCGATAAACTACGCCCCTACGCATACAATCAGACACAGTCCATGCTCGCACTGCACAAACACTACCAGACGCTACTGGACAACGAGCGCTCCACATCCATGTCCCTACGGCTCGAACATGCAGAGTGGCAGGCAGGACTGGGCCGCGTCGCCGATTACGCAAGGCAGGCGCTGCAAACACAAAGCCGGGCGGAGGAGCCGCTGCAGAGTGCAATCAAGGAGTTGAAGGAGGAGAACCGGATACTGCGGCGGTTGGCAGGTTGGGAAGAGCGGGCAGACAGCAGTGACGAGGAGGAAGACAAGGCATGATGTGGAATGAACTACGATATCATGAGTTTAGGAACAGGCATGCATAGCGTTGGCGTTTAGGACGATATCACGGGTTTGTGGCATTCTGGATCGTGGAAAGCGACGCATCGATATACAATTTTTCGTATATGACCAGAAGATTTTACATACTGGGTTCCCGCGTGAACCCCTAAATGGTCGTCAATTCATGTCTCATCACACAGCTTCTACTTCTCCTCCTCGATCTCGCAGAATGCTTTGAACAGCACCAGACCCTCGCCATCCTCCTCCGCGCCCGTCTCGCTCTCGATTACGACTTCCGCCGTAGCACCAACGAAGAACACATAGCCCTCCTCAAGCTTCTCCGTCTTATTACCGACACTGATGGTTCCCTTACCCTTGGTGCAAAGTATAATGCTGGGTCCTTCAATTGACCTGAAAGTGACCTTAGCACCCGACCTGTTCAGCGCCGACCTAACGACAGCGAACTCCGGAATTGGCGGGTTGTACAGGGTAGCAGAAGAGTTTGAGCTGTATGCCGCCGCGTTGAACGTTGCGTACGGGTAATCCGTGGGGTTCATCTTCTGCTCACTGATTGGAGCATACGAGTACGTCAACATGGTCGTCAGTGTGCTCACGTCCTTGAATTTGGGAGTGAAGCCCGCGCGCACGACGTTGTCGGACGATGCCATGCACTCGATGATGTCGCCGGAGAGGTACGCGTGGATGTCGTCGGCCTTGAGGAACATGGCCTCGCCGACCTCGAGCTTGACGTAGTTGAGGAAGAACTGCACGAAAAGGCCGATATCGCCGGGGAACTGGTCGTTCAGGCGGACAACGAGGTCAGCGAGCTCCTTGCCATCATTGGAGGGCCCGCCTTCGCCGGCGAAGCTTGAACCTTCGGATTTCGCGGATTCGATGAGCGAGGAGGTTGCGGAGGATAGGGCGTCTTTTTCTGTGTTCATGACTTTTGTGAAGGCGGACTGGAGGGCCTTTTTGTTTGCTTCGACGTCGGATTCCTTGTCTGATGTCTCCTTGCCCTTGACTGTGTCTTCGAAGTTCTTTGCTTCCTCCTCGCCAACGAGCTCTCGAAATGAAGGGACGGTCTTGAGGAAATGGGCGATTTCGGCAAGAGGTCGGAAACCACACAGGCCATCGAAGGGGGTGACCGCAATGGTCATCTCAGGTTTGTGGTTGTCATCTACAATAGAAAGTTAGCCATCGTTGCAGTAGTTTGACACAGAAGTCTAACCTGGGTAGTTCTTGGGGTCCTTAGAATGGAGCTGCTCCGCAAGCTTCTTGTTGGGGTGCGCCTGGATGCTCAAAGCCTTCCCAATGGACAAAACCTTGAACAGGAAAGGTAGCTTGTTCTCATAGCGCTCAGCAATGTCGAGCGAGAGTAGGCCTGGAGTTTGATCAACAAGCTCAAGCAATGTCTGCTGTGTCTCGAGGTCCTTGGAAGGAAGCGAGGGGTGGGTGCCCATCCATAGCTACATCAGTTAGCATATCAAGATGACGACTATTGGGAAAACCATGCCTCGGCATAGGGCTTCTCTTCTTCAATCGAGAAGTCTGAAGCTGTCGCAGCTCCGAATTTGGCGGCAGCAGAGGTCTTACCGACCTTCCCTGGCAAGCTTCAGCATACAGCCGATAATTAAATCATGGCGCGGGGCAGCATCGCACCCCAGTCGTAGCTGTTGACGCCTGCAATTTTGGTCAGTTTGGTATATTCGGCGGTTCTCGAAAACAAGCTTACCGCATTGAAGTCTGATCAAAGGATTGCGCATATTGAAAGCCGTGAAAATGTTCAGTGTAATGGAAAAAGAACAGCTCCGTCTGGTTGAAGTTAACTTTGGTAGAGTCTGTGCTCTGCCACCTCCGCATAATCGCAAGTCCTGCGGTTCGATTAAGCTCCACCGCTATACCTCTTTCAGCCTTAGCCTTCCCGGCTGCCCTTGCCCTGCATTCGCTGATCCCTCACGGCGTCTATACTTCAATTCCCCTTCTCAATCACCACTTCCTCAACTTCACAATCAGGCAGCTCTTGGCCGTCGCAGTTCTTTGCTTGCAGCAAGAACAGTTCAGCGGCGAGAGCGCTCCTCGCCTGCATGGCGGCGCGCAACAGGCCCCGCGGCGGGCCACTCAAGGACGAGTTCGACGAGGAAAGATCACTCTGGAACCAAATCCGAGCTGATGCACGGCGGATAGACCAACTCCTGGTAAGCATTTATTTCCCCCACATAAGTTTTCATTGTTTCGCGGACATACAATTACCCAACATGTCATCCACTCCTGCTCTCGAAAACAAGTCGTCCACCACACCCAAACCGAAAGTAAGCAGAATACTGCAACAACTCAAAAACTCGGATGGGTATGTGGACGAGGATAAGCGTAGCTCCCGGAGTCGATATCGCAGGGATGAAAAAGACCAACTCAGACTTTGGCATAACATCAAAAAAACAGCTAAACAGATTGATAAACTTCTGGTATGATGTGCTTCGGCCATAACGCTGATGTATTGAAACCACGTTGAGCTTATTTACTACAAAACATGATCACTTCTTTCACGAGTCTTTTATTTCACATTGTCCACTCCACATAGACTGATCAAGCGTAGGCGCAATCCGATGCATGTGAGAAGAGGATCACCGAGATACGAGCCGATCAAGATACTCGCATAGGTACGTCCCCAACCGCCAATGATCATCCTGAACCTCTTCAGCATATCTTGCAATCGTCAGTCGATGAGTGCAAAGCTTATCGAGACCACTACGTCCTACAATGACTAACCATAGTAGCCCGCGGTGACGCGCCTTCCGACCGCCTAGACGACGAACTCGAGGAGAAGCTGCGGGAAAACATCCGCCTGACGGAACAGATCGTCAAGCAAGTCAAATCCGGCGATGGCGTCGACGACATCTGCACGCAGATCAGCATTCTCTCCGCACTCCGCAGCCCAGAAGACCTCCCCACCTCTTCCGCCTCGCGCGCAACCAGCGTGGGCAAGTCCCAACGCGACCGCCAAGGCAAGCGCAAGCTCACAGACGTGGAAGACCGCGACGTGGCCGTGGAGAGTTCCGGCGGGCCCAGCCCAAAGGTCGTCATCAGTCAGAAAGACCGACTCGTGGCGAAGTCGGCAGGGAGCAGAGCAGGATCGGTGCCGGTCAGGGAGGGCAGCGTCAAGGCCGAGGACGACAAGGACGATTCGAACAAGGGTAAGAAGAAGCGATATTCCTTCTCCACTTCTTCTTCCAGGAAAGGCGCTGCTCGCTGAGTGGGCTCTTTTTTTTGCCCCCAAAATTCATGTCGGTTCTAGGGGTTCCCCTCTCAAACGGTGTTCCCGCATTTTTTCCCACAAATCTGGCAGATGATACCCCCCTCCCTCCGCGAACAAAAAAGCTTTTTCCTAGATTTTCTTCTTAGTCTAGTCGAGAGATTTTGTAACAACAACCGTCTTTGTCTCGATTCGTTCATTCATTCACTCACTCGTCCGTCCGTCCGTCCATCTCTCCCGTGTTCCAACCTCAAAACTAACACACACCACCCCCCAGACCCCAAACCCCGCCTAACCCCCACAACCGAAGTCCTCTACCGCAACACCAAGCAACGCGCCTCGGCAGAAGGCGAAGGCATCCTCTGCCGGGTAACCTCCGTAATCGGCGAGGGAAAACAACGCCGCTACGAGATCATCGACGCGGACCCCGACCCCCCGACCCCGTCACAGCCTTACCGCGCCTCCGTCAACCACCTCGTTGCTATTCCGCCCCCGGCCTCCAATCTCACGGCTCAGGATCTGGGGAAGGGCAGGAATGTTCTCGCGCTTTATCCCGGGACGACGACGTTTTATAAGGCGGAGGTTGTGGCTGCTTGGAGGGCGGCGGAGGGGAGGGTTAAGAGGGAGGAGGAGGGGGAGGGGAGGAGGAATTTGGTTAGGCTTAGGTTTGAGGGGGAGGATGAGGCGGATCGGGAGATGAGTGTTGAGAGGAGGTATGTTTTGAATGATAAGTGATTGTTGGGGGTGATTGTTGGGTGGGTGTTGGGTGGGAGATGGGAGGGTGGTTGGTTGGGTAATATGGTGGTGGTTGGGTGGTGACGTGGATGGTAATTACGTTGGTTATTAGATTGATATCTTGTTGTGTATACGAGTAGGTCGAATGAATTGGTGTAAATTGTTCACTCAACATAACCTCCCCGTTCTTCCCATACGCGTATCATCTACCATCCCACAACTCGCCGCCATATCTCCCTTGTAGTATTTGTCTCCTATCAACCGAGGAGTTGGGCGATGATCCTTGGAGAATATCCACCTTTCGCCACTCCTCCATACGCATCCTGTCATATCAACATGGATGGTAGACTCGTCAAGAGCTGCAAGTTCGGAACCACAAGTATTGCCAGACGCTATCCTACACCCAAGTCAAGTCTTGTATTCCTCCAGGATGAGGGATCTGGTGAGTCGGACCAGGGGCTTGCTGCGGGGTCGGAGAGGCCAATGAACCTGTTGCCTTTCCGTTCATCGCTGGGAGAGGTAGGTTTGGAGGAAGAACAGGATGCGTCATGTTCAACTTAACCATCGACTCGATAATGCGAAGGCCCCCCAACCCTTGATGTACTTTTCATCCGTAGAATTCTGGTGTATGTATTCTTCATTCCTACTCGGGAAGACTCCTCATAACACCCTCGAACGCAACAAGCGCCATAGCATTTGCCGGGAACGCCCTCAAGAAACACGGCAGAAACCCTCTCCAATACCCCTTCAAGCCAGCTTCCCTGTACACCGTCTTAGCCGCATCGCGCCACTTTGGATATCTTCTCCCCGCGCCCAACGGATCCGTCATAATCTTCTGCTTGATCACATCACTGGGGTACGACGTCATCCAGAAGATCTGTGCCGACAGCCCACCGGCCCAGAAGTTGATAGCTGGGGTGGAAAGACTGGTGTGTTGCTCGAAGGTGCGTGTGAACAGCGCATATGTGCCCCACCAGAAGCAGAAGAAAGTACGGAACAGGAGTGTCGCGCTGAGGCCGTGGTAGACGCCGGGGATGCCGTGGCCACGGTAGATTTTCTGTAGGCAATCGATGGGCCCGCTGTATAGGCGCTTGCTCTTATCGGCCTGGTATTGCACTTGTAGGCGTGCTTTGATGTGCTCGACGGGCGCGGCGACAAAGGATACCGTCAAGCCTGCCATTGTGCCTGCAGCTGCGTGGCCGATAATTGGGAGTTTGGGCTGCTCTTGGCCGGCGAGGTGGGGATTAAAGAAATTGTCGTTGAGGACGCGGCGGTATATGCTTAGGGAGCCTAGCATGCTGTAGGATGTCAGTGGCAGCCCTTGTATAGTCTGGGAGGAGGGTGCAAGTACATGCTGTCCATGAACATCCAGCCCACCAGTGGAGGCGAGGCGCCTTTGTACAGTCCTCTGACACCCTCATTGCGCACCGTCTGTAGCAGACAGTCCAGCGGTCCTTTGAACTGTGAACTGTCGGTGGTTTGAAGGCGGACTTTGATAGTGTCGAACGGGTGGCCGACTGCTGCTGTTAGCTCCTTCCACTTTCATACAGCGTTGGAGGGGCCTTACCTGAGAGCTTCGCGATGCCCGAGAAGACACCAGCAACAAACCCGCGATAATACTTTTGCGATCCCTTGAGCTTCTCAGACGGATCCACGACTGCGGCCGCTGCAGGCTTCTCGCCCGTCTTCATGACCGTGGCAGACATTGTCGCGTATTTCCGTGTCTATCTCTCCAAGTCATGCCGCCTCGAAGTCGAACGTGGAGAAAAAAAAGTACACGTCAAACAATGTGAACAAGGATATGCTCCACTGCCCATATCACGCTGTCAGCGATCGGAAAAGCACAAGCCTCCGCGACGTACATGATGACGATCTCGACGAAGTTCCGCGATCGGCAAAGTCGCAAACAAGGGTCCAGCGCGGGCGCATGTCGCGATTTACCCTAGATACCCCTCCGGCCAATATCTAGCTTTGTGAATGAAACTGCTATGCCTGATTGTCTTGCTTGGAATCCCTTGCTGCCACATAGACATTAATATCATATTCATAACCACTGAGCAGAAGTCATGACGGAAAGAGTCGCAAGCCCCCCACCGGCTGGTGTTACCTCGAAGAAGGGTGAGATAGACCGCTGGCGAGGTGCATATGCGATACATGTATATACTGATACTCGCCAGTCTGGACAACCCTGATCACAAACACAGCCTACCTCACCGGCCTCCTCACCCTCGATTACAGCCTCAAGAAACACAAGTCTGCCTATCCCCTCATTGCCCTCTATACCGACACCTTTCCGCCCGAAGGCCACAAGGCTCTCGACGAGCGCGGCATACCCAAGCAACATGTCAAATATCTACTTCCAAGCGTGCAGAAAGACTTCACAAACGACCCGCGCTTCTACGACTGCTGGAGCAAGCTGACGCCCTTTTCGCTCGAGGAGTATGATCGCGTCGTGCAGTTGGACAGCGACATGCTGGTGCTGAAGAACATGGACGAGCTGATGGAGTTGGAGCTCGACGCGCCGAGTGAGGCAGGCGAGGGGAAGCGGGTGTTCGCAGCGAGCCATGCGTGCGTGTGCAATCCGCTCAAGAAGCCGCATTACCCCAAGGACTGGTACACGCACCTACCACAATACCAGGAGTGTAACTGACTTCAGACAGGGTCCCAGAGAACTGCGCCTTCACATCGCAACACAACTCCCCCGACGATGCGCAAACCACCGGCGCACCCTCAGATGCAGGCCTCGGCATGCCCAATGGCGGCCTACAAGTCGTCAACCCCTCCAAAGCCGTCTACAACCTCATTCTCGAGCAGCTCGCCAACCCATCCTCCATGTCCTACGACTTTGCCGATCAGTCGCTGCTCAGCGACCTGTTCTGGGGCCGATGGGTAGCGCTGCCATACACGTATAATGCCCTTAAGACAATGCGAACAAAAGGCGTGCATCACCAAATCTGGAAGGATGACGAGGTCAAGAACGTGCACTACATCTTGAGCCCCAAGCCGTGGGACGAGGAGGCTGGCAAGTGCAGCAACGAGAATCACGAGTGGTGGTGGGTTGTGAACAACGAGCGGTTGGGAGAGGAGAAAAAGAGCGGGATCGTGGATGGCTTTTGATCCGGGAGAGTGGTGCAGGGGAGTCGGGGAAAATGGAGAGAACTGGCGAGATAATGTGGATATGAATAGAGTGGAGAGATTGATAACGATGCTTCCCAAAACATCATCAGATATGACTTTGGCTGCACAAAACGTGGTGCTCCACACTATTTCTCCTCTGTGTGATCCTTTCGGGAACAGGAGACTAAAGTAGGCTTCTGCCCCACTGTTGGTCGAGAGAAAGCCCCCCTCAATTACCTGGGTTCGCTGCCCCTGTTGCCACCGCAACGCACGCTTGATTACTCAAATTACCGTTCAGCAGAGAAGGCGACCGTTCAGCAGCGAAGACGGCCTTTTCGGTTCCAAATGCTCCGTCGAATGCTCCGTCGAATAATGCTTGTGTCAGGGCAAGGTGCAGCCCGGTAGCTGCGTGTACCTGCATCTAAGATTGCGGCAGAGTTGACGTACTGTAGTGCATTGCTGCTAGTGCTACTAATAGTGGCAGAGCATGCAGTAAGGTGCATAAGGAGCTGCTGCAGGTGCCCTGGTGCCCTTGCTTCACCAAAGTAATCTCCAAGACCCCTTTCTGGCAGACGCTGAAAGGCGTCTGGCAGTGTCAAGAGGGCGTGTGGACGGGTACCGGTAGTTAGAGAAGCGGGCACGGACACGTGCAGATCTGTCTCACCAACCTGCCGTTCCGCCGTCACCCTGAAGCCTCACACGTCTCTCACACCCGTCCACAGTCACGTCTTTAACCACTCCCACGCCCCAAACACCCCAATCCCCCACTGCACCCTGGAGCCCGCTACACACATCGCGTGATCCCGCCCACTGCTCTTTCCCTTCTCACGACACGACATCTTGCGGGCCAATTGCGCTTTGTGGTTACTGCCCGGAGCTATCAACACGACGACGGCTTGGCCCTCTACGACTCCCCGACACGAGCTACGACAACGACACCAGCCTTCCCACCACGATCCGACCGTGTACAGCGCGCCACCGACAACATGGGCGCGTCCATGTCCAAGATGATGAACAAGATCTTCGGATCGAAGGAGATGCGGCTGCTGATGCTGGGACTGGACGCGGCGGGCAAGACGAGTACGCCCCTCACCTCTATCGACGGAGAAGCCCTCTCCGGAGTCTGGCGACCGGGCCACAGCTAACCCGTGCGTGCAGCAATCCTCTACAAGCTCAAGCTCGACCAGGACGTCACAACAATCCCCACCGTCGGCTTCAACGTCGAGACAGTCACGTACAAGAACACCAAATTCAACGTCTGGGACGTCGGCGGCCAGGACAAGATCCGTCCCCTGTGGAGACACTACTTCTCTGGTATGTTGGGGAAACACGATTCGGTTCCGGGTAGGCGAGCGCGCGTGCGGACCCTGCACTGCGCATGTCTCTCCCTGCCCTGCCACATCGCCCTCGCCCTATGCTTCAAAGAAATCTTCCCACTAATGTATTGCTGTAGGAACCCAGGGCCTCATCTTCGTCATCGACTCCAATGACCGCACCCGTATCGAAGAAGCACGGACGGAGCTCACACGCATCATCCAGGACAGGGAAATGAAGGATGCCCTGTTGCTGGTGTTTGCGAATAAGCAGGATCTCCAAGGAGGTGCGTACAACTCGTGCAGTAACCCTTTAAGACATCTACTAACACAAAGCAGCCATGAAACCAAAGGAAGTCTCGGACCTGCTGCAATTAGACAAGATCGCCAAAGACCACGTCTGGAAAGTTGAGCCCAGCTGTGCGACAACAGGAGAGGGTATCTTCGAAGGACTGGTAAGACAACCCATTCCCTCTGACACAGAACATCCACTCACTCCCCACCAGGCATGGCTCAGCAACAACGTCAAGCTACCACAAGGTGGCAAATAAGTCCTCCCTTTCCCAACCGTCAGCGTCTCCGCCCCTGTACGACTACGTGCGCACACCTCTTCCACCTCGTTCCTGCATATACCCGATTTCCCTATCATAACGCCCTTGTATCAATCTCGTATGTCTTTCTAATAATCAGTCCCTACATCAGAGCGGCTCGACTACTCTTCGATTCTTTGCGTTTGTTTTACTTGTTTTGCTCCCTGTCTCTCTCCCGCCTTTTCTATCGCGTCTATGCGGTCGAGATACCCCACCCCATGCCCTCCGATTGGCTTCTTTTTGCTTCGCTGTACATGTAGATGTTCTGTGGTTTGCTGGCTGGGGGGTTGTTGTCGCGAGCTGTGGGTAATAGCGTGTTCGGATAGATGATTATATGGATCTGTATGAAACTGTGTTTGAATTGCTCTTTGGTCTTGTTTTGTGCGTTGTGCTGATGATGAATTTCTCTGCTGATGTGGACAGTGTCGGTATCTATTCACTTCGTCAATACAGTTATGGCATCGCCCAGACCCAGCCACATGCAATTCAACGCATCATCTTCCGCTACTCGGACACTCACACATTCACACTCAACCTTGCTGATCTCAAGAACTCTCATCCGGGTCCTCCAGTGCCTTCACACCGAACCGAAACCCAACACATCCTTCGTCACGCGAAACTGCGAATATCTTCGCCAAATCCCTGTCAAGGCATGGGATGAGGATAGAAGAGAAGGGAATGTGGGAGTTGGCCGCACAATCACTGGCCGTACAGGCCTTTTTGTTGCTGTTTGCCCTACATGTATGAGTTATTTCTTTGTGTGAAGCACATGATTCTCATCAGTTGCTAGATAGTGGCTAATCGTTTAGGTTTGTTGGATCCATGGCAAACTCATTTTGTCTCGGTTTCCACGATGATTGTCGAGCGAATAATGGGTGGCAATCGCGCTTGCTAGGGGGAGCTTTGCGGCGCTGAAAACTGATGAACGCCATCTGCCCGTTGCGTATATGAGGGCGAGAACGGCGGAAGGAAAATGGCTGATATCGATCGTAGAGGTGAGACTTTCTTTCCACATTTGAAAGGATCAACATCCGAATTCCTACAATCTCTTTCATCTCATCAACACTTCGATCATCTACCTTTCATCATCAACTCAATTTCAACCCCACATGGCCACACTCGCCCCTCCTTGGCGCAGGCAGATCGATGATGTCCTTGCTGATGGAAAACCCCCCGACAAGAAGAACCCATGCGGAAGATGCAACTCTGATCAGCATACTTTGGGGAACTGCCCAGCCGATGCAGGGACCAGTATGAAGGGAACGCTCTGGGAGAAGTTTCCAAAGATCCAACGTGCCGCAGCTGATGCTTACCTGAAGTCGCATTCACAGTACAAGTACAAAGCTCCGCCGAAGAATCCGATCACGACAACGAAGAAGCCTGAGACTTTGCCGATTACGGCTAACTTGAAGACCATGTCTCTTGCAGGGTCGTCGAAGGGGCAACAAGGCGGTAGTGGTGGACATGGGATTACGTCCAAGAATGGCAATCACAAGGCCGTTGTTCGCCTCCAGGAGCACGACCTCAAATATCACGAAAACAACAAGCAAGTTGGGATGTACTATCCATCGCCACAGTCGCTTTCCGAGCAAGAACAGTTTCCTACGGATACCGGCAAAGTCTGGCAACTACCAAAAGCTCTCGAAAATCGATCTGCTGTGCTGAACAATATTCAGGAGCCGAAGTACGCATTGAGAGAACGCTTCTTCTCTAACCAGTTCAAGAAAACGGACGAGGGCCAGCTGCCCGTCCCAAAGGCGGTTCTCACTAACCATTTCGAATATCAGGTCACCACTGAGACATTCTACGAGTACAAGGTCATCGATCTTGGAACCAAGAATCGCAAAAAGCTCAAAATGTTGTTTGAGAGAGCTATTACAACTTGGCCCTTTCTGAGAGACAACCAGGAACTCTTCGCCACGAACCACATCGATACTATTGTCTCTTGGAAACCTCTGCATGCTGATCTGCGTGATGGTAAGGACCTTGGAGGCGGCAGTGCTGAGTGGACCCAGACTGTTCCAGATGGAAACAACAACGTCCCAGCGACTTTCAGGTTTGTGAAGAGAATCTTTACTGACAGTCTTCGACAATACGCGGCAGCCAATCCCAACTACGAACATGAGAATTTCGACGACGTAGCTCGGTGTCTGAACATCGTCATCTCTAAGAGCTTCGACTCCGAAGTGCACAAGCTCTCTTCGAACAAATTCTTTGTCAAGAATGCCCGTGTTCCTCTGACTACAGGAAAACTCAGCCCCCCCTCCAATTGTCTTGAAATGATCCGTGGGTATTTCTACACCGTCAAGCCTGGTATGGGAAACATCATCCTAAACTTCAACATCTCAACCAGCGCAGTCTTCCGTCCGATACGAGTAGACCAGTTCCTTACGTCCAACGATAACACGTTCGAGGCTAACAAGCTTGAACACATCCTGAAAGGTAAGAATGTGTATGTTACCCGCAATCGCAAGGACGCCGATCCAAAGAAGCAAGAAAGGCTCAACAGCGAAGAATCTCGATACTGGAAGGTTTTCGAACTTCAGCGTGAGGGAAATATCGAGGACTTGACGTTTCCAAAGAAGAAGGTTGATGCCAACGGCAAGTTTATGACAAACGCGGATGGAACCTATCAGTATGAGGATCGCCGGATTCGAGTAGTTGACCACCTGACACAAGGCAAGCAATTCAAATATGGCTCCTTACGTACGCATCTAACTATTTCACAGTGTTTGGTTCACCTCCCATCAAGGACCGGCCGGCTGTGAACGTTGGTTCGTTCTCTCATCCAGTGTGGTACGCTCAGGAACATCTTCGTATCGTTCCATACCAAGCATACACGCGTCCAGTGCCCAACAAGTACACTGCAACGATGGTGACAGAAGCCGCCCGAAGCCCATCTGCCAACCGGGCTTTCATTGAAAAAGAAGGTCTTCGCAGTCTCGGCTTCACAACTGGCGCTGACGCGGTTCCATTCGTAAGTCTGCACATAACTTCCTGTTCGCCCCCTGCTGACTCGAGACAGAACAAATGCGCAGATATACCTGTTCGCTTGTTCCCGACGATGCTCCAGGTTCCTCGTACGGTCTTGCCCTTCCCAAGAGTTGAGTATGGATCGGTATCCGGCAAAGCTGTTGCTGCGCCGCTGATGTCGGGTTGGAAATGGCCCAGTTTTACAGCCAGATTCCTCCAAACATCACCACCGAAGTCGTTCAAATACGCCATTCTCACAGCTCCAGGATGTGACCGCACGACTGGAGATTATTATGACACACAATTACGAAAGCACTTTGACAAATGTGGCATCAAGAATGACCAGGCAAAAAGGGTAGAGCCCATAGGGCTCTCTTCTGTGCTCGAATCAACCGAAGAGGCCGATTTGGAGAAGAAGCTACAGGAAGTTCGCGACTCTGGTGCACGCCTGGTATTCCTAGTGCTACATCGTGCCAGTACAACGGTTTATCGAGACTTCAAGAACCTCGCCGACCGTCGCTTTGGGATGCACTCAATATGTCTAGTGGAAAAGTGGAAGAATGAGCAGGAGACTAACCAAATCATGACCAACGTCATGATGAAAATGAATCTCAAGCTCGGGGGCGTCAACCACGGAGTTTCTGACGTTGTTCAGTGGCTCAGAAACACCATGGTCTTGGGTGCGGATTTGGTCCATCCTGGAAGCGGCGCATTTCCGGGTACTCCATCAATCGCTTCCATTGTCGGTTCGGTCGACTCTCATGGTGGAAAATGTCTTGGATCCATGCGACTGCAGAGCATTGAGAAAACAGACCGTGAGGTAAGCCTGTGATATCATTATGAATGGGTTGTGCCGCTAACATTCGCAGATCATCGATACCAGCTCGGTGGAAACCATGGTTCTCGAACGACTGAAAGCTTGGGCGGCGGTGAATCGAAACAGTCTTCCGGACAACATCATCTACTACAGAGACGGAGTTTCCAGTGGTCACTATCCCAAGGTGAAACACGAAGAGCTTACCGCTATTCGATCTGCCTACAAGATTGCCAGAGGAAAAGCAGGCCTGCCTCCAAAGAAACTCAACTTGACCGCCGTGATCGTAACGAAACGTCACCACACTCGCTTCTACCCAATCGACTTCGGCGATAAGGACAATCACGGTAACAATAACTGCCTCCCAGGAACCTGTGTCGACAAACTCGTAACATCACCATACTACCAAGATTTCTTCCTACAGTCACACAGCGGCATCAAGGGAACCGCAAGACCCACGCATTACTTCATCCTCGAGAACCAGATCCCAGGCATGAGCTTGGAGAAACTGCGCGATCTGGTAAGTCACATCTTCTCGTGTCGTTTCACTTAACACACACTGACCCAGTCACTCCAAGACTCACAACCTGTGTTACTCGTACGTCCGCTCCATGAGCGGGGTGTCCTACGCGTCCCCAACCTACTACGCCGACCGCCTCTGCGAGCGCGGAAGAATGTACATCCGCAAGTACTTCAACGGTGACGAAGACGCCCTCTGGACTGAGCTCCACGATCTAAAGAAGACCATCGAAGATGCACAGAAGGCGGACAGAGCTGCGCGATATGGCGGCGGCTCGCATGTCAAGTCCAAGGCGGAAAAGGACCTGGAGGGTGATCATGCCAAGAGTGTCATCGACAACCAGAAGGCGTATGTCTTTGAGAAGATCGAGAGTGAGTTCTACATGTATCGGGACAGTTCTGATGAGGCCGAGAAATCGGATAATCCTTGGCCGAAAACTATGGATGGAACTATGTTTTGGATGTGATCTGAGCGGTCTGGGCTGTCGGGACGATATGGTGAAGTGGTTTCTTTTGCTGGAGCTGGGTTAGATTTACACTGGCACGACGCAGTTCCTTTCTCATTTGTTTATTTCCTTGGGTGGGGTGTTTTCTTGATACTCTCTGTTTTCTTGTCTTTCCTTGGAAAGTTGCAGGTTCGTATAATGGGTTCAATGTTTCAGTCTTTTCTTACTAGCTTAGAGGGTTCTTTCGTTTTCTTTATGTCATTTGGGCTTTGTTTTGCCTTGTAGATCTCCTTGTCACGATGGACTGGTTTTCTTTGACTTCCTTGTTGCAGCAGCCTGCTTTCCATAGATTTCCTTACTACAATAGACGGTTGCTTATAGACCTCCTTCCATTTGAACTTGTCCTCAGCCCTCCATCTCCATTTTGATGTCTTGTCAATCTTAGCATTCGGCGTTTAGCGTTCACATGATACAGACTACTTGGAAGGAATACACTCATGATACTCAACATCATAAGGATTTAAGTATTAAGCAGGAATACGTAGAAGGTTCAAACAAGACTTGGCAAATATCGAAAAGTGGAGGTTGGATCTCAACGCGTCGCGTAACCAGATATACGCCATCACGTGCTACTTTAGGCAGGGCAGTTTCAGCCAAGATGACCCTCGCATCCAAACAACCACCGTTAACCACACCCAACGTGTCAATATGGACATGCACAAAGTCTATTCCTCCATCGTCAAACCACCATGATACCGCAATTAGCGCTTGCGATAGTCGCAGCACTCAACCTCTTCAAAGCCGTCAGTGCGGAAATTGCGCCCGAGCTCACAACCGTCGTGGAAGGCTACAACGTGATCGCCAAGCTGCCCTGCATCGGCTGTCCGTTCCTGTACCAAGATACGTCGAAAGGGAGCAACGAGCCGTGGATAAAGAGGAAGGATAAAAACGCCCTGGTATATAGCTCTCGTGTCCGTGTTTGCAGGAGTGTGGGATGTTGACTGTGCTTGAATAGCTCCTCAATATCAGTCTGCCATTCGACTCTGCACATCTCAGCGTCAACACCGCCGCGCTGCTCACTTCGTCAAATGTCCTGCCCCGCATCTTCGCAAATCAGGTCTTGCTTGATACGTCGAAAGAGGATCTGGCTAAGCTCATCGACGCAGACCAACTCGAATCAGGCGGTTATTTCGGAATCTCGTATGCGTACTCACTCCGCCATGTCAAGGACTCAACAGCCCTAGTCTTCCAGTTCGACATCTCCGAGCTATGGAGCGATCTGCCCGAGACTCCCATCACCGTGAAACTAGACGACCCGGCGCAGAAGATGCTAGAAGTCGTCTTACTGCAGCGCCCGATGCTATCCGCCAGCGACCCAGGCCCAGCGTACGAAATCATCCGGACGTCGCTTGTCGCGAGGCCAGAATCCAGCGCGCACCAGCGCACCATGGCGTTCCACGAATGGGATGCGTTTGGCCAAAAGGGCACATCTGCACACCTGTTTTCGTCCCTCTTCGATGCGTTCATCACGTACTTGAGTTCTGGCGTCTGGGCGCTGTTTACCTTTGTATTTGGGATTATCGGCCTTTTTGTCGTGATTTGCTTATTTTGTATCTTTGGGTGGGGGTTCTGGAAAGATGAGTATGAGCAGGCGCAGCATGGGAAGAGGCGCGGGGGGAGTGGGAATGATGTCGAGAAGGCGAGGAGGTTTAGGAGTGCGGAGGAGCTGGGGTTGCGGGGCGGGGGGAATGTTGTTGGTGTTGGGAAGAGTGATTGAGTGATTACATGATGATATGGCAGGAATGGCGTTCGATGAACATAAATGGAAGTGGGAGATAGTCTATGTTCGCGAATATACAAAACGTCCGCCTCCTGTCTACGATGTGCTAATATATGTTCTTTTTGGGTATCCTTGTTCCGTGCAAATGCTTTAAAATGCCTCCCTGTTGTCCAGTCTATTTTGTGCCTGCGAATGAAATCGAATCCGGTAACGCCGTCGCCATGCAATCCATCCGCGCAATCGTGAGGTCGTAGAAGTTCACTGATCAAACATCCTCCTTGCCGGCTTCGAAGCGTTCGTTTTCCTTCATCAGCATCGTCATGAGATCGCCGTCCTCGTTGTCCTCAATACCGCCATCACACAGTCCGCCATCTCCATAGACCTTGCTCGGTGCATTGAGCGAGTCGGCATCCTCTTCTACCGACGAAATCTCCTTGTCCCTGTTCAGTCTAAAGTCAGCACAACTCCTTCCTATCCATCAAAAGCGGCTCCCCAACTTACGCATCCTCATCCTCAATCTTCCTAGCCAGCGCCTCACGAATCGTCGTACAGCTCCTCAGCACCTGCTCGCAGTCCACACCACCCTCCTTCAAATACCGCTCCACATCCTCCAGCTTCTCCAAAATACGCTCATGGATACTCTTCCCCGTCTCCTGATCAAGCCGCGGATCAAGCCTAACCTTATCGTACACAGCCATCGCCCCAATCTCAATGATCTGCCTGCTCTTCGCGAGCTGATCAAGACCCGTCATATGCCTGAGCATCAGGTCGTTCGAGTACTCGTACTGCATCGGCATACCGGTAGGATTCATCGGCATGCCTCCGTGGTAGGTCGGGCGTGCATTCGGACTGTCCATATCCATGGCACTAAGTGGTGTGCCGATAGGCGTTGGCAGCATACCGCCTTGCATGCCCCATGGCATACTCGTCGGTGTCTCGCCGCGTGACTGTCTGCCTCTGGCTCCGGGGCCTTGGCTTGCACTCCTGCCATGTTTGGGGTACGGCGCGCCTCGTCTTTTTCGATAGTTGTCGTCTTCTGCGGCTGCGGATCGCGCTCGTGGGGCTTGTAGGCGGAAGAACGTGGGGTTAGCAGGGACGGTGTTGGTGGTGGCGATGCGCTCTGCGTCGCCTTGGCTGAGGGAACGGCGGCGGACGTAGGGTTGTGGTGGCTGGGTGGAACGGAAGAAGCGGTTGTTCGTATGCGAGAAGACTGGTAGGGGATGATTATGGCCGTAGGTTGGAGCGCTTGCGGTAGTGTTTGGTTGGAATTGCTGCTGGAGTTCGAACGGATAGGGATGCGGTGTGCTTGGTCCAGGGGTAGGGTATGTGTTTGCTTCCGTGAAGGAGTAGTTTGAGTAGTTTGGCGTAGAGATTGTAGAAGGATTTGACGAGTCCGCTACCAGCGAGGAGTCGAATCTGTAGTCCAGGTCATTCAGAACGCCAGTGTCGTTCGATGAATAGCCGTTCTCAACCGCTGCAAAAAGTTGGTCAAGTTGCGCTTGACTGAAGTTATCCTGCTCCGTCGACGACATGTACGAACTACCAGTAGTGCCACCGTATGGCACGCTTGGCCGAGACATCCTCGAAACAACGATCCCAGATCTAAACTGTCAAAACGATGGAAGAGCGCGTGATCGATAGCTGCCGGCGGTCCAGAAATTGCGGGCAGAACGTTACACAGAGGACGGAAGGGTGCGTGACGAATGTCCAGATATAGTCATCGCTTTGTTTTCCTGATGGTCTGGGCTGAGACAGGTCGACGTAGAGAGTTTGGGTGAAGGAGATGGTGGCGTTGGAAGTCGGCGAATAGATGGACGGGTACCTACGCCTGGGACGCGGCGAGGAGCAAACATCAGTTTGGAAAAACGACTTATTGTGATGCTAGCTTGAGATGTTTTTGGTATATATCTGGAAGAGATGTGTTCTGCTGCGTTGGTGGCGCTTAGAAACAGTTGTCCTGGAATTCAAGACAATTGTCAATCATTTGTGCGCGTCCTTTGTATGAGGATGCGGCTATTGACGCATGTGTGTTTTTGCGGCGGCAGGATGGGCATTGAAACTGTAGATCTCATGTAGGGAAAGACAATAGAGGAGACCTCGAACTTGTGGGAGAAGAGTGGCAGATTGAAGAAGCCTTCGAGCGATGATATGTTGTTGCGCTGCCGAAGAATGCTGTGAGCAAGAAATACCTCACGAATCTTAACGCCTGTCCCTTTTTGCAGCCGTGTATGCCGCTAAACCCACCATGTTGTACAATAACCATATCATACACAACATCACCCCTCTTTCTCGACTCAACAAATCCTCTCAAAGGAGCTCGATTAAGTCTCCCCGATTTGGGAATGCCATGCCACCATCTTATTCTTTCTTCTCCTCCCCACCCTTTCCCTTCTTGTCCCAATTCCAAACATCCCAAATCTGTTCAAAGATCATGTCCGTGTACGTCTTCCCCTCCTCGAGCGCCTTCCTCTCCTCTTCGAGTCTCCTCTCCTTCCACCCCTCCTTCTCGTCTCCCATCCACAGCTTTTTCAACGCACCCTCCACGCCCTTCCCCTCCTCGCTATCAATCCCTCTTCTTTCCAAGTCCCTCCTCCCCTTCTCCCTCTCCTCCCTCAATACCCTTTGTACTTCCCGCGCCCGCTCCGTCGGCAGATCTACTGCGCGCATAGGCGATAACTTCTGCACGAGGCCGAGCCCTGTGTATGATGTGCACAAGTGGTCCGCTGACAGGTAGAAGCCGATGCCGAGGGAGAATGTGTAGAGGTCTAGTTTTCGCGGGGGTAGAATCATGATAACGGGACACAGGATGGCGCCGCCAATGGCTAGGTTGCGTGTGATGCGCTGGTAGCGTTGTTGTTGTTCGAGAGCAATGCGTTGCTCAGGTGTGAGTGGCGGTTGGACGGTTGGGGTTGCCATTTTGAGAGTGAGGGTGTGGGCATGCGATGATATGCGATTCGAGGTGGTTTTGTGTGGAGTTGCGCGTAGGGTTCGAGGCGTGAGGGCGTGGTTTGGTGGTTCGGAGAAGTGGGTGTTTTCGATGGTCGAAAGTTCGATGATGCAAAGATCGCGCTTAACTTAGCTCTTGATCGGCAAATCTTGCCTTGGAGAGGGGGAGCTTAGATATCACCAACACGATAACCCAGATGATGTTGGAGGTGGTTGAAAGTGTGTTTGTTCTCAGATTATGACCGGAAACAGACACAGAAGTCCCAGGTATCTCATCACGCCGCAGCCGCTTGTATCTGTATGCACCAACTGCTATGACGAATGTTGCCTGATGCAACATCGTAGACCATTCAAGTTGTAGTCTTTGGTCCAAAGACTGCCCTGCCTGACCAAGGTTTATCAGAGCCTTCGTCGCTTGAAGTCTGTCCTGCTCTCCAGCCGGTCGGAACCACCACCTCCTGTACTCCCATTCTCCTTCCTCTTGAGTGTTGGCTCAAACGTCCCACTACTTCTCAGCCGCTTTACTGGTGTCCTTTCATACTCACTGCTCCGCAAATTGCCATCTTCTTCCGCATCTGCTCCGTCCTCTGCCATCATGTCCTCGTAGTTCTCAAACTTTCGCTTTTGTGCTGTACTCGGAGTTTCCATCAAGCGCTGCAGGCGACTCTCGCGTAACCGCTTATTTACTTCTTCTGTGACGTCGATGTGTTCGACTACGTAGGCTGGTTCGGATTGCGCAGATTTGGCGCGCGGCGTGAGACCTGGGTCTACGAGAGGAGATACAGCGTGGGCTTGCGAACTTGGGGTGCGCGCAGGATGCACCGCATCTAATGATTTCGCGCCTTCTAGACTGAGTCGTTTGTGGGAGGTCTTGGTCTGGGAACGTGAGCGAGCGCATCTGCATCATTGAGCAGGGAAGATTATACCTTCTTCTCTGCCAGACCCTCACTTTCAAGTTGATCCCTAAACCTCTTCATGTCGTCTTGCAGTCTACCCGACTTGTTTCGTAGTGATATGAGATCGGTGGCAAGCCAGTCGGGCGCATTATGATCTGTCGCATCGAGACCTTCGTTGAGGAACAGTAATTGCGCGCGTAGGTTTTCGATGTGCTTGTCAAAATCCTGATAATTGTGTGAGTGGTTGATTTGGTAAGACGGCAATGCGACTCACCTCGAGCGAAAAACCCCCCATTTTACGTGGTTGTGTGGTAGTACGGAGAACGACGTGTGATGGATCTTGAGTTCGCGTTTGAGGTTGCGCTAGGACGTAATTTCCGTAAAGTCATTTCTGTCACAATTGAACTTGCAAGTGAGACCTGACCAGCCTTTCACATTTTGTGAGTGAGAGGTTAGCACATACGCGCTAACAAATCACAGGAACGTGTCGAGCAGATTTTGAAGTTGAATTTGAATGGCAACATGTAAGTGGCCTCGATTGAACGAGTACATAAGAATAACACAAGCTGCGATTCTACTCGTCTGCGCGTGATGGACAAACGTGTGTATCGTCTCCTTGCCTGAACAGGCATGTCAAGCTACCTTCTTGACCCTCTAAGGAGCTCCTCCCAAGCAATTTATGGGTTATCGTTTGCTTTTCAAATCGTAGCGTCGACTGGCACATAGTCGAGATCAACCATTCGTCGTCTGCGATGTCCATTCCCTGCTCCGCTGTGGGAAGTATGGCGATAGACAATGACAGTCTGACGACATCACACGCAGCAGTAATTCGAAAGTTGATGCGCATCAATCCTGTCAGTACTTCCTTGCCCGTGCGATTACTGAGATCTGACGTTTTGTGTGCTCGTCCACCAATTGGAGCACCGAGAAGCTTATTGGGAACCTCTGTTTAGCTCTGGCTGTCATATGCGAACAGGAGTCGAGTCACTCTAGAATGTTTCTCACCCCTCCTCTTCATCGCCAAAGGTGAGCTTGACAGCTTTGGCCTTCTTCTTGGCTTTCTTGGGCATTTTTGACTCCGACTTCTTGACATCCTTCTCTTCAGTCTTGCTCTCATCGAGCTCATCGCTGATTACTTTCGCCGCCTTGCGTTTCCTCGACGCTGCACCGAGTTCAGCAATGTTATCTTTTGACTTCAAGCCGTCCTCCTTGGCCTGCTGTTCATTAGACCCCTCTTTCGCAAGCTCTTGATCTTCGTCGCCATCTTTGCCCGTGACAAACGCTTCGTACTCCTCCTTGCTGAGGGACTGGTTGGTATCCTCCAAGACGTAAGTGGGTGCATCATCCTCATCGTCTTGTTTCATTCGCTTATTCCGGGGGACTGGTCTCTCGTGACGTGCAGAATCATCCCCTGCCATCTGCCCTCGCAACCGCTGCAAGAAAGCAGGCTGCGAGTTATCTGTTGAAAATAAGCATCTTGTCTGCAACAAGAGGGATCCACCCACCGAACTGCAGGTCTTTTGCCTTGAAACTCATTGTGTCCAAAAGTAGGGCTGAGTAAGACAGCAGAACGGCAAGGCGAGGTCACACAAGGCTGGTGGATGTCGATCGTGCCGGGAGCGTCCAGGCGGCTCTGTCGCCTGGCTGCTTGGCAGGTTTATCTCCGAGATTACGAGCTATAACCCCACGGGAAGCCTAAGATGATGCTTTAGATGGTACAGCCTCGAAGTAGTGTTGGGCACATGTGAAGGGCTCATATGATGGACAGTCAGATGTGCTTTCACGGTAGCAGTTGCCATTCTTTGTGCAGTCTGGTACGCTTGACATGCAGGTGCGTGCAAGCCTTCGGATACCGACATCATGTTCCCTACTAGCTCCACAGGACATCGCGAAACACATACGCAATCGCCTGTGGCCGAGAAATAAGAACTTCTGCACCCCCTTGCTGTCCTTTTCTCGACACGCCAGATCCAAGCGACGATAAGGTGTCTACAATCGGACCGGATTCTAATTGTTTCACTCACACTTGGAATAACCTCCACCCGCTCGTTACCTATTCCACTCCACCTCTCTGCGTTGACCACGTCGCCCGTTTCGCACCCACGCGCTCCTCCATTCCATCCCACGAAGCTCGAACGCCACGAAAACGGACTACTGGATAGACACAGACATTTCGCTGCGATTGGGTTCAGCACGGAGAGGAACTGCCTCGGCAGAGAATTCACACAAATCGCGGCATAAATCACAGTAATGGGGTTCATACAAGATTTGACGAGGAAGCTGCCGTCTTCGCAAGATGGCCTGGACACGTTGGACGATATGTCGCGCCGAGCAGAAAAACTGTCTCCGCGATTATCCTTCTTTCGCCGGCGGATACGACTAAAGGGGAACTCGTCCGTCTCAATACCGCTGGGCCTGGTCCTGCTGTTCCCATGTCTTGTCATAATATTGATTCTGGTCCTCTTTGTGCGGTCGCCAGACTCGCAAGGCATCATGAACATGCCCGCTGGCACTCCGCCATCAATACGGTATGTCTTATCAAGGATATGCATTTTCGCAGGACACATAGCTCACAACGCGCAGAAAGATAAGCGACAAGTACGATAAGCCATTCGCAATCGGATGTCTCGAACCCCAAGTGAACGGGCCCCGCGCCAACGCTGCATTTGTTGTCCTAGCGAGAAATAAGGAGCTGGAGGGCGTCATACAGTCGGTCAAGTCGATCGAGAGGCATTTCAATCGATGGTTCCACTACCCCTACGTCTTCCTCAACGATGGCGACTTCAACCAGACGTTCAAGGATACCATACTGAATCACACCAGCGGAACGGTGGAGTGGGGTAAGATCTCGGCGGAGCATTGGGGCTTCCCGGACTGGGTTGATCCAGCAGTTGCAAAAGAGGGAATCGCAAAACAGGGTGATCGGGCAATCATGTACGGTGGTATGGAAAGCTACCATCACATGTGTCGCTTCTACTCCGGGTAGGCTTGCCCTCCTTGGCCATCTTAGTATTATGCTAACGCTCAGAAGCAACTTCTACAAACACGAATTACTGCAGAAGTACGAGTGGTATTGGCGTCTTGAACCAGAAATCAAGTATTTCTGCGACATCACCTAGTAGGCCCACTATAACCGCATACACCGAGCACTAACTGACCATATCACAGTGACCCTTTCCAGCACATGATTCGGCACAACAAAACATACGGCTTTACTATTGCCGTGAAGGAGCTGCGAGAGACCGTTCCAAACATCTTTCGATATGCTGCAGCTTACAAGAGGATGAATAACATTACCTCTCAGGGGCTCTGGGAGATGTTCGTCGAGAAGCCAAAAGAGGAGGATGAGAAGAAGCCCCCAAAGACCGACACTAAGCACAAGAAGCCTCTTCCTCAAGAGATTCTCAACTCGGAACCTGGAGCTTTGCCGGAGATTGACCCTGAAGCAATGGAGGGTGAATCGTACAACATGTGTCACTTCTGGAGCAATTTTGAAATCGCGAGACTGGACTGGTTCCGGAGCAAGGAGTACAATGATTTTTTCGAGCTGATGGACCGTAGTGGCGGTTTTTGGATGGAACGAGTAAGTACACTCATGAAGTGTTCACGAATGAATGACTCTAACAAACTGTAGTGGGGAGATGCACCGATCCACTCTCTTGCCGCTGGAGCCCTTCTTGGCCCTGCAGATATCCACTATTTCCGCGACTTCGGCTATCGACACACGACCATCCAGCATTGTCCAGCCAACGCGCCTGCGCGCCAACTACCCAGAGAACCCTATCTGGAGTTAACGACTCTGGACGAAAAGAAGCGTATTGAAGAGGACGAGTACTGGGCGAGTCCAGATCCTGTCAAAGAAAATGGTGTCGGGTGCCGTTGCAAGTGTGATACCGATGTCGTGGACGTAGAAGGCAAGGAGGGGTCTTGTCTTGCGGAATGGGTAGAGGTCGCTGGTGGCTGGGCGACTCCCGGCCTATGAAAGTTATGATGGTTAAGGTTTCCTTGTTCTTATAATACCCTCAGGGTGGCATTTGTAGGAGTGTCAGCGTTTGTTCCCACATCTTATACGGCGCGGAGGTGTTTATGTTGCATCTTGGTCGAAAGACCCCTTCTTTGGAGCACGGGGCAAGACGGGATTACACGGCTTTGGCGGATTGCGTTTCACCGTTTATATTGATGGCGTTTATGTACGAAGAGACACATCAGAGTGGTCTGGCGGCCAAAATCAATCAGCTGAGTAGTATTGGGCTCTTGATCGTTTATCAGCGTCTCCACTCGGTGAATGTTTGGCGATATCTAATCGCGGCCGCGGGTCCAACGTGGGGTATGACCAGTGATGTTCTAAACCCCTCCTTCTCCATTCGGAACCACAGCAACTGACCACTCGGTGCCTTGAATCCCTGCACACGTACCACAACTTGCACTCTCCTATACGTAAAAGCTACTGATACTCACCGACACTGATTCTTCCTCTCAACTTTCCGCGTTTCATTTAAGGTGCGTGTTTGTGTGGTTCCCCGCCTGTAGCGCTGGCAAGGCATCCATTCCACGCCCCGTGACTAGGCAGCGTCCGCTCGTGCTTTCACACGGCCAGCTTTGTTCTGGACTTGTTTGCCCCTCCGCAGCTTCTCCTGTCTCTCTACACTCTCTCACCTCATGGCCATTTGCTAATATGTCTTTCCACAGCTCTGAGTCGTCTGAAGAGTTCCGATACCCACCAGTTCACGTCAATCACTTGCTGTCCAAGCTCGACCTTGACACGCTGATGATGAGGTCGACTAGTCGCCGGCTGCCTGATGAGGCTGGCAGTTTCATTGACGACAGCACTTACGAACTCCTCGGAGATAGTCTTCTCGCGACCTCGGACGACGAGGCTCACACTGAGTCGATAGCATCCACCGATACCCCAACGCCCGATGATGCGTCCGAGTTCAGCGATGACGACGATGACTTTGAAACCCAGTTCAACGACGTCCAGCATAGCGTTGACTCGCTGAACGCCGAAGCTACCGAACAACAGCTCGACGCACACCTGCTCACAAGCGGAGATAGTAGTACCCTCACCGAGATACCAAGTCATATGGATAGTAGTGAGGACTCACGCAGAGTCAGGCTGGATGAGCAGCCTACGAATACGTCTGGTGTTGTTCATGGTAGCAAGGCTATCCGAAGCTTACCAGACCAGACAAGCGATCTGCCTCCGGTATTCATGCAGTATGAATGCTCCGAAATCAGGCTCGTTGTCAAAGCAGCCTTGTCAGAACGTCCTATGCCAACGCCAGACTCCTACAAGATTCTCTACGTGGGTATGCCTGAGCAATGGTTGGCGGATGTCATCACTTCGCAAATCGGCAATGCTCTCATTGCTTCTCCCAGCGCTTCAAGGTCAGTAATGGTAGGAGGTCAGATCGAGCCATATGGCCCCGTCATCCACACGTACCGATGCACAAGTCTTGTGTCTGTCGTCTCTGAGAATGGAGACGCATCTTATGCCAAGTTTAACTTGGACGATGGGAGGCACATCACGATTGCATCTCGACCCACGTCCAACTCCGAGACCCAGCCCGACTTAGTGATCTTCTGCCATCCATCGATCCCAGGGTCTGTTAAAGACGTCCAAGAGTTCGCTTCTGCTCGTGAAGTAGTACGGCGGCAGAAATTCCCCTACATCGACCTTGCTCAAGCTCGACCTTACGGCGAAGGCGTTCCGACGTACAACTCACACAGCTTGAGTGTATGTGTCGAGGGTCGGAAGGATCCCAGTGATGATTACCAACTGAAAGAGGTGCTTCCGCTCGATCACTATCTATTCTCAGAACTCGAGCCGTCCCAACTGAACCGGCACTTGGCACATATAAGTCCTCATCTGGCCATGCCAGCCTCTGGATCCGTTCCCAAGACACGGGGATCGGTGACTAGTGACACTTACCACACCCATACCAAGAAGATGCAGATGGCTTGGCCAAACCTCAAGATGTTACTCATATATATCGTTATGACGGGACTCGTCTCGGTCTACTTCCTCAACTCGTCCATCTTGCCTATGGTCATGCACAAAGTGTCTAGCATTAACATCGAGTCATTTTCGCCTGCGTCCGCTTCCATCTCAAGCGTTCCTCTGAGTTCAACAGTGTTGTCAACTCCGGCTATGGTTTCTGCTCTACCTTCTCCCTCTTTGAAACCTACTTCGAAGGATCTTGCGTATGTGCCCCCACAAGAGAAGCAATATCCGAAAAGCGAACAGGGAACGAAGAAGGAAGAGAATACCAACATCTTCGGTATTGAGATCACAGGTGAACACCAGTTTGTTCTGTGCCCTTCCATCGATCTTCCCAGCAGCCGGAAAAAGCCACAGATTCAAATTCTGGTTTCCCGCAACTCACAAACGGTTCCAGTACGATCCAACAGGTCCATCAACGGCGTATATGTGGTGGACCTTGAGCATGAGTATCCTTTAAGCCAGTTCAATGTTAGCATCACAACCCATTCTCGACCTACACTGCAGCAATCCTTCCATGTCGCACTAGGAAGCAAAAAGTCGGCATACACGCAATTTCTCAATACAGCCAAGCGAGGCCTTCGAAACACTCAAAGCAGCTTCTGGAACGTGTCTTCTACGATCACTCAGCAAATACAGGCAGGCTTGGTTGACCTGAACATCGGCACTCACCTGTTGGCCGGGCATCCGAGCCAGGAAGTCGTGAATCATCTGCAGGGCGCGAAAGAAGCTGTGGAACGTCAGTTGGCTGTTGGGTCTGAGGTACTCAAGCAGGCACCTGGATCCACTTGGATGGGCTTGAGGAAGGCAACTGCTCCAATCAGGACCTCGACGCCTGTGTTGAGGGCGAGGACGAATGCACTTCGGCTGCGATGCAAGATGGAAATCGCCGCAGGGTTATCTAGCAAAGACGTAGCGGAGGAGCAAAGCTGGGCCTGCTCTCAAGTGCGTGGAAACCCTCGGGAATGAATGGTGCGCATGATGTCAGCAACACGATGTGGGGAGGTTGAATGCGTTTTGCTCGCCTTTGGAGATTTGGTGGCGTTTGGCTGTTACATAGGCTACAGATTGTGGCTTCGGGAGTTGGATTGAATGGAGGCTGATTATATCCACGACAACGGCGAAGACTTATGGAACATGGTGTCGGCATTCTGGGATAGGAACACGAGAGAGGGTGGACTAAGGCGCTCGGTATCTGCATTTAGGTTCTCGATGGCCATGGTTGTCAGTCGGCTATATCCTGTAGTATTGCACCAACATACCCCCTTCTTATTATTTACATCTGTCCGTTAGCTGTTATATATCTTTGACTTTAACGTGGTGAACATGAACAATGATCACATCCAGTCTTGTCCACAAACCATGAGATGACGTCAGATTGCGCAAAAGTAAGAGTATGGTTACAATATTGATGTCTTACCTGTGAAGCTGATTCAGACCAGTAACGACATGCTTGCAGATGTTTCATGTTCGCACAGCACTGTCTAGGACAGTGCAGATACCTTTGAATAGCAGGTGAACTCCTTGCACGTGCTAACTATGCCATGCTTGTAGCGGTAAAGGGTATAGCGCGATTGTTGCCCCTCCATCTGCGGCTTCCACTTCTAAAATCTAGGGCTGTGTGCTCAACCCTCACAACACAAACACACCACTCGTGAAGACTATTCTTCCCTTTCGCGCCCGACTCACTACAACACCCAAACACCCACATCTGCAACAGCCTCAAGTATGTCTGACGTCGCGAAGCCAGACCCCGCTGCGGATCAGGCCGCCGCTCCTGGAGCGAGACTGGTCAAGGATGAGACAGAGAAGGTCACGACAGGTATCGCTGCCAACCAGCCTAAGACTGAGGACGGCAAGCCCATGACGGAGAAGGCCACAGAAGCTGCCACATCGGCGGCGGCTACAGTAAAGGACAACGTCTTCGCTTTGTTCGGTGGCGGCCCAAAGAAGGAGAAGAGGGTGGAGGAAGACGACGTCAACGAGCCCTCGGGCGCTTCAAAGCCCAAGACCACTGAGGTATGTCTCAAGCCTCTGGTGTAGCGCGAGCCATGCTAACGCACGAGAAGGACGAGAACCCCGAGAACGAGGAGCCCGACGTGGATTTCCAGCCCGTAGTCCACCTTACCGAGAAGGTCGACACCAAGACCAACGAGGAGCTCGAGGAGCAGGTCTTCAAGATGCGCGCCAAGCTGTTCAAGTTCGACAGGGAGTCGCGGGAGTGGAAGGAGCGAGGCACTGGTGATGTCCGGTTATTGAAGCACAAGGAGAACGGCAAGACTCGCCTGGTGATGCGACGAGACAAGACACTGAAGGTCTGCGCCAACCACTACGGTATGGTACAGCGTGCTTTGATGTGAGGGGTTGGTACTGAGCGTGAACAGTTGTTCCGGACATGAAGCTTTCGCCCAACGTAGGCAGCGACCGCAGCTGGGTCTGGAACGCCGCGGCCGACGTCAGCGAGGGCGAGCCCGAGGCTCAGACTCTGGCCATCCGCTTTGCCAACAGTGAGAGTAAGTGCCAGTCTTGCGAAAGGCGCTGCAGATGGATGCTAATGTACTATCGCAGACGCCAACCTCTTCAAGGAGGCGTTCATCAAGGCCCAACAAGAGAACGAGGCGCTCTTCAACACGACATCGGAGTAGACCCGCCCTGTTTGGCGCTTGGACACGTTGCGTTGGTTGATGGAGACGGGGGACGGGTAAATATGCATGCACGATAGCGATGACATTTTTGGGAGGGTATGATATCTCGGTGGTGGAAAAGGCCTCCCATACCCTGCACATTCTAGATAGTAACTAAATCAGCCTGGCTTCACAGCCAAAGGCATTTCCCCAGCTGGCGCCTGTTAGATTCCGTGGTGGCACAAACCGTGACATTGTGAGACAGCTCATGTCGTGAGCTCTGGGCGACTGACTGATCGACTGCATTGCATAAGGTGATGCACGTGAGACGCCTGCCTTTACTTGGCTCACTGCATCATCACACTGCATTTTGCTGGACCCCTATCGTTGCAGTAGTAGCTTCAGCTTCGCGTACACACGCGTGTAGTCGTTTGTGCCAAGCTTAACTCTGCCGCCCCGCGACTGCGTAACGTTAAAGCTCGCGACCAGCCACCGCGCCGAACTTCAACCTCCGCTGCAGAAACGCGCTCACCTCTGCACCTGCCGCCTTACTGTCGCGCATTGTCGCCCAACTAATCTTCACATCGGCGCACCACTCGGAATCAGCCAAAATGCCGGACGTGGGTTCTGCTTTTGAACGCGGTCGCGCCTAGTCAAAGAAATGCTAACTGTTGATCAGGTCAAGCGCTGGGTCAAGATCATCACCCACCAGAAGGCTACGTATGTGCACTCTACACGCGATCGCATGCGCTCGAAAAGCAACGCTGTCGTGATTCCTGCCTGGGCCTTGCATCATTCCACCGTCCACGCGTTCGCAATCAGCCGCTAACATGTGTCGTGCAGCAATGCGCCCTCAGAAGTAGAAGGCTTCCCCATGAGAGCATGGAGCATAGAGATCTGGCTTGTGGGTGGTGACGACCAAGAGGTCATGCCTACGGTCTTCGAGAAGGCCACGTACAACCTCCATCCGTCGTTCCCTAAGCCCAAGCATGGTGAGTGCCAGACAAGCAGGTACAGCAGGGAAAGGTCGCTAACTGGAGGGCAGTCATCAAGAAGGCACCGTTCCGCATCGACGAGAATGGCTGGGGAGAGTTCGACATGCAGATTGTGCTCTCGACCATCGGCAAGGGCGGCGAGTTCACGCTTGGACACGACCTCAATTTCCAGGCTGAGCGCTACGAGGCCAAGCACCAAGTGGTGAGTGCATACAGAACTGGCAACAGCAGACGGTATCATACTAACGTGAATGCGAGACCTTTCGAAACCCGAGGCCAGAGCTTCTCGCGTTGCTGCAAGAGTCTGGTCCCACGGACATGAACGGCGCGCGCAACAAGGACCCCAAGCAGAAGAAGAACAGGCGGGACAAGAACGTCGACATGGAGAAGCTCGCCGATGGTCTGCAAAAGCTGAGCGAGGACGATCTTCTCCAGGTCGTCACCATGGTGCATGACAACAAGACGAGCGAGACGTACACTAAGAACGACGTCGAGAGTACGTTATTATACTATTCGCGACACCAGAATACACATACTAATATTTTACAGACGGCGAGTTCCATGTCGACCTCTACACGCTGCCCGACTCGCTGGTCAAGATGCTGTGGGACTACACTGCCTCAAAGACCGAGTTATAGACATGCTTCCATTGTCTTGCTCGCAGTCTGGCTAACAAGAGCCGTAGTCTCGAGGATTACACGGGCATTCGAATGCACACGACCATCTCGACCGCCCCGTTTCCGCCTCTGAACCGCCCATGAACGTCGGAGCGCGCCCTACAGCAACGACGGGTGAAAATGAGCTCTAACGCATATACATGCCCCCCTCCAGCTCCCTCGGTGTTTTGGTTTTTCTCGGAGCCGTGTTTTTTCTTGTCCCGGTCGCATGCAGTACCTGGATATAAATGCAGCACTTTTTTCTCTCTCGTCTCTCGATCGAGGCGCGCTTTCCCCCTTTCGCGCTGAGCAGTGGAGTTTGGGCAAAAGCTGGGTGGTTATGTACCTGATCTGGCTTTTTCATTGGGTTGGGAGGGGTAATCTTAGTTTATCGGGTCTGATGAATAGGTGGTAGATCAAAATGATTTGGTTTGCCCTGAATCTCGTATTTTCTTGTCTTGGTCCTCGACATGGTTGTGCAGTGACCGTCTTTTACATCAACGATCCCTTCGCTGAGGCATGTGAACACCGGGCCCGGATATCGGTATGCCCTTTTCTCAACTTTATGTCACTGATGCTAGAGCTCCACACTACAATATCCCTCACTCCCCGCTCTTGACATGCAAAGGCAGAACCACCATTCGAGTATAACCACCCACTCAATCAGACTCCCCAACCATCGCATTTCTTCCTGCATCATTTGAACTGTCGCATCTCGTCTTGCGTCACGCATATCCCTACCCCAACCATATATTCTACACAGTAAATGTAACGCACAACTCTAGTCGTAGTATTTTCACTTTACGGTCCCGAGAGAAGAAGGGAAGGGCCATGACATCGTCTTTCATCCGATTGTGTATAATTTGTGATGTGTATGCGTCTACAAGAGGAGAGCATAACCGTCAAAGCTCATGAATATATGCACCAATGCCCAAGCCCGTCGAGTTGTTGTTTTTAGGTCAAGATACAGCAACGCACACATATGGCGAGTATTCGGACGTCTCTGGACAGGACGGCAGAGCAAAGGACTCATCTTGATGGTTCTTGTGGTTTTTTGAGACATTCGTAGCTAGGTGGATGGAATGTCCTTCCTGAGCGGGGTTTCTGTGGAGGAGCAGAGGAGAACGACATGCGTTTCTCAATCACTTGTTTTTACAACTGCGACGGTAGGCTTTTTAGATAGAGAAGACCCTGCAAAAGCATCCTTGTAGTTTGTGGCCATATGAGATTGGTTTTTGTAAAAGAGTTGTGGGCTTTTTGGAGGTTTCAAGCGAAGATAAGCATGGGCTACTGGAGAGTATTTTCTGGTTCCATCGGAAGATATTCTTCACTTTTGATTAAGTGGATGGGCAGTGTTCGAAGGAAAGAGAGGCAACTCGAGTTATTAATATGGGGCGGCAGAAAGATCATGGAAGCTCGTCTGTCCAAATTCGGTTATTCTTCTGTGAGATTCTCGACGCATAGATAAGATCTGGTAGCTTTTTGTTGGGCAAAAGGGCAGTGTGTGAGAGTTGGAAGAGAGGCAATCGGTTGAGATGATTTAAGCTTTGGACAACGGCAAAGCCATGCGAATTCATCTTTCCGGATTTGGTCGTTGTTCTGCGGAGTTTGATTTTGAGAAGTGGAGGGAGGAACTTAGAGCCCGCGGCTATGATGTTGACCTTTTTTTCGCTCGAAAGGGTGGACATTGCGCAAATTGCGTTGGGTTTTAAAGTCGAGACTGGGAGGGAACATGTTGCTGCTGGTGTCGCTATTGTTTTCAGGGTTTGAATTTTATTTTTATGCAATATTCGAATAGACCGCGTAATTTAAGTAGAGGATGGGGGAAAGACTGGCTGTGAGGGAAGGTTTTAATAAGCCACCAACCACCTAAGCATTCGCTGCAGTAGTTTTGGCTTTAAACAACGTGGTTGTCTTCAGAACCAGACCAGGAAACGACATGGATATCCCATGTATATGTTTTAATAGGAGAGAGAATAGGGGGTTTGTGTACGTTTTTGAGACCATAAAATTCTGACACTTTTCGACACATGTCTTCCAACCCTGATGACTTGAAGAATGAATGCAGGCGGGGAGAGGTGGAACGCATGGAAAAAAATACACCAAATCTTGGTGACTTTTTAGGAACAGAAGAGCAGGGCCATAATTCTTCATGTTTTCCATTTCAGTCATAGAATAATCCCGAGCAGGGAGTCAACATATCCTTTTGATTGTAGAGGTTTACAATAAGCCAGTGAAATACAAACATATTTGCATTCTCGGGACTTGGAGAAAAACAATGATAGACGAGTACTACTTTCGAAGCTCATGGACGTCAACATGGCGTTTTTCAACTAGGGATTGCCTTTTTGTGATGTAAAGAAAGAGACAAGACAGTAAAAGTGCAAGATTTTATACACTAGATAACAGTAGAATAACTTCCATCAGACAGTAGCAAGACCAGAGGATAGTTTTAAAGGCCCTCGACATAGCTTTGTGGGTGTACATGTTTTGGTGAGATCTCAAGACAGACAACACAACAAGATAAAGTAGCGGTTTTTAGACGTGTCCCCACGGAAATCATGTCAACTTCTTCTCCGAGTTTATTCATAAACTCTCAATCTCAAACACAGACATGAGCACGTTGCGCATAGCGTTTGTACACAAACTGACACCGTCGACATAATCGGTACATTGAGGGGCTTTAGTTTGATGGAGCAAAAAAAAATATCATATACAACAAACTCAAGAGACGTTTTTAGCAGTCAACATGTCTAGACCAGAAGACTATTTTTCGCCCCTCCCAAAACGGGGCACATATTGTCCTTTTGACTTTTTTTCTGTTCCCTAGATGACCTGCGAAGACAAGAATAACCAGAACAAGGAATAGCAGGCCTCGTAAAAGGCAGTAAAGTATAGACCCGATTAGCGCAGAACGCACACATGGCAAGTTTTGCATAGTTTTTAGACTCTCGACACCAACTCAGGACATAGTATTGTTATTCGGACTTTTGGAAACATGTGACGTTCGACGTCGTCGTTTTGATGTTTTGTAGAGGAACAGACAGTCAAGAGCGTGGTAAGGAGACGACAGAGGGAGGTTTTATACACCACGGACTCGCAAGTGCAGAGCAGACATGATGAGGCCACCAGACAGTTTTGGTTTTTGGGAACTAAATGATGTGCATAGATAGAAAGAGCCGGTGAACAAGCAGAAGACTTTATAGAATGCAGAGCTTTAGGCTCAGAGCATATCGGAACGTGAACCCATGTTTGTCTCCGCCCATGTCGCTTTATCCGAGTCGTGGATTGCAGAAAGAAAACATGTAGTATCTTACAGTGTTTTTTTGACTCTTCTCGAGACACACCATACCGCAATGCGACGGCAATTTCAGAATCTTCCGACCACAGAAACGAGACATAACAGTGGCAGAGAAGAGCCTCTGAGATACATTCTGTAAACGTTGAGTCTTGTTGACACATAACCAGAAATTGTGTAAAGGAAGAGGACATGGCAGGCCCGGACGATGTTTTCAAACTCTGGCATGAAGCAGCTAGAGATGCGAACAGCAGGAGCACATTTGGTAGGCAGAACGTTTGTTTTTGAGAACCTAGTGACTAACTTTGGAAATCTCGCGAAGCCACATGGGCGAGATCAGGTTGTTTTGTTCGACCAGACATGAGTTGAAAAGGCTTATACTTTTTAACGTGGCACAAAGACTGCCCAGACTCCATGGATGATGAGGTAGTAGAGAAGTAATTAAGTGTATGGCAGGCTTCTCGCACAAGCCGCATTCAGCCATTGCATGTTGTTTTTGGGTTTTTGGGTCACCTCCACATAACGATTTCCGCTTTATTTTGATCATGTCGGCTCGGAACACAAGGACGCAGCCATGGTTTTCCCAAGGCCCATTTTTTGTTCACATACACATTGAGCACAAAGGTTTTTGTTAAACAACCGAAATGTGATGAGAGTGTAGTGTCGGACATCCAGTGAAATAAGAAGAAATAAAACTTTTATACCAACACAGAACACAGAACACGACCACGCACAGCAGCCATAAGTCTTGCTTGGACCCATTTTTCGTCCTCGCGTCCATAGTTCGAACAACGTTGTTTTGTGAAGTATTGACTCAAGATCCTGCGGATGTCGGGAAGAAATAGTAGAAGGAAGTTCTCATGGCAACCACACGTTGTTGTTTTGAATAGATAGGAGTCGGACAAGGTCGTTCGTATGGAGTTTTGAAGAAGTGGATTCTCGCAGCACACATGCAGTTGGCTTCACTGACTCTGTGATTTGTGTTTTTCGGGTCGCACACAGTCGGTCCATGGCGGGCCATGTGTTTGTTTTTTCCCCCAGTCCATGTAACAGTTCTTGGAATTTTTGAAATACGTAAAAGAGAGATAGAGCGCAAGATACAGAAAAGAAGAACCAAAGAATCAGGGAGAAAAGAGGGTATATATACACATCTACTCGTCACGTGTAGAATTACAAAAACCAAAACATCAGCCATTACCTACACATAAACACACACACACTTCCAGATATCTGCTCAAGACTTCCGCCTACCCACCACCACCACCACCACCAAGCCACCCCCCAACCCTCTCCTCCAAAACCCTCATCCGCCTCTCCCTCCTCCTCGCCCAAAACGTCCGCAGCGCACCATCCTTCCCAGGCCTCACCCTCTGGTCAACAACCTGCCGTACAACAACCTCACGCAGCGCCCTCCGCTGTTCACGGTTCCGGCGACGCGAGAACCGGTGTCTAACCACCAGATGCCGAACCTGTCGTAGCCTGGGTATCTGTCGAATTATGCGCGTTGGCATTCTGCGGTTCTGCCCTCTCGCAACAAAGCGCCTGATAACGCGGTCCTGCCGACGCGAGAGGCGGCTGCTGGTTTTTGGATCCCGGACTGCGCGTTTCGTGAGGCGAAATGGTTGGCGTTGGCGGTGCCGGATCTCGTGCATGATGGCGCGGTGTTCGTTTGTTAGGCGGGCGATGATTCTGCTGCTTTGGAGATAGCTGTCGGTTGCGATGTGGGATGGGGAGGCTGGTGTGGATGTGAGTTTACGGATTGGTAGTAGGTTTTCGGCGTCGGTTGAATGTGTGGCTTTTCTCGAGTACATTGTAGCGAATTTACGGATAGGTAGTCTTCTCCTCCTTTTTGCCTTCTTCGTCGTATCGGTGGAGCCCACAGTGTCAACACCAGCTTCTTTGTTGTACACTCGCTTTGGGAGGTTAGCAATGCCACGAGGAAGTCTGAGTAAACTCGGGTACGGGTGCACGAAAAGCCGTTCACGGGTTGAATTTCTATCAGTCATTGTAGTCAACACGGTCTTTGCATCACGTCTCGACTACTTGTGAAATTAGAATACAAGGCTAATCTTCACTAGGAAGACGTACATTGTCCAGATTCTTTTCCAGCCTCACGGCCGAGAAGCGCGAAAAGGGCACGTCAACCATCGTTGCCCCAACCACCTGCATCTCGTCTTCTTTCGATTTCTTAAAGCGACGCGTCATTGTCAACCCCTTCTCTGTCAAGGCACCGAAGCTGCCCTGGAAGGCGATGACTTTCTTTTTATCGGAAGGAGTAGCGTGCTGCCACGAGCCTCCTGGGAGCGAGTCCATGGTGCTAGGAATGCAGCCGAGTTCCCAGGCCCATAACCCAGTCTCCGACGCCTGTGCGAGTTCATCGAGGTCGTTGAGCTCGGAGGCTTCTGACTTGGCGGCTGGCGTAGGCGAGATGAAGAACTGCATCCAATCCCCATCCCGCACAACAGGGGTCAGAACTGATGCAAGGCCCCCAGAACCGTCTGCCGTACTTGTCGAATCCTCACTCGCACCATCGGTCACGGGAACAGGATCCAGTGACAACAAACCTGCCTTCTTCCCCCACCCGCCTCCGCCACTTAGCACCCGGTGGAGACGCGCACCTTCTGCAAGTGCCGCGGATACTAAAGAGTTCCACATGGGCGGATCGGTTTTCCAAAGACGATCCCAGAGATCCTCATCAATCTTGTCTGGTCCTTTCTCGCTTGAAGTCAGGTTCTTGGCGAGAAGTCTTCTTGTTTTGCGATACACTTTCGCTCGTATAGAAGCTGACATGACCAGAGCCCAAGCGCTGGTTGCCTGCGCGGGCTCGCCTCGGGACTTGAAAAATTGCGGAACGACCTGCTCAAGCTCCGAGGAAGCCGTGATGGGTATCTCATCGGGGCCAATGAGTTGACGGATGATATTACCCATGCATCCTTCGACTTGGCGAGGGAGGGTCAAGGGTATCAGGGGAATGCTGAGAGCAGTGACCACCCTGTTAATCACATTTCGTCCAGCCACTTTGACGGTATGGTATGAGACGTTCACTTTCGAGTCCAAGACGAGTTGATTGCTCTTCGCAGGTAGACTCCAGGTTGAGAGGGTCATAGTGGAGAGAGTACCAGTCTGGAAGACAGTGTTGGCCAGGGGCAATCGCAAAGTGTCGGCATAGTAGCCAGAGTTGGCCGTTCGTCCTAACCAGGTGAAGTCAATGGCGCCCGTTTCGGAGGGCGATTGTGTAGTGATTGGTACAGAAGAATCGGCGGGCAGTGTCGCATAAGCAATGCCCTCGAAGCCAGCCTCGGAGACGGGTGGCTGCCTAGTACGTCGCGATGGCTCTTCGTTGAATAAACCGGCTTCTTTCAGATGCCTCCCTGCAGGTAGCTTGTCAACGACGGCGCAGAGGACGTTCACCCTGAAGCTTGATCGTTCCACAGCACTCAGCTTTGGCGTATTAGATCTGTAGAGCTTACGGACAGCTCGCTCAAGGAAAGTTTTGTCCTCGTGAAGCCATGGCACGAAAGACGGAGTCACCAAAAATACAGCGAAGGTCTCGGTGAGCCAGCGTTGGGGGAGAACCGGATTGATGTGGTACACGACGTTGTTAGGTTGCTGTGAAGGTAAGCGAGTGTCGGGGTTGAGATGTTGGCTTCCTCACAATATCGGTGACAAAAGTAGGGATGATGATGGCACTGTTGGTGGGGGTGACGTGACATCCACTATCATCTGTAACCGATTTCTTTATAAAAACCGTTTGCTTCTTTCTAAACGACTTCTTCTCCGCATAGGATCGTAGTGTCACAGCGACTGCATGCTGGGGAAGCGGTCGTGGGCGATACAAGGTGCGGACAGCAGCCTGCGCGCCCCTCTGAAGTGGCCATTGTCGCGCGACCAGTGGAGACATTGGTCGAGGGTCAATTGAGCATGGTGGCGGTAGCGCGTGGTGTTGAAGCGATCCATGAGGTCAGGACTTTGAGCCTCACGAGCTCTAAAAGTCGAGCTGACTAAGCGTGGATGGTAGCTGTGGCAGATGGGCGATGGGAGATGGGAGACCAGAGGCAAGAGCAACCGCCCACAGACACGCAAGCCCTCCTGACACGTGCCCGTCCAAGCATCGAGGGCCATCCTCCCGCCGTACCATAGCATCTGCCCTGCTTGACTCGCCCAACGCTGTGCGGCTGGTTCCTGTGTCTGTCGACGCCGTCTCGCCCGCTTGGCCACATCTCGCTCCTCCCTGCGCCGGACCGCGACCGCGCACCCTCACCACCAGCGCTTTTTCCTTCTTCTGATGCACCCCTGGTAGACCATCTCAGTCTCGGCAGCTGCGGTTCGCCTGCTCTCCTCGTCCTCCCGCCAACATGTCACGCTCGTTCCGACGCTCGAACCCCATCACCATTGTCCTCGCCGCCATCCTCTGCATAGGCTTCTTCGTCTTCTTCTTCTCCGGCGGCGATGGTCCCTCGATCGCCAAGGCCCGCGGCGGCACAGAGACGGCCTCCAATCCGCTGTCCCCGCCCTCGATGCCCTTCCGCAAGTCCAAGGCCAACGCTCCCCCGGCCGCGCCGCCCGTCGTCCACTACTACATGAACAACCTGACGACGTCGCGGACGCCCATAGAAAACAGCGAGACGGTCCTCATCCTGACACCCCTGGCGCGTTTCTACCAGGAGTACTGGGACAACATCCTGCACCTCAGCTACCCCCACAACCTTATCTCGCTGGGCTTCATCATACCGAAGACGAAAGAAGGGAACGCCGCATACGCTGCTCTGCAGGTGCAAGTCGCAAAGATCCAAGCTGGACCCAAGTCCAAGCGCTTCGCCGCCGTGTCCATTCTGCGCCAGGACACCGAGTCTCCGCTGCAATCGCAGGACGAGAAGGAGCGCCATAAGATGGAGAACCAGAAGGCGCGTCGTGCAGCCATGGCGAAGGCGCGCAACTCGCTGCTCTTCACAACAATGGGCCCCACCACGTCCTGGGTGCTATGGATGGACGGCGACATTGTCGAGACCCCGCCCACTCTGATCCAAGATCTCGCCGCCTACGACGTACCCATCATTGCGCCCAACTGCTTCCAGCGATACTACGACGATGGCAAGAAGGCCAACAGCGTCCGCCCCTACGACTACAACAACTGGATCGACAGCCCCACGGCGCAACAGCTGGGTGACAAGATGGGCAAAGATGACATCCTGCTTGAGGGGTATGCAGAAATGCCGACATATCGCAGCTTGATGGCCATGATGTACGATGCGGGCGCAGATCCCACTGCAAAAATCAAGCTCGATGGTGTGGGTGGAGCGACATTGCTGGTCAAGGCGGAGGTGCATCGGGATGGGGCCATGTTTCCCCCCTTCTCATTCTACCACCTCATCGAGACGGAGGGCTTTGCGAGGATGGCAAAGCGCCTGAATTGGGACAGCTTTGGGTTACCAAATTACCTTGTAAGCACACACATCCTGCACACACATCCTACACACCCAAGAGCTGTTCACTGACACGTACGCAGGTATACCACTATAACGAATAGACTGTTGGCTTTGTTTGTACGGCGGTCATTGGGCGGCGTTCACATGGACGATATATCTCTTATACTACTGCAGTCATGAGCAATGGAGACGCCTTTTTTCAATTGGACTACAAAGCGTGTTTTTTCGGGTATCATCGATAGCTCTGCTGGTGAGTTTGGGAAAATCGTGTCAGAGTATTCTATTTATCTGTTTACTTACTCATTCTACCCCGCGCTATCTCAATCCTCCTCCTGTAACAGATCTTCATGCTTTTCCAGTGCGAATCAATATGCGTTGACGATGGAGAGTCAAAGATAGACCATTGCAGCCGTGAGGATACTTCGTGAGTTTCGGTTCGTGGGGTGGTGATGGTGCTGGTGGTGGGTTCCATGGTTAGTTCTGCGTCGAGTTGGGTTCGCGATGAATGAGTATTGGTACAGGATAAGTACTGGTACAGCCTGGTGTCGCCCAAAGTTTGGCTCCCAGAGAATTATTGAATTCATAACAGGCTGAGTTCGAGATTCAATATCTGCATTCGCCAGCAACTCAATCCCACAATTCCTCATCAGATGCAGGGTGTGTACATGGTTACGGTACAAGCGAGGCTAACATCGTGGGGATACCATCCACCAGTCAGACACGCACCGTCTCCCGCTCCCGCATAGATCTCGCGCCACCGCCCCACACCAGCACGCGTTTTTAGATCCAGCCCGGACGGCGCAAACCCATACGCTACGATATCCATTGGGGAACAACCATGTCTCCACAACGCTCAGGCTCCAGACCAAGCGCAAGCACGCGTAAACCACTCCTCCCCATCCTCATAACAGCGTAACGACCTAAACCGACCCTGAACCGCACAACCCGCCGACCCGACCAACCGATCGACCATCCGAGAACCACGATCAACCATCACCTCACCTACGACACAAATCCCTATTCCTAACTCCTACCACGAAAGGCAATCCCCGCGAGAATCATTCAGCCATGGACGCCGCCCCCCGCAAACGCACCTCCGCCGACCGCGACCCCACACCCTCTTCAAACACGACAGACGAAACTCGCCCCATGATCGCATCCACGCACTCCTCGGCAAAAGACTACAACGCCATATCACCCGACCAGCCGCATGCAAACGGCTCGGCAATGCAGACGGATGACACGCGACGGGAGCGCGCAGAGCGCGAGGCCGCAGCGACGGAGCGCAAGGAGGGGGGTTGGTGGCGCGCGACGTGGGAGAAGTACGGGAGTGTGGAGTTGGAGAATAAGGGGAGTGTTGCGCGGGATCATTTGGCGTTGGGTACGTCGTATCTTTGTTTTGTATCTTGTGGGATTTATCTATACACGGAAAGAAGAAGAACAAGAAGGATTTATACTAACGCGAAACCAGAGCGCACTTACCTAGCCTGGCTCCGCACCTCCCTCTCCTTCGCTAGCATCGGCATCGCAATCACACAACTCTTCCGCCTTAATACCTCGATCTCTTCTTCGCCGGATAACTCCTCCTCTTCCACGACCTCCCCAAAGGCCAAACTGCGGCAACTGGGCAAGCCGCTCGGCGCCACGTTCCTCGGCATCAGCATCCTCGTGCTAGTGATTGGGTTTCACCGCTACTTCGAAGCGCAGCACTACGTGATACGGGGAAAGTTCCCTGCGAGCAGGGGGAGTATATTGGTGGTCAGTGTTGTGAGCGGGGTGTTGATAGTGAGTAGTTTGGTGATTATATTGGCGACTGCGCCGATGGCGTTCGAGACGTGATGATGGAGGGGAGGTTTGGTTAGGGGAACATGTCACGGGTGAAAAACAAGGTGGGGACGGGTTTGATGGGTATCTCATCTCGTCTCATTGCTTCATATGCTCCGTCTATTTTGTAGAACATTGTTCCTCCTACTATATGCTCGTTTGTCGCGGGTAGAGCAGAGGCATTGCAATCATCAGCGCGCTGATCGCGCATACAGCCGTTGTAAGCACGCTGTGTTGTAATCCTCGCATGTACGGCCGCGGTCAGAATCTTTCTATGACCCCTTGGTAACCATCTCCGTCATCTCTTCCGTGCTCTTGCCAGCCCTGGAGCTCTTGATAATAGTCTGGATCATGTCCTCGACATTGTCCCAATCACTCGTATCAATCGGGTGGAGGTCCGTCTTGAAGTAACTCGCAATGTCATGGAGTTGCTGCCAACTCGCCTTGTCGTGAACGAATGTGAGGGCAACACCAACACGGCCGAATCGACCCGTGCGACCGATGCGGTGGAGGTAGGTCTCTGGGTCTGCATCTCTGCCATTGGCCATGGTTGGGACATCCTATGACTAGTCAGCACCTGAGCCCCAAAGCAAAATCACCTCAAACTTACGTAGTTGATGACCATAGTCACCGACTGCACATCGATACCACGGGCAAGAACGTTTGTTGTGATGAGCACCTTGGCTTCTCCAGATCGGAATTGATCAATGACACGATCACGCTCAGGACCCTCCAATGCACCACTAAGCTGGGCAACCTTGTGGCCCTCTGCTATCATACGGCGTTCGAGTTCTTCGGCGGTTCTTCGCGTCTGATTCTATTAGCTACGGAACCCAGAGCGCATTGAATGACTACCTACCCGCACGAAGATGATGGATGATGCCTGTGTCATGAGACCGTAGAACTTGAGTAGTGTCGCGTATTTGTCGTTGTCCTTATCAATGTCGATGTACAACTGCTTGATGCCCTCGATAGTAAGGTCCTCGTGTGCCAGAGTCAGCACGTTTGCGTTTGGTGCGAACCGGTTGGCGTAGCTGATGACGTTTGGAGGGAATGTAGCAGAGAAGAGGACAGTCTGAGTCTCCTTTGGCAGCATACTACAATAGTCAGCATCAGCCGTAGCATGGTCGTCAAGCGATAGTACCTCTTGACACGAGTGCACTGCTCGCCAAGACCTTGCTGGTCCAACATGTTGTCCGCTTCGTCCAGCACCAAGATTTTGATATTGGCTTGGTTTATCAGACGCCTTCTGAGCATGTCTGTTGCCGTTCCTGGTGTGCCGACGAGAACATGCGCGTCAAACTTTTGTCCCCTCCTGGTCGGGTCGGGAATGGCAGCAAGAGTTTTCAAGCCTTCCATGTGCTGACCCATGTGCTGAATCACTCCCAAAATTTGTCTTGCCAGCTCTCGGCTGGGCGCGAGGACCAATGCTTGAGGTTGCACCAGACTAAGGTCGATGCGCGACAAAATGTTCAGGGAGAAGGCCGCGGTCTTGCCAGTACCCGATTGCGACTGGGCGATCATGTTCGTAGGCGGGTCGAGCAGGAGAAGAGGCAGAGCTTTCTCCTGGATCTTGGACGGTTTGCGGAAGTTCATGTGGCGGAGGCCCTGGAGAAGCTCCTGAGATCTGTAAGGGTCAGCTTTCGCTTGCTCATGGCTATCCTCCCTGGCTTCCTCTGCCAGACTGGAGGTGGACAACTCACAGCTTGAGCTCCTCAAAGGACTTGGCCGAGAACAGAGGGTTGTTGGGGTCCGCCTGCAGATCCGCAAGCTTCACCTCGACCTTGTACTCAGTCTCAGCCAAAGCAGAGCCATTCGCTGGCTCGCCGCTGCCATCGACCTGGGCCTGTGCGAGTGAATCTTCGGGGACCTGTGCGACTGAGCCTACTGGGGCCTGCGCAGCTGCATCTTCGGGGGCCTGCGCGACCGCATCCTTGGGAGCTTCAGACATGACGAGTCTTTAGATATGCGACTGAGATTTGGGCGTGTCAAGGGCGGCAGTCGACGTCCGTGGTGGGATGCCTGTTGTGGTGGACGCAAATAAAGCGACGTCCGGTGGGGCCCTCCAAGCTTTTAGGGAGCGTGGGCTGGAGCAATCGCGCGTGAATGCTATTCTCAGCGCAAACTTGAGACTGGCCCAAAGGAAGCGCGCGTGAGTGAAAGAAAAGTGTCAGGGTGTTGATTTGAACGTCAAAGCAACGCGAAACAGAGCTCCAGGGCGGGGAACTCGAGGCGGCAGGCGTGGCCGAGGCGCTAGCCTCTTCTGGTGACGTGCGTGAACAGCAGTCGCGTCCGAGATGCGGATGCGCTGCTCCATCCAACACCGCATATTGTTGATGTCATGGGCGGACACTGTCAACAGACGGTACCAAGCGCGCGTGTAGACTCTAAATATCCATACCCGTACCCAGCATAGCAGGAGACTGCGGCAGAGATCCCGACTTCCCTTCTCGGCGCACTGCCCGTCTGTCAGCCCTCAGAGCCCCACTATTGGGCAACCTTGGAACGAACACGACGCCAACAAGAGTCCGCGCACTCCTTCACAGCCGCTCTTCCAGAGTCCTGCTCTCTCCATGCCAGGGCGCCAATCGTCTCTCTACTAGCTCTTTACCCACGTCCTTGCCTAACTATGGAGCTCGACATCGCGCCCCAGTTCGGCGCGGAGTTGAAGGTACCTGGACCCTAGATTCCACCAACCTCAGGCTGTCGACTGACACGGACAATTCGCAGGACGGCTACAAGAACGTCAACGCCTGGGTACGTCCCCAATTCGCCCTCCATGCCCTGAAAACACATACGCGACCGCGCCCCTGGCATCACCTGCCGCGCCTTCCGTTCGAGTGCTAATCCACGAGACTGCAGGTCTCCGGCGGCATATCCTGGCTGGACGACATCCAGCAATTCTACCGAGAAAGAAGTGCCATAGAGAAGGAGTACTCGGGCAAGCTCAGTGCCCTGGCCAAGAAATACTATGAAAAGAAATCGCGGAAAGTGAGCAGTCTGAGCGTCGGTGACACGCCTACTGTCACCCCAGGCTCGCTCGAGAGGTACGATGACGACTTATTTGGTAGCGACTTCAGCTTACGACTGGCTTCATAGCGCGTCCATGACAACATGGGGTGTGCAGTTGAGCACCCTGGAGTCTCGCGCTTCAGAACACGAACAATTCGCGGGAGCCCTGGTCACCCAACTCGCCGATCCACTCAAGACCTTGGCTGGACGATACGAGGAAATACGCAAGCTTCACAGCGACTACGCTTCAAAGCTTGAGAAGGAGCGTGACAGCCAGTATGCAGACCTGCGCAAGATGAAGGGCAAATACGACAGCGTTTGCCAGGACGTGGAGAAAGGCCGAAAGAAGGTCGACAGCGCATTCGACCATGGCAAGGGAAAGGCGCGGAACGCCTTTGAGCAGCAGCAGGTTGAAATGCGAAACATCAAGGTATGCCTGGTAGCGATTGCGACTCGATGCAATATTGACCTCGACAGAACACCTATATCATCAATATCAACGTTACAAACAAGCAAAAGGAACTGTACTACCACTCGTATGTTCCTGAGCTTCTAGACGTAAGAACACTTTCCAGCATGGAAGACAGGTACTGATATGATTGTAGAGCTTACAAGACCTTTCCGAGACACGAGTTAACAAGTTGAACTCGATATGGTCTCTTGCTGCAAATATCGAGACGCAGACTCTCACGCGAAGTACAGAATTCATGAAGCACCTCTCGTCTGAGATCCCGCGCAACAATCCCTTGCTCGACTCCATGATGTTTGTACGTCACAACGCTGGTCCATGGCAGGAACCCGGAGACTTCCAATTCGAGCCTAGTCCGGTATGGTTGGACGATGGAAATCTTGCAACAGACGATGCTGCAGCAGTGTTCCTTCGCAATGTTCTGACCAAGACAAAAGCTTCGCTTGGAGATTACCGACAGCAACTAGAAAAGAAGCGCAAAGAAGTAGAAAACGCAAAGACTGTACGGCGCAATATACGAGAAGGAAAAGACAAAAGAGATGAAGTGGACGTGGTTCGAGCTGTGTTTGCTATCCAAGAGGTCATGCATGAAGTCGAGCGGCAAAAGGTCAGCGCAGAAGTTGAGGTGTCTACCATCACCTCAGTTGTAGGCGATCTCAGCATCGGCGCGAGAAACCACAACTTCAAGTCCCAGACGTTCAAAATACCTACCAACTGCAACTTGTGCGGTGATCGGATATGGGGGTTGTCTGCGAAAGGATTCGACTGCAAAGACTGCGGTTACACCTGCCACAGCAAGTGCGAACTGAAAGTGCCAGCAGACTGTCCAGGCGAACAGACCAAAGAGGGAAAGAAGAAGCTGAAGGAAGAGCGGCAAAAGGCTGCTCAAACCGTGACACCAACGAATGGCGCCGCGACAGCCTCTAATTCTGATATGCCGCGCTTAGCCAGAAGCGACACGGTCAACTCGATGAACACTCTCAGCTCGGGCTACTCTGCAACAGCACATAGGTCCATTTCTGGAGGAATCTCCCCAACTGTGGAAGAGCCAGTAGCGGAAAAGAAGGTAATAGCGCCGGCGCCTAAGAGGAACCGTATTGTTGCGCCACCGCCTGCACAATACGTCAAAACCGATGATGAACTAGGCTCTTCGACGCCAGCATCACCAGAACTCAAGGGCAGGATGTTGTATTCTTACCAGGAGAATGGAGAGGGCGAATTGTCTATCCCCGAGGGAAGGGAAATCACTATTCTGGAACCCGACGGTAGGTCTTCCGCCAATATGTCCCCCATGTTCCGATATCTTATCGACCGGTCACTCACATACGACTACACAGACGGTACCGGCTGGATGCGAGTCCGTGTCGGCTCCAACGAAGGCCTTGTACCTGCTGCGTATGTTGAGGTTCTGGCCGCGACACCGCCTACAACCGCATCGACACTCTCTTCAAACCGCCCTGACTCGACATACTCTGCCTCGTCAGCATCAACGACCAACCTCCACGCTGCCGCTTCTTCTTCCGCGCTTGGCAAGAAGAAGGGTCCGGCTGTGGCACCCAAGCGTGGCGCAAAGAAACTGAAATACGTCGAGGCTCTGTACCAATACAACGCGCAAAGCGATGCGGAACATTCAATGACAGAAGGTGAACGATTTGTACTCATCAATTTGGATTCGGGCGACGGGTGGGCCGACGTCGAAAAGAATGGAGTGGTGCGAAGTGTCCCCGCGAACTATCTTCATCAGGTGTAGACTTCCTGCTTGACGGTCGTGAAGGATATGAGCCTTTTTTGATTCCTTGTTTGCATGCATTTGAAGCGTTTAGGGCAAAATATCATCATTGCGGTTGAATGGAATTTACATACGGAAACTATGGTTCGTGTGTGCTCAGGTACGTCTTGATTGAATCTTGCAACATTGAACTGTATGTCGACAAAGTCCTAGATAGCTGCTAGCGAGGGGTTGTTTTCTCGTTCATCTTCATCTTCACGCAGCACCATCGTATCTCACCTCATTTCATCACATCACATCATAATCCTACCATGAACACAATAACCCACTCAATGGAACATAGCTGGTGGTCGAAACTGTAGTAAGAGCAGGGTTAGGCAAAGCACGAGCGGTTAACGAACCGTCGCTTGGGGTGAGTTGTATACGTGGGTGTAGCGGGAGATTATGCGTGAGGGGCTATGCGATCTGTGTCCGCGTACACAGGTAGCACAGTCTATTGCTCTAGAACCTGCTGGTGAACTGTATGCTAATACTTCAGTAATACAAGCCAATATTGGATATAGTATTCTTTTCTGCTAGCATAGGCTGGAGTGTCTTTCCTTCTCGCTTCTAGCGTTTCTCTAATCTAGCTGCTCTCCTCACTCGTTCATTGTTTTGTTACTACTGTCTACTGTACGCGTGTCTAAACGTGGCTCGCGTTGCTCACTCTATTTGCGCTGTGTACTCGCTTCTTACGTCATTTCAATCTCATTTCCTCCTTCACTTCAATTTCCTCTGCAAACAGAGCAGACCACTAATCAGACCCTGGGCTTGGCATCAGTACACGCACAACAAACACCCACTTGGGACTCTCCATCTCTTCACCTTCTCACTGCAACTCACACTGCGACAGAACAAGACAATCTTCCGTTCAGTCGTGGCTCACGGCTGCGTTCATTCTTCCGCTCCTCCATCTTGAGACCTATCTCCAATCCACTCCTTAGTATCGCCAGTATACTTTCTTTGCTCCTTCCATTCCAGGCACGCCCCACAGAACAACAAACTACGTCAACACAGGTCAAGCGCACCGCGTCATCCAACGTATTTGTAGCGCCCGAAGCCTTCGTGTTAGTGCCTGCCTGTACGTACCAGCGAGGCAAGTGATTGATTGTCTCATGCTCGCTTGAGTCACTGACTGACCGTGAGTACAGTTACTAGCAACCTCTTACCAACACTCGTGTAGAAGCAACAATCGACCATGAAGCTGCATATTGCTGTCTTGGTGGCGACTGCTGCAGCGTCTGTTGCAAAGCCTCATGCGCAAGTGCACCATCATGCTCACAGGGTTGATCGACGCATCGCTCACCCCGATGTGATTGTTTACGCCCCTACTTCTGTCGAGACTGTGGTCGTGTACGAGCTCAATGGTCATCCCATCTCAGAGGAAGAGGTGCGTCAAGGTATCGCTAACGGCACTCTCGTTTGGGGAGGCGATGGCATTCTATCAACTTCGACGAATGGCCCCGTAACGTTTCCGACGGCTGTACCAGTCCCAGACGAGCCCAAGTCTCAGTCGTCCGTGCAGGAGTTCAAGTCCCAGACGCAGGAACCCGTCTCTTCGGCTGCCCAATCGTCGCTTCAAGCCGCCCCGAGTGCGACACCCGAGTCTGTTTCTGCACCGCAGCCAGCCTATTTCCCGAAGACGGCCGCGGAACTGGTTGATCATGATGGAAATTGCTCCGAGTGTGACGTCAAGTTCCCCAACAACAAGCTTCCCTGCAATGAATTTCCCTACGGATATGGCGCAATGCCTCTCTGGCATGAGGGCTTGGGAGGCTGGTCGGGTATTCAAGACCCAGTCTACCGTGGTAACGATGGCTTCGATGACATTAGGACCGTCGTGCACGGCTCATGTAACGACGGCTCTTGCTGCGAACCTGGCACGTTCTGTTCGTATGGCTGCCCCAATCCTTACCTCAAGCTCTCCTTCCCCACCAAGCAGGGCAGAACTGGTCAGACTGTCGGCGGATTATACTGTAATGACAACGGTCTTCTGGAGATGGCAGATGGTGCACTCGGCAAGACGCTCTGCGGTAAAGGCTCTCAGAACATGACTGTCAAGGTAGAGAACAAACTCTCTCAGTCGGTATCAATCTGCCGCACTGACTATCCAGGTGAACTGATCCACTCGAACCTGTCCACAGACTACTAACTTTCCAAAGGGACCGAGTCTATGGTCTTCCCGCTCACTGTCGGCCCTGGCGAGACCGGTTTCCTGGCCAACCCCGACCAAGCCAAGTACTTCTTCTGGGAAGGTAAAGCTACATCAGCCCACTACTATATCAACAAGCAGGGTGTTCCCGAGAGCCAGGCTTGTACCTGGGGCGTAGATGGTAAGAACAAAGGCAACTGGGGGCCTGCTATCTTCGGAACATCCTGGGATGACATCAACATGAACATGGGCTTTTCTAGCTTGAAGCAAAACGAGCTAAACAAGGGAGAGCCTCTCGATTACTCCATCACCTTCGCGGGCGACAACGTCGTTAGCCCTTGTAGGTACATGAAGTCTACCGATCAGTACTGCCAAGCCGATGAATGCTGGTATGACAGAGGTCGGGGTTGCACGGTAAGTCAGATAGGAGTTTTAGATCAGACTATGCTGACCTTCTACCTTCCCAGGCTGCCATCAAAGCTGAAGGCACCCTCACCCTGGTTCTCACCGACGACTAGACACCGCCACGATCCAGGCCCTCCGATCTATTTCCTTTTTCGATTTTGTGTAGATTTTGGGTCTCACGACACCTTCAGCTACATTTTCAAATCAAGTGTCTCAAGTAGACGCGATACGGTCAATACTTTCTCATATTGAAAAGCTCACCAGCAAGAAGACAGGCCTTTCTATCGTACAGATCTCGACGACTTTTTTGGAGGAGTTTTCGATTCTCGAAACGACTACAACTCTTTTCGATTCATCGGCATCTCTTATGCGGACATCTCTTAGATGCTCTCAACGATTATGGTTACTCTTTCTTCCGCTGTCGAGCTCTCGAGATCTGTTAGTATGACTCCCTATTTTCTCTCTTTTCATTTGAATATACCCCTTCGACGGCTAGCCACCGTATGTTTTTCAGCCTTGTTCTTCTGCCTACGAGTCTTCTTCTCAAATGGAATGTCAAATGGGAAGGTTCTTTGGACGTGGAGGATACATGATGGGTGGAAAGCATGGTGCTGGTGTGTCTTTTTCTTCTTTTCTATGATCTTCGAGGGAAAAGGTGGATGGGCTCTGGGTCACTTATTGGAGACTGGTCAATTTTCGGATTTTACTTCACGACCGATACTCTACTTGTGATGGATGGACGGTATCAAACCTTTAAACTCCTTTCTCTGCTATGCATTTACTATGGTGATGACTCGTGAGTGTTCTTGTCGTCTGACAATAGTCTATGTGCACTGCAGATGTATCGTTCTGTAGGCACTTCATAGTTGCTACATGGAGTTTGTTCAGTATCACGAAACATACCAACTACCTCAAGATTAGCTGTGGTCAGTATGACACCTTGTATTAGCGAAACTTCAGGGGAATGTTTCGCCTGTTGCACATACATCCCCTCACGTCGTACTAAAAGAGATACGGCACGGTGTTCATTTATCTGATATGGTGTTTATATTTGAATCCGAACAAGAACTACCATGTCCCTTCATGCCAGCTGCCTAAAGCAGTGAAATTTATATACAGTGTCATGGCTACTACAAAGCCATACTTGAGCACTCAAGCATACATGCTGTGTTCCATAATCCATAAACTAGCACAAACCTCTTTTTCCCGCGTCCGTGTGATAAGTAGGCACGACGTCCACGTGGAAAATGCCGTCATGGGGTGTTGGCAGGTGCGCTTCCGCCGAGATAAAACTTTTGGTGTAGATGCGACAGGAGGTAGTTGGCGCTTAGTCCAGATAACTGTGCCATAAACCCATCTAGGGAGGTAGCATGGATCCTTGGGGGTATATGCAGATGCAAAAAAAGCATAAACATTGTAACTGAGTTAAGCAAATAGAATACACAATCGGGTTTGCAAGTCTGTGTTTATAACACAGTTCGTGCGACTTGTCAGCCCAGATGAATTGACCATATCAGAGTAAGCGCGAGTAGTCTCGAGATATTCTCGATTGAATGCCGTGACAAGTCTCAGGTTGGAGCCGTGTTGAAGTTCAAAAAGTGTGTCGAGTCATCCAGGTTCAGGTTACCATGCGCAATGAAATCGGGGAAAGCGTCGTGTTCGTTGATCGCCGAAGTTTCGAGGGGAACGCCGTTATGACCACCATGTGTGAGGCAGCCAACACACTCACAGCCATCACCACATTGGCAGGTACCCGTGGCGTCGCTGCAGCTGGGCAGGACCATCTGGTTCCAGAAAAACGAAGAGGGTGACAATGTATCGGTTTCTTCCTCGTTGCCGTCATTTGAACTCTTCGCAACAGGGGTCGCTAGTGATTCCTCCGCCTTTAGGACAAGCTGAGCATTGGCCGAAGCTGGTATCCGGTTTGACGTGTTTGCGTGAAGGAACTGAGTTTCAGGCGCGGATATAGTCGAAATCGAGGATTGTTGCCAAGGCTCAGAAACTGGTAATGGAGCGCTCGATATTGTTGACAAGTTCATGCTTGCCTGAAAGGCCATCTGTGCTGAAAAAGGTGCCTGAAGATTTTGAGGAAGCTGGTTGAAGGCCATGGGTTGACCAGCTTTAGCTCCGATCCTGGCTTGGTGAGGGTAGGCAGGTACGTCGTACAGAGGTGGCGCCATAGTCCCAAACCCGCCGGTATACTGGAACTGAGCCATAAGCCGTACGTATTCCATCATAGTAGCGTTGTTGGGATGGGCTGCACATCCGAAGCAGCTACATGATTCGCCGCAATGACAATTGTGTTCAGGAGCGTGCTGGCCCATATGCTGCTCGGGAACAAGCTGGAGTATAGGACCATGTATTGTGGGACTCATTGACATCGAAGGTGGTTGCTGATATGCTGCCGCTGCATGGTTGTATATTGGTGCGCCAAGACCGAACGGGTATGATGGTTGTGCAGATGTTTGTTGTGGAAAGCCTTGAAACTGTGGATTCTGGAATTGAGGTTGTAGCTGAAATTGAAATTGTTGCCCAAACTGCTGAGTGCTGCTAGGTTGACCAGTGACGGCCACGTTCGCTTGAGATTTCGAACCACCACAACAAGACTTGACTGGCGCTGGCGCTGGCTGTTGCTTGGGTTTGCTGCCACAACACCCTCCTTTTGCAACGGGCTGCTGTACAGGCTTCGGCTTACAACAACTAGAAACACTCTCTTTTTGAGCAGGGAGTAGGCGAGGAGTAGAGCTTGCACTGGATGGAGGTGATGCTTCGATACTGTTGCTCATGTCGGTTGGTGTCTGAGTGAGCGATGAAGTATCGGTCTCGGTGTCTTGACTGGCTTTCATGGCTCTCTCCAGAGACAAAGGGTTGATCGCAGTAGATTTTCTTCTATTCTTCTCGATTCGACTGTTGCCAGCAACAGGTGCAGTCGCCGGCGATGCGCGCTCTGACGGACAAGCGCATTCTGAGGACTTTGGGATGGTGTAGTTGATGACAATACGCTCGCAGCTACACGATCCACTAGGATGCGGACAGCTGCTCAATGGCCGACCAGGTTTTCGAACCTCGACGAGCACTCGATCCCTGTGGTCGCATTTTGAAGAGCGATGTCCTCGGATGCATGGGCCGCTGTATGAACGTCAGTAGATGCATCATGAAAGATTGCATTGTTTCGAACAATATGCGAGCAAAATATCGCTACGTTCCGTCAAGCGTCGATAACTCAAGATGTCACTTCCACATTGTTTCAATCAATCCAACTAAGCGAGCGCCTGTTGACGGATTCGCTGATGAAATATCTTGATGTTTGTATCATGACTACGGACATGATTCCAGAATTTGAAGAAGAGATGAACATGGTGTAGGTCGGTGAGAATTGAACTGAGAGAAACGTACCAAGCGACCTTCTTGCGTTCTCCATTTACTTCGGCCCACATGTTGCGGGGCTAAGACGACAACAGCGAAACTTGCTCAATCCGCAGCAACTCGACCAGTACCGGCCGACCGTGTAATTGTTACAAGTAAGCAGGGTTGGTGGCGGAGGTGAGCGTGTGTTCGAGCTCGCGGCGCACAGCGCACGTGAAAAGGAATGCGGAGGGGCTCGGTGGCGTGTCCCGTGTCCCACTATATTGGCGATGTACCCCAGGCGAACGACGTGGTCGTACGGCGAAGCGATCGACTGGGCTCGAATATGGCCTGTTGTAACAGTCCGGGGGCAAAAGTAGAGCTTGCTCGGACCAGGTCGGGCTTGTGCAAGGCGCAAAGGGTCCAGTTCCCGTGTGGCTGAAGGTCTTGATACTGGAAACTTGGCCTCGATTACCCTGATGGTTACGTGTGATAGACGCAAGTAAGTGGTAGTCGCCGGAAGCACGTGAGTAGGGGGCCAGCCCACGCGAACAGGTCGGGCTGTTCTTCTGTTGTGTTGACACCTCGCAAGTTGAACAGAACCGAGTCGGTCGGGTGCTGTAGCCCGCAGAAGGATCGATTGGTAATATCTCTGCTTGGTGAATCGTGATACCCGCCCATAAGCTCTTCCGTGAGTTTCGTTAGCGTTGAGCAAGTTTGACCGTAAACAGCTTAGGGTGTATGAAAATAGGCTAGGGTGTTTGGAAACGGCTTTTGGGTAAGAGAAGTGTATTGAGGGAGAAGAGCACTCAAGATATAAGAAGCGTGAAGCGCCGGAAATATTAAGAAACAAGGAGCGCGGTCTGGCAAGCGTGTCTGATACTCGACCACGGAAGGCCCCTGCGCTACGCGACGACAGTCTGTTTAGCGGAGCGCGTGGAGACTTCGCGGAGTCAACAGAAGTCCAGTTAGGTGCGCGATGCTACAGTCCCAGAGGCCAACAAGAAGGTTTTGATGGTCAACGACAGCGACTGACGTTTTTGTTCCAACGTTCATCTGGGAAGGCTAGGCAGCGGCGAAACAGTCGTCAGTCAGCGGTCCGTCCCTCCCTGTTGTCAGCAGGGCTAGATATTCTCAACGGCCCTTAGAGATGCAAGCAGTTGCAAAGCAACTTGAGCCTGCTCATGTAGTCTCATGCGAGTGCTAAACAAGATTCTTCCGGGGCGAATGTTCACGAACTGTTGCTGCTGCACTTCGTTAGGATGATAGACACGTGACGTGATTGGTGCACAGGCCAAGTGGCTAAAAGTGGCTGATTGTGGCTCGCCCAAAATCTGCAACACCTGCCAAGCCACCATCTTCGTCACAACTTACCTTTCGCGATGGTTTCAGAGGCTGACGAGGGTGGCTTGGACCTCTTTCAGGAGCCTGCTGATTACTACGAACCAGAAAAACAGGCAACCAGTGCTTCTCACCAGCTGCTTTCTGGAAAGCAACTCAACGTGCGGTTGGTTGGGCATAATCCATTGTGGGTAAGAACCAATTCATCCCAGATATCAAGGAAAAGCAAGGACCATTTCTTCGTCATGTGTTTTTCTTAGCATGTTCTGGAAGGCTTTGAAAGGCTGTTCTCTTGTCGACTCCACGTTTTCACTGTAATCTTTCTGGTTTCGACGGTGTCACGGGGGGTTCGACACGGAAACTGACGTGGCTAGGGACATTTTCTATGGAACGCAGGACGAACAATATCGGCATATCTGGAAGAGAAATCAGAAGAACTCGTAAACGGCAAGACGGTACTCGAACTTGGCGCTGGGGCTGGACTTCCCAGCCTCGTCTGTGCTCTAAATGGAGCCTCTCAAGTGGTGGTAACGGATTATCCTGATGCTGAGCTGATTGAAAATTTACGGTACAACATCGATCACTGTGATCTGCTACCCCAACCTCGAACCATTGTTGCTGAGGTCAGTGAACTTGCTCACCGCATACAACGTCACTGACTGTAGCCCAGGGTTATCTGTGGGGGGCACCTGTTGAGGAGCTAATGAAGCATCTATCAAACGAGAAAGGATTTGACACACTCATATTGGCGGATCTTCTGTTCAACCATTCTGAGCACGAAAAGCTGGTCAAGACTGTGCAGCTTACTCTAAAGAAGTCAGCTGCCTCGAGAGCCTACGTCTTCTTCACACCATATCGCCCATGGCTTCTTGAGAAAGACTTGGCATTCTTTGATCTAGCTCGAGAATCGGGCTTCACTGTCACCAAGACATTCGAGAAGATCATGGACAAGGTTATGTTCGAGGAAGATCCAGGTGTGAGTCGATTTGAAACTGTTTAATTCCAGTGACGAGCTGACTTTCTTCAGGATGAGCTTCTTCGTCGTACGGTCTATGGTTATGAGCTTAGTTGGACAAGCTGAAACCTTCAACAAGACCTATACTTCCGTGGACGATATATCGCTACGAGGGGAGTCGAGTCAGACCCGAGTCGGATGTCTTCGATGCTTGCTTCGACTGGGCGTATCAGCATAATTTGCAGACTCTTCGAATGATTGGCTTAGGGGGAAACACGGATTCCCACGCTCCCATCCTCGTTTCCAAAGCAGCACTCAGAACTGAGCGATACGTCCACAAAAGCGGTTCAATTCCAGAGAAGACAAAACAAACCCAGAAAAATACTTTTGCTGTCGTGTTTCTACCCATCGCTGAGGACTATGTGACGGCACTACAGTTTTAAGCAGTTGAAACCTTTGTTGAACAGCCTCATTCCACAATGGTCCTATCAATATAAGAGACAACTTTCCATAATGCGTTCCCCTTCTTACAATCTTCATATCCCGCTCATCAAGCAATTCTTCCACAACCTGCACATCAAATTATTTAGTCTGAGTACTGCAGAAGTCATGAAGAGGTCGCACATGGAAGACCACATTGTAACTGTGCAAGTCTGTAGTAGACACACCCATAACCATGAACATGTTGCTTCCATCTCAAGAAGCTCGCTTAAACAGCATGCACCTGATGTAGTCCATCTGATCACACAACCCTCGCACACTGACAACCCGCGGCTTCAGCTCCATCTACCATCTCTCGAGCACGCGCACGACATCGAGATCCCTGCCCTACAAAAACTGTTTGAAACTTGGGCACAGCATTCGTCATATCAGATCCTAGACGAAGCAGCTCTCACATTCCCGACTTTCAGCGACAGTGTTCTCCTATACCGCGCGCTGCAACTTCTCCGTAGTCCGCTAGCTGTGGGCATGCAAGTCCAGCTCCTCCATCGGACTCGTACTGAACCACTGGATGAGGTTGACGTGCAATGTGTCTGGTGGGCGTTCAAGCACACGCCGGAGTGGAGTGTGTGGCTGCATGCTCTTATGGGCAATATTGCGGGCTTTGATTTGCTTGACAAGCAGCCTACTGGTGGGTACATTCGCCACTTCATGGAAACGGAGTTGCTGCTGTTGACTACTACCGAGCGTGACGATATTCATTCCATGTACAAATGGCATGCGCGGTTGGCCCGGCGGTCTACTCATCATATACCGTACTGGCGTCGAATGTTTTGCTGGCTGTTTGGTTAGATGCGACCTAGCTGATCTCTCGAACACGAGTCAAGATATCCTCGAGACTATCTTGTCCGTAATAGTACTGATAAAAATTAACGTGTAATCTTCTTTTAACTTTTTCTTATTCATCGTTACTCATAGATTTCCAGAAGACATTTTTCCTCCTCGAGTTTATCTCGGAAAATGTTCACTTCTTGCTGTTTCTTCAAAGTACTGCTTTCGAGTTAGGACTATTGAAGTCCGCACTGTTTTTGGGCGTGCGAGAGGAATTATCGCAATTAAGGGGGAAAGTATATTAAATCACTATTCATTTCTCTTCCTCTGTCGTGTGTCGAACGTTGTAAAACACACACTGTGTCCGCTATCGTTTCTAGAGCTCTCTGTTCGGATATCTGTATTGACCAAAAAGACGACCCTCGCTCATAAACTAAGGAGACAGGAAGCCCTTTGTTGAAAGGCACAAACATCACATTTTCAAATCAGCAGAAGAGGTAATATAGACCACAACAACCCAGACTCGCTTTATTTAGCTATGACACTCCGTCAACGGAATAGCCCCACCCCCTCCCGACTAAATACAACAACGAATAAGTTCTAAAGAGGGTATAAGTGAGAAAAAACAACAAACAAGCATCATTAAATCCACCAAGAAACCCGCCTATACCATTATCCCCCCGATCGTCCGCCTACCAACCACCAACCAATCCCCGCCAAAAACTGTTACTCTCCACAACATGTCTACTCGAGGTCAGGCTTGCCGAGAATACCGCGAGCCATGTGGCGCTTGCGGAGGTTGTACTCAACCGCGCGCTTCTTAGCCGAAGTCGACTGCGTGAAGGCGGCGGAGCCACCAAACGGACCAGCAAGCGCGGAGTTCTGCATGCGGACGACGCAGACGTTGGTCGCGCCGCCGGCTGTGCCCGTGCAAGTCATACCGGCGGGCATTTGCACCTATGTGTGTTAGCTATTGTGTGGTGGGGGAATTGGAGATGGTGAGAGCATACCTTGACGGGGAAGTCCATGACAGAAGCGGCAGATAGACCGCCGATGCCGATGCCAGGCACGTTCTGGGTCACGGTCGCGTCCTGGAAGGCGGCTGGGTCTGTGCCGGCGGAGGTAGGGTCGATCTGGGCGGTGAGGGGGCCTGCGCCGTCTTGGTTGACTTGGTGGAAGGTCATCGTGATTGTGCCGTCGTCAGCTGTGGTGGGAAGACCGGAAGAGGCTCCAGAGCCTGCTGCCGCGGCGACGCCCTTCTCGGTCGTACCCTTGGCTGTCTTGGTTCCGGCGGCCGCGCCTCCAGCAGCGCCGGCACCACCACCAGCACCGCCGGTGAGGGCGTCGAGCAGACCACGCTTGGTTGCAGCGGCACCGGCTTTGCCAGCGGAAGCCTTGCCAGCAGCAGCTCCTGCAGTAGTGGCCCCACCAGTAGTAGCTCCTGCAGCAGTCGCTCCTCCAGCGGCAGCTCCTCCAGCACCAGCTCCTCCAGCACCAGCTCCTCCAGCACCACCCATGAAGGTAGCAATAGCTGCAGCGGCATCAACCGCGCCTCCACCCTGCGTACGGCCAAGTGCGGAAGCCTTGCCACCCATCTCCCGAGTGCGGATGATGGAAGTATCCGCCTCAGAGCCGCAGCCGGGGGAAGCGCAGTCACGAGGAGTGCCATCTGCGACTGAGGAGTTGTCAGAACCATGAATGATGAGAAAACTGGAAGGTACTTACCGGAAAGACCAGGCATGACTACACCGTTGGCACCAGTGACCTGAGTGATGACACCGTGGGCCTGGACGGTGGCGGTAAGAGCCGCAACGAAGGCAAGAGAGTAACGCATCTTGATGGTAGAGTGTTGGAAGGGGGTGGGATGATTAAAAGTTGGTTGGGTAGTTGATTGATAGTGAAGGATTGAAGTTGAGCGAGAAAATAAGATATAATAGAATAGAACAAGCGACCAGCGCAAGAAAAGTAATTAGCGAAGAGAGAATGGGAAAGCGAGTCTGAACTGTTGATTGTGATGATTTTCCCACAGAGGAGAACGACATGCCTTATATACTGCATTTCATACCACTACAACACCCTCCCCCCCACCAAAGCTTAGCTAAACTAAGCTTCCCTGGCGCAAGGGTGCCGCACCTCCAAACGCTGGGAGCCATCTGCGGCAGCTTCAGCCGTGCAGATCCCGGTGTCCAAACATGAAGATGGCGATGGAAACCAGCCGTGATACTAGAAGCACGGACTCGGCGGGAAAGACTGAGACGATACTGGTCGAGCGATCACCCCGAGGGAGCCAGTATACCCGGACCTGCTGGATCATGCGCTACGGGACGATCTCCTCAGAGTCCCGAATGAGGAAGTTGCTGGCCGGAAATGGGAGATGTGTATTGTGTTATCGGAAGAGTACTTTCGTGTTTGGCATTCGAGGAAGAAGAGACAGATAAGTGTGTCATGATCTACGGGTTTGCTTCAACTTGACTTGGCGATCCTAAACAGCGAGTCTTGAGTAGTCAAGTGCTCGATGGTATAGAAATAGTGCGTTATAGTCGACATTGCGAGGCCGCGAGGATGACATCATGTACATTCTGATTTGCATCAGGCGACAAAGATCATTTTCCAGTTCGTGGGCTGTACACAACACTGCTTCTTCCGCGGCTCAAGCTGGAACTGGTGGTATGAAGATCGATGTCAGGGTTTCAGTCGCGGGGCGTGAAACTATATGGGTTAGAAGCGGTTGTGGCTTAGCGCTTTGGAGGTCCTGTTTCAGAAGCTCCAAAACCTCCAAACAGCTTCAACAACAGCCATGATACATCTTGCTAGAACCATCTTGCGACATTGCGATATGGTAATCGTGCGAAACTTGGAAATCGGACGTCAGATCAAGTCGCGCCAATCTTGAACCACGGAGCACAATGTGGCATCCGAACCGAGGCGGTACATTCTTCCCTCCTCAAGACTGGTTTCAAAGATTCCGACACGCCTCAAGAAGTAGCGAACAAGTCTCCAACGACCTTCCATTGATTCACCGCGATCTGCATGACAATGATCTGCGACAGCATCATTGCCTAGGACCTGTTGCAGACACAGAAAATAGCCGCCCAGTTCTCCAACTCAGGCGAATCCCCATCACTCTTCAACCTGTCACGGGAAGAGCATTATGTTCTACACACCCTCCTTCCCACCCACACCTCCTTCAACCCATCTCTTGAACTCCCTAACCTCTTTGATCCACACATACCGCACGCAAATTTCCTGTATCTCAAAATACAGCACTTGCGCACCAACCAACTCCTTCCGAATCAAGTTTCTGACAAAGAGCAAAAGCAGCTTCACGGCACGGCTCTGCGCCTCGCGACCATGATCGACAACCTCTCCCGCTGAGCCTTGCACAACTGGGCCTGAGCCTGGAGGACGTCCCATTTGTTCGATGGAACGCAGCGAGTGCTGTATGTAGGACGTTATGACAGGCTCGGGGTCGATGGACTTTTCTTCGAGAGCGTGGTCGACGAGGAGGGTAGTCAAGAAGTCGAGGTAAGAAAGTTCGAGAGGGAGATGTGTGATCTCCAGGACTGTGGGTACAGGCGCGGTCTGCAGCTTCTCAAGGATGTCCTGCTTCCACTGCTGGAAGTCGTTCAGTCGAGGACTGCCATACGTCTCGGACGGCGTTGGCGCGGCCGTCGAGGGTGGCGTGGGCAGAGTCTCGTGGCCATCAGGCGTGGCTTCAGGTTCAAGTATGCCCTCTTCGACCAGCATACGTAGAAAGGGGGCTATGTCGAATGGCTGTGAGTCGAGATAGACTTGTGTAGGCGTCCTCACAAAGGCGTTGTACAAGTCCCTCGGCGACGTCCCACAAAACTCGCTCGAATCCTCGTGACGGTTGGCTCGGTGGAGCATTGCCTTGATCAATCCCACCCTAGTCAGGAACATCATCTCCGTCGTTATTCCAGGCTCTGTAGCGTGTGCGCGCCCCCGCGCAGCACTCGACGCCGCCCATGGCAAAAGGGCATCCACCCAGTGCGTCAAGAACGGATTGTGCCTCAGCGGCGTGTTCTCGTTCAGGCGCCAAAGCCGGAGCTCACAGTTGACCAGTAACGCCAGTGTGTTCCAGCTCGGCGCCTCTCTACTCGTTGCCTCGATTGTGTCGAGTGTGTTCTTGATTCTCATACTCTCGTCGAAGCCACTTTCGAGGCCGTCTTCAACGCCATATGGTGAAGTTCGCTGTTGCAAACGGGTTTCTTGGAGATCTTGCTCTGCCACGGAATATTTCTGGTCTGGGTTGCAAAGGACCAGCGTTTCTGCAGGCACCAGCTGGGCGTGCATGTTCATATTTGCTGGTATTTATATCGCGCCTTTCGACTCGAGCGATAGTGATGGTCAGGGTAGGGTATGCTGCGGTGGGAGAAAGACATGTGTGCGGGCCGACGAGATGTCGCAATCTTGAAGCTACGAAGGCGCGTTGAACTCTGAGGTGGAACGCGCACGCCAAGCATCGTACCTGCCCAACTATGACGCACAATTGTGAAAAGTGTAAAGAATGGTGCAAATGAGAAGTGATCGTTAAAGTTTGATATTGATTGCTGTTTCGCTCGCTAATACACGCCAAATCTCCACTCGAAGACAAATATGTCCCAAGAGAACCAAGACGCCATCATGAAGTGGTAGTCATTAACAAAGCCAAAGCCAAGACGACACTCCTCCAACCAAAAACCTCCAAAACATCAAAACTATTCGATGCTAGACATACGCCAGTGGGATGTATCGGTGATGACGGTGATTGAGGAGGTCGCAAGCTCGACGTTGGCGAAAGAAAAAGTATGGGTATTATGAAGTCATCGTCGAAATGTCGCGCCGTCGTGATTATGTTGCGACATTATTCGTTGTTGCGCGCAGCCTCTAAAACTTGAGGATAATGTACAAGGCGTGGATGATACCCTGGGCGTTGTCAGTAATCTTGCTTTGTGTAATGATGATCCGGTGGAACTCACGGGAATGTAACCCAAGACGGTCAACAGGATGTTGATGAAGAAATCGGCACCGCATCCACGCTCGAGGAAGACACCGAGAGGAGGAAGGAAGATGGCAAGGATGATCTTGAGGATGTCGCTGTACACGTGTTAGCATTGTATACTGGTAAGATTCGAGCGTTGTTTGTGGACATACCTAGCGGTGAAAGCCATGGCGAAGGTATTGCTTTGGGGTTGGTAGCTGAGGTGGTTGGTTGGTTGATGGGCTTAGAAGTCGTTTGAGAGTTCGAAGAAGTGTGATGTATGTTTGTGACTTGTGAGTACGGGGGAGACACAGCGCATATTTAAGGCAAGAACCCATGACCAACGAAACATGGAATTCAGGCATGACGTAGCCAAAAGCACCGGCGCCGCGTATCCGAACAGGCGCCACAAATAAACCAACACCAAGCCTGCTCGCCCCATTGCGGCCAGACCGTCGCAGCCACATGCCGAGCCAGCCTCCGAGACTTTCGTGGGGAACGCGCACGCAGCACGTAACCGTTGACGAGTGGTTGGAGGCTGAGCTGCTTCCTGTATGCTTGGAAATCCTGGAGCGAGGCTGTCTTCGCGCTCGGCGTTAGCTGCCGCCGACCAATCCGCAAGATGACGCCACGTTTTGTGGCGCATACGTCAACCAAACGCTGTTCGTGATGAATGATGTCAAGTCTCGGCGGCAGGTTTTATTCCTCGATGGCTATCCGGTCGATCCGGCTGGATTGAAGAGATATCGGGAACCATGTAAATTGCAGAATGACACAAAACGTGCCCTGGAGGCGTTAGCCTACATTTACGATACACGCAGCTGGAGACTGCTCCCTCGAGGGGCTGAGTATCCAAGAAAACAATCTTGAAACCCCGGGAATAGTCAATAATGTGCGGAATTTGAAGGTATGCAAGTTCGTCCCCGGAAGAACCCGTGTACTGGATTTGTTGTGATTTTCGTGCAGACGCCGGCATCAATTAGCGGGTGACTTTGCATATCATTGCATGCAAATCTCTTAGGAAATTGTCATTTTGAGTACCTCATTAACCAGTCTCTAGCGCGGCAGAGAAAGCGGGAAATAAGCTAATGGTGAGACGCGACAACGAACAGGCCAAAGAACACCAAAATATTGTAAAAAAATCCGTTGTTAGATAGATTCAAAAAGGACTGGCACTCTATCAGCTTAAGCATGTAATATTTTGACGTTATTTGTCCTGTTTGTGTATATAATGGGGGGAGCGTCAGTGTACCCTATTGCTACCTTATTTCCCACTTTCTCTGCCTCGCTAGAGCCAGTGTTGGAAATCTGCCTCGTTCCATTTCCGTATCAACAGGTGGTACATGGCGCATACTTCAACCAAACACCACAAGATCTCATCTCACAATTCCAAAACGTCAAAACTTCCTTCAACACGCAGCTCACTAACACGCAACAGACGAACAAAAACCAAAAACACTCAAACATCCATTCATTCATTCGAATCAAGCCCGGTCTAGATATATCTACTGCTGCGCCTGCTTCTGCAAATCAACCTCCACCCCCCTCTGCCTCGCCTTCCCCTCATCATGCTGCCTCAGCGCCTCCCTCCTCTGCGCCTCATTCCCCGTCAGTCCCGCCACAGCCCCCCCAACCGTCCCCCCAACACGATCCCCAAACCCCTTCCCCAAATCGCTCAACTGTCCCTGCGCCTCCTGCTCCTTGCCCGCCCGATTCTGCTGAATCCCTTCTTGCTTGAGGCCCTCTGCGCCGGCAAACCCACCTAGCGCCTCTTTCGCAGCGCCGACGTTCTGGTTCCAGGACCCGGCTGTGCGGTCCGAGTCGTCTTTTGCTACGCCCCCCGAGCCCGAGACGGTGAAGGGACCGGCTTTGGCGGCGGAGTGGGATAGTGTGTGTTCGGCGGAGGCGTTGGCTTTGCGGGTTTCGCCTTGGGACTGTGGGGGGGTTAGTATGGATGGCTAGGTTGGATAGGAAGAGGGGAGAAGACGGACTTTGTCGGCGGTGCTGCCTGTGAGGGAGCCGAGCGCGCTTTGTACGGCGCCGGTGGCTTGGTCTACGTACGACGAGAGGGTCGAGGTTTGGTCCTTGTTGGTAGACATGGTTGTTCGGTATGTGTCTTTCGTAGGGGTAGTTTTGAGTTGATGTTGATTGATTGTTTGAAACTTGGGTATAAGAATTTCAAAGTACTTGTTAATGAGATCTCAAATCACGGTCGCTGCGAGGGTTTATATGTGTATATCGCGAACTGCGTTCATGTGAAAGATGACGTCAACCCCGCCCCACCTCACGATCCTGACACGGCGCGTGCAACATGTCTCTCCCAAGATTTCGCAACCAAGAGTACCCAGTAACTGAGTGGGGATCTTCACAGAAGTGGCGTCATCGCACACGCGCGTAGTCTTGCCTGCTCTACGATTCTCGCTGATTCTGGAAACTTGGACGCGTGTTGATGCATAGGGTCAACTGACCTTGTATCTGATACAACTTGTATGTTGACTATGATGCAATGCCCTGAGCAAGTAGCCTGAAGTTATTGAAATTAATCCACTCTTTTTGGTATCTAGTAACGCGTGTTTGCAATCCTCTACCGTGAACGCCCATACCCCAAAGAATCCCACAAAGCCACCGCCAAACCATCAACAACCATCCTAGACACACTATTCACGTCTATCCAGAAGTAAAAGGTAGTCTTTCTACCAGTGGCAGATCTGTATTCATATTAGTTTTCCGAAAAAGATCTCATAAACAAGGGTAGGAGAGAAGCAACTTACACCACCCTCACTATCATCCATACTCCAAGTCCCCGCAAGCCCCACAATCTCCACATCTCCATTCAGGCTCTCCTTCACCTTACCCAATCTCGCAACACCCTCGCCAAAACCTGCATTAGTTCCCATCTCCGCTGGTCCATTGTTAAGCAACCGCCGCGCCCAGGCATCGATAGCCGGTTCCCCAGTCTCGTCCCGGGCCTGCTTCAGGAAAGGGATCAAAGCGGTACCACCCGTGCCACGGAGCTTCTTACTACCGCCGGATTGCAGTGTGTTTGCGATGTTGACGCGTTGGGTTGCTGCTTGTTTCGGCGACAGCGAGCGGGAGGAGCGATTCTCTCGGGACTTGATGATGATGTAGCGGGATACTAACTGGATGTGCTTGTCGCGGAAGGTCCGGAGCATGGCTAGGCAGGCATCGTATGCGGTTGTCAGGCTGCGATCGCTTTTGTTCGCGGTGACGAAGTCTCGGATGTTGGATACGTCCTCCATGTGCTCGAGGAAGCGGCGGTGAGGGCCGGGCATGTACTGCCGCATGTCGACGATGAAGTTGTGTTGGGGGGCCGAGACAGACGCGCTCCCGGGGTTAGAACTGTCCGTTTGCTTTGCGCCAGTTGGGCGATGTTCGACGCCCAGGACGATGTCGAAGAACTGGATGATGGAGCTTTGCGCATTGCTGCCTCCGCTGAACTGAACGTAGGGCTGCTCGCCAGTGCCATCGTCGAAGATGACTCCATTCGGAAGACCGGCGTCTGTCATGTTCTTGCTACCTGCGAGAAATGGCCGGATGCGGTGGTAGAAGACGTGGGGATCGCAACTCTCATACATGCGTTCGAGAAGGGTACCAAGCTCATCCAGTCTCTCTGCGAAAGATCGGAGACACATCGCGACCGTGGTACTGTCGTTCCGCCTAGCTGCCGCAATAGCCTCCAACATCATCGGAACGATTGGCCCGGCTCTGGCCTCAATAGCTACCGAGACCAAGAAGAACCAGGATTCATCCAGGGAGCCGGTAAAAGTCATGTGAGTCGCGAGATTGTCCAAAGTGTCCATTGGCTCTCCACTGAACAGGGGTCGCCAATTCCACAAACAGACGCCTGCATACGTTGCCACAGGGGGAAGTTCCAGATGCTGGCATATCTTGAGAAACGGGATCGAAATGGGCGGTGGTACGATCTGTATCAACAATCAGCCTTTATTCACATTCAGGATTCGAGCAGTCGAGCCTTACATCGGCCGGTCTATCACCTCCCCAAACATACGCGTGCACGATGAATCCAAGCACCGAGTAAGCCCGACGCCATTCAGCTTCTGTGAGGAGGAAATCGGTCGATAGCACTGGCAGCGCTTCAACTATCCGACGTAGTCGCTTGGTGAGGATCAGGCTCTGGAAATTGCGCACAACGGTCTCCCAAGGCTGGTAGTACGCATCAGGCAGGACGTCAAGAGGAATCTCAGCGGGAAGGAATCCGTTCTCCGGAGAGACATCGTAGTCGGCCAGTCGCGGAAGTGGCGGAAGCATTATGGAAGAAGTGTAGGTGTTGATGTTGAGTATCGGCAGGCAGAACAAGAAGTAGAGGTAAGAAGTCAGGAAATATTGTAGGGAACCCGTCGCGTGATATTCCCACCGTCGCGGTCTCGGAGCCCCTTCAACAAAACCCAACGTCACTGCGCTACTACCCGATTGAATTACGAGTGCTCGAATCCGAGACACGCGCGCGTCATGTAAAGAGACCAAATCAGCCGGTGAGAGTTTCAGGAAAAGCGATCGGTATAGGTAAAGGTTTCGTACTCGACAGGGCTGAACAAGGCAAAAAAAAATATAGTAATCAGGTGTAGTGGGGGGGAACTTTTCTCAGCCGTGTGGGAAATCAGGCTCCGGGGGTTATCAAGGTGCCAAACCAAGAAACGTTGTGAATGACAAACCGAAGTAGGTAGGTAGGTACCCCAAGTACCTAGGCTGGAATAGTGGGCAGTGGCAATGACAGCAACGAGAACAATGAACAACGTCAGTACACAACGAAGGCGAGAGAAATGACCGTGAATCGCATTGTATAGTAGGACAGGACCTTCCATCTTCCCTAGATTATCCGCGGCCGCCACCGAAGTGCGGTGCGGCGGCGGCGGGCCCGCGAAAAAAGGAGAAAAATAGACCGAGGAAACCATCTCCCAAGCGTGTGGGACAGATTAGGTTGTTTGTGAAAATGAGGTGATTGATTTTGTGGAACATTATCAATCGGCTTAGTAGTGGGGAACCAGTTTAGGTGGTCGTCCCCCACAGTCGAGTGAGAGTTCGATGCGCCGTCGGGGCGGCAGGGATCAGGGTTCCTATTCAGGGTTCCTTCTAGGTCCTCGCTTGTGTGCCGGATGAACGGTGGGCTAACGTGATTTCTAGATACCCATCACGTGCGTCTGCTATTTCAATTTACTGGGTGCGGCTTCGCGAATGTAGTTTTGTTGTGGGTGGACAGAGGGGATTAACTGCTATGACTCCACACGCGAGCACGAGGTTTTTTCCACCTGCCCGTGAGCAGTATCAGCTCTGCACATTGACATCCGTCTATAGACCTAGAATAGTAAAAAAAAAACGCCACTTTATGTCCATCATCATCCATCACCCAAATATCCACGCTATCATCGCCTATCCAATACCCTCGACAGTAAAGATACGGGCAGCCCCAGACCGAGAACGTCGCGTGGCTGGAAGATGCTTTTCGGGTATAAATGTCGTTGATGATTTCAAAGCATGCGCGCCAAAACATGACAACTGACCCTTGCCCCCCCCTTCTCACGACCAAAAGAACTGCATTAAATATTGTAAGACTCATTGATATGCACACATAGTCATTTGTTATCATTCAAGATGTATTCATGGAGATTAACGCCCTTTCTGTGATATTGTTAGCACGTGACTATTGCACCGGCGGCATGGTTGGTATTAACTTACGAGACTGGCGATTGCCGCCGCCGAAGCCAGATCAGGCTTGCCCGAGACACTGCGTTGTGCGACTCGCGGGAGGCCGCTGGAGACGTTCAGCGGGGCTCCGTTCGCGGCACGTTTGACACCCGCTGCTCCGGGCTGTCCCTGGGCGGTCGAATGGCGACGCTGCGGAGCACCGGCTTTGACGGGTGAATTGCTCGGCAAACGTTCTCGGCTCGTGTTCACTGCGGCGTTATTTTTGAAGCTTGTCGTGGGAGGCTCCGGGAGAGGTCGCACGCGGGGTTGTGCTGGTGCTGTTTGCGACGAAGGCACTCGCTTGGCCGGCGATGGCGCACTTGCGTTGACTGGCTGTCTCTGCCTTGGAGTTCGGCGTATTCCAGTAACAAACTCGTGTTGCATAGCCTCGTCAGGCTTCATCCGCCGTTCAGGATCCCATCGGAGACAACGCGATATGAAGTCAAGGAAGGCTTCGTCGTCGCACTTAAGGGCCTGCTGTAATGTCTTCGAGCTCGGTCGGCGACGTCGTCCTTTCGTCGAGACTGTAACCCTCGGCTTTCCAAGAGAGTCGAAGAAAAGCTTCTTCCTGCTACTTTTCTCGATCAGGTGCTTCTCCGGAGGGCCGAAGATCTCCATGATGCAAGCAAGCTGTTCTTGCTCGTTCTCACCTGGGAAGATGGGATAGCCTGTGAGAAGCTCCGCAAGGATGCATCCCAAGCTCCACATGTCAATTGGCAAGCCGTAGCTCATACCCAAGATGACCTCAGGCGAACGGTAGAATCGCGACTGGATGTACGTGTAAACCTTCTCGTTCTCGAAACAGCTGGAACCAAAGTCGATAACCTTGATTTCCGAATGCAACGGGTGCGCGAGCAGAATGTTTTCAGGCTTCAAGTCGCAGTGGATAACGCGATGCCCTTTCAAGAGGACCAGCGAAGCAAGCATCTGCTTACAGAATCGACGGATGATACGGAGCGAGAAGCCTTTGAAGTCGTGAGCCTTGATGAATTCGTACAGATTCATGCCAAGAAGCTCGGTGGATATGCACAGATGGCCTCGGAAGTAGAAGCTTTGCGTGAAGTTGATCATGCTGTGTTTGTTTTCGGGATCCTGTGGGACTGTTAGCAATAGAATCAACGTCTCACATTAACAAGACTCACCCATTCGCGCAGCTTCTGCAGGATGTTGACCTCAACCAAAGCCTGCTGATGGAACCGCTTCTTGTTTCGGATGATCTTGATCGCGACAAGCCCTCCCGTCTTGTGGTCAACACATCGCACAACCTGTCCAAAGCTACCTTTGCCAAGAAGATCCACGACTTCGTACCGATAGGCAAGATGATCACCAAAAACGATATTGTAGTCGCCTCGATCATCGTCATACCCAAAGTTGGCAGTCTGCGCATTCAAGTCGCCGACATGCTTCTTCGCACCCTTTGTCCCACAGAAGTACACCTCCTTGTAATCGATGATCTCTCCCCGCTCGAAAATGTTCAAGCTAACCATCTGCAAGGCCTGCACTGGGGTGACACGTTCTTGAGGCTTCGCACGCTTGCGGAGCTCGTCCACATCGCGTGCGGCGTGCTCAAAGTCTTTCCGTTTAGAAGCGAGTTTCCTCATTTCTTCGTCCGCTATGGCCTCGTCCTTATCAAGGTTCGGGTCAAGGTTACGAGCCCTGAGCACATTGGAGGAACTCTTGGAGCCCAGTATTCGCTGCATTGGTGTCAATAGGGAGGAGCCCGATTTTGGCGCTGGCTGGCTTCGAGGTTGCTCATTATTGCTGGACGCCGTACGCGTGCTCGCAGTGCTGCCCGCAGTACCAGCACCCTTTCTTGGGCTGGGCTTTTCGACATCCGTTTCACTCGCGAGCGTCGCTGTGGATGTTTTGCGGCGTCCGAAGTCTAGAGATGGTCGAATGCGACTGGTGGCTGAAGTTGGGGTTGTGGTTGGGCTCGTAGCAGTTGGACCACTCGAGGTCACAGAGGCGGGTACTCGAGGTGGAGGCATATCGGCATGTTTTGGTGGCTGTGGTGCCAGTTCGTCAGATTTCTGAGAATCCTTCCGAGTGTGAGTACTGTTTGTAGGGTGGGATGCCGCCTTGGAAGACATCCCTCGTCGCCAACCTCCCAAACTGAGCTTACGCCTTAGCGACGAGCCGGAGGTAGGTGTTTCCGGTTCGGTCGAGGTAGACGTATGTACAGAGTCTGACGTGTCTTTCTTCTGCAACGGACGGGGCCCAGCAACCCTCGTACTCTGCAACTCCACATCCTTGTCGGCGAACTTGTGTTCATCGTTTGGTTGCCTGTTAAGGCGAGCAAATTCACCACTACCTTTGGGCAGTGAGTTCGAGGCGAAAGGAGTTGTGGCCTGGCGTCCAGGGTGGAGAGTAGGGATGGGCATGCTCTCCAATGTAGCCGTGTTGTCAAGCAAAGGTTTTGTGCCCCGCAGGTTGACAGCAGAACTGCTGCTGCGGAGTTGTTTACCAAACTCGTACTGATCCTGGGCAGCGGTCTTGGAGAAGAAAGTGGCTTTCGAGGCCGTCATAGGTGTGCTGGGTGTCTTGTTGACTGCACGCTTTGGTGGGGGCGTCACATTACGATGGTCAACCTCAGCAGAGGGAGCCGGGAAAGACGACATGCGATTGTTGAGTGGCGTGCCAAGCGGCAGCAAATTCAGTGGTGGAAGTCTGATGGGTTGGAGGTTTTTCTTGGTCGAATGTTGCGCTGCAGGAGCTCTGTCAGGCTCGGAACCAGAACCCACGGTCAAGCCCCTCCTGTGCCTGATCGACCCTGTACTCCTCTGCGAGGTGTTCATGTTCGCAGGATCAGGACCGGGACCCACGGATTCAGCGCTCTGGCTCGCAGCAGCGTTGGCGTTCGTGTAGACGGCAGGTTCTTGTGAAGGTAGTGGAGGCACACCCATCTTCGACGACGGCGTTGTGAATGTGAAGCTGGAGCGTTCGGGGTCCTTTGGCGATTCGTAGGCTTTGGGGATGGCTGGCACAGGGGGCACATCCTCTTCCTCGCCAGCCGCTGAACTGTGGACGTTCCTCTGTTTTGGTGTGGGCAGTCGCGAGCTAGACAGTGTAGGATTCGCACGTAATGGTAGGTTCGAGCCACCGACTTTCAGGGAGTTGAGGCTGGAGCTAGAGGACTGTGAGACGCCAGAAGCATAGGACTTGCGGTTTTGTTCGGGCGTCGCGCAGGTCGACGACGGTGTGACGCTGCTGGGGAAGACGATGGCTGGCGACTGGCTGAAGGAGCGCTCTTCCGGCGGGAACTCGCCCTGCGGAGTGGGCGGACCGACCGGGCCCCCTGGAGGCTTCGTCCCTGGGTTCATGGACAGCCTCCTGAGCCTTCGAGCGTCGGTGGGGCTGATGGTCCTCGCGCCAAGGCCAGAGAGATGCGGCAGGGTGGACTGCCGCTTGCTCGACGAAGACGAGGGCGTATGGCTGCGCTGTGCAGGGGGCTTGCCCGGCGAGCGAGCTTGGTTGTAGGGCATCGCGGCCTGGTCTGGCGTCATGGACGCGGCGGTCAGGTGCCCAGAGTACTGCCTGGCGGGCGAGTGGAACGACTTTGCTTTGGCGGAGCGTGTGGTGTTCGCGTATGCGGGGAGGGCAGCGGTGCTGTTGGCGTTGGCAGCGAGGGCCTCACGCCGACTGCCTGCGCCCACAGACGGGGCTCGGCCAACGCGCGTCTGGATGTTGTCGCCGTTCAGCCTGGGCATCTCGTGGCGGCTCTCGAAGCTGCCCGTCGGCATGGTGCCAGGGCCAACGCTCTTCCGCGGCGCGCGTGCAGCAGGATTGGGCGGCGGCGGCTGGGCGGGAAAGTGGCTCTGGCGCCGTGAGCGGATGGCCATGTTGGTGGCTGGCGGCGGCGGCATGGCCGTGGGGTCGGGCGGCGCAGAGCTGGCAGCAGGTGGGTGTGGATGTCGCTGGGCAGACTGGCTGAAGCGGCGCATCAGCGAGTTGCTGCGTGCCGGGCGCGACTCGGCCGAGGCAGCGGTGAAGGGGGCCATGGGCGAGGGGTGGGCGGGGGCAGGCACGGCGCTCGTGAAGCCGCCGGGCACGGGGAAGTCGCTCAGGGTGGGCTCGTAGGCGAGGCTGTTGGCGAAGTCGTCGAAGTTGACCGAGGGCACAAAGTCGCTCTCGCCGCTGCGTTCGCTGCCCGGGGCCGTCGAGGGAGCAGCGTGGGCGTGGGCGGGGGCCGGCTGGGCGTGCTGGACGAAGCTGAAGCGCGGGTTCGCGGTGCGCGTCGGCGTCGTCGCGGCCTCGTTCGTCGCCGTGGGAAGGAAGGAGCGGCCGTCGAGGGCAGCGGCGCTGGTCCCACTCGCGATGCTGAGCACGTTCCAAGGTCAGCCTGCGTGTCGCGCCCCGAACCGCCGTCGTGCTTCCTCGCCGTCACCGCCACCTACCTTTGCTTGGAGAAGTCGAGCGGGCGCTCCCTGGGTCCTAGAGGTGCCTTGGCCCGGCCGCGTAGTGGTGACTTGGTGTCGCCGGCAGGCGGTGGGCGTATCGTTGACAGGGCGTTGGAGGCACCCGTCTTGCGCAGCCGGCTGCCATTGTCGCCCGTCTTCTGGAATTTGTGCACGCGGCCCTCTGTGCCAGGTGCTGTTAGCATGCTGGCCGGCGGAGCGGTATGCTGCTGCAATGTACCTGAGGACCCGCTTGAATCGGATCGGATGGGCACGTCGGACGAGTCCATGGTCAGCATCGACACTGTTGACAGCACGGCTCTATCCGTCATAGTGGTTCAAAACAGCGAGGGCCCGGCTCCAAGCGTCGAGCTTGGGTTGACCTGAGGGTTATGCGGACATTGTGAAAAGGTCCGAGTCAGGGTGGAATTGGATCGCCGGCACAAGATATGTCCAGCAGGCGCCTTGACTCTCGCACGACGAGGAGAAGCGTGTTGGGACGACGTCAACGGTGCTGGACAGGGACAAGACGCAGACACAAAGGGATGGTGGTCGTAATAGAGAGAGTATCTAGCCTTGCCTAGCAAAGCTACGAGACGTTGTCCACTAACACCCCTGGCTCCGTGTGGACCTTTGAATCTTCTGCCCGCTCGAGCCTCGTCCAAACCGTCGACACGTCCCCCAGGGAACCGATGCACGCCCGTCTGCAACAGTCGCAGCAATCTGCAGAATGCAGTCGCAGGCACACTCGATGCGTGACCTCGTCGACAGTACAGTTGGGCGCGCATGGCGGGCCGTAGACAGGCATCCTTAGCCTGCACAGCGCGGCGGCACATTCAACCTCCCTATCCCAGCACGGCTTCCAGCAGGAGCATTCCTGGCTTGCAGCCATGGACCCTTTTGTGTCGCTTTGCACCGACGGCACTCGGCTTGTTGGCGCATGGACACGCTCACGTCTATGAACAGATGCAACTCCACACTCTTATTTCCAACCTTCTCCACACGCTGTCTCACAAGTAGTCCTGCCCTGATGCAAGTACCTGCCTCTATACAAGCATGACGTGCATCGCCCAGCAGCCACCAGGACGCCCAGCTCTGTCGCGTCTGCTGCCCTGTATCACCTGTCTGTTCCTCGAGGAACAGGGGAGTTCGCGTAACTGAAGGGTTCAATTGGGCTTGTGCTTGGCGCGCTAGTCCGTGAAAAGGAAGCGTGGTTTACACTTGCACATGCGTCATGTGTGCACTCGTTGCCTCAAGTTTCGAGCACTCTCTCAAACCAACATGACAAGATCGTGATCTGAAGAAGTAAAAGAGCTGGGATAACGTAAACAACCGTCTGGTAAATTCAGGTCTGTTCAGTGCAGACAAGCAGCCTCTCCGTCACATGTGATCCGCCGAGCTACCGACAGCCTGGACGATACAAGCAGTGTCTCCCAGAAATAACAGCCACTTTCTTGATCAAACTCGCCTTCTCCCAGAACTCTACATAGAAGAAAATTCTTAGAAACCCGTGGATCACGAAAAAACCCTGTTCTGGCATTCGAGTCTCCAAGTTCGAGGATACAGCTAGGCATTCACAGACGCATTGCTTCGAAGAAAGCTAGTTTGAACTTGAGACAACAGCCATCATGAGTGCCCGCGAACCAGACTCGGTCGCCAACCGCGACACTCCCATACCCATGGTCCAAATCCACCCAGCAGACGACCGTACGCCCAACACCGACGATGGCAAAACACATCGCCTCTCAGCGAGCAAGCTCAAAGACAAGTTGGAATCACTCGGCGACAACCTAGGACGCGATTCCTCGAGCAGAATGGGGGATCGAATGGTCAACCTGTACATTCCAGCACTAATCCCCCCAACTCTCAATCCCATCACTAACACCACAACAGCCTTCTATCCCAAATCCTCCCAACAGAAGACATGTCCGACTCCCCAGATTCGACATCAAACACAGACACCCCCCGCGCAAAAGACCGCCCCTCGCCAACCCACGACTCCCGCCCAAACTTCAGCCTCCCAACCATGTCCTCAAACTTTCGCCGCTTCAACTCCCGCATCGGCGTAGCCTTCGTCTTCCAGAACCGCGTAATCCACCTCCTCACCTGGAAACACCCCACCCAAACCCTCTCCTTCCTCTTCATCTACACATTCGTATGCATAAACCCGCACCTCCTCCCCGTCCTCCCGCTAGCCAGCTGCCTCTTCTTCGTCATGGTCCCCGCCTACCTAACCCGGCACCCACCCCCACCGACCAGCCTCCCAACGGACCTCTACCCGCTCGGCGGCCCCCCACTAGCAGACGCGCGCACCACCAAGCCGGTGCCAGAGTTCTCAAAGGACTTCTTCCGCAACATGCGCGACCTGCAGAACTGCATGGAAGACTTCAGCACCGGCCACGACGCAGTCCTATCCTTCATAACCCCCTTGACGAACTTCTCAAACGAAAATCTCAGCTCAATGCTCTACCTCTTACTCCTCTTATTGTCCTGCGCACTTTTCATCTCCGCACACCTCCTCCCCTGGCGCGCCATCTTCCTCACAACAGGCTACGCGCTCGTCGCCCTCGGCCACCCAACCATCCAATCCCACCTCGCCACCCCGGAAACCTCACAACGCATCGCCTCCGCCGAGCACGAATCCCGCGCCTTCCTCCTCCGCATATCAAAATCCGACATCGAGCTCGAAACCGCCCCGGAGCACCGCGAGGTGGAGATCTTCGAGCTGCAGCACCGCGCGCTGCATAACGATCTAGGCGAGTACCAGCCCGTGCTGTTTGGCGTCGGGCCGTATGCCCCACTATCTCCAGCACGTATCAGCGGCGACCGCCCGCGCGGGTCCCCGTTCTTCGAGGATGTGCTCCCGCCGAGGGGCTGGCGCTGGAGCGATAAGAAGTGGACGCTTGATTTGCTGTCGCGGGAGTGGGTGGAGGATCGGTGTGTGACGGGGGTGGAGGTGGAGATTGAGGGGGAGAGGTGGGTGACGGATTTGCATTATGAGGTTTTGGAGCATGAGGGGGAGAGACGCGGGGGTGGTGGGGGGAAGAGGGCGAATGCGGGGAGTAGGGATGTGGGGGAGGAGGAGAGGGCGGTCTTGCGGCGCGCGTGGGAGAGTCATGCGCCGGCTAGGAAGGGGGAGTGGAGGCGTAGGAGGTGGGTGAGGACTGTGGAGCGCATGTCGTTTAGGGGGTCGGCTACGGTGTGAAGTGGAAGTTGTATACAACTGGATTCTTGGGCAATGCAGTTCGGAGTTTTGACTTTTTGTAAAACCGTGGATATCGAAGGCGTATACATATCATCTCATCAAAACACGCACTCTCCAGTGACATGCCCAACAACCCCCCTCACTCTCACGCCCGTCCAACCTTGAACGACAAAATCTACCACCCGATTAGCCAGATCCCACCCCTCAGAAACAAGAATACTCACATCATTCTTCCCCACAGCAACAACATCATCCTCGCCCACCCTCCGCGCCCCCTCAGTCTCCACATACGCCATCGGCGCATCCCCCATAACCTTCCTATACACATCGCCCACGGTACTCCCCTTCTTAACCAGCACACAATCGCGAAACACCGCCGTCGAGCTCGCACTCCCACTCGTATAGGCGTGGATATTCCTGACGGGGAACACGGGCACGAGGCCGAGGAGTTGCGCAGCGCGGGATAGGACCTGGACGACGCCCGTAGACCCGAAGCGGTACAGCACCATATCCTTCAGGTTCTCAATCCGCGTTTTAAGTTTCTCGTCGAGTTCCTTCAGGCCGCCGCCCGAGGGGTCGCCCTGTTCGACTAGGTCGTCGCGCGTGTCGACGAACTCGCTGCCCTCGACGTACTTGACAAACCCCTGCTTAGCCAGCTTGCGCAGGAAGACCTCTGAGATGGCGCTGCACAGCACGATACTCTCAGGGGGTTGAATCTTCGCGATCTTGGCGATATTCTTGTCTGCGTCGGGATGGTCTATTTTATTGAGGGCGATGACGGTGGGGAATTTCTCGTCTGTAAACGCATTCACCACTCTTTCTATCGTCTCGTTGCTCCAGTCCTGCAGGTGTTCCTTTAATGCGAGTTTATCCAGACACCGCGCTACGACTGCGCTCGTGCTGCCGTAGCCCGAGAACTGGTTCTGCAGCGTCTCCACGGCTGTGGCTTTGACGGCTACATGGCGCCGCTTGATGCTGCCCCACTTCTCCATCAGGTTGCCCTGGATCCACCGCACGATTTCGCTGCGCAGCCATACGATGTCTTGGCTGGGGTCGTACCCGCGCGTTGCTTTGCCCTCGGCGTCCGTCGTCCCGCTCACGTCGACAACGTGCACAAGCGCATCCGCATGGCGCAAGTCGTCGAGGAATCTGTTGCCGAGGCCCTTGCCCAAGTGTGCGCCTGGGACGAGCCCCGCGACGTCGAGCAGCTCAATGGGGACTGAACGGCGGCCCTCGTTGCAAGACCCGTAGTTTGGTTTGCAGCGCTCACTGAGCCCGAGGCGCGCACAGGGGCATTCGATCTGGAGGTATCCGATTGCGCGCTGGGGATCAATGGTTGTGAATCTGGGCGTGTGCTGTCAGAAAAACGCGGTGGGGTGATATGTTGCGTTTATGTGGATCGAGGATGAGAAGCGCTCGCGGGGTATGAAGCGTGCAAGAGAGAGATGAAGACTTACGGGAAGTTTCCTGGTAGTAATCAGCTTCTCATTCTTCCAGAGACTGCGAAAATTCTACGGACCGACTTTGGAGGTGGCATCCGTCAAGCTACCAACATTCGCATCTTAGACAAGCCCAGGGAAGAATGGAAGGAGGGGCGGAGCGCACCTGTTCAACGTCGTCGACTTTCCTGAAGAGGGCTTTCCCACAAGACCAATGAGCGGATCGCGTGGCATATTCAAGGAGTGTAAGAAGAGAACAACTGGGTATCTAGAAGATGGTGTGAGTGAAGTGGGTGTATCCAAGTTGCAAATGTCCTCGAAAGTCTTATCGATCAAAACCCAATCACCTACAAAAATTCACTACGTCACGCGTCTTTGAATTGTTGCAAGAATTGTCAATACCATGCTATGAACAGAAATCACATATACTATGAAGCTAGTAAATGACACCTGGTCTGGTCTGTATTATGACCACCAACTCCAAAGAAAGCACACCTAGAACACTCTATCCCAAAGAACGTTGCCCACACTGGGTCGTAGGATCATACATCCCTGTACTATCATCTCGTGCGCGAATACATAGAACATACCGCAACCTCACAAGATGAAAGCACCACCAAGCATAGACGAGGCCAGGACGATGGCACCGCAAACAAGAGGGGCCATGGAGAACTGTCCGGGGCTAAGAGCAGCAGCGGCACCCTTGCTGGCGCTCGCAGATGTGGCGGCAGCAGCTCCCGATGTGACGGCACCCGAAGCCTCACTGGCGAAGTCGGAGGTCGATGAACCAGAGTCCTGGCTACCAGCACCGGACAAACCAGCACCAGTTCCGGCACCGTTCTTGAGGTAAGTCGAGGCATCAGATGGGAACGCAGGAAGCTGGTCGGAGCTGATAGTCACGTTCCAGGTGGTCGACTCGGATGGGCAAGAGGACGCCGAGCCGCTGCTCTTGTATCCACCGTCACCGCTGGGGTTGGCAGTGTTCGAAAAGGCATTCTTGAGAGTCGTGAAGTCATCGCGCTCGGTGACGGTGCTGCCGCTGATCGAGACAAGTCCGTAGTCGGAACTCTCCTGTGAGTATTCGTAGACAAGACCTCCAGAGTAGACGCCGGTCATGTTGGTGCTGTACAAGGCGGCAACCTCGTTGAACTGGCGCGTGTTCTTGTTGCAACCGTACTCCGAGAGGCTACGCATTGTTAGTATACACACCTGGAATGCAGTTCTTGAGTATGACTTACAAGATAGGGATGCTGTAGTTGCCGAACTTAGCCACCTTCTGGTCCCAGCCAGACGTGGTGTAGCTGGACGGGTCGCACCAAGAGTAATCGTTGAAGGCGAAGAAGTCACTTCGAACAGCATCGGCGCCGCAGTTCATGTACTCAGCCATCTCGAAACGGTTGGACTCAACGTCAGCAGCGGAGTAGCCAACAGGGACAGACCGGAGACCCCGGGCGTTCATGTAAGACTTCATGTCGCGAGTCACGGCCTTGACGTAAGGAGCGCAGTTGGTGGTCGCGTCATCGTTGATAACCTCGTTACCAGAGAAAAAGAGCAAAGTGTTGGTGTACTTGGAGAACTTGTCAATGGTGGCGTAGATGTTCTGGAGGTAAGCGGCGTTGTACGACTTCTGGGGGTTGGCTCGGTTGAGCGAGTACTTTGGCGTGTTGACGTCAAGAGCCAGGTAGATACCAGCGTCGGCGAGCGCGCTCATGCACTCGTCGTGGTCGGCAGAGTTGTCAACGGTGTAGACACGGACGGTGTTGATACCGAGGCTCTTGAACTTGGCAATGTCCCTCTTGCAAGAGGTTGTGTCGGCGATGGGATCAGCAATGTCAGAAGAACCACCTGGAGAGTGTCAGTTTTGAACGAGGATGATGCGCCTGGAAGCGTACCTGGCTGGTAATCAACACCACGGATGTAGAAACGCTCGGAACCGGCGAAGAAGGCTGCAGTAAGGTTAGTAACATGTTCAAAACAACGGCTGACCAGCAGTCAACACTCAGAATACGCACCATTTCCCTTGACAGTGACAGCAGTCAGGGAAGCACGCTTCTCAGCAGCGGCAGGAGTAGCAGCGACGGATGCGGCGAACACGCCGGCGGCAATGGCAGCAGTCTTCATGATGAAGGTGTGGTTTGTTGTGAGGATAATTAGAGTGGCACGGATTGGATGCGGAGAGCGAGGCTTTTGTAAACAACGGCAAGCAACAGCAGCAAACGGGACAAGCAGGCGCGGTGCCTGAGTAAACGAGTGTAGGGAAGAGGGTGATTAGAAGATGGAAAGAGAAATATGAGCGCAGGAAGTCGAGCGCGAGGAACTTGAAGACTGCAGAAACAGGTTGGGAATGAGCGTGTTTTAGGGGGTGGGTTCATTCTATCTCTGGAATACGCACCCCGGTTTGATTGGCTAAGCGTCATCAAGAGGTAAGAAGCACCCACTAGCCACTTACAAGCCGAACCAAGCGGACGCCAGGGGCCAAACAAGCCCCGGCCGAGATTAAACACGGTCGCGCCGATCGACCTTGTTCGGTCGTCCTCAGACGTTGAAACACGCGTCTCATTCAACGATTCCTAACAATGAAGATCTCTATCTACTGGTGTAATGACGGAATTTGCGATCGGATAACCGGGATGATCCCTTGTCGCGACACAAGCAGGCTCAGAATGCGGCTCTCCAAAACCTGTCGGTTTCGATATGCTTTAGGTTTATCGAAAGGCCGGACCAGTCACCACGAAAGAATTTGAGAAACCAGTTGGTGGCGTTTAAACGCCTTAGCAACCGCATCTCACCATCGTGCATGCGCTTTTGGTTGAATCGGTCATTACATATGCAAGCCACAAAAAGCAGCCATATTACAATATTATTAAATAGGATCCCAGTACATATATTATTACCCCTTCGTAATCTGCCATCCTGCGTCGACTGTCGTCGCTCTCTTCGTCATGATATTCAGGCAATATGATTCTCACGCACGACTCCAACCCAGTTACATGATGAAAAGTCTACCCATCGCCCTTTTACTTCTTCAATCCAAAGTACAGACCGACCGCTAGTCCAACGATGATAAGAATCAAGAGGACAACAAGCGATGTCCACCATTTGAGCTTCCTCGCACGTCGAGCAGAATCGATACCCTTGTCGAGTGCTGTGTTCGCCTGCTTAGAGTCATCGACGACCTGGACAGTCTGGGCCTCGGTCTGGACGACTTGATCCTCTTGGTAGATGACTTGCTCGTTGAGCTGGTTGAAGAGCAGGGCAAGTTCACCCATGGTCCTCTCTATGCGCTGAATGTCATTGTGACGAGCGCGGACGGCACCGAGCACGCTTGAAGCCTGGCCACTGCGGTTGCTCTTGAGCTGCGAATAGGTCAGTGTTGGTTCTGGAAATTTATGCGAGAAACGCTCCTGCCAGCTCCATCACCGTGGGCGCACACCCGGCATGTCTTTTGGGGAAAAGCAACACTTACAGCTTGTGTGAAGATACCCTCCTCACCCCAGTCAGCATTCGCTGCTTCTTGAACCTCGGCCTCTGTAGCTTCGGGGTTGATGACGCGGTATTGTCGGGCAATGGCTTCACGATACCTCTTGGAGTAATCCGACTCTTCCTTCTGGAAATCCTCGAGCTGCTTCTTGAATGTCCTCTTCAGCGACTCGACCTGCGTCCTCTTGAACGAGTTGTTCGGTTCCCGCGCCGCGTCGCGCTCCAGAAACTTGATCTCATCCTTGATCTGCGTATTCCTGATCTGTGTGTGCGAAACGATGCTCTCGAGCTCGCTGGAGGAGCCGCTGTCAGGAGAGGATAGCATGCGCTGGTGGATACTCGCAATTGCCTGGATGTCGGACGTGAGCTGGCCGATCCTTTGTTTTGTGCCGTCGATGCGCTGCAGAAAGTCCTGTTGGGTCAAAGGTTTAGCCCCAGGCTGCTCCAGAGCTGCGTGCCCGTAAGCTCCCGAAAGAGGTACGTCGGTATGAGGTATGGTCGTGTGAGGAACTGCGTGTGCGATGGGCGGGGCTGGTCCGGAGTATTGCGATGCTTGCGAATAGTTCGAGTCCTCGTGCTGTAGAGCCGGTGCGTTGAGGCGCCCTTGCGGCTGGTCGTACTGCTTTGTCGCGTCAGTTGGCGCTCTCACGTCGCGCAGTTGCTGGTGCTTACTCCTCCGCCATATGGGTTGGACGATCCATACGGGTTCGATGCTGGGTTCGACGCTGGGTTAGATGCGCCCGTACCATAGCCGGCCTCTGCCGCGCCATATGGGTTCCCGCTGTACTGCTGGTAGTTGTTGCCCGACATGTTGGTGGCGATTGCGATGTTTCAGCTTGGTAGGGGGAAGGAGCTGTGCAGGCTGACACGGAAGGTGCGGGAAGCTGCGTTCTCAAGCGCAATGCTGGATAAGTATTGGGATTGAAAGCGGCTAGGCACTGTGATTGACGGGGCGACTGACACAGACTCTCAGAGCGGTGTAGCGAGCTTGGAGCGGGTGTGTGGGCAAGGAAATGGTGTAATTAAATAAAGGCGCCAGCCTCAGCCCCAGTTGATTACGCACAGACGGCTCTGCCGTGCTTGGAACGACGTCAACTTGAAGTCTGTCAGATTGAGTGGCACCCACGGAATTTCCACGTGAGTCCCTCGTGATCGAGACCCTTAACCTGCGACAAGATCAACTCTTGCTGTCGAGTTTATATCTTTGTTGCCCTCATGGAGTGTGAAGCTTATTTATCCCCTCGGCATGTTCCCTTTGAGATCCTCAAACCCACCTCCCGCGGCTTGTCGATCACATGCGCCACTTAAGCAGCCCTAAGCCGCGACGCACGCACGATCACATCGATGCATCGACATCATTTGTCGAAAGAGAGGGCCTTTGTCGTGGCGCGCTGAATGTTCATTCTTGGAAATGCACCACCGAAGTGCTAGAAGACGTGTTCAGCAGGTGGAATTATCGATTTACTCTATCTGTTCTTCCAACCAGCTTCCCTTGAAAGCAAACTTATGTTGTTACAAACACTACCTCCAAAGAAAAAACAGCATACTTTTCTAATGTGTCAGCAAGCCTCCCGCTTTGGCAACTAACAACATCACGACAACAAAAAACAAAGATCAATCTTGAAATTTGAGACAGAGTTAGAGGAGAGGTCGTACTGCTATTTGTCAATTTTTATGTTATCTAGTAGTATTTTGAATAACTTGCACATATCGAGAACGACTATTTGAGTAGTGTTCATTCTCACAGCCATATTGGCGGAATGAAAGTTACGACTGTTGTATTTGGTCATCGAGAGAGTCTATTACAAAGACCTGATAGTTAATCAAGAAACACCACAATATATTAAACAAATCGTCAAGATTTCAAAGCCTGACAAAACGCCGCGATATGCAAGCAGCAACGATAGAAGAACACCAGACCATGCCCAAAGAACATGCGTATACACATACATACAACATATAGCATTCCATCATTCCCCGTTACATCCGCCTAAACCACGCCCTCCCCCAATTATCCAACCAACTGCGCCAGAAATATCAAGCTCTACGACTTCCAATCATCCCACTCCTGCGTTTTCCTCGGCCCCGCGTTCCTATCTCGACTAACACTCTTCTTCCCCCTTGGCGCCGGATCCAAAAAGCCTTCTGGGATGTCATTCCAGTTCTGCATGGGCGCCTGTACCGTTTTTGCACGATGTGATTTCCGCTGGTCGGCTGCTTGCTCATCGCTCGAGAGTTCGTATTCGTCGTCGTCGTCGTCCTCAGAGATGTAGTTGTACTGATCAAACTTCTTCTTGTTATCAAGGGTTTGGAGCGGCACATCACCGTCTGTGTACATGTCACTCCCTCGTCCCAGGATCTGATCTGCTTTGCACGGGCTTCGTCTTCCCTCTTTCGGCGCGTTCACGATCCCGTTGGAAGTGGTGAGGTATCGGCCCTGCTCGCCGCGGCGTAGGGGAGACTGCCACTCGGGGCGGTGCGGGTGTCGTGGTGAAGCTCCGTTGTGCCGTTGTGGTTGCCAGCCCTCCGTCGGCTTGCTATTGCGCCTAAATTCAGCTTCAGTAGGAGAATCAAGACCCCAGCCGGCAGCACGCTCACGCTGCTTTTGTTGTTGCTCCTCTGCTTCCCTCTCCCTCTTTATGCGCTCACGTGCGGCGAGCCACTTCGGACTGGGTTCCCACGACCAGCCGTCGCCAGTGGTGTTGCAGATTGGGACAAACCATGTCAAAGGTGAGGGTCCAAATACGTGGCCAAGGTTGCGCTTCCAGCCTAGGTCGAAGGCGTTGGGGAGGAGTTCGTTGTCTCGTTCGTCGAGGTAGTCCTCATAGCGGTTGTGGCTCTGTTGCCGCTCTCGTTCTTCGTACGACTGATACGCCGGGTGAGAGTACCCGTTGCCCATGGCCGCATTGCCTGGAGCTGGAGAGCGCAATGTCGACTCACCTTCCTCGGGCCTGGTGACTCCCGGCAGGGCATTCGCGTGGATTTCGCGCAGCTGATCGCTAATACTCAGCCGACCATTAGCCTGGGCGTCGAGATAATTGCGGTCGTTGTGGTTGTGTTTTATCGTGTTCCTCAGGGGCGACAAGTATCGTGTCTTTTCCAAACTCTCAATCGTCGTCTGGCCCCTGACTGAGAGCCACAGATGCCAGGCCGTGAATCCAGTTATGACGATTCCAATGATCCCTGAGAGCACGGCGAGGAGCACATAGTTTACGGGCATGAAGGACTCGGTGTACTGGCCGTCGCTGAGGATCTCGCTGTAGACCCATGTGGCAGACGTGGCGAAACAGGTCCAGCAGAAGAAGGTCAGGTATGTCAGGAAGAGTATGAACATTTTGTAGTTGCGCAGGCCAACGCAGGTCGCGAGCCAGGGGCAGTGATGGTCCATTTTCAAGACACAGCGCCTGCACGTCGAGCAGTGGTGGGCGCGGTCGGGCTTCTTGGACTGGCACTTGTTGCAGAACCTGACGTCGCCCGTCGACGCCTTGACGGTGAAGGACGTGTATTGTATGTCCCCTCCCTCCTGTGTGGGCAGGTGGCTGTAGCCATTGTTGAGGTTGAGCGGCGAGCCGGGATCGGTGAAGACGGCGGCCGTGTAGCTCCAGTTGAGCATGAAGTAGAGGAAGACGCCGAGCGCGGACGAGAGTTTGCCTGGCAGCAGAGTCAGCAGTTGCCCCAAGAGTGTCTGGTGTCGCGAGGGAGTACGCACCGGTCCAGACATTCGTCGACGGGACAAAGCCGATGCCCGCCTCGACCCAGACGGCCCACGACGTCAGGCCGTAGACAAACAGCAGCGGGAAATAGGTGACGGCGGTGCAGCAGTACCGCTCGACCTTTCTGGCCCACCCGCGGCGGCGCATGGTTCGTGAGGGAGACGACGGAGGGGACGGCGAGCCCAGCGTGGCCATGGTTATTGGCGCGACAGGAGCCAGATCATGTGGCGCGGTGGCAGCGCGAATCGACAGTCTCTACTCGTGCAGCACTCGATCCATCGACGGGCCGGACTCGACGAGGCAGCGCAACGCGGAGGACAGGAGACGCTGTTTCAGGTGCACCAACACACAAGACGTCACACACGGATGGGATGGAGCAGGACGGCGGGCGGGAAGGGCTAGAGGCAGAGAGGCGCGTCGCACTGGTCGTCAGCTATGGCGGGTCTGCAGGTGACGGCCGCTGTCGCTGTCGTCGTCGTCGCCCATGTCAGCTCGGCGGTTCGGCGGCTCAGCAAGCACGGCACGTGACTGAGGCATTGCATGTTCGACATCTCGACCTGGACAAACGCTGCATCGAGAAAGAAAGAAAGAAGGGCGGGCCAGCGGGCTTCGTGCCTGCCCAGCCTTATCAATCAACGGCCGCAACAGCGCCCAAGCCCGCCAGCCGTCAGACGGTGCTTCTCGGTGGCAGTCGCACACGCGTACCCTGCTGTCTTCACTTGGAGATCGGCCCTGGAAGCAATCAAACCCACTCTGTTTGACACACCTGCTACAACGGGCCGCGAACGTCGTTGCCACACCCCTGTCCGTGGCCCTCGACCCCAGCCTGGGTGGGAAGTCGAGATATGCTACGGACCTTCCTTGTCGCAGATAATTACCTCGTCGATCCACTCTCCTCCTTTGCCCGTAGATATTGCCGCAATCTTCTTCTCATCGCACGCATGTTGACCATGTGCTAACACTCTCGTTTGTCTTCCACTCTCCAGTCCTTACCACAGCTATGCTCGCCTCCAGGAAACGCCCCCTGCCGCTGCTGGTCGCCTGCACGCTCTTTTTCATAGTCCTCTTCTACCACAAGGCAAGGGCCCATCGCATATACCAGCAGTGGTCGTCGTCATCCTTGGTCGAGTCGGTCGAGTCGCACCCAACTAAGCTGCCAGCAAACCGCACACTGGGCTTCGGTGCCGTCGTCGTCGTATCCAAACCCGACTCTGAACGGCGCCATTCGCTGGTGCAGGCCGCCAACGTTACCGACATCGACCTCACCATCCCGCAACAGCCAAACTGGACGGAAGGGGACGTGTATCGCTTTAGAAATTGGCAGAGCGGCGCTCAGAGAGGCTCAATACTAGCGTGGTTAGGTCATCACAACGCCCTGCGCTGGTAAGTAGCCCGCTATCCGTCTTGGCCTGCCTTGCATGCAGCTATTCTCCGACCATCGCTGATTCGCTGCCGTAGGTTCCTCGATTCTGGCCTGGAGACCGCTCTGATCCTCGAAGACGACGTCGACTGGGACATCCGCCTGCGCAGCGTCCAGATTCCTCTCGCAGCCAGCGCTGCCCGCCAGCTCCTACCTTCTAAGCGCGTTGCAAACCATGGCAGGGACCATGCGCAGTACTGGGGCGACCATGATGCGTGGGATCTGCTCTACCTGGGGCATTGCGGTGACTATTTCGAGGAAGTCACCGAGGAAGGCCCAACCGGGAAGGTGCACTTCAACCTGAGCAGTATGCCGCATGTCCTGTACAAGGACGAGACGCTTCCCGACAGATCCAACCTCCACCCATTCACCCAAAGTCTATTCGGCGCGCTACAACTACCCGCACAGTCACGACTCCTGCACCGCTCCAAGTTCCCACTGTGCTCCTTCGGCTATGCGGTCACTCGCCCTGCCGCCATGCGACTACTTGGCGAGCTTGCACCCCCGATCCTAAAAGCAAACGGTCCCCGAGCATACGATGTCGCCCTCCTGCACGCATGCAACAAGGGGTCTAAGAAGCCCCAACATACGTCATACGCGAAGGGGCATCACTCAGCTCACGACCATTCAACCCTGAACCACAGCCACAAACCCCCCGGCCTCCGTTGCTGGACGCTGAACTCTGAACTCTTCCACCACATGCCGGGTCGGAGCCAGATTGCCGAAATCGGCGAAGTAGAAGGCGTAGAGTCAGGCGTGCCCCCAGTCGATGCAGCCGGCGAGGCGCAAGTCGAATCCCGAAACGAGACGACCAATATCGACTGCGGGTTCTGGAGCGGCGCATTCGCTTTCGACGATGACGACACGGAGGACTTGCAGTACTTGCAGGAGCATGTGGGGCGGCAGGGCAAGTGTCTGAAAGACGACAGGTTCCAGACGGATGAGACACAGCAGAAGCTCATACATTGAGAGTTTGGTCGTTGTTGTTGGTGTTGGTGTTGTTGTACATGCAGATCTCTCATCATGATATATATTTCAGCGGGACCACTATATGGCGTTACCACGGGCGCATGGAGTTTTACAGACCGAGCAGGTCAGGTCTGGTCAGATCAGGTCAGGTCATCAGGTCAGGTATGGGGAGGTTCTTATATGATTGTTTGTTGTTTGTTAGGTAGTTTGTTTTGCCTTTTTTTTTTCTTCTTCTCCAGATAACAAGATACCAACAACATCAGATGCAGCAGCAACAGCAGTAGCAAGTGTGCCTGCACAACAACGCCGCATGTAAAAAGCTGGTGGGATTAGCAAAGAGATTTTCTGGCCCGCGTTTTACGATCAGTATTGATACCATGGGTTAGATTAGTTGGTCGTCCCAATTCTCAGATAAGTTTTATACTGTTACTTTGTTTAGTGTGTGTTTTATCTTTGTTTCCGTGATGGTGAGAAGTGTTACGGACTGTCTAAGTATTCAAGTACTTCATGCCCACACACATGCAACACCCATGTCTCCGAATGCCGGAGAGCGCTTTCGCCACCCGAGTCTTGGCCTGCGGACGGATGTTCTGAGACAGAAGGCTTGTTTCGGAGATCACTTGCTTGGGGGTTTCCGGGGGTATGCTTGTTCTCTTTCCCTGGCAAGATGAGGACCTTGCTGCGTCGCAGGTGTAACGAATAACAAGTCATGAGATAGTGATCGAGAATTGAAGGTGGAGAAGAAGTGTATTAAAGTGTGAAATCTATAATTCTAGATAGAGGCCGAGAAAAGGCCTTGGAATAGAAGAAAGGGGAAGATTCGCCTGCCAAAGCATGTCCTGTATTGATCCAGAAAGGGGATGGTGATGTTGCGCCGTACGCCGATGCTATGATGCTTGTTTGGATACGCCAACTCGGGGAGGAAAAGAAGATAAAGGAAATTACATCAGATCTAATCAGGCTACAAGTCGAAGTTGTCGAGCCAGTGCCTGACCACGACGCGTCCCTCGTCGAACGACTTCTTGTCCATGCGCACAATGATCGCGGCATGCGTGTGCCGATGGTTATGAATGTGTACAGCGTGTTTGTTGAACCCCACATGATCCAACGCCTCGATCATCTTGAACTGGTCCTGCGACAAAGCTAGTGTAGGGAACTCGGGGACCGGTTCTCGTTTCTGCTCCTGTGTCGAATCGACGTCCGAATTCGAGGTCGTGCGCGCATGGGTTGGAGATGTGGGCTGGGTTGGAGACGCCATTTCCTCGTTGCCAGCCATCAGGTAATCCTGCTCGTCTGCGTCGTGAGCGCTCTCGAACATTTCCTCCACTTCTTGACGAGCGGCCCTGATCATGAGGGGGATGCGGTACGTGCCGATGTCGATACCTCCTCTGCCTGCTTCGTGTAGCCGTATGCGCTGTGAACTACGGAAAGACTGTATTGCGGAATTGACGAGGAAGAGGGTTGTGCCGATGGGGATGAAAACAATCAGGGCTGCGGCGATGGGTATTCGTCCAAAAATGGTTCGCGTGCTGGATGTCAACCGTTGTGTCAACGCTGGAAGCGGCTCGGGCTCTTTTGCTGAGACCGGGTTCTCGGAGTCGATGATGACGTCGTCGTATCCCGGAATATAATTGATCTTGATCCCTTCTGGGTTCACAAAAGGATCGGTCTGAGAGATTCCGGCCGTGTAATAGGTGACTGTACGATCGTTCACAATATTGGCATACAAGCTACGATGCTTGAACTGCGCAAGCGCTTGTATGAAGATGCTCTCCGGGTCCGCGAGCACAGCGAGTAGTGGCCGACCGGTATCTCTGAACCGATCAACTCCAAATAGTTGTCTACCACTCATGGAGAGCGTTCGAGCGCCCAGCACGTTCCATACATGGCTATGGTACCCTCGCAGGGGCGTCCGTACACCAAGATGCGGCGTAGCAAAGGTTGTGAAGTTCACCGGTTGTATCTTTTCAAACACTCCTCTGTGGTAGAGTATACCGATGCAGAAGCGAGCGATCAGGCCTCCGAGAGAGTATCCTATTACGCTGATCTTTGTGATGTTGTGGCCGTTCTTTGCCAATTCCTCAAGTCTGTCGCAGACCTCGCTCGCTACGCGTTCGCCGCCCAGCTCGATACCGTCATACGTGAAACTACCGGCGTTGTTCTTGGGCACGAGGATGTCAAGATTCTCTTCAGGAAAACGTTCGCGGAGAGAAGTAGTCAAGTACTTCAGATGGTCGGGGTTACCCCACAATCTGAGTACGTTAGCAGGCGAGATCCTCCCTAGAGAGCTGGGATGCGAGTCTAACGTACCCGTGAACAAGAACGGCCAAGTGATCTGCCTTCATGGAGGTGTGAGAAGATTCGGGCGAAACCATCGCGAGGTTTAGATGGCAAGATGTCGGAAGTCAAGGGGCGTGGTGGCTTTGTATATGCCTTGCGCTTGCATATCTCGCCTGAGTGCTTATCGCCACAAACTCGGAATGCGCCTAGCGTTGAAGTGAGACAAGTACGTTAATGTGGGTGGCGCAGTGCTGCAAGGTAAATGGATTCAAGGCAGCTTCACAAGGTCAAAGGACAAAAAGAAAAAAAGTTTAAGGAGAAGTCGGCGTACAAGTCGAAAATGGGCAAAACGACCATAACGTCATGTCGGAATCACGCGTGATCCAAAGCCCGCGGGTCCGTCGCGTCCCTGACTTGGCTTGGCGTGCACATGTCATCCACAAGTGGTGAACGTCGCGAAGCTTGCGCCACTCTCACTACGCGCAGCCTTCACCTTACCGGCAAGGCAAGGATTGAGTTCAAACTCTCTTGGGATAGCATTGACCCACACACATAATTTGTTTAGAGGTCTAGTTGATTCGACGCGTTGGTGCAGGTAAGGCAGCGGAAAGCAGACTTTGACACGTGCGAATCGTGAACTCTCGCCTCGAGGATTGGTTTGCTTGAGTAAACTCCTTTACTGAGGAGTAATCAGCCGATCTCACTGACCGTATCCGCCTGTTCACCTTGCGACTTCTTTGAACGCTAGCTCTACTAAGCTTGCTGCTTCCAATAATTCAATTCACAGACAGCAAGGCTTCCCCATTCTGGTATGTCGCTGAGTTGACAGGTGTTTCTGCTTTCTCACTTCCAGTCAAGACCAACCTTCAACGGATATCAACCATGTGGCCTTCCATCCCAGCGTTCAGAAGCTTTGGAAACATAGCATGTCCATCGGGTGCTAAGTGCGAACTTCCATATTGTATCTTCGATCATAATGCTGCAAAGACACCGACCGCGCAATCTGTTTTGGCCAACAATTCGGTTTTAGACAGAGAGCCAGACATAAAACGCCAGAAACTCAATGATGGCACAAAGGAAGTGGTCTCACATGCCGATCGAAGACAAGCTCAGACACCACCCAGATCAGTCTTTGTCGGATCAATTATACCCACAACCAAGATCCCAGCAGCAAACAAGGAAACCCTTATCCCCAGGGTTATCCCTCCAAAGGCACCGTTAGACAGCAAAGTCAACGACGCGCTCCCACGCTCTGCAACTCGACCGGTATCACCACCTATATCTGCAGCAGCCGCAGTAAAAGCTGCTTCAAAGCCCGATGTTCCAGTTGCTTTGATGCCACGGAAACTGACCAAGGAACCCACATCGTTCACTAAGAGGTTGGCATTACTCAAGGCTCTACATGGCTATATGAAGCCTCTTAACGACAAAATCGCGAAGGCAGTCAAACCAGAGATTAAAGCGCTGCATTTGAGTCCGAACCAGCTCAACAAGTTGGCAGTGGATGAAGAAGACCAATTGGCTAGAGACAACCCCTCAGTGTACGAGAACATACTGAAGCAGCGTCTGGTTAAGCTCAAATCCATGACACCCGAAGAATGGGTCAAGGGCAGGAGGGAAGCCCTAGCAAAAGAGCGAGGAGATCCACCGAAAAAAGCACCACCCAAAAAAGTCGATACTGGCCTCAGCGCAAAAGAGGAAGTTACCTTTCTTTCAACGCTCACATGTCCGCAGAATGGACTGGACGCTCACGGATATGTCACCAAGCTGCCAAGTCAGGAAGAACTGGACGAGGCGCGTGCTGTACAGACTGCAGCAGACTTTTGGGAAGTGTGCGACCGTTGCGCCACTCGCTTTCAAGTGTTTCCTGAACGCAGAGAGGAAGACGGTGCGCTTACAACTGGGGGACAATGCAGACATCACTGGGGAAAGCGCATCTTCCCGAAAAAGTCGAAGAACGCTGCTCCTGAACCGACAAGGTTAACATGCTGCAATGAGCCACTGGGATCACCGGGGTGTACCACTCATGAGACTCATGTTTACAATATCAAAGACGCGAAGCGGCTGTCACTCATGATGCCGTTCATACAAACGCCTGAGAATGACAAGGCTCCGCCAGACACTGCAGTGTGCTTCGACTGCGAAATGGGCTACACTACGAACGGTCTCGAGCTTCTTCGTCTTACCGTAATATCATGGCCAACTCACAAGGCCCTTGTCGATGTTCTGGTGCGCCCTCTTGGACATTTACTAGATGTCAATACCCGATTCTCCGGCGTCTCTGCGGAACAGTTCGTCAACGCGAAGCCCTACGACTCGGCAAACCCAAAACCTGTGCGCAATGACCTCCGTATCGTCGAATCACCGTACGTGGCACGAGATCTCTTCCTATCTCACGTATCACCTACCACTCCCGTCCTCGGCCACGCCCTCGAGAACGATTTAAACACCATTCGCCTGATTCACCCAACAATCGTTGATACAGTGCTACTCTACCCGCACCGCCAAGGTCTTCCCATGCGTCATGGCCTACGATTTCTCGCAAAATCCAACCTGGGAATCGAAATCCAACAGGGCGGAGCTGCGGGACATGATAGCTTCGAAGATGCGAGAACGACCGGTGAGCTCATACGTCATAAGATTGCAGAGAAATGGAAGGTCATGAAGAGCGATGGCTGGGTGATTCATGACGATGGGGTGCTCCCGCCGATGCCGACCGCTACTCCGCCTCCCCAGGCGCCCCCGGCTCCGTCTATGGTTCCTCCGTCTACCACTGACGTGCTTGGGGGTAAGCCAGTGGAGAAGCGGAAGTTTGAGGATGTTGAAGAGGAGACGGACGATGGGCCGCTGGCCAAGAAGCATGTGTAGTCTAGATGTGAATTCTGGGTTTGCGGATCACAGTGCAATATTGATATAGACTGGATCTGGTCAAGGAAGAACCGTCGTGTACTTTTACCTAGAAGCTCATGAACACTATGGGACAACTAGTCCTAGTGATAGTCGCATGACTTGAATGCATCTCGTGTCTCTCTGAGCAACCTCGCCCCGCATCGTTGTCACCTGAATATCGTGCTGAGGAACCCATCAGGCTCTGCGCTCCCAAGTTTGACCAGCATGTACTCCTATGACAACCCTTCTTCGTGCGTGTCATTCTCCGTATTCACCTTATTGGTGTTGTTGGGCCTTTGACTACCCGGTAGATTACTGTCCCTACGAGTTCCTTCATTTTTCAACCCTTGACTTCCTCCAAACCCTGCACACCCTCCAGCCCCTCCGTGACCGGGTCGTACAACACGTCGACATCCAAATCCTTCATCACGCCTATCACAACGCCAAGGCTCTCGAAGATCCCGTTGACAGCGACGCGTAGCATGCGGTTCGTAGTCGCCGCGTAGTTTACTTGTAGGACCGACTTGTCTGTCGCAGAACTGTCTTGCGGAGACGAGGATGATTGTGAGAGGGTGACGAGGGCGAAGGAGCGCCGTACGAGGGGCGAGAGTTCGGCATCAACGGAGAGAGCAAGGCGCGCGACAGATGCGAGGTGTGCAGTGGGGAAGGGGATATGGAGCGTACTGGTGGACGTTAGGAGATGGAATATGCAGGGTAGAAGGGACAAGTACAGCGTGCAAGGGAAGTCCTCAGCTTTCCACTCTTCCTCTGTCGCAGTCGCCATGTTTGCGAATTTCCTCTTCATGCGCGTTACCTGCACGACGAATGCTGCGCCGGAGTGGATGAGGCTTAAAATCGTGGAATGTGGGGGAGGGGCACATCTGCATTGGGTCAAGGGTTGTCTGGAGCTATGGCCGTGGCCGATCGCGACTGGGAGCTCCGGTGACAGCGTCATACATCATCATCGTCGTGTTTACGGCATCATGCGCCAAGATGGACGCAATGCACTTGTGAGCTGTGTCCTACCTCGGGATTCGTATTTTGCACTTGTTTTACTTGTGGCACAACACCTATATAGCCATTGACCTCCCACAATATCTGAACAACACTCCAAATCTCCATTGAACGCCTCACCACAATCATGTTCCGCAACATCACAAGCACGTCCTCGAGGACGCTGCGTACGATTCACGCCCGCCCAGTCCTCGTCTCCGCAAGCAGAGCCCCCCAAGGTTACGCGAAATATATGAGCACGAACGACAAGACGAACACAGATCAAACCTCCGATGACAAGCACGCGATCAACAAAGTAAAGGAGGGCGATGCCAATGATGTCCAGTCATCGAACATGAAGGATGGATTGAAGTGAGTGACATATCCGTCTTTTGTGCACCCGGACTTCCAGCCCACAAATCATCGTTCTTGCGTACGATATATGAAGGCCTTGAAGCCGTGTAGATGACATGCTAACATGTTCTTCCAGGAGCGCCAACAAGGGAGGCTCTGGCTCATCGGGTGGCCATGCGACGGAAGGGAAGGACTCGGCAGGAGGTGTGGCTAAGGCGAAGAAAGAGTTCCCCGAGGCACCGGACCCAGCGATTGGCATGCAGGATGAGAGGGGTGGACGTGGAGGCTGAGCGGATACACTTAAAACATGGGGTTAAGGGTCTTGCTATATGTATCATGTCAGCGACCACGACGACCGATCCAAATCAATATTCTGTCTGTTCACGATGGTCACTTGGTGATTCTAGTGTGGTGCATGCCATGATTCCTTTCAAGAGAAGCTGATATCACTTTTATGCTATGGTCAGCTTGTCTGCATCCGGCGAACGAAGTATTGATCTTCTGATCAGTATCAACGTATCAATTAAACCACCCCCTCTTTCACACTCGTCCTCAAAAACCACAACTTCGAACCTAGCCAGTCAGAGGTGGAGTGGCGCAAGACAGCTGAAGAGAATGGTATGCGAACCTAAGAGCTGGAATCTCAGCAGTCGTCTGATACCCTATCAACAATCCCTCAAAACTTTTTATCGAGTGATGAGAAAGATCGACTATCCCGCACTCACTCTTGCTTCTTTCGTGCCGTGTCCATGAGGGGAATCCCTTCCAAGCCGACGACGTATAAAACGCTCCTTCCAGCATGTTCACTCCCTCCACAGTTCACCCTCTACTCAATCCAAACCCAAACAACTCCATCCACATCTCATCTCCCACACAAACCAACCCCTACCCCACCCACACAATGAAGTCCACCCTCCTCCTCGCCACCCTCCTCGCCGTCCTTACTGCTGCAACCCCAACCCCCGACCTCATTAAACGCAACTGTCTAGACTGCAACGCGCGTCTCATCACTTGCAAGCGGGTACGGTACCGCAATTAACGAGATGTTCCATAGCACATACACTGACCTTGCAAAGGGCTGTGACTCGGCCAATACGGCCTGTATCAGGGCTTGTGAGTGCAAGCTTGCGGCGGAAATATACTGCAGTGGTCAGTGTCGGATGACGTGTCCTGCTTGAGAGATGGGGGAGATGTGGGTTGGTTGAGATGGGAGGGAGGGATACCGTACTGGTGGGATGGCGCGGGTAGTTTCTGTGATTGATGGATGATGGATGATGAATGATGAATTCTGTGTGTGTGTTTGGCTTGAACCTCTGCTTGATGTTCAGAGAATCACGATGTGTTGAATCGCTTCTTTTGTAATCAATCCTGCTGTGCGTAGTGAACTTGCTAATCTCGTTTACAAGGTGAATGTTTTGGCCTAGCATGTGGTGAACGCAATACTTGTCTGTGTCTTCTTCAATTGGTTGTTATATACGAGAATTCTTCTGATCTATTGTATACGTTCTATACCATGCATCTCATCAATTACCATACAACACGATATCACTGAGCCGCCATTTGTTCCAACAAGCTCTTGATCTTCGCAAGCAATTCCGGAACTCGAAAAGGCTTCGACACCACATCGTCCATTCCGCTCTCTTTCGCTGTGGCAATCTGTTCGACTCTCACATTCGCCGTCACGGCAATGATGGGGACATGCGAGTTCAGGGTTCCCTCAGCTTCCATCTCGCGGATCCGCTTGCAGCATGTAAGGCCGTCCATTTCCGGCATTTCAAGGTCCATGAGAATTACGGAGAGAGGCATGCCGCCTTGCGTGTAAAATTCCGTCTTCTGGAGGTGTTCGAGCGCGAAGATGCCATTATCAGCGGTGCTAACGATGAACCCACATTTGATGAGCTGCTTCGACAGGACCTTTTGGTTCACGATGTTGTCTTCGACTATGAGGACATGCAACCGTTCCAGTTCCATGGATTTTGGTTTGGCTACCTTGGGCTTTTTGAGATCAGACACGACAGTGACCGACTTCCGGGGTGATTTGACCATATCGGATTGGCCTGTTGTCCTCCGCGAAAGACCCGGTCTACTGGTAGAAGGTATCTTCTTGCATTGGATGAAGAAACCAAAAGTGCTCCCTACACCAGCCTGGGACGAGACACCTATCTGGCCGCCGTGGAGTTCGGCTAGTTGCCTGGAAATGAAAAGACCCAGCCCACTTCCGCCGTAGTGCGCATGTGTACGGGGCGACGCTTGCGCGAATCGTTCAAACAAAAGCTCCTTCTCTTCCACAGTGAGTCCGCAACCAGTATCTTGGACCTCGACTCGCAGATACAACAGTTCACTCGTGCTCCAATCCTCTCCAGCAGTAACGATGAGCGTGCTCCTCGTTGGAACGAACTTGAACCCCTGGGCTGAAAAGTCTGGTTTATCGGTCGAGGCGCTGATATGGACCGATATCGATCGCTCAGGTGAGGCTTGCGTAAACTTGATTGCATTAGTGATGAGATTGACTGTAATTTGGAGCAATCGACTAGGATCAAGTAATATCTGATCAATGCCAAGCCGTTGTAGGGACTCATCGGGGCAGAATTTGAACTGAATATCCTTAGCTTGAACCTCGGGCTTGAACATGCTCATAGCCCGCTGGACGACCTCGACTGGTTGCGCTGGGATCGGGGTAATGAGCAGCAAATTCGAGTCGAGCTTCGAGACAGTGAGGATATCGTCTACAATCGACTTCTGATGTTGCACACATAATGCGATATTGTTGGCCGCTTCGATGCAATCTGTAATCACTTGCTGATCGTTGCTAGAAAACTGGTGTTGCGTCAAGGTATCTCGGATGTCGTCCGAGCAGATAAGGATTGCGGATAGCGGGTTTCTCATCTCATGCGAAGTAATATCAATGAACTCGTTTTGTTGCCGCTTCGTCTCTTCGGCTTCTCGTAGTCTTCTCTCTTGCAGTCCTTGCGCCCATTTCATATGAGAAATGTCCGTAATTGAACCCATGACACTGACCAGTTCACCACCAGGGTTCAAGTCAGGCTGAGAGTATGCCATAACCCAGCACTCGATAGGCTCCCCATTCAAATCTCGAGGCTGTACGACTGGGCTCTTAAGCTGTAGCGGACGCGTCGATGGCTTAAGGGTGCTCATCATCTCATTCCACATGTCCAGGGCTAGGGTCTTGCTTTCTTCGGTAACCAGCCCCAAGAATCCAAGCTCATCATCGCCATCCTTTGGCGCTCCAGTTATCTCGAAAAACTTCTCATTTGCTTCGATCAGAACTCCCTCTGGATTGTAGAGGTACATGCCAAGAGGGGAATGTTCGGTCATCCGGCGCATACGGCTGGTCTGAACTTCCAATTCCCTTGTGAGCTGCTCCCGCTGCAATTGTGCAGTTTCTGCAGCGCGTCTGCTCCGACGAACCTCGTCTTCAAAGAGTAGGACAGATGCCAAGGAAGTGGCTAATTGTCTGTTGAGCATAGTCGCGAAAGCTTTGTAGTCTTCGTCGTATGCCCTACGTGGATTTACGCCAACCAGCAGGAAGGCAAACACATTCTCACCGTTCGTCGGCCGAACTGGGAAGATGATCGCTCTGTTGCAAGGATCTCCGTGGCCACGCCAATCAATTCCTTCGAGCAAAGATTCTGGAAGTGTACCATCTTTTGTTTGTAGCGTAGTGGGCTCTCTAGTACGCATGGCCTCCCTGAATGCCGGTACAAAGCCCTCTTGGCTTCGCTTGAGGTCGAGTCTTTGAGGGGACGCAGGATGTCCTTTCGGAATGCCAATGGAGCCTTCAAGATGGCAAGACTTTAGCGATATGGTGCTGTCTGAAGAATGTGATGCTGTATCTGCATCATCCGAATCGACAATTGAGTACAACAAAGCAAATGGTACATCAAAATGACTCTGCTCCAACCCCTCAAGAAGCCGCCGCCAAAATTGTTTGACCGTTTTCGTTGCACTTAGACATTCGTCTAAATAGCGTAGCATCTGTAACCTTCTGGCGCTGAGCGTTTGATATGTCGTCTCAAACGGAGTATTGAAAACTATGGGTTCACCGCACAATTAGCGAAGGATCCATGGTCTAGGATAGACATGCAAACAGTCCAGTCGTTCAGGCTCGCGAAGATATATCGCCTGGTCTTGTGTACAAGAATGGACTTACTGGAGCCCGTCAGCAGGACAACAATAAGAGTGTTTAGGAGCAAGGTTTAGTACCAGCCTAAGATTCGATCTGTGCCCCCAAAAACCTGTGTCCCCGAAGTTAATGTCTTGAGTGCTTTACGACACATGAAGTCTCACTGACAGGTATGAAAGACCAGGAGAAAAACGTTTCTTCCAAGTAGCCATTCCGTTCAATTGCTACTGCGTCATTTTCTCGTCGTATACTGTTGCCGCTGCAGGATACAGTTAGGATTAGACACGCAAGAATTCGGACATGAACCTACGTCCGCGCGCATTCACGAAATATCGGGCCAATGGCTTCCCAAGTTTCGGCGAAAGGGCCCGAGAATCCGGTGCCTAATTTTGATGAGTTGTAAAATACACTGTGGTGTATCTTGAATCTTACCCATGAGTGCAGGATGCTTGTTCCCGGCTGCTTCTGCTGCATAGGCTTCATTGTAAAGCATTGTCAGTTCCTCGCCCCAGAACAGAGCGCATGGAGATGGGTTCCGCATGACGAGATTGGCAAGTTCGCGAAACTGAGAAGTCCAAGTCTCCATTGCGCCCAAAGGAGTGTTTGCCCAGTCAATGTTCCTTGCGAAAGTAAGATATTCCGACATGAGGCCAAGAGGAGTTGGCACAGTCCAGTCAGGAACCGCGTATTCCGGCTTTGCCAATATCACAGACGAACTGCTGCCAGTGGTGTATTTGCTAGTGTTTTTGCTTGGGGTTATAGAAGTCGGTTCAGATTGCTGGACACTTGGACGTAATGTGTTTGTGGGTATCGCAGCCTCAGGAGTCACGGCTTTCTGAGGAGTTGCTCCATTGAGGCGGCGCTTACCTGCGTCTGGTCTTTGCGATGGCACAGAGAGCAGGTCACCTTTGGGAATATCGGAAGCTTGCCATAACGCATTCCCTGAAATAAACCGCCATCTTTGGCGAACAGTAGAACCCGTCCAAAGCAAACCTTGGTAAAAGAGCGTGAGGGGAAAGATGTCTCTCGAGTCGTTGATGGTGCTGACGCCTGAAACCCAGTTCCGGAAGTCATCGTATGTTGCTGAGTTAAGTTTGGTATCGGTGTATTCCTCAGGAGCGTCTATGATGCTGTCAAGGAGCTTATCGTGTAGTCTCAGGGCGGCGTTGCAAAATACGGGTCGAACAACGTTTTTCTCATCGTGGACTGAATCGGGATCTAGATCAAGAATGAAGGTAGGGCGGGAATCCTGATCCAAAATTTCCCGAAGACTGATGCCGTCCAGCTCCAAGAACGCGGCATCTTCCAAAGACGTTTTGCCTGAAGGTGATGATAAAATGTCCATGAATGCGTGATTAGCGCTTGAATCCGATATCCTGGACGATAGGTTCGGTGAAGTGCATCAGTCGCCGTCAGCGATGCGATGATGGGTTTGGCGATTTAGCGGTTACCGTATCGTGTGTGTGGCTGCGTGTGGCTGTTTTTTGACCAGGAAGCTCCCAGGCCGCGTGGATCTAGTCGATCTCGTCACGACGACGTTCCGGAAGCTGTACGGTGAACTACGCTCTAGGAAACTTGTACTTCTTTTGTTCTGTCTCTCTTGTCTGCCGCCGACTATCGGTATCTTATTCCACGAGTGCTTAGTTGTAACGTGGGGCGGTTGCTGTGGAAGCTCTCCAGTCAGCTGCCTCGGAGAGGCATGCGACCGTACGCGCCTCGCCGATGGAATCCATCTCTGAATTCGGCCCGAGTTCATTTGCGAAAGTCGATGTTCATTGGATATTTTAAATGACGGCGAAAAAGGGCAAACATCCTGGCGGGTCAGAAACAAGAAGAGCTTTCTAATACAAGGCTGGTTTGGTGGTTACGCGAAGACGTCCAAAAGCACCAAGGATATGTATGTTAGAGAACAGAAGGCTTGTATTGAAGTTCCGGTCAGATCCTTGTGCTTATTACAACATCTGCTCCCATGCCCCACGCAAGCTCGCATTCAATTCGTACTTATGCGCGTCTCCATCACCCATAACGGTGACACTCTTTACATAAAGTGTCGTCGGGAAACCAAACGTTCCCCTCGTCGTGATCATAGACCCATTCCAGCTGAACATGATTTCACTTGTACCGTTCTGCACCAAACTCTCCCCGTCGTCAAGATATAATGTGCCATTCGCTTTCCCGTCTGCATCAGGTGCGACAAACAATTCGAAATTCTGGTTACGCAACGCTGTTGTGGTATTCGCACTATTGATGCGCATAGGGATGATTGAGCCACCACGGACGAGAACAGGTATATCTGTGTGGGTGATGTTCGTGTAGGTGATCATGCTGCCAGCGCCTGCAACAGGTTTGTGTGTATACAAATCATACCAAGTACCGTTGGGGAGGTAGAAAGATACCAATGTCGAGTGTTCTACAGTCACCGGATTGACGAGCAGTGAGGGGCCGTAGAAAAACTGCGTTTCAATCGCGAAGGTGTTGGCGTCGTCGGGATAGTGCATCCTAGCTTGCGGTTAGTCCTCATTTTCTTTGACAATATCGAGGCTCCAAACTCACCACAAGGGCGAAAGCATGGGAGTACCGTCTACAGTCTGCCGCAGCATAGCTGTGTAGATGTAATCAAGAAGACGATAGCGCAGATCGATGGCCTTCCTTGCTGCAGCTGCTACAGATTCCCAGCGATATGCTTCTTGTGGTTTTGCCCCTTCAACATTATGGTTTCGGTAGAATGGGTAGAAAGCTCCTAGAACCATCCAGCGAGCGCAAAGATGTTCTTCGGCATCATTGAGGAATCCACAAACATCAGCACCAGCCTGTGAACCATTAGTAATTATGTCGTAGTATAGCAAGTAGAAGTTGAGAGTCTACGTACCATAGGGACCTGGAAGAATGCCACAAACTGCAGGAGATGACGAATTGAAGTGAGATACTGGTCCCAGGAAGAGACATTATCGCCCAGCCAGTGACCAACGTAACTGCCTGCGCCTAGGAAGGTGCTGCGAGTGATGACCATAGGACGCTTGTCGGGTCGTCTTTTCAGCATACTGTGACGGCTAGCTTCGCTCATCATTGTCCCGTACCTGAATAGAATGAGTCTCTTCTGTTGAGCGTCGACATTTGAACTTACAAGCTGTGGGTATCATACTCAGCCCAACCACCATGATGGATAAGATCTGTGTCTGCAGTCTTCCAGCTCAAAAGTCCAAACTCGTTTCTGATATTGTACGACGGATGGATAAGATCTCGTCCAGGTAGCCCCTTCTTTGAGCCAGGCTCCTGAGGAGAAACCAGACTACGAAGCTCGAGATGAGTGTTATCTCCTGATTCTGCTTCTGGGTTGTTGCATGGGTACTCGCAAAAGTTTGCAGGCTCCTGTAGATTCGAATGTTCTGTCAGATCCGATAGTTCAGGATTGCATGAAGAGAGTGTCTTACGTTCATATCGATCCACAGTGCATCGATATCCACCCCAGAATCGGCGTCGAAGAACTTAGCAAATTCATCATCCCAATAGCTTTGAGTATTATTCGCGAACCAGTCAGGATAAGCAGTGGGACCTGGCCAGACTATGCCCTTGTAGACACTGTCGTCATTTCTTTTGATGAAAGCATCTGCTTTCACTCCGTTATTGTAAGAAGCATAATCTTGCGCGGCAACAGCTGTAACTTCTCATCAGAACCGCAATATCTCGCCTTTACAAAGAACTGACCTGGATCCACCATGAGGACGTAGTGTTGGTTGTTGCGGTGGAGATCATCAACCAAATCGCGCATGCCTTTCAACGGGAACTTTTCGCCCAACGTAAATACCTTATACCTATCCATATAGTCGATATCTGGATGCGTTAGTGATCCATGGATTGTGTGTTGGAGAATGTCTAATACCCGTCCACATTGTCTCTAGAGGAATGTTGGCTGCATGATAACTGGCTACAACGTCGGCAACCTCGCCAACGCTCTTGTACCCATATTTACACTGGTGAAATCCGAACCCCCAGTACGGCATCATCGCAGCCTTTCGTGTGATTTCGCTATATTCGCGAGCAACGTCGAGAGGTCCAGGTCCAGCCATAAAGTACAGATCCACGACTCCCCCGATGACATTGTATTCAAGATACTGACCATTATCGTTGTTGATCTTGACGTCCATACCATTGCTGTTGAGCAAAAGTACACCGTGTGATTTTCCGGATTTTGCTCGGTGTTCATAGTAGACGGGATGGGTTCCGTAAAGATTTGAATTTTGGGGCACGGCGCCTGAGTCTCGAGCCCACAGTGTTCTGATATAGTTGGATATGGGCAATCGCAAGGAGTCGGTATGCTCGCCTAAGCCATAGAGATACGGGTTGTCGGGCAATGAAGTTCTTAGGCGCCAGTATTGGGTCTCGAAGATCAGGTTAGAACCTTCCGTTGTGAAGATGACCTCGCTGTTACTTTTACGAGTTACGGTGAATGAAAATGGCGCTTCCTTGATAGAAATATCGAGTAGGGAAGCGTCTGAGCTGATTGATCCTGATGGCCGAGGCACGACGAAGTCTGGAACTTGATAAACTTGCTCAGCCTTATCGTATATCATGACATGAAGGCGCGAGTCTGTATTCAATCAGCATAACCGTTTATCAGTAAAGTGTTACAGCAGTATTTTCTTTTGTACGACCAAATATTTGTCCTCATTGCATACAACGAAAGAGATAAGGATTGATTGTGAGCATACCTGACTGCCACTCTACCAGAAACTTCAGATCTTTTAGGTCCTGGCCATGGATATTGCAAGCTGTCCCAGCCAACGTAAGATCGGCTGTCAGTCTGCTGTCCGAACGCTGCACGTTGCTGGCATTATACCCCGGACAACCGTCAAGGCTTTCAAGTAGGGCTGGACCTCCTCCCCAATTAAAAAAACTAGTCCATAGCACAAGGTACGTCTGTAAGAGCGTTATGGGAGCCGGCAAAGTGGGCATAGTGAACTGCGAGAGCGATTCATTGCTGCTCGAGAATAAATATTGCCCTATATAGTCGACTGGAACACGATCCTTAGCGCTGATTTCTTCATCATCGTCTCGTGCAAATCCATCTACCAAATGGTGACAGTGGATTTTTCAGCGTAGCAGAAACTTGGTATGGATAGATGGCGATCTTACAGGCCGTCACGAGTGCAACCATGGCTAAAGTGCCGAGCGGGAGCGGAGCGGTTCGGTGGGTGTCTGGTGGTGCAACAAACCCGCCAAACTGAGTGGATGAAGATGTTGTTTTTCAGAGGATGGTTGGAGCGAATGGCCAAATGCAGGTCGTCACGATCCTTCGTAGATGCACAGATGCAATGCAATGACCCGCCGTGCATGTCAGATTCCGGGGTTAGAGAGCTTTGACAGTGGCTGTATGCGGGGTAAATTACGGCTTTCCAGTCCCGAGGTTACGTTGCCCAAAGAAACGAAAATCAAAACAGCTCAAAAACATGACAGGAAAAGTGGAATCAAGTATTGTAGTCTTCGTAACAAGAGAGATAATCACAAAGCTGTTACACCAGCCTCAAAATTGCGATTACCATGTCTTAGGGTACCTCCCAGTCCAGGACCAGTCGGCACACATGTGCAGCAACAGCCGAGAATGTCTCCACCAACAGGTCACAAGGCACCACATCCTCAACTTTTGTCTCCACCCTTTCGACGAAGCTGCACAAAATTGTTTACGCACGTTTCTAGAAATAGTCGGCCAACTCATGACCAAACACGTCGTCTTTACTCTTGCTATGTAATGAATATTCCACGTTTGGAAGATGGAAGATGGAAGATGGGTGTGCGGACAGGAACTTGGTGACGAAGTTCAGCGCGATGTCCATCAAAAGCAGCTCCTTACATCAGCAGTGCCGGCTGACCAAATTTTCAGCGATCAGAGAGCCCAGCAAAGAATGCCCAAGAAATCCATTCGTGGCGTACAGGTCAGGCGGTCTGGTAGACTATCACGCTGCCCCTTCGCCCTGCATCACCCAGTCACAGAACAACACACCATTGCATGAAAAACAGAGTGTTGCAATGATAGAATTGGCCGACATGTGTTGACCTTTGCTGCCTGCCACGACAAGGCTGCACCTCGTATGTCCCCTGTTATGTGGGCGTCACCAGCGGCAGGTGAAACGGCCACGTGTAGACTGGGATAATCCCTTCTTGATCGCAGGAGCTGCAAGAATAAGCCCACTTCTAGATGACATCATCGTTATAGGTCTGTCCAGCTATGTGTGCACCGTCCTCCTTTGAACAACGGCGCAGTATCAAATTGACAGATCTCTGTTTAGACTAATCACAGATCCGTACAGATCTTGCGTGTACTGAATCAGTGCATGGTAGTGTGGCTCGACTCTAACTGCCTTTGCTTCTGATCTCATGGGGCATAAGCTGCCATCGACTGACAAGGTTTCGCTGACGGAGGAACAAACGAGTCTTTACGGTTCTCGTGTATCTGAGATTCATCAACGACAGAAGCAGTCGAGATTTCGGCTGTTGATGATTCAGGAACCTGTGGCGGATTGCAGATTGGCGAGTTCTGATCTACGCCAGTAGACGGTGATGAATCAACCACTGGAAGTTGTCGGCCTAGTTCGGCTCTTGTAGTTGATGGCGCCTTGACTGATGGAGCCCCGTCCGACAGCGAGTCCCGAGACCCAGAAAACCGATCACCAATCGTCCAGTACCTGTTGTAGAGGTCTCCATGCTCAGTGCCTTGTAACACTAGCCCATAACGAATAGAAGGAGTTGGCGTTGTCTCTGCTGGGTACTGCGGCTCCATTCCAGGCACAACGAATCGGTTATTTGCCTCCTTATAAACCCCAGACGAAAACGGAGTAGATACATCCAGTCGGAGGTACACCCCGACAAACTCCTGCCACTCCTGCCACATGCGATTTGTCTTCTCAGCGGCGGTTTCTTCGCGCTCTTGTTTGGATTGAAGCGCTCTTTGCACACGGCTCTTGGTGCGGCGTAGACTCTTCCTCATGCTAAACGTGCTTGATATCTTAGACGTCGACAATTTGGAGGGAGCAGGCTCCTGCTCGCTGTCGTTCGCCTCGCCAGAGCCGCCGCTCATTTCCGGCACTCGCTAAGAAACGTGTTAGAGGGAGCTGGCTAGCGAGTTAGGTATTGTTGGATGTCACTTACTGAATACTGCTCGATTATATCTTCCGAAGACACGGATTGTTTCGGACCAACACGTTGGTCAGCAGTGGAGTTCCTCCACACAGAACCCGTCATTGGGAGAGTCGGGCGTATGGTGGATAAAGAGGAGCTGCAGTACATTAGGTATGTACGAGAGAGTTTGAAGTAAACACACCGAGGAGTCATATCTGCTTCGACTGGCTGCACATCAACGACCGGAGGAACACCTGCTGGAGGCGTAGGAACATGTGACAACTGAGGAGACTGGGTGGACCTCTCCCCGGTAGTAGATGTGCTTGTTTGCGACTGCATTGTGAACGAGACCTGAAAGTTGGGCTGAATAGTAATAGGAGGATTCGTAGGTGTGAGAACGCAAGCCATAGTAAAAGGTGTTGGGCGTTATATAGTGATTTGTAGTGGCTTGAATATATCACGACTTCTCAACTCTGGATCAGGGTCTGTTTTCACAAAGTGGTAGGTCCAATAGACATCATATTTTCTGCAGATATTGAAAAAGGCTGGTACTCAGAAGCGGAGTCCAACTCACCAGCTCGTTCAGTTCCAGTCACTGTGGGAGTATTCTTTAAATTTGATTACGGTCTGAAAGATCAAAAGTTTTCATCAACATATTGAAGTTGAAGGTAGGAATGGATACTACCTAATGCATAATCAATTCGAAGAAGGGAGGACGTCGTCTTGTGAGCCGGGAGATGTTCGAGAATCTCTACCCCAAAATCTGGTTCAGGACCTGCATATTCCCCAGTTGTGGAACCACCACAACTGAACCAATTACAAGTCACATAAATCGGTAGGTACTATCAGCCTTCCAATTATGTCTGTCGATCAGAGGGGAAATAGCAATTGGCATCAAGGACAGCGACGTATCGATATTTTCTGAATATTCTCTTCAACTACACATACCCCCTCTACTCACCATCAATGACGCAGCGGTATAACCCTGATCACAAGATCCAAAATGTACGCTAAATCTTTCAACTTTATCTCGCTCACCTGGGGTATCATCTCATTTCCAACATGTTCCAACCCCTCACATAACCGTGCAGCATCCCAGCTTCTTGAGCAGCCTAGGCAGTCCCTTGCGAACCATCTGCTCGATCTCATCGTTCTGGTTCTGGTTTTGGTTTTGGTTCTGGTTCTGCTGCTGATGACCCTGCTGATATTGCTGGCCACCATGCGACTGTTGACCACCTCCGTATTGCTGACCACCGTGCTGCTGACCGCCATGCTGCTGGCCACCATGCTGTTGCTGTTGACCACTGGGATATCCACCATACTGTGGGGCTTGCGGTGCCGGCGGCATTCCATGAACTGCGCCGCCCTGCAGGTTCACAAAAATACGACCCTCATTCTCCTCTGTCGCATACTGCAGTCCCAACTCGCGGCACACCTGCTCCACACGCGGCTTGATCTTCTGCACATGTCCCACAGAGTGGTTTCCCTTTCCGACAATAACATGCAAATGGCTCTCGCCTCGACTCCTCGCAGCCTTGATGCGCTCCTCCAACACATCCTCGGCTTCCTCGACATACAAGCCGTGGAGGTCGATTGTGTCTCCCGCAACACGCCCGGTGGCATTGTTCTCGCGGAAAATATAGTCGCGTGCTTGATTGTTGTATTGGTCCATCTTCGCCGCGTGCTTCTTGCCTTCTTCGCTGAGCTCGTGCGCGCGGCCGCCGTCACCGGACTCATAGGCTTGGTGTGCGCGGTCGAAGCAGGAACTACGCTTTGCGGCTTCCTGGCGTGCTAGGCCGCGCAGACGATCGTATTCCGCTTCTGTGTCGGCGGAGGCGTGGTTGAGGGCTGTTACAATGGTTAGTCGGTGGCTTGTGAGTGGAGGAATGCGCTGAGGTGGAACGGAGGGTACGCACAACGAGAGCCAAGCTGGAACATCTCCATCGCTGCCATGTTGTCGCGACACTCCAAAAAGAATAGTTGGTGTGAGATAGGGTGTTGTAGTGTTGTAGTGTTGTGTTGTTGTCCCTGTTCTTTGCGCCAAACAATCGACGCTAAGCGCTCTGAGCTGGCATAGGTCGAGATCGATCGGGGTGTATGCCGTGTCCACTCTGGACCTCAATTTCTGCACAGATCCCAGAGAATTTCGCAATGCTGAATACGGAGGTTTAAATCTTCATTGACGGAGTTTGTCTCGTGACTGTGCGTGTTGAGCTCTTCCGCGTCTCTCCTCCACACTGCTGAATACCCTACAAAGCTCTGGCTCCAATCGGAATTGACAAATCATGAGATCGTTTAGCTTTGAGACCAAGGCTAAAATCTGATCTTGGGCCCCACAAACACAATGAGGAAGGCTGCAACCCACAGCCCAAAGATCAGTCCGTACAGCTTTATGCGGCCCCACCAGCCCTTGCCTTCTGTCATTCGGCGCAATGTGCCCATTCTTCGGCTAGCAGCGTCCATGCCCATAGTGTTCTTGTCCAGCCCTGAGACTGCGCGATCGAGCACGCCCTTATCACCTTCCAAGGTGTTGCCAAAGTGTATCGATTGCTGTTTCAGTTGCTTCGCCATGTCGAGGAGGCTAGTCGTGAGGTTTTCTTGCTCATTGCGATCGTGTGACAGTAGCGCTTCTGTATGTGCGAGTGAAGGGTCGCCGGTCGTCGGGGCAGGTTTTGAAGGGAATAAGGAATTGCCTGTCGCTGACTGCGCTCCTTGGGCATCTTCGCCTTTGCCTCTCCGCCTCAGCTCTGATGTAAGACTTCTTGCCACATTCCGGAGCGCTTCATCGCCTTGTCCTGTTGATCCTGATACCTCGATTCCAGACTCCGTCTTGACTCTTGGTGCGTACGAGGGAAACTGGTCTTCTTCCTCTTCGTCCGAGTCTACCGACGCTTCTGACTCGGCATCGTCGAGCTGATTCAGCTCGTCTATCCGCTGATTGAGTTGTTTGATGAGCTCGCGTTTCTGTTGGAGATCGGTCTGTAGAGTGGACTTTTTGGATTTGGAGGGTAGAGTGGAGGCAGAATGTTCAAGGCTAAGGAGTAGTGTGCGCGCATGCTCGATGTTCTAGGGCAGAGTCAGTCGCTAGAAACAGAGTGGTATATGCAGACAAGAAACATATGAACTCACAGCACTAACGCGCGCCCGCTCATAACTCGACTTCCTCAGCTGGGGGGATGGTTCCACCAGAACTATACGCTCTAGTCTTGACAATAGTCGACTGAGGTTTATAGGTGCAGGATCAGGGTATGCTGACGGCGAGTGTGCTCTAGCAGCCATTGCGTGGACCTGTTCCTCGGCGCGGGGTTTTTTGTGTATGTGTTTCGAGAAGTGCTGGGCTTTCCGAATGATGGTTTAACTGCGGATAATACTCTCAAGCCTTTAAACACAGTATGCACAAAATCTCTAATCTGGAAGAGTTGGAAGATTGTTGGACAGTTCGAGTGTCAGGTGCATGTGTTCGAACTCACCAACGTCACTGCAGCGAAATGGAGGATCTAGCTGATCGGAGCCTAGCGCACTTTCCCCGATGTTCATCGACATCACCATGCAGCTCATTGTATACAGACTCATGAAGATATGTTGATTGTTTGTTGTATTATAGTAACATAAAGTCCTTAACGCCTAAACGTTCTCGCATGTCATAGGAGTCATATAACGCTCCGTATAAACTCAATTTGGTCTACTTCCAGCTGGGAAGCATATGGGTATGATCGCTCCGGTCATTCTTGCGATGACAACAGTATTGTACTCTGCGTTGTTGTCTCTTGACACTTATCAATTTAGAGTAATAGTATCTCGAGATTACTTGGACGGTTGAACGCCAGCGCCACGCGTAAAGCTGGACATGATGAGTACAATATCATCTTCATGTTTTAAGTTCACTTACTTGTTCCACATCGTTCCGAGTATGCCGACCTTTCCGTACGAGTCGTGTAGAGACTGTCTCCTTGCGGTGCTATGCTCATCTGTTTGTCGCTTCAAGGCCTCGAGGTTACCAAATCGCTGTGCGGCAGAAGACTTTGAAGAGTTAGTAGGGAAGGACAGTCATGAGTCAACACAGGTTCACGTACCCGACGGCGTCCGTCATAGGAGTTTGCTGATGCGTCCGATTCGCGACGTTCGGTCTCTTTCTTGATTTCTTCGGGCATGGCTGGCACAACACTCTCGTTGTAGTTCTTGTGGTTTTGGCTTGAGTACTTCTGCTGAAATGGAGATGGCATATCGAAAGATGTAAGGGATGAATGCTTGAAACTTTTTGGGTGGTGGTATGCGAGTTATGTAAGACGGATACTGAGAAATTTGGTTGACAGCAAGTGACATCAATATATATATCCATACACGAGCTCTAAGCTGAGTCTGACCCCTCACTTCGCGATCTCATGTTCACGAGCATTACGCTGACGATGCATGATCGTGCCAATAAGCTTTCGAACTAGGCTCCCCGCATTTCGCTTTCATGCCAATTGAACCCTGATGAACGGTAACAATGACACGAGCGGACAAAGGACTAAATCGACCTTGATGCTGGATCGTGAAATACCGATCGTGGCCAATGGTGGGCGAATCAGAAATGGAAAAGGAAACTTACTGTACATGCTCTAGAGGAGAACCACCGATTGACTGCCTTAAAGTGGCTGTAATGTGACGCGTTGAATTTCAAATAACAGAATTCAAGTCATGAACCAGTTCTCGGTCTCTCTGAGGGCAGAGTAGTTCCGAATATATGAGACGAGAATCGTAGGCAATCCAGCGAGCACCAAAGATTGGTCAGCGATCTCTGTTTTGACAAGACCGATCGCACTAATCTTTGAAGGCATGGTTGATGGCATTCTCCGCAAGCGTGAAAGCATTCGTAGCTATCGCACAAGCCCCTGATTGCTGTGGACTTGCTTACTATGACCAGTGCTCGCGATTGTAGCGTGCGTCCGTGAATTGTGAGCGAATGCTATCCGCTCGGACTATGTTCTGCTCTGCTAAGTGGACGGATTGAGCAAGGTCATGTTTGACAGCTCCTGGAATCTCTGCTGCTCGACAGCAAAGAGACACTGTGAAACGTTTATTGATAGGTGGCAGGAAGAGTGAGACAGCAAGTGGTAAGGTCGGAATGACATCATGAGGCACAGACTGTTTACACTGTTTGCATTCAGTATCAACCGACAAATACCCGCGAAGCGAGAGAAATGTCTGCAGACCTACTTTTCGCAGTCTTTGAACACACTCTTCATCACTTCCCTTTTCGACAGCAACCTGTGGCGCTTTTCAGGGCGCCTGATATCGCTTGATGTCGACAGCTGCGCAGCCTTTCATCCAGAAATCATACGTATGAGTTCGTCGAACTGAGCGATGCCGTGGTAGGTGGCCATGTCGCCATTATCTCTCAGAGCTGGACAGCGGCCACCTCTTCAAGGGGAGGACCTCCAGGAACCGGACGGCTTCCTGAAACCTTAGGCGGATGATCTCTGCTTTGGAATTTCTTGTCTCGTGTCGGAGGTCTGTCCGGGGCATCCATGACGACGCGGATCAACCACACCACCGCAAGACTTCCGCCGACCTCGGGAAGAACTGCAAGCCAATCACTACATCAGGCCGTCCTGACGACGTTCGCAAGTAGCACACGGGCGCTTCCATCAGATACGACATCCAATGATCTGCAATACCTCTGCAGGTACCCACCAAAGGTATGTTAGTATTTTTGTCAACACTGTCCTTTCATGATGATACCACATACATAAGCATAGTTCATCCTATGGTCAAAGACCACTGAGGAACAACTTAAGCAACGTCTTTCGCTCCTATCTGATCCAAATCCTTACCTTACGCTCTGCATGGCTCCCATTTTTAGCAGTTTTCTGACTGTAATACAGATAGGCATTGGCCCCGAATTATGCGAGTGATACCACTTTTGTGCCGTAAGTTAGGTCGCCACTTTTGCCACCTGTCCCGGGCCGCATGTTGTTCGAGCACAGCCGCCGGCGTGTTTTGTACTGCTCAGGGTTCAGCAAGTGGTGGCTGTGAAGGGCCCGTGTCACTGTGAGATGTCCAATTGAGGCTATCTTCCTGCCCGGGGATGTTGTCTTAGTGTAGCCTTTTCTAATGGTGACGCGCGCTCAAGTGCTCCGATAGGGCTGATAGTGCATGGTGATGTGACTTGCTCAAAGAATAGACAGCGGGCGCCATCGCTTTGACGCCTGAATGGAAAAGCAATTGCCGTCCGATAGATATGATCACTGTCAATGACACTGGTCACTGCACATAGGCTTATCATTGCCTGTGGTGAATCCTTGTCTTGATTGAAATGTTGATGGTCTTGCCGATCTCGGGTGGAGAACGAGGGAGGCATCCTCTTCCATCCCACACTGGAGCTGACAGTTCGAGCCGCGTTGCCCAGGTTTTCGGTTGGTGCATGGCGTGGACAATCACCTCCAGAAAGGGCACGGTGCGACGGCGGACGCAGGTAATCCCGAACGTCTTGATCTCGTCAGCGAGCGGAACAGTCTCCTCACTCTGGGTCCAGGAGTTAAGGTGCAGTGCCCAGTGAACGTCTGCAGTCGATCAAATTTGCGCACGAATTTAAAAACGTGTGTGCCCCCATCCCGGCGTGACGACTCCTTGCCAATCTGGTTTTCGACAAAAGAGAAGGGCCGCGAGAACCTTGCAAATTTTAATTCGTGGAATGGCCGCACGGGCCCTGTCTTTTGGATGAGCTGTCAACAACGCCAAGCCCACATGGTCAGCACCTGCCGCCGATAATCCTGCTGCGACCTTTTCCCCCCTCCTTCCCCTCTTCACCTCAACACAAATACTTTACGACATTCACCTTCGTACACCACGCACCATCGCTATCGACACTTAACAATCGAGCGATTCAACACGACCTATCAACCAGAATTTTTCGAGACACAATAAGAGCCCTTGCTCAGGATGACAATTCGGAGCCCAAACGGAGCCATTACTAGGTACTTACTGCCCACATGGTCTATTTCTTAGTTGTTGTTTCATTTGTTTGCGTTTTGCTGCGATCTTAAACCGATGTACTTTCATTCAGTCAATGTCTATTTCATATTTTGCCGCCAGCACAGCAGCCCAGGAAACCACAGGATGTTTCGCCCCACATGGATTCCTACAAGGCCACTTTCGTTCTGTTATCTTGCAACCGGATACCACGGAATTTATCCCTGGAGCTTCTGGAGTTCGTGGCCACACGCTCGAAGGATTAGTTGCACTGCCCAAGCGGTGTTCGTAGACTCGACATTCTCGAGGCCTCGGTACGCCGAGTTCGGAGCTTCAAATTAAGAGCTTATCGAAAAGTCGGTGTGCAAGAGTGGATTTGCTGGTCACATGGCGATTTCTTCTTTCGATCATCGACTTGCCCTCGAAGACAGCATGGTATCTGCAACGACGTGGGAATATCGTCAAGCCTGCCTGGCCAGGTCGTTCAATTATGTCCTTGCTCGACCTGGACTGGCGACGCGACAGCCTGTTCACTTGACCTTCCGTTCTACAATAGTACCCCAAGCCAGGCTACCGCCGCAGGACTAGTCCATGGAGATTCACACCCTTGGAACACAGCCGTGAGGAGTTCCGTGCCTGGGACATCCATTGGACACTAACTCGCATCGATTGCGACCATGGAATACTTTGGTGTTGGTGGAGAGTCAACAGTACGTACTATAGGCATAGTTTGCTTATCTGATCCCAACTTCACTTGATCTTCGAACTAACTTGAGGTGTGCTCAATGAAGAAGAGTGCGGAGTATCGGACAATGCTCACTGTCTTTTTCCCGTTTCTGTCTTGAAGCGTTTCTCGGATAGGATGGACCAACCGTTATCTGGACGCCCCAAGGAGTTTCTAATGCTTAACCGGAATCGACGTATGCACAGCCTATTCAAGGATAACAGCGAGCTATCCGCACTGCTCAATCAATGACCGGCGACTTTAATCTCCAGGTATGTTTCCTCCGCTTCCACGCTCAATTGTTGCACAGCTTTGCTAACGTGGATGCGCTCGAAGGTTTCACTCCGGCCATTTCTTTGGATTCCTACTAACATGGCGCTTTCTTTTGTTGCAGTTTATGGTTTCCAAATTTGGATTTGCATGCATTGCTGTTTCGAAACTAACCCCTGTTTTCAGCGACTCTTTCTTCGACTCACCACCGGAGACTGGTTTTTGCATCTCAAACATTACCGAGTGGAGAAAGGATATACCAACACCCATTGTTTCCTCACAGGAATTTTCTTTTTCTTCAGAGTTCCAGGACATGCACACATCAGGGCCCTTTGAGCTCAAGGATACTGTGTCTGAGTACAGCATGGACAGTGCATACCAAAGCCAGAGTAGTGCCAGCCGGCGCGGTCCCCTCAGGCCAGAGGAGTACCACCAGGACACACAAGGCGGGATGAACAACCAGTTCATTGGCAGCGACCTCTACTCACCATCACTGGGCTCCGACTGTTACAACACCATGGCTGACCAATCCCTGGACATGAGCCAAATGCAACTTCCAGCCGCAGCCGGAACCTGGGACAACCCGGAGGGGCCTGTATATGCTAATTACTCTGCTGGACAGGACTACACACATTACTCGACCACAAACGGCTCCCGATTTACACCCTCTGCTATCAACATGTCACTACAATGGGGGACGAATGAGTCTTTGTCTCAGAGCAATCCATTCACATTCACCCCATATTCTTCACATGGCATGTCGTTCAATGCTACGGCGCCTTCTCAACGAACCTGGAGCCACGCACAAAACGATGCTCCAGCCCGCCTTGCAGCGATGCGCAGCACATCGTCATCGACTGTGCATCAAGATTCGCGACGAGAATCCGCATATGATGTGAATGCATTCATTGCATCTCCAGTTAGCACAGCAAGCATGCACCTCCCACACAGCGTCGAATATGGGCAATCACCTTTTCTGGACCACAGGTAAGGCATCTTCCAGATCTATCAAGTCGATTACTGACAGCCAAGAAGGAACGAGAACCAAGACACAACTTCGACCTTTGTTCCCACTCGATCGCTGGACGAGGAACTCGACATCCCGACGCCTGCTGAGACTGCTGAGGCCAAGCTCGAGGAGGAACGGACAAAGGTTGCCCGTAGCCACCCACTTTATCAACAGGGGCCAGACAACGAGGGCAAATACCACTGCCCAGAAGTGGGCAAGCCTGGATGCAACCACAAGCCAACCTCTCTGAAGTGCAACTATGAGTAAGTCCATTATAACCCGACCATTGTTGTTGTCATTTAACACTGTTTGTAGCAAGTACGTCGATTCACACCTGAAGCCGTTCCGCTGCAACAAGAAGGCATGTGCCGAACTCCAGTTCTCGTCTACCGCTTGCCTTCTTCGACATGAGCGCGAGGCCCATGGTATGCACGGCCATGGCTCAAGGCCCCACCTCTGCCACTTCGTCGACTGTGAGCGAGCAGTCCCAGGCCACGGATTCCCTCGTCGATACAACCTTTTCGACCACATGAAGCGTGTCCATCAATACGAAGGCCCCACGACAGAGCCGTCACCTTCGATCAAGCCTCTACCCCAGAAGCGAAAGAAGTCTGCGTCCGAAGAAGGCAGTGCTAAGCGCGTCAAGGTTGCAAAGGTTACCAAGATTTCTGCCGAGCAACAGCTCCAGCAGCGACGCGACCAAATGACGGAGAGGTTCCTCAACAAGAAGCAACACATCATCGACATATTGACCAAGCTTGCTGGCCCAAATGACCTCAGGGACGACATTCAGTTGACCAAGGAGGTTGTGGGTCTTCACGATATCTGTGCCAACTTCAGGGAGAGCTTTGGCGGATGAACGATGCGTGTGTTAGCAGACTACGTCTGTTGTGACACTTGAATTAGGTTTGTCTTCATACCCGGATAAACTCGACCCTTTTCCACATGGATTCGCATGTTTTGTTTATTTGCTTTGCTTTCTGCGTTCTCCACTTGCCTGGATGGACTGCTCACGTCCCAGGAGGATGTCAGGACCAGGAACTTCCACATGCCGGATGGACATACCAGGATGACTGCCACGGATACAATCCAATGGAACACTCCCAGGATCTGTCCCTGCCGTGGACTTGGACTACCCAAGGACTGGCTCGCCTCGCGCGATAGAAGACCCTTTCGAGGGTAGGATGGACTATTGTCCAGCTCATTGCAACAAAGATTGGCATGAGCGTTGTTGTTGATGTATCAGATTGATGAAGGTTGATTGGAGTGTTGATTGCTGATGTTATTGCTCATCTATATAAAGCTGTTTTGAATTTGGATTTAGCTGGGGAGAAGAGACCATGCGGAGAGGTCAGTCTTGTATTGCCAGTGGCCTTGTCTTTTTTTGCTTGATGCAGAGGACGGCCCTGGAAAGTTAGTCGTTGTATGTAGAAATATTTGCTTTGCGCCTGATATTTTCGCGTTTGCATGACCACTCTTGATGTTTACGAACGGTGAAGTGTAGCATCTAATTCCTGTTTTCGTGATCCTCCCAACTCGTTCCGCAAACCTCGGCCTACTTTCCCGCATTCCAAATTCCTAACCTTAACGTGTTTTATCAGCCTGTGCACGCCATCGGCTTGTGCACGTAGAACACTATTTTTTAAGCTATACTTTTAAAGCTGCAATGCTACACATAAATAAAATTATTATAAGATTTTTTAAGGTAGTAATTAATAGAGTACTATTATTATTTTATACTATTTAAATTAGCCTAGGAGGTTAATTTTACAGCTATAGTAAGACTAGGGTAGAAAAGTTAGCTTATTATTAACTAATATACCTACTCTATCTTTAACTACTAAATTAATAGCTAAAGCTTCTATAAGCTTAAGGCTTTACCTCTTACTTTTTTAAAATAGTTTAATATCTTCTTAAAGTTATTTATTAGCCTAACGTATAAGCTTTTTCTTTTTTTATTAAGCTTATTTTTTAGCCTTCTTTATAACCTTTACCTTCTTTACTACTACCTAATTCTAACGCCTTTCTTTAAGAAGATTTACCTTAAGTTACTTTTATTTATCTTAAAGCTTAATTATCTTACTCTTTTAGTATTATAACTACTTTTATTTAAGGTCCTTTTACTCTTAGTAATTATAGGTAGTAGTAACTTTTAAAAAAGACTAAAAAATAGCTCTTCTATTATATTAAGCTAGTAGCTAAAGTAGTAATACTTTACTATACTACTTATACTTCTTCTTATTTAGGAAAGCCTTTTTAAGCTAACTATTTTTATACTTTAAAAGTATTTTTTAAACTAAAATTATATAAATAGTTTAACTAAGTTACTAAGTTTAATTTAAGCTTATATTAATTACTACCTCTTTTAAAAGTTTCTTAATCTTTCTTTAGTTTAAGGTACTTAAAACTAAGCTTATAAAGAAGCTTAATAATAAGTAGAAGTTATTTAACTAAAATTTATAAAGAATTATGTTAGAATCTATAAGTAAGATACTAGTAGTACTAAAGGCCTTTTAAATAGTTTAAGGCTTAAATAAGCTATTCTAGGTATAATAAAAAAGCTAAAAGAAGTTATACTTAGTAATAAATAAAAGTCCTTAGTACTTATTTATAAAGTTTAAAAGCTTAGCTAAGTAAGCTATTAATAAGGGCTTAAATATAACTATATTAAGAGGCTAAAGTATATAAGTTAAGTAAGGTAGAAGTACTATAAGTAGAATCTTATTTTTATTATAGTACTTAATAAAATCTATAGTAATATAAGAGCTATAGCTATTAATAATAAGTAGCTAGTATAAGTATTAAGCTTTCTTTTAAGTTTCCTAATTAAATACTTATTTAAGCTAAGCTAGGCCTATAACGTTACTTATCTATTTAGTAAGTAATAAGGTAAAGAAAGCTTAATAAATAAAAAGATTAAAATCCTATAACTAAGTATTTTAAATATTTCTAAAGGTAGCCTAATAGATAAGTACTAAAGTAAGAGCTAATTTATTAGTATAAATATATACTAATAATATAATCTACTTTCTATTACTATTCTAAAGTACTACCTTAATTTTTTTATATTTATATTAGTTTTTACTAAAGATCTTCTTTATCCTTAAAAGTACTCTAATAAGAAAGCTCTTTTTATCTATATTATATATATAATACAGCTTAATACTATACTACTTAATTTTATAGTATAGTTACTTAAAGTATAAGGTATATTTAAAGGTAGAATTAGCTTTATAGTAATTAGTATTAATTTTAGTTATCTAATATAAAATTAGGTAAATACTATAGTATATAACGTAGTAATTAACCTAGTATTTTCCTACTAGTTTACTAGCTATCTTTAATATAAAATTCTAAATTATCTCTTTTATAGGTAGTAAACCTTTTTTATAAAGCCTATTAATATACTATAAAAGCTTATACTCTTATATAGAGTTAAGATTTTAGCTATTAATTATATATTTATTATATATTATAGTTACTCTGTAATGCCTTTAGGATAACGTAGATTAGTTAATACTATATTTCTTAGCTACTTTAGTATAATTAGGGGATTCTCCTAGCTTTAGGTATTTTAAATTATTAAGTGTAGCCTCTATATTACCTATTTTAGTAGTGTTATGTAGGGTTAAAAAGATTAGATAAAATAGTGTTCCGCGTGCACAAGCCGATGGCGTGCACGGGCTGATAAAACACGTTATCCCTGCTTTGTGAGACGGAGGATCATTACCTTCCCTGGTCAGACCTACGTCATCCCCACCCACCCAGCTTCCTCGTCTTTTCGTCCGAATCGCGTTGTGATGGGCAGGGACCGAGGTTAAACAGGAACAGGAACACTCGCGCCACCTGCACGAGCTGAAACGGCGAGATTGCACTAAGCAGCACCGACACCAGCGGCACAGTTTGTCAGCGCACAGCAGGTCTGGAAGTGCAGGCTTAACAACGGGCTTATTTTTTTGCACATGCCCGCCCATGCATGCATGCACATGACACGGGATGATCCGAGCGACGATTTCCAAAGCTGGTGGTGCTGGTGCTGGTGCCCCGCGCGACATGATGACTGCCCGGGTTGCGCGACACATTGATATCTTTCGCCCGCGTGTTTTTTCTCCACTACTACTATCACTATCACTACCTACTCCTACTCCTACGACTACATCTTTGCATATCAAATCAACTGTTCTACGTCGGAATACTCTTACCCTACGATCACCACATATCACCACCAATAACAGCAGAAAAGCAGCCTTTGCAACCATGGCCTCCGCTACCTCCTTCTACGACTTCAAGCCCAAAGACAGTCCGTCCCCCCCCCTCCCTCCGTCCCACCACCCCTCTCTAACCCTCCCCCCCAACAGAGAAAGGCACCCCCCACCCCCTCTCAAAATACGCCAACAAAGTCGTTCTCGTCGTCAACACCGCGTCCAAATGCGGCTTCACGCCGCAATTCGCAGGCCTCGAGAAGTTATACAAAGACATGAAAGCCGCGCACGGCGATGACTTTACGATCATAGGCTTTCCGTGCAATCAGTTCGGCGGTCAGGATCCAGGGTCCAATGAGGAGATTCAGCAGTTTTGCCAGGTTAATTATGGGGTTAGCTTCACGGTTATGGGGAAGGTGGATGTACGTCTCTCCCTCATTCTTTCTCTGCTTCTTTCTGGATTGTTGGTGTGGTGATGGCAGGACTTCCACGCATGCAAGAGAGATGCTAATACAAGGCTGAATAGGTAAACGGCGACGCAGCAGACCCCATGTTCGAGTGGATGAAGAGCGAGAAACCGGGGCTGATGGGGATGAAGCGCGTGAAGTGGAACTTTGAGAAGTTTTTGATTGGGAGGGATGGTAAGGTTAAGGGGCGGTGGGCGAGTACGACGAAGCCTGAGGCGCTTAAGGCGGAGATTGAGAAGGAGCTTGGGAGGAAGGCGTAGATTGGGTGGATGGGGGGATGGACGGGGGGAGGGGAGGGGGGTGAATTGATACCATAAATTGTTTTTGTTGTATGGCGGAGATGGAATAGAACTGTTGTTCGTTTGTTCGATTATTGTTTGTTCAAGTATGTGAATCATCAGTTAATCAGTCGAAAGGCACCCTCCTTAACCCCCTCGCCCCCCCCTTCCTCGCCTCCCCCTCCGCCCCAATCGCCGCCGGGACTCTTATCCCACAGCAATCCCCCCACCCAACACTAGCATGCACATGTCTCTTCCCGGCCTCATCAGTAAAAACCTCCACCTCCCCGCCCTCCTCTTCCTCCTGCTCGCTCACCACCCCCGCCTCACCCTCCGTACTCATCCCCTCCACCGCCTCCACCAAGCTCCCAAAAAGAAAATGCTGCATAACCGGCAACTTCTCCAAAATCTCCTTCCGAAACATCTTCCGCATCCCGCCCTCAATCTTCCCCCACCCGCGACTCGCGGAAATATCATCCAGCATAGGACTATGCCAGCGCAAGCCCTCGACATTCTTAACACTGTTGACAAACGCGATTTGATCCAGGTAGATAAACTCCCTGGCCGCTTCCTCCAGGACGAGGGGATTGTGGATAGCTTTCGGCGTGATGTACGCGTGGTGCAGAAGCTGCGCTGCGCCGAACAGGAAGGGAAGGAACTGGTAGTCGTCCAGCCCCCACACGCCGTGGGACCCGGCGGGCTCGAGGTAATACGCGCCTTGGATGCGGCGCATGAGGTGCAGGTAAGCGGGTAGGACGACGAGGGCGAGCGCGGGGAAGGTTGGGGGTGCGAGTAGGCCAACGCGGTTCAGGCAGAGGAGCCAGAGGAAGAAGTTTAGCTCGTGGCCTGAGCCGTAGTCGATGCGCCGTTTGTTCCCGAAGGAGTGCAGGAGGTAGGTGGATATTTCGCGTACTTGTGCTGCGTCTATAAGGCCTAGCTGCGCGTGCCATTCGCATATCTGCTCCTCGACTCCGTCTAGAAAGTCGCGAAACACGGGGTTTCCGAACCGCGACCCTGTATCCTCGGGCGGATGCGCATCGAGCACCTTTTCGGCTTCTTGTAGGATCCGCACTATTTTCCCCACTGTGTCGGTGATTTCGTCGTCGCGGATGCTGGAGATGGGCCGGTCGCGCGCGCTGTCCGCGATCCCGTAGATGAAAGCTTCGACTAGTGTGCATGTCGGGCTGGCGAGGAAGAGCGCGTGGTCTTCTGGGCTGAGGATTCTGCGTGAGGGTTGTGTGTAGGTGTGGTGTGCGAGGTTTGGGGGTGGTGGGAGGGAGGGTGTTGGTGGGGGAGGGGCGGTGGGGGGTTCGCGGTTTCGGGGGGCGCGGCGGGGTGTGAGTTTTGGGAGTTTGGCGATGGAAGAGGGCGGGAGGGGAGAGGGGGCGGCTGGTGGTTGTGCTTCTGGTTGTGTCATTGTGTGTGGTTGTTGTTGTTGTGTGGTTGGTGGTTGTTTGTCTTGAGGGTTTGGGGCTTCGAGATGCGAGGTGGATCGGCCCGCGTTTCCGGGTACTTTGTCAGGACTGCATTGTATATGTCATTCAGAGGTGTTAAAATGTAATTGATGTAATCGATAATATGTAAGAATACAATCTCCTACGCCTGAGCCGCATGCATAGCAGCCCGGTCTATCCAGTTCCCAAACGCCATTCACGCGGACCATATTCTATCCAACCCGCGCTTCGAAGCTGATCTTCTATCCACCATGGACCAACAACAACAGCAAAGCCATGCCACCAAGCCAGAATACCAGAGGAAAACATGCAGAAAGATCTACCAACCAACCAACCATGCAAGACAAACACATTCAGATGCAGTCCACGCATCCAAACGAGGATAAACGCCACTCGAACACCCCAGACAATGCATGCAACGCCTTCTAATCGTCCATCTCACTAGGGTTCTCCTCCAGCTTCTGCCGCCGCTCCTCATCCATCTCCTTGTACGTCGCCCAGGAAAGCAGCAGGAACGCGCCGATGATCAGAAGTCCACCGACAATAGCAGCGGATGTGAGCGGCGAGTTGAGCGGCGGGGGAAGCAGCTGGTCGACAATAGCAACGATGAAGATGGTGAGCAGCGCCGCGACGGAGGACAGGACGGGGGAGGTGAGGGAGATGAGGACGAGGAAGGATCCGGAGAAGGCTGGGTATTCGTTAGCATTTACATATTCCATAGTATTAAAAAAAAAAAGGGACGGGAGAGACATACTAGCATTCGCCAACACACTGATGGCCATCATCCACGCCTGCTCCCCCTGCGGCAGCGCAAACTCCTCCCACCCCAAGTAATGCAGCACAGGTATCGGCACCCACAGCACACACACGGTGAACAGCCCAATCATGCTCCCGAACGTGTTTGCGAAGATGACGCCGCGCATCGGCTCTGCACCCTCAGGCGGACACGCCAGCCTCTTATACAACACCTCGTAGAACCCATACAAGACACTCCCCACGCCAATGACCAGATTGCCAAACGCGCGATTCTCAGCCTCGTGAGAGGGTGGTGCTTTCTCGCCGCCCGCGCCACCGCCCGACTTGGAGCCGTGTTTCGCAGGCGACGTGTCGCCGTAGGCAACGATCAGGACGCCGAAGATGGCGATGGCTACGGCGAGGATCTTGACGGGACGCGGTTTCTCGTGCAGAATGGGGATGCTGAAGGCGTATGCGAAGAAGGCTGAGCAGTTGTAGATAGCCGTCAAGTCGCTCGCGGTCGTCAGATTGACCGCGACGTACCAACTCCCCCCAGCCAGGGTAAGGGCGCAGGTGATGAAGGCGGTCATCTTGGCCATGTAGCGCACGGGCGAGACGAGCGCCTGGCGTGGCGTGGGATGCAGCGTCTGGTGCTGAACGGTGAGGGCCGTCTGGCGCAGGATCTGAACATGTCTGCGCCAGAAGGTGGGCCAGGGGGTATTCCAATTCTGGACGCGCAGCAGCAGCAGCATCGCAGGCCAGAGCAGGATCCACGACCCGTGCGTCATGTACAACATGCAGTACGGCTTCTCCCACTTGAGCTCGTGCTGGATGTAGACGGCCGTCTCCGTCTGCACGGTGAAGCTGACGAGCGACAGGGCGAGGAATATCGAGGCGTAGGTGTATTTTCTCCGCGTCTCCAGCTTGGCCTGCATCTCTGGGTCGCGCTCGTGGAAGCGCTGCTGCGTGCCCCTTCTGCTGAGCCCCCCGTTCTCGGTCCCTTCGTCGGTGGTCTTGCTGTGGCCCAGCAGCGGTGACACGGCGCGTCTCTCGTGGCCGCCGGGCACGTCTGGTCTCAGGTCGCTGGGCATGGCGGCGTCGTGCTCATCCCAGTCGTCAAACTCGACGTCGGAAGTACTGGGGCTGTCGCTGTCGCTGGCGCTGGTGGTGTGGTCGGGCAAAGGGACGGGGTTTGGCGGCTTCTTCCTGAGGGGGATGGACTCGGGCATATAAGCGGTTCACGTTGGGACACGGTGGGCGGGGGGTGTGACTGCGGCCGGCTGCAGGCTGGGTTTAGTGTGGCTGCTTGCTGATAGCCTATGTCTCAATGTGTCTTCTGGGGGGTTTGGCGGAGGGCAGGTCCAAGTCCAAGGCCGACGTCGAGTGGAGCCCCAACCGCCCAATCGCCGTCCTTGCATCTCCGAGTTCCCCATAGTTGCGCGTCGTGGCCGGCTAACGCGTGTAACAATTTCCTCAACATTGTCCACAGCCAGGGACGGTTTCATACGTAGACATGACTTGGTTTGTGTGGTGACTGCTGCACGAGCGCGATATCGACGTGCTTCCTCGAGCCTGACTGCCTGCCTGGGCGTGGGGGTTCCCCAGATGACCTTGCCCATGCACTGGTGACCCACATACACATGAGACTAAGTATCGCATTGCGTGCTCATCGACACGAGGTACAGTCAAATATGCATTAGGAGATAGCGTATGATAAACATAGCCACTGCACCGCCATGGCCATGGTGAGAAAATAACATATGGGGAATCAAAACAACGCCTGCACAAGAAACCGAACTGCAAAAAGCACATCAACACCTTTGAGAGGAAATGCATCGGTCAGGTCAGGTCACACCGGACTCCCCTCGATAGCCTCTGCCCGTTCCTGCGTCTCCACCTCCTCCAGCTCCTTCAGAATCTCCGGCAACATCGACTCGATGTCGTCTTCGCGTTCCCCCAGCGCCTTGGCGATAAGAGCCTTGAATTTGTCCTGCCTCTCACTCATGCCTGCCACCGACAAGTTGCCCACGACTTCGCGCACCAACTCTCTCCGCTCCAGCTGCGCCCGATGTAGAAGTAGCGTTAACCTCATCTTTTCCTGCATGTCGATGGCTGAATTTGTGTCGGCGTGATTTTGCTGTGGTGTGCTGTCACACAGTCGTCTTAGCTCGGCTTTCTGCTCAACCTCGAGGAGGGACTCTGCTTCCTCAACGAGCATGCGCAGCTCTTCTTCTTGCTGCCCGTCTGCTTCGTCGTCGTTGAGGTCGACGCGTATCATGCCCTGTAGATCGGCCACCTGCCTGCGCACTGCTTCGAGTTCGGCCTGTCGCCGCTTGACAACTCGCTCTGCATCGAATGATTCAATCTCTTTTTCTTGCAGCTCCGACTCGTAGGCGGCAGCCAGCTCCTCGCACTTCTCAAGAAGCGTCGGCGCGACTTTTGTCATGAGATGCGAGGCCGTCTGTGAGCGGTATTGTGTAGGTGAGCGAGGCGCCACACTCATGCCCATGCTCATACTCATGCTCATGCTGGGGAAGGGGTGGGGGATCAGGGGCCCGCCGTCTAGATGAGACATGTGGCCATTGAGTCGGTGTTCAGGCGGCGGCGCAAAGGGAGACGAAGAGGCTTGACGTGTGCGGCTGTGCATGCGTCGCCGTTGGTTGAGTTCGCGGATGAGGTCGTCTGCCGTTTCGCCGTGCTTGTTGGGTAGGTCCACAACGACATTGCGCCCCAGCAGACTTCGCACGCACTTCCTCGCCCCGTTCCGCGCAGCAATCATAATCGCTGTATCGCCGTTCTGGTCCTGCGCATTCAGCAGTCGCGTGACTTCGTCTGGTATCCACGTTTCCGAGAGCTTGTTGATGATGCAGTCGAGATAGTAGCGTGCACAGATGTACTTGTTGGAGCTGCTGGTGGTGGCCGCGATGTGGTGGAACACTGTGCTGCCGAACCAGTCTGTCCTGTGGACGGTGGACTGGAAGATCCTGACCATGCTCGGCATCGTCTCCTTGTCGAAGTTGTTGGTGAACATGACGGCGCGCATCAGGGGCGTCTCCAGGTTGTTGGACAGGCAGTCGATGTGGGCGCGGCGGTGCATGAGCTCCCTCACCACGCCGACGTCGCCCATGGCGGCGGCCCAGTGCATGGCGGCGTGGCCCTTCTCGTCGATGGGACGGTCGAGGTTCATGTTGGGCGGGGGCTCGGGCCACGAGTAGGCGTCTTTGTGGTCCAGCAGCATGAAGTAGTCGAGCAGCTGGTCGGCCCATATCTGGTGCTGCTGGTCGAGCAGCGACATCTGGTCCATGCCCCGCTTGCGCTTGCGACTGCCGGCCGAGAAGTGCGAGGCGTCCATCAGGTCGTGGTCGCCCAGCATCGACTCGGAGGCGACCGTCTCGTTGTCGGGCGTGTCTTCGCGGTAAACCTGCGAGCGGATCTGCGAGGCCTCGTAGGCGTCTTCGCTGACCTGCGACTGCTGCGAGTTTGTGACGAACGACTGGATCGACTCCAGCGAGTAGACGTTCTTGGCGTTCTGGGCCGCCGCCGCTGCTGCTGTTGCTGCCGCCGCCGCCGCCGCTGCCGCCGCCGCATTGCGCTTGGGCGGCTTCATCCTGTTGGAGGCGGCCGTGGCATGCTTCGGGGCGGGCGGCGGGCTCCTGTCGCCGGGGATGTAGTCGAGGATGGGGCGCATCTTGTCCAGGACGTTGTTGCGCTCGGCGAGCATGCGGCCGTCGTCGAGCGGGATCCACGTGCCCTGGTACTTTCCATAGCCGCCCTGGACCTTCTCGTGCACGCCTTTCTGCACCTCGCGCTCGAGGATGCGCGTGCGGGCGGGCTTGTCGTAGTCGGCCACCTTGAGGATGTGCGTCGCGTTGATCCAGTCGTCGGCGCGGCGGCGCATGACATGGTTGCCGCCGACGTTGATTTCGTACACGGGCACCTAGGCATTGTCAGTCTTCTGGCGGGTTGGCGAGTCCGAGACAGTCGACCAGCGCATCCACGGGCGCATTCACCCAGCCGAGTCGAGGCGAGGACTACTCACATTGCTGTACGTGGCCGAGTAGATCTTGCCGTCGGGCAGTGGGGGCATGGTGACGGGCGGGGAGTGGAGTGGAGATGGCAGCTCGCTCGCAGGTGATCTCGTGAACGCGTCGTCGCGTTCCCTCTGCCAAGCCTGCCGTCGTCGGGCGGACCGCAGCTTCCCCATGCCGACACCACTTCACCTCGTCCGCCGCAGAGCAGCCACCCGCCCGCACTCGAAGAGCCACCCGTCCAGCTCGCCACCATGACCGTCACCGACTCGATCAAGAATGCCGTTGGTCTTGGCGAACCGCGCAGTCAGTCCCGCCGCGCTCCCCCACGCAATTTGCTGCCCACCACCACACGCTGACAGCAACACGCATAGAGGCCACCCGCGAGGAGATGAGTGCCGCCCGCCTGCCCCTGCCCTACAGAGACTCGTGCGCACATCTCCTGATCCCATTGAACCGGTGTCGGTATGAGGAGTACTATCTGCCGTGGAAGTGCGAGGTAGGGCGCCCACCAGCCATTGGGCTTCGAGACGCTGTCTGACCAACACCTCCAGAACGAGCGACACAGCTACGAAAAGTGCCAGTACGAGGAGTTCAAGGAGCGCGTGAAGAAGATGGACGAGTTGAGGGCGGCCAAGGGCGGGGAACGAAGCAACTAAGGGAAGCGCACAAGACAAGGGCACTGCGAAACGACATGGGCACGGAATGTATATATCTCAGCAGCACAATTCACGACCAGTTCGACTACCGTTGAGAATGGGCAGGTCCATGTGACATTGTGGAATTCCTTAGTCATCAACATGTCCGGCACGATCGTGATTCCAGCCCAAGGCGAAGACTGCTTCTTCGTGTAAGTAAATGGCAGGTAAGTGAGAGGGAGACAAAACATGATTTGTTAGCCTTTCTAGGCCTGGTTGATGAATCTCTACCCACGAGGACTCTAACTGTAAAGCGACAACAACGCTAGTCTACCAATATGCAACACAAGACCACCCCCATCTATGTCAGCACATCTAATCTATAGCTTGGCCTTGGAAGCATCCAGTTCCGCCTTGTCTCTCAAGTGTCTTCTCAGAATCTTCCCAGACTACGCATCGTTAGCTCCAACCCATACAACAACAGGCACATGGCAATACTCACTGGGTTCTTGGGGATCGACTCGACAAAGTGCACACCTCCTTCCAGACGCTTGTGTCGCGATACTCGCTCTGCAACCCAGTTCTTGATGTTCTCGGCAAGTTCAGGTGTAGCTGTGTCTGGGTGTTGGGGCACAATGTAGGCTCGCGGTGTCTCGTCGCCGTTGCTGCGTCGGTCAGTACAATTCGCCTAAGAAAATCGAGAGGTAGAGCTTACGCCGCAACACCAATCACAGCAGCATCCTGCACCTCAGGGTGGTCCAGCAACAGCGCCTCGAGTTCAGCGGGAGCAACCTGCAGCCCCTTAACTTTGATCAACTCCTGTTCACGGTTAGCCACGCACTCGTGTCTCTTCCAGCACAGGATTCACCCACCTTTATCCGATCCACAATGAAGAAGTGGTTCTCCTTGTCCACATACGCAACATCCCCCGTCCTCAGCCACCCGTCCGGCTTGAGAGTCTCCCGCGTAGCCTCAGGCTTCCCCCAATACCCCTTCATGATATTCGGCCCGCGGACCCAGATCTCGCCCCTCTCACCCTGCTCGACTTCCACCTTGCCCTCCTCATCCGACACAATCTTCGCCTCGATATTCGGCACCAGCTCGCCCACCGAAAAGGACGCCGAGTACTTCGACGGATCGAATGTCGTCGCCGCGCATGTAACCTCCGTCATACCCCAGCCCTGCTTCACATTGATCGACCCATCAGGCCACAGCCGTTCAAACTCCTGGCTCGCCTCCCTGCCCAGCGGCGCCGCGCCCGTGGAAACATGCGCCACAGACGACAAATCGAAGGTCTTAGTCGCAGGGTGCTTAGCCATAGCGATCAGCACAGGCGGAACAAGCACCAGATCCGTAATGCGATACCTCTGCACATTCTGCAGCATCTGCAGAAAGTCGAACCTGGGCATCATATACACCGCCAACCGCTGCTTAGGCGCGTTTACGCAAAACGCCGCCTGCGCCATGGCGTGGTACATGGGCAGAAAGCACAGCACCCTCTTATGCTTGACTTTCTCCGCATACCCCGGTTGCAGCGCAGACATATGGATCTGCTGCGCGCAATTCGCAACATAATTCCTATGCGTGATCATAACCCCCTTCGCCATCCCCGTCGTGCCAGACGAGTAATTCAGCGCAACAACCCGATCCAGCTCCTCCTCAGTCCTCAACTCAGGCCACGCATACGCCTCCCCGCGCTCCACACAATCCACCAACGCACTCCAATGCCGCACCCGCCCGATCTGCGTATCTTTCCCCTCCCCCCGCCCCTCAAACGTCGCTACCCCGTCGTCAAACACAAAAATCCGCTCAGCACCCATCCCCGCCTCCCTCGCAGCAGCAACCCCCGTCTCCAGCCCCGCCTCCGCGCAGATCAAATACCTCGCCCCAGAATCGCGGATCTGGTACGCCAGCTCGCGCGCTACATACGTCGGGTTCGCGCCCGTGAACACGCCCTCCGCCATCATGATGCCGACTACTACCGACGGGAAGAACAGCGTGTTGCCCGAGAACAGGAGTACGCGGTCGCCGGGCTGTAGGCCCGCGCGCCGTAGACCGGAGGCCAGGCGCTTGGCATATAGGCGGTAGTCGTGTAGGGAGAGGAAGTATTTTGTGGGCTGGGCGGCGTCGATGAATGCTGGTTTGTTGGGGAGCGGGGTCGAGGGCGAGTCGAAGATGTAGGTTGGGAGGGAGACGCGCGGGGTGGGGATCTGCCAGCGGGAGGTTATCACCATCTTTTTCTTTTCTTTTTTTTTGGCTGTTGGTGGGTTTGGTGGGTGGGTGGGATGCGTGGATCGCGGTGTGGTGCGGTGCGGTTGAGATGGGATGCGATGCGATGAAATATGAACAAGCCTAATCAACACATCGCTACATGCCGTGTAGTCGTACTTGTACTTGTACTTCTCCTCCCACTCCCCCAATCAAGGCAAGTCGAGTCGAGTAAGCACTGTCAAGCGGGCGTAACGCACGTTCCTGATGCCGAACTAGATACCTACCATGCATGTCTGACAGCCGCCACTACCTACCTACTCTTCCATCCATCCATACACACCTCTTACCTACGCGCTATTCGATCTGTCGCCGTAAGCGCATTATCACCCTCTAGATACCCGCGAAAACACAGATCAGGTCTCCATCTTGACATCCAATGCCAACCACATACGCAGTCGTCTACCCCAGACTAGACACATCGCATACCCCAGACGCACAGACCGGGTGATGGTGCGAGCGCGATATGGGGTGGTGTTGGGCCGAGGTATTTCTGTGTTGCGTAGTCAGTAAGCGACAAGCGAGGCGTAACGTAGCGTGGTGTAGTCAGTAAGCGGGAAGCGAGGCGTTAATGTTGTTGGGTGGCTGACGTTGGATTTGAGTACGTAGTTGATGACACCGATATCTTATTGGATGAGTTCTTGATAAGTTTTTCTGTACATTGGACGGTGATGACATAGGAGTTGCTGGGTAGGGTTGGTGAGATGGATGGTGGTGGGGTGGGTAATGGGTAGTGGGAGATGGGCGGTGTGAGATTTTTTCTTGGGGAGGAAGAAGGAAGGAAGAGAGTTTAGGGGTTGAAGCGATGTGTGGAGCGATTACTGCTGTTGCTGCTGATATGCTTAGATGTGTTGCAAAGGGATATTAGTAGCACTTCGAAGTCGATTCGGCAAGGTATACTCAACCGATGCTGTACAAGAGGACGCCGAACCAGCCCGGCCATCTAAGCGGAGCATCGAACAAACGAGTGTAGATGTATAGATAACCAACCGTTTCGGAGAGCGTGGAGTAGATGCATCTCCTCTTCAGACTTGCGTGTTGACTGTCTAGGTTCTGCTTAAGGATGGAAACGATTGATGGTCACGGGAATTGCGACCAGGAGGAGTAGTAAGAGCGGGATCTATACGCTTTTTATTATGCGAGGTGAAGCCAGACGGGTATGTAGTGCAAGGTATCGCTAGCGAGGTGGACTGTCCAATCCATGCACCGGCAATGGATTACTGTTATCAGGGACACACGTTCACTGTCAAGGTACGGATGAGCAGTCGTCTTCGGCCCCAGCTAGACCTAGAGATGTCTGCTATAGCGCTAACAATGGGTTGGACGATGGCGCCACATTGGAGCGAAAGTCTGGGTGAGCAGGGACTGCGACTTGGTAATCCCCAGGGAAAAGAGAACGGAAGTCGACGATACTAGAGAAGTGGTATGACGCCCGCCCTAGCTGGTTTCAAAAACCACCAAGTTCTGCGAAGGTGAGTGTTGCCTACAGAAGAGAAAACCGGATACCGAGGGTGAGCCAAAAATGAACGTTCGGAAGATGCTGGTTCTGGTGTTGTCAATGTATGTTCTCTTGGCAACTCTTCCTGATTGAGTACCTTATGGATCTCCTCTCAGCCAATCCTGTAACTGTCCTTACTCGAACGACTAGCAACGAGTGGATAGGATGGAATTGTAATAGGAAATCTCGATCTGTTCTTACATTTACCACTGACAATGACCCTTCCCTTCTTTTTGAGGAGGCTCTACGAGTCGTCACAGCACGATGACCACCGCTCTGAAGTCCCATGTCTGCGACTAGATATGCGGGACCACCACCTGGAAGGAAAAAATGGCCCAAGATTCTGATGACTTATCAAGTCTTTCACTTGTTGAATAGATAACACGACAACCACGCGGTGAAAACGTTTGAAATTGAAACGGGAGCATAAGAATGAGCTTTATAATATGCTAAAACTTTGTATTCAAGAGTCCTGTCTGTTGGAGTTCTGATCTTGATGTTCTTGTTGCTTTGCTGACGTATCATAATCTTGGGCCAATTTTTCTTTCCAGGTGGTGGGACCGTGTTCGTCGTCATCGAGCAGAATCCTGAAGTTTTCCATTGACGAATCTACTAGACGTTATATAAAGCTTAGTACATGTCCGATTATGCATAACACCTTCCTGGTCTTCTTTTGATTTGTAAGCCGCTGCCTGATTTAACGACCCACTGGGCGCTATGTTACAAGCGAGGATTCCAGATAACCGGGGATTCCAGATAACTATATAAGATCGAGATACACACCCCGCCACTTCCAGGCTTACGCGCCCCAACTCTTACTCCTAAGATACTTACACCTGGCACGAATACTGTCTTGTCATACGCGTCCTTCGACCTACATTCGATCTCGTCTAGAAACATTGGCTATACCGACCCTTCATTCTACTTCACACTCCGTCCCAGCATATCCACGTCTCACGATGGCAACCGAATTCACTACACCCCTCAAAGGCCACTGCACATGCAAGACCGTCACATACGAAGTCCTCGCCCCCTTCCTCTGCACACACTGCTGCCACTGTACCTGGTGCCAGCGCGAAACCGGCTCTGCCTTCGGTATAAATGGCATAATCGAGACTTCGAACTTCCGCATCACTTCCAAGACTAAACCTCTCCTCAGCGACATACCTTCAGCCTCCGGGGACGGCCAAACAATGGCTCGATGCCCGAACTGCTTCGTACTACTTTTCAGCGGCTATGGTGGGGATGGAATGTGGTCGACGTTTGTGAAGGTGGGAACGCTGGATGATGAAAGTAGAGAACGTGTTCGCCCCGATGTTCATATCTTCACGTCGACTAAACTGAGTTGGGTTGACTTGACGAGCGAGAAGGAGAGGGGTGTGCCGGTTATGGAGGAGTATTATGAGAGGAGTAAGGTGTGGAGGAAGGATGCGTTGGAGAGGTCTGAGGTGCTGAAGCAAAAGAGAGAGGGGGCGAAGAAAGCGGAGGAAGAGGCTAAGACAGACAAGAAAGAGACTTAGATCTGAGAAGGATTGGAGGTCATCCCCAATCCCATCTCCTACATGGGCAAAGTCTTGAAATGTTACTTAGTGTTATCTCTTTTATTGTGGCATCTGATATCCACGAAGAGATTTCATACAGATCCAAATAACGCATCGTTTCTTCGGACACCATCACCGTGTAGTCTTGGCTGTCTTGGTGAGATTCTGGGGTGATCTCGGTACCGGCAATATTTGTCTACTAAATAGAAACAGCAAGTTGTTTCATATTCGACGTCAACTAAGCCTTTGCCACTTTGCTCCTTGACTCAACTATACCTACTTGTGCGTTATGTAATAATGCCTTTCTAGATACTTTGGTTTCATTCGGCTTACCTAAGTGAAACACTGCGGAGAGGATATGAGTTTGAAAAAGCTTTCCTCTCTGAGCATGTTGAGGCAATGTTCGAACAATAAGACCAATACTTGTAGTGTATGGTCGATGCAGAAGTAGTCGTTGCATCTTTGGTCATACAGTGTTGATTCGGCTCTGCTCGTTAAGTGAAAATCGTTATGTGAGTATCTGATAGTACAATACAATAAGCCAAATATTCGCCAAATTGACCGACGAGTACAATCGTCGGCTTTAAGCTGACCAAATTTCATCTAAAGGGTTCTGCACTCTGGTAATTGCTAAGAAAATCCCACGATGTGTAAGTGTTTTGCAAGTTGGAATATCAAAGGGGCTTCTCAACTACTAAGTCATACTATGAGTGAAGTCACAGTGCTAATCATGCTGTGAACGTTCTTACGAATCGGTAATTCGAACCTTTTGCTCTACGCCAAGGAGCGCGTTGCCGTTGTAGTGTTTATATTGCATGCAAGGTCAAGACATAACGATTCAACTGGCATAGCTCAGTGGTTGAGACTAAACGCCATGGAAGCTGATCAGCTTTCAAAAATTATTCAGCATGAGCTCTACCAACAACAAACAGATAATCTTACGCAGGTACGCTATATCTCAAGCTACTCCATGTCTTGCTAGTACATTGTGAGCAGCCCAGAAGAAAACGAGACAGTCATTTGCATATGCATCACCAACTCAACTGGTGCATCTCAAGGATTCGTGGTTCACAAGAGTGTCGTTCTGGCTTCCAATGTTCTTTGTAATGGTCTCAACTCCCGGATGAATCCTGAACACCCTCTTATCCGCGTACAATGGCATGGCACGCTCGATGTCTTCGACATATATCATGCATGGCTCTACTCACACAAAGCGCTCACCTCCGCTGAGCTCAAGAGCAAGCAACCGCCGACCGTTTCAACCAAGTCTGACTACACCGACTTGATCTGCTGCTGGGGCATGGGTCAGACGCTGAGGGATGAGACATATCAAGATATGGTCATGAGTTCCATCATCAACCGCTTACAGCGATGGACTAGCTCACTACCACCGCCGTTCATATACGCCCAGACGGCTAGTACAGTGGTGGGTATTTATCGGGAGACGACAGCAGATGCTTCCTTGAGGAAGCTAATCGTTGATGCGGTTGCAAGATCCGGGACTGTGGTTGATTAAGACTTTCAGGAGAGCTCTAGAAATCCCATCACGTTCATCAAAGACGTCATGGTTGCTCTAGCGAGAGAGAAAACGAAAGCAACTAAACGCACTCAAACGTTCACACAGTGCTCGCTTGGAGTTACGGATCTGCTCACTCCGTCTATTCCGACCACTTCAACTGCGTTTGCAAACAGATTGGGCCCTCCTGACCCACCGTCACCTTTCTTCAACCCGCGTCTCGAGTCCGATGTTCAGAAATCGCGCTCTCATCCGATGGCGGCCCCTTCTCCAAACTCGAGGAATAGTAGCAGCAAACAAGCACAGTCTGAAGAAAATGTGTTCGCGGCAGACGAATGCGCATATCATCTGCATTGCAAAGTGGGTGTTCCGTGCTCGCGCATTAGGCTTTGATGAACCCAATAGAACTGATGTACTGTCTATGGGAATATCCTGAATGAGAGTTGTTGCTGTCATGGATAAAACTTTAGCATGTATAACTGGTAAGAGGCTGGGAAGTTCCCGAGAGCGTCGTGGCATGGAAAACAAGGTTGCCAGAGACTTCAATGAGAGTATAGCGTGCCACAGGCAGAAACCACGATCTATTTTCCCACAAGTCCTGCCCATTGGGTCTATCCCCACTTGACTAAACCATCGATGTTGACTCGAAGCGCTATGGTATCCTGACACAAACCAGCCTTGATACTAACGTTGATCCCCAGACCGCTGTCTCCGACCACGAAGATATCATGACGAACATCAGCGCCGCTGAGTGGATCATAGACCTCAGCAGGGATCTGTTCTTTCACCAGCTCCTGCCATCCCCGACGAGCCCCAACAGCTGCAGCTGACGCAAAGTTCGGGACGGCTTTACACCAGTAGTGACATGTAGTGCGATTGAATCCAAACGCGACTGGAAAGTTTAGGGAATGCGCATAAGTATGAGACTGAACGCGGAGCAACAGGACACCAAAAGCCTCAGTTGTGTCGTTTGGTATCTGGAGTTCGTGTGTTTCCGAGTTCCAGAGTTCTCGCGGGAAAACACTAATGATGCGGACTGGTGGTAGGGTCTGGTTCGCTATCCGGCGACCAACGTGAAAGCAGCGAAATTCTGGAGTGATGAAGTCAGGTGGTACCGAGAGCTTTTGTCGGACGTAGATGGTACGCAGCTGACCAGTTGGCCAGTCATCAATGGGCACAACAGACCCTGCGTCGACCCTTGCGTATTGCATGCCGCCATCTAAGCATATCAGCCGAATTGCTAGTCGTTGGTTCATGGAATTGCTTGATCGGATCATGGCCACGACACGGCCTTTATCCTTCGGATCCGGTAGAAATTCAAATTGCACGCGAAGGCCAATGGGTGTCGAACCGATTGGAAAGGTTGATATGACATTTTCGAGCTCAATGGTGCCGCAATCGCGAAACTCTACAGGTGATCGCGCAAGCAAGCCTCGATAAGTAGACTCATCGGCGGTGACTGCACTCCAAGCAAATAGCGAGTAGTCGTCTGTTGTCTTGAGGATCTGTTCCTGCAAGCGAGTGAAAGCCTTTTCGCCTTCACCATATAGAAGTGGCATCTGAATATCGAATAGACCTAGTAAGCAGTATGCTTGGTCCTCGATGCGTGTTGTTTTACGAAAGGCTGCCCATGACATTCGCTCCGCTACAGAAACTTCAGCAGCCGATCTTCGTTCTTCAAAAACAAAAGTAGGTATTCCCGTAGTCTGGGAAAGCTCTTCCAGAAACTCTACTTTTTCACCCATCAACGTCCAGTCCCCGAAATAGAAGCGACACACAGCCGGTGCTACCAGTTCTTGTAATGTCCAGCCTCGCGTTGACCATCTGCTTGTTTCGAATGCGAGCTTTGCAATCTCGGATGCTGTCTTGACGCCGTCTCTGCGAGGGGTGGGTATGTCTTCCAGATAAACAAGACATACTTCTGCATTTTCATACCAGCGATACATGGAGTTAATGGCTTCCTGAAGCTCCGCACTTGACGATTTGTCGATGCAACAAGTATCGATCCTACCGAATGTCAAGATTGAAGTCAGCTCAGCTTCCCAAGACGTGTAAAAGCACTCTGCTGCACCATACATAAAGTATCCTGGAAGACCTTGCGTGTCTCAACATCAAACAATCATGAGACGTACCTAAAACTAATGTCAGTCTAGTCCCAAGTATAATAGCAGATCGCGTCCACGCAATTGTCCAAAGACTTCGGGTTTTTACTTGCGCATTCTAGGGCACAGGTCTCAAACCTACCATACGTATTTATACCCCAGATTTTGCGCCTCTCTTGATGCCTCGATAATCTTTGAATATCCTCGCCTGCTAAGAAGGTCATCTTCGGCGATGCTCCCAAAACTCGACCCAGAATTGCCATTTCCCATCATCATCCCCATGGCCATCAACATGAAACTGGACTATTCATTTTGGCTGGCCAGAGGTTCAGCAGATGACACTTGGGTGTTGGGTTGGGTTGAGAACGCCTTGATTCTGTTAATCCAGACCAGCTCTTGGTAGCTGATCTCATCTGGGCCCCATGTGTGAGACAAGATGGCGTAGTTTGGCACGTCATTGTCGTTGAACCACTGGAGTTCGATTGTTTCAACATTGACGAGCCGCATGTCACACCTTGCTCGAATGGGATCGAGGCTGAGGCTGAAGCTAAGGGTAGGTGAAGGTGGCGACATAACATGATGTAGATTGGGCGCTAGCGAAGCCCCCACTTTGCACTAAGTTCGGCCAACCACTTTTGTCCTGTCAATATACACACCACTACCAATGCAGACTCTCCGGGACAAACGTTGAGAAGGAGCATTAAACCCTGGTGATGCCTCAGTTCTTTCCTGTTATCACGATATCGTACAGGAATGCCGAAGCTCGCAGTACTGATGTCAAGCCACGTCTCATCATTCTGTATCCTCTTTACTAACTCTTCAAATCATAAAGTTTGATACACTCTAGTAGTCATGGCTCTGTTCGCAGCTATTCCCTTTGTTCTTCCTCATTGATAACGAGAATCCACAGCTCAAATTATGGTCACTCCTACTGTTCTTTGTATTTTCATGCTCACTCTCAGAAATAATCACCAAGTCTACAGGCGCCTTCTCCAGGCCTTTTGCAGATTGGGTGTGCGTGTTTTTATCCAACCACATGGATTCCTATTCTCCTGTCATGCAGTGTGTGATTTACCATGCCTTAGGGTCTATTTTCAGCTAAATATTTCCACGTATCGATTCTGCGTCGGTCGAAATCCGGACCATGTGTGAGAAACTGGAATAACTGAAGTTGCCTCGGCCGGGAGCATCCCCTGAACCACCTTGTCCTTTTGGGACTTATCAATAACGCATTCGACCCAATGCATCCTGACGTGGCTTAGACCAATTTCGGTAGATACCGGGAACACCCACGTGTAGACTTAGCTTGGAACTGACTCTCTTGTTCCCGCCCGTCGCACGCCCCGAATCTATTTTCCGTATTCCCTTTCTAGCATGGTCAGAGGCACGCCGCGCAATCCGAGCGCGAGCCGAGAAGCATAGATAGTGCTGTTTGCTACTTTGAGAACAGCCTCTGCGAGGAGGGCTGGAAGAGAGAAATACAGGGGTCTGACATATCGGAACTGGGAGACGTTGAAAGAACTCATGAAAGACAAGACGTTTATATACCACATAGACTCTATCTTGAAGCCAAACATGAACATTTCACACAATCAAGTGAAGACCAAAACTGTGATAACTCCACCTTCCTCACTAAGATAAATCGGGTTTAGTCAGGAACCAATGACGACAGAAGAAGCTGCATCTCACACACAGCTCTCCCACACCCACAAAGCACAATCGCATTTCAAAACTACGAGGTGCCCTAAACTGTGGTAGATCAAACAAACTCACTTGTGATAGCCTGTAGTAACAACACTGCAAACATCTGTGGGCCCAGCGTAAACCCCGCTACTTTACCAAGCTCTTCTTCGCCATCACGAATCACACATCGCGTACTAACCCAGAGCTACACAGTATGCCTAAACCAACAGATATCCCCTCCTTCGCTGCGACTCAGCTCACGCTCCTCGACGCCGAACTCCAAGCCGAGCTCTCAGAGACAAACGCGCTTCTCTCATCGCACACGCCTACCACACTCTCGCGAGCTGGTCTAGCTATTCTGAATCTCAACGTGGCATCTGTACGGACTGGATTTGGAGGCAAGACTGTGGTCGAGTTAGCGTTGGATCCTGCCGTCGTGGCCAAGGGCGAAAAGCCGGATATACCTGAGCATGGTATACGCGTCGGTGATATTGTAGCGGTTCAGGACCAACCCACAGGTAGTGCAAAGAAAACGGAGAAGCGCGAGCTCGCAAAGAAGGGTGCTGAGGGTGTGGTGTTACGGGCAAGAAGGGAGAACGTGGAGATCGTTCTGGACAAGGAGGATGCGGATGTGCCGAGTGGAGCGAAACTGTGGATGTTAGTTGCCTCGCAGCCGTTTGGCACCTCTGGAAGGAAGCTGATGGTTGTAATAGAGTCAAGCTGGCGAATGACGTTACTTATAAGAGGTATGCGTTTGAGGAATACAATGTTGATCCGCTTTATATTTAGTGCTCATACGTGACAGGATGAACCAGACGATGAGTAGGCTCCAGAAGTTCAGTGACCAAGAGTATACACCATTCATGCGAGTTCTATTCGGTCAAGCCTCGCCTACACCACTGCCATCAGACCTCAACGACCCCTCCAACCCCCTGTATAAGCTTGAGTGGAATGATTCATCATTGAACGACAGTCAGAAGGAAGCCATCAGGTTCGCCCTGGCATCTCGAGAGGTTGCTTTGATTCACGGCCCGCCAGGTACTGGAAAGACGCATACGCTCATTGAACTCATCCTACAGCTACTCAAACAGAAGCTGCGCCTCCTCGTGTGCGGACCGTCAAATATCTCAGTAGACAACATCGTTGAACGATTAGCCTCTCACAAGGTACCAATGGTGCGCTTGGGACACCCAGCTCGCCTTCTTCCGTCAGTGCTCAACCACTCTCTTGACGTACTCACGCGAACGTCGGAAGCTGCTGCGCTGGTGCAAGACGTTCGCAAGGAAATGGATGACAAACAGGCGTCTATCCGCAAGACGCGAAACGCTAGAGAGCGACGCCAGATCTACAACGAGCTAAAGGAGCTGCGACAGGAATATAGAGAGCGCGAAAAAGGATGCGTCAATAACTTGGTTACCGGAAGCAAGGTGGTTCTCGCTACTCTGCATGGTGCCGGAGGCTTCCACCTCAAAGGGCAGGAGTTCGACGTTGTCATTGTCGACGAGGCAAGCCAGGCTCTGGAAGCACAATGCTGGGTGCCTCTTCTCTGGGCCAAGGCTGGCAAGTTGGTCCTTGCCGGTGACCACTTACAACTACCGCCTACCATCAAGTCACTCAACTCGAAGGAATCGAAGACAGCAAAGAAAGAAGCTAAGAAGAGCAAAGACAACAAAGACAGGACCGAAGAAACCGAAAAGAGCAGCTCAGAACTGCCCATAAAGATGACGCTCGAAACCACGCTATTTGATCGGCTCCTCGCCCTCCATGGCCCGTCAATCAAACGAATGTTAAACACACAGTACCGCATGCACGAAAAGATCATGCGCTTTCCCTCTGACGAACTCTACGACTCAGGACTCATCGCTGCCGATTTTGTCAAAGACAGACTTCTTACAGATTTACCATACGAAGTCAAGGACACAGATGATACGAGAGAACCACTGGTCTTTTGGGACACGCAGGGTGGTGACTTCCCGGAAAAGATCGAGGACGAAGGCGTAATCGGCAAAGGAGGTAAAGGCATGAGTCTCGGTGACAGTAAGTCTAACGAGGCGGAGGCGGCGTTGGTCCGAATGCATGTTAGCAAGCTTGTTGGTGCAGGCGTTAAGGCAGAAGACATTGCAGTTGTTACGCCATATAATGCTCAGGTATGTCACTCGAAGCATGAAGGACTCCACATACGTATCAGGTTTAGGCTAACTGCTCTATCCCTGTTAAGCTTGCGCTGCTGAGCGGAATGCTCAAAGAAGCGTATCCTGGCATTGAGTTGGGCTCCGTCGACGGATTTCAAGGACGAGAGAAAGAAGCTGTTATTGTGAGTACAGTACGAAGTAACGCAGACTACGAAGTTGGATTCTTGGGCGAGAAGCGCAGGCTGAATGTCGCGATGACACGACCCAAGCGACACCTCTGCGTGATCGGAGACTCGGACACGATTAGCAAGTAAGCTCTCCCCTTTGCTTTTCCCTTATCGCACAATCATTACCCCGATCCCGGTGTTACACAATTCTCCGCAAGGTACCCCAGAGCCATGCGGAATGAATTTGTTTTACTGCATCCATCGCGTGTTACAAGGAGTTACAAAACGCGAGCAATGCCCTTCCCTGTCCTATACGCCCTATTTCAGTTTTACTGGATACACGTACAATAGCTAACACCGCACTCCAGGGGCAGCAAATTCCTCAAAGCGTGGATGGACTTTCTGGAAGAAAACGCAGACTTGCGGTACCCCAATTTGGCGGACGTATACGTGGACGCACAGGATGGTTGAGGTTGAGAAGTGGAGGTGGGACTTGAAACGTGTGCGTGGCAGCCTCAGAGCGGAGGATGGGCAGACACAGGCGACATGCGCTTCCTGCGATGATGCAGCTACGAGAAGTTGCATGCGCCGTGACTGGGCTGCACGATGGGGCGCTTTAACGATTCCTCGCAACGAGTCGCGAGCGGGGCCAGAAACGGCAACTCCACACAGGCGAGTTTGCAACGGCAAGCGGCAACTACGAAAGAAGCAAAGAGGTCATTGCGGCTGGACCGATGGCGTGTTCTGCTAATGGGCCCTGGTACGCTAGTGCACTGAACGGTGTGGTGGTTGAGTCGTGGATGAATGCTGGCCAAGCGGGGCTAGTTTACACCAACACCAAATCGATAGTGAGCGTTAACGCCTCAGCGCATCTTGTCCTCTCAACTCCAGTTGGAGGCCTCCTTTCGGCTTGCGTTGCCTTATCTCACCTCATCAAACATCCAACATAGACGCCACGGAGCCTGTTGAGCAGCGATTATCGCATTCCTCATGTACATATGGACGTCAGCCGATGCGCTAACCACGTCCCCGCAGCACTTTCAAACAACGACGTATGCAAGGCCAGGGTCTACGATATGCGCGCAAGCCAGTCTCGCCCGTGAGCCTCCCGCCGTTCCATGGTTCCTTTGGGATCTGGCAGCCTCCCGCGTGAATTTAGCTTTCGCGAGCTGTCCTGTTTGGGCAAGGCGCTTCGTTTCAGATAATTTGATAGCACGCGCCTCGCTACCATTATCCGCATGTCGGTGCAGGCCCGTGGCCGCTTCGCAACGCTTCGGACCACTTGCAGCACTCGAACCATTATCGAGTCGTCCCCTCTGGTACCCAGACGCGTAGCCTTGTCTGCCGTCTTGTGCAGGCCATACCTTTCGGCCTGCCGCATACACCGGCTTAGCTCTTCTGACAGCAGTGCGCTTTCAATACCTAGCCCCCGCGCCCCGCCCTAGACGTTTGATACATATTCCTTTCAGCTCCCCTTCATCTTGCGACGTCTGTTGCTTCACTGTCGCTCTTTCTTCCTCATTCTTTTTTTTAACTTGTTTCTGGTTCTTTCTCAGCATCTTCATTCTGTCGATTTCGATAGCAGTTCATGGACTTTTGCCAAAGGTTCCTGTTTTCCGCGCTGAGATAACACTTGAAGACGCTGCAGTTCTTTCCTTAATGTGCAGCTACTTAGCTTCAACGCGCACGGTGATGTGAAACAGTGTTTATATGGGCAACTCATCAGAACACAACCTGTACCGCCTGTGTAAGCGCAACCTCATCAGCATACGCACATCCGCAAGCTCCCACCAACGTTGTGCGGAGTAGCACACTCCGAATTTCCATGCTCAGGCACGAAAGTTTGTTCACCGCGAAAATGACCGGGCAGAATGGACTGCATCGCTCAAGCTGGAAAGTGGAAGCTATTCGACGAGGAGATATGAAAATTAGCGGACCAATGCCCATTGAAGAGGATACTCGGTTGAATGGAGAGGGGGAGATGGAGCTCGCAGGGAGACGGGAGTTGGATTTGCATTCTCAGCCGCAAGACGTCCCGGCGCAGCAAAACCAACGATCACAATCACCACTGCAGTCATCACAACCTCCAACAAAAGTTTCAAAAGATTCGATACTTCGAGATCCAGAGCATGCAGAAGGCCAGTTGCCACAACGAGAAAATGTGCGAATGCAACAGCTACCGATATCCCCGCTCAGAATGCACCAGGTAAACGCGACGCCATATGAGAGCATTGTTCAGTCTACTCCGCCCACAACTCCCACTCCCTTCCGAGGAACACCAGAGAGCATGACGAAGGCTGCTCAGAAGAAAAATCGCAAGAGTGGACTTAGGAATGTGTTCAGGAAAATACTTGGGCGGAAAGATCGCGAGAAGGTGGAAGAGCAGCAGGAAGGAAATGTGCATAGAGGACACAATTATCACAGCAGTGTAAGCAACGAGATAAGAGGCTGAGATTAATACTGACACAAGGCAGGATCCTGGACTGTTGAGACAATCACCACCGAGAGATATACAAACACCCAGTGGACCACGGATATCAGAATTACCAGTAGATGAGTTAATACCTCTTCATCCGATCGGGCTGCAACTCCCGTTTCCTATGAATGTCAACGCGCCGCAAGCAAGTTCGCCACAGGAGTACCTCATTTTCGGACATCAAAAACCAGGCATTGTCCGAAGAGCGACGCTACCCAACGCTCGTGCCTCCACGTCTCAGCGACACAGTGTCGACGAGCCCCGTGGGAGACTATCACCCTGGGATGAGGGACAAAATGAAAGCTCGGCACTGCCGGAGATTGGCATCGCACTGACCAGCCCCGTTCAAGCCAGAACCTCCATCCAATCTAAGCGTAGATCAAGAAGCGCCGGCGCTTTGCACGACTTATCCCAAGCTCGAACATCAATTGATAGGAGTAGAAGCGCTGATATTCGGTACTGGAGAGAGAGTGGTGCCTCTGCGAGTACTTTCAATTCACATGCAAGGCCACAGACCGCAAAAACAACAGAAATGGTACGAAGCGTGCATACGCAAGAACCAATTGTCCAACAACAGGAGCCAGTTGCTGAAATGAGTGCGACACTTGCACATTTCGACGAGCAAGAGGAGCAGGAGGCACAAGAGACTCAAGAAGAGCAGCATGAGCAAAATCACTGGAACAAGGAAGCACCCGTGTCAGCTTTTAATTTCGGCGAGTTCCAGCGCGGCCCCTTCGCCGATGAGAAACCCCTGGAGGTACAAGAGCCACCAATACCTGTGCGCAGCGAGAAGAGGCTTTCCATCGAAGACCGTGTAAAGCATCTGGAAGGCGGTCTACACGTTCTCGAATCATCAATGCGCCGCATGTCAACCCGCAACAACCGCCAAACCATTGTTCTTGAAAATGCTCCAAGACATACACGCTCGCGCAACCGCAGTTCCTCGCGTTCTATATCCGTGTCGAGCTTTTACGAACAGCCCATCATCCACCAAGCTGGCGACGACGATATGAACCACGCGCCTTTCTTGTCGACTACAACGCCTGCCAGCGAGGTCAAGGATTCGAAAGAGTTAGTAGCCGTGTATGAAACACTAGCACATGAGCGCGCTGCCAGGAGCGCCTTGGAAATTCAAGTTCGCACACTACAACATGACGTTGCCGACCTTCGCATCCTAGTCAACAGACTCTACACCTCTAAGGCCATGGTAGAACCCGCATACACTACGTCTTCGCCTAACTCTTCCCACGACGAACGTTTATCCACTCCAAGAGCGATGCGACACAAAGCCTTGGTAAGAGTTGATGTGCGGGAGAGTGTTCAGAGTCGCTTCAGCCGCACAGATAGTGAGAGTACGACTGGAGAGTATGACAGGAGGAGCTTCTCGAGCGGCCACGACGACGTGGTGAGTCCGGACGTTTGGGCTACGCCGAGTGAGGGGACTTTCTTCCATAGTGCGATGCCAACGCCTCGGGTGGCTGCATAGATTCTGCCTAGGGCCTATGGTGGTAAAAGCATGCTGTGCGCCTTTTTGGTGCTTTCGGTTCTGATTTCGATTTGTACTATATCTAGCGTGGCGTTGTTTGGCCCATCTACTTTCCGCCTTGGTTTGACTTGCTTACCAGTCATTCTTTGGCGTACGTGCAATCCGATCATCTATCTGCAATTCGCTGTACAAACATTCGCTTCTTGATTTGTTGATCGTATTCTGATGGGTTTCATCAGGTGATTGTAAGAGGTCATGAGGCTGAGAGTGAAAGGTACCACTCACTCTCATGCATAGTGAATGGTACATGTTAGTTACCGACAAGGTGAAGGTCAGAGATGCGCTCTCCTCTCACCTCTGTTCTACTGTTCAATAGTCAGAGCTCGCTAGATCTCAACCTCAATCCCTCACGACACAACGACACTCCACCACAACAGCTACCTCAAACCAAGCCAATACATACTATTCAAAGCCCAAGTCAGCAAGATGCAGCGTGCTCTCCAATCAGAAGCGCCCGAGTAGGCTCTTTCTTAGATTGTGTTCATCAACTAGCTGATGCTGTACAGTTTCGGCACGGTCATGGTCACAGTTCGAGTCGGAACAGTCCCCCACACTGTCGACTTTCCTGTCTACGAGCGCCCTATCCGCAAGTCTTCGCAATTCGTGGACAACGCCCTGAAAGAACCTTGGCAGGAATCGACAGACCGTGTCATTTCCCTTCCCAAGGTTCGCCGAAATACTTTCCAGATCTATCACGAATGGCTGCTTACGGGCAAGCTCCACACTGTCCCTCAACCTCCAAATGGATCCGGAATGTCGACAGAAAATTATATACTATATGTAGAACTCATATACCTCAGTAACGCTCTACACCTTGGATACTACCTACTAGATACCGACTTTACGGATACTGTGTGCGATGGCATACTCCAGTGCACTTCCAGCGCTTCCAACATTTCATTCTTTACCGTATGGGGGTCCGACTGCTATAAAGGTATTCCCTACGGAGAGCCAGCCAGAAAGCTCATCGTGGATCTTATTGCGTGGACTTCAAAGGCGTCTGGCATCAGGCGTCTGTCCAATAGACACCATGTGGAAGATCCTGATTTCGTTATGGACGTCCTCCAGGCTGTCGCGGCTAGGTTCATGTCTGCTAAGCCGTCGACTTCGCCTCTCCAGGGGTGGGAGACAAGCTGCAAGTACCACTGCCATGGCAAAGACAAGCCATGTTTCAGGGAGAAGGCGAAGAAGTCAGTTTTACTCTCTTTTGCACAGAGCTGAGCTGATGTTGAGCGCCAGATCCGTCGATTCCACTGGGAAGCGACCAGCACCGGATGATGCCGAGTCACACACCAAGAGGCAGCGAGTGTGAGGTTATGGTGGGTAGTCTGCGTGACTAATCTTGTTTGAATGCATTCATCGTCAACAGAAAACAAAAATGCACATCTAAGACTGGTGCTACGGAGGTAAGGATATGTGGAGGAATTTACCAACTCTAGGCTTCCTCACGGTCGGGATACCTGCTACAGCCTTACAACTCACTAGGCTTTTCTATAGAAATAATTCCTGATTTTATCGATTGAAGTATGCCCGAAAGTAAGAGACAGTGAGTGAGGCGCGTCTCTGGGTGCTCTTTCCCCTACTAGCCGGGTCTAATGTCAACAGCACGTCACTTCTCTTACTTGACATATCTCTACTGCAAGGGCATTCCCATCTTCCTACTCTCACCACTTCTAACCCTCACTTTTGACTCAGCGTTTGGCCTTCATTTCTATCAAAACACGCGTTAGTGCGACGTGCTGCAACCGCTTCGTCTCATCTTCCCTCAACTTTCGACCCATACGTCGGTCGTGGCTCCTCGTCAACAAAGTACGATGTTACGCTTATCAGATAGAGATCTACTCCAGTAGGTTATCTCATGCCCTACACATGTTCAAGCTAATGTGACAAGCATGGGCACAAAAGTCATCTTCGTCCGCGTCGGCCAGGAACCCAAGCATACGGATTTCACCGTTCACGAAAACATCATCCGCCTTTCATCCCCGTTCTTCGATGAAGTCCTCAGCCGCGAATGGAGAGGACCCCAAGAATGGATAGTCAGGCTTCCCGACTGCAATGCGCATACTTTCCATATTTACAATCAGTGGCTGTATACCGATCAGCTGCACATCAAGCCCCAGGTCGGTCACACCTTGCTCAATGATGGCCAATGGGAGTGGGACAATCTCGTCAAGGGATATTTACTCGGAGAATACCTCCAGGACATCGACTTCAAAGATACACTAATGGATGCCATGATTGATTGGGGACACTACGCTGCCAGAGAATATAGCAACGTTCCACCACGTTCGGCCGTTGAGGTTTACCGGTACACCCAAGACAGCTCGCCACTCCGTAAAATTGTCTTGGACATAACGTGCTATCGTCTCCTGAACAGTTTCCCGATCTTGGTAAGCGACTTCCACTCTCCCCAGGACTTTTTCACAAGCGTGCTGGATACCATCGCAGAGCGTCACCGAACATGCCAAGCTATTTGCCCGAGCTTCGCCGACAAAAAGTACTGTCTGTATCACTGTCATGGGGACCGTGTTTGCTACAAAGACAAGGATATGTTGTCTCAACAAGAGGTAAGACACACTGACGATGTCTTAAGATGTTGAGCTGAACCAACTACAGGCTGGCAACGACATGCTCAATTCAGTGCGCGAGACACCCTGAAGACGGGGTCATACGTCGAGGCCATCGCAGAACCTCTTACAACCCTTAAGTCCATCATATTCTAGTTTCACGAAAAACAATACATGAAGCACTACATGGAGATGTTCACTATCTTCCAGTTCGTTACAAATAGGCCCCAACTTTTGACAGTACAAAGCTAGACTCGGTTTCGAAAATCACACATAGTATATAGCAATAAATACAACCGATGCTCACGTACTGCTTTCTTATTTTTCTCATTCACTATGCAGACCTTCGCCCGGTTATGTAGTGCCCGCGTTTCTGCCTCTGACATTTCAACACGGCGGACGTAGTCGGATTTTGTAGCGTTGCGTACCTAGGCCCAACTTGTGGTGCAAATTATATATGATCAAGGCTTAACCACGAATTAACACATAGTAGTTGTTCAGACTGGACAATACTTAGAGCAAAATCTCACTAGCATGGGACAAGATTGGGATGTTGGGTCACAGTGTAATGCTGAATACTAAGGAAAAAAATAAGTTGGTAAGATATATCATCAAGATAGTTATTTTGTTGTTACTGATAATATTGCATTACAAGTTATACGCAAAAAAGCAAACAGTGGTATATATACGCCGCTCCACAAACAAAAACGCCTCGCTGTAATAAACAAGTCATTAACCCCCGCCAAGCTCCATCAATCAGACAACATCTCCACTCATACGACGCGCATCTCCTCACGAGCGTAATACGAGTCCGAATCACGAGCCTCCTTGGTAGCAACGTGAGTGTCGACAGGCTTCCTGCCGTAGGACCAAGCAGCGTAGAGAACGAGGAAAAGGATAGCCAACTGAGCGAGTTCGCCGAAGATGATGAACAGGAAGGCGACGGCACGGTTGGTGTTCGCAGACCAGCTGGCGGCGTTCTTGTAGATGACGACGGCTTGGGCGATGCTGAAGCCGTTGCGTGCCCAGACGACGGGGACCACGAGGAAGACGAAGCGGGAGAGTGTGGACCTGGCGTGGGATTCCTGGGGTTGTTAGTTTGGATATGGAGAGTTGGGTTGAGTGGGGGAACTTACGGTTGTGAGTCCGTTCTTCTTGGTGCCGATCCAGCAGAGGACGGCTTCGAGAGTGGCGCTCGTGGACGCAGTGATGACAACCGCGATGTAAGCGACATAGAGTGTGCGAACCATAAAGTCCGTGTGGACGAGGGACGAATACGAATACGCTTCGTTGTGGTTACCACGTCTCTGCATTCCCAGTGCCCACGATGCAACACCAAGGCCAAGCACAGCAGCAAGCCAGAACAAGTTCCAGATCCATGAGATGAAACCAGGGCACTTCAGGCCTGTTGCATTCTCCTCCATGTGGTTTGCGTGAAGCCAGATGGCTCCGATGATGCTGAAGTTTGTCAAGATGCTGGCCAACTGGTAGACGAACGAAAGGATCGAGATCATGCGTCCCTGCGATGTGCCGAAGGAGTTGACCGGTTGGGCAAGGTGGGCTTGGTACGCATAGGCGGATGTGATATCAACTGGCGAATCGACCATAACCTGGAGAACGACGATGGCGGATTGCGCTGCGTATGCGATAATGAGGGAAGAAAGTGCTGACATGAGGAACAGATGAGTACCCAGGCTCGAGTGCTTCTTGCGTATGGCCCCAAATGCCTTCCTCATGAAACTCGGGCGACCAGGCCCGCCAGCAAACTGGCGGGCGAGCAGCAGAGCTGAGGCAACCAGCAAGATGAAGGCAAGGCCAGAAGTGGCTAGGTGGAGGGAGAAGATTGCCTGAACGGTTTTCGTGGTCTGCGACATGGAGAACACCATGGCTGGAGAAGTGCTGATGGTTACCGTCTGTCTGTTTGTTTGTTCGAATCAAGATGCTGCTGTCGAAGAAGATCCTTTTGTGGCCTCACGCATCCCTTTAACTCATGGCCGTATTGCCCAAATCGATGCAGTCATACCTCCTGGGATACAGCAGCCACATCATGACGCAGGGATGCTATCCACAGCAACCAGACTACTGTGCCAAGAAGATAGGTTACCCGTCGATAACGTCCCGGATCGCAGCTAATGTGGCTGGGCTTCTGCGTCGTGCAGTGTTTTCTTTTTCGTTGGCCAGGGTCTGGTGTGTTGTGAGGCACGTTTACGAGTGGCGCTGAACCCCGGCTCCCGCGGCATGACGTCGATCTCGGTCGATCGCGGCCTGAATACACACGTCGTCGTCGCGTCCTCGACTAGAGAAAAATCCTCGTCGGTTGTTGACAAGATAGAAAAGAAAAAACAAGGTCGTGTGGGGCCCTGATCTGCGATGGGATGGGGAATGGAGATCGTTGACGATCGGCCTCTAGGATGCCACCGGGCACTAGGTAGGTTGTGAACGTAAACATCTTCCTCAGAACCCACACAAAAGATCATTTTGCACCCAGCAAACCCACGATGCACATGTACCGGAAGCCCGCGGAGAGTCTACTGGAAATTCATCTCAAGAACCTGCATCCTGTCTTTCTCAACAACGTGGACGCGTCGAAAGTGGTGTGGTGGTGAGGTCATACGCGTCCACAAAAATCTCCACTGCATTTCTTCTTACGGTGATCGACGGTCGCAACAATCAAGGTTCTCTTCTCGATGCGGCGTTGTCCTTACGTGCCAAGACGTGCTGGGGGTGTGCTCGCGTACAGAGCGAGACTGGGGGGTATATGTATTTGAGCATGTGGCCCAGCAACAGCCTCCCGTTTTGGTCTGCTGTCCGCCAACCCCCGTACCCCAAACTTGCTTCTCCTAGGAGAATAGAATCGGTGATCTATGCACAATTTACATCATCACCGTCGGCTGGGAGATTGTATTCCTCGGAATGAGTTTGTGAATCATGGCATCCAATAGATGGCTGGTTTCACAATCCCATCCTCCTCGCAGACAGCGGTTACTGTGTGTAGGATCCCCCTTGCAAAGAAGCCCCCTCGCCACATGTGCGTACTTCCCGAAACGCTCACACATCATCCGGATCCGTCATGTGTAACAACCTTAGCGAAGAGGATGCTACCTCGGAAGTAGACTTGTTTTCCACTTGGGGGAATATCCCAACGTCGTGTCCTAGATGAATTTATATGAACCCGCCCACCCAGCAACACATTGTATCCATCGAACCGCGTCTCGCTAAAAACCACCAGGCTGTCACATACCCAAGGCATATCCACACAGCAGCCGATCACTGATTTGACACCAACGTCATCGACCTCCTATTCCAAGTTATACCCTCCCATCTCACCCCCTGTCCGTCCCGCCCAATGCCAAATTTCCACGCATGCTTGCCCAGTCCTACTATTCCACCGCCACAGCATCATCTTCGCAGGCATAGTCATTGTCTGGGAATAGTAGGTAATCTTTCCTTGTTGGTAGGCGAGGCAGGGGGTTCTGTAAAGAGGGAAAAGGGGGTGTGGCGGTGATGGTAAAGTAGGTGTTGGTCATGATGGTGGCGAATGAATAGACAGACAGACAGACAATGTGTACGCCACATGCTAAATGGGTAGACATGTAGGCGAGGATAAAGACAGTAAGTGTTGCGAGCAAGACGAGATCAGATTACGGTGCAGTAGACCAAAAACAACGGTAAACAAAGCTCGCAACAAACGATTAACCTAGCTGAAATCTCCGGGTATCTCTAGAAACCAAGCGTAAACGACTGACTGGCAAACCTAACCCAATCCAACATAACAACACCATGCAATGCAATAACCCCCATCTATCTAAACCCCCACAATACAGGGGGAAGTTGGATATGATAGTCTCAACAGCTGCTACGAATAAGTCTATTGTTGCTGGCTTGTAGTTGGTTTATCCTGATTCCTTAGAACCTTACAATTATATTTTTCGAGCTTCGTATCACACTCTCACTAACCCTGGGAGGCAGCTTCCTACCCTTAAGCCGCTGATCAATCAGCCACAAGCCGACGACGAACTCGTCTCTCTTGAGACGCCCGACCCCCCTGCTATCAACCAAAGACCACACTTCCTCGAGGACATGCTCGGGCAGACGGCTGCGGGACCATATATCCTTAACGATGAGGCTGACGACGTCTTGAGATGGGTCGTCGCCCACAGGTGCGTGGCTCGGGGATGGCTCGGGGAGATAGAGACCCTTGTTAGCTGCCCACACGCCCTCGTAGCGTTTCCGCTCTCGGTCGGTGATCTGGTCGCGCCATCGTTTGCGCTCTCCTTCTTGGTGTTTGTTTGGATGCTTGCGGCCTTTGAAGCCCATGATGCGTGTGCCTTTACGCTTGTACTTGTCTGTTTCGTCTTCGTCGTCTGAAGAAGAAGGGTCTTTGCGCATGGTGGTGCGTAGTTTGCCGGTTGCCTTTGGTGGTGATTGCTTGGGCGGCGAGGGTGAGCGGCCGAAGGGCGTATGATGGTGCTTGCGTGGAGGGAAGAATGGTTCGATTGGCATAGGGGATGGTGCGGGGGACACGTTGCGAGAGGACGCGAGGGCAGCGCCTACGATGGCACTGGAGAGCGACTCGCCAGTCATGTGTTTTGTAATCTCCTTAACAGAATTGCGCTGGTAGTTGTTGTGGTATACTGAACCAGGGGACAGACTCATGGCGGACGTGGGGCGACGCTGAGCAGATAGATGAGGCGAGAAGTACTCGGGAGGATGAATCGGCGAGCTCAACTGATCCTGGTTTCGTGACTTGATTGGCAATGGTGTTGTTGGCTGTGGTCGGGCCTTTGGCTTAATCTCAGGCGGTGCCTCGTCTACTTTCCTTGACGCTGACCGTCGTGGCGGTGGAAGACTAGGTTTGGGCTTGTCGTCCTCATCTTGTTCTTCTTTTGCCGACTTGAAAGACGCTGGCGACGGTGGTGTATCGTGGCTTTCGAGAGAAGTAGATAGCCTTCTGTGAGCTGGCGTAGAGCGCGACAAGTCCTGCGATGCGGGCCGTGGGCGAGATCCTCTCTGAGGAGGGGGTTTTGGTGGCGGCGGGGTTCTCGTCTTGATGCTCGCCAACTGCGCTGGCTTCGGTGTGATCGGGGGAGATTTTGCCAGGACTCGAGTCAGATTCACATGTGACAGGTCTTTGGCGCCATCAGTGAACTGCGCCGGCTCTGGAGGCAGCTGAAAGGTGCGTTGGGGCTTTGGTGATTTCACGGGTGGCGAAGAGCTGTGGGAGACGATGAGGGGTATGGCAGGATGTTGCAAGGGAGTGGTTGGCCGATGCTGAGAGGACGTGGTCGGCCGGTTCTGCTCAAACATGCTGACGCGAGAGGTCGTAGGCGGGATGGGCGTGTCGTCGGTGGCTGTATGCGGTGGCTGAGCTAAAGTCGCAGCAGAACGTGAGCCAAAGCTGTCCCTCCTCTTGCGCGGCTGCTGGGCCGGCTTCTTGGGATCCAGCCTCGCCAGGACGTTCCCCACACTGCCCGTCGGAGGCAGGCCGTCCCCCTCGTCTGCATCTCGTGCGCTCCTAGCCGGCGCAACGGGGGCCTGCGACATGGGCTTCATGGGGCTGAAGCGTGCAGCTGCCAGTCGGGCGGCGATGTTGGAAGGCGACGGCGAACGGTCCAAGTTGTCGTTGGGTACGCCGAGGGTGCTGGAGCTGTTCGACTTGCTGACGGCTGGCCTTACGCTCTGCACGCTACCCCCTGTCGAGTCCCTCTTCAAGCTGTCCCGCGCCGCGCCTGCCTTTGTCGCTGCCAACAAGGCGCCGTTGTTTCCGCCTGTATAAGTGTTCGCCGGGATCTTCGGTTTGACGGGCGGTTTGTTGAAGGCTAGGGAGGCTCCTCGGAGGGCGGCATCGCGGACATTGTATTGGGTATCGCCGGTTGACTGCGGAGCCAGGCCGTTGCTGCGTGCGGAGCTCATTGAGCACCCATTGGACTGGCGATGATGACGTTTGCGATGTGGCAGAGAATGCAGCGAGAATTAGACGACTACAAAGCTCGTACGGAGCATAGGAACGGCATGACGGGAGGCTGACCAAACGAAGTGAGGTGGAGCCGTAATTACAGGGCTGTGCCAATGTCCAAGGGTCGGTGACCTCGTGATGGCGTGTGTGGGACGCGACTGATGCCTAACGTCACACGCGTCTGTCCCTCACCTCCAAATAAACCTAGCAGGAAGCACTTCCCACACAATCTCTCTCTTTCTCCAATGCACGCAACATGGCTCAGGATACAAGCATGCTCGACGCCGAGGCCGTGCAGGAGAACAAACTCATGTACGGCCAAGATAACGAACTCGATGCAAAGTTCCCAAACAGACCGCTAAACGTGCACAAAACTCTACCTTTCAACACACTTTTCAAAGAAATTTTCGATCCGCTCATGGAGAGTGGCAAGCGAAAGCAGCCAACAGGACCGCGTCGAAGGGTGGGGCCCACAGGACATTCGAACCTATCGCCGCACGAAGCTCGCCGCAACATCATCGAAAGATACATCGCAAACTGGCGAAAGCAGGTGGGGAATGACTTCTACCCAGCTATGCGGCTTATGATACCGGAAAAAGACCGAGACCGGGCCATGTATGGTCTGAAAGAAAAGGCTATTGCGAAGATCTTGATCAAACTCACTGGAATCAACAGAGACTCTGACGATGCGAAGCACTTGCTCAATTGGAAGCTGCCTGGCCAGCTGCATAAGGCCTCGGCCTCGACAGCCGGTGATTTTGCTGGACGCTGCTACGAAGTCTTGTCATCGCGTCCGTCAGAGCAGTCTCGTACCGAGCACAAAGACATGTCAATCGCTGAGGTGAACAAGACACTGGACGCGCTGTCCCAGACTGGCTTGGAGAACGATCAACTCAAGATTTTCCGTAGGTTCTACCGTAGAATGGATGCCGAGGAAATGACATGGCTCATTCGCATGATCCTCCGACAGATGAAGATCGGAGCAACCGAAAAGACAATATTCGATATATGGCACCCAGACGCTGAAATACTATTCAACATCTCGTCTAACCTTCGGCGCGTGTGCTGGGAACTTTACGACCCTAAAACTCGTCTAGAGGGCGAGGACACCGGGCTCAGCTTGATGCAGTGTTTCCAACCCCAACTGGCAGCTTTCCAAGACAAAATGGGATCTTTCGAAAAGATGGTTGCGAGGATGCAAGCTATTTCAGGAGACGATTCTTTCTGGATTGAGGAGAAACTAGACGGAGAGCGTATGCAACTTCACATGGTGGAAGACCCAGACGCACCTGGCGGCAAGCGATTCGGATTCTGGTCGCGAAAAGCTAAAGACTATGCCTATCTCTACGGAAAGCACTTTGATGGAGCCGAGGCCGGTGCGCTGACACGATTTATCAAAGATGCATTCCCACCAAATGTCAAAAACATTATCCTCGATGGAGAGATGATCACATGGGATATGGATGTAGACCACATTGTGGGATTTGGCACTCTCAAAACCGCAGCCATATCGGAGAAGGAAAATAAGACCAACAAAGACACGGGGCAGCGACCGCTCTTCCGCGTGTTCGACTGTGTATACTTGAATGACAAACTTTTAACACAATACACCCTCCGCGACCGCCGCCGTGCTCTAGAAAGCGCCGTCAAAGATGTTCCTCGTCGCCTGGAAGTTCATGACTACACTGAGGCACGGTCGCACACCGACATCGAACCAGCATTACGCAAGGTGGTCGCCGAGTCGTCAGAAGGTCTGGTGCTGAAGAATCCACGCTCAATGTACCGTCTTAACCAGCGCAACAATGATTGGATGAAAGTCAAGCCAGAGTACATGTCTGAGTTTGGAGAATCGCTCGACTGCATCGTTGTCGGTGGGTATTTTGGCTCTGGGCACCGCGGCGGCGTTCACTCATCCTTCCTGTGCGGACTCATCGTCAGGAAAGACGTCAACGCTGAAGACCCAGATTACCAAAAGTGTTTATCCTTCTTCAAGGTCGGCGGGGGCTTCAGTCGCGAGGACTACGCAGCTGTACGTGGTCGCACCGAAGGCAAATGGAAAGACTGGGATCCTCGACGACCACCCCCTATCGTCGAACTGGGCGGCCATCTAGAGAATCGCCAGCACGAACGACCAGACCAATGGATCCACCCTAGCGACTCGGTCGTTCTAGAATGCAAAGCCGCAAGTGTTGAAGGTAGCGACAAATTCCGCATGGGTGTAACGCTCCGTTTCCCACGCTTCAAGCAGCTTCGCATAGACAAGCGCTGGGACCAAGCACTCTCCATCTCAGAATGGGAAGAGCTGCGCCACTCGGTGCAGCGCTCGCACGAAGAAAAGGAACAAGACTTCAAGATCGAACAATCGCGACGGAAACGGGCTCGCACAACCAAGAAACCGCTTACCGTAGCTGGCAACGACACGGCGATTACGCCCTACGCAGGTCCAGCGTCAAACCTTTTTGCCGGCCTGACGTTCTATGTCCTCACAGACCAACTACACCCCGTCAAGACGTCCAAGGCAGATCTCGAGGCCATCGTCAAGGCGCATGGCGCCAAAATCGTACAACGCGACTCGACGGATCCTGCCCTCGTCATCGTCGCAGACAAGCGCCTGATCAAAGTCGCGGCCCTCGAAAAGCGCAATGCGAATAACATTGTCAAACCAGTGTGGATACAAGACTGCATCGCGCAGAGTGAAGCCGACGACGGCGCGCTACCGTATCTACTTCCGTTCGAACCGAACCGCCATTTGTTCCATCTTCTAGACAAGGATCTGGAGGAGTACGAGGCGAACGTCGATGAGAGCGGGGATGCGTATGCAAGGGATATCGGCGATGCGGAGGGGATGCGCAAACTCCTTGAGGGTATGGAGAGACCTACGGCGCAGGCGACGTTTGATCGCGATGCCTTTTTGCAACAGCTCGAGGGCCATGGGGAGATGTTCACGGAGCTGAAGAGCTACATGTTTAGTACTTTACGGGTTGCTTTCCGCGAGGGAGGTCCAAGCAATGCTGCTTGGGCGCTGAGAGCGCAGATGGCGCGGAATTATGTGGGCTTTGGGGGCGGAGTGGTTGTTGGAGGGGAGCATGAGCAGGGCATCACGCATGTCGTTGTGCCGGATGGGCAGGTGGCTTCGAGCAGTGGTCGAGTGGCTGTTGCTGGGCTGGCTAGGACGGTGGGGGTTGGATGGGTAGAAAAGTGCTGGGATGAGGGGACACGGGTTGATGAGGAGAGGTTTCAGTGGGGATGAGCGGCCATGATGAATGATGGGATGAGACATGATGACGAGTAATGAAGTATGGAAAACACCCCTTCATGGAATCAGATATACGCGCCGATCTCCATTACCACAACCCTCTTCATCATCCTTTCATCCAGTCTCCTCCTCACCCCTCCCTTGCGCATCCAGCAACCCCACCCCCCTTACAAAATTGGCCATGCTCCAAAACCCCCCACTAAAATCAAGATCATACCAGTAATTCACCGCACAGCACACCCCCTCCTCATTACAACTCTGACTCACCTTATGATACCACAGCGCAGGCAAATACAGCATATCGCCCTCCTCAAGCGTAACCCTCAGTGGCTGCGAGTACCTCGAATACGGCGTAGCATTAACCTCCGGACGATCAGGATCCCAGGTGGCAAACGGCGTGTACGTCACCGGCTCATCGATGCGGATATGCAGATCCTCTTTCCCCAGTTCCCCCAGATCCGGAGACGTAGATGCCGTAGCATACGTCCCCGCCAACACCGCCCGCTCATTCACACACGCCGCTTCCACGGGCGGCAGCAGCACAAAGTGCTTGCGCCCCAGGATCTGCACGTAGATGTTCTCGTAGTTATCCTTGTGCAGGGCGGTGACGGAGCGCGAGTTTCCGAGCCAGAAGTTGATCGCGTCGGGGTGCTGCTGGAGTGCGATTCTGGCCCATGGGATGCTGGGTGGGACGTCTGCGAAGAGGGCGGCGTACTCGTTGCGTAGGTTGTCGTTTTGGGTTTGGGCGTAGCGCGTTGGCATCGTGTCGTCGTGTGAGGGTGAGTGTGAGTGTTCCTGGGCTTGGATGGCGCGCAGCACTGCGGGGAAGGGCTCTGTGCGCTCCAGGGGTTTGACGAAGATTCGACCGCCTGAGGGTAGGGTTAAGATGGAATCGGCGTTTCCGTGGGGGGTTAGAGCTACGTTTACGGGTTTGTCGTGTAGGATGGAGGATAGGTGGGTGGCGGACCATTTTTTACGTGCGGGCCAGGTGGCGGCGCCGTTGCGGAGGATGAAGGGCCTGTTGCGGGAGACGTGGCGGAGGAACTCTAGGGGGGAGGGGTCTTCGGTGAGGATGGTGATTGTGGAGGGGTTGAGGTCGTGGTAGGTTGCTATTAGGTCTGGGGTGCGGGTTAGATGGGTGGGGAGAAAGAAAGCATGCGGTAGGAATTAGAAGGTAAATCAGTGGAAGGAATGGGTAGAGAATAATTGAGTAGAAAATGAATAAGTGGAGAATGAACGGGCAGAGAATGAACGAGCAGAGGATAAATGACTGTGTTTTCCAGGTAGCGATAATGGGAAATAGAAGCACCTCTTACAGCATCGTTCAGTTTCCCTTCGCCTTCGAGCCCTGTTGGTGCGGGTCTGGCAATTTCTTAGCATCTTTGTTGACGGTGGGGTCCGATTCATCGTGTCACACACCTCGTTGCAGCTTGCTCTGGGCTTGACAACCCAATCACTTCATCTTGGAGTAACATTGTGAGTTTTGGTGGAGTCACGTTTTTGTGCGCTCTCGCAAATCTGGAGAAGAAGTTGACATGCCCGGAGTTAAAGTCTTGGCTACGGAGTTTACAACGTCGAAGCTTGAACATCGATATGTGAGATCACCTCCACTTCGTCCACATCTTACCAATTCAATTGCTACCCCGCGTGTCCTTGAAACATCGAACAGCTCGTACAATGCCTCAATAGCAGAACACTTCACCGCCCTTCACAATGTCCCAGGCGCATTCAATCCTCGGTTCTATGCGACGTACATGTCCCTTCCCGTTCCCTCCCAGCCTCTACTAACACTGCACACAGGAAATGTATGGATCGCCGGCAACGCCTTCCTCTTCTTCCACGTCTTCACCACCTACATCGGCGGCATGGGCAGCACCACCGGCGTCTCCATGGTACCGACTATGCCATACACCTACCGTGGACCACGCTGCATATTAATCTACTCGTGCCTCCACCGTCGCGGCCGAGGCATCCGCGTCGGCGACGTAATCGCCTACACAAACCCGGTCTTCCCCCGCGACCGGGGCTGCAAGCGCGTAATTGGCATGCCGGGGGATTTCGTCAGCGTGATAACGCCTGGACGTCGCGACGCGGATCTACACAGCAAACCCGAAGACGGCGACTGGGCGAATGTGAGGGAAGAGGTTGTCAGGGTTCCGCCTGGGCATTGTTGGGTTGCCGGGGATAATCTCGAGTGGAGTCGCGATAGCAGGCATTTTGGGCCGCTGCCTTTGGCGCTAGTCAAGTCCAAGGTACTTGCTGTTGTTAGGCCGTCGCCGTATAATGATATTAAATGGCTGGGTGCAGAATATGCAGTTGAAGATTACAAGGGCGATGAGCATAAGTGGGTTACTCCGTAAAAGTGGATGTTATGGTCCCCGCTTGGCAACATCGTTGTAATAGGAAAGGTTCATTCCTTGATCGTTGTACACGTACCAAAATATGTAAGATGCCCTGCATACTCGAGAAACGGCTAGTTTGTGACTCACACCCAATCAGATTGACAGATTACAACTTTAAGTGTGCACGGCCTTAAAGATCAGTTGATCAGCATCGAGTTTACACTACATCGGTTCAGACCGTACGCCCAGAAACTCCTCGATGCGATCAATCTAAATGCCTCCTTCATAGAGAACAGCGAACAACCATGGCCGCACCAGCATCAGATGGACGAGTGAGCAGACCACGCCTTAACTGGGTGATCTCTATACAGATATTTGCCATCAGTTTCGAGGCTCCAGCTTCACATGCACATTTCTCGCATGTTTCTAAACGCTAAGCAGCCTCACATCCACATGTTCTACCTGCCGCACGAGGTTTAGTCCCTGTAGCAACTTGCCTCAAAGTTTCATATCTCAAATCAAGTTCATACAGCGTCTTTGTCCCATGACAATGAACACCACCTTCGCTCCGATATAACAGAATCCCGTCGTCCTACATGCAATGCCTCACTACGCCACTGTCTTGTGTCTTGTCTGTAAAGTTGTTATCGATAATAAGGGCGCCTTCGGTCTGTTCTCAACCTTCTTGGAACTATCCGAGGATACATACACAGTGAAATACATGCTGGCACGCGGCTGTTTGCACAACATCGGTGACTCGGGCTTCTCGACACTCTGAGCCGTAGGAGAGGACTGTGGTCACGGGGTCGATCAGGCGGACGTCCGTCGGGAGAAACTCGGCCTGCGAGCGGAGGGGGAGGAGCGTTGTCCTGGACTGCCTTGTTGGCCTGTGCTACAACTGCGAGCACGATTGGCCGCAATTAGGGCGGCTCGGGCTAGGCTCAGATATATCGTGGGTGTCGGTCAAGTCATATTTACGCATGCAACAATATACTTATCATTTTTACCAGTCTTCAGCGTATTCATGCTTGTCGTGGAATGAGTTCGTCGCAACACAGTAAAATCCCTCAATATTCTAACGCAGTGTTGGAACCATACCCCACCGCCTTGACACACAGTTACTGTGAGTAAGAGCACACAGTAATAGTACCAGAGATGCAGAGCTGATCAATCGTCTCTTGGCGACTGGCTGTTCAGTGTGCTGAGGCAAATTTGCGTGTTTGCTAGCTCAGGCAGCCATCGATGGAAGTTTGGTTCCTCGACCTTAGGCCGTGAAAACTTCTTGATCATGAAAAATCTACTTGGGCAAAATGCAGGGATCGAGAGCGGTCGTTTTGCGAGACGTGGAATTGATGTTTGAGATACGAGCAAGTAATGATCAGGTGACGGACTTTTTACTTCCTCTGTACGTAAACTGGTGGATATGGCGAATTATGCACGACACGACTGTGCACTGTGGAACTGCAACGATTTGTTCGTTTCCTGTCTGTGAGGCTCGTGCGAAATGGTGTTTTCAGTGTATAGCTAGAAATCTTCAAATTGAAGGTTTTGGAGTATGTCACATGCTTTCACCCATGATATGCACGAGGGGATCTTCAATACAAGAGGCTCGAATGCTGTCCATGCATGTCGAACTGGTTGCTCATTTACTCTCCACATGCAGACAAAATGATGTGTGATATGAAGATTAAACCCCATCCTCCCTGACCATTTCCAAGGCAGACGAGCAAGCGGCTTCTCAGTGTTCGAGAATGGGCTCAATTGCCGTGAGGAGAAGTTCTGAAGCAGTCCAGAACATTACAACTTGACTCCCTCTCTCGTCCACTGCGCTTCTTGGTGTTTGGCAACCGTCGGTAACATGTTCGTTCGGCCCGCTTTGGTCAGCAGAAGCTTGAGACGTGGCCGCCCAGGTCCCGTTTGTGGCCGATTCTGTTGCTGAGATCTGGTGCTTCTCCACTCCCATTTTTTCACGTAGCTGCACCTTCTGAAAGCACTGACTGTCCGGGGTACGGGGGGGCAAGGGGTCTGAGAGAGCCGATATCGAATCGGGTGGAGAGGCAACGAAACTGGGCAGCACAACAGAGGGTTTGTGTCACGATCGATTCCTATGGAAACAAAACGTTGGCCGCTACCTTAGCACATTCCCGAATCTGCGTTCAGCCAACCACCAAGTTGATAATCAAGATCCTATGACAATGTCGTGATATCGAAGAAGCCTCACTTGCTTCAGACGTTTGGTACCGGGCAGAAGAGAAAACGGCTCAGCTATCGAACTCCGCATCTCACCCAGGAAATGGTTCTTCATTTTTATATATAAACAATTTCTCTCCAGGAGCAAAAATAGAAAACATTAACTCCAGTTATTACATACTATCACCTCGTGTGATAACTACACCCTTCATACACTTCAAGAACCATCACCTCAAACCACAATGTCTTTGTCAGATCAGATCGCTGCCCTGCAAGTCGAGCTCGCTGTCGCAACGGAGCTGGTCGAATGGCGCAACCATCTGCTGGAACTGGAGACCGAGCGCGCCAACCACGCCATGGAGCGTCTCGCGCTAGAGCAGGCGTCGCGAGAGGATGACAGCCGGAGGGCGGTGGCATTGGTCCAGTCGCTCAATGGTCAGGTCACAGCGCTCCGGGGGCAGAACACCCGCCTCATGAGAATGTTCGAGGATGAGCTGCGGAAGCAATCGCAGCCGCCCAGGGCTGCGATGCCTGCCAGTTTTGATGGCGGTATTTGGCCAGGGCAAGTCCAGCAACATGTCAACATGCACATGAGGCCGGAGAACTGGGGTCCTGGAGGCCCCATGCAGCAAGCGGGACTGTTCAACCAGTTCCAGACCATGTCAGACGGAGACATGCAGCAAGCGGGACTGTTCAACCAGTTCCAGACCGCTGATCCCCAACTCCTGCAAGTTGGCTACGGCAGTAGTTCAGGGAGTACCGCGCAGGTACAACCCAGCATGCAGCCGCCCAGGATGCAGTTCCCCAACGTGCAGCCCCCCGTCCAGCCAGCACCCCCTGTCCAGCCAGCCCCCAAGGTCGCTATTCCGCGGTTGCCAGACCGCAACGCATCATCATCCAGCCGCTCGGCACCTACAACCAGGGGAAGAAGATCCCGTTTGCCGCCCGCCCCCCGTCGGGTAGTTGCCTGCATACACTGCCGGAACAACTGGTGGGCGGATACCTGCGACGATGGCGAGCCGTGCCAGAACTGCGCCCTGACTCATGGAAAGCAGGATTGCATGCGTCAAAGGTGCAAAAATAACTACGCTCGCGGGACTTGCACCTACAAGGATTGTAAGGGCACGCACGAGGGCGATGAGCGGTATCGAAATGTTGCGCCCACTGGGGTATGGGGGTTGAGCTTAATTGATCGGCGTAATGCTGTGCCCAGCCCGGTACAGGTATTGCGGGATAGGGCTCGGGCTGCTGAGGCCACGGCTGCTGCGGCTAGGGCTGCTGCAGCGGGTCCAGGAAATGGGGTTGGAAGGGTTATGGGTCGGACGGCGTTGACCATTGAGAATTAGGATATGCTCGGCGAAGCTGGATTCGGCGTTATCGGTGGATTTTCATGATTTGATTTGGAGCATTAGGTAGTTTGCAGGACTGGGATCAGGCAGGTATTATGCCTTTGTTATGAGCGGCGATGTAAGTAACAGCATATGCATTGATACCCAGGTAGAGGTTTTTTTTCTAGGTAGCATAGTTTGTTTATTGCATGTTTCATTTCTTTCATACCCATCACATGCCTGAAAAACGTGCCAACCCCTGAGTTCTTAGCCATGTGTAACGAACCATCACAGAGGTTAAGGAAGGGTGACAAAGATGATAGGTGAGACAAGTGAGTTTCTAATGTTCAACGCAGTGGGTGGATGACTCGATAGCAAGCAGTGATGTTGAAAAGGAAGGTGGCAACATGATTCCTTCTCAGTAGTAACAGTGATACTTGATAATGACACGAAATCCTTTCTACACATCCATCCTTCTTCACGTCCATGATTTCCCCGAACAACGTGAGACGTGCTACGCATTGCAAACCATAAAATAACGGAAAACTAATACCCAGAAGGCTGGAATATCGTTTAGTAACGCGCGTGAAACCGGTGCAGGTATTATGTGTCTTACCCTACTCCTTGCTTCAATTTCATCCCCACGGTCGGGGTATGGACTGCACTGCACGAGTTTTGCAGAAGTGATAGAATAGAGTAAAAAATGCCCACGTCGTTAATGTGTCAGCGCAGGAATGATACAAATGTATGCGTCAACCTTAGACTGGGGGAAGGGGGGTCGTGGAATTTGGATATGGATTCGGATGTTCTGGATATTGGCTTATTATTGCGTGGATGGGCTTATTCGTGCATACCACTTTTGATCCTATAATGCGCTACTCGCAAACATGGAAACCGCACACCCAAATTTCGAACAGCGGCCATCCAGCCTGGTCTGGCCTGACCTACACCCATCAATCTCCATGCAGGACGCTCTTGACTCACCTGCCCACTCACAGCAAGCCAGGCAACCGCGGCAGCGCCTCCCCCATCTCCACAGCCCTGCCCAACAACTCCCCAACCTCCCTCATCTCGCCAACATCCACATTCCCGAGCCTAATATCCAAACTAATCCCGAACTTTTCTCTAAAGCCCGCAAAACTGACAATCTCCTCGCCCTCCTTTTCCGGCGTCATAGTAGCAAGAAAGCCCATAAACTCGTTCCAGAAACGATCTCGGTCTTCCAGCTCGCCAACCCCGTCCTTTTCCGCTGATGCAGCACCGCCGTCCATGCGTCGATGCAAAGCTCCAAGCCGCTCCACCATGCGATACACACATGACCTCTCCCACGCGAACCGCTGGCCCTCTGGCTCCTCCACCGCGCTGCCAAAGTCGATGAGTACAACGTCTGGCATCTGGTTCTCTTGGGTGGGAAGACGCAGCATGACGTTTCCCTCCCACAGATCGCGATGGCAGACCGAGACTTCGCCGTGCAGAAATGCTACGGCGTCCACAAGTTGTCTTGCGATGTGCAGGACTAGGCTTTTCGGCACCACGGCGCGAGGCGTGCACGTCTTTGCCGTGGAGACGAGCTGCGTTAGCGAGGGGCCAAGGATAGGCGGTACGGCTAGGAAGCGCGCGGAGTAGTCGATGGGATGCGGGAAATGCTTCTGCATCGTCGCCGTCGTCGTTCGTGTGAGATGATGCTGGATTGCGCGCAGCATGGCGACTTCGCGTGCTAATTCGTCGTGGCTTGATCGGCGTGGGACTTTGAGGGCGACGAGTGCGGCCGGGGTTGTGTTGGAGGTGCAAAACCAGACGTCCCCGTGGCGTCCTGAGCCAGCCAGGGCGACGGGGGTGTACTTTTCCCCTGTGGTGCGGGAGATGCTGTGTTTGATACCGGGTTGGATAACGGCCATGGTTGAAGGCAAAAGAATGGCGGTGCGGTTGGAGTGGAATTTCAGGCGTCGCACAATGTAGAAAGGAGCGTGTGAAAGTGAACGAGCGACTGTAAGAGAGCAAGGGAGCGAGGGAGTGAGAGATTTTGCAGGTAGTAGGAACTCTTTAGCCTTAGAATGTCAAGAGCTCTGTATGGACGAAGTCTGAGACTGCAAACCATGGTTGCAATGTGCTCACGAACCATTACCATCAAATAGCACGTTGAGTGATAGGCCCAAAGTACAATGAAACCTACGTAGACCTACAAATTGTTGATGGTACTTCTCCTATACTACCAAATTTGAACAGCAGCAACGGTAAAACGTCGTAGATGGCACGTATTCCTTGACGGATGTTGTTGCCACTTATCCCAATATATGGAACGGTAATGGAATGTTACGATTGAGGTGGTTGCGAGACAGGCCAATGACATGATGCAGCGATGTTGGTCATCAGAACCCACGACACGCAAACCGGAGATCGTGAGTAGACACTTCGCAACGCTGCGTGCTTTACGTTGACTCATAGTCATTGTCAGTTGAGAAATTTGCTCGTCCACTCGTTCACCTCGTTGACGCAAACTGCCGTCCCGGCTGAATGATCGTCCACGATTCTTCGTACAGACGAGGATTTGGGTCGTAGGTTTTCCACTCAATGCCGCGACCGCGAGATGTCGTCGATCCGGTCTGCCATCGCAGGGTGAGATTCGAAAGACCTCAGGTCTTTCAGCAAGATCCGGTCGTTGCTGACATAACTGAGGAATACCGATATATTCCGCACAGCTGTATTCTTGCATATGCCGAATTCGCATCTAGTGATCAACAGTCCAGTTATCGCATGCCAAACTTGCATAACTCTGAGCAATTTTGATCGAGATGTCCAAGGCCTGTGGTCTCTATTACGGAAACTTAGCCTCGAACTCGACGGAATCCATGCCCCAAATCTCAATATCCTTGACGTCCTCTTTATTGAGTCTTTCGAGTTTTCGAATCGGCCCTGTCAGCTTTGCATTGAGGCTATTAGGAGGGCCATTCGGCACCGACATCACCTTCTCCTTTGGCGGAAACACCACCTTACCCAATCTCCAGATGAACTTTTCGCCTAAGCCAACGTACTTCAAGCCTTTGTACTCAGGACGCCATAGTTCCGTCGACATCGCAAACTCATGCATATCCGACCCCATGCTTTCGAGTTTGTCGGCAAGTTCCGAACCCGGACGTACTAGAAGACGCATAGCCCAGACTTTCGGTACTAGAGCTATGACTTGGCGCAGGGACTCGAGAGGTGGAACTGTGCAAGCGAAGCCGAACTGTTCGAGGTTGGGACACGCTTGGCAGAGGCGGAAGAGAGCGTCGTCGGAAAGCTGCCACGTATCGGAGAGGAGGAGGTGGCGCATGGTGCGGTGATTCGACTGGATGGCGGCGAGATAATCACCACCGATGCTACGACAGTGGCTCTCAGGTAGGGTAGGTGTACCAGGCGTGGCCATGGACGGCGTAGTGGGTGTTGCAGCAGCGCTGTTGGGGTTTATACCAGTTCGCGATTTTCTGTTGCTAATAAGATACATGCGCTCCAGGCCCTTGAACTTCTGAAGCATGATGGCGCCCTCTTTGTCAGTGTTCTCAGTACGCATCATCTTCAGGTTCTGTGGAATGGGTGTACTTGACTGTATTCTCCAAGTGTTATCTAGGAAGACAGTCATAGGATCAGATGTAGACATGGAGTTAACCAGTGTAACTTCTTCAATTACATGTGGGTCGCTGACATTGTCGAAGCCGTCGCCAAAGAAACGGGTATATAGATTGTACAGGGCGAAGCGCCTCAGAGGCATCTGAACTTTTGCGGCGAGGCAGCGTCCGAACAAGCCCATCAGATTGACTGACTCCTCGCCACTGTCACGCATGCGTGGGTTCCAATGCAGCTTGATGTTCTCGAGTCTCTTGGAGCCAAGGAGCAGCAGCGAGATATCGTCTGGGTAGCACAGCGGGTCGATGTCATACACGACCAAGGTGGTCAGGTGTGGCAGCGGCGGTATAAGCGTGGTGGGCCGTGGAGTTCGCTGCGTCTGACAGCGCAAGGTGAGGGACGTGAGAGACGGCTTGGTCAAGAGGGCCTGATAGACGGTGTTCAGCGGCTTGCTGTTAAGTTCCCAGGCAAAGGCGCGCAGGTTCTTCATCTTGTCGAGGGCAGCGCGGATGGCTATCTGCAGCATCATGCTGTTATCGGGCACGCGCCCTTGCTTGTAGTCTTCCATGTCGTGTTCGCGCCAGTCACCTATGAGCCTAAACACGTGCACATAGTCGGCAAAGGTGCGTGACACCAGCGTATTCATGCCCATAGCAAAGGGGCTCCCGCTTCCATAACCTTCAGGCCGGCCGTTGATGTACCGAATGTCCGAGTAGGCGCGCAATGTGACTTCCTCGTAGAGGCGCGGAAGAGTCATGTAGTAGAAGAGACGCGACGTGCGCGTGATGCGGGCGAGGTCAGCGACATCGTCGAGCTGCAATGGCCGTCAGCATCAGCGTCATCCAACTTGGGCATAACAGCAACATGGACACGAGTAGAACGGTTTGTTCACTGTGCTGCACGTACGTGGTTAAGAATGAGCTGGATCAAATGTAGCGGCAACTCTTTTGCATGGGCAGCATTTGCACGCGTACGTGCCGGTGACGTGAACCAGGTGTGCATGGGAGCTCCAGCAGGCCCATGAAAATGCTCGGCGGGAGGAGCTTCCTGTCGGGCCGTCGCATCCACAGGCTGGTGACGGGCATGAGGTGTGTCAGGCATTCGAAGTCGCGCAGTCGAACACACGAGGTCTGTGAGAAGAGAAAAACATCAATTAACTAGATACAATCATCGACAACATGGTGCTGGAGGTGCGTGTGCGTGCCTTCATCCATATCGGTCCGACCGTGGATTCTCCGAGTAAAGCCGCCCAAGCCACCCGAGCCACCTCCGCGATTTTCTCCCCGGTCGCCGCATTGGTCCGCGACACATCATGTCTGCATTGATCTGCCCTGATACTGGCGTTCCCCTTTGAATCCAAACCTTTAGTTACAGATGCTACTGCCATCGCCCATCATCCAGGCCTGAAAAACCAAGGCTGTCGTCCCTCGTATTCGTCTCCCGGACACTTGAACGGAACCTCGACCGTGCCCTCAAAAACACTCATGGGTGGCACTTCCCCTTCGCCCAAGTCCAAGCCCTCAAATTTCTCTCCAGGCACAGACATCACAATCCCACACTCCCAATTCCTGATGTTCAGACTTCCCATGCTCCCGTTCTTCAGTACCTTCTGACCGCCCCATGCCGATTCTGAGACATTCGCCGACCCAATGTATACCCACGCGAAAGGCCTTCCGTCGTTTTTCCGACCACGCGCAAAGAGCAGCTTGTTGTGCGAGAGCATGCCTTTGCGCGTTGACACGTAGTCCCGGAGGCATTCTCGAGGAAATGTAGGTGCATTGTAGTATTGTCTGGTCAGAGAGATGATGCCACCGCAATCGGGGCCTCCAACACTGTCCTTGACTGTCGCATCGGTGGGGAAGTAAATGCGGATTCCGTCTCGGATGTTTGGAATGGCTTTCTTCTCAGTAGTGAATTGCTCGCCACGAGCGGCGAGGGAGACGCGCTGCAAGAACGTGTCGTTGATGGCGCCCAGGGAGGATGCTGCGTAGTCAAGCTCGATGGCCTTGACATCGTCCAGACCTAAATCACGTATCGCTTTCGTGAGACTAGAAAGGCCTGTGGGATGTGTAGTTTCTGTCTTGTGCGCGCCACCACTGTTCCGTATCAGATGAATCCGGTGTATACTGACTGAAAACTTACATTGAGTGAACAAACGCAATGTGACCGGTTTGCGAAAAGTCGAACTTCAGTACCCCGTCGATGACATTCTTCTTCGTTTTCTGCTGCTCCAAAAAGTAGATCAATTCTTGACCAAACGGCGTCAGTTCCTCCCTCTTTCCGACCTCTCCATGCGCCGCTCGTGGTAGGTCGATCAAGAATACCGAGTTCTCCATACATCCAGGCTGCCACTCATTCCCAACCTCGCCCCAATCTATCTGAGTCATGTTCGCCGTTGGCACCACAATGCGCAGCTTTTCCTTTCCAAAGAGTAGCATGTATTTGCTATGCGCGCTGTGGATCATGCCATCCACAGGCGGAAAATGTAGCTCCATGTTGGGCAAGCCAGCATCTTTCATATCCTGAATATACCTCTCTTGAGTATCGCGACCCTTGACGTTCATGACCCAGATTTGCTTCACATATTGTGGATTGAGTTTGCTTTCTAGCCATTCTTGATTCCACATGAACGAACTGATAACTGCAATGTTCACACTGGGCGCTTCGAGAAGCTCATCAATGGTTATGTCGTCTGTTCGCGGATACTTTGTTGCAAATGTGCGTTTGATCGCCCCCCGAGGGTACCGAAGTACTATACCTTTAGTTGATGTGGGTTGGGAGCTCGATGTTTTTGTTGCACCTGTGGTTGGTGTCCTCGATATCTGCTTTGAAGGCCGGTCTGGCGAAGGTTCGCGCTTTCGCTTGTTCAATCTTGCGAGCCGTTCCTGCTCCATGGCTTTTCGATCAAACCCACCCAAACCTTGAGGTTTACTGACAGACGTCTCACTCGGGCTTGATACGGCTTCAGCACGTTGATTGGTGACAGTCGAACCCTCAGTTTCCTGAACTGAGAGAGCGAGAGCTCGTCTCAGATCCTCGTCCTCATCTTCAGTATCAGAGGTGAGATCAACAAACGCGTGTTTTGCAGATGTAGTCTGCGACGCTGTCAACTCGCTTGGTTGCATTGACATCGCAAGTGCCAACTTGAGATCTTCGTCGTCATCGGAAGAGGCCATAGTGGTTTTTATTGAGTCCAAAAAATCGACGATACTGAGGTTGATGTTCGTTGGATGGTGGGGCCACGAAACAGAAGGTCGAGACGACACGCGTGTTAGACTAACACGTGAGCACGTGAGTAGACTTGGCAATCTCATGTGCGCTTGCCGATACCTAAATCCATCCATTAATTATTTTGCTTTCATCGTCTCTCATCCACCAACAAGATCTTCATTTCTTACCAAGAAACAACGCCGCGGGAAGCCGTTCTTCCGAGCTTTCCAGCGATTGGCATAATGAATGCCATGGTTGTCATTTGGTCATGAGCCTTTGCACAGATGCAAGGGTCTATTCGTAATCTTACATAAGCAACCCAAGAACTTTCTAACAGCAAATACTCTCTCAGCACGGGTCGCACTGGCACGAATACAATAGATTTTGTTCGGTATGTCATGATGTTACTATGGTAGACATGACTTTGAGCCATGCTTGCTACCCACCGTGAAGCGTCGACACGAACATGATATGGTCCCGCTTTTGAACCTCGTACTTGTCTTCACCTTCCAGTTCCCAGTCAGCGTCGTTGATGAGCACCAGTATCCCAGGCCGTCTGTGGATTTGTTATGAATGGTACTAGTAGCTTAGTCCTTGAAATACTCACACAGTCCCATCGAGAACAAAGAGGTCCTTCCTAGGGTCCTTCATGACCTTGTCGCAGAGATACCGCACCAAGAACGCAACATTGGCTGGCGCACCAGACTCATCCTGGCTGGGTAGTGACAACGCATACTTTTTTTGGTTTGAGAAGAGTATCTCGAGTCCGCCGCTGTGAAGAGTCAGACGTAATTTTGGCATAGCAGGAATGGACCGCCGACCTAAACTCGATTGTTATCGCGACTGTATCATCGTTCTGCATATTTGGCTTTGGACGTTGGGAGAGAAAACCAGAAAGGGCTTCAAGAAATTGGTAAAAGTAGGCTGCACCTGCTGCGATACACACGGAAGCTTCAACACTAGGCCGGTTTCGGCAAGCTAAGCGAGAGTAGTGCTAGAGAAATCCTTAAGGTTATGACTTGCTATTCCTGCAGAGCTCTCGACATTACATCATATCCTGGCAAAAATGGAGATCTCTTGTGAGTTCAGTTCTATAGGCGGTAACAGAAATCCTGCCGCCGCCGACTGGGACGAAGATGGTTTGCAGTTACTGGCGTTTGGGGCGGATAATTGCATCGCGCTGTGGGATCCACAGGTACTTATATACTGTTGACAACGCAGCATATACTAATCTGAAGCAGGACGAAGAACTTCATGGAGTTCAGGCGATTTTGAGTGGGCATACCAAAGCTGTCAACGCGGTCAAGTTTTTCTCAACAAAGTCACCGGACGTCTCTGTTCTTCTGAGCGGTTCGGCGGACAACTCCCTTCGCATATGGCGCGGTGGACGCGGCAAACATGCTCAGTTTGAATGTGTAAAGACCGTCTCCGAACATACAGGCCCCATTACTCGGATAGCCACTCTTCAGGCATCAGATATCTTCGCTACCGGCGCTTCCGACGGCACAGTCAAAATCTGGAAACTCGTACACGATTCTGACTTCTCTTCGCTTGACGTTGAACTATTACAAACTATTGCTCTCTCGCCAAAGTACTTTCCGCTGAATCTCGCTCTTGCAAATTTGGATGAGTCATCTATCGTCCTAGCAGTCGCGGGCACTCGCAGCACCATCCAAATCTTCGTTTCTCAAGACACACAGTTCAAACTGTCCGGAACATTGACTGGACATGAGGGTTGGATTCGTGCACTAGCATTTACACGAGAGTCATCGGATGAGACCAGTGACTTACTACTAGCTTCAGCCAGTCAAGACAAATATATTCGTCTCTGGAGAATCCATCGTGGAGATGAGCTCCCTGCTACAAGCAGTGCACTGAATGATCCAGCTTTGGGGGGCTTTGGGAAATCTTTATCCAATAAGGCCCATTGGATTGACTCTACGGCAGCGAAGCATTCAATCACGTTCGAAGCACTGCTGCTGGGGCACGAAGATTGGATATATACCGCTTCGTGGCGGCATCGAGACGGAAAGCTGCAACTGCTTTCTACCTCGGAAGACAACTCTCTCGCTATATGGGAATCTGATCCCAACTCGGGTGTGTGGGTGTGCATTACTCGACTAGGCGAAATCAGCGCGCAAAAAGGTTCGACAAGTGCCACAGGAAGCGCAGGAGGGTTCTGGATCGGGCTTTGGTCGCCAGATGGGAACGCACTCGTATCGTTGGGGAGGACTGGAAGTTGGAGAAGGTGGACTTACTCGGATACGGAGGATATGTGGGCACAGCAAGTCGCAATCACAGGCCACGTGCGGGAAGTAAGAGGCGTGTGCTGGTCGAGAGATGGGTCGTACATGGTGTCAACCAGCTCGGATCAGACCACAAGACTCTTCTCGCAATGGAAGCGCAAGGACATAACGCCATCATGGCACGAGTTTTCGCGGCCGCAAATCCACGGTTACGACTTGAACTGCATCGACGCGGTTACCAACTCTCAATTCATCTCAGGCGCAGACGAGAAGCTACTACGCATTTTCGACGAACCAAAGGGCGTCGCCGAAATGCTCAACAACCTCTGCGACATTCGAATGTCGACCACCGCAGACCTCCCAGACGCAGCCAACATCCCCGTTCTCGGCCTCTCCAACAAAGCAATCCAAGCCGTAGGTGACGACGAGCCGGTCGAAAACGAGGACGAAGAGGAGCGCGAAGCCCTGAATCCTTCTTCAGTAGTGCGCAAATCTACACTCGACTTCCAACACCCACCGTTCGAAGACCACCTGGCGCGCCACCTCCTCTGGCCTGAGACAGAGAAGCTCTACGGCCACGGGTACGAGATCTCTGCCGTAGCTGTCAGTCGAGATGGCGGCCTTATAGCGACTGCATGTCGGGCGAGTTCTATCGACCACGCTGTCATCCGTCTCTACGATACGAAGAACTGGCTGGAAGTCAAACCTGCACTGAAAGCACACTCCCTGACCGTCACTGCACTGCAATTCTCGCCCGATGACAAGTACCTACTAAGTGCAGGGCGAGACAGACAGTGGGTGGTGTGGGAACGCAGCGACGAGCCCGCACTATACACGCTCCGACACTCAAACCCCAAGGGACATACACGCATGATCCTAGGCGCGTCGTGGGCGGCACTAGACCAACCGACCTTCCTCACAGCAGGACGAGACAAGAGCGTCAAGATATGGCAAATCACGGATACAGAGGTGATCCTAAAGACCACGGTGACTGCAAACGCGGCTGTCACGGCCGTGGCATGCAACAACTTGCCTGCCGACGGAGCTATGTTTGCTTTCGGGACGGAGACGGGAGCCATTGGGATCAGAAGTGTGGAATTCGACGCGCTGGATAAGGTTGGTGTTAGTATGGTCGGGACGGGGATGTCGCCGGCTCGGACGATCAATCAGATCGTGTGGAGGCCGGGAAGGAGTATTGCACAGCAGCAGGTTGCGGTGGCTAGTGATGATACGTCACTGCGGATATACAACGTCAGCGTTAGCGTGCAGTAGCTATGGACGGATTTTCGTCGTTGATGGGAAACATCGCATTTGAGTAATCAATCCTAACTTGCCAAAATTTAAAGAAGCCCTGAGACTCTTCTACATGATCATGTCGTTGCTACGCTTCCGAACTCGCCCGCCACCTCCATCCTACCTTCTTAACGGTCTTCCCAGCTATCTCAGATTGCAAAGATTCAGCATCATCGTAAGGGAGCCGGGATATTGTCCATTGCATGTACCGAAAAGGAGGTGGGTTATCACATATACAAAGTCTAACTAATCAAGCTTGAATTTCCTAAACTCATTGCCTCAGTGACTACAATTGTCCGTGTTTATTTTTACCATACACATAACCCCTTTCATCCCTATTCGCCTGGGTCACGACTCCAAACTCAACGCATAGACATAAATGCCTATATCATGCCCCCCCCCCCCCACGCACCCAAGTCAAAATCAAAGCACATGGCATCGAAGACTCCCATCCAGGTGTGTCTCCCAAACGTCATAAGTGTGTCTAGCACTACCTCATACTCGACCATTGTTCTGGACCGAAATTCATCCATCAACAACTGACCAGCCAGAAGCAGCTCCAAACACCGTAGGCGTCACACCACCAGCAACGTCAACGAAGCCCTCGCTGTCAGTATCCTCATGATCTGTGTCCTCGCCACCAGTGTACCCGCTCTCAGTGTCCGACTCAGTATCCGTCTCGATTGCGAATTCCGAGACAGACGCAAGAGAAAGTCCACCCTGGTGCCTGATCGCCTGGATATCCTCCTCGATCGTCGTTGATGGTGAAGCGGGCTGACGGGGGGCGTTAACAGCAGTAATCTTACCTTCTGCATCTGCTGACTTTACAGTGTCTTCCGGCTTCTCGTTGGGATCCCGACCTCGAATCACTAGATACAGCTCCTTGACAACGTGGACGATCTGGAAGATGTGCTCCACCTGCTCGATAGGGAAGAAGAAGTTTGTAAGCTGTGAGAGGCCAGCGAAGACGAGTGCCATGCCCGCAAGACAAGCTATGTGGTACTCATCACAGGAGAAACGAGCTACGACTGCATACGCCAACCAGGCACAGAGTTGAATGATGATGGTGCCGATGGTATATTTTGCTTCCTCTGAAGCCTGATAGAAGGTTTTGCGGACATTGAATTGAGCCAATCCAGACTTGAATGTATAAAGCGATGTCTTGTTGAGCGTACTTATGGCTGCTAGAAGGTACATGAGAGCCCAGCTGCATTCCATGGATAGAAAGAAGCGGAGCACGAGGGCGTTCATGGCTATGAGTTTGCCGATTTTGGTACAGAGTAAAGTCAGGTTGGCAACCCTGCGATGCGCTCGTGCGGTATCCTTTTCTGATATCTTCTTCTTGTCAGAGCATTCACCGATACTACCTGGTGGCAGTGTCTCTCCACCTTTCTTGACGCGTTCTTGGCACTGGGAAGAAGGATACATAAGGCGGCAGGGAGTCGGCGGATTGCATTGCAGATCGAATCCGAAGGGCACCCTCGTGCGCGGCTGAGGCGGGTCCTGGACGTTGAGATGCCCTTCCTTCTTGATAGGAGCTGCATCCATGTAGCCCTTTCTATACCACCAGTTCAAGGCCACATCGGTCCTCTGTCGTATGAACTCCAGAGTTTTCTCTGCGACCAGGCGGGAACGATAGCGTAAGTTTGCCCAGTACATCGGGATGGCGTGTTGCACAGCCGGTCGCATAACATGTGGCGAATACAGAAGCCTCCCGCAATTCTCCGTCGTCCACTTGATAGTCTGGTCACGAATATCTGCGTAATCGGTCCAGCCGGGGACAGGCATCTGAGCGTTGGCTGTTTGAAGTCCGCGTACGAGACATTCCTCATATATCTCCATGAAGCCTCTGCTGAGCGGCGTAGACATAATTGCATCGAGTCGCTGGTAAAGCACTTTCTCTCGAAATCGATCGTCCATGGCGGCGTTTAGCTGGAGCTTAGCATTGTCGAGACGTACAACGAGGTGCTTCGAGATGGCGCCTAGGCCGACGTCGATTGTCATGAATGAGATGGCCAAGTAGGCAAGGCATACGAAGAGGAGAAGAGCACGCGGTGCGATTTGTTGAGCCCTGCTGGTGCGGGACTGCTCATTGTTCTTTGTCTTGGGGCTAGTCGACGCGTCTTTGCCATTGACTTCCCGATAAGAAGACGAGGTCCTGTCAGCTTGCAGTGGCCTGTCGACAATGGATGTGGCACAAGATCCACTCGTGACGCCATCAAGAGATAATGAGTTCGATAGGACGTTCTGTTTATCTTCAACCTCACCCCGGCTGTCGACGTGTCCCGACGTTCCAAAGAAGACGGTGTTCTCCAAAGGTTCAGACGACTTGCCGATCCCTTCTGCCATGGTAGCAAGGCTGTCTTATATGGAGAATGAGAAACGGTGGGCGTGCGTAAGGTCGTGAAGAGTTGGATTGGAGAGAAATGAGGTTCAGCTATATAGCAGTGAAGTTGAAAGGTCGGGTGAGCGAGGTCAATACGTGATTAGATTACCACAGGTGAGGTGAACGCCCATGAGAGGAACTGATTCACCATCAGCGGTGACGTTTCACTGGGAGATGCTAGTCAAGACGGCAGGCAGCAACAGCGCTGCACCTTCCTGCTCCTGCCGTTTGCTGCTCGGTGACACGGCGAAACCAAAGCAAATAACATGACCCAAGCTTCGCCACCCGAATACACACTTTAGCCATCTCAAGCAGCAGACAAGGTCGGAGACTAGGTACATCTTCTTCTATGCCATGACTTTGTTCCTGATATTGCAAATCAGACGTCGCGACTTGCCCATCTACAGCCTTAATCTCGACTTTTGTCTACCCAACAGCACCGGTGACAACATCAACACCAGCACATTCAGTCACTCACAAACTACTTGCGTCTCCCCCCACGACGAGGCGCCTTCCCAATATCCTCAATATCAGGAACAGCATGTACGTCTTCAACAGCCCCCTCCTCGTCCTTGATCGACACCTCATCCTTAACCGGCACCTCATCAACCACCTCCTCCTCCTTAACCACCACCTCCCCACCCCCCTCAACCGCAACAACAGCCTCCTTCTTAACCCTAACCTTCGTCTTCGCCTTCCCCACAACAACACTCGGACACAGCCCCCCACCCGCCAACTTGCAATCCCCACAGCGTCTCCCGACCGGCAAACAAATCGTCTGCCCAAAGCCAACGAGCAGATTATTAATATCATGCCACTTATCCCTGGGCAGCCAGCTCTCCAGCGCCGCGCGCGTCTGCTCGGGCGTCTGCGTCTCGTGCCATCCCCACAGATTCGTAATGCGGTGGACATGCACGTCGACGCCGATGCCGAGGTCCTTCCCCCACGCCGCGCTCATAGTCAGGTACGCCATCTTGGGCCCGACGCCGGGGAGGGACACGAGGCCGGGGATGGAGTCGGGGATGTCGGAGGCGAATTTATCGCGCAGGATCTCCGCGGTGGATTTGATATACTTTGTCTTCAGGTTGTGGAAGCCGACTTTGCTGATAAAGGCGTTGAGGTCTGCGGGCGCGATGGCGAGTATGGACTCGAGATTAAAGCCCCCGCGCATGTTGTCCTGCATGCCTTTCATCGCCACGGCCGTCACGGTGTCTTTCGTCTGGCTGCTCAGCATCAGCGCAATCAGCGTCTGGAACCGCTGGTCGCGCGGCGTTCGGCTCCGCTCAGCTAGACTCTCACACCCCATTGTATCCACAGGCGCGACATTCTCATTCCGCATCTGCCGCGTCAGAGTGTACATCTCCTCCCAGTTCGGCGGCGCTTCGTACTTGACACCACCACCCGCACTCTTCTTCACGGGCGCACGACGCGCTTTCTTCTTCACAGGTGACGCCTCGCTCTTCACCCCCTGATTATCCATACCCTTCCCCCTCGCCCTAGCTTGCTTCTTCGCCTGCTCCGGCGACGCAATCGCACCCAACGCTACCTCCTCACCCTCGCTCTTCACACCTGCTACGCCCCGGTTCCTCTTCCGCTTCTTGCTCCCCCACTCCGTCTCCGCGTCTGAACTCACATCCGGCACAGAACTTAGCGAGGAATCCGAGTCCAGCGCCGCGTTCTCGTTGTTTGTGCGCGCGCTGGTGCTGGGGCCGGAGTGACGTAATGGACGCTGTGCGCGCGAGGCGGCGAGGATGCGCGACGTGTCGCGCGCGATGCGGGAGGTGCGCATTGGGAGTGTGGTGTGTGGTTTGGGGGTGGGAGTTGTTGGGGGTTTCTATGGGAGGGTGGAGAGTGGACGCGACGGAAAAGGGTGGTGAGTAATGAGTGATGGGTGTGGTATGGTGTAGTGTAGTGTAGTCCGTTGGAGGCGTACAGGCCAATGAGAGGAAGTGGAGCGTGACCGTAACGCGCGTCCACGTGATGGGATCATGATCGCTTGATCGGGGGGTTTGGATGGTGCCTTTCTCACTGTATTTCATTTGTAAATATTCCAGCGAACTGGATACTAGGTACTTCTGGACACACTGTTCAATCTACCTATGCCGTTCGTTTACCTGATACTATTCATGATCATCGATAAATAGCGACTTTAACATTGCAAAAAAGCCCAGAAAAGCATCAATGAGATTACATCTACCAAACTCTACCTCCTCTCGGATACACACACACACAGCAAAACAAACTATCCAAAACTCCCCCGCTTTTGCGAAAACCCCAAACATTCACCACCACAGTCCACCCTCACTTCCCCCCAAACCCTCACTTCCCCTCGACCTTCCCCCCCAACCCAAGACACCTCCCCGCATCCTCCAGTTCCCTCATCACCCTCCCCTCAAGCGCATTCCCCCCCTCACCACCCCCATCCTTCTTCCCCAACAGCTCAAACTCCCTCTCATCCGCGGCGACAATCCTCTCCCTAAGCGCCCCCTTCCGACTCAACCAGCTCTCAACATCCTCCTTGACATTCTCTCCATCCCAGTCCAGCGCCGCAACCTCATGCGCCTGAATCCCCAGCTTGGGGCCCTGCTTCCGCACGTCGTCGAGGATGGCCGCGATGAGGGCAAGGGAATGCGTTTCCGACGCTATACAAAGGGAGATTTTCGTGCCGGCGGCGCGCGAAGGCGAGGCATTGATAGCGCGGCCCGCGCGGCGCAACTGCTCTGGGAACTGATTCAAGAAGCTAGCGACTTCTGCCGCGATGCGTGGGCCGACGCTGAGCAGCAGGTTGAGACAGAGCGGCAGGAGGCCCTTTGTCCAGACGTTGTAGATGCGGGGCGGGGCGTCGAATTGGCCTGTGCCGTTTTGGCGGCGGAAGTAGGTCATTATGTTTGCTGTGTTGAGTTGCGAGAGGATGCCTTCGACGGCCATTGTTTCGGCCATGGCGTGGATGCTGGAGAGGGAGAGGAGGAAGAGGATGCTTAGTTCGCTGTAGATGGGGTCGTTTGTGCCGTTGTTTTGGACGGTGAGGCGGTCGGACCAGGAGAAGAGGCTGGTGGCGTAGCGGATTGTGTTGCTGTTTGCGAAGAGGAGTGCTGCTTGGGTTTGCCACTTTGCCATTTCGGGGATGGCGATGATGCGTTGGAGGAGGGCGGTTAGGAGGGCGAAGTCGGAGGGTGAGACTGAGGACGGGTCCGCGTGGAGTTGGGTTGCGAGACTGCGGAAGCCTTTTGCGACTGTGTCGGAGAGGATTTCGAGGAGCTGCGTCGAGATGGATGACGTGAATTCGGTATGGCTGGTTGGTAGTGTGCCACGGAAACTGGAGCGGAAGGCTGTTTCTTCCGACTCGTCCGACTCTTCGACTAGGTGGAATTGCAGGGCGAGGTATAGAATTCGAAGTTGCGAGCGGTAGTAGTGTACTGCGTCTGTAGAAAATACGTCCTCGAAATCGGGTGTAGAGGCGCGGATTGCATTCCATACTGGTGCGAGGAGTTGACGAGCGTGTGCGGACTGAACGTTTGCTTCTACGAGCTTCTTTAGCAAAGCAAAAGCGAGGTCGGCGCGCAAAACCATGAGCTGGCTGAACAATGCTTCGGGAAGGGTTGACTGGGCATTGGCCTCCATACACTTCTTCACGACGCCGACGAGTATCTGCACCAAACGTTCGTCTCTGCCCACGACATGGCTCAGCTCCAAAGCTAGCAACTTCCAGCTCTGGAGCAACTGAATCTGCGACTCGACTAGGCCAAGATTCAAGTTGGCCTTCTCAACCTCACTAGCAAAGCCTAACCCTTCCCTACGGCCTGACCAGCTGCTGTCGAAACCCAGAAGATTCTGAGCAAGCTCAATGTCGTAGAAGAAACTTCGACCAAAGTCTTCAGGATACAGCGCTGTTCGCTTGAGGTTGGCCAACGACATGCCAGAAAATTGCCGTTCGAAATTCTGCTTAAGATTCGCGTGGAGTGAGACATTGTACGCTGGCAGATCCAGAGCGCTATCCTCTAGATACCCCAAGGATGGTACAACATCTTTGAGAGGGGTGATGTCCCCGACCTTTCGTGAGCTGTGAAGGTACATGGCGATTACTTCACAAGCTAATGACGTAAATCTGTTCTGATGCGAACGGATCAAGATCTCATCGTTGGTCTTGGGCTGTCGAGGTTGTTTTGCAATCCATTTCAAGTACGCAAGCAGCTTCTGTATGAAGTCCTTCTGCTGTCGTAGATCACTCATCGCCCATGACCAGTTGTTCTGCGCCGAGGAGACGAATTCGAGCATCGCTGTATACAGCGGCCAGGGGAAACTGATTTTATCCATTTCCAGTAGGTCTAGATCCGCTAGTGTGTCTAGTGCTCGGGTGAGCAGCGCTTTGTTTCTTAATGTCGGAGCCGAGTCAGGTTTGGATCTGAGCGACTCGCGTGGAGTGCTGCCGGTGAGCAAGTACAACGAGAACCACTGCTGCTTTGACGTCACTACTGCAGATAGAAGATGCCAGACATTTGTCTGAATGTCAATTATCCTTAGCGGCTCGTCTAGCTGAGACAGCACACTTAGAAAGCTCTTCGCAGTTTGGGGTCCCAAATGGCCGAGTAGCGAAGGAGGCTCTTGTTGCTCGCGCTGTCTTTGAGCCGTTTTGTTCGCGTTCTTTTCTTCCATCGCCGAGTCTTCTTGTTCCACAACACGGGGAGCGCCCAGAACGAGGGTCTCGAGTAGTAGAAGGACCGGGGACTTCCACCTGTCGCTAGTCGCATACAATCTTGCTAACAATGGAGTTGCCTTGAACAGTTGCTGCTCTAGATGTGTCCAAGGTTTGTTGAGTAGCATGGCTACTCGGACTAGGATATCGGCGAATTCCAACGTTGCCTGCGTTTGTTGCTTCCACAGGGCTCCAGAGCTTGTGAGCATAGTCGTATCTCCTGGACTCGCTCCGATGACCAGAGACGCCAGTATTGGGTTTGGCGGCAAGCCATTATCTGACTCTGTCAGGTACAACTGAACAATATACTCGGCTATGGGTGCGATGAGTTTGGTAACTTTGGCGGCGAGCGTTGGGGCATCATCGACGCCATAAGCAAGCTTTAAAATTGTCGTGAAGGCTTTGCATATGGCGATATTGATCTCAGGACGATGTTCTGGGCGAGCGTACTTCCAGCTCAACGAGCTCTCATATATACTTGCAAGTGTCCGACCAAAGGTGAAAAGCGCTGTACTGATGATCTTGTCTGAAGTGCCGCTCTCGGACGAAGCCGAGGAATTAAACCGGCTCAGCGCTTTACTGGCAAGTTTGGGGGCTTTGCGGGCGACAGACTGCTCGACTGCATCTTTGACCAGTGCTTCGTACAATCGTATGCATCCAATGAGGAAATCATACCGGCCAAGAACCATCTCTGTACCAATCAGGACCTTTGCTAAGCTTCCGCCGTTTCCGTCCCCTTCTAACAGTCGACTCCTTGCCAACCAGGGCCATACTCTTTGCGGGGCGATGACCACAAGGGCTTCTAAGAAATGAGTGCAGTTCACCAGAAGCTCCAAAGAAGCTTCGTTGTTCGGTTCTTGACATAAGCGTAGTAACTCTTCTTCGAAAACGGCAAGGACAATGCTGCCCATGTCTTGGCCGCCGTCAATGGTGACGTTCAGTGCTTCTAGTAGCTCAGTTGAGCAAATACCTTCAGAGGATTGCAACGACGAGTGCAACAAGTCGGCAAAGAGGCAGATGATCTCAATCACGCTTTCACGCGAAGCCGGTTCCTGTGTAGCGAACTCAGCCTTGCCACTTCCGACTGGGTATGTGGAGAGGAGCTGGACGAGATAAGACAGGGTGGAGTGTTGGTAACGCCAAGCTGCGACATAAGGCTGTTCGCTGTCATCGACAATGATACCCTCCGTACCGGCAGGAATCTCCATAAGCCCAGTCGACCTGGATGACGCGGTTGATGTGAGCAGACGGCGCTGGCCGCGGAAACTTGACGTTGTCCCTGACGAGAACAGGGGAAGAGCTGCTGTAAGCTCGACCCAGTTTGCGTTCTCTTCTTCACGTGTCAGTGCGTAGTCTCTGAAGCCATCTGGTAACCGCTGCATCATCTGGTTCGTGTGTGTGAGCTTCTCGACGAAAGTTGGCATGCCGTTCTTGATTGCCTTGTCGCCCCTCGTCAAAGCACTGCAGAACTTGAGAAACGGCGTCATCTCGTAAGGGTAGCGTTGGCGGGACTCGTCCAGAAGCATGGGCCTCAGCACATACTCGTCTTCCAAGAAGAAAGATACGACGGGGTCTGTTTGGCGAGAGGTGGGCTCGTCTACCCAGGTGCGGAACGTCCTGTTGCCGGCCAAAACAGTGTAGGTTGTTACTATCAAGTCTGGACTGTATCCAACAACATCGCTCCCAAGAGCAGCGCGAAGCAACTGCAGGAACAAGAGACGGATCCTGTCTCGAGATATCTGGTCAACGGGAGTCCCAAAAGCAGGCAGGCCAATCTCGACTAGCTGGTTGATGATGCCCAGAACACCGACTGCTGAACTGACTTCGGCGAGATTCTGGTAGGGCATGGTGTTGTCAAACAACTCGTGCGACTCAAGCCTCGCAATAGCCATGACAGACTCCTCCAGAGCGGAAGGTGCTGGCAAAGATGTCCGGGATGCATTGGGCGACTCGATCAACCGCTCGCGTTCCTGCTCCTCGTAGCTCGCGCGGTTGGTGAGTCTCCACGTGAGAACGGCCCAGGCAAAGATGGGCGGCGTAGCAGGACTCGCGCCCAGCAGTTTTGCTTCTCCAAAGATGGTGGTGATGTTTTCGACGACGCCCGTGTTGAGTATGTACGACGACGGATGCCAGTTCTTGCAGTTCCCCGAGTCGATGTCGTTCATGACAAGGTCCACCTTGAGGATTGCCAGCGCGACGAGCGAGGTGAGGAGCTGGATGACCGGCACGAGGGGCTCCTGCTGGGGAGTGACCTATGCGCACTTTAGCTACTGTGACTGGGCGCAACATGCAGCACCACTTACGGTTGGGAATTCGCGGAAGAAGCCGCGGGTCATGAGCGCCGTGAGCCAGTCTTCGATGGTCGCGGCTGGCAGGAAGCCCTTCGTGACGACATCTGCATGTGCGAGGGCGAGGTGCAGCAGGTGCAGCAGCTCTGTCGTCTGCGCGACGACCCATTTCTCCGACGCGGCCTGCACAATCGACTCGGGCACGTCCCAGCCATAGCCGCCCTCCAGCGCCTCGCACCTCTTCTGCACGGCCTGTAGACACTGGTCGAGCGCCGTGGCGTTGGAGGCCGACGAGGGGCCCCCATTCTGCGCGGCGGCGATGGTCTGGCCCAGCTCCTCGATCCAGCCGGCGCCCACGGTGTGGTAGTCGGTGCCGTAGATTGTCTGGCTGCGCAGGTGGGAGGCGGCGCCCCACGAGACGAGCAGCTGGCTGATGCGCACGATCGAGGCGCACGTCGAGTGGTAGATGTCGACGATGCGCAGCCGGCGCTGGTCCTGCGTGTCGAAGTGCGTCGAGCGCGAGGCCAGCGGCGCCGCGAGTATGGACGAGTTGGGAGCGAAGGTCGAGGCGCCCAGGTTGGCGAGCCCGGCGGCGTCGTGCACGCTCAGGGCCTCCTCCTCGGTCAGGCCGCTCAGCAGCTGCATCGTCGGCCGGCTCTGCCATTCCTGCGCGACCAGCTGCAGCGCCGCGTGCTCGGACATCTGCGCCTCCTTGGACAGCCACAGACTGTCGGCCTTGATCTCGTCGAGGCTGTAGTGGCCATTCTGCGCGGGCGTGACGCTGACGGGCGCCGTCTTGGATTCGAAGCGGCTCTTCTCGTGTGTCGACGGGTCGGGGAACGGCCTCCACGGCCTGCTGAGGATGTCGACGTTGTCTTTAGCGGTGAGGAAGGCGCGCAGGGCGTCGCTGCTGGACGCGGTGCCGGGGTCGCAGAGGGCGCGGTAGGCAATGTCCCAGGTCCTGGGCCTGTTAGCACCAGCTACCTCGCAGCCGTTGTCACGGGGAAACATACACAAGCTGCTGCTCGCCCTGGAAGCACTTGGACAGGTCCAGCTCGGGCGATTGGATGGGGGCCATGGTAGCGCTGCAGTGCGCGGTGGGAGAGGCAGCTAGCCAAAGGCCATAGAGAGGCCGTGTTTGCGTGCGTGGGCGTGTTTGGGCTTCGATGTCGCGAATCTTCGCGCCGTGCTTTGCTTGGACTGACTTTCGCGCGCCACCAGCCACAGTGTGGCTTGACCCGCCGCGGGAGCTAGCTCGAGCTCCCATGTCATCTCTGACTGGCGACTTGAGGACCGCCTATTTCACTCCACAGCCCTGTCAATAGCACGAGCATGTGCTGACTCACTCGTCGCCTTGCGCAAACATTTCCACTTCCATACCATCCAGAGTACTGTGCAACAACAACAGCCTCCACGTCCAATTGACTCCTGCTGCCCTCATCGCGGGGTCACAGACGACTGATCCATCCCACCATCCACCATTTGGGACGGCACGCCACACCCCAACTTTGCACCAACATGGCTTCTCTCGACCTCATCGACCACTCGCCCCGCAATCCCACCCCCTCCCCGTCCATACCCACCGCCTCAAACGTCGTCCTCATCGACAACTACGATTCTTTCACCTGGAACGTCTACCAGTACCTCGTCTTCGAAGGCGCCACTGTCACCGTCTACCGCAATGACGAGATCACGCTCGACGACTTGATTGCGAAGAAGCCTACACAATTGGTAGTGAGCCCAGGCCCAGGGCACCCGGAAAAGGACGCCGGAATCAGCAACGATGCGATCAAACACTTCAGTGGCAAGATCCCCATTCTTGGCGTGTGCATGGGAGAGTGAGTCGTGCCCTTTCTAGTCTTGCAAGGGGGTCCTACAGCCATGGGGGAAGGCTGCTAAAACTCATTGTCAGAATAGAGCCAAGATAAATACTAACACCCACCCAGACAGTGCATCTTCTACAGCTACGGCGGCACCGTCGACGTGACTGGCCAGATCCTACACGGAAAGACCTCACCGCTCAAGCACGACAACAAGGGAGTCTTCGCAGACGTCCCCCAAAATGTTCCTGTCACCAGATATCACTCGCTCGCCGGTACTCACGGCACCCTCCCAGACTGTCTCGAAGTAACCGCTACGATCCCCGCCAACCCCGATGCCGACGCGAAAGAGGTCATCATGGGAGTGCGCCACAAGGAGTATGTCATAGAGGGTGTGCAGTTCCATCCCGAAAGCATCCTGACCGAAGATGGACGGCTGATGATGAGGAACTTTCTACGTATGCAGGGAGGAACTTGGGCAGAAAACGAGAAGCTACAGAAAGAGGCGCATGCCCAGGCAATTGGAGCTGCGACTGATGGCGACACCAACGATACAAAGGACAAGAAGACGTCCATACTTGACAAAATTTACGACCACCGCAGAGCAGCTGTCGCGGAACAGAAGAAGATCCCTTCGCAGAGGCCTAGCGATCTCCAGGCATCATACGACCTTAACCTAGCGCCTCCACAAATAAATTTCCCAGAACGTCTCAGGCAGTCGCCTTACCGACTCTCACTCATGGCTGAGATCAAACGCGCATCGCCTTCCAAAGGCATAATTTCTCTTTCTACATGTGCACCTGCACAAGCAAGGACATACGCGAAAGCTGGGGCGAGCACAATCTCGGTGCTGACGGAGCCAGAATGGTTCAAGGGAAGCATCGACGACCTCAAGGCCGTCAGGCAAAGCTTGGAAGGAATGCCCAACCGCCCAGCAGTTCTAAGAAAAGAGTTCATCTTCGAGGAGTATCAGATCCTCGAAGCCAGGCTTGCAGGTGCCGACACCGTACTCTTGATCGTCAAGATGCTTGACCAAGACCTCTTGAAAAAACTCTACGACTACTCTCGTTCGCTCGGAATGGAGCCTTTGGTCGAAGTCAACAACGTTGAAGAGATGGAAATCGCAGTAAAGCTAGGGTCTCAGGTTATAGGTGTCAACAACCGCAACCTCGTGAATTTCGAAGTCGACATGGACACAACAAGTCGTCTCATGAGCTTAGTACCGAAGGAGACTATTGTGTGTGCCTTGAGTGGTATCGCTGGGCCTAAAGACGTCGAACCGTACACGCAAAATGGCGTGGGTGCGGTGTTGGTAGGTGAGGCGTTGATGCGGGCTTCCGACACCGCGCAATTCATCGTGGAGCTCCTAGGTGGTACTTCGACAAAGACAACTCAAGAACTCAAACCTCCAATGGTGAAAATATGTGGAACGCGCACTGCTGAGGCTGCAAAGGCTGCCATTGAAGCAGGAGCAGATCTCATTGGCATGATACTGGCCCCTGGGTTAAAACGCACAGTATCTGCTGAAGCCGCTTTAGCAATTTCCGAAGTCGTCCACAAAACTAGGAAACCACACATCTCGAAGTCAGGTCTCCTCGTCGACTCGAAGTCTGCTTCCGACTATTTCGAACACGCTTCATCGCGACTCGTCTCGAATGAAGATCGAGCGCTTCTCGTGGGCGTGTTCCGGAACCAATCGCTGGAGTATGTGCTTGGGCAGCAGCGACTATTGAACCTAGACGTTGTGCAATTCCACGGCCAAGAACCTCTGGAGTGGGCGAAACTGGTCCCGGTCCCGGTCCTCAGAGCGTTTAATCCTCAGGATCGTGGTATTGGGTTGAGAGGTTATCATGCACTGCCACTTTTGGACGCTGGATCTGGGGGTTCAGGCCAACAACTAGACCTTTCGGAAGTTAAGGAGGTATTCGCAAAAGACGACGGAGTCAAGGTTGTATTGGCTGGAGGGCTCAATGCTGAGAACGTGCAAAAGTTCTTAGCAAGCTTGGACGAGTACCGGGATCGCGTCAAAGCTGTGGACGTCAGCAGTGGTGTAGAAGAGGACGGTCAGCAGAGTCTGGACAAAATCCGCGCTTTTGTGAAGGCTGCTAAAAGCTAGGAGTACGCATACAGTATCGCAATTCAATATGTAAGATAGGACTTAAACCAAACGAAGCGAAGTATCGTCTCCCTTATCAAACAAAGCCATCTTCTTGACTTCCTCTCATCTCTTATCTGACATTGCTCCTCTATAGACGCAACCTGCTTTCGTTTTACTTCCTATCTTCATATCCCTTCTGTCTCTATCTTGACCATCGTCCAGTGGCCCCACAATGGAGCGCCTTGCCACTCTCTCACCCGTCGATGACAGCCGCACGGCCTTATCCAACAGCATCTCACTTCAACAGCTACACACTACCAAAAAGTAATACACACACAGCAGCTTTCCACAGATCCCAGGCCTCGCACCTATAAAACCCCTGCCCAACCATACCCACAATCTTCCACTACGATACTCCGCCTGTATTCCACAACATCCCCAGGCACAACAGCCTCACGATCTTGTCCCGTCCATCTACAATGGGCATCCTCAGCCGTCTCACGATAACCGCCATCGGCACCCTCGCGCAAGATCCCACGCAGCTCAAGAAATGGACAGAAGCCAATGGTGGTAAATGGGTTCCCCGCATGCAGAAAGGCGTCACGCATCTCATCGCTAGCAAAGACGCTTGGAAGAAGCGCGTCGACGCCGTGCAACAAGCGGCCGACGTTGGAGCGTGGGTAGTCAGCTATGATTGGTTGGAGGACTCATTGCAGAAGCGAAGGAAGTTGGCCGAGAAGAAGTATACATGGGAGTTTTCACGAAAGGAGGGGAAGAAGAGGAAGGAGTTGAAGAGGATGGGCGGGATTTTGGATGGTTCGTATACTCCCGCGTTGAGCGCTTGCTGGCTAACGAAACACAGCGAAGAAGTTCAACGATGGCTGCGTCAAGGCAAGGGAGGCGACGGGCTCAGGTACGTTGCGTCGTCGTTCCAAGCCCAAAGCTTCGAGCAGCTTCTTCTTTGGCGCGCAGAGCAACACACCGCCCACCCCCTTCATATCCTCTGTCGCGGATCTGGAGCGCAGGAAGAAGGAGCGCGAGGCTCTTGCATCTGTCGAGACCCCACCTTCTCCCCAGACCATCCCACGCTCCAAGCCCTCCCAACCCACCGCCTCCCCCCCAGCACCCGTTGAGCAAGAAGCTAAAACCCCCTCGCTGAAAGATCTTTACCATTACTACCTCGACAGCACGGGCTTCGAGTACAAAATCACCCTGGTAAGAAGCAATCTGTACCTCAACAACCTCGCACGCTACCAACTCTGCATCCTGGAGACGCACACGAAACCACACGCATACTGCACGCTGATCACCTACACACCGCCCGCACCCGGCATCCCCGTCGTCGCCGCAACAAGCCAGCCGCTGAAACAAGCCCTCCTCACTTACAACAACACCAACACCACAAACACACCCTCCCCCGAACCCCCCACTCAAACCCAACCACAAACCCCCCACCCCGAAGCCGCGCGCCTCCTCGCCTTAACCACACCCCCCATCCCCCCCGCCACCACCCCATACAAAGCCCTCCTCACCCCCCTCAACAGCCCCTTCGCCCCCGCCTTCCACTCCTTCCGCACCGCGTTCCGCGACCTCACCCTCCTACGCTGGGAGGAGCGCTTCGACCCCGCCAAGACGCTACAAAAAGCACGAGCAAAAGCGCTATGCACCGAGCCGTTTGTGTATGCGCGTCCGGCGCCGGGGATGCCGGATGGGAGGCGGCCGCAGGGGGTGTTTTGTGATGAGGATGGGGAGGGGGGGTATGTGAGGAATTCGTTTGGGTTGCCGGGGCTGGTGGCGGGGTTGGGGAGGGAGGGGGTTGTTGGTCGGGCGGTGCTTAGGGATCTGGAGGAGGGGAGGAGGGTGGAGGAGAGGGAAGAGGAGAAGGGGATGAGGGGTGGGGGTGGGGTTGCGGCTGCGGTGAAGAAGAAGTCGGGGTTTAGGGGGCCGCTGTTTAATGGGGTGGCGGGGAGGCCGAAGTTGGATTCTAGGGGCAGGTATTGCACGGGAGGGGCGAGGGGAGGCGTGGTGGGACGGGAGAGCGACTTTGTTAAAGGGAAGTATTGGGGGTATGAGGAGTGAGGGGTGAGGAGCGGGAAGTGAGGGGAGGGTGTGTTTGCGCGTTTTTTGGTCAGGTCATGTTATGGCTTTCATCTTTTATCTTTTATCTTTCTCCCAGTTCTTATATCTTCTATCTTCCCATCCACAGATCTTACTTACTCAATTCACTGTCCCAATTTCCCCCCTCCCAACATCTCCATCCCACTATGAACCCAAGTCACGAGATCTCAGCATCCAGCGTCCTAGAATGATGGCGAGTCGAAGTATCACGAGCGCCCCACACACAGAAAACCTAGAAAGACTAGCCCGCGAGAAAACCGCCGTACCGCATCAAGAAGAGGTTATGAGCAGTGTAGTACGGGAATTTGTGTTTGCGGGCTGAAGTATGCTTTGATTGATGGTTGACTGATGAGTGGCTGCCTGGGCTGCTTATTTGGATTTGTGGCTGCGTTGGTGGATGTATTGAGTAGTGCAGTGCAGGTGGTGATAGATGGGCGGTTGGGTCTGCTTCTCTGTTACTTGTATTGCTACTACTGTGTACTTGGACTGATGTGTGATGTGTGGAAAGGGGTGGGGTTTAGCTCTTGTTACAAGTTGTAATACTGCATCTTCACTGTGTCGCGTCTATCTTCTTCTGTAACAGGGGTAAATACGCTGAAAAGTCAAGGTCATGATAGGAACCTTTGTAGCTCTTGGGATCAGGCCTTGTGACATAGAATTTTTCTTTGTTTTCGTTGTGATGGACAGAGAAGGGAACAAGTCTATATCTGCGCATAGAGCTGTACAGGGCCAAGGTCGAAGATGTAAGCTGGTTTGGGCGAGTAGTTTTCAAAGTATGACAGCTGGTCGCGTGAGGGTTCTACGGTTCTTTTTGATTATTAATTGTTGAATGAATTCTACGATGCCTTCTGTCATGTTTTTAGAGGTTTGGGGTTGGACTCACCTAGCATGGATTGATTGTTACACCAAAATCTTAGACGTACCCTAATTGTAATGTAGGAGTTACTTGAACCGTTGAGCTGCTACATGTGGCGATGATATGCGGGTAATAACCTTACACTTGGCAACTCTGTTTGTAAGGTCACTGGCTTGGACGATTTGAATTCACGGGAAAGACGTGAATGATCCAGCGCGTCCTGTTTTGCGCACTGTTGGTCGTTGAGAGATGAGGGTGATCAGGCTGGCTTATACTTGCGACCTTGCCTGGTGCTAAAGCCAAATCATGGACATATATCAGTTCTATGCATTAGGTCTATTGTCCAAATCGAGGGTACTGGTACGATCAACAACACTCTGTAAGTGGTCTTAATGCATGTAATTCAGACCCTATATTTAGCTGTCTTCGATCTCGATATGTGCAGCGGTGTTAGTGGTGGGCTTCGGGGTCTTCCTCTTGCGCGGTTGTGGCTTGAGCAAGCGTTAATAGTGCATAGAAAGAATGGGTGCCGACCAGTAGAATGTGGGAGGGTATAGCCTATCGGGTGAATTTTGCCTCGCCTATGAGTACGCGGTAAGTAAATCTCAACTTTGTGGGCGGTTAATAAACCTTTGATTCTGTCTCACCCCCTGTCTCTCGATCTCACGTCAGCCGCCACCCGATTTTCCAACGATACGAAATTCAGATAATTGTGGCAACTCCATCAAGAAATGACAGAAATCGCCGATTACTCTTTCCTGCAGAAGAAGTTTATCACAATAATATCATCATGACTTAGATCTCAACACAGGCGCGTCCAATTCCCTCGAGTGTCTTGATCAAGTCAGTATGTTGGACGATAACGATAACGACCAACCCTCGGCAGTGGCCGAGGGATACTCTCTACTGAAGCCTAGCAGCACTCTGCCTTCTCATCCAAACCCGTCTTTGGCGTCGTTCCAGTCGGATACGACCACTCAAAAGCACGCTTCTGTTCCGAGTCGTATGTGGAGAAAATGGGAACGGTATTGGCGCGATGGATGGCACACTGAATACTGGAGCTGCTCGCTGGCTATCGTTTCGCTCGTCCTCATGTCCTGGATACTCAAAAGCTACGAACACGAACGACTTCCAGAATGGCCACTACATATAACGATCAACTCGATCATTGCGCTATTGACAGCTTTCCTCAAAGCGGGCCTCGCTTTACCGCTTTCTGAAGGTAAACCCCCAAGACAGACAGCTTGAGAAACTGCTGATATGTCTCAGCAATCAGTCAATTGAAATGGGAGCTCTTTCAACATTGTCCACAACCCCTCATCACTATGGACGACTTTGACTCTGCTAGTCGTGGTCCTTGGGGCTCTTTACAACTTATTTTCAGAGTTGAGAAAGATTACCTTCCCAAGGATGCGAACCTATGGCGGAGAATCCTTTATCCTGTTTTCAGATGGCGTCTGCGGTACTGTTACTCGGGTTGAACAGCGTACTAAAGCGCATACTGATGATACTCAGAAACTACCGAGTCTATCTTGCTAAGCTAGCTGCCTTCCTACTCATCATCACTTTCTTGTCAGACCCTTTCTCCCAGCAGATTGTACGATTTGTGCAATGTCCAGAATCAAGGGATGACCTCGATGCGAACATCTCCAAAACTAACTACTACAATGCTGCGGGTCCACATACCGGCGCAATCAAAAACGAAATCGATGGACCAATGAATGGCGCAATCAACAGGGCCTTGAATGACCCTCCTGCAAATGCATCGTCCGTGGTATCAACCAATTGTCGTTCCGGAAACTGTACCTACCCTCTGTTCTCGACTGTTGGAGTTTGTCATAAAGTTGAAAGTATACCCGAAGAGATAAGGGTCAATCTTCTCGAATCTACAAGCGGACAGCCTTACCCAGGTCCAACTCGCAATGTTACATTGCTCACAAATGGTATGTGGGTAGCAAATTACACTGGATATACTGTTGCACCCATATGCAAGACTCAGACATCCTCATCGATGGGGGACGGGACCCTGCTAAGTCTTAAGATGTTGATGGATTGGACAACACCAGTCCGGGATTATGACAAAGATACCACCGAAGAGGATCCAAATGGGCTCCTTGCCTTCAATCTCGAGATATTTCCATGTATTCGTACTTACCAATCGTCAATAACCAATTTCATACTTGACGAAAAGCTCATTGCCACAACGCAAATAGGTCTCAGCCGCAGACCGGGATTTTTCGGGTTTCTTTTGGGAACAAGTCAAACGTTGCGTAATGGAAAATGGGAAAAGTGCCTTTCGAGCCAAACACCAGGACCAGGGCTAGAAGAGATAGTCGAAGCAGACATTGATGCCGCTCCTACCGGGGAACCGGTCCCAGAATCCCCGACGATATTCTACCCACAAGACTGTATCTGGAAATTTGCACAGAGTTCTTTGTTCGCTATTCACGACGCACTTGACGACGCCATAGGCCATCTAGAATTAGACCTAGACACCAATTACTACATCCCAGTCGGTTCAGTGGCTGCTAAATCGATATGCGGAGTGGGGGTTGAGAAGAGTTCAAAAAGTGTGGACAACTTTTTGCAAAATCTCACGGATGTCATGACTGCCACTATTCGAAGGCGCGGGAGTGGAGGTGCAGCAGAATACGTACAAGGGATTACCACTGTGCAATCCACATGTATTGAGATTCGATGGGCTTGGTTCACCTATCCAGTTGTTTTGGTGCTTCTTACGACAAGCTTCTTCCTCTTGGTCACTCTTAAGAGCCACAATGGGCAGAAAAGCATATGGAAGTCATCGAGTCTGGCCGTTTTGTTCTGTTCCCTAGATGAAACAATGCGGGAAAGGACGCGGTCTGCCTGGGGAAGAGATGATATATTCCAGTATGCAGAAGAAACGCAAGCTCAGCTTGTGTCTGATAGTGAGGGAAAGGCAGTGTTCAACTGAGGTGGTTCATTAAGAATGACAAAACCATATACTATGCAAAGTGCGTCACTTCATCGTTGTCATGCCTAGGTGAGCGACAGGGTCGCTTATAGCGCAACGTCGGCGCATTCGTGTTCGACAAGAAAGCTAAACGATGTGGGGGAGAAACAAAGACGAGCGAACTCATGAGGATGTGTGCAAGAGTCGAGGAACGTGTGTGTATATGCAGCCATCGTAAGGATGGGCAAGCTTTTCGAGCTCACTTGGATTTATGCATCAAGCTGATCGATCGCGAAAATGAAAATCCTTCTCACCAAAATGGGTGGGAATGTGGAGGAAGTGATAATACTTCTAAACGACGAATAAGAATGTCTGCTCGCTTTTCGATAAAAAGTTCACCCCTGCATCTCGTTACCCGCCGCTAGCCAGTACTAGTTAGGGGTTTCTTTCGATAGCGTCTCTCGATCAACAGCTTCCCCTCGTCCCTGTTGGGGCACACAATTGCTACAACTCCATTGTTCAGTACGCCCACAGCACTATATCCCTTAATTTTGACAGACCGAAGACAACAGTTTTTTGGTGTAGAGCTGAAAGATGGAATTAGTGTAATGTGTAATGGGTAATGCGACGACCAACCCAACAACACAACTCTACAGAGATGAGAGAACTCAAACGGCTATTTTCTATGTCTACTGCTCTTCTCGTGGGTGTGCGTATGTGGCGTCGTGGCGGTAGGGCATGTGCTGGTGCAAAGTATCTGTGTCGCTTCTGTCTTTCGGGTTTACGCAAGATGGCGTTCATGGCGTTCATGGCGTTCAACGGGCACGTGGTGGCTTTACCTGTCTTTCTATCGAAAGTGTCCGGCGGGTTTCAGCTCAACGCCCTATCACTATTCACGGAACACTCGTATCACAGCGAATTGAGATGAAGCTAGCCCCAATTCATAGGTTGGCGTCCGGCAGCGAGTCGAGATTCAGCCAGCCTCAATTCCTTGGCCGTTCCGCCCCTTACTTGCAAAGACTAAACATATATACAGGCAGTATGCTACTATTCATTTGGAGCCAGACACTCGTTCAACCTTTCTTATTACTTGTTATCTGTCATTGACAGCTCACTGTCGTTACGTTCTTTCATTAATAAATATGTTGTTCACTCTACTCGTTACAGTGACAGCACTTCTGGGCTTCGTCCAAGCCTCACCATATGGCGGGTACGGGTACGGCACGCCCGAACGCCCTTCTTCTTCTAGCTCGAGCTCTGCTGCCCCAAGAACCATTACCAAAATCTCTACTACTACAATCAAGCAAACTGTAACGAGTCAAGGCTACTGCCCAGTCACTATCAAGACGGTGTCGCTTCCTGGCAAGACGGTAACAAGCCAAGGCCCTACCACTGTCAAAACAGTAAGCCTCCCAGGCAAGACTGTAACAAGTCAAGGCTCCTGCGCGGCGATTGTTAAGACAGTGTCGCTTCCTGGGCTTCCCATTACCAAGACAATTACCTCTTCAGGCGTCTGCCAAGTCACCACAAAGACTGCTACTTTGGCTGGCGCCGTCTCGACTGTCACAACAACTATTCCTGGTCTCAATGCAACCGTCACAGCGACTGTTCCTGGCCTCAATACAACTGTCACAGCGACTATTCCTGGTCTCAACGCAACAGTCACTACAACTGAGACGCTGGCTGCAGTTACTACTACAGTCAATGGAGCCAACTCTACAATCACGACTACCCAAACGATTGGTGGAGCCAACTCTACTATTACCACTACGCAAATCCTGCCTGCAGCGACGATAACAATTGACGGCGCCAACTCAACAGTTACGACGACCCAGACGATCGAGGGTGTTAATTCAACAGTAACGGCTACAGAAACCTCCACGACAACCCTGCCTGTAGAAACTTTCACTCAGAACTTCACGACTACATCTACTCTGCCTGTGGAGACTTTGACACAGAACTTCACCACTACTCTGCCCGTAGAAACCGTCACTCAGAACTTGACAGCTACAGCGACTGAGAGATTCACAACTACTCTCCCTGCGGAAACTCTCACGCAGAACTTCACGACTACGTCTACCCTGCCTGTGGAAACCCTCACTCAGAACTTCACAACTACAACAACTCTTCCTGTGGAGACTTCCACTCAAAACTTCACAACAACCGTTACCTCGACAGAGACTTCGAGCTCGACGGCTACTTTGACTTCGACGGCTACTCTGACTTCGACGACTGCCGTGAACCCAGCGTGCTCAGCCACTTCGATACCCATAGCCGTAGGGGATATCCGATATGTACCACTCTCCTCCGGTGACGCAGTTCTGGAGCAAAACAACGGTGCGCTTTCTTACACTTCAGGCGGCGTCGCAGCTCAACGCTTTGTGACTGGCGTATCGGTCTGCCCTGGTACCACATACCGATTATCAATCACTGCAAGGCGAGGCACCAACACCAATGCATCAGGCTCGACGGTTAAAGTGTACATTGACGGTGTTGTGATAATATCAGCGATTCTGGGTACGAATAACATAAATTACTTTGGAACTTTCACCGCTGTCAATGGCACCTCGTCCGTAGTAGTCGAGGCTGTATATCCGCCGGCGACAGGAGCATCAACCAACAACAACGTAGTACTTCGTCTAGGCTCCTTAGTTAGTGTTTGATCTTGAACATTTTCTGGCAAAGTATGAGTAAGAATCAGTTCTGGCCTGGCTGGTATATCAGGAGTTCCTTGTTAGTTTCATACTGATTGACGGCACACACACACATTACTTTTTCAACCTTCTCACGAGCCGTTTGTTCTTATGCCTACATACATGTTCCAACGTTTAGTCTACCTATATTCCATAGTTGTTTGAAAACCACACGAATTGTATTACAAAACTTATCCTCTCAACAATAGCATTGTTCTGACAGACTAACTCTTACGATACAGTCTTGTACAAATCTCTCTCCATGTCCATCACGCGGCAGACAATAATCTCCACATTCCCTAGGTAGCTGCGCCTGTCAGCCGCAAGCGTGGCTCTAGCTCGTCTTTTTTCTTCCCTATACTCAGCCGCACCTTTATGTGGTAACCCACGGCTTTCCACGACGCTACGCAATGTTTGTTATTATCCGTACATTCTTTTGTCTGCGTTCATGCGAGGAATCGACCGCCATTCTGGAAATTTTCCTGTCCGAGGAAACTCTATATCCTCGTGTTTGCCATGCACATGCTCGACCGTGGGTTTACGCTAATGCAGGTCCACCCAGCGCCACCCCCTTTGTCCCTTCCCCAATCCTAACATCCTCTGCTACCAAGCTTCACACTCTTCTAAAATCAGAGGTTGTGAGGAAATTGCGTAATTTGGTGGATGGTTCACGCTCTTGGTCTAAACCTATCGTCAATGCCAAGCGTTTGATGCCTGGCCTGGGATATCTCAGTGTTGAAGTGTATTTATATGCTCTACACAATGCAGATCTTGACGAGTCGACGAGTCACTTTTTGCACGTTCAATACAGTGGCCAAGAGAAATCACGACATCCCATGCAGTGTTCGTTCGACACCAGGCGCATGCTACTCTTCGTGAACGGCAAGGACAACAAAGAAGTCATAGGGTTAAGTACAGCTTGAAATTTCGATGGCTCAAGACCCCTTCCTTGGAATCTCGATTGACACTTTTGATATCGATTAAAGAACAGGCCCTAAGTTGAATACGCACGCGTCTTGGTCCAACGGCTTCGAACACACCCTTCATTGAGCCGATGATGTCGTAAATTATAGCAAGCATCTTAGGTTCACATTGACTTCAAGTGCTGTGTCGTTCCAGCTCTGCTGCATACAGCCGAGAATCCATGTTATCGATAAAGCAAGTCAAGTTGCCGAGGTACCCCAGCTTTCACCACCAACACCCCAACAAGCAGTCCACAACCACCACAATGCCCTCACAGCAGCTCTTGCATATTCCCACCCTTTCCAATCGATATGGCTTCATCCCATAAACCGCCGAAAGCGATTCTCTTCGATATTGGCGGTGTAGTTGTAAGCAATTTTCCCAGCCAAAATACTCATATCTGCATCGATCCACGTGTAGTAGCTAACGGCACACCAACCTAGGTTATAAGCCCCTTCCAAGCCATCCTCGACTATGAAACCGAAAATAAAATCCCGATTGGCTACATCAACTACGCGATCCAAGCCGGGCCGCACGACACAGGCGCATGGCAACTCATCGAGCGCGGCGACGTAGAGCTAAACGACGACTGGTTCGCCGCGTTCCGCACCCAGCTCTCCAACCCTCAAGTCTGGGGCGCGTATCTGCGCAAAGTCGCCGCGCAAGGGGAGCTGGGCGGCGGCCAAGTCGTTGACGGCGGCGGATTACCCCCAGTCCCGGATATCAACGCCAAAACGCTGTTCTGGCGCATGATGCGCATCAGCCGCGCCCCGGATCCGTATATGTACCCTGCACTGCGCAAACTGCAGGAAAGTGGGAAGTTCGTGCTTGGCGCGCTGAGCAATACGGTCGCGTTCCCCACCGATATCCTCGACGACGAGGGTGTCCTGTTCACCAAAGCGCTACGTCATGCGCCTGCGCCGAACCCCTACGCGCAAGACTCGACGGATATCACAACGTGTTTTGACATCTTCATCAGCTCTGCGCATGTGGGGTTGAGGAAACCGGACCCGGCTGCGTATGAGCTCGCGGTTAGGGAGATGGATAAGATCTCTCGCGCAAAGGGATTGGGTGGGGTTACGGCTGAGGAGACGCTGTTTTTGGATGATATTGGGGTTAATTTGAAGTTTGCGAGACTTTCGGGGTTGAGAACTATCAAGGTGGGGTTGGGGAGGACGAAGGAGGCGGTTAGCGAATTGGAAGCGGAGGTGGGGATGGCGTTGTTAGGGGATCGGGCGAAGCTGTGAGGGTTGAACATTATGACTGACGTTTGTTGCAGGGTGGTACTGACATTCCGCTACAAGGCACTGGATGGCATCTCGTCTTTCGAAAAGAACATTTCTCAGACGGTGGATAACTACATCTTTCTTCAATACATCACACCACAATAGCCAATCGAATACATTCCGCATCCCCTCCCTTCCCTCTTCATCTCACCCCCCACCCCCCGCCCTCCTAGCATCCTTCAACATCATCCGCCCAACCTCCACCTCAACAAGAACCAGCAGTTTCCCCAACACTTTGCATCTCGACTCCCCCATCTCAGGCCCAATATCCAAACACTTAACCCCACCCTTCCCCATGCTGTACAGCGACGCGCAGAATTTACTCTCGCTATCGGGTGGTTTGGGATGACGACCTAGCACGCAGGTGGGGTGCTTGGCTGGGAAGAGAATCCAGGCGAGTGCTGACGATTTAGCATGGGGGTGTGTTTGGTGGGAGGGAGATGAGGTACTTTCTATCAAATTGCTCAGGTACGATATCTCCGTTTCGTTCTCGTTGCGCAGGTTTGGCGGTGATTCGCGTGGTTGGAGGGACCGCTCGGACATGCTGGGCGTGAAGGCGTCCATGGTGGATGCGGATTTGCTGCTTCCCGTTCTCGATGCGGCGGGAAGGTTCTTATGGGGAGATGTGAGTGAGCGAGCCGTGTCTGTGCATGGTATGTTTGCTAGCGAGGGAAATGGCAAACCCTGTGTAGCGATGGAAGCGGTCCAGTGCTTCTTGGAGGGTTGGCGTACAGTGACACGGCATGTATTGTTACGAGGGCATTGTTCAGTTTAATGCTGGGCTTGGGGTCAAGTGATGCGAATTGAGCATACTCGGCTCTGGTGGGCCGCTCCAACGGGGAAAATGACTCACTTTTCGTGGTAGATACGTCAAGGTTTAGGATATGGTCCCTGGGAGGATGGAGGTACAAACGTGCTCTATGGGGAAAGCCATACATGATGAGATGTTACACAGTCAGTGTCAGCATCAAGCTAAGTATTGGATTCTTTCATTCCTGTCATCCACGCTCAACAATACAGTGGATCTCTCCTATCTCCTCTCAGCGCTTTCCCTTCTTCTTCTTACCCCCATTCTTGGGCTTCTCTTTCTTAGCTGCTTCCTTTCCCGCAGCCGCATTGGCCTGTTTGGCAGTCCCTGACCTGCTGCACCGGCCGACGACCTCACTCCCCGACCCGTTTGATTCCCCAGCATCGTCGTTCGTCTTCGCACCCGTCGCATTCCTTGGTCGAAGACCACGTCTCGGCTGAACGACCTCTGTCTCCTCCACGAGCTCATCTTCTCCACCCGTATCCTGTTGGCTGACACTTCTCTTATCGTCTTTCTTGGCTCTGCGGGCCCGCGTCTCCTTTGGTCGAATCTCCTCCTCCACTTCCACAGTCTCTAACACCACCTCATCCTCCTCATCCTCCTCAAACCTCTCCACATTCCTAATCATCTCCTCAGCAATCTCCTCCACCGCCTCTAACAACCCAAACAACGCCTCGGCCCTCGTCCTCCCTACTCGCGGTGCAAGGATGAATCCAAGGCCAGTACGCGCGTCGTTATCGGTTCGAAGGAGTGCGGCTCGAAAATACTCAGTGTCGTCCTGTTCGTACCGCGCGAGGTGTAGTCTCGCATATCTTGCCGGCCATACCGAGTCCACGAGTTCTGTAGCATGGGTCAGCGTGTGTATTGTATCTCAGTGAGAGACGTGTACGAACCGAGGAGGAAGGTCAGCGTGTTGCAGTCAGGTCCGGAGATACTTCTGTCGTCATTTTTGGGCGGCATGCTGGATGGAGGGGCGAGCCTTTGAACGTAGTTGATCGGATGAGTATGGTCGTGTGGAATCGGGGGGTTGATATGTCACTGCTGGTTGTGCCGTGCAGCAATCATGATATGGCAATCATGCCTCTTGTGACTGGTTTGGGCCTTGCTGGAGTTGGCGAGAAAGTGATGGTGAGTTTGCTGGAGTCATATTCTGATGGTGGCTTGCTCTAGTATATTCTAGACATGCGAGAACCAAGTTGCAAAGTGTGAAAATGGGAGTATGGGTTATGACACCCGTTACATGTCTCTCCAGTTTAAGGTTGTCCCAACGGAGTCAAGACGACAGTGATGTATTCTCGTCTATCGAGCTCCACCTCGTAGCTCGTTAATGAGGAATCAGAGCATATCATTGTCCAGGTAGGGAATTCTTCTCTTAGGGTCAACCTTTATCGATCCCATCAGTCCAGTCCATCTCAGGAGAACATGATACTAAACGACACTGTTGATCAGTGTTGTGAGCTCAAGACAAATTACAGCAGTAGTTTCCATCCGACGACTTGTTGTCTGATCGTGGACAGGGAGGCTGACGATACTGATATTACGTACTACTACTCTATGATATCGCTTCGAGTAACCACATAATCTGGTATTATGACCTCAACAATGTGTTTCAACGGATGTTCATTTAGAACCTCGCAGCCCATAACAGCATCTTGCCTTCGCATATGTATCACAACAACTTCCCAAGTTCTCGTCAACTGGTTACCTTCCACAGGAACTTAAATCAATGCTTTTATCAGGCCCGAAGATCGATTGCATATCTTCAGCCTGTCTCGGAGATTTTCTCAAATCCTGCGGGCAGTGTAGTCAATCGGCTGGACATTAACCACAACCATACAGAACGTATAGAAAGCGATACCGAGTCTGAGCACCGCTCCAAAGTTTACGATAACCTTACCAGAGCCTTGGAAGAACTACATCGCTTTTACGCGTCCTTTCTCGGAAGCGGATTTCGTGACGGTACTTGCCTCCCTCCCTACCGTTCAGTGCCTCGCACATCTGACTCCACGCACAAGCCTACCATTGAAACGTAGTCCATGTAGAAGATCAGCTCCTTCTTATGAAACATGCATCTGCACGCACGACTCCTCACCGTCCACATGTGAAAAAACACCCACCATCCACCAGCCTCTCTCGAAACCCTGTCCTGCTGCCCAAACTCCACACAGGGCACTTGACAACACGCCTATCCCCACCCTCCAGGAATCAAGCCTCGCACATAGCCGCTCCTCTGCCCACGGACACGAGTCGACGCACAGCGATCTCCTGCGAAAACTGAATCACACTCCCCACGTCACCGCGGATCTCAGCGTCGCAGGAGGGGTGTGTCATTTCCGTGCAGGTCCCCGCCCGGCCGAAGTCACGGCGGTGTGGAATCGGCCCTTCGCGGGTCTGGGGTAGATGAGGATGTTCGCATGACGGGGGGGGGAGGGGGGATGGTCGTTTCGATGATGGAGGGTGGGTAAGTCTGCGGGTGAGGCGCGGGCCGCGGAAAGCAGGGAAAATAATGACGATGTGGTGAAGATGCTCTTTCGCGTTGTCTATCATGACTTTTTTTCGTTAGTAGGGTGCTGGTTTCTACGTACGGTAAACTGTAGATGCCAAAACACGTGTCTTTTGAAGCTCCAAGGCGAAATCTCACCTCACCCCAGTCATTCTCGCCAGATTCTCAAACTCAAATCAGAGGAAAGATACTGCCGTGACGTCACAATCTCGCAATCCCCCATATCGACGCCGCGTCTACATGCCGAAATGCATCTCCGCATTCTCCATATCCTAAACATTTTCCTTCCCTGTTACGCCCCGGCAGTATGCGATTGGGTCACAGCACAAGACGCAGGGTCTCTCTCCACAGCGCCCCCATCAAGCCTCGCACAGCATGCGCCGTCGAGCATGAAACAGCGCATCGCACCCGACGAACGAGCCACAACTCCCCATTCCGGCGATCGCCCTGCAGAGTGGTAGTAAACAAACGGTGAAGACGCCAACTGCCGGAGACCCGCAGGCAGCATAGTCTTTTTTGCGCAGCAGCTGCCCGTCTGCATTCTTTCGCCTAGTAGGTAGTACGTACACAGTATGCATGGAAAGAACGTCAGCACAGAACGGGTCTATGTCTTGCATTGTGCAGTGACGGGGCAAACCCTATTTGCGCAAGCCGCCCCGGCAAAGCAAACGAGTCCGCAAAAGAAGCGGTGACGAGATTTCCGCACAATGACTGTGTCGGTCATGTGGCTGGTGTGGGTTTGGGGTGGTTCGACGTTTTTGGGGAGCTCGGGATTAACGTTTACACGTGGAGCCGTTGGATACGAGTTCGGCACGCCGCTGCCGAGTTTGGTGGGCGTGTACCACCACCATGCAGTTGCTTTGTTGGAATCTGTGCATGCGGGTTGATAATCGTTGGGTTTGCTGCTTGGAGCATGTCGGGTCGAGTTTGATTTGATCTACTTACGTTTTGATCGTCTTGCTTTGATTTACGTATTTACGTATGCTTGAATGGCGTGGTGTGCATTGGCATTGGCATGTGAATTCGGATTCTCCTCCCACCACTACATTTCCGCAACATCTACTGGATGAAGCAGACAGTGTAGGTACCTTACCGGTAATAGGAATTAGATGCCCATGTTGGATAGTCTTGCTTACAACCTGGTCCCTGTCATGCGGATCACCGTCCGATATACGCTAAGACCTTGGCCCAAGCTGTTGGCGCCAACCAAGCGATTAGGATGCAAGATAGCGGTTCTTCGCTGTCGTGCGGAGTGGAGAAGAGAAGACGGGAGTGGAGCGGTAATTCAGGCGTGCAGCAGAGATGAGGCACGGGCACGAATACGAGTTTTGCGCACAAACAACAGCCCATGATATTTATTTTTAAGTACATCGACACCGACCCATCATCTGTTCCGCCCAATGCCGGAGTGGCGGTGCGTTCGGTACTAAGCTACAAACAAGTGGGGATGCATACAAAAGAAAATAGGAAATTTGGTATCAATGAAGCGATCGAAAGGACCACACTCCAGCACTTGGATGTGATGGTGATGGGAGAAGCGAAGGTTGTAAAGAAAATGCCCTCCTTGATCCTTGTGTCCGTGTCTTTTATGCAACTCTTTTCTTATATAGCACCGGAAATGACGCGGAAGAAATAAAGGCTAAGCCAGTGTTCTGCCTGCCAGAAACCTGCTCAATCATTCTGAATCGAAGTGGTGATATAAAAACGCCGATGATGCTCCGTATGCCAGGGTACCGTAACGCCGAAATCTTTGTTGCTTGGGGATGACGTCGTCGCACAGCTCGACATCTCATCATTTTGGAACTCTCCTGGGTGCCTCCACGGCTTTTGGGTCGGTAAGTCAGCTACTACGAACTGAAGTCGTGCGTCCATGACGCTTGGCCTCATCACGGATCAATTTCTCGACGTGCGACGATACATCACCAGTGCGGAGACCAGCAGTGAGATAGCCGTCAGCACCCTCAAGTTCCAATGGAGTAACGGCACCTGGACTGGCCATGGGCTCCAGACGAGGGCTCGTGGGCTTCGATCCCGGGCCTCTGACTTGACGGTTCGTGTTGGCGAGGAGCTGTTGTTGGTAGTGATACATCTGCTTCTGAACTTCGTATTGTCGACTACTGGATCGGGGCGAGACTGGGGCTTGAGGGCTGTTGGGTCCAGTGACTGGTGTTGCTGCAGTGCTGGAGTTGGCTGATGCAAAATTGGCAGGGTGGAAGCGTGGCAGCGATGGCAGTCTGAGATGCGCAGCGGGTCCAACGTTCGAAGATTGACGCGAATTGAGATTTGGTCGTCGGCGACTTTGGGAAGGGGCGGTTATAGCCTCAGTCCTGGGCGAGAGAGGCGAGCTCACGGAGGGCATGGAGCGATCAGCTGCTCGTGAAGGCATGTTTGCGGATGTAAGGTTGTGAAGACGGGAATGAGTCGAACAAGCCAGAGACGAAGTCGACGGCGGTTTCATATGATGTGTGCTTGTGTGGGTCTCGTTTTGACTCTTGATAACGAAAAGTGAGGTCAGACGAAACTGTTATATCGACTTCCTCCTGAACGATGGTAAGGGAAGTGTAGCGAAGTGAGTACCGCAGATTCGAACGGTATCGCGATACTGATATAGAATCGGGCAGCAGGGGGAGGAGTGGAATGCTTGGTCTCAGGATTATCTTTGGGGGCGCAGGCTGATCTTGGGTGGAAAGAGCAATGTTGATCCTCGGTGCAATCGTCCCTGAGAGGCTGGAGAGGCTGAGACAATGCACGGTAGTGGACCCTGGTTTTGCTACTGAATGCTAGGAAACGCCAGCGACCTGTTATAGATAACAAGACTGGTATCGGATGCAACGTGTGGCTTCGGGCCGCTGTGGATGGAGGACGGTGTGGAGTAGGTGCGCGTGTGTTGTACCGTTGATACGGGTCCACACAAAAATGCCTTGGGAAGCTAAAGTGCGTCGATCAATGTAGGTGAAGATTGTTAATTGCTGTCTGGGCTACCGTGGTGGGAGGAGATTGCTTGGAAGCGTTGAGGAAGATGGGCGGTAATCACGCAAGATGGTTCATAGCCTCCTTTACATACCCATCCAACAAGCGGTAACGGCGCCCAGCTCATCGTCATCTATCGTGCACTTGCTTGGTGGGGCCTTTAGTTGTTGCTAGTCTAGCTTCAGTTTACTCCCTGGTAAGAAGATGACGCACGACGTTCAGCAATCCGAACTCGAGCTTTGGACGGATTACATTATGGTGCATTTTGAAATTCGTTGATATAACGTGATCCATGCTCAAGCCAATCGGCAGTTACTCCGATTTGTTCAATAGGCTGCAAGGAGACCACGTTATATTATTGCAATTCAGCAATTACCATTATCCACGTGATGCTCCTGGCGCTTAACGTGATAGGATTTATCTCATGAATCAGACGCTCCTCCAATTAACGTTAATTACGTACTGTGTAATTAATGCTTACGTACTTGCGCACAGGGCACCTACAACGTTGTTTGCAGAGCGTCTGAGGAAAAATGGTTCCTAGCTTGGTGTATCTCTAATTTAAATAAGCTTTTAGTTTTGGATGGCTATATTAGTCTTCCTACTACTAGAATTTCATATTTTTATGCCATAATTAGATTGTAGAGCAAAAGAAGAATTAATAGCTTATTTTGGTAGGTAGTAATTAAACTTGTGGCGTAAGGTACATGTACACGCTCCCGTAAGGTGTGTTTTTCTGGTTTTGATTTTTAGAATTTTTAGTAAGAGACTTTTAAAGGCTCTACTTACTGCCTTGTATCTTGACCAGTTTCTGCGTCGCAATCTTCAAACTATACTTAGATTGTAGAGCTGAATTTTCTCTTTTAAATGGTATATGAATTATAAAATTCAGATATGTATTAGTGGTACAAGTACAGCGTTGAAGAAAGTGACCAGAAAGTAACCATTTGATTAGCTGTACTACTAAAGCACGAACCATTTTCCCTCAGACGCTCTAGCTGAAACTGCTGAGCTATTATGTGATACTTAAATTACAACGTTTTGTTACACGCTATTTCAGCTGGATCCGGCGTCTGATTTATGAGATAAGATAGGATGCCGTGCTCGTTGAGCGCTTCTTCCTGTGCATGTGTGCATGCTCCATTTTTTTCCACACGACAAAACAAACATCCACTCAGCACGGAGGTATAGCGACCGAATCAGAATCGTGCGGAACGTAGCCGAACACTGTTTACAACAGTTGTTTTACTAAGGAACATTAGATAGAGCCAAGCTGGTATTGGCAATTCTTGTCATCCTCGTACTAAGCATCGTGGGATCCTACCTAGACCATCCGCGAGCCATCACTCCACACTTGTGATGACGCTCGCTGGGCTCCTACGCGACAATTGGGCGTTACTTGCCATGTCGTGCAGTTTACCCATCACTGCAAAGTCCGAGTGCAACCCCCGCTAAATGTTCGAATCGTAGAGTTTGAACTTGGACCTCGGGCATAAGGAAGGCGGGCGAGTTTAGCGCGACTATCCACACCGTGATGACTTTTGTTGACAAGATTCACGCATCCCGCGCCCGATGGAGAAGTGTATGACTGTAGTCGCTAGACGAAACGTGGCAGAAAAGAGCAAAATGATGTCGCACAGTATGCCCGCCACAGCCGCCGGACTTGCTCGGACAGGGTAAGAGCAGAGGATTGTGTACCCGGGCCACTCAGAACCCTGGATATAAACGCACTGAAAAATACGTTGAGGTGATTTTCATTGAGCTACATCAGCCGCAGACAAAGAAGATAGAAGATGTGTCACGTGTGGCTTCGGAAGCACGGCAGGTGAGGTTATGGGCAGAGCCGTCTCTTATTGTCATTTGTTGGAGGATGTGTGTGCAGTCGGTTCCCTTCTCAGCATCATCTCGCACCCAGCTTCTCCAGAGCCTTCGAGCCCTGCTCCTCCCATTCCGCCTTTGATATCCACATGTTCTCCTTATCGGCCATCTGTGCGTAGTCAGCATCTGTATATGGAATGGAAAGGTCGATCGGCTTACAATGTTTGCGAGTACAGCACCGCCGAGGAAGACCATGTGTCGTCGCCTTGGCGGATCCTCGATGCGAACTTTGAATTTCTAGGGCGCTTAAGTTAGAATTGATCATCAGTGAGGGGTAGAAGCAAACATACATTGAGTCGCTCGGGATTTCCTCCCAAGACCTTTGTAAGCCACAGCTGCTTCAGCTCCTTTTCCAGCCGGCTGGGCAGACCCGGGTACATGCTGCTGCCACCACTCAACACGATTGCCTTGTACAAGCTGGTCCTGACATCGACGTCCGCGGCCTGGATCGTGTTGAACAAGCACTCGGCAACGCCGGGCTGCTCGACGTCAACAAGATGCGGCTGGAACAGACACTCGGGCGCCTCGAAGCGCTCGCTGCCCACTCGAATGACGCGGCCGTCTGGAAGAGTGTATGATTCCACCAAGACCGTTGTGTCTTCGCTGAGGCGCTGGTCCAGCTCGAGGTCGTACGAAACATAACAGAGCTTCTCCTTGATTTGGCGTACAGTCTCGAAGTCGGCGGTTCGGTTGAGTGCATACCCTCTCCGTAGAAGCAGCGCGATCAAGTTACGAGTAACGTCTCGTCCTGCGACATCCAGGCGACGGGTGAGGTGGTTGAGGACGGTACTCTCGTAGACGGGGACAATGTGCGTGACACCATCGCCTGAGTCGACAACGACACCAGATGACAAGCCCTGGGCGTATAGAGCCAGCACAGCCTGGATAGCTACGTATACACCCCCAAAGCCATAGCGCTCAAACATGACCTCGCACATTGTCTCGCGGTTCTTGAGCGGGTTCATCGGGGGCTCGGTGAGCAGGATCTTGCGGCCATTTGTGTCGAGTTTCATCTTCTCGTGGAACGTGTAGTCCCAGAGGTGCTGCATGTCGTCCCAGCGCTTGACGATACCGTTCTCCATCTGTCCAAGGTGAGACAGCGTTAGTCGACGCTGCACTCAACGATGTCTTGCATGGCCACATACAGGATAGGTGATCTGGAGCATAGAGCGCGCAGCCGCCGCCTCATCTCCGCACATTATGTCCTTGAGCTGAATGTCCCCTCCATTCTGCTCTTCGGTACGCAGAATGGGCCGGCCGACTATCGAAGGGTACTGGTGGTCTGGAAAGTTCTAGCAGGGCTGGTCAGCTTCAGAGAGTCTGGCGGTGGTGGTGCAATTGCGGCAAGACCGACCTGTCCTGCATAGCCCGCCTTGAGGAAGCCGGTTCCGCCGTCGAGAACTGAACGTCGCGTCAGCAGAGCTTGTAGAGAGAGTCGGATGGCGTTGCATACCAATGGGAACTTCCGCCATGCTTTCTAGAGCTCGAGATGTGAAAACTGGGCAAACAACAGCGTGTGAAGAGCGACCGTGGTTCGTATGTTGCGTTGTGCCTGCAGCGGAGGGGCTGACGTTGAAGGGTCCGTGAGCTCTGTCCCAATCAGGGCAATCCAGATGCTCGAGAACGACGTGTGCAAGCTGGACTAGGTCTGGAGATAGATACAACGATGCAACCAATTATTCAATGCAAGGAGATCTACAAGCCTACATATAATTAGCAGCCATGTTCAATACTATTGTTGACAGCTGGACTACTTCCAGGCTCCAAGGCATGTAGCAAGCAGCGTATATTCTTTGGCTGATGAGGAAATATCTTCAAATATTACCCTACATACACAGGAGCCGAATTGCAGCAGCATCAGCGTGGTAATAGTCTTTTCGCATTGCACTCCCATCTTGAACGGCGTGGTCACCCACCTTCCAGAGCAGAGGTCGCGACTTGAGCATGCCACTAGCGCGCCAAGCCCGCACACATTCAATATCGCCCGCCCACCCACGAACTTTCTCGAGCAGCTAACCTCAGGAACATCAACCAGGAGACCAGCCGTCAAGATGCCTACCGTAAGTATACCATGAGATACCCCAGCTCTCGCCCTGAGGGCCACCCCGCTTTCGAGTCGAGTCTTTGCGAGTTGCTTCGAATGCGGGTTTGAAGCGCTAATCGCTGACTCTGGGAAAAGGCCAAACTCCAGAAGAGCAATGCGTACTTCTCGCGCTTCCAAGTCAAGTACAGGCGTCGCCGTGAGGGAAAGAGTATGTACACCGCGCACGACGCTGATACACGCATCTGACTGTGCGCAGCCGACTACTATGCCCGTAAGCGGTTGATTACCCAGGCGAAGAACAAGTATGGTGCGCCCAAGTACCGCCTGGTCGTCCGCTTCACGAACAAGGACATCATTGCCCAGATCATCCACTCGGAGATCAGCGGTGACAAGGTCTTCATGGCCGCCTAGTACGTTCTGCGCCGTGTTCGCTCTCACGCGCAAATCCACTGACATGCTCCCAGCGCCCACGAGCTGAAGCCCTACGGTATCACCCACGGCCTCACCAACTGGGCTGCCGCCTACTCCACCGGTCTCCTCCTCGCCCGCCGCACGCTGAAGAAGCTCGAGCTTGACGGAGACTTTGTTGGTGTCGAGGAGGCTGACGGTGAGTTCACTCTTACCGAGGCCGCCGAGGTCGACGGTGAGGAGCGCCGCCCATTCAAGGTCTTCTTGGATGTCGGTCTCACCCGCACCTCCACCGGTGCCCGTGTCTTCGGTGCCATGAAGGGTGTCTCCGACGGTGGTGTCTTCGTGCCCCACTCGGAGAACCGTTTCCCCGGTTACGACATGGAAGGCAAGGAGCTCGACGCCGAGACTCTCCGCAAGTACATCTTCGGTGGCCACGTCGCTGAGTACATGGAGACGCTTGCCGATGACGACGAGGAGCGCTACAAGTCCCAGTTCAGCGGCTACATCGACGAGGACATCGAGGCCGACGGTCTCGAGGAGCTCTACCAGGACGCACACAAGCAGATCCGCGAGGACCCCTGGAAGAAGGAGGACGGTGACGCGCCCAAGAAGTCCAAGGACGAGTGGAAGACGGAGTCCCTGAAGTACAGGTCCCAGAAGCTCACCAAGGCGGAGAAGGAGGAGCGCGTCCAGAAGAAGATTGCGGAGCTCAAGGCTTAAGCAGGCTCATCTTCTTCACTGTACTGCACTTGATGACGAAAAAAGCACGGCTTCCGGCGTCTGGGGGTGAATTGGGAATGATACCTGTATAGGCATGACACTGTACTTAGCCTAGCATGAATCCAATGAGATGACGAGATGGCATGCTGCTGTCGGCTACCGCCACCGCCATCATGACCAAGCACACTACTTTTGGCACCTGCATCTGTGAACTGGCGTGTGAATATGACACTTGAAGTCACGATGCTGTAGTTTCAGACGCTCTATTTTGGATTTGAGTTCTGGGTGGTTGTTTCAAGGCTGAAGGATGAGTCAGTCTGCGCGCTGCAATTAGCAACAGCAGTGGATATCGATTGATGCGCTCGTCATGGAGTTGAGGTCATATAAGAGTTCGCGGTCAACGAGTTTCGGACAATGTGAAAGATCGAGTGGGCGCAGCCGAAGCCGCGGTAGCTCTCGTCATTGCAGCCGACGTGCTCACCATACGGCCCCGCCCACAGCCAGCAATATCGCCATCGCGCACAGCACTATCACGCCGAGTGGGCATCGTACGACCAGTGTGTGAAAAGAGCGAAGGTTGCCCGGGTCATCGCCGTGTGTGTATTTCCAATCAGCATTACCGCCGACGGTCGAGGGAAGCGCAAGACCCCGCTGCTATTCGGCACGGTTGACGGCTTTCGTCTCGTGACGGCATCGCACATTACACCAGCGCATGGCCGCGTCGATATAGTCGCAAACATGGCAGTTCCAGCGTCGCATGAGCCCCAGGCCGCCATGGAAGACATCCACGGTGTCGACGTTTCATGGTTGCACCACTCTAGCAAAGGTAGGAAGCCAGGCCCGCTTACGTGGTGCTCCACTGTGCCGTGCATGCGGGACGCCTATGCGAATGCGAACGAGTTGTTGGCTAACGGCTATCCTGCTCCCCAGACCACCACCACCACCGCCAGCAGGCGCCCTCGTCGCCGGGACTCAATGGCGATGTGCGCCCCAGGACCTCCTCGCGCAGCGGCCTGCCCGCCCGCCCGCTGTTCGCAGAGAAGGCCGCCCCCGAGCCCGCCCCAGCCGTGAAGCCGCCCTCGCCACCGCCGCCTGCCACTGTTGCTGCCCCGCCTGCGACGTCGCCCCCGCACAAGGGCCACATCAAGCGCCCGTCGCTGCTGAGCCGGACCAGCTCGGAAAAGGTACCCACGCCCGCGGCTGCGACGGGCTCGCGACGCAACTCGTGGATGTCCAGCATCAGCTCCAAGTTCTCGTCGCAGAACCCGCCCGCCCAGACGACACACGCGCAAGCCCAGGGCGCGCCTGCCAGCACCCAGGGCGCGAATCCCACCACGCCCTCGGCTAATGGCGCGCTGAACGGCATACATTCAGCCGCAGGGGGCAGCCACCACTTCGGCGCCTTTGTGCCCCAGTCGCCAAAGAGCAACTTCCTGTCCAGCGCGCTGCGTCGTCTGTCCTCGGGCACACAGGTCGCCTCCTCCAGCCAAGTCCTCACCAACGGTGGCATATGTCCGAGGCGAGTCTTGAACGTCGATCCCAACCGGACCCGCTGCCATGTGCCCGAGCTGGACCAGAACAAGTTGCGCAAGGTGGCCTTCTGCGTCGACGTCGAGATTGCGTGCGGGCCGAAGTACGCCAAGGACGCAGATCCGGACGAGAAAAGGCAGCGCGACGACAACAAGCTGAAAGAACGTGGCGAAGGCGAGGCGCTGAAGAACCCCCACAGCGTGGCCCAAGAAAAGGACACAAATGGCGTCGTCAACGTCTCTCAGGAAGCCGTGGGCAACGAGTCCAGCCCAAATCCAGAGGGCACAATACTGCACGAAGACGGTAGTGAGACCAACAAAAAGAAGGAAAAGAAGAAGCGTTCCGAGGCTGAGCGGAAGGAGAGGAAGGAGAAGAAGCGCAGAAAGGCCGAGGAGAACGGCACCATTCCCATGGAGCTCACGAGGGACGACGACGATAGTAGTGTCGATGTTGCGCCTGCCGAACCTCGCACCGCTGCTCCCAAAGTTCAGGTTCGACCAACCATCGACCCTCTACGCATTTATCGAAGATGTTGCCAGCTTCGCGAATCGCCCATTCTGAAGCGCATCAGTGACCAGCTCTCCAACCCGTCCGCGTGCTCAGCAGGCGAAGTCAACCTTCTAGATCTCACAGGCTCGAGGCTGCAACTTGCTGATATAGTAACTCTCTCGGACTGGCTCGCCATTGTGCCAGTGAAGAAGCTCTTCTTGGAAGATGCAGACTTGACTGACGAGAAGATCAGGGTCGTTCTCGCAGGGTTATTAGCAGCCAAAGATCCCCAGTCTCCAAGAAAAAGTGTTTCCATGGAAGCCAGGGACGGGAAGAGACAGACCATGGGTAACCAGGATGGATGCGCCATCAAGAAACTCGTCCTGAAGAACAACCCCAAGATTACGTCGGAAGGCTGGAAACACATCACTTTGTTCATTTACATGTGCAGATCTATTCTGGCGCTCGATGTTTCCATGATACCCTTTCCCAAACCACAACCACAGACGACCCCGGCGCCTAGCAACGGGGAGCAAGGCTCAGCAGATACAGCAGAGTCACACCCACGAGATCTAGCAGAGGTTATGTGTAGGAGTATCTCTCAACGAGTGGCCGGTTCCCGTCTCGAGGAACTTGTCATGGCTGAGTGCGCTCTCACATCCTCAACCGTCAAGAGCATTCTCGAAGGTTGTATCAACACGGGTATCAAACGGGTTGGCCTTGCTGGAAACGACCTTGACAGTGAAGGCCTGGAACATGTCTTAAACTACATAAAATCTGGGATCTGCGAAGGCATCGATCTTGGCGGTAACGACCTCCGCCAATGGATACAGCAACTTTGTGACAATCTGCCAAAGAACAGTCCACTTTGGGCGCTGTGTCTCCAAGACACAGGCATGACACCCGACTCCCTCAAGATACTGTTTCCTAAGCTTGTTTCCCTACCGGTATTTCGATTCTTGGACCTGTCGCATAACAAAGGTCTTTTCTCCCACCAGACGTCATTATGTCTTCTTAGGAAATACATGCCTCAACTCCGAGAGCTGAAACGGATACACTTAGTGGATGTCGATCTGAAACCTGCTGATGCAATCGCTATCGCAGAGATTATTCCAGACTGCCCGCACATTGCACATCTCAACATCTTGGAAAACCCCGAAATATCTCGTGTTGCGAGATCCGAAGATGAGGAGACGCAAGAAGAAGCCGCTGCGTTGTATGCCTCGCTCACACTGGCTGCAAAAATATCTCGGTCACTTGTCTGCGTCGATGTAGACGTACCGACTCCAGAGATGGGTGAAGTCGTGCGGGCTCTTGCCAAACAAGTCGTGGCCTACTGTCTCCGGAATATCGAATCCATCAACCTATATCCTGAGCTTCCAGCAGTACCAAAGGATGTGGAGATACCGGACATCCTTATGCACTTGGTAGGGGAGAAGGACGATTACGTAAAGACACCTGCGTCAGACAACGATTACATCGTCGGCGGCACTGGCATTGCGAAGGCTCTCAGCTATTGCTTGTCCCAAAAAGACACAGATTACCGCAGAGTGTCTGTTCCTACAAGTGGCGCAAACACACCACGCAGCAGAACCGAGCTAAACTCTGAAGCGCCAAGCAGGGCAAGAACCATGTCCAAGACGTTGCTCGACACTGCGCGAAACACTCGCGCGAGAATCCAGCCAACTTTGCACCGCGAGGCTCAAGGAGGCGACGTAATAGCATACCGTATGTCCTCTCAACACTCCCAACCCCTTCTGCTTATAGCTAACACCCCCACAGGCCGTCTTCTCTTCCTCGACCAAACCCTCGAAGGCATGATCCAACGCTTCGAAGACGAGTACCCGGAAACCCGCATCCCCCACTCCGACTCCGCCTCCACGCACAGCGTCAGCTCCGTGCTCAGCTCCTCCCCGCCCGCCTCCACCGTCGCCACCCTCTCCAACAGCGTAAACCTCTACCCCGAATCCGACGAAGACGAACCGCACCTCCTACGCTCGCGCCACAACTCCGACGTCAGCCTCGCATCCCGCAACATGGCCCTCGAAGAAGGCCGTCTACACCGCTTCGGCCACCGCGTCCGCACAAACATCCTCAACTCGTCGCGCCCCTCGTCGCCGTCCCCCTCCTCCCTACCAGGCGGCCGCTCCCCCGCTCCCCCACCGGAAAACTCCACAGAAGGCGTGCCAGAGCATCTGCATGCTATGCGCGAGTACTTTAGCAATCTGAGCGGCGAGGAGCTCACGCAGATGACCGAGGGCGTGGGCTGGGATAAGGCGTTTGAGAAGTTGGTGCAGAATGTTGGTGAGCTGAGGGAGTTGGAACGTCATGAGGATCCGGTGTCGTTTAAGAGGTTCATGGATAGTCAGATTGCGGCGCTGAGGAATCGGAATCCGGATATTTGTCCGGAGGAACCGAGGGGTAGCGCGAGGGGGGATGAGGTTGCTGTGGAGGATTGATGTGTCTCGGTGGTGGTGGTGGTATTGTTGGGAGAGGAAGGGAGGGTTAGGGTAGGGTAGGTTGCAGGCTGTACCATTCATGATGATGGGGCTTTTGTCTTGGTTTGGAGAGAATCGCGCGTGGGTTTCTGGCTGTGTTCTGCTTGGCTTTACTCTGCTTTACTCTACTCTACTCTACCTGGCGTGGTGTTGTGTAGTGTTCATCTCCCATACCCTATCTGTATTTCTTCTTCTGAGTGTTGCTTTCTACGGGTGGACATGGTGTTGATATGAAGGAAACGCTGGTATTTATCTATCTATATATCTATCCATCCACCCATCTATCTTCGCGCGAAACAATATATTCCCATTCTACTCAACACCCTCCCCCTCCCCCGCTAGACCACACCGCAACACTACAGCGCTTATTATACCACAAACAACCCAAATACACGGGATATCGACACTTTCAAGGGCTTATACTAGGTGGAGTAAACATCTGCTTTGTGCTGTGTCCGCGCTCGATGGAGGTTTAGGACGAGTGTTGTGTGTCTACGTATTTTAGATATTGGTTTTGGAGGGTCGTGGAGATGTACTTGTACAAGAAACTACATATTTGGCACGTGTAGCAGGTAGCCTTGCACGTGGGTGCCAAAGCAACGCCGCACACCAAACTCTCTCCTGTTCTAGGTCAAGACTATGCAATTTCTAGAGGATTCAAATAACCCTGTAATAGCACAAGAGGAAAGAGCAACTTCTTCTAAAGATCTTGATAAGATTTTAGGTTGCACGACTTAGTTGTTGATATGTATTGTGGCTTTGGAGAAGGTGAGTTTGTAGTGTTCCTAAAGATCTTGGTTGCATCAATCTTCGAACAACTATGCAGAAGAAAAATACCCCGTTTCGGATAGTATCGTAACATCAAATATTCAAAGCCCCATGTATTAAAAACCCGTGCAATATATCACCTACATACCTACACGTCCCAGCGCATCCCCAGGGTCCCAACAGCACGCATCCACGTATCCAAAACACGCCGCAAAACGAAACACACTCCCCTTCCCATCTTTTCTCCATCTACCCCAAACAACGCAACCCACCGCATCTAGACCCCGACCGCCACGCATCTCATCGTATCGTATCGTACCGTATCGCATCACACCGCACCCCATCGCGCCCCTCCACTCTCGGCGCGAGAAATTCTGGATTCACGGGGTCAGGGGCCCACGCGCGTGCGACTCGCAGCCCATCCATGCCGACATGACAGCCCAACGCACAACATTGCGAATTGTATCCAGCAGGGGGTTAGCATGGATGACGCGATGTAAAGAACCCTGCGCGCTTCGAGAAGGTTTGATGAAGGACGGGTGTGTGGGGTGCGGTGGCGTGGCTGACATCTGACATCTAACATCTAACATCTAACGGCTAGGCTAGGCTGATGGTGAGTCGGCGCCTGGGCTGAAACACCGACCTCAACGTCTGTTAGTTAGTCGACGTCTTCGCCGGGAAGGGAAGGGGGAGCGGGGTCCGGCGATAGCAGCGGCACGGGCTTTATTATAATGTGTTGCGCGTGCGAAAATTTTCTTCGCGATGACGGCGTAGAGGTGGGAATGTGCGGCTGGCGTGCAGGCAGGTAGGTGGGTTGGTTATGGTGTTGTGTTGGGTCCAGTCGGTCGACGCGGATTAGCGTTGTCGGATGCAGAAAGGTATGGGCCTGGGAGAGATGCTGAATGGCTGCGGCGATGCATTCGGGCAATAGTCCCGGTGTGGGTTGGGGGCGATTGGAGATGGACAGCTGCTGGAATTTTGTGTTTTTCCTTATCGCTGAGGGAGGGGTTTATTTTCTGCCATCTGTTGGGGTTCGAAAAGGCTCCTAGCAGGGTTTGCAGCGGATGGAGGTGCGCAACTTGAGAACCATGTGGTAAGGTATGACGATTACATGGGAGGGTTGCGCAATACCGTCACTCTTACCATTTGAACTTGCATACTGAGGTTGTCGAAGGTGATGTTGTTCAGCAGGTCAAATGTAGGCGATACTTTGTGGAGGTCAGGTCTGATTTTGAAAGTACAAATGTTTCATTGTAAATATCTAAGTGACGATGAAAAGTAACATAAGCTCGTCTGGTATCATCGCTGGCTGGTATCATGAAAATCGCTCTTCTAGCTTTTGCGGGCCGTTTGAACCTGTGTCTGTTCGTCGTCGTGAAGGCGCAAGTCGCCCGTATGTTGAGAAGTGAGGAAAGAAATACAAAAGATATGCCCCAAACGCCGGCTGCTATGAGAAAATCAAAATGTTCCACTCTAGGGAAATGGGAGTAGGCAATACTAGTACGACCTATTCTTCGGTCACACTAGTCGCCTGCGCGCTCTCTTTGAGAGATTTCCTGTACTCGCGCTCCATGCCGTGCTTGACGGCGTCAAGAACTGTTTCGACAATCGCCTTGGGCTGGAAGCGAGGTGTTGTACCCTTCTGGAATACACCGGTCTCGACCAGGATAGAGTACCAGTTGGCATCTTTGTTGAAACTGTTGTACTCGTTTGTGCCCCTAATGTCGGACTCTGGAGTGTCGCCAACAAAGTATACGGTCGAAGGCGGGGAGTCGATGTTGTGGGTATCTTTGCGCCATTCTTGAAGCAGGCGGGTTGCGAACTCAAAGGTACCGATCTGAGGCTTGCCGAAGGCTGTTGTCTGGAGCTCCTTGCCAGTGACAGCTTGGTACATAGCCTCGAGGGAGACACGGAGAGCACCCATGCCAATTCGGGTCAGGTCGTGAGAAGCGCTCCAGACGACGTCGTTGTGGGAGAAGAATACCGGAGGGCCATCATCGAAGTTCTCGGACCTAGTTCCTAGACGGCCCTTCTTGGACATTAATAGGTCGAGGATGATCTGCTGGTCCGATGCCCAGTCGCGTGAATCGGCAAACACGAAGATAGCCTCGATCTCAACTTCGGCGAAATTACGGGCACGGGAATTCTTGTATTCGTCGTCGGTCAGCTTGCGGAATGGAGTAGTGTCTTGGTTGTCCTTAATAATGTCTCCAGGTGTAACGCTAGAGTCAACGTCAGTAGTGTTCTAGCAAATACCAGGAACTCCACGTGTACTTACACATCTTTGAAGCCATAGCTTTCAGCGACATCGCGGCACTTCTCACCCTCCCCGCCTACGACCAGGACGGTGTTGTATTTCTCTGCCATTTCCCTCATGGGGGTATGTCCACAGATGAACTGTCCTGGTGAAATCTCCATCTCCATCTGTTGGCTCAGTTGAATACAACGCTCAGCTTCACTTTTGCCACCACCGTTGGTGACGAAGATGTATGGCACTTTGACGCCGTATTCGTTCTCACCGTTGAGCATCTTCATTGCTTCAATGGCTTCTGGGAGCGGACGCCCACCTCTGATCAAAACACCATCTATGTCGAATGCGAAAGCGTATTTGTCGGTGACTGTTGATTCGAGAGCTGCCGCGCCGGGCGATGAAGGCGTGCTATCAGCGTCAAGGCGGTGTCTTGCAGACTCAAACCCGGCAGCGATCTCTGAAGCCTCTGATGGAGCCATGAGATGCTTCGGGGGAACCACAACGGCAGGCCCCATCTGAACATTTTCGCGAGTGGCCTCGGTGGAGGACAAACGCCGCGTAAAGCGGCTTCCCGCTTGTGGTACCATAAGAGCAGAAGCAGACATGGTTCGTGTTGGCAAGCAAAGTGACAAGTTTTGGGTCGAAGATGGGTCGGTTTGAGTGAAGGTTCGTCAACGGCCTGATTTCGGTGGTGTTGTGGGAAAAGATATGGGTCTGTGGGGGAAACCGTGGCCGATTTATATCTTCGAGTTTTCGTGGGGATGGTTCGTGCTCCAGGTTAATTGTTGGAGACGCGGCAAGATGCTTGGGTTTTTGTGGGGATGGATATGGATGTCGGTGTGAGCATAGTTATATACCTGCGCTGAGCAATGATGAACTCCCCTCCATACATCGACTATTATCGATGAGCACATTACTCATGACTTGTCGTCCCGCCCTCATTGCGGCTCATTTGGCCGCAATCAGCGTTGATGCTGACCCTAGGCGTAAATGCTTATCGTTGAGAATCGCTGAGTCCCCATTCATGTGGACCCATTGCATCATAACCGTTATACCAACAGTTACACACCGCACGTAGTGGTGCTGCAAGGACTGCCTGTGCTTCTGCTATGGGGAAGGTTTCGCTATTTCTCTCGATCATCATTCGGTAGCCAGTCGGTAGGGTTGCAGTAGAAGTGGAACCACCGGTAACAAACCTCCTACGGTACTAAGCGCGCCAAAAAGACTGGAGACAAATTCCTGGGCTGGGCCATTCCCCTGCAGTAACGTCCTTTCACGGCCGCGCTCGAGCAACGGTAATGTTCTTGGGCGTCACAGATTTCGAGTAAAGACGCTATGACGTCATCCATGCTGGAGGCAAATCTCACCGAAGCATCTTCCGCCGGGCCAAGTAGCCTTCGAATGAGGGGAGTACAAGGCAACCCTTCCACCTTCGAACGATCGCCAAAGAATTCAGATCGCCGGATCCTTGGCCGCAGAAGAGAAAGAGTCGGGATGAGTTCTCGTCACCCAGTATGTGAACTTTCAGGGACGAGTCTGAGGCTGGGAGGACGGCCATGTTCGGCACACATTTCGCATCCTCATCCTCCAGATGTTTCCTTGCGTATTCAAATCAGATGAGATCTACAACACATGCGGCAGTCCACTCTTGCGTCGAGCGGTCAGCTTAGTGACATAATGCAGCATATCGAAGGTCTTATCGCTTTCTTCACGTGTCACAACCAAGTGGAAAGGGCCGAAGATACGCTCATCCCGGTACTCAGCAGCTCATACGCTGTGGGTCGTCTCTAGATGAGTATCCACAAAGGAATCCGATTGTCACGCTGACGTAGCTGTACCTTGGAGCGTTCTTTGAATCGAAAGGATTGCATTATCAATAATGACACAATGCAAACAACATGCAGTGTCTGATAGCCATGGAAGCTTGATACAGCGCTTGCATAGACGTCGGCGAGTTTGACGGGGGTATTTACGCGGCGCGAATGTTTCCATCCAGGCTGGGGCGGGTAATCAATGATGTTGCAAACAACACTTCAGCAACACCAGAATCGCCACTCCAAGCCATGGGGGCTGGAATCGAACGAGATGCTGCGCCTCAGAGCAACCGGAATGATGGTCTAGGATTGTGGATTCCATTCGGGTCAGTATCAACACGACATTCGGCCACGAATACTCACTTGGGGTGCCTGACTGAGGCGAAGTACATGAGCGCACTCATGACCAATAAACCGATAAACACGCCAGAAGGGACATAAAGAGTTGGATCAGTCGAACAACAGATAACAAAGGGACAGCAGATATGTTCTAAGGTAGTCTCGGATCAGCCGGGTGACCTTGGGCGACTGCACTCAGGTTTACACCTGTACGTTTATATCTTAGAATCGGGTAGAACCAAGCTTGGGTATGGGCCATACGGTCTGCGTACGGATAGCGCTACTATTGCGTGATTATCTTTGGCCTTTTAAAAGGCACGAAAGCGATCGCGAATTGGTAGTGCTTGGGAATTGCTTAGTGGTTGTGCGCGATTCTATTTCTCTTAAGTACAAGAACATCGCGTCAAAGTAGGTATGTGGATACGAGCTCACCGCCTGTCTCTGCTTGGAACTGTTGTATTTGCAAACCATGCGATTGTCAACGCAGGTAAACTGCTCACTCGGCGAGTTCTAAAAGGCTTTGCGGTGAAGTGGGCGAGAATGCTAATCTCGAGGATCATGGGACTGCGATCAACCACAATCACCCGATTGTGTGTTTGTTTGAGACCGGCGAGGATGAAGGTATTGGTGAGTTCGGAAGAGATAGGTGCACCGGGTGATATTCTCGACCTCATGTCCGGCGCGACATGTCGGCTTTTGATTTGCGTGTGGTGTGAATAACAGACAGCGCGCAGACAGTGCCGACTGGGAAGAGGAAGGAACGTCTCACCTTCAAACGGAAAGTACATAAATCTACCACTTCTGACCCCGCCCAGCCATCTTTTACTCACTTCCGTAATACTAATCGACTATCAACGCTCTCTTCATCACAACGATGAATTGGACTGGAGGCAGTCTGCAGCGCACCAAACACGCTAACAAAGGCGTTGTGCAGAAGCAGAAGGCCTACTTCGCGCGCTCACGAACACAGCTCCAGAACGGCTTACGCTCACCTGTCGCACCCTTCCGTCCAAGTTATCTTCGTAAAGATGACGACCACGAGTCGGGTGAACGGATACGGTCATTCCATCCAGGCTCCACACGTCATACTAGTCACACAACCAGACAGCGACATGGAGGGACAGGACGAGGGACCTCACCGCTAGACAGAACACGTTGCCACGAAGACGAGGTAGGCCACGCGTATCAAGTGGCTTCAAATGGTGTGTCACGACATACTATTTTAGGTCTGGGTTCATCAGGAAGTGCCGTGAGAGGTGAGCAGGGTGGGCTTGCTCAAACGTACCGATGAGTTGATACAATGGTAGAGAAACCGGACCAAAAGCGGAAAGCTGACGACGCAAACATTGAGGCGCAGTTGCTTGAAGCCAACAAAAAAAGACTTCTCAGACAGCAGGATTGGGTTGGTATCGCACCTTCGAAACCAGCAGATCTACGCTATAGGCCGAGCAAAGAGACGGACAGGATTGGCAAACGTAGAAAGATTCATGGAAGACATCGTGCGTCCGCTCGCCGAAGGAGTAATATGGAACTCGCAGACCAATTACTCCAACCTACAAACGATGATTATGCATACATGAGCGGCGCACTTCCCATTGACGCAGCAGAAATCAGAATCCGAGTTGGTACAGACGCGTTGACAACCGCTTACTCGACCCAGCCTGATGACTGTGTTCAGTCACAGACATCATCGGACCCCATGCTATTCGAGCAGGCATCATCAGATTTTATGCTGCTCGATCCCGAAGTCCCCGACGCAACACGGCGAAAGGAGCCGCATGACCTGAAACCTGCCACTTTGGAACCTTGCACGTCAATTGAAGAGTTTCGTCCAATTGATAACCACGAACACCAACTCGCCAACGAACATACCCAGCCATTCGACGGTGACATGCGGCGAGCATTGCAAGAACCTGGCGCGAAAGGCAGAAGTGACTCTGATCCGGCGCAGCTGGCGTATGTGGGTCACTACGCACTCGCTGTGGAGTCAAAAGATAGAGAAAGTGAGGCGTCTGCTCCTGATTTCCAGATTACGCATTCCGTGGCAGGGGTCAGACGCCCACTGCGGCTACTCTTTGGAGAACCCAGTTCATCTAAAGGTCCCCATGACTGTACGACGTCGCAGCATGATGGTATCGGTGAAGGAAAGCATGCTCTTGAAGCTGACACTGTAGGCTTATCCAAAACGGGACACATGGATCAGGCCAGCAGCAATAACATGCCACAAATTGTCGACAAAACTTTGACTATCGGCGATGAGGAACCATGGAAACCATACATTGCCTTCCCAGATGAGAGTTCAAGTTACTCAACAGCAGCGCAAGACCTCGAAACGAGCTTGATGCATTCCTACTCCACTGCGCGAAATAACGAAGCCGAGTTTGTGGACTGGTCACAGCATGCCACGCAGGGGAATTACACGCACGTCCACTCAATGTCCGCCTCTTCGCCTTCTTTTATGCGGCCTAGCGAAAAGTTGCCTGTTTGCCCGGCCTCACCACGCAATATAGACAAGGATGATAGGATATGGCAGAATTTCGTGTTTGGGAGCGACGAGGACTCTGAATTGGAGACAATAAGCGATTGCAACGGAGTTAGCGAGCAGAGGACGTTGAAGGTCTTTCGCGGGTCCTCACATCTATCCCTGTCTGTCAGCTCCACTTCTACACCGTTCAGAGCAGGATTAGGAATGGTTTCTTGCATAAGCGACAACTTACAGGACGTAGCAAACTATCCGCCACTTCCAGGGTCCCCGTCGATCGCCCCACGTTTCGATGGATTTGTCGAGGAGTTTCACCATGGGGAACAAGGCAACGACACGACCTCTGGCGAGCAGTCGGTCACTCATGCATCTCTGCAAAACAACGCGTCGTTCAATACTGATTCCATCTCACCGATGATGTTCAGCGATGCAACAACGTCCCGCAGCAGTCAAAACCAATTTGGTCGCATTTCGGATGGATACTCCGGGCGAGCCACAGCAGGTAATAGTGAATTGGGGCGAATTCAGCAATCGTCGATGGCCTATGAAATGCCTTTCAGCAGCGATAACGCCCTTCATCTCATTGATCCTGACAGCTTAGTGTAAGCTCTATAGACACCGAGTGTTCTGAGTCGAGTGCAATCGTGTAGCAGTCTCGCCTGCGTTATGGCCGCAGTGAACAATAAAACATGAATTATAAAACACGAATAAAAAACGATTAGATCATTCACGTAATGCTGGTTAGTTTACCTCTGTGGCTTATGTTATATACTTCAGCACGGACTCAGCTCGGCCCATCTCCTCTCATCTGCACATGAATGTACTTGTGGCGCCGCAACTAGAGTGGGAAAGTTGCGACAGCTTACTCGCCGGGAGGCTACGTAGGGCAAATGGACGGACGCGTCGATAGCTTATTGGCTGATGTACGAGCTGTTTCGCGTTACCTCCGCGCTTGCGTGATGTCCTCTCTTATTTCAGCACACTCTGCATGTCATCGGCATGTCTCGAATCTGCGAGTGACAAGAGCTATTCGGACCGGTGGTGACAGAATCTCGGGAATGTTGTCCTTAGCGAGAGCGCTACGCTCGACTCCCGGCGTACCTATTGCGTTTGGCTAGGGTTTGCTCTCGCATCTGTACCTAGCAAAAAAGGCCAAGTGGGCATTGTTCCGGCGATGAGCAAGCGTATGATAAGGCACGAAGGAACGCGCAAAGGCACTTGACAAGACTGCAGCATTTCTTGGATGATTGGGCGTGGAGCAACGACGAGGGAAGATATCACACCGCTTGAAGATGGGTCACATGGCTCTCCCCGTCAGCGAAGCTGGCAGGGCGAGTGCCGTTTGATGTGCGGGGAGCACGATCTGATTCGTGAACGGCACCAGGGATGCGCCAAAACCTTGGAAAAACACGAGCTTCGAGAAGACGACGTGGAAACCGGCATAAAAGAGGAGGTCACGCGACGACGTGCAGCGCATCGCGACGGATGCGGACGGTGTGTTGAGAGCAGTGGTGTTGTCGTCGCCGGATCTTCTTGGAGAAAACAAAGCATAGTGTCGACTCTGACGCCGTATTGCGACCGGCAACCAGGGGTGCCTCTGGTTGTGAGGCGACGGGGCTACCCTGAGCTCAGTTGCCGATCAAGATGTGCCGGCGTGGGCTTGCACTCGTTTCATCGTACCGCGCCACGTGCGGTGGGAAGGATGGAGGATTTCACGTCGCCGCAACCTGCCTTGTCTGAAGCTGCGTTGAACAGTCATACCTATTCATCACCGCTACTTGGCCCTCATCCAAGGCATTAGTGTGCAGTAGAATCGACTCATCGGTTCCCTGGCAGAGACAGCTAGTACTGCCCGTATTATCCGTAGCCACAGATTGGCATCGCAGACGTGACGGCAAAGACGGCCGAAACGCTCGTCAAATGAATGGTGGGCAACGTGATGTCAAGGCTACCAGGTCGGGCTCGTAGTCAGGTCGTGTCCTTTGTTTCGCAAGCAAAGCCAGCGCTCGACATGGAAGGATGACTAGGCAAGTCATTATTACCCAGACACGAACCGCAACAGGGAACGCGCTCAGCCCTACTCATCCCCCCAGCCACTGCAAGTAGCCATTGCGCCATCCCTTGCTGACCGGCTGGCACGGCCGGCAATGTGGCATGCAGTGCTTGCGAATGCCAATCTTGGGGGCCGCGTGCGTCGTGACAATGGCAGAAGTAGGTAGCTACGCACTCGCTTGGGCACCACAGCATGTGCCGAGGGCGGCCAGCAACACGCTGTCTTGGTGCCTAATGCACGTATGGGCAGGTTTGCAGCATGGCAGGTTTGCACGCCAGAGAGCCCGCGGCGCTGTCATTGGCTGCCGCGACTGTCTTTCAACGGTCGCGGTCGCCAGGACGTCATTCAGAGGCCGTTTCAAATGCTACACTTAGGGCGGTTCTAGCTCCAGTGCCGTTGTTTGTGGCTAGGATGGTCGACTCACTCGGCCAGGGGCGCTGGCCGAGGAGCCGATCCGGGCTTGGAAGGGGATGAGCAGCCTGGGTTGGTAATGTAGAATTTTCCAGGAGAGAGGTCGCAGGCAGCGCCAAGTCCGTGACGGCTCCGATTCCTCATACTTAGGAGTACCTGCCCTTGAGGCGTGCGCTCCTTCCACACCACCGCATCGTACCTGCCGTACCCGCCACAAATAGACACCCTCTGCTGCCGCTACTGCTGACTGCTTCTGCCCTGGCCCGACGCCCCAAAACACCGTAGCTCCGCCTCTCCACCGCCTCACCTCCTGCACGCTATTTTCGCGACCTTGTGCGAGCATCTCTCGGCTGGACCCCCACGCGCAGACAAACCTACCACCGCACACCCCCCTGCGACGCTGGCTGCAACTCGCTGCAGGTAATCTCTCGTACTTGTAATACAACGGCCTGACTGCGTCGCGCTTACCTGATTACCCTGCCCGCCCAGCGCGCCTGTTCGTCCGCAATCGTCGTAGCCAAATCCCCAACGCACGCAGCCTGCCGCCCAGACTCACGATGCACGAGTAGCCCACGCTCCCTGGTTCCCTAGGCTGTTGATCCGCTCTGCTTTTATTCCCATTGGCGCCCGCCCGCTGTTGCACTCCTTCAGTCCCATCTTCGCGCCATGAAGATACCTTGACACTGCTTGCTGTTTTCTGCCTCCCACTCTCGCCATGGTGTTCCTCCATGACGCATACGCGCGCCCACGCATGCCCTCACCACAGCCCAGCTTCACTCGCATGACGACCGCCATCTCCATCCCCACCCGCGGCAGCGGCATTTCGGCGCCTGCCCACTTCAATGGCTCCCTCCAGTCGACCCCCGAGGGCATAGTGCCCATGTCGTGCTCGCTGCCCGCCGTTCCTTCCTACACCCTTCCCGAGTCGCTCCTTCCGCCGCCGACATCTTCGCCCTCCGCCATGGCCGAGGCCCTGGGCAAGGGGCCAGGGCTGATTCGACGAGTCAGCCGTGGCGCACAGGGCATTCCCCAGCGATTTCGCCGCGGCAACTCAAGCACACACCGCGACCGGAGCTCGGGGCCAGTCATTATGCGCCGACGCAGCGACAGCAGGACTGCCGCCGACGGCGAGGCCAGCATCTCCGATTTCGACGGATTAGAAGAGGAGGAAGCAATCGACGACACCTTCGGCGAGCCTGGCAATGCCCTCGGTATCCTAAGCACCAGGGCCATTGTCAGCTCCATCCCCGATGCATCCGTCATTGCACCCGTTCGCAATTCCCGTCTGGAGCAAGGCACCGTGCTTAAGAAGGTCACGAAGAAAGACTCCAAGGAAATCAACCTGCGACTCGACATGGAATCTGCCAAGGTCTTCTGGGATCCCTCTCGACCCTCCAAGTGCTTCTACATCGACGACGTGAAGGAGATCCGCTGTGGCCCTGAGGCCCAGCACTACCGTGAACAATGCCTGCGTTCGGAAAACTGGGCCCCTTACTGGTTCACTATCGTCTACACCGATACCACACGCTCCAAAGGCCGCTTAAAAACGATGAACCTGATCGCGCCTGACGTTGGTGTCTTCACCATGTGGACACAGACACTCAACTCAGTGTCACGAAACCGCATCGACATGATGGCTGGCCTACTGGGCTTTGCTGACAAGAGTGCGAAGCTCGTTTGGCAACGCGAGACGAAGAAGCGCCTCAACGGTGGCGAAGGCGAAGTGTCTCTGGATTTCCCAAGTATCGCTCAGCTGTGCCGCAGCTTGCACATCAACTGCACTGAAGCGACCCTTCGCGCGTATTTCGAAAAGGCCGACGCCCAGAAGACTGGACAGCTAGACCAGTCACAGTTTCTGTTCTTCGTCAGACGTCTCAAGGAGCGTCAAGATATCAAGCAGATCTTCAAGTCCTTTACCTCGGGATCAAAAGAAATGGACAAGGTCACCTTCTTCTCATTCCTGCAACGCGAGCAGGGCATTGACGTAAATGCTCACCTCGATTATTGGACGGTCACCTTCGTAAAATTCGCACGCGCAACCAGGCCTAGAACAACTCCAATCGCAGGTGGCGAGATTCCGCTTCCACCGACAATGAACTTTCCCGCTTTTCAGACATTCCTGACGTCAGCCGCGAACTCCATCTTCAAACCTTTCAACTCACAAGCGCAGCTCAACCGACCATTGAATGAATACTTCATCTCCAGCTCACACAACACCTACCTTCTTGGTCGTCAGGTTGCAGGTGAATCCAGCACTGAGGCGTACATCACGGCTCTCCAGAAAGGCTGCCGTTGCATCGAAGTTGACTGCTGGGATGGCAGCGATGGCAAGCCAGTGGTCATGCACGGACGCACACTCACCAGCAGCATCTTGTTCCACGACACGATCAAGGTCATCAACAAGTATGCTTTCACTGATTCCGCATATCCGCTCATCCTTTCTCTTGAGGTGCATTGCACGGATAATCAGCAAGCGCAAATGGTCAGCATCATGGTTGCAGAGTTTGGCGACAAGTTGGTGCTTGAGCCGCTGGACCTCGAATCTCAAGAACTGCCGACACCAGAAGATCTGAAGCACAGAGTCCTCATCAAGGTCAAGTCTTCTGCTAGTGAAGATTTTGATGCAAGGGCTTTGACGAACGAGCTTGCGAACAGGAGACGGGAGCGCAGCTTCAGTTCGCCCTGGACTCGGCCAGTAATACTGAACGACCACGTCATCCCCAACTCACCTCTCATCTCAAGTCCTCCTTCCATGAGCCCTCCAGATCGCGCAACAACATTCTGGTCGTCACCACGCACATCAACCACTTCCACAAACAACACAGTACCAACATCCGCCATTGTCAGCTCGGCTGAAGACAGCGACAGCCCTCAGGTAACTGTTGCTGAAGAGACAAAGAAGTCTAAGAACCCCAAGACCAGCAAAATCATCAAACTTCTTGGCGATCTAGGTGTGTACACTAAGGGAGTAAAGTTCAACGACTTCAACTCCTACGAAGCCAAGACGTTCAACCATGTCATCTCTATCAACGAGCGCTCTTTCGAAAAGCTTACCAGGCCTGGGGCGCCGCAGAAGCATATGCTTGAGGAGCATAACATGCGCTGTCTCACTCGCATTTACCCGCACGCTTACCGAATCAACTCATCAAACTTCGATCCGCTCAAGTGCTGGCGACGTGGTGTCCAGATGGCTGCTCTGAACTGGCAAACTTACGATCTCGGACAACAGCTGAATGAGGCCATGTTTGCTGGTGGCAATGACCGCACCGGCTATGTACTCAAGCCTGCTGCATTGCGTCCAGAGGGGCAATTGTCGGCACTCGACCACAAGAAGGCGCCCAAGAAAGAGGTCAAGTTCACCGTCCAGATCATCTCTGCTCAGCAGCTACCGCGTCCCAGAGGACTGGGTCCAGACGCTAACATCAATCCCTATGTCGAGTTTGAGATGTATTGTGCCGAGGACATGGGCGCAAACGCCACTGGTGTTGGTGGACAGGACGCTTCTGCACGCAACGGCCACTCCGGCATTGGCAACCCATTGCGAAAGCGGACACGCATCGTCGAAGGAAACGGCTACAACCCTGAATTTGGCAACGAGATCGAGATGAAGGTTATCACGCGATATCCAAGCCTGGTCTTCGTGCGGTGGACCGTCTGGAATTCGCTCGATGCTCGTACCACCAATCACGCTCCCTTAGCTACCTTCACCGCCAAACTCAACAGCATTCAGCAGGGTTATCGTCACCTTCCCCTCTTTGACTGCAACGGCGAGCAGTATCTGTTCTCCACCTTATTCTGCAAGGTTAAGAAACAGGACATCGTTGATGCGCCTGAACCTATCGTCCAACGCACTGGCTCACGCCGATCTTCTTTTGATCGTCCCTCAGGAAGCCCTCTTCAAGAGCCTACGACTACCAAGTCTCGCAGCTTCGTCAGACGCCTCATCCGGGCCCCGAGCGAGCGCAGGAGGCGCAAAGAAGAACGCATCGGCGCTGAATCCCGCGAGTCGGAGCTTGACCATTTCAGTCGTTCGAGTACGATCGAGCGATGATTGGGGTTTGCGATGTATCCCCATGTTCAGCTGACGACGACGCATACGAATTGCCGGGCTCCCGCTACGCGTCATCTCAACTGGACCTAGCTGTTCTTGTATCATACAGTTTTCCTATTGGTATTCAACCCAACGTCCGAGGACCTCTCAGGCATATATCGAACGCTCCTTGTAGGATCGCGTCACGACCCTTTTTTTCCATATTTCCATGTACCTGGGGAGATCTACAAAGTGAGGCGAAAAAACTTTTTCGTGGCGGCATTATGGGAGGGAAGTAGCCTTCATCCCGCTAACGGCTATACACTATTCGCCGAAGCGAAGCCTTGGCAACATCCCATGTTTCAAGGCTTGATCGACAGGACCTCGATCGCTTTTTTCACTTTTTTCATCTCTATTCAGATTATACCCTTTTCATCTGTTGTTTACCACACTGTACGGGGTTTTGCATGGGTCACTGGCGTAAGACAACACTCAAACACAGCTAGGACGGTGCCGGCGAGCATCCAGAGCTATTTGGGCGACGGCAACACTTGAGCGATATCCTTAGACTTCCTTCTTTCGTCGGGCTTCACTGCTCACTTGTTTGTATTTTTTCCCTTTTCTCCTTTGTAAACGCATTTCGTATTGTTGATACGAAGCTACGACCTCCCCATACAGCATCAGACCATGAATGCATTTGTTAGCCTGGCCGCAGCATGCGCCTAGTTCGCAAAACCGAGGTTTTCCGTGGGGGCGAAACTGGCTGTCTGCTGATCTGTTTTTTTTCCTTGCCTGCGGGAGGATAGTTTTTTTTCGCTTCAGTGCGTATTAGGCATGCAGGACATGGCTACATAGACTTGCCATTTTGGCGCCGACTAAGTTAGGGCGGAAGAGGTGCGCTGGCAAGCGTCTTACCTTCCTCCATGGAACAGCATATCCAAAGGGAGCAACGAACGGAATATACCACACATGCAACAATAGGCTAGCTATCATAGAAACATAGAAATGATACCATTGATTTTTTTTCAATATTAGATTACTACTCACAAGATGCTTGTCGTGCGTGCGTGACCTTAGTTTCGGTATCAGCTTGCGAGTCAAGACAATGATACATACCTAGCTATCTACCAAGCAAAACCCACTTGCAACCGCAGCCAATACACGCAATCGAGCAAGCAAGCAAGCAAGCGCCCTCCAGCAGCTCCAAACCGGTATTGTCGATCTCCCCTCCCCTGCCTTCTCCGCATCGACGACGACACCAGTAACGAAAGGCAGAAAAACTATCCCACGGCTACGGGGGCCCCTGCCACACCCCATTGACGTGTCTAGCTCCGGCCCTTGCCGCCCTTAGCATCCTGGCCCAGCCAGCCCCCCAAGAGCCTGGATGCCTCGGTCGCAAACACCAGGCGTTGGTTCGCAGCTCTTGTTCTTCCTTCGCCGTTTGCGCTGCTCGCGTGATGCGCTTGTATGGAGGGAGGGAGGGGGGAGGAACGAGGGTGGGGGGCGGTGCGCGTGCATTGTGTATGATGCAATGCACATGTATATGCACTGGCCTGAGTTCTCGTCTATACTATACTATGCTATACGATGCGATGCGATACAATACGGTTACTGTATATGCGGGTCGTTTGGGAGAGAGACAGAGAGAGCTGAAGCGAAGCGAAGCAGCCTACACGGCTGGTTCCGAGCCCGAGCTCGAGTACATGCCTACTTGTTTGGTAACAGACTGGGGAGCATGCCCGCGTTCCTGCATGCATGGGTGCATGTATGCTTGCCTGCTTGCCAGTTCTGCCTGCTTGATTCGGGGGAGTAGGTAGTAGCCCTCGCTCCAGACATGCAGGAGGTGTATGTGTACCTACACAGTATGCATGCATGCATGCGAAGGAACATACATGCACCACGACGCACTACTACATCCTGTATCCACACGCATGCGTGCAGACTCCAAACTCGGGCGCGGACAAAAGGAGATTTTCCCAAACTGCCAATCGTCTACCTACCTGTTTACCTACGTACCTTGGGGAAAGTGAAGCGTAAGCGTGAACGTGAGGGGAGGCCATAGATGGACAGTGCAAGGCATCGAGCATTGGAGGGATAACACCGAGGAAGCACCGCGTGGATGGTGTGTGTGGCTGGGGGATGGGATCTGGAACGCAAACGTGGGTTTGGATTGGGTTGCGGGAACGGAAGACGGGATGGGATGGGGTGGAGGTGGTTCCCATCGCATTTGCGCTAGTGACGACGGTTGAGTCGAGTGACGCCGGCGCGCTGGGCTCGATCGGCGGATTGAGTTTGGTACGGTTTGAGCCTGTGGATGGGGTCGGTGCCGGGTGGGGATGGAGGTGTATTGGCCGACGCTACTTCACGATACGATGTGATGCTTTTCTCGCATGACGGCAGATTTACCACTGTGATTTCAACGGTCTTGTGGTCTCGCGCGTCTATGGGGCGATACGAGGTTCAGGCGGAGCGGAGCGGGTTTCCCTTCGTTTGCGCTACGCTCGCTGTGAGTATGCGAGTCATATACCATGTACGTTGCATCATAATCAATACCATCATCGTTACCATTATTGTCACGACCGAGCGGTGACTGCTTACCCCTTCTGATTGCATATGCGATGCGATGCGCGAAATACAAATATGCTGCGCCGTCCCGTCTTGCGTGCTGGGGACCGCGTGCAGAAGGTTTCGACGCGTAGCGCAACGGGAGGGTTTAGTGTGCAGCATACCATGCAAGGGAAAGTTATCTTTGTCGTGCAAATTGCCTTTCGGCACGTTTGAGGTCGGATGGTTGCTTGATTTGGGCATTGTTAGGTACTCTATGCAGAAGTTTATTTTTCGATTCGTCGGAGAATATGTCCGTTGTGGGTTTGTGATGTGGATGTGGATGTGGATAGAGAGATATGGTGTTGATGGGTACATTAGGTACATACATGTTGCAACCATGAAACAGACGTGCTTGCATTGCTATACGATGTACGGCTATTTTTGCAGTATGCGGAGGCTGACCCCCTCGTGCATGAAGGACGTCTGATCGTGAGACAGATCAGATTGTGTTACCAGCGGTCATCGGTGAAGCTTGCATGGCTGCAAGCTCTATTGGAGCAGGAGAATCAGCGCTTGATCTGTATCAAACTCATTGTAGAATGTGCTGCATGTGGCGAGGCAAAGTCATGTACAAGGGCCGGGTGAGGTTGCCGGTTGGATAAGAATTTATACATGCAAGGTGTGTCTGCCTTGTCCGCTTTCGTATGAGTAAGAACATGCAATTCCGGTGTAACTTCTTCAACAATCGCCAGCTACTGCAGTGAGCAGCTGTATGCAAGCAGGGTACGTATTACGTTACGCCTTCACTATGGACAGTGCGGGGTGCAGCATGGTGAAGTTGAAGCGCCCTGGACAAACATGGGCATTTTCGAACAGCAGGGTTTGTTAGCCGGTCACTCCCAAAACCGTACAACTACCAGTCCCCACATCTCTATGATTGTGGTGTTGGTTGACTGCATGTTGTACCGATTCCTGTTTGAGACGGCTGCTTGCATGAACCAGCAGCAGACTGTATGAAGCCACATAGTCTTTGTTGAAGGGTGTTGGCTCGCTAGTCCAGCTCTTTGCATGTCACGAGGGTGCCATCGTCTGAGCACGTTGGCAGCAATATACCGAAGTCGTGTGATCGTTCGTGTTGATGAAATGGACGTCTGAATACCCGATGCTTGCGCACTGGAGCATCAGGTACGTAGCTACAGTTTATCCCGTTCCTTCGTAAGCTGTTGAAACACGGAGCGATTAGCTTCGATCTGTTCGTCCTCGCATCGAAGATCTTTGACGAGACTTGCAATATCCGAGCTGACTGTATTAAGCCATGTTATCCGGTTGCGCCTTCTGGTGTCAGACAGCTGAGCCTCGAACCTGGTTACGTCTCGTCAGCTAGCACGCGGTGTAACCATCTGCAGATGGCGAGCAGAATTGGTTTATTGAGTCTCGACCCTGTCGAGTGGTCATTGCGATAGCTGAGGACAAAGAAACAGCCGTAAGAATGCCCTCACATGAGCTCTATGGGGTCGCGTGCAACAGCGAGGCTGCATGCCTGAACAACACATCGTGCATGAAGTCAAGTTGTAGTCCGGACAGACAGGGATAGTAATCGAAAAGTGTCGATGCATCATCGTTCCTAAGCAAGCCCATTCACTACCTGAAGCGGGCTAGTACGATTGAACGTCTGTAGAACTGGTGTCCTGTGGCGTGAAGGTTTCGTCTTGCGTCTTTATTACCTCAGGCCTGGATCTTGTGGCACAGCTACCGTGCAGCAATGAAACAAAGCAACTCCTTGCGTATCCGGAGCTCGTTGAGTCCCAACAAGAATGCCTTGCTATCTCCGATCTAACCGTGTGGCTGTCTCGTCAGGCAAGCAGAACGTATCGGAAAGTGAGGCTGAGCACACAGCGTCGGCTGTCTAATGCATTCGTGGAAGCCGGCTATGGCGGCTTCAGTGAGGAACCCAAAACCTGTTCCTGGGTGTCAAGATGACCCACTCGACTAATCATACTCTCCGAATGATGAGGTTTGAGACACTGAGTCGGCGTCCTATGCGGCTCTTATGCACCCCGCACGAGCAGTTCAACCAATTCCTCCTGCTGGGCCAATGCTGCCCTTGTTTCTGGAATATCTCTTCATGCAACCCCACGCAGTCATGCCGACGCCCACAGATAGATATGAGTGTTCGGTATTTCTCCGGCGGTATTCCTCGGCATACTGCGCCGTGTGGCTTTGAACGTGGTGTCTAGTGCTCATCGAGTGGGCGTGGGAGTGGTTGTATCTTCTTGTACTGGTACATGTGCCTGACAATGAGTTGCTGACTCAGTATTTGTTACTTTGCGAAATAGTTTCAGTCAGCCTCAAGTTACGTGATCAGATTATAGAGCGACCCTCTTCTATCCTCTTTTGCATGCACTCCAGCTGGCGTTCTCGTTGCATACTTCTTGCTCGACTCTCCACTGTCTTTAAGGTTGGCATTCTGGACA